GAATCGAGGAACGAGTTGGCGGAGGAATTTGTAAAAAGAATCAAAGAAATACAAGACGAAGCAAAAGCAGCATTGGAAAAAGCAAAAGAAAAAATGAAAAAATACTACGATAAACAAAGAAAAGAAGTTCCGGAGTTGAAGGTTGGGATGAAGGTGTACATAGAAGGGGAAAATATCGAGACGGACAGACCATCAAAGAAGATGAGCAACAAGAGATTAGGACCATACGAGATACTGGAGAAGGTTGGAGCGGCCGCATGGAAGCTGAATCTGCCGGATACGGACCGAAGACACCCCGTGTTCAACGAATCACTGTTGACACCCTATCACGAACCACCCCCCCATCGCCGAGAGAAGAGACCCGTAGCCAAGATGATCGGAGGAGCAGAGGAGTGGGAAGTCGAAGAAATCGTGAAAGAGCGAAAAGTCGGCCGAGGAAAACAGTACTTGGTCAAATGGAAGGGATGGCCGCACAGCGAGAACACCTGGGAACCATCACGCCACCTTACCCACGCGAAGGACGTCCTGAGAGACTGGCAGAGGAAACAATCCAACCCAGACACACGCATTCGCCTCCTACCAACTCTCGAAGCTGGACACTGGGACTATCTTATTCATCGCTATAAACCCAGGGATGAGCGCCTCCCCTATCCCCAACGACAACTCTTTGACCCTTACGAGAACGTCTTCACGCCCATTGGCCTAGTCGATGAGGACATTGACCCTAGAGAGGGGGTAATGTCATAATTCGACTCTTTTTCATCTTATCCTCAACGATAATTTGACTCTTTTTCATCTTATCCTCAACAATCTCATCTTATCTCGACACGGATTATCTTATCATGGATCACGGCATCAGACGGTCCGGGCTAGGGGTTCCAGGGGTTATCCTTATCGATTCAAGGCTGCGCGACATATGCTCCGGAAGGTTCTACTACAACCCATGACCAGTGCTCCATGCGGTACATAGCCTTATGACTCATTAGTTGTAGATACGACTCAGACTGGACTTGGGTATAAATACTGTAGCTACTTGGTTGTATTCTCCAGTCTTGGAATTCACTTCTCTTTTCGACTATTGTTTTTGGTTGATTGTCACAACGTTGGACGCATGGTCCGCAACAGCTGCAGTGGTTGCGACCCGGGCAACCAACTCGGAGAGCAACTCACTTCCCAGCTGGTTGATGACCTCATCAAGGACATTGGTGTGACGGATATCAGCTGGGGTGGGGCAGTCACAGGCAAGATGGCCTGGACTGCCGCAGCGGAAGCAGGTGCGGCGAACGTCACCGTGGAGCCGGGTCCGATCCAACTCCATGGGAATGGAGTGGGCAACAGGAGCCGGCGCCGGGCGAGCAGCAATTGCCGGTGCTACAGCAGGGAGCACCAGGGCACAAGGACGAGGGACGATAGGAGGCGCTCGGGGGGAGGGACGTGGCCTCGAGACGCCTTGGCAGCCTGTTCCGCATTGTACTGCTGGAACGCATGGACACGCCACTTGGCGTAGTCAGTAAGCCTGGGAGGGTTGCCAGAGGTGGTGATAGCCTGGTTGATCTTCGGATCCAGGCCCGTCCTATATTTGGTCACCTTGACCAGATCGTCGGTATAGCCGGCGAGGTCAAGGAGGTCGTCGTATTTGTCCGTGTACTTGAACACGTCACGGGAGCCCATATAATACAGATGGGTCTCCAGTCGCGCCAGGGCATGGTCTTGCTCATTCTCCTCCATGAATCAAAGCTTGAACTCGGTGACAAAGAGAGCCCAAGTAGGGAACGGGAATGGGGTGCGCTCAGACATGCACTCGGACCAGGAGGCCGCGGAGTCCTTGGACATGTAGGACAGGGCGAAGCGGACTACCTTTTCTTCCGAGACTGCCCCGTTCACAAAGAACGCCTCAGGAAGCAGGCGCCAGTACTGCTTCACTGAGTGCAAGAAGCTCTTGCCCAGGGTGCGATCCCCATCAAAGGAGAAAGGAGGATTTGGGCGGATAAGGGGGCGCACAGGACTGGCGCCAGTAGAAACACCTGGACCCACTACCGGAGCTGGAGCAGGGGCAGGGGCAGGGGGTTGTTGTTGTTGAGAGATGAGGCGGGTGAGTACGGCCTCAATGTTCTGTATGCTGGTCTCCAGAGCAGACAGCCGCTGCTGTTCGTTGTCCTCCATGCTCATTGGGTCTGCTCGTGGAGGGGAGAAGGGGGCAAGATAGGAGGTGAGGGATTAGTGGTCTTGGTTGCTCGTCGACTCTTCTCCACTGGTGTCAGCGTCGAACCTCGCAATCTTGTCCGGTTATCCCTAGGAACACGGTTTCTGCTGTAAGGGCAACCTCGAGACCCGATCTCAGAGTTCTGGCAAGGGAGAATCCAAAGATGAATAATAGTGGTAGCTAGGTACAAGACCGGCATACCTGGCAAGGGAGAATCCAAAGAGAAACCGTGTTGGGGATTCTCCTTGCCAGGCGCCACTATTTATATGGTACAAGAACAATAGGCCGCACAGCAACAAACAAAGAACAATGGGAACAATAAGTACAATGGCCATGACAGAACAATAGGAAACAGAGACAATAGGAACAATGGCACCACCTGCCATCAGAGAGAAGCGCTTGGCGCAGCGGTCCAGGCCGCTGCGTGTGACACCTGACAGGTCACCCGAGCGCGATCACATGCCAAATCCCAGGCTGATTGGTCTGAAGCGGGGGTTCCCCTGACAGTCCTGTACAACTGCATAGTAGCTACGCTATCTAAGATCAGTTGCCTTTTAGAGTAATGAAAAGTTGGACGATCGGACAGGTCCTGAGTGATCAGGACCCCGCCCCATAGTCCATATGGTACTTTTGATGTGGGTCAACTCACTGCGTCATACTTTTGGAATACAACGTGTGACAATCAACCCAAAAACAAAGTCGAAAAGAGAAGTGAATTCGAAGACTGGAGAATACAACCAAATAGCTACAGTATTTATACCCAAATCCAGTCTGAGTCATATCTACAACTAATGAGTCATAGGGCTATGTACCGCATGGAACACTGGTCATGGGTTGTAGTAGAACCTTCCGGAGCATATGTCGCGCAGCCTTGAATCGATAAAGATGACCCCTATCCCCCTAGTCCGGACCGTCAGATGCCGTGATCCGTGATAAGATAATCCATGTCGAGATAAGATAAGATTGTCGAGGATAAGATGAAAAAGAGTCGAATTATGACACAACGTGCTGGATTGGCCAACTGGTATGTCTTGGCAGGTGAGTCCAACATGGGTGCCCCAAGAAGCCGTATGGTCCTAGGCACGCCAGACATTCCTCACATGGTTCGGTTCACGGATCTAGCCCGTGTCGCTTTTGAGTGTGTTTGGGTATGGGCGCGACTTGCCGTGACACTTTGGAAATGTCACCATGACACGTCCACAATGTCCCGTGATCGAATGGATCCTGACATGTGACAAGTCGTCACTGTGGCATGATCTGGGGAAACGTCGAACCCAAAACCAGGAGTTGCCGCGACAAGATTGGTTCAATCTCATAACGTCAAGTCCTGTCCAGTAATAGTTGTATTATTGAGAACGTCGCGCATTGCTCAGCCCTTCAGCCTGAGCTCCCATCTGCAGAGAATGACCCTTTTGAGAAGTTGCCGCAACAAAAGATCCCTTTTGGGGAATTGTCGCAGTCCAAGCGTTCGTCACTAATAGCCCTGAGCCTGGTGTAGACTCATAAGGCCAATTCCACAGTAGTGGTCTGACTGCCTTGCTATCGTTGACACTATCCACAGTTGTCAACTGGGCAGTAGACCCTTAAGCCCTACTGAGCGCAACACTGTCAACCGCAACACAATACACCAAATGGTTTGAGAGTAAACTCTGTAAAAGCGCAAAAATATGCCCTTACAGAGCTGGTGTGGAGCGCGTCTGGTAGCCAGCCTATCACCGTTCTGAGAGGGTTGGTAGAGCGTCCATACCTACCTGTAGTGTACGCAATAGAATCAGCCACTCTCCGATCAAATGCAATCCCCACGTACCTCGACTCGGGCGCCTCGGAACACTGCATAGTGAACAGATCACAATTTGTCACATATGAACCAACGCCTGGAATGGAGGGGAACACTGCCATCAAGTCGGGTGGTCAGTTCAGGATCTTGGGGCGAGGCGACGTGGAACTTACCATGAAACTTGCAAGCGGCAAGCTGAGACATGTGCGATATCACACAGTGCACACGCCCGACTTTGGAATGAACTTGGTGTCACTCCCGACCTTGGATGCTCGGGGAATGCGTGGCTCGTGGGGGAACGGGACTCTAGCCGTGATGAATATCGATGGCGTCACTGTTTTGGATGGTCAGCTAGCGTCAAAGACAGTCGGCGGTCGGAGACTATACCGAGTATGTTGAGCATCTGAGTTGATGTGGGCGATCAGACGTGATCGGATGTTGGGGGTTGTTGTGGACGTCTCACCCCCTATAAGTTTTTCAGGATCGTTTACCGCTCCTCAGTCTTACCATCATTACGGTGCGACTGAGGGTGCGTGTATCATTCCTTCTGCCTTATCTATTTACTTACAGTACTTGTAGACTTACGTATTCCGATTGTCTACAGGTACAGAATAGAGTCTTACCATCATTACGGTGCGACTGAGGACTTACGTATTCCGATTGTCTACAGATTCGCAGTCAGACGCGGAAGCAGCAGTCCAACAATCAGTACACCAAACGAGTGATATTGAAGACCACAGCGCTCCATAGATCCTACAGAAAAACGCTCGAACCCCTATAGCGATGACCTCGAACCTTCCCTCCACCCCCATCCTTCCAGACGATCAGAAGCTCGCAGTCGATGGCACAAATTGGTCGACCTGGAAGGAAGCTGCCATCAGCATGGCTCGCGGACGTGGCCTGACAGGTTACCTGTACGGCACCATTAACAACCCAACCGGGTATGTTGCAAGCCTGTATGGAACGGCCCTCAACTCGGACAACCCCTCCCCCGACGAGTACCTTATCCGCGATGGATGGGTCGCCGCGATGCTGTTCCAGAACATGAAGGACCCAAGGTCGCACGACATAACGGGATCAGACACGGCTCACCGTATGTGGACCATTCTGCTCGCCAAATTCAACCGGAGCTCCGAGCTGTTGATCGGGATGAAGGTTGAGCGCTTGAGAGAGCTCGTCCTCAAGGACCCTCGCAAATTGCCTGCACACATCGACGAATTAGTCAAACGACGCACGGACGTACACGAAGTCGGAGGAACGATACCAGACCCCCTGATGTGCACGATCCTCCTCAATTCGTTGCCCAAGGAGGAGTTCGGAACGGCGTTGATATCTCTCCAGATGTACAAGGTGGTCGCAGACTTGGTCCAGCACCTCCGCGAATGGTGGGATATCGTTTGGAAGCGGCGAGTCGAGGATGAGGGCGTTGGGACCCCACTGAACACCACAAATGCGATGACTATCAATGTCTCGGCATCAGCGTGTTCCAATTGCGGAGTAAATGGCCATAGCGACAAGGCATGCTGGGCAAAAGGCGGTGGAAAGGAAGGACAAGCGCCAGGGTGGTGGAAGGCCCCGCGCGGGATGGAACCCAGCCCAGCGCTAGTGTCAAGCTATCAGCAAGCAAGGCAGGCGCGGCGAGGACAGGCGAACCCCTTCTCACCTCCGACGGCCAACTTCGCATCGTACGGATCGCAACCAATTCCTCCGCAAATCAATCCATCTGCCATGACGACTTACGTCCTTGCCGCGGAGATAGACGATTACGGTGAGCAACAGCACTCAGGTGACGGATGGCACGTATCTGACGACCCGCTCAGAATCGGACGTGGAAGGTCAACTCCTTCCATTCTGATCGGGTCGAATGGTCGTCCATACCAACCTGTAGTGTACGCTGTATCGTCAGGAAGCCCACGCGTGAATATGATCCCAACTTACATGGACTCGGGAGCATCGGAGCATTGCATAGTGGATCGATCGCGCTTTGTCACATACGAATCGACCCCGGGCGTCGAGGGCACCACCGCGGTCAAGTCAGGAGGAAGATTCCAAGTTCGAGGGCGGGGGGACGTCGAGATGAATCTGCTACTGCAAAACGGAGAAGCACGACGAATAAGATTCCAAGCGGTACACACACCGGAATTCCAAATGAATCTGATCTCAATCCCTACCCTTGATGCGCGCGGACTACAAGGAGCGTGGGGGAACGGCGTGCTCAATGTGGTGAACAGGGACAGCGTCACGGTCATGGACGGTGTTCTTGCAACCAACCAGGGAGATCGGCGGCTGTACCGGGTGAACGTGACGGATGAGCAGCCGAGACCAACCGTAGCCATTGCCGGGAGGGACCGCAACCAGCCCACGACCTTGGAAAATTGGCATCGTCGCCTGGGACATTCCGATGTGAAGGTCATCCAGAGGATGGAGGCAAAGAATTTAGTAAACGGCCTGAATGTCGTGAATGGAGTGCTCACCGGAATGTGCCAAGATTGCATCCTGGGAAAGCAAGATCGGATGCCGTTCAACGATGAGGTACTTCATGAAACCGAGCCGCTGGAAAGGGTGCACCTTGATCTATGGGGAAAGTCAAGAACGCCGAGTTTCGGGGGGGCAATCTACCTGTTTCTGATATCGGATGGGGGGACGGGGATGAAGTTTCCGGTATTCATCACCAACAAGCGAAAGGAGACCGTTCTCGAAGCGTTCTCGACCTGGCTGGTGTCAGCTGAAGTGCAGACAGAACGGAAGCTGAAGGTCGTTCGCGTGGACCTCGGGAGCGAGTTCGACAACGACTTGTTCATGACGTTTTGCCGAGAGCGTGGAGTGACCGTCGAGCGAGTCCCAAAAGCGTCGTCGTCAGCGCATGGTCACGCGGAAAGGGGAAACCGTACGGTCATAGCGGGGGCGCGTACACAGCTCATCGAGTCCGGCCTCGACCCACGGTTCTGGGCAGAGTCAACGGCTGCACATTGCTACGTGCGAAGCTTCATCCCATCGGCGAGACACCCAGACTCAGTTCCGTGGATACGCTGGTTCCAAAAGCGGGACGCGGACGGGAACCTGGTCAAGCCTAACGTGTCGCACTTGCGGGTCTGGGGAAGTATATGCTGGGTGAAAGACCTGGACGATATCGAAGGCAAACTGGGTCGCCAGGGCTGGGAGGGTCGAATGGTAGGATATATGGGACAACGAGGCTACCGGATATACGACCCGAAGCGCCTAAAGGTATTCGAAGTGCGAAATGTTATCTTCGAAGAAGGGGACGCACATCGAACCAGAGGCGCAACGGGATGGACCAACGGCGAAGATATCCTATCAAGCGAAGAAACCCCCCAGGTGCACGAACAAGTCAGAGACGCGACACTGGAAACAACAAGCGAACCGTCGATCAGAGGCCAGACATCGGGCGAGGCAGCCGAGCGTGCGGAGCCAGAAATAGCGACACGACCAACGCAAATGGAGGTACCAGAGCTGCCGCGGCGGAGCGGACGTATCCCAAAGCCCAGCCGAGCCGTTTTGGAGTCGCAAATGTCAGGACGTATCGAGGAAGAAGCCCGGATTGCAGGAGAAGACTGGGCCAGAGACGCTGTGAGACCGTCAGCAAACTGGGTCAATATTGGTGATGTATACGAAGAGGAGGACGTGTATGCGCTGGCGGGAGTAACAAAAGGGACATTACCGAGGAGTGGAAACGAGGCGATGAAAGACCCGTTATGGCGAGAACCGATGGCGGCAGAGATGAGACAGATGGACGAGAAAAGGGTGTGGAGTTTGGTGGACCTCCCAGAAGGAGAGCGGGCAATAGACGGGATGTGGGTGTTCGACCGAAAGCTGGACGGTGAGGGAAACGAGATTAAACGAAAAGCAAGATACGTCGCGCGGGGAGATCAAATGATAGAGGGACGGGACTTTGGGACGAAGTGGGCGATGGTAGCGAGAATGGAGTCCGTGCGAATGGTCTTTGCGGTGGCGGCAGTAAATCGGCTTCACGTGCGACAGTGGGACTTCTCGGGAGCGTATTTGAATGGCACGATGGACCGACCTGTCTTCATGAAACAACCGAGGGGATTCGAGAAGAAGGGGGAGGAAGACAAAGTATGCCTTCTTCTCAGACCCATCTACGGATTAGTGCAAGCGGGGCATATATGGTACAAGACCCTGGCGGCAGGCTACAAGCAGCTGAACTTCCACGAGAACGCAGCGGACCCATGCGTCAGGACACGAAAAATCGGTGACAGTTATACTGTGACAAGCACACACACTGATGATGTAATCGGGGCCTCATCCACAGACGTGGAAAGCAAACGGGTGGTCGAGGAATTCGCGCGGATATGGGATTTGAAGGAGGTAGACGTGAACCTCTTGCTGGGTCTAACTGTCGAGAAACTCCCAGATGGATCAATATCAGTATGTCAACACCAATACTTTGACAAGGTGCTCGATCATTTTGGCTTCTCGGATCTACCCCCGCTGTCAACCCCACTTCCGCCCGGCTATCAAGTCCGCGCATCGACATCCCCGCTATCCCCTGCAGACGCGGAATTCATGGCGAACAAACCGTTTCGACAGATCTTGGGGTCAATTGTGTGGGGGAGCAGTGGTACCCGACCAGACCTCACATACGCCTGCTGTGCGCTTGGACATGTACAAGCCAACCCAAACCCCGAACATTGGTTGCTTCTCATTGGCGTATTACGGTACATTCGGGGAACTATGGACTACGGCATCAAGTACTCCCCCAACGCCGTTGGGGACGGATCCGGGTTGAAGCCGATGGGGTACGTGGATTCGGATTGGGCCGGGTGCGTGGATACCCGTCGGTCTACCGCGGGGTATATCTTCTTCATGGGTGGAGCCCCAGTAGCGTGGTCGTCGAAACATCAAGCAGTGGTGGCACTATCCTCGACCGAGGCCGAGTATATCTCGCTAGCGCGCGCGTCCCAGCAAGCCATTTGGATGAAGAATTGGATGGCGGAAGTGTCGCTACCTCAAGAGCTTCCGTTGAAGATCCTGGGCGACAACCTTGGTTCGATCAGCCTCACGGAGACCACGAAGGGCCACGGACTTGCCAAGCACATCGATATCCGATACCATTATATTCGGGATCGTGTCAGCGAGGGGGAGATCAATGTCGCGTCCGTTCCGGGGAAATCGAATGTTGCCGACATCATGACGAAGGCACTCGGGAAAGCCGACCACGAGAGGATATGCCATGCGCTCGGGCTCGACTGGAGGAGGTCTGACCGCCAGGGGGAGTGTTGAGCATCTGAGTTGATGTGGGCGATCAGACGTGATCGGATGTTGGGGGTTGTTGTGGACGTCTCACCCCCTATAAGTTTTTCAGGATCGTTTACCGCTCCTCAGTCTTACCATCATTACGGTGCGACTGAGGGTGCGTGTATCATTCCTTCTGCCTTATCTATTTACTTACAGTACTTGTAGACTTACGTATTCCGATTGTCTACAGGTACAGAATAGAGTCTTACCATCATTACGGTGCGACTGAGGACTTACGTATTCCGATTGTCTACAAGTAGACGTGGTCGACGGGATGGATGGAAAGACACCAACGGTGGCAATTGCGGGACGCGACCGGAAACAACCCACGTCTCTACAGAACTGGCACCGCCGCCTGGGACATTCAGACGTGAAGACCATCCAACGAATGGAGTCTAAAGGGTTGGTCAGCGGGTTGGACGTTCTTGGAAAGAAAATCGTGGGGATGTGCCGAGATTGCATCCTTGGCAAGCAAGACCAAATGCCATTTGACAATGTGGTGACCCATGAAACCGAGCCTCTCGAGAGAGTCCACTTGGACCTATGGGGAAAAGCAAGAACGCCTAGCTTCGGAAATGCAATATACTTGCTTTTGATCTCAGACGGGGGATCAGGCATGAAGTTTCCAGTCTTCCTGACAAACAAACAGAAGGAGACAGTGTTGCAAGCGTTTGTGACATGGGTGGTTGAGGCCGAGGTGCAGACCGAACGGAAGCTGAAGGTGGTCCGCGTTGATCTTGGGAGCGAATTTGACAACGATGTCTTCATGGAATTCTGCCGCAACCGAGGAGTCGCCATGGAGAGAGTACCTAAGGCGTTGTCATCAGCACACGGACACGCAGAGCGGGGAAACCGGACAGTCATCGCGGGTGCTCAGACACAATTGATTGAATCGGGACTCGACCCAAGATTCTGGGCGGAGTCAACGGCCGCACATTGCTACGTCCGAAGCTTCGTACCATCGGCGAGGCACCCAGACTCGATCCCATGGATACGGTGGTTCCAAAAGAGGAGTGAGAACGGCAAACCGGTCAAGCCAAATATATCGCACCTGCGGGTATGGGGAAGCACATGCTGGGTCAAGGACCTTGACGACAGCGAAGGGAAGCTGGGGCGGCAAAGCTGGGAAGGTCGCATGGTGGGGTACATGGGCAGGCGGGGATACCGCATATACGACCCACGCTGAATGAGGGTCTTCGAGGTCCAGAACGTTATCTTCGAGGAGGGCAAACCCCACTGAACGCAAGCAAATCCTGGCCACAAGGACGGTGAGGGCATACTGAACCATGATGAGGAAATAGTTGCTTCCCTGTCTGATTGGTACACCGGAGGCGATGAAAGTCAAGTCGAACGACAAGCGACCATGGAAGAACGCCAGGACAAGGAAAATCAAGACCTCACACCCCAAGCGACAGTGCCCGAGTTACCGAGACGCAGCGGACGAGTGCCTAAGCCCAGTTGTGCTGTCCTGGAATCGCAAGTGTCAAATCAAGTCAAGGAGGAAGCACGCAGGGCGGGGGAAGATTGGGCCAAAGATTCTATCCGGCCGTCAGTCAACTGCGTAGACATGCAGAACGATTCCTACTGTGGCGAAGACATGGCAATTCCGTTGATACTCGCTGGAGTGACAAAAGGAGAGTTGCCAAGGAGCGGCAGCGAGGCGATGGACGACAGAGCGTGGAGAGAGGCAATGAGGGTGGAGATGAAACAGATGGAAGACAAGGGTGTGTGGAAGCTTGTGGATTTGCCGACGGGGGAACGTGCGATTGACAGGATGTGGGTTTTTGATCGAAAATTGGACGGTGAGGGAAATGAAATCAAACAAAAGGCGCGCTATGTGGCAAGAGGCAATCAGATGGTGGAAGGTTGGGACTTCGGGACAAAATGGGCAATGGTGGCAAGGATGGAGTCTGTGTGGATGGTGTTCGCGGTGGCAGCGGTGAAGAAGTTACATGTCAGACAGTGGGATTTTTCAGGTGCTTACCTCAACGGAACGATGGACCGGGCTGTCTACATGAAACAGCCACGGGGGTTTGAGGAGAAGGGGGAAGAAGGCAAGGTATGCCTTCTCCTCAGACCCATATACGGGCTTGTGCAAGCGGGGCACATCTGGTACAAAACGTTGGCGGAAGGATACAAGCGCCTGCAATACCACAAGAACACCGTGGATCCATGCGTGCGGACAAGGATGAACGGTGACGCTTACACATTAACGAGTATGCATACTGATGATGTCATTGGTGTGTCGTCAATGGAGGAGGAGAGCAAGCGCGTGGTGACCGAGTTTGCGAACATATGGGACCTCAAGGAAGTTGACGTTAATCTTCTCCTCAGCCTAACGGTGGAAAAGCTCGCGGACGGATTAATATCAATATGTCAACGTCAATATTTTGACAAGGTCCTCGATCACTTTGGATTCGCCGATCTTCCCCCGCTATCAACCCCGCTTCCCCCCGGATATCAGATCCGCGCATCACCAACCCCGCTTGCCCCTGCTGATGCGGAATTCATGGCCAACAAACCATTTCGACAAATCCTTGGGTCAATTGTATGGGCAAGTGCGGGCACAAGACCAGACTTATCATACACGTGCTGTGTGCTAGGACACGTACAGGCCAACCCAGGCCCGGATCACTGGTGGCTTCTGATTGGCGTCCTCCGATACATCCGCGGAACTCTGGACTACGGCCTTTGATACCGACCAGGCTCCATCGGGCATGGCTCTGGGCTCAAGCCAATCGGATATGTGGACTTGGACTGGGCGGGATGTATCGACACACGGAGATTGACTGGTGGATACATCTTCTTTATGGGAGGTGCGCCCATTGCGTGGTCGTCAAAAAGGCAAGCGGTAGTTGCGCTCTCGACAACGGAAGCCAAATACATATCCTTGGCACGGGCATCCCAGCAATCAATGTGGATGAAGCACTGGTTGGACAAAATCTCGATGCCCCAATCACTACCTTTCGAACTGCGTGGCGACAACTTAGGATCAATCAGCCTGACCGAGATGACCAAAGGGCACGGGCTAGCGAAACACATCGACATACGGTACCACTACATTCGGGAGCGTGTGAGCCAGGGGGAGATTGCCGTGGGATCAGTTCCGGGGAAAGCAAACGTTGCCGACATCATGACCAAAGCACTTGGAAGATCTGATCACGAACAAATCTGCCACGCGCTGGGACTCAATTGGAGGAGATCTGAACGCCAGGGGGAGTGTTGAGATCCCATATTGGGCGTGTAGGCATTCAGGTGTTGGGATCTGTTTGCCCCGATCGTTTTCTGACACCTATATAAGTTTTTCCAATTGTAACGTACCCTCAGTCTTACCACTTGCTAAGGTCGGACTGAGGGTACGTCCGTGTCATCTATTACTATCCCATGGTACTTACATTACTTAGACTTACGTATCGATCCGTCGTCTACAGGTAATCAAAGAGTCTTACCACTTGTTGAGCACTGGGGAGAGCGTCTAGCAGCTCACCTGTGTGAGTGAGAGCTTAGTGTGGGCACTATGCGGGAGTAGTCAAGAGACTTGTATTAAAGGGTAATAGAGCCCTCCTTATATATGATACAGGGGGCCGTTTGTGTCTATTTAGGACGAGTCGATATGACTCTAGATGACACGTGATGGAGTCATAGATGTGTATCACGACATCCATCTTGACAGATGATATTTGATCAACACTCCCCCACGCTGAAAACCACGGGATAGTGTTTGAAAGCGAAATCTTCATCGGCCATTCCTTCAGGACGAGTTGAACTCAAGTCCTAGTTGAGATCTGAACTTCTCAAACTTGACGCGTCCTAGGTTCTTGGTGAACATATCTGCAGGATTCTCACTGCCCGGAATAAAGAACAGTTCAACCTCTTCTTCCTCGACTCGCTCACGGATGTAGTGATAGCGGATGTCTATGTGTTTCATCCTGCGGTCTCGGTAGGCATTGCTGCCACTGAAGAGTGCACCCTGATTGTCACCGCAAATGGGTACTGGGATGGTGAGCTTGAACTGGAGTTCCAAAAGGACGCTCTTCAGCCACATCACCTGGCGACTACAATCTGAAATCGCCATGTACTCTGCTTTGGTCAAAGACTGTGCAACAGTGCGCTGAAGTCTAGACTGCCAGCAAATAATCCCGTCTGCCAATTTCGTGAAGAAACCAGTGGTAGACCTCCTCTTGATTGGATCAGCAGCCCAGTCTGAATCGCTAAATGCAATTAGCCCTCTATCCGTCGCACCATTAAAAATGAGCGAATAATTCCTAGTACTGTCAGGGGAACCCCTGCTTTCGTCCGATCATCATGGGATCTCGCATGTGACCGCGCACGTGCCATCTGTCAAGCGTCACATGCTTCGGTCCGGACTTCCCTGCCAAGCGCGTCCACATGACACTCCGGCCCGCACCCCCATTGTTCCGACGGTCCGGCTCCCATTGTTCCCCCCGATCCGGCCCCTCATTGTTCCCTGGCCCCATTGTCTGGCGCTTCCATTGTGCTTCGTCATCCATTGTTCTGTAGGCTATATATAGTGGGCCCTGACAAGGAGAGTCCCCAACTCGGTTTCTCTTTGGACTCTCCCTTGTCAGGTTTGCCAGTCTCCTGTACTAGTCGATCCCCTTATCTGACGCTTTGGACTCTCCCTTGTCAGGACTCTGAGATCGGGCCTCGAGGTTGCCCTTACAAGTACCAGCCAAATAGCAGCAGATATACAGCGCTTTATGGAGGTGGTCTTGGGACGGATTGGCGGCAAATTGTGACAATTTGGTCACAGCAAATGCAATGTCAGGACGTGTGCCTAGCATGATGAAGAGAAGAGATCCAATGACTGATTGGAATTTCTTCCTGAGCTCCGGATCAACTTCATCCTCATTTGGCATCGGAACATATCCAGCCGGTAGAGGGGTTGCTGCGAACTTGGCGTTCTGCATCCCAAAGCGCTCTAGCACCTTGTCAAGATAGGGAATCTGATCAATCTTGATCGAAGATCCTACTCTACTGAGGCGTACGCGCAAGAACTCTGGAGTATCTTCAGAATTGCGGCATTCCCATTGCTTATTGAACTCAGCCTTGAGAAAGGCGAGGAGCTTCTTGTTCTTGGAGAAGAACAGAGCATCATCCACATAGACTATTATGACGGCTATGCTGCCCTCAGAGTCCTTGTAGAAGAACACGCCGGCATCCGATGTCAGTCGGATCCAGCCCATGGCTTTCATGGACTTGGTCAGTGCTTTCCACCATGCTAAAGCAGCTTGTTTGAGTCCATAGATTGCCTTGTGCAAGCGCATGACTTTGCGCTCTTGGCCTCTCGCCACGCAGCCTTCGGGTTGTTCCATGTAGACCTCTTCGTCAAGCTCTCCATAGAGAAAAGCCTTACTGACATTGAGTCCAGACCAATGCCAATCATTTAGCGCTGCAAGCGCCATGACTAACCGGAATGTCTCATACCTGACAACAGGAGAGAATATCTTGTCATAGTCAACACCTTCGACTTGACTGAAACCCTTGGCAACTAGGCGGGCACGTTTTCGGCCATTGTCAGGGGAACCCCCGCTTCGGACCGCTCTGCCTTTGATCAGGCATGTGATTGCGCTCGCGTGACCTGTCAGCTGTCACGTGCTGCGGCCCGGACTGCTGCGCCAAGCGCTTCTCCTTGATGGGCACATGGTCAGGTGCCCCATTGTTCCTATTGTCTCCGCTCCCATTGTTCTGTCATGGCCGTTGTACTTATTGTCCCCATTGTTCTTTGTTTGTTGCTGCGCGCTCCATTGTTCTTGTATCATATAAATAGTGGCGCCTGGCAAGGAGAATCCCCAACACGGTTTCTCTTTGGATTCTCCCTTGCCAGGTATGCTGGTCTTGTACCTAGCTACCCACTATTAATCATCTTTGGATTCTCCCTTGCCAGAACTCTGAGATCGGGTCTCGAGGTTGCCCTTACAGCCATCAGATTTTTGGTCAAAGACCCAGCGACATCTGATAACCTTCCATCCTTTTGGACGGTCCACAAGGGAATAGACCTTGCGCTGACGAAGTGCCTCTAACTCGTCGCGGCAAGCATCAATCCAACCTTTCTGTTGTTCAGAAGGTAACCGCTTGATATCGCGGAACGTCCAATCGCGAATTTTGGACGTATCAGGTAGGTTCTCATTTGGAACCGCTTTTGACAGCAGCACCGTGATGAGCTCTACTCCCCCTTCCTGGCATAGCTTCTCCATACGTGCATCCTCGTCTAGATCATCAGAAGCACCCGCGTTTGAGGAATCTGGTTGCGAGCTAGGGCCGGGAACCCCTGCATCAGCACCGGTTGATGGTTGAGATTGGGAGCTACCCTTATCTTCACCAACATACCGCTTCCATCCTCTGCTGTTCTGAATGTCACGGACTATATCCGTAGGGGTACGCTTTTCCCCATAGACGTTTCCTGGACGTGTAGGCACATTCCGCTGGCGTGAAGACCTTCGAGGCTCGGGAGCTGGTGAAGCTTCCCGACTTGGTCGTGGAATTCTACTTCTACGAGTCCTCTGAGGTTCATCCCGACACTCTGGCGGTGGGTCCTGACGATTATGACCGTTGTCACCATCATCATTTCCTCGTACGGGAGGTGGCGGAGCCGGATCGGATGGCATGGGGAATGGAAAAGGATTATCTCCATATAGCCAATCTTCTCCATCTACCTGTGGTGGATCTTGTGGATTCACTGGGTCATCACGTTCTGGAAATTCCTCTCCAACAGGAACGTGGGGTGGTCGATTGCTGTCAGGACAGCGGGGGAACAACTCCTCATCGAACAATGCCTTGGTGGCGACGAACGTGGAATTGTTTGTGCGCATGAATAAAAATCCTTTCACACCATCAGGAATGCCCAAGTAGGTCATCAGCTCCGATTTGGGCGATAACTTATTGGCGTGCTTCTCATCAGGGATAAAGACATATGCAGCACAACCAAAGACTCGGAGTTCGGAAACATCCGGTTTTTCCTTGTGAAGGGCTTCAAATGGAGTTTTCCATTTTAGACGCCTGATAGGTGTCATGTTGTAGATCCGTGTCGCATGTTTTATCGCGAATTCCCAATAAGAATTAGGAAGACAGGCAGTGAAGCGCATGGCTTCTGCCTTATCCATGATCGTACGATTGAAGCGCTCGGCATGCCCATTCTGCTGGTGAGCATATGGAGCACCCTTCTCCACTAGAATTCCTTGTTCCGCGAGAAATTCTTCCATTCCCATCCCCATGAATTCTCCCCCATTGTCAATATGCCACTTTTTGATGGTGACATTGAACTGGTTTTTGACCATCACAATGAAATTGCGCATAGCCTGCTTGGCGTCGGATTTCTGCGCAAGGCATACTGTCCAGCCATAGGAGAGTGCTTCGTCGAAGAAGCTCATGAAGTAACGGTACTTGTGATAAGAAACCGTGGGAAATTGTTTGAGATCCAAGTGGATCAAATCAAACGGATTCTCCGCTCGTTTTTCGGAAGGCGGGAAGGCACGTTGGTGCATTTTCCCTTGCGTGCATCCTTTACACGGTCGGGTTTCCTCAGGAAATACTAGGTCTTCTGGAAAGCCCTTGGTATTCTTCTTTGCCTGACGTAAAACGTCTTTTGACGGATGTGCAAATCGCCGGTGCATAATCTCATAATCCACCTTGTAAACAGTGGACATGGATCGCACTGTCTCAGCCGTACTAGGCTTTGACATCAGGAAGTACAAGGCAATGTCCTTCCCTAGAGTTCTAAACTCCATGATCGAGAGTGGGGACTTCCCTCGATGTAAGCTGATCCGCGATTCGTCTCCACGAACGCGAGATCCTCCTTTGAGTAAGGAGCCCAAAGACATGAGACGACCATGTAATCCTGGCACTAGGTACACTGGATATATCTGAGAAGTCACCATAGTCTTTTCTCCATGCCTTGTGACATAATGATTGATGAAGGCTGTTCCTCGACCAATAAGGGCAACACGTGTGTTCTTATCAGCAGTCTGAGCAACAATAGGATCTGAGAGCTTCTCATATCCGACCAGATCACTAATCTCCAATGTCACATGGAGAGATGCACCAGAATCAAGAAGCCATAGAGGCCCTAATTCATGATGGTGATGATGTTTCCCCTTACACTTAGAGCAGGCAGCAAAATCGGAGTGCACACAGAATAGATTGGTACAAAAATCATGTGATTGAATCATCAACGAATTAAGTACAGAACCCGGGGCGGCGGTGATTACGCACTCTGGCTGTGAGCAACAATCAGAATTGTGCATATGCCTAAGAAGGCAGGGTACTTGCCTTTCGGCGGAAGGAGCGTCCATCTCCTTCATAAGGGCGTTGAAGTCGACGACCTCATCCCAATTGACGGGTTCAGCCTGGGCGAACTTGCTATCTCCAAACAGAAGATCAAGATTGTTCTGTTGGCCGGTGGCCATCTCGACGTCGGGGATCTCCTCAATACGACTGCGTTTTGCAGGAGGACCACCATCCAGGGTGTGATTCGAGCCGGAAGCAACCGGAGATGGAGAACGCATGATTGCGTCCTCGCGGAGCATTCCTTTCTCATTGACAATCTTGTCAAGAGTCCGGAAGCGTTCTGCGGTCACCGTCACGTCCATCTTCTTGGCCAGCTCGAAGACCTTACGAGTAGGCTTCTGGAACTCGGTGTCAATAATCCCATTGTTGTTAACGGGAGACTTCTCTTGAACCACGCGGATTTTGGGTCCACCGCAAGAGATGTGCGTGACATGCGAGATTGTCGGCGCAGGGATAGACGGAGTGAGAGAGGCGATCGAACCAATAGTGAGGGAGCCAGTGATCTCGGAGACTCCATGGACATGACTGTGATCAGCCTTGCCCTTGCCCTTGTTGTCCTTGTTCTTCCCACTGTGCTTGCCTCAACGGTTCTTCTTCTTTCCATCAGCCTTATCACCCTTATCGGGTGCAGAGCCAGAGCCCCGTTGCTGATTGGTGAACGAAGGGTCATCGCGCTTGCGCTTGGTATTGAACTTGGCCACATGATTCTGGCTTTGTGACTGCTTCTGAGCAAAATGCGTCAAGAGAGCGTCGCGAACCACCGAGACTTTGATCTCGTCCTTGTCGTAAGTCTGCAGAACAGTCTCCGTGACAGAGGGAATCCAAGCTATATTGAGAATGATTATCGCTCTGAGGAACTCAGGGATGCTCAAAGACTCATTCTCCAGGCGAGTGAACGCCGTAGTGATCACCAGCAGCTGTGGATCCGGGTGCAACCCCACGTTGTACTTGGCGTTCAACGCGGTTTGGAAGTACGCGTACAGGTCGGCGCACTGAGCACCACCATATTGGGTCTTGAGATGCTCCCAGATCTTGGCAGCTGACACTATATCCGCAGGAGGAATGTTAGCAATGACTCCTTCAGTCAGGCACAACTTAATGCTGCCTTTGGCTCTGAGATCATCATGCTTCCATTGTCTGATCTCCAATGAGTTGGACACAGAGCCATCCGTAGCTTTGACTTCGGTCGGCACGGTTTCGGTCAGCACATATGAGATCCCCTGATGCTCCAGGTAGGACTCCATAGTTCCGGACCAGACAAGCCAGTGCTTTCCATCAAAGATGGAGACAGCATTGAAGATGTTGTTGGAGTTGGACAACATGTTAGATCTGTGTGAGTGATCAGCATCAATCTAATCTGATAGATTAAATCAAAGATAAAGATGATCAGATCCTCATAGATCATAATCTCCTTTAGAGATCGATGCATCTGGATCAAGCAATGTAATCGCGATCCGGCATGGTTTCACCAGCGCTATGCAGCAGCTGAAGTGAATACAGATAGGCTAAAGACGCTGCTCATTGTTGCAGCCAGTGATGGCACATACAATGAATGTCGCGGCCACTGAGGCGCAGACATAGCTCTCAGGGCCCATAACCTGTTGAGCACTGGGGAGAGCGTCTAGCAGCTCACCTGTGTGAGTGAGAGCTTAGTGTGGGCACTATGCGGGAGTAGTCAAGAGACTTGTATTAAAGGGTAATAGAGCCCTCCTTATATATGATACAGGGGGCCGTTTGTGTCTATTTAGGACGAGTCGATATGACTCTAGATGACACGTGATGGAGTCATAGATGTGTATCACGACATCCATCTTGACAGATGATATTTGATCAACACCACTTGCTAAGGTCGGACTGAGGACTTACGTATCGATCCGTCGTCTACAGCTTAGTAAAGTCCTGTACAACTGCATAGTAGCTACGCTATCTAAGATCAGTTGCCTTTTAGAGTAATGAAAAGTTGGACAATCGGACAGGTCCTGAGTGATCAGGACCCCGCCCCATAGTCCATATGGTACTTTTGATGTGGGTCAACTCACTGCGTCATACTTTTGGAATACAACGTGCTGGATTGGCCAACTGGTATGTCTTGGCAGGTGAGTCCAACATGGGTGCCCCAAGAAGCCGTATGGTCCTAGGCACGCCAGACATTCCTCACATGGTTCGGTTCACGGATCTAGCCCGTGTCGCTTTTGAGTGTGTTTGGGTATGGGCGCGACTTGCCGTGACACTTTGGAAATGTCACCATGACATGTCCACAATGTCCCGTGATCGAATGGATCCTGACATGTGACAAGTCGTCACTGTGGCATGATCTGGGGAAACGTCGAACCCAAAACCAGGAGTTGCCGCGACAAGATTGGTTCAATCTCATAACGTCAAGTCCTGTCCAGTAATAGTTGTATTATTGAGAACGTCGCGCATTGCTCAGCCCTTCAGCCTGAGCTCCCATCTGCAGAGAATGACCCTTTTGAGAAGTTGCCGCAACAAAAGATCCCTTTTGGGGAATTGTCGCAGTCCAAGCGTTCGTCACTAATAGCCCTGAGCCTGGTGTAGACTCATAAGGCCAATTCCACAGTAGTGGTCTGACTGCCTTGCTATCGTTGACACTATCCACAGTTGTCAACTGGGCAGTAGACCCTTAAGCCCTACTGAGCGCAACACTGTCAACCGCAACACAATACACCAAATGGTTTGAGAGTAAACTCTGTAAAAGGGCAAAAATATGCCCTTACAGAGCTGGTGCGGAGCGCGTCTGGTAGCCAGCCTATCAGCGTCTTCCGCGGAAAAAAAATAAGTCCCCCCTGCAGTGAGGTGCATATGCTCAGAATTCTCAAGTCAAGGACCATTCATCGTCCCAAAACGCTAAGTCAGAATAACCCTTGTGATCGAAATTGATTTCCCACCAAGAGGCCGGATTCTACACCAGTCGCTATGCGGTAGCCCCCGTTGTTTTTTGTTGATCGCCGCACGTGATACCGCGGAGCCCTGGTTCGAGTGAATCGAGTCTACACATTGACAGATATATATTTGAAATTTTCAACACAACCTCTTGGAAAGTCCCAGGCTCCCATAGAATCACTTCTTGGACGCTTATAGCCCCAGTAAATCGCGGATGGATCAACAAAACCCATCAATGTCCCGTGCGGATGCTCGAGGATCATTGCGAGCCAAATGATGTCATCAAGGACATCACCGGGCAGCACTTCCCTTTTGTTTTTCTGGATCCCAAGTCGAAGAATTTCGGAGCCTTCGTGAGGACTTCTTCCGCATCCCGCATCGAACCAAATGCCAGGTGGCATGCACGGATAATTCTCGTGTCTCGTCTTTGTCATGACTTATTATGTTGTCACATGGCTTCGTCAAGTTCCGTGCGTATCGTTGAGCTGTTACAGGAAGAGTTTCGATGCATATAAGCGGTTCCAGTACGCGACCGCGTCTGTTCTGGGTTGATGGCGGTTGGTGCACAACAGGCGTGCTTCTGTGGTCGAAATTGATCGCAGTCGATCGCTTCGGCTTTCCACGGTCATATCTGCAGAAATCCCATCACGCTGGACGTGTGGGGCTGCCCCGATCCTCGTACGAAGGACTATTCTGCCATGTATAGTAAGAATCACTCCAGGTGAGTACTATTTTAAGCGCGTTAAGGACCTGCGTACTTACTATATGTGGAATGGGCATCAATGCGCAGCCAAGTGATGGGTTCAGGTTTGACTTCGAATTTTGAGCCTGCAGTCGTCTGGACTCCGTTACTAATTCTGTTTTACATGCAGTCATTGGCGAAGAGTATATATTCGAAGCCGTAATGAGTATTCGTCCCCTCAACAGAGCACTGTTCGACTTTCCATCTCTCATGCCTGCCCCTCTGTCCACTTCCCACCAGACGCTGCATGAGGATCTCCTCAAGGAGCAACTGACGGAAAAATCTGAAGGCAGCTTGACCCCGACTCACACCGGAACCGCAACAGTAGACGATCCGTTTCTCGTCAAGCTCGATCCGTCCGAGGATCCGCTGCAATTCTCAACGTTCAGAAAATGGGTAGTTGTCGCGATCATTTCGTCGGCATCGCTGTGTGTGACATGTTCGTCGTCGATGGTGGGTCCATCTCACTCTACTCCTACCTCAATTCACTCTGGCCGCGGTAGGCCTCGTTCACCGAACAACCGATTGCCAAAGAATTTCACGTATCTCGGGAGTCTACCGTCCTCATGATCAGTCTGTTCGTGCTCGGGCTTGGGACCGGACCTTTGATTACCGGACCATTCTCGGAGGTAAGCAATGTGCGCGAAACGTGGTACACCAACCGATCCTTTGCGTGTCTAGGTTTACGGGCGTTCGATCATTTACAAAGTGTCTTACGCGTTATTCGTTTTGTTCTGTGTTCCGGTGGTCTTTGCGCCAAATTTGGGTACGTCTTCATTGTTTAGCTTCACAGTATACTAAACGCTCGTGTCACAGGTGTCGCCCTAACGTTTCGTTTCCTACTTGGTGCGACTGGAGCGTCTTTCCTCAGTGTTGCCGGAGGAAGTATGGCAGACTTGTTCTCCGGGTCGCAAGTTCGATTGTCAGTCGGATTCGCCAAAGCAATTGTGTCTGTCCCACGCTAACTGTTGCCCCTAGGCCCATCGCAGTTTATACTATGTTTCCGGTGAGCAAGATCTCTCTTTAAAGCCCCCGAAGGCCGTTATGTACTGAAGATCTACAGTTCTTGGGCCCAGGTCTGTCCACAATCAGAAAGTTGGTGTTCGTGCTGATTATGCCCAGTCTTGGGACCATCGGTGTCTGGTTTCATCAATCAGGTCCGTGGCTGTTTTGTTATGAGAAATGTTTTCCCTCATTCACGACTACCAGCATCTATACTGGAGATGGACGTATCGGATTTTGCTTATTTGGAGCTTTGTTGAAGTTGTTGCCATTTTCCTGGTTTGTTCTTATCTTCATGCACCATATCACCCCATTAAAACCCTCGATGCAGTTTGTACCAGAGTCGTATTCCCCCGTCCTTCTGCAAAGAAAGTCGCGCCGGTACGAGACTTGGCTTCTGGCCATCCATTTGCTAAACACCAGCAGACTTCGCAAAGAGACAGGCGATGAGCGATACTGGGCGCCACTTGACCGCCGTGAAATAAATCTCACTCGGTCGCTCCTACTCAGTTGCTCTGTTCCATTCAGTATGGTCTCTTCACTCCCTTTTCACAAAATTAAGCGTGTTCTTTAGAGCTTCTGATATTCGACAGAATGGCCCTTCTGCTCAATACCTGGTCTGCCCGTCCCTTTGGCGTAGCTGCGCAATGCTGACAGCTCTGTCATCAGGACTGCTCTGATTCTCGGAATCTTGTACCTGATGTTCCAGGCCTTCCCGCTTATATTCGAGCAAGGGCATCATTTTAACGCTCAGAGCGCCGGCCTCACGTTTATGGGCATTGGCATCGGCATGATCGTGGGTCTCAGCACGCAGCCACTCTGGGACAGGCAAGCCTCAGTCAAGCTTTCGCGTCTAGTGTATTGTCTAAACGCGCGTGCAGACACCATGCTAAAGCGGCCGCAGCCAATGGGGGCACGGCACCTCCGGAGACATTCCTCGTGATGGGACAGGTCGGGGGAATAATGGTTCCGCTCTGTGAGTCCAGTTCCCTGACTGTCTACGACAACTCAACTCTAGCTCAGCTTTGTATTGGTTCGCATTCACGACATATCCGCGCGTGCATTGGGTTGTGCCCATTATCGCCTCGATTCCCTTTGGCACAGGGACCTTCTTCGTGTTCACGGCAACGTTCACGTATCTTGTCACTGTAGGTCCATATCCTGGTGTCTCTTATGTGGTTTGATGTGCATTGGCAGTCGTATCGTCCGATTGCGGCCAGTGCCATGGCCGCAAACAGTGCTCTCCGCTCGAGTTTTGCTGCCGCCTTTCCGCTCTTTGCCGGCGCCATGTACAACAAACTGGGAACTGTTGGCGCATCCGCGCTTCTGGCGGGCCTGGCTACCATCATGGTGCCTCTCCCGTAAGTCACTCTTCACTTTTCCGTGACTGCATTTGTAATAGCCTCGCTACAGGTTCATTTTTTATCGCATGGGTCCTGAGTTGAGGGCCAAGTCTCGTTTCGCAATCTGAACCTACAGATCTATTGTCTCCTGGAATCCACAGCATCAGTAGAATGACAGTACGCTATAGATGACGCATTTCCAAACATGACTCCGGACCTTACAGTGTCTTATGCACAATCTGAAAACGGTTGCTTGAAGAAGAGCTGCTGTTGTTTGAAGGCACGGTACTAGACCATAATTCATTCCTCAGTGGAACTAGACAGTTGCGGAGGCGTGCGACGATCTTGAGAAATCTGGTCAAGAGTTACTCTGATCGTCGTTGGAAAACGCCACTATGTCCGCTTCTTCCCGCGCCACGGCAAAGGCGATCTTCACGGCAACTGCAAGACGTCGATCGCGATAATGTACCCAACTAGGTTTGACTTTAATTTCCAATCGCACGCAGGACGTCTCAGGTCCCACACAAAGTCAGCTCTCCGCGCTCTACGATGCGATCTGGAGCGCGTCTTGTTCTATCTCGTTATCTGACACTTGTGAACAGGACGAAGACTTGAGTGCAGATGCGCTGCAGGGTCTGTCCTTTGCTCCTTTACAAAGGTGGGTGCACATTTGAACCATCGATATCGCCTCTGAATTCAGTCCATTGGTGTATGGCCGTTCGACACGCTCGGTCTCAGTTCCGGCCCCCCGAATGATATGTGATGGGTACATTCAGTGCGTGCTAACCTTTCGGTCAGACGCCGATGTTGTCTGCTCTGGGGCGGAAAGCCACCACAGCTCGTAGACCAGCCACTGCCACCCTGTTTGCTGCCGTCAGCCAAGAGGCGTTCAGACGCAATTTCAAGCCGGTTCACACATCGCAATCAACTCGGATGTATTCCCATTGCACAACGTCTTTGCCTATGTCAGTAATCAGCACGCAGATCGCTTCATCCATTGAACCGTGTCCATAGGCTCGAGGTGCCTCGCTAACCAATGAGCTACGGCGGCCATCAGTCATGTGCTCGATTGAATCCATAAATATGACGTCACGCGCGGCGCATCGCGTCGAACCACACAATGGCTTTCTTTCCTGACATCCTCATCGGCGCCGCCCGACTGCCGCTTGTTGCAGTCGGGCTTCCGCTCGGGCTGGGCATGCTGAGCGGGTACCCCACAGCTCAAGTGGTCAAGGGCCCGTGGTACAATGCACGTGGGCTCCTCGCGTGTGAATCAACCCTAACGCCGCTGACCAGCTGAGGCCCACAGAACCTGAAGGTGCCCCCGGGTCGTCCACCGCGGTGGGTATTCCCCATCGTCTGGCCGGCGCTCTACGTCTGTGAGTCGTCGTCACATTGAGTTCGATGTCAATCCGCGAGTGACTTATTTACGGCCGCTACAGCGATGGGATACGCCTCGCACCTCATCGTCGGCGCACTCGATAACGCGCTCACGTCCACCGTCAGGTGCGTTCGAATGCACGGTCTGAGGTTGTCACCCCTTACTGATTCATAATATGCAGGTCCCAATGCCAGACGGCGCTGTGGCTTTACTACGGCCAACTAGCACTCAATTTGACGTGGACGCCGTTGTTCTTCGGCGCAAAACGGGTGAGGAGTGCCGTGCTGCAGTAACTGACGTGTGACTGATCCTGATTCGCCCTCGTAGACGGGTCTCGCCCTAGTCAACAGCGCACTGATGGCGGGGACGACGTTCTACCTGACCGTGAGTGCTGCCGGCTGCGTGACGGCAAGTGTAGGCTGACGGAGTTCATGTAGAACTTGGTTTCAGGAATTGCTCCAACCGCCAGCCAGCTTTTACTGCCGTACTGCGCCTGGCTCACGTTTGCCACATACCTGAACGCTGGAATTTGGTGGCTCAACGGGAGTGAGAAGCAAAAGACGCAGTGATGGATCTCTAGTGACAACCTCTGTCATCGTAGTGTATAATCAAAATGACCAAATACACTCCGAATGTATGTTTATCATGTCAAACAGTGTCCTGGACATAGTAACGACATGAAGATAAGAGTCCAACAGATCCCAAACGAGCGGTGGGGTGTACAATAATTGTAGTCTATTGATATTAGTACGAGAAGATCATAAGCCAAGGATTCAATACGATAGGAAGGAGAATGTGGCAACCAACGACCAGGGACAGAGGAATGTTCAGAGCCCAGTTCCACCCTGGAATCTGCCATTCGGCAGGGACGGCGCCAGTCGTGAAGACGATCATCATCACAATGGCGGCAAAACAGATGATGAAGGATAGCTTGAAGTTCTGCCATATGCGAGGTACTACGTCCGATGAGACACTGCGCGAGCAACATGGAATGATATGATAGATAGGACATACCTTCAATCCAGAATGTTGAGCGCTCCACTTCTTTACCCGTTGATCCCCACGTCCTGCGCAGGATGGTCAGCATTCCTGCTTCACAAGACATCGGACAGACGCACATGTCATAGGAGAAAAGATGGGCCAGGATGGCAGTCGACAGATGGATGCTTAGACCGCCAAAGAAGAACAGGCTGCAGATACGTCAGGGACAAGTCAAGATATGCGATGTCAAGCCATACAAGAACGGAACCCATCGCAGATTCTCGACTATCCCCGAGAAGAAGTTCCGGTGGCCGATGCGGTACTCGAGCAGCGTGAAGCCGAGGTTTCCGAGACCGGGGAAGACGACGGTGCATGCCAGCAGGATCTCGAAACTGTGCAGATAGAACCGATCGAGGTCAGGGCCTAACCCGAGCAAAAGATAGTTGAGAATGGAGCCAACAGTGGCTGCCGCAATGCCGTAGTACGAGAACATGTCTGCGAAGCCATGAGCAAGCGATCACGACCGAAGCCCTCGGGAACGCACAAGACATCATTCCCACTTTGTAGTGCACAGGCGCAGCCGACCACACGAATCCGCGCAGTTGCTTGCTGATGGGTCCCTTTCTCCACCACGTGATGAGCGGGTTGAAGATGATTTCGTCACAACCGTAAGCGTATTTCTGCCAGCGGGCAAGCTCGTCGACGACCGTGAGAGAGACTCCTTCCTTGAAGCCGCCCTCGGAGTAGGTGGCCCAGCGCAGGGTGTATCCACCGAGCAAGAGACGGAGCGCCTGATCAAAGTCCTCGGACACGTTGCTTTCCGACCAGTGGCACCTCTTGCCGTCCTCGTCGTCGAACGCGGCATCCTGAACGGCACTCCACCGGAGGAATGCATTATGACCGACGAACGGTGCGACTTCACCGTTCGCACATCCGTACGAGATACACCGATTGATCCGGCGAGTAAAATGCGTGATTCCGTTCTCGAAGTAATGGTGCGCTACCTGCATCACATCTGAAACGCGAGTGTTAATTTTCGGTCATGAGCAGATCGATCACACGGCACATACCCGACTCGTGCTGGATGATAGCGACGTCCGGGCTCTCGTACATCTCTCGCGCAGCATCGCGGAAACAATCCTCAGGCACGATGGTGTCTGCATCAATGATGAGAATGATCTCTCCCACCCGCAAGCTTTTGCCGTTGCACGCCCAGGGCCGGTGGCGACGACCGCTCTCCTCGTACATCTCCTCGACAGCCAGGTGCATAGCCTTGTCTTCGAGACATTCGCCGTCGTCCTCGGTGACCCCGGACGCCTCCAATGCTGCAAGATGCTTCTCCAATCGCAAAGAGAGCTCTGCAGGAAGCAAATGAGCGAAATCCCACAGCCGTGTCATCTTGCTTACGCAGTCCATAGTTCATGTTGCTGGCTTTCTTGAACTTCCCCTTGCGGAAGAAGCCGTCCTTATTATGGGCAGGACGAGCAGTCCATCTGTGCTCAAATGATCAGTGTTGGGTAACTTGCACACAGAAAAGCGAATTCACCCAATGTTATGGTTAGCATAGAATTCCATTCGCTCTTTGCGCAACTCTTCCGAGATGAGCTGCATCCCGTCATCGCAGATGAAGATTGACGACGTTCCACCTTGGCGCGCATACGTCTGCATCGCCTTTTTGATGGACAAAATGGACGGGCCACTACAGATGACGTGAGTCGACCAATGCACAGAGAACCCGGAACCGAGCCTACATAGTTTCTTTCAAGCTCTCCTTGTAGACAGGACATTGGATTGTGACGTGTGGCAGGTTGTTGTCGACCTCAGGGTTGGGCGCAGGCTTGACAGCAGAGTAGAAAGCTGAATTCTCGTGGTATTGGGCTACTGGACCAATGACGAGCGAGATGTTGCCGACGAGTTGGAGACAGAAGAACTGTAAGAGTGTCAGATGTGGCCGCTAAGATATGCGAAGAATGCTCACGATCGAAACACAGAAGATCACAGGCAGAGTCAACATCAAAGCGAATCGACGTGGGTCCCCATCGAGTGCATACTCTTCAAGCAGCACACTCACACCGGACATGACAAAGTCTGTGACAGTGGTCAGGCATTAACGCAAGAAGAGATGTTGACTTACAGGCAGCTAAGCCAGCACCGCAGCCCGCATAGAACGGTCCCATCATCACTAGTTTACGCTCTGTCTTGCCACCTTTCTCGGCATCGCCAGTCGTGGAGCTGCGGCTCGGTCGAGGCTTCAAACGCCAGAGACCAAAGAACTGAGAAAGCTTGCTTCCAGCGGCACGATCGGGCACCTGTTGCTCGGGCTTTTCAGTGTCAATGAAGCGGGATTCCTTGTCTATTTCGTTGAGATTGACGTTGCTCCCGACTCGGGTCTCGACAGCGACATCGGTGCTGGTCTCTGCGATGGACTCGGAGCTGCGAACAGGTTCGGCCGCGCCGCCGAAGATCGACGCCAAAACGGCTGGCGCAGCAATGCTGTCTCGGTTACGGGTCGTTTCGGACACGACACGCGTTTTCCAGACGTGCTTGATGAGCTTCTCCTCGAATTCAACGGCGAGGGGAATCAGCATCTCCACCTCCGGCGACCACAAGACGAGTGAGGGCGGGTTGCGCTGCGGGTTATTAGCCCGAGAACGTGCAGATGAACAACAACAGCTCACAATGAAAGCTCCGCATTGATCCTTCTCGGCACCGGGGAGGTCTACTAGCTTACGCAGCACCTGAATCCTAGTTTCGCTGTCTACGTCCAAAGAGAACACATTGTCAGGTCTGAAGTCCCGTCAGTCAGTCCTGCGAACGTCGCAGAACGCATAGGACCCACACTTTGGCCACAGCAGCGGTGATTGAAGCATTCCGGACGAGCACTGCCCCAGCGGGGTTCAGGCCTCGAACGGCAGACTCGAAGAGGACCAAGTGCGGCGCGTTGTACGGAAAGATACGAAACTCCGCTCCACCAGAAGCTACCAACTTTATCAGGCCCGCGGCCCCACGAGGGAGAAACCTTACTTTGATCACTTGCGGAGGCTGAACTGGATGACGAACTGCTTGCAGAAGGGAGGCCAATCGAACCGGTGCTTGCGGGTGCCGTGACTCGGATCGCTACCCCGCCGAGCGAGGCATCAGCGAGAGCGCCAGGGGCCGGGGCAAACCAGGCGTCTTGCTGAGTCTTCTCGTCTAGAATCGCCAACGTAAGCGCGGGAAAAGATTAGCGTTGGGAACACTAGAAGTCGCGGTGCGAACGAACATATGGAATGGAGCAGAGCGTCGACCTCGTCGTAGTCACTCGTCAGGATCGTCACTCCGCTGGCCACATTGAGCGCTTGCTGCATCCCGAGTCGGTGTCGCGCAACGTCGTTATCGTCGATCTCGATCCGCTCTACCTCCCGGCCCGAGTCCGTGTCTCGTTCGAGATCATCAGCGGAGGCATCCCACGGGTGAGAAACACCGAGCTGAGACCGAACATGGCGTCGCTGCGAGCTACCACTGGTCGAAACCTGGTGGTGGTGATGGTACGGGTTGTTCCTGCTAGCGCGGGCAGCAGCAGAGTAGTTGGCGGAACGAGGAGAAGCGGACGGCGTCGAAGAAACTGACGATGCGGGGGATCCGCCGTTGAGCGAATCAGCCGAATTGGGTCGCACCCCTCCGACGGTGCTGGCCGTAAAGGACAGATACGGTGTCGACATCTTCTTCTAAGCTTTCCGGCGACGATGACCAAACCAAGAAAGAGAAAAAAGAAAGAGTGGAAGGCGCACAGAGCAAGCTGCGCCGCGTCTGACGCCCGGATGTAGTCTAAGTATTCCGTGAAGACGTGAGGGGGGGCGAGGACAGCCTTTGTTCGCACCAGGAACAGAAGTCAGATATTGGGTGACCGAACAATGCTTCCTGTCCGGCCGGCACTCTGTTCGGCGTGGTGCAACGCAAGACAGGCATCGGCGAATCCGACAAGATCCAGCGATGCACGACAGCTTCTCTCTCGGCAGTTTACGAACCTGGGCGATGCTTCGCCGTGCCAATGTCGCGGTCCTGACGGATAGACTCAGGGAACAGCGTATGCAGGCGTGCAAAACATGATGTGTGATAGATGGACAGGTACCTGCTGTTGTGGGACGGAAAGAGATTGTCGAGGAGATTGCGTGGCCGACCGTGTCCAAAAGGTGCCTGTACGACGCGATCACGTGAACAATCCTCTTCGTGCTCAGCTGGACGCGTTTTACACGGGCCCCCTCGGACAAAATCTGAGAAATGAAATCAATAATTCTAAATATGCCGTACATATCCTTGTGCTCGCGCAAATCGTTCCCACTCAACTCACCCAAACCTGCCTTATCGGTCATGTAGGAAATATCCACGGGACCCGCTTGTCGGCAATGTCAAGCCGGGCGTGATTGTTTCAGGCCGCAAAGCATCCCCAATGATAATAAAGCTCGCTGTCCACAATCCTGTCTGGAATTTACCGAGAATCTCTGGACAGCGCGCAGTGCAAAGGCGGATAAAGGCAGCCATTCAATTGATCCACATCCGGAAAGGCAAAATAAAGCCGGACTTCGGTGCTCTGGAATCGGCGAGGCGCTTCTACGATGTCCCTCCACAATTACAGCAGAGCATATACAACTAGCCGAGCACTCCTCAGTGTCTGCTCATGAAGCCGACGATGCTTTCTGAGTCTGGCTGACGTTCATGTGCGGTGGAATAGGTATCCTAATCACCGAACTCCACCCAAAATTTAAAATGCTAAACGCCCATTCTGGTCTGGATGCTATGCATCGCACAGTCATCATGCCTCAATACTGCCCGTTCCCTCGGCTGCCCAGCGGTAAATCCCCGCGGCATCGCCATCTGTCAAAATGACAAAGCCGCCAGGTCCATCACGGAAGCAAAATTGATTGTGATTACCCTCGTGAACAACCTCCATCTGGCATCTGCCTTCTGCTGCACCGGCCGCTCCTATGTTGAAACCAGATTCCGACAGATTCTCTTTTGATAACTCTATGTTACTGTAATCGCATGTCATGGCCTGTGTCGAGATATCTGCCAGGGGCCAGGGCCGGCCTTCACGTTGTCTCTCGTACCATGCCGTCCGCCCGTTTGGAAGCGTCCTGACTCCGATGGGAACCCTTCTTTTCGGGGCGGTCCAACGCGAGGACATGTCATAACGGAGTAAATGTCGTGTTACAGACATTGATACCCTGTCCGCCGCTCCTCCCCTTCACTTCCGGTCCTCTCGCCCGTTCCTTCCTCTGACCATGGCCACGAATCCGTTCGACACTCCCCCACTGACGCGGGCCAACACCGGCGTCGTCGACCCCGCATCCCTGGGGTCTGAACGTCCCAAGCGCATGAAATCCACCGCGATTCCAATTATGGAGCCCTACAAAGCGGTCGATAAGCCGTGGCTCAAGAAATCCAATCCACGGGCAAAAGTCAGCTACTTCATGACATGGATCCTCCTCTTCGTCGGTGCAGGACTGGGCGGCCTCCAATCCTATCTCACATGGAAGAACGTCCGCCTCGACCGCCAGCCACTCTGCCTCGTCTTCGAGGACAATTTCAACAGCGGGGACGACGCAGCTGTGTTTGGGACTGCTACATCGCGTGGGCGGTGGTTGAGGGAGGTGCAGATGGACGGCTACGGGAACGGGGAGTTCCAGATGACCACAGGATCGTCGAACAACTCGTTCCTCCAGAATGGAAATCTGTACCTCGTGCCCAGCTTGACGCCCGGATTCCCATTCCCGGAAGGTGAGTGGAATGAGACGCGTGTCGTTCCCGAGATTGAATAAATGCAGGCACCACCTATAACAGCACCGACTGCACCTTCAATCTCACGGCTCCGAACGGAGGCTTCACTAAGCCACCTGCACCAGGTAGCACTGAACCTGGGTAAGCCAACCTCCGGTTTCGCTTCTTCTAGAAATGCTCACTAGGCTGCCCAGCTTCGACTGGGATGGATACTACGCTGCCTGCAGCCGGACGACCAACTCGACCGCGGGCACGATCATCAATCCAGTTCAAAGCGCGAGATTGAGCACAATCTTATCCGCCAAGGGCGACGAATCTGGCCTCTCGCGCGGCAGTCTGCGATACGGGCGGGTCGAAGTCCGTGCGAAGATGCCCGTGGGTGACTGGGTGAGAGTCTTCTGCTGCTTCTCGACTTGTCCGTTACTCACGCGTCAAAGCTGTGGCCGGCGATTTGGATGTTGCCGGTGAACAACACCTACGGGCCCTGGCCCGCGAGCGGAGAGATTGATATCGTCGAGAGCCGAGGCAATGGCATCCAGTACACTAATCGGTGTGGCAAGTTGATGCAGCTTCATTCCCGCAAAACTCATTCGGATTGGCAGAGGAGCCAACTACGTCCAAGGCTCGCTCAACTGGGGACCGACGCCAGGCCTGAACGGGGTCGGCAAATCGTATTCGTGGTGGACGGAGAAACGACAGGCATTCAGCAGCGGATTCCACACGTATACGCTGGAATGGACAGACAAGTGGCTGCGGATATTCGTCGACACGCGCTTGCACACTCTACTCGATTTCCCGTTCAAACAGCCCTTCTGGGATCTCGGGGACTTCCCGTCAACGATCGTGGGACAGGATGGCCGGCTGCAGTCATTGTCCGATCCCTGGACCAACGGAACGAGCGCGACTCCGTTCGATCAAGGTGCTTGATTTGTTGACTGCCTGCATTCGATGACGCTGAATGCGACGTAGATTTCTATCTCATCATGAATATCGCCGTCGGAGGTACCAACGGCTGGTTTCCTGACGGGCAGGGAGATAAGCCCTGGCTAAATGCGGCTGGCAGTCAGTTTGATCCAATGTTCACGGGAGACTGTCTCTGATTGTGCGCAGATCCTATGGTCGATTTCATCCAAGGCTCAAAGCAGTGGCTCCCGACTTGGCCCGAGAATCTCGAAGACCGGGCGATGGTCGTGTAAGTGTCCGACCATGTCCCATTCCTTCTGTCTCTCATAAACCCCGCAGAGACTATGTCCGCATGTGGAAACATTGCGGTGACCCATGAGTTGCTGTTATCTTGTCACTCTTTTGGATCCAAGTAGTATAATAGGACAATTAGACTATTCCTCGGCTTTAGTGACGCTGTATTCACCTATACAAACATTGGGATTGCGCCGGTGTCTGGAGGGTTGATCCACTGCCCAGCGATCCTCTGAGTCACGTGCTTTCTTCGGCAGCTTTCAACAGGGCAGTCCCAAGTAAACTCGACTTCGACCACGGGTTTCCGGGCCTGTCTCCCCTTGGGCTTCGCTTTAGCTTTGGCTCGTTGTGCCGAAGCACGCCGAGAGGTGCCGTTTGTAGGCACACCGAGAGTAGCTCGATGACGCAAACGAGATGCAATCGGGGCTGGGATGAGCCCGCCGGCGTCGCCATCGTCCTCCGTCTGCTCATCTGGTTCTTTTTGATCTGGTTGTTCCGCAGCAGCAGTCTGGGGCTCTGCAGCAGACTGGGGTATCCGTAATAGGTCGACACACTTCCCATCAATGACATGCCCACAACGCAATCCCCAGACACGCCGCTTGCGCAGTTCATCTTCCGGTATACTGAGCTCCGAGCACATGGAGAGGGGTTCCAAGCATTTGACACACACGAGCAGCACGTTGGGGCCACCGTCGTTCTCAGCGTCGACATCAATGAACTCCTCCTTGGCCTTGCCTTTGCCGTGATCCTCGACCACCCCAGAAAGGGCATCAGAGGGTGAAAAGTCGCTGATGAAGCCAGGATCCAGCCTGCGCGGATGTGTCCACTCTTTCTTGTATTTGTCTTCTTCTCGGGGTGGCCGAAAGATGGCCCAGCGGCGAAGATGAGCCATATCTGCACGAGCGCCATGCTCGGCATCAGCGAGAAAGAGATCCAGCGCAAGTTGCGCGTCACCCTGTGTGCGAGTATCCGCGTCCTCAAGCTGCCCCAGAGCGAGCACATTGACCTGGTTCACTGGCGCGCCCTCGCCGCCCCAACGGAAGGGGTTCGTGTTGGCCATCCCCTGCATGTAGCCGACATTGTGATTAACGGCATGCCAGCCGTCGAGACCAGACCTGCCACCGTCCGGTTGAGCGATTCCGGGTGCCACCCGCCCTCCAGCGAGCCGACGGTCCATCCTCCTCTGCCGCTCGGCCCGCTCGGCCTCAAGGCGCGCATTGTTAGTGCTGATCAGAGCGCCACCGAATCCCATCGGAGGATTGTGCCGCGCAGCCGGGGCGTGGCGGAACTCCGGCGAGAAAGCCCGCCGGGGAGGCACCGCTGCTGGACGCGGAGAGGTCTGGCGGGGAGGCGATGCGAATTGGAAATCGAAATCCTGCTCGAACGGGCGGATCGGCGCGGGGATCGGGTTGCGGGACGTCGATCCGGAAGGCACGGGTGCTGGGTGACGGGAACGATGCACGGGACCAGGGAAGGAGGCAAAGCTCTGGAAACGGGGTGGTAGAGACGGGACGGGGGGCACATTATTGTATGCGGTAGGAGGAGGTGGCGGGGAAATATAACGTCGCTGGTCTCATGAGACATGAGTGGAGGACTGCAACCACAGGGGGCGGAATCGTACCCGTTCTAGACCTCTCTCCATTGCTCATCGACGTAGAGACTGCACGCGAATGTCAGAAACCCCGAGATAAGTTAACAAATTAGCGACGCTCACCAGTATTTGGACCGCTCGAGCCATTAACCCACATAGAAAACTCATCGTCGCTGTCCAGCAGTTCTATTACCTCTGGAGACCTCGCACGTGGTTCGGGTAAGCGTTGCCGCTGAATAGGGCGGAAGTCTTCTTCTTCTAGCGAGTCTACATCGATAACCTCAAACTCTTGGGATAGTGATGTGTGTCGAGGCATGGCTTCAAGTGAAGGCTGAGGAGGATCCAGCAGGTTGGGCGTGAGACTTTACGATTTAGATTTAAGCACGTGATATAATTAGATAATGGGGCCGTCGTCAATTCGATGAGCCGTATGGGTGCTCAGCGCTTAATCTTCGCTCATAGGCACGGAAAGTTGGAGTTTAGAGCCATCTTTCGGAAAAAGGTCATTCTTGTGACCACTTGGTGCACATTGCTCCGGCAGCCTTCGGCGCATCAACGGGGTTGGATCGATGTTGCGTGATCTTCATGATAAGATAAAGTCTCGTTATCACTGATTGTACCCGACCGCCCAGAATCAACATCGTCCTCACTGTCTAAACATGGCCAGTGTTTCGCGTGTATATAGCGCTGTTACACCAATATGCATTTATGGGGGGGTCCTCCGGTAGTAAACAGTTCGTTACATATTTGTTCCAAATATAATGCTACAGATTCTCTCGCTTCATCCATCACCGGGACGGACGGCGGTTGGGGTTGTGCATCTCACCGTTATCAAACTCGTTCGATCCGATGAGAGAAGACTGGCCAGAACCCCCTTGGTACGCACGCCGGGTGTAGCGGTCTGCAGCCCCATGCGTCCGGGATCGGCTGTGCTTCGCAGTCGATTCTTTGTTGTGGGACTTGTGTCTGGAGTGACCCCGACGCGTCGGCTTCTCGGTGAGAGTTGCTGGCATCGGCAGCTCATTCTGCTTGCGAGGATTCGACCGCGCAGCCGATTTGCTGTAATCAAGGAAGACCCCAGCCGTGACTGGTCCCATCCACATATGAGAGTCGCCTTCGAGTTTGCGGCGACAAGCGAAGAACAGTAGAGTGAAGAATGCGAACAGCACTGTGGTGAATGAGTGGGAGCTATGCGTTCGTGCGACGAGAGCTGTGGCGCACCGAGGATGGCGTTAAGCAACGAAAAGGCCTCTAGAACGTGATACATGGCGTGAAATTGTTCAGTCTGTACTGCACCGCTGTCAGATGACATCTCGCCACGACGGAGTGTTCGCTCACGAGCTGAAGTAGTGTCGTCAACCGTCATTGTCGAGGAATTCGACTCGGACGCGAAACACTCCACATCCGCCGATTGGGCATTCGATGTCGCTAAAAAGATTCCTAGCGCTACGATCATGGTAAGAGAGGCCGCGACGAAAGGCAGAAAGGTAACTTACAGAACCAGATGATGCCCACAAAGCCCAGACTCAACAACTCAATCTTCAATGAAATAGGATTGCGCTCCTTCTTGATCACACTGAAGCCCAGACTGCCAGATATGAGCAAAGAGATGCGTCTCAAAAGCAGTCTACTCACAGAGCCGACATGAACAACAGGCTGACTACACACACGAACAGGGCGAAGGGAACGAAACTCGCTGCAACAGCTTAGCTGCACAATCCCCCCGACTTTCGAGGAATACGCACTGAGTTCCGAGGACATGAACGCACTGGCAAAGTGTCCCGCCATAGACAAGCAGATCAGTGAAAACAAGAGAACCGCAGCTGCAACTAATGAGCCGAGGGCCGCCGGGAGATGAACGAGCGCACCATAGAGGCATGCGCGAAGAACAATGAACAGGGAAGGCATTACAGGTAAGTGTCGTCGAGGAGTGAATAAGGCGTCGCAGGGAAAGGGGGAAGCTCGGTAGGTGTGATGATAAGTAGGCTGTACTTATGAACACGAGGCAAACATGAACTTGGCCGAAGGTAGCGCGTGGCGTAAATATCGTGAGGCCTGACGGATGCGGCGAGGGGTGCAACGATGAGACTGTAGAGATGATAAGCGAGAAGAGACACTAAGTCGTTTGTGGCTGACCCAGAAATCTGCGTCCGTGGGGGACGAAGACAAATTTCTGTGGCTGTGTAACACATGGTTGCTATTAATAAGGCAGCTTGCAACAGAGGTTCTCTTCAGATACACATGCTGCTAGAGCAACAGACGTAGATAGATAGATAAAGGAGAACTACTGGCTACGTCTGAGTTGGACACCGAGGTCGTAGTACAACGGCAAGCATTCCGGATTAGCCAAGGTGGCGGGATTGACAATCGATAAAGCGGCTCCGTTGATGATCTAAGACATGTCGATCGATCTCCTCGGAAGCAAACGAGGAGGCAAACCTTCTTGACCAAGACCTCGACGCGTTTGCCGTTCAGAGTGTACGGAATGTCCTCCACTTGCAAAATCAGCGCAGGAACGTGACGAGCACTCCGCCGGGTCCGTATTTGCTGCTTGATCTGCGTCTCAAGATCGAGGGTCAGGGTTTGGCCAGGAGGAAGCTTGACGAAAAGTAAGACACGTTCATCCTCAGCCTGCGTCTGGCCAATGGCAAGCGAGTCTGCCACCAGGCCAGCAGCACAGAACTCGGAGTCAATCACATCATACAGTTCGGAGGATCCGAATCTCACGCCCCCGGGATTTCTTGAGGAGCGTGAGCGGGGTAACAGACTCGGGTAGACTCACAAGACACCGTCTGAGCGACCCAGCATGATCAAGCCACCGCCGTTTCCAGATCTTGAGCTGGTGATAACAATGTGGTCCCCGTGGTCTCGGTGGGAATATCAGCAGAACGCCCGGAAACCACGTTGCGAACTAGACCCACACCAGACACCGTTGTACTCAGCAAAGTAGGCCTGGCGGTATTTTTCCCGGGCAGCAATGACCGCTTCCTCTGCGCCGAAACCAGGCAGAGGCCAGAACCCTGCAGGCATGCACGGAAACGGCTTCATGCATGCAAGTTCACCGGGAAGTCCCGGTGGATTGATGACTCCCTGTTCATTAAGGCTCTCAACTGCAAGCCCAAGCATTCTGCATTGGATCTCTCCTCGATAAACCGGCAAGGCTGAGCACATTCCTGCAAACAAGGAGCAGATGTCCGTTCCACCTAACGCACGTGACATCAAGCAAGAAAGTGGAGACACGAGAACGGACCGGTGATAGAGCCCAAAAGCACAGTGGGGCTGATGTGTTCATAAACATAATCAAATAGCACAGAGGATAGCGGAGAGCCTGTCGAATAGATGTGACGGAGAGAGCTGAGATCGTGGTGGGATCGTGGTTGGTAACCTTTCTGGGCATCGTTAATGAATGAAAGCACAAGGCTAGCAAGGAAAGAGTACCGAAAGCTGTTCGAGATATTTAGCACTGGTTCCGAAAAGTGTGATTCCCAGCTCGTCGGTGAGCCGCCATAGATAAGCCGGATCACGCAGTGGGCTACCGTCATACAACACCAGAGTGCATCCGACACTGAGCGCACTTATGAGCCAGTTGTACATCATCCAGCCGCTGTCAAGGTTGAATAACGGGATGCCGCCACCAGTTGCACGCACGTTGTTGTGTAGTAAAAGAAGACATCTTCCGGCTTCAGATCAGCGCATATCAGATATTCTTTCTTCATTTGAAGCAGCATTCCCCCGGCACGATGCACAATAGCTCTGTCAACGTGAGCATGAACCAAGAAGAAAGGGTGTTGTCAAGACAAACTTGGGTCTTCCTACCATGTGCTATGAAGACATGTATTAAATCATGCCAATCACACTCACCGGTGGACCCCGAGGAGAACAGTATCCACAACGGATCATTGAACGACGCTCTATGCCAGGCAATCTCCGCCGACCCAGGATGATTCTCAAGAAACTCTTCCCACCCAATCCATCCGTCTTGCCAAGACGCTCTATCCTCGGCATAAGGAATCGTATGGATGATGACAACCTGCGGTCGAGCAGTCTTCGGCCCTGGGCTCAGTTGGGATAGAAGTGTTGCGAGCTTCGGAAGATGATCGTGAACCTTGGCATTGTATACGACCGCGTCGACAGCGAATATAAAGCTCGGCTGGATCTGATCAAAGCTGGGCATGATCAGTTCCCAAGGCCGAGACAGGGACATACCAGGAGCTTACCGCTCCAGGACACCAGCGGGCCCAAAGTCTGCGGCGGCGCTCACCCAAATGGCTCCAATGGCAGTTGTAGCAAGACAGAGAGCAACGACTTCGATGCAGTTTGAGGAATAGGACGCGATACGGTCTCCGGGTTTAACGCCGTTGGCAAGCAACGCGGACACGAGACGAGAAACAAGCTTGTAGAGCTCGGCATATGTGCATCTCTTCATCGGAGGATTGGGGTTCACAGGAGTTGGCTCGGCTGGTCATGTGGGACATCTCTGAGAATCTGCGGATGAGAGGCACATGGGCTGCTTACTTGCTTGGACCAATGCGATCTTGTTACTCTCGCGCATCTCGGGCCTCAGCATGTTCTCCGCCCAATTGACACGCGCCTCCTTGAACCACGGCGGATTGTCAGAGATATTGACCGACTCGTCCACTACATGCTGTCCTTTCTCTCCTATGATCTCAGTGATGTCCCATACAACGTCCCAGAAATCGGCGATATGCGATGTGGACCAGCGGTACAGATCGTGATAAGATTCCAAAGTAAGATTGAACTTGTCGTTGACGCGATCTCGTAATTGGAACGTCGGGGAGCCATGGGGATCCAAGGGTCGGTATAGAGGAGCCTCGGTCATATCGACTGTGCCAAGACTGGATTTCTCTAGGCCAAGCTGCGGGGAGGACGCAGGAAGCGCCCGGAAGCGCCCGGAAGTGCCGAAGTCAGTCTTTATGGGGAATTGATTGCTACCGGCGAGGCCAAGAACACCGTGATGAAGCAACAACTTACATAAATAATCTTTCCTTTGCCCAACTGACTCATCGAACGTGTGCGATGCGGAAAGCCCACACTGACATATATAAGCCGGTTAGGTGCCAACCCAATCACTAGCACCTCCTCTCTCACTACCATGTATCACACTGATATCGCGAAATTCCTTGAGCCTCACAGCGCTGAGGCCCGCGCTCATACAATCACCTCGTCAGTGCAGTCTGGTGTCGTCGTCGGGGCAATGGCTGACCTTGCCACAGAGAAAGCCCTGTCGACTGGGACCGCGTCGATGAGGGCATGGTCGCGCTCTCGGCTTCATACCTCAGTTTCAAGGTGAGCACGCGCGGACTGGGTTGTCTAAGGGCTCGTGCTGATTGCTCAATAGCGCTACTTGTCCCGCGAGCAGCTCATGATACCGCCCCGTACAAGGCGAGATCTCGAGAGCGTTCTGTGCGTATCAATCACATTGACCGTACCCGTGGGCTTCCGTCTGATAACTTCACAGGCGGCGTTACAGCACAGATGCCATCCACAACGCCATTTCTCAGAGGTAAGCGCCCGTCACCTTGCCGTTGGCCGATGACCAATCCTGTCCGACAGCCGTGGTACATTGCAAGCCGGCGGGTATTCGAGGGTATGTCCGATGGACGTAGCGCATGACTATGAACTTATTTTTTCCGCGCAGGTCTGTCACTTGGCCACGGATTCGATCGTCGCTGTGCTGGATCGCGGAGATAATGTCCAACACTTCCTCAGCCTCTATGCATCTCCATATGACGGCTAGGCTTCTGCTTCAAGAAGCTGAACATTGATGGAGCCACTCTCGATGTCTTTTCGGCTTCCTTTTGTCTGGATTCTGCTTGCCTTTGCATCCGTGTTTTCTGTATTCCTGTCAATGTAGCACTACCATCCCATAGAATCAATGTCCAAATGTGTCCTCCATCTGTTCTCTCACGACGCGAGTTCCTAGGCGTGTGGTGACAGGCGTGAAGCGCGGTGTGGCAAACACGTGCCGACGCGTCGATTGTGATCTGCTGATCTTGGCTGTTGAACTGGACGATCATGGCGCCCCCTCATCTCGTCTCTCTATCAAATGAATACTATGGTATACATGATCTATTTCCTCTCTTGAATACCCAGCACTGTGCACATGCTCAGACTTGAACGGCTCCCAAATCGATGTTCTGGACTCACCGCCTTCGGCTATGGAGTTTTCGCGCTTAGTTCATATCTCTCGGCCAGTTCTGATCCGGGGACTTGTGCTTCCAGCTTGTAGACTCTGGGACGACGAATATCTTGCTGGTGCGCTGGGAGACTCGGAAATATCTGTCGCTGTGACTCCAAACGGGTTAGAGGAGCCGGTTTATGCACATCGAGTGCAGACCGCTCACGAGTTTTGGCAGTCGGGCAGACGCGGTTACCCCGACTCAGGATGGCCCCCTGTGTTTCGCCGAGCCGGCAACAGAGAAGATGACTATGGGTCATCTCTTATCAATCCTGGATGCTGGTAAGTCTTCGAGCAAGCGGCTCCAATTCCCACTTTTTCTGATACCGAGGACTTCGACACCAGAGGCTGAAAGCTCGGATGTCTACTATCTGCAATCGCAGAATGGAAATGTGTATTCGCAGCCTTTCTTTGATGGGGCTGATGATGATTCCGAATTCACTGCTCTGCGGGCGGACATCCCCAGCGAAATCCCGTGGTGTAGTGAAGCACTCGGTACATCTTTCTTGCATGTCTATGTCTGAGCCTGGCTCACGACCCCCAGGGAGACCGCCCGATGCAGTGAACCTGTGGAGTGGGTCTCCTTGTCTATCCACACCGGAAGGCGCTGACGATAATAGTCGGCAGCAAGAAAAGCGTGACGAGCATCCATAGCGGCGAGTATGACTCGGCGTGGCATGCCACCCAAATCCTGAAAGACTGGCCTAGATCCATACGAGAATGTATATCATGTCGTCCGCGGCGTGAAACGTTTCATGGTTTTGCCGCCTGCAGAAGGGTGGTGCGTCAAAGGTCATGCTCTTCCTCTCTCTGATATTCCCGAAGCTGATCAGGGATGCCAGAGAATATCTATCCACATGCCACCTGGGTGCGGCAAAATCCGGACGAAGCGCTGTCCCTCAAGTTATCTCAAGGGCATGCCCCAGTGCGGTGGGCCACTGTTAATGACCCCAACGCTCTTCCCAAGGAGGCCCATCCCATCCATATCACTGTGAATGCTGGAGAAACACTGTATCTTCCTCCCGGGTGGTGGCACCAAGTCAGACAGGAAGACCGTACAATCGCGCTCAACTGGTGGTACGATATGGAGATGCGTGGGATGTCATGGGCATTGCTTAGCTTTATGAGGGACACCACCGCACCCTCGCAGTAGACAGGCATATCACGTGATCATCTAACATATGGAGTTAGCGCCTAATCGCCAACTCATGCCCTGACCTGGTCCGACCAGTCAGTCCCCCATGGCAACTCCAGCCCCGTTCTCTCGACTGCAGCTCGCAGCAGCATTAATCGGTCGGGCTTATTTCCTCCCCCACATCCTTGTATTCACACGTCCTGGCCAGAGTATGACAATGATCCCAATAATCCTGAGGCCCCATATCGTTCCGCCCAGGAAAGTGCGATCTTCTCGAACTTCCGACGCATGCAGCTTCGAGGTGCTGGGCCTCGTAAAAGCGACTTTCTGAATGTCGCCCTACCGAGCGACCCAGGGAGCTTGAACGGCCGAGAATCCGCACTAAGTGGTCGGAAATCCCGATCGTCCATTAATATGCTCCGGAACCCATTTGGTGCGGATGAGAGCGTGGACTACGACTACGACGAAGATGGGGACGAGGGAGAGGAGGGAGGTATGGAGGTAGATTTGACATCGTGGGGACTGGACGCGTTCATAGAGAAGGAGAAGGACCCCAAGGTGTCCAAGCGCAGCTCGCGGCGCTCGACATTACCGAACCCGCACCCCATACAGTCTGTGCGCTCCCAGACTATGAATACTGCCCCTCGACGTACGATGAGGTCTATGAGCGTCGGCAACATGGACCAAATGGTCAACCTAGAAGACGAGAACAGACGTAAATCCTTCGGCTCTCCCGTCGACCTGCTCAACGTCGAGCCCATCTCGTTCCCTCGGCACAGATCAATGTCCCAATCTTTCTCGCAGCCACCTGCTGGCTTCTCGGGCAATACGCAATCCATTCCATTCCCCACGGGTTCCGTCCGTTCTCCCTCCCCAGGACCGGGCCAGTTTCCGGACGACGACTTCAAGGGAGATCCCCGAGCATCGACCTTCACATCTAAATTTGACCCCAAGGCATATCAAACTGGCGCAGACGACAACAATCCATTTGCTCTCCGTCCTCCAAGCATGATGTCCAAATTCGATCCCAAGGGAGCAGCGCACGCCCGGACAATGTCCAACGCGTCGATGGGCTCGCGGATGATGCTCGACGATGCGTCTGTGATGACTGGACTAGGACGAGAGCGGCGGTACTCGACGGCCGAACTGCTGCGACCCAAAGTTCTGGTCATGCCGAGTCCGTTGCAGCAGAGCACTTCGAACCCTGTCATGGCCACGCCCTCTGCGCAGTCCAGAGACGGATTCCTGTCGTCTGTGGACCCGCCGCTGCCCCCCGGTGCCCGTTCGACTCGGCGTGGATCAGCCCTAGACCCTTCTCCGTCCAATCTGTTCACTCCCAATCCGCGTGCTAATCTCACGTTGTCTCAACTGACGTTCCGCAACACGCTGATGGTCGACGGGCAGCGGGATGTGACGTACCAGGACATCGACGGCGACATCCCGCGGGCAATGGAAGACGGTGTTCAGATGCAGCTGACCGCTCCGCCTCCCGAATTTCCGGAGGAACCGCAGCTTATGCCTCCGTCAGAAGATCACAAGCCGGCGAAACCCGCGGGCAAGTTGTTCGGCAAGAGTCTGATTGATGATCTGGAGAGCCGTAAACTGGAGATGAAGTCCAAGCAACGGTAAGTGCACAACTGTTGTCGGGACGCACTCGAACTGATGACTTGTAGTGTGTTTGCGGGCGATGCTCGACCGACGATGATGGCCCGCACTTCGGCGCAACGTCAGAGCACGTTGATTGATCCAGCCTCGCTGCAGGTGAAGCCTGGCTCATCGTCACGCCCAGTAACGCAGCATCTGGGCTCTTTCGAATCGCAGGGGTCTCAGCAAGCCCTGGGTCGTCGGGGCTCGATCAACGCCAAGCCTCTGCTTTCATTTGACGAAGACGACAAACTGCGACGGCCGATGCCGAATTTCGTTGGACGGACACCAAACAACCGATCCGTGTTCGGTGTGGACACGCTATGGGAGCGGGAGATGGTGAAGCTCAAGGCTTTGGAGGCTCAGGAGAAAGAGGCAGAAGCCGTGCGGAAAGCTCAAGAAGCCGCAGAGGAAGAGGTCCCAGACAGGAAACGCGGGGGCAAGAAGGGCAAGGGTAAGAACAAAGGACGGGAGCCATCACTGTCTCCAGCACCCCCATTAACACCTTCCGAATCCGTCGAGGAACGACTGCCATCCGCGCCACCGGTTCTGCCTGCAATTTCTCCTCGATTGCGAGCACCGCCACCGGTGAACAACGACAGCGACAGCGACGAGAGTGATGGCGGCGGGCCTTCGAAAGCACCGGCGAAAGGGAATGCATGGAACTCGTCTGACGATGAAGAAACAGGTCCCCGCCGGACCACCGGGACCGGCCCGCGTTATCCGAACAAGGGACCCGCTCAGATGGCGGATGAGGACAGCGAGGAGGACATGCCGCTGGCTGCCACAGTGGACAGAGCCGTGCAGCGGGCTACTCAGCTTCAGGCTGCGCACGATGCATCGGACAGTGACGAGGAGCAGCCGCTCTCGCAGCTGCTGCAGCAGAACAAGATCAGTTTGCCATCCATAAACTTCGACCGTCGCAATCAAGAGGAGGGAGAGGAGGAAGAGGACGACGAGCCACTGGGTGTGCGCGCCTCGCGGCTGGTGCCGTCGTTCCACGGGTCTGTCCAGGGCGGCGGTGACGATGACGAGACGCCGCTTGCGTTCCATCCCGAGCAACAGCGGCGGTCGCAGTACCAGATGATGGCGCAAGCCCAGGTGCAGCACCAGCAGATGATGATGCAGGCTCAAAGCATGTTCTTTTCGCCGCAGCCCATGATGGCGCCGGGCTTCTTTGGGCCTCCGCCGATGATGATGCAGCCGCCCATGTCGATGGTCTCCGGCCACGAGGAGGCAAAATACGGCGCAGTCGACCGATGGCGCAAAGAAGTCGTCGCGGACGAGCCTTGATTATCTTTCCGATCACACTCGTTATCAGTCCATTTTCCACTAGTTTTGGCATTTAATCATACAGCATACTCTACAAATTCAAAGCAGATCATCGCAAGTGTTATGAAGGGTTCGTGATGCGCAGCGCGCGTTTGGGATAAGACGTGATTGAGATATCCCGCCGGCGCATCTCATTCTCAGCCCGGTCGTCGTCCTCGTCGTAGTCGCTCTCCGAGCTGGTCGGGCCGGCAGTTGCCGAGGGAAAGGCTCGCCTGTAGGCTGGCTGATGCAGATATGGAAGGCTCCCGCCCTCATCAGACACGGACGGCCGCGGCGCCTCTGCTGACGGCAGGGGCTCGGTTCGGATCCGCCGGAATAGAAGAGTGAGCGTCGAGCCATCCGGGACGCCGCGCCAGCTGCATGTGACGAGAATGGCGTAGAAGAGCACAGTCCAGGCCAAGAAGCCACCGAATGCAGCTCTTGGTGCCATGGTCCACAGACTGACCAACAAGAAGATCGAAATGGCTAACAAAGATGCTTGGCAGAACATCCGTAAGGCCAGCGAGGAAGAAGAGGGCAATCCAGATGCAGGCAGTGGCTCGGGTGTAGGTCCTGGATGCTCAGCCTGCAACGGATCAGTCAAAGCACACAATGCAGACCGAAACACATACCAGAGCATCGAGACTCGGCCTCGTCCTTCGCGGCCGATTGGTCACTTCAAATCCGCGATGCAGTGTCGACTCCGCAGAACCACTGTCAAGCGAGTCTATGCGCTTTCTCCAGCTGGAAGGGCCAACGGAACGAGACAGGGGAGGAGGCGTCGACGGCTTCTTCTCGTCTTCCAAGATTGCAGGAGCGGCCGGGCCATGGCACATGTGCAGAATCAGAAATGCAGTGTACGTGAAAATGAATAGGATGATCCCTGCCCGCCCATGCGTGGTCCCCAGCGTTGATGGCTTCAGGCCGTGGGAGGACGAGCTAGTCGTAAAGGATAAAATCAGCCCGCCAAGGCCGAGACCGTACACGCCTCCACTGAGTGCATAAGCGAGATATCGCCAGATAGGCTTCGCTGCGTTCTTTGTGTTGTAGAATGGAGACGCATGACGGAAGAGAAGAACCCAGGGAAGCAGCAATGCGACAGACACTGAGCTAAGCGTTTTGTGCAGGACTCCGGCGTCCAATGTCACATGAGGAGCAACTTTGGCTTTTCCAGTGGATGTCGGTGTCGCAGACGAAGTACTGTGAGACAAGGAGGAAGACGAAGACGATGAGTGAGATGAAACGGAAGACGAAGATGAAGACGAAGACGATGTGACTGTGGTGATGTTCGGGGGAATCAAGGACGCGCAGCTCGTGATAAATGTGTTCTGAACTCCGGCACCATTGGCATTGACCCCGGTCTCCAACGGCCCATTCCCAGAGCCAGCCCACCCCGGGGCCGATACCGACGAAACCCCGTTGTACGCACGAAGAATCCACAGTTCCGACAGATAGTTTCCGGACGAATCACGTCCGCCGAAGATCTAAATGTACGGTCGGAAAAAGCATTCATCCGGGAAAAAGTCACATACTATAATGTCAGACGCAGATTTCCGATTGTCAGCATCACCGACCAGCGCTTGTGGGTACATCACCGCCGAAGCTCCTTCGCGAGGCCCGGGGAAAGAAGGTTGTCCCGAACTTCCGGGATCACCAGCAGGCACAACACGAGTCCATGATTGGGTATTGATATCCAGAACAGCCTGCGAAAGCGTCAACGATTGTACGAGCTCAAACCCACAGATATACCACTGACAATCTCCCCGTGTTCCAATCCGTTTCCATCGTTCCACACACTCGTGTTGTACACACCAAGAAGGACGAGCATCTGCGCGTGGAAGCCGGTAGAATTGCTATTGCCGTTCGGGATCACGGTGGGAGATAGCCGTGGGGCGGGGCAATTGAGTGCAGCCTTCTCCGATGGGGGCGTCGCCGGATTCCCGGTCGCACCGTCAATCACATACGATCCTTGAACAGCACAAGACTGGCCAGAGACACGCGTTCCGTTGCAGCCGCCAGAGACTACGATGTCATTGCCCAGCACGCCGCCTCCTTGTCTGATCCGTCCAGGCGCAGTAGCGATGTTGATCTGTTCCCAGGTACCAACAGCAGAATCAGGGAGATTCGAAGATAGGGTTCCGGAGATGTTCAGCCGCCAAACATCATTGTAAGTCGTCGATCCGTCGGAGCCGCCATATAGCCAAAACGTGTTGTTAGGCCCGGGCAGAACGGGATCGGATATGGGTTGAAGGCGGGTGTCAATCCCTCCACTGGCTCCGAAGCGAGATGAAGGACCTCCAGGGGAAATATTCTGAACGCGGTCAATCTCTGTGCCTATGTCAACCGTAAGACGTCAGAAGAACTTACCACGGGAGACCAGAACTGGTTATTGAAATCGTACTCCTGATGTTTCATGAGCGGTGACCACGAGCTTAAATGTAATGCGGACCCAAACATCGGACAAAGCTGATCCATCGGAAGCCATCCCGCCGATGACGACAAATCCATCGCGGCTGAGGTGATAAGTCGAATCAAGTTGGCGCGACGACGAAGCTGTTCACTCACTTGCTAGCGGCACTGTCGTGACCTGCCACTGGGAGAGAGAGATGAAGCTTCAATGATCTCGTTCGATTCGAAAACCGGGTCAGACGAACCGGCTGCGCTTCTGGCGGGCGGTGTCCGTGTGAGCGTCGTTGGCGGCGAAGGTACCGACCACGTAAGGGAGTCCAAATTCAATCTACAGAAGGCTTGGAATGATCGCAGATGAGACTATATGCTCCTCACAAGTAAGTCTCGGCTTGTGGAACCCCAGAAGACGCTAATCCGCCAAAGATTATGAGCGTTCGACTTGAGTTGCGACACTTGTCAGACTCATGGCGTATACGGAGGCTTGACGACGTACCTCGTCTCATCATAGGCCATGGCCGCATCCATCAGGCCTGGAGGTTGGTTGGGTCCTTGCAACAGACTGGTGATATTCAGCCATTGAAACGGTGGGACCGAATCAGCAGAAACAGCGGCGAAGATGGACGGAGGGAGGAGGCAGGCTGCATAAGTATGAGCAATGCGAAAGAGCCATGTCAGTCGGGCTGACCGAGAAGCAGAAGCAACAAGACTGGCTGCGCCGGGCATGCCGCCATCCAACGATGCTCACTTGCGTGAAGCAACCACGTCGATTCGGACCGCCCGGACTGGAAAGAGTAATACGGATCAGATCGTGATTGCCGTGATAAGATCATTGAGCAAGTTTCGCCACACGTAACACGACTTCGCGGAAACGCGCGTGGATAAGAACATCATAGCATCTTTCTCGAAAGTTACAAGCTGGATGTAACCTCCCCGCTCTTTGTTCCTCTTTGTTCTTCTTTGGTCGAGCGGCGGCAATCATATGTGCTGCCAGAGCCGTCGGGGGCCGTCTCCTGCAAGAGTGCGATAGAACCGCATGGCGTGCCGACTGTTTCGTGATGTTTCGCATTTATTCGATTCCAGAGCTCCTGTCCTTGTCTTCACAATGGAAATTTTCGAAGCGCCCACAGTCACCCACTGTTGGGATCCTTCTTTGATCAGGCTCGCGTCTAGTGTCCTTGTACTTTCTCGGCTAAGACGAGAGATTGTATTCAAAGAAGCAGTTCGGGAATCAGAGGAAAACCTTCGCTTCTGCTGTCTGTGTTATCTTTGTGGGTCCTAGTTTGGCTTTGCTTGGTGGAACGATTTCTATTGTCGAAATTCTTGACATGTGGACATTGAGCGGAGACAAAACAGTTCAGGAAAAGATCATTGTGATAGATTTGACTCATGATTAACCTTGATCTTCCGAACAACATAGGGACGGGAGATTTCAGCTCTTCCACACATCAAAGGTACCTGTATGCGGCAATGTGACGTTGTCACCACAGCGCGTGACATCACGTTGCTCTCTTGTTCCAAATCTGGTCATACCCAATCCGCACCGTGACTGCCGACTCTGCCAAGCGCCCTGTTTCTTCCATACGGGACCATGGCTAGCGCATCCCCCAGCAAGCGCACATTGACGATCGAAGCGTACACGGATGCGCACGCGCCTAATGTGGTGCATAGCTCGTGAGTGCTTGTGACAGCAGATGAATGCACACCCATGCAAGTACCGTGTAGGACTCCCGCGGACCTCGCGCTTGCGCTCCGGAACCTTGGATCTCGCGTCAGGAAAAGTAGAGGTCCATGCAATGTGTCCCTGCCTCCATTGACGCGTCGTAGGCGTCACAGAGGGCTACAGAAATGCGAGCCACACGTCGAGTGCTCCCTCCTCGCCATCAAACCCGTTCAATACCCGGACAGACATTTTCACGTCATCCAACGACATTATACGAAATACCTTCATCTCTCCACGCCCACCTGTCTCACCGCGGAAGAGGGGACGCGTCGAAGAGGATGGTGATGATGGCTCGGAAGAGGAGGACAGGGACCCAGAACCCGTTACAGCCGTCGCCAACGATGATTTTTGGAACCCCAGACCTATTAAGGCCAAGCCGAGACGAATTTTTTTGCAGACGAAGTCGTTGCCTACTGATATTTTTGGCTCGTCTGCTCACTCAACTGAGGAAGCTGATTGGAGCATGGACACGTCGCAGCGGCCTGATTCTAACCTAATGGACTTGTAAGCTGTAAAGCTTGTATCTTAAAGGTGCTTGTATTGTCCATACGATGTACGTTTGCACCCAATCTGCATGGTTTTGTTGTACTTCTGAAATCAGTTCTAGACGCGCTCCCAACGCTCAAGCTCGATCCCCAGCCCTCAGGCCGCCATCATTCTCCATGCGAGCAGTACTGATGACAAGTTGGATCTGGATCGGAGATCCTCTCACTCGCTTAACTGGGGCGTTTCTATCTTTCGCGGCAACAGTGGCCGAATCGTATAAAATCAGGTGTGTGCTTCGTGCTCTTAGTGACTGTTGAGTCCATCTCATCACTCACCGTCATGAGCTCCTCGTTCCACTCTTCTCCCGCACTTGGGAGTGGCTCAAGGTCCGCTCATCCGGCCCCCATCTTCATTCAGTCGCTGTCTTGACAATCTTCTCTCCAGACTGCGACACGACGACTCTCTTCCGCGTTCTGGTCATCACAGTCGGGTCTTCTCCAATCATGATGACGCGACGCCTTCGTGCGGGGACTTTAAATTGCGACCAGCATCTCCATTTTACCTTTCAGCCGAGCGGGACGGATGGGGATCCGAGAGGGCTGAATCGAGTGGCAGGCAAGTGGGTATTCGGCTCCGACGCGTGCGAACACTGACACCCTGTGTTACAAGAAATCTGTTTCGTGACGAAGAACATCGGTGTGTGGATTGATCGTGTATGCCGCATCAATATTTTTGGCGCTAATTCTCCATAAGCCAACGTGGTGACCTATCTGGCAGCGAGCCTCCACCTCTTTTCGCTATTGACACTCCCACTGCGACTTATATGTGGCCACCACTCAAACCCGCATCTCAGATGACGTCGGGGCCCATTCTGTATGCCAAATATCACAGTCCTATGGGTGTGACAAACTCAGATTCCGGGGACAGCGTGTCTGACCCACGAAGAAGCATGGCTGATTCCGGGGGGACTTCGTACGTGACAAAGCTCCGAGACGACCGTCCTTGACAGTTGAAGAGGATCTTCCAGGAGCGTACGCAGGACCAGGTTCGGTGAACGTTTTATGTTCGTGGGCGTTGATCAACTCATACTCACGCCGCAGCGCCAAACGGCAGTCGTCACCTGCATATCTTGAGTCGACAGATCCAACCTCGTCTGATATCGGTCCACCGCCCAAACAAGAACGCTGGGATCTCCTCGCCCAATCGCCCCCGCTTGCATCCTCAAGTCACCAGGAGCCGCCGACAATTGGGTCTTCCCCCGAACCTACTGGCTTCCCATCACAAGGCTGGCAAAAGCACGCAGTCTGTCTGGACGGCCACAACGCGTTCCACTGCGTCTGGATCACTCCCCGGGGCCAATGTGGCTACACTTCAAAAAAGCAGCTGGTTAAGAGACATATCGAGACGACCCATCTCAAAATCAAGTGAGCCGACCTCTCTTTTACTTCCTGCCGAATCTTACTCTGGCCAGACCATTCATCTGTTCTTTTTGTCAGAAAACATTCCCACAAGTAGCACCACAATCTCTTGATGTCTGTTCTTTCTAACAATCCTAATAAAGAAATGCTCTCTGGTCATTCATGAAGACGGACAGCAAGTCATTCATTATCTGAGATCTGCGAAATTGTTGACCACTCTTACAGCACGGGGAAGTCGCCTCACGAGTGCCGATTCAAGTGTGGATTGTGGTTCAGAGACCCTGCGCGCCGACATCGCCACCATGTCGATGTACATGGTCACAAGGCAAACAAATTCAACAGACAGCAGTCGTCATACCCAACCAGCGAGTCAGCTACATACGAGACAATGCCGCCTTTCCAGACCAGATAGGCAATATCATTCACAACTTCCTGCTTATTCCTGCTTTCGCAATTGCTGTTTTATTGCCATCTTGTTTTCGAAGTTAGAAATACTCTGTATCGTAGTCAGTCATGTATAACCACTGGTCGAGGACATGCGAAATTTGAAAAGAATTAGCTTGTAGAGCCCATCTCTGGCACGGGTGGCAGTGCCGCACCAGCTTGTCTCGAGACTTTATGCCAACAGATGTACCAGTGCTCGGAAGCCTCTATCTCCAATCTCCCTCGCCGACACAAATCGTGAATGTGTCGCGCTCGACATGTTTCCAACTAGGGGCCTTCAAAGGTACATTGCCGTTCTCATAGTCGTCTCCGGGACCAACACACGACTAGAGCTGCTACGGGAGTATCGCAAACTCGATGATTCTATTATCGTCAGGCTCAACCGGGAAACTGCGATGGCCCGGGATCAAGAGCGTCTGTCAGGACGAGCACGGGAAACCGTTCAAGACCGGGCTTGCTTGAACCTCTGGCAGGAACTTGTCTCAAATTGGAAACGGCGGCGACAACTCATTGACTACTGCGTTGACGTGGTGGACCAATCTAAGAACGAAAAACAGAGCGCTGCGCTGAATGAAGAAAACCCCAGGATGCGTCGGGCTGTGGAGGCAGCCGCGTTTGCTGACCAAGTTACAGTATGTCTGTCCATCGCTGCATGTCCTTCCGCGATTAATCTGTGCCTCAGCGAAATCAGGTCCACGGCGAACTCTCCGTAGACACCATCGTGAGACAACGTTCATTGCAAGGTAAGCACTGGTGGACTGCCGCATGCACTCTCTAGCCAACTTGCTTCACCAGCCTTTCGATCTCGTTGCAAGTTCTTCGTTCCTCCAGCGTCGGATAGCGAGATGTGGGATAACGCGAATGTGTCCTAGCCACCGGAGCGTTGATAGTCTCAAACGTGGTACGTGGATCTCCGCAATGTCAACGTGGCCTTGCAGATGATGAGGACAAACGGGAATCGTGGTTCAAGTGCCGCCCAGCAGTATCTCATACACGATTATCATTATGTTCATACCAATTAAGGGAACTAGACAATCTCAACACCAGAGATATTGTAGTCGAGGGTCACTCACTGCGCAGTAATGTCCTCACAGCACTGATTAAGTCAATTAATCGCGCCTTCATTCCAATCTCCTGCTGAACACCATATCCGGTCTGGGCGTCATAGGTCTGCTGTTGGAACGTGGGGTTGGTGGAAGCTTGGGATGAAGACCATCCAACTGAAAGCACTTGAGTACTGGCACCAATAACGTCACCGAATTGACGTACTGCGCGCGAGGAATCTGTCTTCACTGAGGACAGCCATTGAGTTGACCACTAATAAAGAAACATATATTGCTGTTGCCAGCATCTTCGTTGGTGCGAAAGTGAGCATGGTGAAAGCGGAAGTCGGGGTCAAGACGCGTGTGTCACGAATCGTGACACCGTGATTTTACATTTTGGTGTTTACCATGCTCGGCCGTCATGGCCTCTCGACGACTTCTCGCTGGGTGCAACACTCAGTAGCGGGACCATCCCGACACGGGATTAGCGGTGCCATTGGGACTCGTCGCAGGTGCGGAACATCCAAATTTCTGGCCGGCGGCTGGTGGCTGACGCAGAGAACAACCAGCGCGAGTCGATTCAACCCCCTTGCTTGGGCTCAACGGACGTTTCTGCCTGCACCAAAAGTGCAACCCGGTCAGAAGGACACGTCGTTAGCCAAGCCCGAAGATAGCCCGAGTATCTTTGCTCAAGTGGCGCCTGTCCAGACTGAGCAAGTTACCGCGCCATCAACCCCGACACCTGAAGTGAAGGCAACAGCGCCGGCACCGGCGATAGCGGCTGCAAAATCAGTTCGACGAGCAGCTGCTCCTAACAACTCTCGTTACGAAACTGTATTCGTGCGTGTCTCCAGTCCCTCTCTCCGCCGGTTCCCTGACAGGTTTTGCAGCACAAGCAATCCACAGACCCCTTCGTCATTTCTCACCGAAAGCTCAACAAACTCGGAAGACAGATCTCTGGGCAACCCATTGATTACGCTATCCTCCAGATGCAGTTCAGCAACAAACGCGCCTCTGTGAAAATACAGGAACTGCTTGCGAATGCTAAGCAGCGTGCCGTGCAGAAGAGGAAGATGGACGCGCCAACTTTAGTTGTTGGTTCGTCTCTCCAAGTTTTCCCAACTCTAGGCACTACGTGCTGATACACTTGTCCGTAGCGGAAGCATGGGTGAGCAAGCGTTCGAAACGCTCGAAGAAAATGGTTGCGCAAGGACGAGGTCATCGGGGGACTCGGATCAAGCCCAGTTCATCCTTGACCATTGTTCTCAAGGAAGGGAAAACCGTTGAGCAGCAGAAGGTCGAAGCGAGGAAACGAAAGCTGGCTAGAATCGTTTCTGCCTCCGTCACTCGTGAGGATAAACCGCTGAGGAATACCGGTGCAATGTGGGCTTGGTAGATTTGTCTAATACGATCTGCTATCAATCGCGAAGTTTCGTACGCCGTGCGTGGGTGGGAGTAAACGAAAGTGACTTTCCAAGACGAAGGGCAACTGTTGCGCCGCTGTGGCTACAGAAGTCACGCCTAAATTTAGCAAGTTCCCATCAGACACGTATTGCGCGCTACTTGTCCACCTTCCTTCCTTCCAAATGCTGCGGCGCTGGTGTATCGTCTCTTTACTCTCTTTTCTGGCAGCTGTCCGTGCCGACTCTTTCGAGAACACGGCTGTCGTTCGCACCATCGAACTGGGCGGTTCTCTCGTTCAAGTGGTCACCACATATGCCGTGAAATCTCTCGAAGCCGGCTCTCAGGTTTATACTATTGCTTTTGATGACTCGGAGATGGAAAAGACGAGTTGGTTGGAAGCCAGAATCAAGGGGCAAACCAACCCGCTTCCCGTCACGAGCCGTGGTGTTGATGCGACGAGGTGCGTTCCCGCGCATAGCCAAGACACGTCGTTCAGCATGTTTATCCCGTGTCTAGTGGCCTCCACTCGATCGACATTACACTCCCCAAGGCTCCTGCCGTGGACTCAACTGTCAGTCTCGTCGTGGAGACTATCCAAACCCATGCCACGTACCCTTGGCCGGAGCGGGCGGGGCAGACTGAGCAGCAGGCGCTGAAGTACAAGACCAATCTATTTGTTCTCAGCCCGTACCGTACCGAACTACAGCGCACGAAAGTCAAGTGCGCGCTCCAGCGTGTTCAGGTGTCTCGTTCTGAACATCACGCAGGACCACTTCGCCTACGATCCATTCGTATACCACTCCCAAGAACATCGACTCGTTCACCAAGGACCAAGCCGTCACCAAGTCTGGATCGACTGTCACTTATGGGCCGTACCGCGGTATTGCTCCCTCTGCGAACGATGAGTTCATTGCCAACTACCAGCAACCCATCTACGTGCATTACAACTACGACTACCCTGTCGCAGAGGTTCTTGAACTGAAGCGCTCTGCTGAGATCAGCCACTGGGGTGCGAACCTCAACATCGAGGACAAGATCCACCTCTACAATGCAGGACCCAAGTGCGTTTTTCCTGAACGAGGTCCTGTCCGCTGATGGTTAATGTCGTGTCTACAGACTCAAGGGACACTTCTCACGGCTTGACCATCAACTGAACTCGTTCTACAAGCGCTCCTCTCCGCATGTCATCCCCGGCCTTACGCTGCACCTTCCTGCTGGCATCCATGACGTGTATTTCTACGACCTCAACGGCAACGTGTCGACCTCCCGCCTTCGCGCTGCTCCGTCTGTTCCCAAGAACTCGCTGGCCAACCAGTACAGCTTGCTCGAGATGAAGCCCCGCTACCCCATCATGGGCGGGTGGAACTACAGCTTCACCTTGGGATGGGACTCGCCGTTGGCAGATTCTGCCAGCTACGATGCTGCCTCCGGGAAGTATATTGTTCAGGTGCCCATATTCACCACGATTCCGGCCACGGTCATGAACGATGTGGAGATCACCATCATCCTTCCTGAGGGAGCTGTGTCAGTAGATTCCGAGTGGCAAGTGGTGGTAACTGTGCTGATCTGTGGCTCACAGGGATGTCGACTTTGCTTCGCCGTTTGCGCCCATTTCGAGCCAAACAACGACCCATGTCACTTATCTCGACACGGTCGGCCGCCCCGCCATCGCATTGCGCTACAAAAATCTGACGGAGAAGCATGCGCAACACATCTATGTGAGCTGCTGTTGCTGTTGCTGGTGCCACCCATCGCACCCCGCTTACCTCTCCGCAGGTGTCGTACCGAGTGCCGTTTTCCGCGCATCTCAAAAAGCCGTTGGCTGTGGCCGTGGCCTTTTTCAGCGTGTTCGCGTTTGCGCTGGTGACGCGCCGGGTAGATCTCCGTATCCACAAGAAGTAAACGTGAAATCGATTATTCATTAACATGGGAGGCAAAACTGTGTAGTGTTACGATATGGCAGTCTGGTGGTGTCGGCGATCTGGAAGGTGTAAGACTGCTGCTGCTTTCAGGGCAGAGCGGTTTGGTAGCAACACTTACGGGGTGAGGAACATGTAGATGCCGTTGATCCGACCTTCGTCCGGGCAGGTGTAGAAGACCCCGTTGTTGGTCCCTCCGTTGGGTCCCGGAACGTCCAGCACGTACCGCAGCATCGCTCCCTTCCAAAACCACGTGCCCCCGGTCACGATCTTGGCTGATGCAGGCTGCTTGCCCAACACAAGCTGCAGCGGTGGGACGCGTTCGGAGTGGCTTGTATTCTTGATGGCTACCGGAAAGATGGTCGTCTCGTTGGTGATCTGCCAGAGCTGGTTCTTGCTGATAGCGAACAGCGGCGGGTTGTTGGGAAGGAGCATCGCCGTCAGATTCCCCGACTCTCCTGCAAGAAAGAATGAGCATGCTTCCCCGAGCCGTGGCTGGTGTGCTGCTCACCAGGGACGTGGCTCGTCAAGTGCTGGACCGCATATCGCGAATTCATCACGAGCTGTGGACCCATAATCTGGCTTTGACCGACTTGAGAACAACATCTCGTCTCATTGGTGGAGATACGCACATCGGGGTGGTCCAGGGCACGAGCGATCCAATGAAATCGCTGTGCGAATTGAGACCGCCCCACGTTGGCAGTGCAACAGCATAGCACGCTAACAAGAGCAGAATCCACAAGTCGCGCGACATGGAGGAGGAGAGAATCAGATCCAGAGCGGGGCGGCCTCGACAAGATCCGAACCTCTTTATGGCGGTAGCACGGGTCTGACGTGGAGCCCTTCTTTTTTCCGAGCTTTGCGCGAATCAGCGCGGACTGGTGTCCAAGTGACCAGCCTAATTACGCGATGCATCACACGTGATCGCGACGAGTTTTTCCTCCGGCGCTTCCTTTGCATGCTTCGCCAGAGCGTGCTCAGCCTCCGTCCCCGCCCCACTCTATTAGCATCGTGCAGCAGTCCACTTCCAGCGCAGAGCTCATCAACCGCCTCGTTTCACCATGCTGCCACCTTGTCTGCTGCTGGCGGTGCCAAAGAGAAGGCGAGGTGGTCCAAAAGTGGAACAGCCCGCAAAGACTCCGCGTCCAAACCCCCTCGCTACCTTACCCGCGCGATGAAGGAGCCCGCCCCGACAACCAAACGCGACGTTAATCCCCGCTTCCGCTCCCGGCACTCGGACGCCACGCCCGTCAATAGCAGCAACCAGTCAAAGGATGGCACTATGCGCCTGCTACAACCTCACGTTCTAGCGCAACGGCTCAAGAATCTCGCTGCACAGGATAGGATCGATGTTGCTATACAGATGCTTCAGAATGCACCCTTGGCGGCGCAGAACACGCCCGTGTGGAACACATTGATTTGGGAGTGCATGAAGGCGAAGCGGTTCAAGTCCGCGTATGCTCTATTTGTGGATGTGAGCTGCTCTTTTTGTGCCATTCAAGCGCTCGCTTTAATGGCTGCGTCTAGATGAAGCGCCGTGGCATGGTCCCGACGACAAGGACGTTCCAGACCATGTTCAACGGGTATGCGCGCATAGAAGTCTGGGCATCCCACACACAGCAAATGTCGAATGTTCGCTCGCTCTACGAGTTCTACCAGCGGCATATCGAGATGCTCAAGAAGAAGGACCCGCACGATCCCGAACTTGGGGTGGATGCGCTGTCCGGCTACATCTCTATCCTCGGCAACGCCGGCAGATTCGATGAAATCTTCGTGCTCTATCATACCTGGCTGGAGGATGGAAATATCGCCTCAAACAAGTACATTTTTACGGCCATGTTCAAAGCGCTGTCTGCATCCAACGCGGGTGTGTCCGCAACGCAGCTGGCTAAAAACGCCACGGACGCGAGGGTGCTGTGGGCAGAGGTCGTCACAGCCAAGCGCGAGTCGGGGCTCGAGGTCGACTCGTTTCTAGTGACCGCTGCGATCGCTACGCTTTCTCGGGGTCAAAAACCCGAGCACAAACTTGCGTTCCAGATCGCGGAGCAATATTTGGGGCTCAAGGGCGATGGGCAACCGGCAGATCAAGGGTTGATGCCACTGACTGCCCAGAGCTTTGCTGCGATCCTTTCGTTATGCAACGCGAGCGACCGGCCAGCTGATGCGATCCACTTCTTCGAACAGGTGAAACGGCGGCCGGCTGCGAGCGGGGGGCTGGACATCGTTGACCGTGCGCACATCGAAGAGCTTCTCCGGGCGCATCTCGCTCGGGAACCCCAGACTGCAAGGGCGGCCGTCGAGCTCCTTGAGTTTGCCCAGGAAGTATCCCTGCGCGCTGGGAATAAGATCCGGCCCGGCACCGTGACCTTCAATCTCGCTTTGACGCTCTGCTGGCGCACGAAAGACTGGAATTCGGCTTCCAAGGTGTTCAGCCAGATGACGGGGTACCATGCTCACGACTTTGCGGATGGAGCCGTGCGAGCCGTGCCTCGAACGCGGAGACAAGGCTTGGTCCCGACACCTGAGACGATGTCACTGCTCCTTCGGACCGCACTGGCGACGGAGAATCCTGCCGCGGTCCGCCAGTGTCTGCGCATCGTAGCGCATTTCCATTATAACGTGGCCGGGCTCTTCGTGGAACCCGAGGACGTGGCTCCCAGGACACGGAAGAACTGGGGCTTCCATGTGCAAAAGGCGGCGGCTGCCGTCAACGAGGCTGTGCAATTCATTAAAACCAGAGATCAGAGCAGCGAAGTGCGGGAATGGGAGAAGCTGCAGCGAGTGGCCCTCGCCCAGGGCAAACGTGGCGATGTCGCCGCCGCACCGCCCAAGAAGCCGACGACGACCAGACGAGGGAGCAGTAGATACGAGATGGCATTTGTGTAGTAGCACTTTATTCATAAGTAACTGGGCAATACAGAAATCCATGCGAGTTGTCCAACAAGATTAGTAGATAAGTGAGAGATGGAGACGTAAACGAGGCCGACTAGGCGATGCTCTTCGGCCTGCCTCCGTCAGAATGGAATGCAGGCGACGGCGGATTCAGCCCGGACACATCGGAGGACACGAAGCTCTGTGGACGGTCACCGGGACGTCCCGTGTACTCCCGCGGGACAAACAATCCGCTGCTGTTGGATGCTTGGCGGCGGCGGGGGATGGGGGCCGGATTGCCTGCAAACTGGTCGTCACTCAGCTGCACCGAATCTTGCCGGGAGGGTGCCGGGATTTGCCGGGCAGGGGGAACGGGCGGGGGCTGCCGCGAGGGGGACTGCCTCGAAGGTGGCGGGGGGAATTGGGCTGGGGCAGCTGCAGGAGCAATGATCTCCGGTTGGAGAGGTGGGGGTAGCGACACTCCCTCAGAAGCCATCGCCGTTGGAGACGACACAAACACCGAGTCCTCTTCAGAAGGACTGCGCTGGTTTCCAGCGCTTCGAGACTGGATGCTGGGTGCCACCAGCGAATCTTCCGAGGCGTGTCGCTGGTAGCTTGCACGCTTCGCTAGGTCACCGGAGTCACCCGCGAATGGACTGGCGCCTTGTGAAGGGGCCGTAAACGGCTGTTCCTCCACGGTACTGACAGGCCGATCCATGTGACGCAGACCACTGCTCTTGAAGGCCCTCGCCTGCGGAGAGGGTGGGATGAACATGTCATCCTCAATGGCCATCGAGACCGGTGCTCGATCTGCCATCGGGACGCCAGCCGCAAAACTATCGCGCGGATTCATCGACATCGGCCGCATTGCACTGAAGTCCTCCGTGATCGCCATCGACACAGGCTGATAAGCATGCGGCTGTGGATCGGCTCCGGCAATGTAGCTGTTGCGAGGATTCATCGGCAGAGGGGTTGCCCGACCCCGGTTCCTCCTGGCAGTCGCACGAGGCTGCCGATTCCGACACATGTAGACCACACCAAAGACAATCAGAGCCAGCAAAACCGCAGCGTTCAAAGCCATGATGCCCAACATCGCAGGCAAGTAGGTCACAATCTTGTTCAGGGTGTTGTTCAGGTCTCCCGAGATGGTCACAGAACTGGCTGAACCCGGAGAACTGTTAGCAGCATTGTAGGTGATGTTGGTGATGGCGACCCCGCCGCGAGCAGCATGGAAATCCTTTGAGGCGGTAGTTGGATCCACAAGAGACAGCAGCTGCACATAGGGGTCCCCCATCGTCAAAGTCTTGTCAAAATCCCCAAAGTCGTACACGGCATACAGAGACCGCAGAACACTGTCTCCCAGCAAAAAGTCGCTGTGCCAAATTGAACACAACAGAACAAGTAAATGAAGCGACGAACTCACAATTCGCCGGCCCCGACAGAGACTGTCTGGGGAATGAAGGATCCTACGCAAACACTAGCATTGACAAGACTCCTGGTCGTGACATCCAACGGATGCAGCGGGAAGACTTGCCCTCTATGTGATATTAGTCTCTCAACGGTTCCTGGTCGGTATTAGACGGTCGTACGCAATCTGAAGTGCAATGTCGATCTCCGCATCACATGGCACCACCCATTGGCTCAAGTCGGAATCGAAGTGCGCTCCGCCAACACTTCCGTAGATCGCGTCACAGATTTCAGTCGTGGCATACCTGAAACAGCATTAGCCGAGAGCAGGTGGAGAAGTCTCCGAACTGACGAATAGGATGTTCCACTGTCAAGCAAGGCGACGGCCCGGTTGCTGGGGGCATTGGCGACTGTGGTGTTGGGTATCACGGTATGGGATGTCGAGTCCGAGGCGATAATCAAGGCTTCAACGAGAACGTTCCACCGCTTGGGGTATGAAGTTGGCCATGTCGGAATTTGTGTGGTGTTCAGAACTGCGGTATAGGCCGGCTCGACTTCTCCAATTGAAAAACTTCCTAGAACTGTATCGGAACTGTCTGTGCTGCGCTGCAGGGAGAACGCAATGTAATTGGGCTCAGAGGGGTTGTCGAGGAACAGGTTGAACAGGAAGCTGCGGCCGGTGGTTTGGCCAGTTTGGTTCAGAAGGTGATCGATGGAAGACATGGACGTAAACCCGAGCCCGAGCAGTCCATCCGCGCCGTATTGCAAAGCGGGGTTATTGGCGCTAGTTACATCCAACAGCGCTTGCGAGGATACGTTGATGCTAAATGTGCATATTGAGCCAGACAGAACACGGCTGCGAATGTGAAGCGAAACACATACCCAGCGAATGTGATCGGGGCAAAGGAGACATTGCCCGAAACCCACCCAATTCCGTACTACACGTCGTTTCAGCGGATGACCGGGCTTGCGATGAATGGACGTACAGTCAGATTGTATGTTTGGGCCTGTAGGCCATGAGTTTGTGCATCGAAACAAAACTCCCACTCACAGTGCTAATCGCGTTGGGAAGCGGGGTAATCGCGGGTTTCACCCACACGTCCGAGGAGCCTGTGTCGAGTTGCATGGGATAGACTGGGATTTTGATTGGAAAACATTCAAGGGATGAAGCGAGAGCAGTTACAATTGTTCCCAATGCTGACCTGCAGTCACCGAGCATGAGTCTAATTCAGACAGATAGGAAAGAGCACGCACGTTAGCCATGTAAATGAGGTCCCGAACAGTGCTATGGACAGCATTGTTTATACGAATAAGACTCAATAAGGTATCTGGGCGCACCTCAGGCCCGACGAACTGTTGGATCCACTGGTCGTAGCTAACAGCGAGACTTTCGAGAGGCCATTGCTGCGTGCGACTCCCGGCGTCGGTCTGCTTCGCGTAACGTCTAATCTGAGGGCCGAGACGATGAGAGGAAGAACCAGAAGGACAGTAACGAGTGGAGGGGCCATGCGGGGCGGAGGGGAAACGAGAGGACGCCGAGTGTGCTGGCGGTGAAAGGGGTCGGAAGCAGGTCTCTCGAATCCCACAGGCCATGGTGCGATCAAATGATACGCAGATCAAAGGCATGCTGCTCGGCAGTCACGACTGCGGCAGGACCGAGTACTTGCGCGCCGACGCGCACTCGTCGGTTGAGGTCTTGTCCAACATCCCGAGCCATCTCTGTGAGTACGTCCCTCTATCCATCTCCTCTTAATTTCCATGTCTCGATACATCTCCCATGTGCGCACTAATCGGACTCAAATTCAGCCTACAGTCGACCTATCCCCGTTCGGGAGCCGCTGATTCGAGTCCTGATCGCCTTGGAGGCTCCTTCCTTCTGCCGTTCATGTCCATGTCGCGATAAACCAGCCTTTCCATTCCTTCCGATCTCGTCCGCCGCCAGCGTTTCGAAACGGGCCGCGATAATTCTACCCATTGTTCCTCCCCTCGGCAATAAACGTCACGTCAACCCGTGAAGCCCTCGCTATGGCATCACTTAGCGCCTGCAATCCGGGCCTGCGGTGTCTAGTAACAGGAATCCAGCATACTGTCTGAGATGCTGCCAGTATCCAGCGCCGAGATGAATTCGCTATGCGCGCCCTGTATCTCTGTCGCATTGGAACTTAGCGTGTCCTCCCTGAAAGCGTGCAGGACAGTGGTGATGAGATCGGTCTCGTTCCTCTCCAATCTTCTTGGGTCCTGCCCTGCGGAGATCGGAATGACTCTGTTTCTCTTATCGGAAGCCTTGACCGCAGCGGTCATGGTGGTGCGGGGTGGTACAGAGTGCACGGAACCCCGAGGAATTCTACTTCGATATCAGTATTTGGATCACAGCCTTCCGATCTTCAAAGCTTCGCGTTCAGGGAGAGTTGGGCAGTAATGGATGTCGTAAAATCTGGATTGGATTGGCCTCTAGCGAAAGCACATTAGACGCTCTCAAAATGGCGCCCGATATATTCATGTCAAGTCCCGACTGAGATTGTTACAGTCACAAGGCAATTGATTAGCTTAGCAACGCCAAGCGACCTTCTCTGGTTAGAACGCTTAATCGTGCTAATACTGTTCCTGCAGCCCACGACCGATGAGATGGAGATGCTCAACAGGCGATATCACTTAACAGGACGCGTGCAGACGAGACCGCTCAATTGTTTGACGTACTTCCAGCAAGCGTGACCCAGAACTGCAGCCCAGACACTTCATCTCCAGGCTATATCCGTCGAATCGCTTACAGTTGGTTACGGTTGGTGTGGGCCGCCGGCTACTAAATATCTGGTGTCTCGGGCTCAGGGGTTCTTTTGGCCGGTTGTCGTCTGCGACACTCAACCTCAAAACCTCTGCTTGCCTCTAGGCCCGTGGCTCAGCACTTTCGTCGTCGTCCGACCTTTTCACTCTTTTCATACGGGCTGGATCGCTTCCCGTTTTACTTCTCCTTTCTTGCCGGTCGGGACGTGTTGCAGCTAGCTGCTCTGTTCGCTTTCGATGTATAAGAATCAGAAGCTTAGGGAGTGGTGGAAACATGTTCTTGTGATCACTCGGGTCAAACTCATAGTGCGTGGACTACTCTTCCATTGGCACAACCCCCGCTGAACATCGTCTAGTTCGAGAGAATCGCACTCACTCGCTACACCACGCTTTACTTCTTCCTCGCTCTTCTGAGCTGCATAATCCTGGTCGTCCTCCAGTCCACCACGTACCTGAGCAACACTGAAGGCGCTCAAGTAGTGCACGACTTTCTGCGCGCCAGCAATGTCACCAGTGCCTTGGGAGTGTCGTTTCTGTCCGACGGACATGTAATGGTGTGTGGCCAGAGTCATTCGCGTTCGCGCAGATGTAACATACGACGCTAGCTCTGCGACGATATTCCCATGCAACCTGGCACGCAGTGCGACATTCTCGTGCACCGCGTCCACGATCACATCCATGTTCGTCGCCACTATGATTTCGGCTCGGAATCATTGGGCATAGGTGGGATCGATGAAACACAGCAGTGTGCTGTTTCTCTGATGTGGCTCAGCAGTGTGTGAGTGGCCGTTTCGAAGTCTCAATTTTGATCGCTGACCTTGGCAGGTTGCAGGATGCTGTGAGTACTACGTACATCCGAGTGCATCTTTCACAGGCTTAATTCAAACGTCAGCGGACCGAAGATATCGTCACACTTGCCTTCCAAATCTGGTTGCTGGCTCTTTCCGTTGTCACCCTACTCAATGAGAGCCTGCCTCATTTGATTGCGGGGCTGGCTGCCCGTACGCTGGCCATTGCCTGGGGCAGCTTCCGCGTCCGAGGCAACATTAATTTGGTGGCTGTCTATTTCAGCGTCATCGACTCGGGACCCTGCCAGGGTAGGAACATCATGGGAGACTGGTGGAAACAGAACAACTTGCACGATGTAGGCCCGATCGTGCATTGCCTTTCCTGGCCGAACTCACCGGATACAGATCGCTGGATTGGTCACAAACTCGGTGAACGCCGTTCTCATGGCAGGGCTCTCGTACAAGCTGTACCATGTCTATTCCTCGCAAACATTCAGCCGTGTTGGAGCGGCTCCGGAAATCCATCGTGTTTACATGGTTTGTCCCAGCTTGTCACGTGCTAAGCTTGATCTGAATGAAGAACAGCTCGTGTTACTGTTCTCTGTTGTTCTTCAACTCGCGGGATTCTTCACTCTTGCCCAGGCGGTTAGTCTTTCAAAACAATTACCCGCCGACGCCTTAAATTTTCCAGGGTCTCTGGGTATGGAAAATCACGAGGGGTTCTATTCAGCAGCTTGCGGATAACCTCCATCTTTATGTTGCCGGTCTGGTTGTGACAACTGTGGTCAGTACATTCAATCTACGATCCTCGCTGTCACTGATGCGCAGCAGTTGATTGTCCCTTGGCTCGTTATGGTCAGCCCGAGCGTGATGACCTCCGATACGAACGCTAAGATCTTTCCCAGGGATGGATGAGTGTCCGAAAAGAATCTCGAACTCTTTTCGGAGTATTTTGCCTCATTTCTGCAATCCTGCTGAGTGAGGCAACTGCTATGTTTGCGAGTCGATGTGGGTGTTCCTTGACTCCTCTCCTCTGTCTCCGCTGACTTGGAATTTAGTAAACCAATTTGTTCTCGGCGCGTGGTCGTTCTATGCGACCCTTTCTATTGGTCGGTCTTTCAGATGCAAGTGTAAATCTGCCGCCTCATCTTCTTCTAGCCGCCTATATCCTACTTGTGATCACCTTGGTCCTCGCTATCGCATGCAGACTTCAGTTTGGACTGGGGCTTGCACACTTCCGTGGGTGGCTCAATTATAGAATTTTTGATCTGTCTGATTTCTGCCCAGTGCACGTCACCAAAGCTTTAGATGCTGACGATTTTACTCCGGTCTACTTTTCCAAAGTACTGTGCTCTGCTGCAGTCTCGTTCCTTGCTGACTGCTCTCCAGCAAGCTGAAGTCAAGGAGTGGGACGACATCGAAAAGAAGGCCGAAGATGCGCAAACCGAGTTCCCTGTGCTTTCCTACAAATATTCTTACGGTGAAACCGGCAACACTCGGTCCTCGCTTGAAGATCCAGCGTCACCCGACCTATTGAAGCAACCCGTCCCCGCCCGGACCCGCAGATTGGACACACTCTCGACTATTCTGCTTGCAGACAATGGCACGCCGGGAAAGACCATCAAACTCTCGAGCACACCCGCGGTGGCTAGGCAAGGGGGCAATCCCTCCCTCACGTCATCCGTTATTCTCCAACCTGTTATGACTCGCAGCTCGAGCAAGAACACGGACACGTTTCCTCCACAGCGTGGCAAGGGCAGACGCCCCCCGGACATTGTCGTTCCGCCGGCTCCCGAACTCGACGCCGTCGCAGCCCCGCCAAGCTCCAGCCCTAAATCCCGTCGCACCCGATCCGAGTCGGGCGAAGAACATCGGCGCCGTGAGCCTACGAAGATCCTTCCGGCCCACACGCGCTCGGCCTCGCTTCACCGGGGCCCCGTGACTGTCCATCTCAAGAAACCCAGCGGCGATAACTTTTTCTGATTAAATTTCGTATGAGGAAAGTAGTGTGTGTATATGTAGCTCTCTCTCTGTATATGTTTTGGAGCCCATATTATTTTGATACGGAATGGTAATCAATGGCCGTGCCAGAGAACGCTGTTCTAGATAAGATAAGATAAGATACCGTGACCTATGTATAACTTATCCTTCGACTGCGTTGACACAGTTGAATATCCTCTTTTGCACTAACCTCCAACTATCTGGTTCTCGCGTTTTCGCCATGTGCATTGCAATGCGCTTTTCAGGGTCAAAGCACCTTTCCCCGCGAAGCACTGTCATTTCTTGTCACTTCCGATCGGCTCGAAGGCAGCTGACCCCGCGGCCCAGATCGGTATATAGCCGGTCTCCCGGCAGCATCGACGGACGACTGCTCTTACGACCACCATGGCGGCAAGGTCCACAATCGCTCGCCTCATCAACGCGGCACAACACACAGCATGCCCTTGCCACGGAGGCGCACATCATCATGGGATGCACCATCCCGGTGTCCTGAATCAACTGAGGCGCTTTGCGTCGCCCGTAGACGCAGTGAAGAAGGAATACGCGTTTGAGGTCGCCGCTTCCAATCTGCGCTTTGGGGACGGTGTCACGCAGGAAGTCGGCATGGATCTGGCGAACATGAAAGCCCGCAAGGTGTGCATCGCGTAGTCTTGTCGCTGTGTAGATCCGCTGAGGTGCCTTCTAGGTCGGGGTGCTGACAGACGAGAACGTCGCGAAGTTGGGGCCCATGAAAGCCGTGCGCTGAGTCCTCACACTGTTCGTCTCGATCCCCGAGCTGATTCCTGTTAACCCAGACATTGGATTCTCTCGAATCCCAGTCTTTGGAGTTCGAGGTCCTGACCCTTCCTGCCGGTGAACCTACCGAACAGAGCTGGGCTGACGCGATTTCATGGTCTCGGGGACACGACTTCAGCCACTTCCTCGCGTGTGTGCTCATCCTTGGGCGCCTCCTTGCGCTCCCTGACCGTGTTTTCTAGGGTGGGCGGTGGTAGTGTGATCGACACAGCGAAGGCCGCCAATCTGTTTGGGGTCTACAAGGATGCGGATCTGTTCGACTTTGTGAATGCCCCCATTGGCAAAGGTAGGGATGGTGTTTTGGCATGTCCACTTCTCAACGGATTCAGGTCTCCCGATCACGCAAACTCTCCGACCTCTAATTGCGGTTCCGACCACTGCAGGAACAGGTTCGTTGTGGTTTTGGGTATAAATTAACCCGCTTCACGGATGCCAGGCTCGGAGACCACGGGAACAGCCATTCTTGACATCCCTTCACGATCGTTCAAAACCGGGATCGCCAACCGGGCCATGAAACCTGTTCTTGGGATTGTAGATACGCAGAACACGGCTACTTGCCCTACAGCCGTGCATATCAGTGCCGGACTGGACGTGCTTTTCCACAGTCTTGAGAGCTACACAGCTATCCCGTGGGTGTCAATCTCTGTGCTCTAGACCCTTTCTCACATCTTCCAGTTACACTGAACGTACCCCGCGACCGGCCAACCCGATTCTCCGGCCAGCCTATCAGGGCTCGAATCCCGTAGCCGACGTGTTTTCCCTCTGGGCGCTCCAGACCACCGTGACATATCTCCCCCGGGTCGCCAAGGATCGCGAGGATGAGGAGGCTCGCCGACAGATGCTGTACTTCTCTTTTGCTTCACTCCGCTGACCCCCGTTCTGACTATGCATCAGGCTTGCTGCCTCGTTTGCTGGAATTGGATTCGGAAATGCAGGGGTTCACTTATGTCACGGCGTGGGTGCTCTACATATCCTGTCCAGACTTGGCTGACCCTGATGTGCATAGATGTCTTATCCGGTACTGGGAATTACCTCAAACACGTGCATTCTATTCACCTCCGTGTGCAGATTTCTGGACTGAATAAGAAGGGACCCGGATACAAGCATCCCGGATATCTAAACAACGACAAGCCGATTATTCCGCACGGTGTTTCTGTAGCGATTACAGGACCTGCCGGTGAGAGTTGGTGATCTTTCAAGCGTCCGGATCTGATTGGACGCGTTCCAGTGTTCCAATTCACAGCACCTTCAGCACCCGATCGTCACCGACAGGCCCTGGCCATCTTCCAGGGCAAGACCACCTCCGACCCTTCCATAAGCCGCATTCCTGATCGTGAAATTGGCGCTCATTTGTATGACGCGATCGCTCAGTTCCTGGACGGTCTCGGTGTCCCTCGGGGCCTGAAAGCGCTCGGTTACACTGCAGCGGACATCGACATGCTTGTCGATGGAACGTTGCCCCAGCGTCGTGTTTTAGATCTTGCTCCTGGTATCGGAGACATCGTAGGCGAAGATGGTCGGATGCACATTGCCAAAATGCTGCAGAATTCGCTCGAATACTGATTGCAGTACATGATGCGTGACGCGGCTTATGTAATAGACACCGTGCTTGAATTCCATCCACTACTACTGCTACCAACACCACCATGTCGCGTCGCTCTGTGTTCAGGCCATGCATCGATCTCCACGACGGACAGGTGAAGCAAATTGTCGGAGGAACTCTCTCCGAGGCATCTCCTGCGTCTTTGAAGACCAACTTTGTTTCGAGGCTCGTGAATGTCGACTCTCTTGCGACATCGAGTGTCAACGTCTGATGTAGTAAATCTGCGGGCGAATTCGCTCAACTGTACCGGAAACACAATCTTGAGGGAGGGCACGTCATCAAACTCGGACCTGGAAACGACGAGGCCGCAAAAGAGGCGCTTGCTGCTTGGCCAGGTCTCTGCTTGTTCTTACTGCTAGGGAATACAGGAACTAGATGCTGCATACAGGAGGTCTACAGATCGGTGGCGGTATTAATGACGGCAACGCGCAAACCTGGCTTGACGTCGGGGCGAGCAAGGTCCGCTTGGTGCAATCTTGACTGCAAGAGGTGGACGAACAATCTTAGGTCATCGTCACCTCTTTCCTCTTTCCGGGGGGCCGCTTTTCTCAAAAACGGTTATCGAATCTTGCCGCGGCCGTCGGAAAGGACAGGCTCGTAGTTGATGTCAGGCATGTCGCGACCACGCTCAGACTCCTGTGACGGGATTGAGTTTCAAGATAGTTGTCGACGCCGAGGAGATGCCTGGTTCGTTGCCATGAATAAATGGCAAGACATCACAGACATGGAGGTCAATAAAGGTCGTGCTTGTTCATGATCGACGAGTTGCATGACTGGATGAATCAACAGAGTCTTTGGACATGCTGGCGCAGTTCTGCAGGCGAGTCGATTGTAGCGTCGATGCTGATTGTGTAGCTGATCAAATGTAGTGAATTCCTTATCCATGCTGCAGATGTCGAGGGACTGTGCAAGGGTATTGACGAAGCTCTGGTCGCCAGTACGCTGTCTGCTCTATGTGTGGGAATTGTTGTGTGATCATGATTTTGCAGAATTAGGTGAATGGGTATCCATTCCTTGCACTTATGCCGGTGGCGCGAAAAGTGATTCTCACTGGTTTCTGGGATCCACAAACTCATCATTATCTCTTTCTAGGTATCGAGGATCTCGAATTGGTCCATCATCTCTCCAGAGGAAAAGTTGATCTAACCTACGGAAGGTGGGTTCTCATCCTCCCATCCTAGCATCGCTGCTGACGACGACGAATGCAGCTCTTTAGACATTTTTGGTGGAACTCTAGTAATATTCGATGATCTTGTTGCAAAAAATAGAAATCACGCTTGAGCGACCAGATGCTGACTAATGAGTTGTATAGTCACGAGACGTGACTTCTCGTGACATCCTCCATCCCTCACACATTTCCTCAAGGTAATTATCCTCGCCCGAGCGCTCTCTCCTTCGATCCCGACTCCTTTGTGCAGACTCCGACACGATGCCCGGCAAGGTCAAGGCTTACGAACTCCAGTCCAAGTGCGGCACGACTTTTCGGCTGAGGAAACACGGCGCTCATTCCACTCTAGGTCCAAAAATGACTTGTCGAAACAACTGGTCGAGCTCAAGAACGAGCTCTTGACCCTGCGGGTCCAGAAAATTGCTGGTGGATCAGCGTCGAAGCTGACGAAGATGTGCGTGTACCGTTGCGCGTCCGCGGCGCCGATTACTGATCTGCCCTTCCTTCCGATACTCAGCAACACTGTCCGCAAGTCGATCGCTCGTGTCCAGACCGTCATGACCCAGAAGGCCCGGCAAAATCTGCGTGATTACTACAAGAACAAGAAGTACTTGCCGCTTGACCTCCGTGTGAAGAAGACTCGTGCTATCCGGCGGCGTCTGACCAAGGTTTGCCATTTTCTTTCCGCTTTGGTGCCCGCTCATTTGTTCTCCATCCAGCACGAATCATCGGTGAAGACCTTGAAGCAGCGCAAGAAGGACTTGAACTTCCCGATCCGAAAATATGCCGTCAAGGCATAGGTACCCGTGTAGTTCACTATTCCGTCTACTATGTCCCATGTCTGCCTCTATGTTACACATGCTCTCATCGCGCACTCTGTACACGTCGGTGGAATCTTGATAAAATTCAAAACAAAAAATGTGAAACAATTCGCCATCAGGCTCACGCATCATGATCAGACGAGCATCATGCGTTGCGTCTTTCACATCGGTCTTGATTGAACGCAGAGGAGCTCGTCATCTTCCTCCACCTCAATCACGGCGTTCCTCTCCTCAACCCCTTCATTTTCTCCCTGGCCCGTGTCTTTTCTCATTCTTTCTAAATAACCTCGCGCCGCCAAATACACATCGTCAGCTGTTTTCACCGCGGCCATCGCAAGAGGAAGCAATTCCGAAAGTGATACCATCGTTACGGCCCACGGATTCCTGAACACTCCCACAATCCTCCGCTCAGCTAGTGGCCTATCAACACTGTAATGGTGAGTGGCTTCTCTAATTCATACCACCGCATGATATCTGCGGCATATATCACTCGCGTCGAAGCACGTGTGACTTCATCACCTGTATGAGGTCAAGACTAAGACCCCTCGGTCCTGTCCTCTTTCAAGCGTCATGGCTCCCGTCTCCCGGTTCAGGAAACGCAGTTCTGACGATGGTTCAAAGACGCCCAAATCCTCTACCATTGAAGAACCCCAGGGCCGTATGAGGGAGCCCGTCCCCATACCCAGCAGCAATCCCGCGAGCCAGTACACGCTCCTCGAAAAGCTGGGAACGGGGAGTTTCGGGACGGTCTACAAGGCGATGCACAATGAAACGAAGCAGATTGTAGCCATAAAGCAGATAGGTGCGCTCGGACCGTGACAGCCCGGTATTGTCCTTGTTCAACGGCGTCTAGATCTGGAGGATTCCGACGACGATATCTCTGAAATCCAGCAGGAAATTGCGAGTCTTGCCCAGTGCGACTCGGAGTATGTCACTCGATACTACGGCTCGTTCGTTGTCTCGTACAAGCTGTGGATCGTCATGGAGTATCTGGCCGGCGGGTCATGCCTCGACCTCTTGAAGCCGGGCACCTTCTCTGAGGCTCACATTGCTGTCATCTGTCGTGAGCTTTTGCTTGGTCTCGACTATCTCCACACAGAAGGGACCATTCACCGTGACATCAAAGCTGCCAACATCCTGTTGTCCTCATCAGGCAAAGTCAAGTTGGCGGACTTTGGCGTTGCCGCGCAGCTCACCAGCACGTTACGGCACACCTTTGTTGGGACGCCGTTTTGGATGGCTCCTGAGGTGATTCGGCAGGCTGGGTACGACGCGAAGGCTGATATGTGGAGCTTGGGAATCACGGCGATTGAGATGGCCAAGGGTGAACCGCCACTGGCGGAGTATCATCCCATGCGTGTTCTCTTCTTGATTCCGAAAGCCAAGCCCCCAGTGCTGGAAGGCACCTTCTCCTCCGCGTTCAAGGATTTTGTCACTCAGTGTTTGACGAAGGATCCCGCCGCTGTCAGTCTTTTCTTCATTTGCATTCGTTAATTGAATAAACCTTTCATTAGCGTCCAACAGCAAATGAATTACTGCAACACCGATTTATTCGCGGCGCGCGCAAAACCTCGTATCTGACTGAGCTCATCGAACGGTATCAGGATTACCGCGCACGGTCTCCTCCTAAAGCACAGCAGATGTACCAGGCTACGGTCAAAGGATGGGACAGCACAATCCGGAGCGATTGGAACTTCGACACCATCAAATCCTCCGCCTCAGCTATGGGCACTTTCCGTAGCATGGCGAAGGATCTTGACATGGTTCCGGATATGGAGTCTGAGGAAGACGGGTCGGATTTTGAAGAGACCACGGACTCGGTTGACACTGGGAACGCAACCAAGGGGAGCGATCCGATTCAGATCGCTCGCAGCGTGGGCCTGAACCCTCAGGCGGGGCACTCAACCGTGGTGATTCGGTCGCCAGTTTCGGAGAAGGATATTCCGGCTTTGCTCGCGGACACTGCCTCTGCTGAGACGACCTCAGACAGTCCACATACACCGCCGCAAGAGAACTTGGGTCTGGGGGCGCCACCTGCTTATTCGGGATCTGTGCGGGGTAGCCGGCGAGCTTCTTACGCAGCCCGAACATCTGTGCAAGGCGCTGGGACGGTCATGCGGGAGGCTGACCTCGGCACCGGCGTGGACACGATCAGACCTGTCAAGAAAGTCGACACGGCGGGCTCTTTGCGATTGTCGGCGGACTTTGTTGGGAACATGCGCAGAGAGGGTAGCGGCAGTAGCTCCACTCCAACATCACCGACATCAGGGGGTCGTCGAGTGGCCAGCGAAGCCTCGAAAGCGGGGCGGACCTTGATTGACGATGTTGTGACTCCCGTTTTACAAAGGGTCAGCTGATTTTCCTTACGCCTATTCAACAGCTCATCATAGCCACAGGCAATTCATGATGATATGGATGCTCGGGAAATAGAGTCTCTGAGCATGCTGTCGAGAGGATTTACAGAACTCAAAGAAACGAACCCCGAGCTGGCTTACAATATCATTCTCGATATCCTCAGCGGCATCAACGAGTGAGTGTTTGGGTTTTAGTAGCACTGTTTCCCTGATCTGACGTTTTTGCGGCAGCAACACTGCTGTCCGACAACATGTACAAACGGCTCGAGGCCTGTTCCCTCACAGACGAATTATCCGCAAGAGCGAGATGACTGCGAAAGGATTGGTTGTGACGGAAGTGCAGGAGGACGTGACTGGCCTTCCATCGAGCGCGGATCCGACCGACGCAGAAGAGCCTGCAGCCAAGAAATCTCCTATTGCTGAGCTACTATACATGCGATGGCTCGAAGGCTTGCGGCTGAAATGGCCCAGTCTGACGTGATGATTCATTTTTTTTTGCTATCCGTGCTTACTCCTCATGTCTGTTTATTCACACTCACGAGACACGACTATTACGAATATCTCATGTGATCTCTCGATACGTTTAGCGTACATACCACCATATCACAAGTAATTGACGCCCAAGTAATCGACTATCAGCCACTGTACTCCGGCTTCAGAATCAAAACCCCGTTCTTGAGGCTGGCAACCTCTTTGATCAGGGCCGTAAACTTGGCTTTGTTTCCCTCGGCCAAGAAATACGGCTGGAAGTATTGGATGCAGTCTCGAGTTGTTGCGTTGGGGGTATTCTTCAGCCATTCGATCACCATCTTGTCCTCGAGCTCGCCCGCACCTGCGTTGACCCTGCGCTTCTTCTTCGTCGGTGCATTCGGGGCTGTCGGCGACGTCGGCGACGGTGATCCAGCATCCTCCGTTGCTTTGCGTTTCTTGATAGCGGCCCCATTCGCAGTGGCGACTGGACTGCCCGCTCGACTGCCGCCAGTAGCTAATGGACTCGTGGCCCGGCTGGCCAATGGGCTCCCGGCCCGACTCCCGGCCCGACTGCCATTGGTCTTCAACTTATTGCCCACATTGGGACTCGTCGCTCGTTTTGCAACCACAGAATGTCCTCCAAGCCCAGGCGATGGCAGAGGCGAAGTCGCTCTGACATCAGATGTAGGAGACGCTGGCCCCGCCGCAGTCTCTGCTCCTGGTGGTTGCCCGGCGGCCCCAGGTGGAACTGGTGGCTGTATGATAACTGGCTGTGTCGGCAATTCTTCCTCCTCCTCTTCCTCTTCCTAAGCAGAGGTTCAATGCCAAATAAACAAATCAGGGCCGGAACTTACTGAGCTTGCGTACGGGTTCTTTTCCTCGTCACTATCGTATGCATCGTTGCCTTCCCGATTTCGAATCAACTTCTGCATTGCCTTGGCCTGTTTTGTCATTCCAGGCATCTCTTCGTCGTCCGATTCATCGACATTGCCCTCCCTTGTCTTGTTGGCGTTCTTGTATTCCCGTTTCAATCGTTCCTATAGCGATGTAAGAATCAATGCAGTAGGCAATCGATCGGGATCGCACCTCAAGCTCTTTAACCTCGTCATCTTCCGCTTCAGCCTCGATCTTCTCGTCGTCGTCGGCGAATTCCTCTTCGTAGACCATTTCATCGAGATCTCCTTCGCCTCCATATTCCTTCTCTAGTCGCCGCTTCGCGCTTCCATCCTCATCGTCGTCACCGAACAGTCCATTCATACCACTATCCACAGTTTTCAGTTTTCGTCCATTCGGACCCAAGCTGTGTGATGCGCTATGCACCATAGTGCTGCTGCCAGCCAAAGCTCGTCCTTCCGATTCAGCCTTGAACATGGCTACCGTCTCATCGGACGGTCCTTTCCCGTTCCGCTTCGCTAGCCATTGCTGAGGGTCACGCTTTTGTCGATTTGTGAACTGGGTCGGAATATGAGCATCACACGAACAGTATGGAGTATGTATCTTGCATACCGCAGCTTCCATGCCCTGCGAATCTGTTGGAAATTCATGTTTCAATTTCTTCTGGAACTTGTACCATCGATGTGCCGGCACGAATTTGAATATATCATTCGCGGCGGGCATGAAGAAGGCGTGCGTTGTAGCCTTGGTTGTATCCTCCAGCTGCGCATACCATGTCTCAGCACCCGTCGCATCCTCTATCACCCAGGGGTATCGCTCCTCTCTCCTCAGCCGTCTCGTCTCGTCATCAACCTTGAAAACCTGCTTCGTCTTCTTCTGAAACTTCTTCTTCGCGGGCGGGGCATCCTTATCCTTGTCCTTGTCCTTACCCTCCGGTTGTATCATTTTCCCCTCGGCATCCACCATGACGATCTGCCCGTCCACTCCAATCACCGGCTTCCCGTCCAGCCCCAACATAGGACCCACAGGCACTTGCACACTCGTACCCTCCTCCGACCGCATCTCCTTCCTATTGAGTTTGATTGGGAGTTGCCATCGCGTCAGCTCGACGGGCTTGCGCGAGTCGAATTTCATCACGTCGTATTTCCATCCATTCAGCGAGGACGACATGAGTTTGAATTCCTGGAACGGCGTGTCCGGCAACTGGAGCTCCTCGTCCTCCTCCTTCGGGGGCGCAGTGTGCTGCCGGGTGATAGGAGTTTTCCTAGGAGGTTGCGCAGATGGAGATGCGGGGGCAGACCCTTTCGCATCTTTCTTGGGTTTCTTGGGATGGAACAGAGAAGCCATCGACCCCTTGGGTGCCATCGTTGTCAAATATGCGAGTTGTAGATTACTTCTTGGGTTTATAGGGTGTGAAAGGGACCGGGTTCGTCAGTCAAGAACGAACAGGTGCGGAGAGACGAGTGGCAACGGCAAGGTGAGTCGGTGTGCGAGTGTCACAAAACGGTGTCACAAACTCTCCTCTGATCTTATTCATATCATCTTCGGTCCTGCTACGGTGCTACTCACTAACATGAAACGACACTCCTTCGAGCATCGGAGACTTTCCTTCCATTTATAATCTGTCTCGATCTCTCCGTGTCTGCTGTGCTCTCCTTCTTTACCACGTTCCACGCTGGACTGCTTCTCGATCTTCAAGACCCTCCAGCCTTTCCGACTTTGCTGCAGCTGATAACTGGTCTCGACCCTCCTGTATCTTCTACTTGGCAATAAGTGTACAGTCTTGCACATCTGGCTTCTGCAATGGCCTTCGTCTCGTAGAATGCAGATTTCAGTTCGACGTCGGCGAGCTCCAATGGCACTTCTCCAGTCATCATGCATGGGGGTTGACAATTGTGTTGACTTTCGTCACTTTTTCCCAGTTCTACATTACAACTAGTGAAGTGGCGTGGCCTGCCACTTCCCGTGCTTTACAATCATGGTCCCTCGTCGGATAACGCTGCGAAGACCGAATATCGTCGTCTTCATGAAATTCATCAAAGCCGCCAGCTTCACCGACGTGTGTTCGGAGCTGGGGGAGGGGGTACAAATGTATTCTCGCTTCTGCGACCGCTCGTTTAATTGGAGTCTCACACGATGTCGATCACATTCTCGGCTGGTTGGACTCTCTATTGCACCAATCACCTGGAGGCGACAGGGAAGACGTCATTGCGCCTGAAGACGAGAAACTCTACGTCAACTTCAATGCCGGGGTAATCGCATGGCACGAGGTAGACAGAGGGCCATGTGCGTTTTGACAACTATTATTAGTGTTGCGTCTAATGTAGATCCTAGACGAGAGCGCCGCGGCAGCGCTTGTTGCTCCGGCTCATCACCAACTGCCGTATCTGAAAAGGTTTGGGCAGCATGCACTCAAGACTACGCGTGAGTACAAGAAGCTGCCGCCGTCAGAGCACATGGAGAATCCGGCACGCTCCCTTCTGGTGGCACCCTTGTTCCTTCCCACAGAATCTGCCTTCAAACGTCTCTATATCCGCCATCGCCGAGTAAGGTGATCGTGTCAAGATCGTTGGGCTGCAAGTAGCTGAATTCCACAAACGTTGTTGATGGGCAACACGACTCGACTCTACGACTAGGTCTTCTGGCTGTGATACCAAATCGTGTCCAACACTACGGCGGATCCTGGCCCAAATCACATGTGCCTACCCTCATTGCCGACGGATTGGAATGGCTGAAAACGTTGTCTCGGTTCTCTACGTTACGTTCAGGACTCGGCAAAACACATTGAGCTCCATCATGATGCGGTGCCCAACGCCACAAAAATGTTTTTTTTGCCCACATGTTTGCTACGGCCGATCCTCACTGGAGGGCATGAATCACGCGCTGATGACGGTGCTCGTAGAGGTAACGGGGATCTCGGCCAGAATGCATGTGCCCACCTGCAGCCGTGTCTCGACCCCGAAGCCATTCACAAGAAAGACTAGGGAGCTCCATGCGAGTCTCTTTCCATTGGACGAGATTTTCCGAGCGGTTCGAATTCTGACTGGATTCGAGAATCACACCTGGGTCTTCGACGAATTCCACCCGTTTTGCCGACGACCGCCTCGAGAGACTGTATCCGATTGTGCTGAAGCCCATGGCAGAGAGCAAATACGGGGCCCTGAATGCGCGCTGGGTGTTGCGCTATATGCAGGGAATGGAGCTACATATAATGATCATTCTCGTGAGGTTCACTCTGCGATTCACATCTTGGTTTCGCATGTCTACTTTCTATTTGTCACTTGTAGCACTTCTTTTTGTCATCTAGCTTTCGCAACTCGCCTTGTTGTTTCAGTTGGCTGTTGCATAGAACCAACGAATGCGCTGATATTTCTCCGAAAAGCAAGCACCGTCGAAGTTTGTGTGTAATGTGCATTTCTCACTAACTCGGGCTGTTCTAGTTCTCTGGCCCATACATTGATCTGTATGTCTGTCTACCCTACCTACATAGACAGTCAAAGTAAGTACATACACATCCAAATGGTCCGCACAACAAAAACGTTCGAAACAAAGGAATACATGGTTAACTGAGAGAATCTTCACGTCTACGTGGACTGCCATTTTCGGTCGAGGAGTACGAATTTTGGGAAGAGCTTGGACGTGACGGTGAGTGGACCGGGCCGTTGCTGCTGGACGACTGCGAGAATCCATGCGGGGGAATCGCCAGTGGGGGATACGATCCCGGCCGGAACGTGTCCAACTCGCGTCTCAGGACCTCAATCTCGTGCGCCATATCTTGGTGGCTTTGTTTTAGCTGCGCAACAAAGTCGATAGCTGCAGGCTATGAGTGCGACAGACATCCAGCCAGAGAAAACAACAGACCTTTGCTCAGAATCTCCCATTTGCTTGCCTTGAGACCGCGGTCAGCGGGGAGCTGTTCCCGCAACTCGTCGAACAACTCCTTCATCTCCTTGCGTCTTTTCCGTTCGGCCAACTTATGCGAGACGCGAAGTTCAGGAGACCGCGAGTACGGTGCTGTCCCGATTTCCTTAGGTCCCAATTTAGCCGTTGTTGGAGGACTGGAATCGTCCGGCGAACCATGGCTAGAAGCTTCCGCATTCGGTTTCTGGCGTGGCGAACGGGAGCGCTGATGTTTGACCGACGGTCCACTCAATGAGTCCGTGATGGACATTCGCCGGTCGGGAGGGAAATTTATGGGAGGGACCACGATAATCCCAGATTCTTTGCTCTTAGAAGCTGCAGGCAGACTGCCATCTGTCTCGTTGTAGAATCCACCCGGTGAATCAGAAGGACGGGAAGGCCAAGAAAACGAGGCTATGCTGGGCGGTGGACGTCCGTGCGGCGACTCATTCTCGGAAAAACGCGAGCTATAGCCGCCGACACTGGATACGCTCGAGAACATCGACGAGGTGGAGCTTCGCCTGTCATTTGGCGACCGCCACTGAGAGCCACGCGCGTCCAGTGAGTCACGTCGATCATTGAGGCTTAGTTGGGCGATACGCTGTGTGTCGATGGCCGAGCCACGGCGCTTAGGCGCCGGTGCCTCGGAATCGACGTCCATTCCGCCCGATGCTCCAGCTCCTCCATGCTGGACATCGCCTTCCTCGCCCACTGCGGGGAAGGCGGAAGGATCGGCAGACATTTTGCGTTTGAGTCCCTGGGGTGCGCCCAGGCGAGACGGCGACCGCGTGTGCGTGTCTTGTCCGACGGCAATGGAATGCCGTCTCATGGTGTAGTCGAAGGGTGTGTGGGATTCGTGAGACATGAGCTTCGCTCGGGCGGGATGGGGTGCAGTCGGTGGATGCTGCTCAATGGCGTCGACGTTCATGGCGTCTGAGGTGTCATTCTTCGGGGTTCCTGGGACGCGCTCAACCTCCCACAGCACACGTGGGCTAGATAAACTCTCACCTGAGCCACGGAAACTCCCAGCACTCGAAAGCACAGTATCCCGAGAATTGGGGGAGGGAGATCGTAAGAGCTTCCGAAGATGGGATCCATCCCCATGGCCGGCCGATCCAAAGACGTACGGTGAAGCGGGTCGGGGTTCTGAGGGATTGTTTTTGTCCTGGCGAAAGAACTGGGAGTTGATGCTCTGGCGGGGTGTAGCGTGCAGGAACGGGTCTGTTATAGATCCGCGACGCTGATTCTGGAGAAACTCGAGGGGAGCCAGGCTGGCCTCGTCCGATCCCTGGCTCACAGGGGGTCGCAGTGGTGCGACTGAGGAATGCCTTGAGGAGGGTTTATTGGCCAGGCCGTGGTGTGACTGCTTGAGGGAGCCCGTGGCCATGGATAAAGGTTGAACGGGACGTTCCCGGCGGCGTCCAATGAAGTAGTGGGAACAGAAGCGAGAATGACGGCAGTTGGACAGCAAGAAGATCTATGCAACACGAGAGATCTCAGAATCCCGCGTACACAGGGAAACTAACGTTGGTAACTCTACTAACACGATACAACGCCAAAATCAAAATCAAGACACGTGTAAGAGCCCAAATAGGATTGATTAATTGCAAGCTTCGAGCGCTGTCGCATGCAGCAGATGCCGCTGCGGCTCATCGAGCTCCAAGTTGCGATAAAATCGTCGTATACTGTTTCGCGTACCTCTCCCAACGACGGGGAGACTGGCCTGGGCCTGGGCCTGCATGTCCTCCCCGGCAACGATGTGTCGGGCCCAGGGTATGTAATCCAAGTGGACCGCAGGGCGGGCCATGACTCCAATTGCCAACGTCTTGTCATTCGCCCAGTCACGGACCAGCCGCAGATAATCGGAGCACGGCGACGGGTCCGCAGCCCACCCAATTCCATGTGTCACATCCAGAAGAGTATCCCTGATCCGTTCATCCCAGTTGTAAGACCCGAAACCATCCGATAGCGCATCTACAAGCAGTGAATGACCTGTCTCTTCATCCCCAGATGACTGTAATTCGGCCGAGGCCAACGCCTGAGCCATACTTTCAGTTCTGCATTCTCAGGACTGATAGGCTGACCCACCGTTGGACACTGTGCATCACGTCGCGTGTTGTAAGCATCCACGAATGACAGAAGATCGACGGCATGCTGGACAGAAGATCGGGTCCCACTGCCCCGCCCATGTCGAGAAAAAGGGAAAACTTGACATTGCATCTGAAGCTGGTGGATTGCATGTCGAAGATCCAGTCCGCCTTCAATGTAGAATTTTATGAGCCAGTCTCGTTGCAAGACGACGCCCTGGGCACAGCATAGTGCTTGCAGATAGCTGCCGGCAACATCTGGAGGACACGGGTGGAATTCGAGAATTCTTTGTAACGGCAAGTCTCCGACAGGCACTAAAGATGGGTCTGGGCTCTCATCCTCAGTTTTTTACCCGCGTCCAGGAAAGACACGACTCACCATTACATGTACAGACCACTGGTCTGCGGGATTCCCTGATGAGCCGCACCACGGTCGGCCAAAAATTTACATCTTCCTTGAAAAGAATATCGACTTCTTCCAGCAGGATGAGTGATTGGCGCGGAGTATTTTGTCCCAGGCCTGCGGCATCAGGATCGCCGGTACGAGTCTCGTGGTCTGCACGACGAACAAGGTGGTTCTTGCCAACGTCCCCGATCAGGGCCTCGAGACTAGCACCGTTCCTTTTCCCGATACCCGGATACACCTCGAAGACGTCCCATCCTAGTTCATCCGCGCATGCGAACACGGCAGCGGTTTTGCCGCAGCCAGGTGGTCCCGTAATCAGTATGGTGTTGCCCATGAGATCACTCTTGGAACCGGCGCCGAACACTGCATCGGACGTGGGGATGAAGTCATCGTCGTCTGCCCCTGCTGGCTCAGGTTCCCAGGCGTAGTCGCTAGCATCGCTAATAACGAAGCCATTATCGTCCGGAGTCAATCTTCGCTTTTTGCGAGGCCGGGAGACAGTTCGGATGATTTGTGGACGTTTAGCGCGTGGACCGTCTTCTTTTTTCTGGTGTTCCGACCGGACTTCGAGTGCTTGCAGCCAATTTCTCAGATACCTGGCCTCGTCCTCGTTGCCCAATACATCGTCAGCGACCAGTGGCCGCCAGACGTCACTCCACAGCCGGTCTGCCCCAGCGAGACCCTCACGGTAACCGCAGGTTCGTTGGATAACAGGATGCTCGGTTTGGTGGACAGATGGAATGCTTTCTAGAATTTTCTTCTCCGAGAATGCAATATCTGTTTCCGAAGGTGGAGGCGTATGCCATTCACGGTCGTCAACCTCTCTCGAAAGAGAAATCGGCGTTATCGGGTAGGGTTCACAGATTTTCGGCGTCCCGCGCAGATCTGCTGCAGTGGTAACGAAGTGAGACTGGTGTCCTCTCACATGCTGGTTTTCTTCATTGGGAGCTGGTGTGATCATTTCGGCCTTTGCAAGGAATGGTCGACGATGAGAATCGGTCGTTGATTTCCGGAGAGACCCTGAGCTCGGTTTGGTCGGAGCCACAGCAGACAACGCCTCCGAAGCCGTTATAGTTTTCCGTCGAGGGGCGAAGATGTCATGATTTGGCCTTGACACCCTCAAAGGTTCAGGCGTCGTGAGATCTATGATAAAAGAGTCGGTCCTGATGCTTTCGCTGACACGCGTTCTAGGAGGCGTGGATGCTGCAGAGGCAGTATGTCTGGTTTCTGCAGGTAGGGAGGGGATTTCTTGCTCTTCTGTGTCTGTAACATCGAGTATTTCGATGGGACTGGACGACTCGGGAGGAACCAGGTTAACAACATTGGCAGTCTCGATGGCGGACAATTCAACTTGGAGAATGGTAGAACCACAGAGGAGGTAAGGTAGAGCATGAACGCACTTCGGCCTCTGGTCTCTTGTCTCGAATCTGGTACAGCGTCTTGAGCCTCATCCTTCGAGCTTCCGTCGTGTTCGACACATGGCGTTGTTTGAAATACGGAGGACGCAGGATGTTTAATAAAGTGGTCTAATAAGGATTGCTGACTTCGTTTCAGCATTTGACGCGTAAAGCACATCCACACGGGGGCGCGACTTCTGACCTGTTTGCTTTGCTTGGGATTTATCCTGCTTTCTTTCTGGGAGGCATAGTGGGCGAGGAGGTTTCTCGTCACTGTGAAACACTTTGATAGGATCCTAAGTCGTAGATTCCCGAGGCAGCGCTCTATAGGACAGGCCGGGAAGAGGTCAATTCGACCAGTGGTCGTGACAATGACAGACGCACTAAGTGTCACGTGCTGATGTCGGCACGTCAACCCGTGATCCACTGCAATTGCCAAGAGTCGCTAGTCTTGAGTCCGGACATCCTGAACGTTACCTCTTCACCAGAGTGACGATCTGAGCGATCTGTGTCTATCTCTCCTTCAATCAAACAAGGGAGGGCCATCCGATGCAGATATCGACGACTTGGCCTTCCTCGAGAAAAGCCGAGTCCTTCTGACCCGCTTGCACCGCGTCTTTTATACCTCTCACGTACAAATCAGCTGCGGAGGAATCTACGCCGAATCTCCAAATGCATCCATCGACTCGAATCCCTATTCTCACACGTCCGGAAATAGATGGCAGAACCTCACCCTGTCGATTGGACTCAAGTCTCGGGTTCATGGGCTCTGTATAGATTTCTCGTCACTTCGGCTGCCTCGCTAGCTAGCGACATGACGACGAGCCCTGGGCAGTGCTTTGTCCTCGGTCGCGCACGGCGAGGTCCGACAAGTGATGTGCTGGCAGGAGCTGGAACAGGCATACATCCACCCCTTGATCGCACTGCATTCCATCTGCTTTGGCATCAGGAATCAGTCATCAGGTGCGCAGACGATTGCAGTCTGATGAGCAGAAGGTAGCGAGCAGTCGGGACGAGAAGCCAGCTTTGGTCTTCTTCTCCTGCGCTGTGATTCGATCTGATTTGAGGCTGGAAGTCGGGAGTCGGGAGACGACGTACGCTGCCCGGCGCAGACAGCTGCTGATGACTGCTCCTGGACAGATATCTCTGTCGACAAGCTGTTTCAAGGACCGATCTGTTTACCGTCTCGGTCGGACAGCGGGGTCGTGCGGGTGCACTCGATGGACTTGGATGCCGCCAATTGTCCTCAGAGGCCGCCATGTCCCGAGTACGGGTGTCAGATATGCTTTCAATTGTGACTCTGCAAGCTTTTCTTGCATCCCAGGATCGTTCCTGAGACTTTTCAGACCTCCATAAATTGAAACATCTGGGAGTAATTAGACGTTGCATCCCCTGTATACCACGCTGGGCGAGCTAGAAATCGATTTTCCGAGGTTTTTAATGAACGGGAACAAACTGACATATGCAATGGTTGTACCGTTTTGGAAATGCCATCGTGGGAGGAGTACATAAAGGCCGTTGCCATAGAAAAAGCCCCATCTTTCGGATTCCAAGCCATCGCTGTCACTTGCGGCAGCAATAAGTAGCGCCCTGCGAGTGTATAGTCGCTCGTGCTGGTCCCCATCGCTGCCGTCTACATTATCCTGTCTTTATTTCCCGTGGCCGGCCCACTTTCGCTCCTCTTTTCTTCACCATGATGGCTCTGCAAATGTCCAACAACATGGCGCTCGACTTCTTACCCTCCCACTCTCGGTCAAATTCGGTTAGCTCGTCGTCCACCCACTCGTCCAACTCGCGTCCCCAGTCCTCCAGTGGACTTCACATGTCGGGAATGGGGCCAACTCAGGAGGATCTGTATCGGGTGTCGTATCAGCTTGGTCATCCTAGTGGCGGTCTCGGTGATCACGTACGTCCCTCTCCCTCTCTTTACCTCCTCTGTCACCTGTGCTGAGCTATTGCCCCCAGCTCGCGCAGTCGCCTCCGAACCACAATATCACTAATCCCGCCCTCAAAAATCATCTTCGACCCAGCCACATACGCGCGCGCGCTGCCGCGTCCCCCTATCCTCGCGATACCGACTCGGTGCATTCATCCTCCAGTGAGACGGACGACCTTTCCATGTATCTCGGAAACCACTCCGCTGCCACGGAGTATCACCCCATGTACGCTGCCCCGCAGTCCATCACGCCCAATCATCAGGAAACAATGCACACGGCCGGTGCCTTTGGCCGTATGACCATCTCCCCGGATCATGCACTAGAAAAGCTAGCCGCGAATGTTCGTGCGGCAACAACGACTAGTGCTTCGGATAGGGCAAAACAGATCTTCGTTCAAGCATGGTGCGCCCATCTGTAACACATGCCTCCTCGCTCTACATTGACTTGAACCTCGCAGGTTAACAGCCAACTATGCTCCCTATCCGGACGGCAATGTACCTCGACAAGGCCTGTACTTTTCGTATCGACGTGTATGTGACCAGTATGGGATCCCGCATATCAATACGGCGACATTGGGAAAGGCCATCAGGCTGTGTTTTCCCACTATCAAAACACGGCGGCTCGGAGTGCGAGGCAACAGCAAATACCATTGTCAGTCCCTTCTTTCCTTGATGCATCATTCCTAATCCTGTGATCGATAGATTGTGGGATCCGGCCTGCGACGTCGGCGGAAGCAGAATGGCTTCAGGACTATATTCACAAGTCCAACAACAATGCTGCTCAGGCCTCGGTCAACGCTGTGCGGCCTAACGACCAGTCGGAGGGTGGGGCGAGTCGGGCCGAAGATCGCTCGGACGAAGACGATGACGAAGATTCGGAAGGTATCAGCTCAGCCGTCGGCTCGAAGCGCAACTCATTGTCATTGGGCCCTGATGTTAAAGGAGCCGTCTTCGCTCAAGATCTTAGTGACAAGACGCCGACAGCCGCGACGTTATTGTCTCAGGCCCAAGCCGCCCAGCGCCCGGGAACGTTTCCGCATCAGGCCTCGATCCGCAGGCATCCCACGCAGGATGGGCCGCTTGGGGTGCAATCCCACTCACCTCCGGCAGGCAATATGGTGCCGTACATGGGGACGCAGCAGCCCGCATCGGTCCGCCAATTACCTCATTTCCCATCGATCGAAGAGGCGGTTGGTGTGAATCCGACTACTCCACACGGGATTGCCGCACGCGACGTCTGGGGCTGGTTTCAGGACCATCTTGATCTGCTGTTGGAGAGTGTGCGGTCATACCGCTTCGATCAATTCGAGATGCATCTGCGGACGTTTTGGTCCAATTTGGGCGGGAATCACCGCGAAGTCGTGCACGCCCCGGCAATTGCAGGTTTGATGGCCAAGGCGGATGCGATTGTATACGATGTACGTCGCTCCACTCACATGCATGCTTTCGGTGCAGTATTCTCATGTGTCGTGCTGCAGGAAATTCTCGAGTTTCTTCGCTCGCAGATGTTGTCTCCGATCACACCAGCAGCTCTCGCCAATCTTCGCCAGCTTGCCAACAAAATGGAAAAGATCCTACTGGTGGCGCTCGAAAACTACGGGAACACATTCGTCGAGCCCAAAGTAGAATTGGGAGCTCGCTTTGGACATCTTGTCCGTGCGTACATGCGTTTACTCTTCTTGACTGTGGCTGAGGACCTTGACAGTGCGTTTCCTGGATATCTACCAGGTCACTCAAGCTCTGACGACCGTGCTGACGAACCAGAAGCAGCTGGGTGAGATGCGGCGCTCGTGGCAGAAAGTGGACTTTGAGTCTGTGCGCAACCAGTCTGCATTGGTGTGCAATTGCCGTCACGAGGAGCTGGTGCAACTTCTGGAGGTCGAGTTTGTATCGTTGTTGGACGGATTGGCGAAGAGCACCGAGCCTGTGCGAGAGGTGATGTCGTGGGCAGACAAGTGCTGTGAACGTTTGATGGGCAGCAGCCGGGCTACTCATGGTGGGCCAGAGGAGCGGAGCACGATGAGCTCGCGCAGCGTGCTTATTCGTTGGGGATATGTCACAAGTCAGGTGATGAGAGACCTCGTGCGTTCTCACGCTTTCCGTTGCGTGGATTGGTACTGACTTTTCTCTTCAGACCATTCGCAGCGACCCGGCTTTCGGGGCATTTCAGATCATGAAGCTGTTTCTCGAGTGCGTGTTCTCGCTCGACGTGTTCACCAACGCGCTCATGTGTTTTGCAGCGACTGGATTGCAGTAAACGTGTTGAGAAGTGTTGCGTTGTCGACAAACTCAGTTGCTGCGTCTGTCGAACCAGTGATGCAGCAACAGTTCTTTACCCTGTCCCCGATGGCCGGGCAGGAGACATTTGGCTCGTTGGAAGTGCGGCCCTCGCATATGATGGCCCACACGCCAACTACATCGAGCATGCTCGCAGCCCTGCAGAACGATCCATTCCCTCAAGGATCTCTTGATCCTAGTTCGACAGGATTCAGCTCAGATTATGGGGCCCTGTCTTATATGGACACATCCCCGACACAGGACGATTCGTTGCCGGCAGTGCACAACTCGTCCATGTCGTTCGGGGATTTCTCGAATCCCGCCAATTCTTTTGATGTGTCTGGATTCTCGTCGGAGCTGGCCCTGCATTCCTCGACACCAGGCAGCGAGTCCGAAAACGATGTAGAGCCTGTCAAGGCTGAGCCACAACCGACTGCTTAAAGTTTGATCTTGCTGTCCGCTGTTCTTGTTTTCTGTCGATATTTGATCTGTACTATTCTTTATCCCACAAGCTCCTACGCTCCTTAATACTGTACAGGGATCCCTGCGCGGATTTGTTATCAATATATATGGGACTTTTACTTCGGCAGATAATATTAAGACTCCGTGCTATGTAACAACCTATCAAGACTCGACCGCGTCAGCGACCTGCTCGCTCGACACTTCAGGCGTCGCTGGAGATGCATCGCCATTCGCCTTGTCCTCCTCTGCCGAAGCCTCCTTCGCAGCGAGACTCTTGATCTCCTTCTCTGCTTTGGCGATGTTCTCGGCGGTGACCCGGCTCTGGTTCGCTGCGAACCACTCCTTCTTGGTCTTCAAGTCCTCAATTACGCGGGGAAGATCAACGTTGGACGCAGGCGCCGGGATTGACAGCGACAGCAGAGCAGACAGTGTCGCAAGCGGGATGTTCAGCGCGCTTGATGACGAAGCAGGCGTCTCTACTTCCTTGGCCGGAGCCTTCTTGCCTTTGCCCTTGCCTTTGGCGACAAAATAGGACTGCTCCTCCTCACCCTTCTTCTTCCGCACAACAAGACCGTCGGTGGCGGCTTCGACTTTACGGAGTTCCAATTTCGGCACACCGGCAACGTCCGTCTTCGCAACAAGCGGCGGAGCGGTTTTAAGCACCACTGCGCCAGTGGTTTTGCCCGAGAAGAAATCAATCAGGGTTTGGCAGTCCTCGATCTCAGCCTGGAAAGCAGGGTGCTCGGCCTCCTCGCGGATCCTCTCGGCCCGTTCCTGCTTCTTGGCAAGCTCCTCGGCAGCACGCTGGGCCCGTGCCCGCTCGGCCCTCCTGGCCCTGTCCTCGTTGACCTTGGTCCAGTAGTGGTCGTTACGCTCACGGAAACGCGCGGACGACTCCCGTTTCTCGTCCCAGAGGGTGTTGATTTCCGCCTGCAGCTTGTCTCGCTCCTCGAAAAGCTTGGCCCGACCAGCATACAGCTCGTCACCCTCTTTCTTCAGCTCATCGAGTTCGGCTTTGATCGCGTCATAACGCTCGGATGCAGCCTTGGCAACAGGGTCATCGAGCTGCTTGCGCAATTCATCAAGGGTGGCCCGGTCCTTGTCGATGGCTTCTTGCTCGGTCTGGAATGCCTCCACGTTGCGCCGGTTGCGCTTCTGCACAGTGATCTCGGCGAGGGCTCGTTTTTCCTCGGCAAGTTTCATACTACCGCTCTCGACTTGGCGTTCAAGCTGTCTGAGGGCCGAGGTCAGACCGGAGATTGACCCGACAGCACACCGTAACGCTGCACGTACTTAATATGAGCCTCGACCTCAGCGACGGTCTTGAATGGTGTCTTGGCTTTGGCAGCTTGGAGATCTTTGACCTGGGTGACAGGGTATTCAGCGTGCGAGTAAGCGACGGAGGTCGTACGAGCCGAACCTTTTTCTGGATCCCGTCGTTGAGAGTTTTGACCTGGTCGAATATTTTGGCGCGCGACGTTTTGTTAGTCGATTGCTGACCGCGAATGCTGTCGAGTTCTGCACGCAGAACAGACCGACGGTCATTGCCAGAGCCGGACTTGGTGACCAGAGAGATTTTGTCTCGCACAGCAGTCTAGACAGCTCAATTGGAGCAACCGTACCGTGGGACGGCGAGAAACTACACGAACCAGCTTCACTTGGAGGGCGTCAATGTCGGACTTGATTTTGTCCTGTTCGGCGTCGAACTCCTTCTTGTCCGGCCGACCAACGTGCTCCGACGTGTCCTTTTTCTCAGCAGGCGTAGTGGTCCCGTTTGTGGAGGGGGCCTTTCCTTGGGCAGCTACGCCGTTCGCGGGGGCCGATTTTGGGTTGGGGGCCATAGTTTATGCAAGAGAATGCGAAGAGGAGGGTATAGTAGTGCTCGCGAGATGCGGAAAGGAAAAGACTGCTGATGATGGGAAATCAGGAACAGTTGCTGAGATATTTCCTTCATGTGAGATGGCATGGTAGCCCCCAAAAAGTCATTGTAGCCTAGAAAGCTATGGCGGTATCTAACGTCTCTACTTCTTTGTAGACCTCCTCGTACAGTTCTCGGTAATCGTCGTCCTTCTCTGTCTCTCCCTCTTTTGCTTTCCCCCTCTTTTTCTGGTCGGGACATATCATCACACAACTGGTCGGTCGTTTCGTCGAGCTGGCGTTTCCCAGCTCCTCCTTGGAAGAGACGAAGATATAAGGTATCTGGGCCTCTTCGCTGAGGACAGGGAGATGTGAAATGATGTCGATGGGATTTATATCCGCAGCGAGAACGAGCAATCTGTTCAAGTAGTCGTCAGCTGAGCCTCCACCAAATCTCAGGAGGAGCAACGCACCCTTTCTCTCCCTTGCGGATCCCCTTTACTACCTCCTTGACTCCTCTCTTCACCTGTCGCGCCTTGGACGCTAGGAACAAGTTGAGATTCAGGCAACTTGATCTACTTCCAAGCGTTGCGCGTGCGGACCTTTTTTGATGGTTTTGTGCAGCTTCTTCAGTAGTTTTTTCTGCGCAAGCGGATGGGCAAGAGGAGAGAGGTCTTCGGGAGGGATCACAATCTCTTCCTTCTCCTTCTTGGCTTTTTTCGGAGACTGGCGATGCAATTAAGGTTGAGCGCGGTAGAAACGTTGTGCAGCGTACAGCTGGCTGCTCCATCGTTACATCTCCGTCCTCGACGTCATCGCTCTTCCTCTTCTTGTCCTTCTTCTCCGACTTGTCCTTGCTCATCGAAGAGGATTGTGAAAAGCTGAATACGCCCGAGTCGTGCGTTGATGCACGTGATTGATCGCCTCGACTGAAGCAGATCAAGCCTCCTGGTCAAGTCTACCATTGATCCGATTTTCCTTCGTTGATTCAATCGAATTATACTAGAAATGAGCTCATCGTCTGAGATTCTCGATTTCAGACTGGCAGGTACTCCAACATGGATTTATGATATTGAATACAATGAGTGTGAAGACTAGATGTGCAATTTAGCTGACTGTGTAGATCCCCAGAGTACTCCAGGTCTACCGAAGCTACGTCACTGTGTGAGCTAGGATGATTGATGGGAGATGGTACGACACGCACATGTTGGCCACTCCGGGAGGCTCAATCGGTGTCTTCGACCTTTGCGGCGGCTTTCTTGGGACTGGCTTTTTTGCCCTTACCAATGGCTTTCTTCAAGCCGGTTTTCTTTTTCTTATCTGCGGCTCTCTTCGAAGTAGTTGCTTCATCCTTATCGGCATCCTCGAGACTCACGCCGTACTCGTCAAGTCGCTGGTTGATGTCAGATAATAGGCAATCCACAAGGAGGCGAACGTACAGCGATTAGAGCCGAGACGGTCCGGGCAATCTGGGGGGCAGTTTCACGCTTCACAGCGCCTTGAATCTGTTGGAGGAGGCCGCCGAGATCAGCTCCGCCACCTGCGCCAGCTGCACCTCCTGCACCTCCTGCACCGCCTAGGCCACCCAGAGCACCGCCTAAGCCACCGGCACCACCGGCACCGCCTAGGCCACCCAAGGCACCGCCTAGGCCACCGGCACCGCCGGCACCAACTAAGCCACCCAAGGCGCCTCCTAGGCCACCGGCACCGCCAGCACCATCGGCACCGCCAGCAGCACCGGCACCACCTAAGCCACCCAAGGCGCCACCCAAGCCACCCAAGCCACCTAGCATGAGAGGTGTTAGTTGGCAGATGCGAAGGGAACTCGGCACCAACCCCGTTGGCCGAGGGCGGACCCGCCGTTAGCTTGTATGCCCGGGAGGGTGCCATCGATACCCCCGATCGATGCACGCTTCTCGATCACCGGTGCTCGCAGAGCAAGAGGTGAAGCGACAACAAAGGCAGAAGAAATGAACAGAAAGAGTGAAGTAAAGCGCAAGGCGACCATTTTGTGTGAAGAGTGTGTGTAGTAAATGAAGATGCTGAAGTGGAAAGTAATGTGTTTTGTTGAATAGTATCCAGAGGGCTGCATGGGCTTTTATATCCCATGTTGCTCAGTTATTTGCCATGTCAACTGTAACGAGATAAGTGGTGAGCATTCGAAGTGCGCACATACACTATAACCAACGGTGCACACGAAGGTTCACTGACCGCTTGCTGTCATCCCAATCGGTTTCGCCGTTGTACTCGTCGTCGAAGCTCATCCATCGTCTTCCATATCGTCTCCGTCTCCACTCGATCTCTCCTGCGCAGCACGTCATCGTGCTGTCACGACCCTGCCTCTGGGTCCAGTTATCAAGGGTAACGAGGCTTGACATGACATAGCAAGGGTGTTGAACATCGCCGTCAAGGAGCACTCGATCGCCTTGAAGAGAACCGAATATCGATGATGCTATTGGCACATTTCCCAGTCGGCCAGAATATGAAAGGTGTGTCGAGGACGTAACCAGTGCTTCCGAAGGTCTCCAGGGTTTGGCGTCTCGAGGGCTCATGGATTTGAAGGACAGCAACATCGATCGGACAACACTTTTTTAACAACATCGCCGAGATTAGCAAGCCTTAGACGACGTTTTAGCGTCCTGGTCGCCACAGACCAAGTCGTAGAAATCAAGTTGCATAATTGCGTCAGTGACGTGACTCTGTCGATACTCAGTGATCGCCAAGATTATCGATCAACGATCATGAGGTATCAGTGGCAGTGCAAATAAGCAATCTGCGCAAGCGCTCCAGGAAGGCATGTTGCATAGGGCGGATCATGCTGAGGGACTGAACCACTTGCAGATACTATAATGATATTTTTTGATATCCTGCTAAGCTACCCGAATCATAGCTCGTCATGGGCTCGGACGACGGGTTCTCCAAACTCGTCGACTTCCTCCACTTCCCATTGCGGTTGCGGCGGTGATGGTGGCACGTCGACGTGGATAGGTTCTGCCGCTGCTGCTGCCGCCGCCGCCATCTCCTCTTCTGTGGGCAGTTCAGGGTCAACGGGCGGAGCCGGCTTCACTTTGGTGTCCGTTGGAGCCGTCTCAGAAACGCCCAGAGATCGACGCAGAACCCGGTCGACGCGAGTGAAGAACCTGTATCATATTGAGTGCTTGAGAAAGAAACACGAGAGAACGACTGACGTGTTGGAGTTGGTAACCTCAAAGCCAGAGCGCACCAGAGCACCATCGATCAGAATGGAAGTCACCTCTTCCAGTTCCTTCTCAGCCTCCAAATCCCGCTCCTCCTCGTCCTCGGGAAGTTGCTGGACCCGCTTGAGCATACCCTCGATCAACGGCGACTTGCCGTTGATCTCGAGAACCTTCGCCTTCCGAGCGAACTCATGCATGGCCGCGTTTTGGGGTTTCTGGTTCGACGACGCCATCATCCGCTCGACATTCGCGGTGTAGCCGTAGCTCTCCGCAACAACAGCGCACGGGCTGGTGACCAAACGGTTAGAGATGACAACTGTTTGGCATATATGAGCGCTCTGGTGTTGCTGACAAGAAGCAATACGACTTGCCATCACGGACAGTGTCGCTGCTGTGCTCCTTGAGGTACTTGATCAGCGGCTCGAACTTGACAGTCATTTCCTCGCGCTCGGCCTTTTCCTCAGCCTCGACATCTGACGCCTGGTGAGCTCGTGTTCCGACAACAAAGACATACAAGCACACCTTCGTCACCAAACTTGAGTCCGGCTTTGGCGACATCCTGGAAGGGCAAGTTTTTGTACTGTCTCAGGTTCTGCACGAGAATCTCGTCAAGCGGCTCGTTGAGCAGGAGAACTTCGTATCCTCGAGCGTGGAGCTTCTCGACAAACACGCTCTGGGCGAGGTCATCGATGGTCTTGCCCATCTCAGCCAGGTAGAAGATCTAGTCACGCAATGAGATCAATCCAGCGCATAGAGCATACCAGACGCACCTGCTTCTGGCCCTGCTTCTTGTTCTCCACGTACTGTCCGAGCGAGGTGAAGTTCCTCTGGTTGGTGGAGAAACGAACCAAACCGAGAAGCTTGTCAGCATTCTTGGCGTCTTCCACGGCGCCCAGTTTGAAAACGTTGCCGTAGACCTCGATGACCTTTTTGAACTTTCCTCGTCTTCCTCAGAAATGCGAGTGAAGAGCTGGATGACACGCTTCAAAAGAATCGTCTTCAATTGCCTCAGGAAACGGGTCGATTGCAGGGTCTCTCGCGAAACATTCAGAGGCAATCCTCGGCTGCGCATGGCGTTCATCTCCACACCAAGAAAAGAGAATAGGCAGACTCACCATCAACAACAGCTTTGAGCCAAGCAGCCCAGCTAGGAAGGACGTTGTCACCTAGATCCGAGGTGATGAACACGCGCTTGACCATCAGTTTGATGTCATTCGACTTGTATGCCAACGGCTGCTTCCAGTATTCCTCGCCCCTGCGGTCGTGAACAACAACAAACAGTGTGCGAAATCATTCACTTACAGCTTGCTGGGAAGATAGATAATAGACTTGAACGAAGTCCCTGACTCGGAGTCACCAGAGAAGTGCGACCAGCCCAAAGGCTTGTTGAAGTCCTTCCAGAACGCAGTGTAGAACAATTCGTAGTCCTCTGTCCGGGCGATGAATAGGGGTCCAACTTTGATGAGAGTCGTTACTCACCGTCAGCAGCCTCAGAAGGTGGACGCATCCACAACGGAGGAAGAGCGTTCAACTTGACCCACTCGTCGACGATGACTTTCTTGGTCTTCGGTGGAGCAGGTGTAGCCTTATCCTCTTCGAAGGCGTCCTCGACAACAGCCTCATCGTCGTCCAAAGGCTTCTGCGCCGCGGCCTCGTCATCGACTACGACGGGCTCCTTAACCTCATCCTCGACAGGGACTTCATCCTCTGTTTGAGTGAAGAGGTAGATGGGGAACGTGGATGAATACGACGAGTGCTTGTTGACCAAGGCAGTAAGCTTGTCCGTGTCAAGGTACTCGACCGCATCGGGTTTCAAGAACAGGGTGATCTCCGTTCCATGACTGCCGAGCGTCGCGCCGCGAGGGTCAGCGAAGATCTCGTACGAGCTGTCGTCGGCGCTGGATGTGAAGACGTGTTGCGCGGGAGTCGGGTTCTTTTCTGACTTGGGAGAGATGGAGGCGACCTGCACACGGTCCGCGACGAGGAAACTGCTGTAGAAACCGAGACCGAAAGCACCAATCAAGTTGCCCGTGCCCGTGGCGTCGGAAGAATCGGCCTGAGCGAGGAAGTCGGATGTGCCAGACTTGGCCAGAGTACCCTAGAGAACTGGTTAGTGCTCCGATCACAGAGCCTTGGACGAGTACGAACGAGGTTAGTGGACAGCTCAGCAGGCGTCATGCCAATGCCGGTGTCTGTATTCTCGTCAGCGGTCCGCGCTGTCCAAGCGTACGTAAGGCGGCGCACCGGAAATGATGAGACGACCGCCCTTGCCGTCCTCGTCCTTCACAGCCACGATGGTGATGTTCAGCTCGCTGCCGTCCCAGAGCGACTTGTCCTTGAGGGACGTCAGTCGTAGCTTCTCCACGGCGTCCTGTGAGTAGGTGCGTCAGAGTCAAGCCGGACGGGTGCGCGCTCTCCGGCGTACATTGGCATTCGAGATGAGTTCACGCAGGAAGATTTCCTTGTGCGAGTAGAGGCTGTTGATCACGATCTTGCGAAGACGGGCGACATCGCTCTGCAAACGTCCAGTGAGCTCTGAGTGCGTGCGGGCTAAGGCGGTGGGCTAGGGACCTGGTAGTTGTGTTTCTCCTTGGGCACGTCCTGGGCATTCAAGTCCTGGGCGTACGCGGAGACAAGCGAGAGTGAAAGAAGGAGTGAACCGAGAAAACGCATCCTCGAGGCACGGTTGTCGCGCGAGTAAGGCGCGGCTAGGCTTTTATACCAGGGTACGAAGCAAGTTCAGGATGCAATCGTGGCGACACGTAGCACCGAAGAAACGCGATCACATGGATCTGCACTGCGGTCATGTGTTTAACGCGTAACTATCGAACACAACTTCTCAGTACGTCACTGTCTTTGTGCTTGCTTCGACGGGAGGATTTCATGGATATGACAGGAACCTAAGTGCTGCATGCTCGCATGCGTAGATCCAATGTAGCAATTGCGTGGATGAGCGCTTTGACCCACATAATAGATTACGTGATGTAGATGATCAAACAGGTAGAAACGAAATGTAGATGATCAAGGCACATGAACAGACAGTCGAGGCGGAGGTAGCTCAGACAAGTAAGTCTATCAAGCATGATTAATCTTGAAATCTTTGAGAAAGGTAGACTCACCCTGATCCATTGCTCCCTTTGTTCTGGAACATGATCAAACATCACATACCTCTTGTCGTTCTACCAAAGCTCAGTGAGGGCAAAACAAGAAGAGGAAGCGATATACCTTCAGAACTTTCTCAATCTCAGCAACATCAACGCTCTTGGCGAGCACTTTCATGTCGACTTTGCCCCCGCCACCGGCCCCTTCATCTTCGTTCATCCCTTCCTCGTCAGCTTTGACTCCGCCGTCAACCTGAGTACCGCGCATTAGCCGTCCATCCTAACAATAGTAGAGCCTTCGCACCCCTTCACCCCCGATTTTCCTCAGTTTCCCCCAGAATTCGATGAATGCGTTCTCTGCTAGCATCTCGTCGAAGGCTTTGCGACAGTCGCTCGTTCGTTGTCTGCGCCAGCGGCTGAATTCATCCTCGAGCGCACGAACATCGAAGCCTAATCTCGTGACGGGCGGTGCATCGAGTAGCTCGGACAGCGGCAACGCGTCGAATTCAGTTACCAGTGATGGCGCTTGTTGCTCGAACAACGCGTGAAGTGACGCCATGTGCCTGGAGCGCAGATGATTCACATGTGCATTGAACAGGCCCCGCTGTGTACCCGTCGAAAGAGGCGAGAGCTGGAACCGCGGGTCCGCTGACAATAAGGGAACAACAACGTCCCAGGTCATCTGCCACAAGCACAATCAGCTGCTGTCTTAAGCCGAAGAACATACCATGCTTACCTGTGGATCCCGCACTGCGTCTGTCAACAGACTCCTACAGATCAGAGCTCAAACTCTCCTCCAGGGCTAAACAACAGTAATGAAAAACGCACTTGAACAAAAGCTCGCCCTCCTCCTTGTCACTGATCTGCCGCGAGCGCCCAATCTGAGCATCCACTCGCTCCATATCAGCTTTCACTTTACTTTCCCGGTCTTTCAGAGCCTGTGAAGCTCTCTCCTTCCGTTTTCTCTGCTGTTCTTCGTACGTCTCCTCCTCAGGTTTATCTTCCTCCTTTTCAATCGCCTTGGAGCCTGACGCACTGCTCAACGCATTGCCCTTCATGAAAGTATCGTACAGTTCCTCGCGAAGTGACGAAGACCCAACAGCGTCGTACCGGGGGTCCTTCGCAAGCCCACGCTTCGCCTGCACGACGTCAATAAGCAATGCAAAGCCTGGGATTGCTGGCGTACATCTTTCCAAGGCATACTTGGTTTCCCGATGAGATTCTCGCGCAGTAGAGCAAAGAAGTCTGACTCTGCTTTGAGAGCAGCGGCCCGTTTTTCTGCGACCTGAGCACATGTCGAAAGAGACAACCTGACGACTCACTTTCACCCAACTCCTTGATCCACTCTTTGAACTTCTTTTCCCGTTCTCGATCGTCACGACCCCAGCCATAGAACCGGCGATCCTTCTTCCAGGTCCGGCGGAACTCGGACCAATTGGTTCGTGTGCTTTTGACTTCGTCCTTCAGGAACCGTTCGAACTCTTCCTTCGGGGTCAGAGTCTCTACCTCCTTCTTGACGTTCGCTTGTCGTAGCTCGCGCGCGCGCTCCCGGCAGTAATCATCGAAGGCCTCCCGTCGGGCAGAAACAGACGAAAGCAAGACGTAGCGAGGATCAGATACGAACAGGGGCAGGGCCGCATCCCATGGTTGTAACGGATTGATATCCTTTTCACGGAGAAGTGTCTGGAGATTAGATTATTAGAACAATGGTTCCAGGTGATATGATGCCAACCCGCCTTGAAGAGCGCCTTGCCCTCTTCCACTGATAGATCAACGCGGTCGGGAAGGTTAAGACGGATCGACTCCTTGCGCAGACGCTCGGCTTCCGCTGCAGCCTCCGCCTTGACGCGTTCCGTCTCGTCCCTCTGTCGCTGCATTTCCTCCTCCGCCTCTGCCTCCAGTTGAGCAGCGGCCTCCTTCTCCCAATCCTCCTCTACCTCGTCTCCATCTTCACTGTCCTCCTCGTCGTCCTCGCCTACTTCCTCCACTTTCGCCTTCTTCGAGACCGCCGGCTTTCCCGTAACGGTCGGATCCTCCGCTTTGCGCTTCACGGCCGCGGCCACCTCGCTCTTGACCCTGTCGATCTCGTGCGCCACGCCGTCGTCCTCCCCGTGGGCGTCATCCATCGCCTGCACAGCCGCGCGAATCTCATCCGGCACGACCCACACACTCTTCTTGTCGATTTTGTGCGAGTAGAACGTGTTGCCCTCGGTCGTCTGCACGCGTATCCAGTCCGTGCCCGGGATCGGCGTCTTCACGAGCGGCTTCTCTTTCTTCTTCTTCTCCTGCGCGGGGGGTGGCGGGAGGGGGCGCGTGTAGGTGGACTCCTTCGTGTTGACGTTGTGGTAGTACAGCTGTCCGGTGGGGCCTGTCGAATGTTACTTGGGGAGTCCTAGAGTCAAATTAGGGCATGGCGCACTTTGATGTTGAGTCCAACCAAATGGCAGTGGCCCGAACGCCGCCCCGGGAACGGACATGATCGTACAGTGAAGTACAGGCTGGATTCACAGGCTCTGAGTGGCTATGCACCGATCACGTATCACATGATCTTCCAATCTCCCAGTCCAAGCGGTGCACGATACATATCCAACCGGTGTTACCATGCGCGGCCCCTTTTCGATGTACCATCCGCGCAGCCGATCTTATGTACGAACCCAACCCAATCAACGAAGCTATTGCATGAGACGATTACCCTGGTGTATCTCGATTGCACTGCAGGTGTTCGCTGATTGTCTGCAGCATACACTATAGGCCAGTGTGTGTAGGTACAGAGCTCCTCCGTTCCGCACAGGGACCCATGCGGTAAATCTATCCATCCATCCATCCAAAATTACTCTACATTTTCCCAGTCCCACGCCTAAACTGCATTGAGTTGTCAGACCGCAACCCCGTTTCCCTCGCATCTGCTATGGACAAGTGGTTATGATCAATGGACGGCTCAGCTGGTCTTTAAATGGCGTCCCATGACCGCGCACTAGCGTTCTTCCAGATGAACTCTCTCGCGGCTTCACGTCAACATTCTCGTTATATAACCTCGCTAGACCGAGATGAATACTTGGTGCCTCATTTGATCCCTCTCCCTGCATGGCTTCCTCTCCAGACGCTCTTGATCGCGATCGTGAAGAGCGCGCTTTGACCAGGAAGGTCCGTCCTGCGTTGGGATCCGTTGCGCCCAGATGCCATTCTGAAAGGGTATAGATCTTGTGGAAGCTCGACTGTCATGTCCTGCCTCCTCTGGCGCTGCTCTGGTGTGCCTGCTCACATGCCCAAGTGGCTGCCGTTCTGACGCGCCCTCGCCACTAGGCTCTGTAATTTTATAGATCGATCCAACGTTGGCAGTGAGTAATCGAAACATATCGATTGTGATCGACAAATCCACGGCTTTTAGACGCGCGAATTGCTGGTGGGTCGATTCTGCCATGGACGACTTGGGCTGAGCGACACAAGGCCTCGAGAAGAGCACTGGCCTGCATGGAAATCAGTTCAACATCGTTCTCACCGGTGAGAAGCGTGGTTCTCCATCTCCACCAGAGGCAATGCACTCATTGGCGCGCTGTAGTCTTCTACCTGACGTGAACATCCCCGCGCATTCCCGCCGCTTTTTTAACTCTCTCCGTAGCTACCTCGCCTCCGAAATACCCTCGAACCTCATCCTCAAGAGGATGAAAGCCAACGTATTCCCGCCTGCCCCTGCGATCTGCACCGGACGTTCACCTTTTGCAGCGATGGCTCCCTCTGATCGTCTTCTTGTGGGGCGCCGTGACAATCATGACCTGCTTTGTGCACAACTTTGGCGGACTGATCGCCATTCGCCTCGCTCTGGGGATGTGCGAAGGCGCGTTGGTTCAAGGAAGTATGCTCTGTTTGTGCTGACGTGCATCCGCCGCAGGTGGTTTACTTCCAGGCATGGTACGTGCTATTTCCATCTCACCATCGCTGTCTGACGGCTGCCCCGAAGATTCTCTATCTGAGTACTATCTATAAACCACACGAACTGCAACTCCGGTAGGTAGATAAGCCCGGAACTGGATGCTTCTTGGTGACAATATTCGCCAGTGTCGGGATATTCTACGCGTCGGCTTCGCTTTCCGGGGCCTTTGGAGGTAATAAATCTCCGGCCTGTCTGTGACATAGTACGATCCAAACACACACAGGTCTGCTTGCGACTGGAATCCTGTCTATGGACGGCCTCGGCGGACTGGCCGGCTGGAAATGGATATTCGTCATCGAAGGTGTCTATTTTTGGCGCTGAGTTAATTTTGGTATCTAATAATGACTCGCAGGTTTGGCCACTGTGGTCGTAAGCATTATCGCCGCCTACTTCATGCCTGAGGGGATCGCGACGGCATCGTTTCTTACACCGGAAGAGAGAAGATTTGCATGTAATGGGGAAAATCTCATCCACAGGTGTACGCTGACTCTCGACGTAGTAAACAGATTCCACGGGGTCGTTTACGAGGCCCCTGTCGAGACGTCCGAGAAGGGCGAGACGTCGATCACGGAAAATGCCGGACCATCTGATGCTCCCGTAGTTCATCTGACGGACGAGAAATTCGAGTGGAGAGAGGTCGTGCGAGGTGAATAACGTTCAGTATCTCATTTATACCGCGCTTAAATGTCTCTGGCCAGGTTTGACGGACTTCCAGACCTGGGTGACTGGTATCGCCTACCTGGGGCTGATCGTTTCGCTCTACTCGTTCTCACTATTCCTGCCGACGATTGTGGCCGGTCTGAACTACACCGGCAAATCCGCCCAGCTGCACACCGTCCCGCCCTATGTTCCTGCGACCGTTCTCACAGGTATGATCCTGTAGCACTCCGTCCCTGCTCGCATCTGATTGGCATGGTCCAGTGCTGGTCGCGTTTCTCAGTGATCGACTGAAGTGGCGCGGGCCGTTTATCCTGATATGTCTTCCTTTTGCTATTGTAAGATATCCCATGCCGCTTTAGTGCCGTGCTCATTTCAGCGTGCGTAGACAGGATACATTCTCGCCATTGCTGCGAAAACTAACGCTCAGCGTTACGGAGCCGTCTTCTTGATCGGTGCGTTGATCTGAGAACCTTCCTTTGTGCTCATCTTTCTAACGTGAAGTGACAGCCGCGGGTGTATATCCGAGTGGACCTGCGATCCTTTCCATCCTACCGAATAACAGCAGCGGCTACTACAAGCGCGCCACTACAACCGTGATTCAGACGTTTTCGGTCACAGCATCCTTTTTTGACAATATATCCTTGCTTTCAGGCCCTGCAGCTGGCGATCGGGAATGCCGGGTGAATTGACCCTATCCTTGGATTGATTTGTCATAATCGAGCCTCAGTGGATTCATCGCCACAAACATCTACACGACTGACCAGGCCCCAAAGTACATCAAAGGTCACAGGTCTGTTCTTGCTTCCCGCCGCGCAGCAGAATCCGCCACTGACTGGCTACGCTGCAGCATCGTCCTCGGATTCCTCATCCTCGCCTGGTTCATGATCGCCGTCCACGTGTACGTCGTCACGCACCTCCTCAGCTCAGCGCTGGACCGTACTCACACTCTGGCAGACTGCACGTCTTCCGGGAGAACAAGGCCAGAGCGCAGGGCCGGCGTCACGGTAATATCACTGCCTACAACGCCCTGCGCGATGCGGGCTTGACCAGCGCCCCCATCGGCGACAGGGACCCCGCATTTCGCTTCACGCCATGAAGACCCTGGCAGCTACAAACATATAATTTCCATTCGATGGTGCAGTACAACACTCAGTGGTGGAAAGTGGGGGGAGGTAGGGAGTAAGTCAATAGCGTGTCCGCCTTGTTATCAGTTGGCATTTTCAGCCCATGACGACGCAAACGAGTAGCCCTACGAGACGAAATCTACAAGCAATTCGATTCGATTACTGATACACGGCAGTGATGCATAGCGGTACAAATGATAGTGGGTAAGATAACACAGATGAAATTAGGTCGTCGCAATTCGTCGCAGTCGTTGGCATGTTTCTTGGTTCATGTGTAAAATCTGCACCAACCCGTCAGAGACCCTCAACCCGCAATGTGGAGACATAATACGCACTTCTTGTTGATCTGGACGAGGAACCGCTCAAAGTTTACCTTGGCCTTGCCGTTGAACAGCGACAAAAACGGCCGTTTCTCGTACTTGGCCTGGAGCAGGTCCTCCATCTTCACATCCTCGCTCGCAATCTTGGTCGTAATGCCCGTCGCAACCGACTCGAGCAGGAGTGTGAACACTCCGGGAGTGTTCGACGACATCGTGATGTGCAACTTGTCGAACTGCCGCGGGGAGAACTGGTCCACAGAGAGCAGGATACCCTTCTCGTACAAGTACTTGGCTGTGTACAAGAAAGACCCGAACTGCGGCGTCTCGCCAGACCGCTGCAAGTCTCGCAGATGGAAGTACTGCTTCGTAAACGGCAGCACCAGCTGTTTCCGTCTGCAGCGCAAAGCGAATCAGTTTCAATCAAGCAAACGCATCACGAATGAGTCACGCACTTTTTACCGCCACCGCGTTGCATAGTCTGCATCGCAGCCTCAGCATAACTGTGATAGCTGTTGATCTTCTCCTCCAGCTGCTTCTTGTTCTCAGCCAGATGCTGCAGAGCCTCGGTCATCGACTCCATCTCCTGCTGCCTTTGGATCCGTTTCCGGTGCTTGCTCCGCACGTCGGCAGCGATCGCGTTGAGGATGCCCTGGAAACCATCACTGCGCGATACTTTGCCCAGTTTCTCGAGCTTGATCAGGAACTCGATCGTGCGCAGCTTGACATGCGCAAAGTTGAATCTGGGATGGGAACGTGGTGAGCGATATTCGGCAACCTGTCGCACGACTCACGAGCTGATGTCATCCAAGCGGTAAGCAGCATCGCCAGCCGTGGTGGACGGCTGCCGTCGGCTGTGCCCAGCCTGCTCATGCTGTGCCTCGCTCTCCAAGATGTCCTCCCAAATCATCTCATCGTCTGGAGTGACCTCCCGCAACAATGCCTCGAAGAGATTTTCGTCCGGATGCACTTTGAGGACCATCAAAACGCCTCGTTTTGCCTGAACCCATAACGTCTTTTCCTCCGCATGTGGGTCTATGCATGTCGATGATAAGCAGCAGATACAGGAAAAAGGAGAAAAGGCGAACACACCTCGGACATTAGCGAACCGATTCGTCAGTTCAAGAGTGATCGCTTGGTCTCTCGCATCTTTCAATTCGTCCGAACCCAGATTGGGGACACCACCGAGCTCAGACAAGATCGCGCGGAGAGGGTCGTTAGAGGATGGAGGAGCCTTCAGATCATCAGCCAGTGCGGTCAACAGAGTGAACGAACGGCTTACAATTGCATCTTGGTATTGTCCAAGCAGCCCGTGCATGGTGTAGATTTCATTCGGGGATATGTAGATCGGCTTCGGTGGAACAGTGGCGTCAAGGAACTCGTGGGCATGGAAGTGAACATCCGCGTCCGGCACATTTGCAACTGGGAACGTGTGAGAATCGCCCCGCAGAAGTTTGCACAGTCTCACCTTCAAGCAACCATGCAGTCATCTCTCTGATAGCCGTGCGTACAAACTCGTTGATTGGAATGTATATGGGCGAGTCCTCGTCGAATTCGGTGCCAGACGTGATCTGTGTGAGGACTCGTGAGATTTGGTCCAGATTTCTACGAGCATCGCGGTCAATAGTTTTTGAGACTAAATCAAAAGTCTCCGGAGTCCTGGAGCACTAATCAATCACGTAAAACAGGTCCCTGCGTGGTGTGGGCTTACACAATGGCAGGATTGATACAGCGGTAGTAGACCAGTCGGCCGATGCATGCAGCATACATCGTATCTGTAGCATCTGGGAACCGTTCCTGCTTGTGGTGAGCACACAATCCGTGGTGATCCTACGCACGTAACACTTACCTTAAGCGCAATCAACGTCTCCCTGGCCAGATATCGGATGCTATATGGCATGCGCTTGACGGACTGGGTCAGGGCAGTGATAAACCACTGTGTACAGTCTTGCAGCGTTCGAAGAGCTGGAATGCACGCATCAGAATCTATCCAGATCGAAAGTCGCAGGAAATGAATACCTTGTACGTAGGCAGTTCGGGTAGGCAGATCTTCAATCGCTTCGCGGAAATTGAGATCCTTGCGCTTGTTTGTAGCAGTCCCAAGGTGAATTTCCTCGAGCTCGACACGAGCACGCCAAATCTAGCAAAACATTACACGATGGCCGCGTCACAAGGTCACAAGCACGAACCGCAGAAGGATCGGTCTCGAGGTCGATCGGAGGCTCTCCAGCAGCTGGAGGGTCGACGATGCGGCGGACAATGCCCTGGAGTGATTCCCGGACATAGTTGTTCAGCTTGGCACGAACATACGGCACAGCGCTGTTGATGTACACAGGGTGGCCGTGGATAATATCGTGAACAGTGGCAGCGCTTCTCACTTCCTCCTGCACAGAAAGCTGTGTGTAATGATTAGGCAAGTGAGTCCATCCACAAAACCAGGCATCGTACCTGGAACAGCTTGAGCAGCAAAAAGTCCTCCCGACGATCTTGACCGAAACCAAAGATGGTGAGCACAGCACGCTCGGTGAACCGCCGGTTCTTCTCGAGCGCCGAATTGGCTGCCAGCTGGACGAATAGCGCACTGAGATATTCTGGTCGAGTCTGAAGAAGGTAGAAAAGCTGCTGGTACAGCTCCAGCTTCCGTCGCGCAGCTTGATCGATAGTGTTCGGACCAGAGAACGGATCGCCGTAAGCAGCTAGCAAAGACGCTCGAGCAGCGAGTGCTGCAGCATTATCAGCACCGAGCCGCTTGGCTCGGACAAGGGTGTCGAAACTCTGGACGTTCTGCACAACCAAGGCAATCTTCACATCGAGATCGCTCAATTCGCTTTCCAATGTCTGGTTCTCACGGATGCTCTCGACAACTCGCTTGCGGAGCCGCTCGACCTTGACCTCGTCTTGGAAGTCATTCTCCGAGTCATCCAGCAGATGCACAAAGTTCTTGATCGTGCCCACGGAAACATTGGTCCCGAGGGTCAGCTGGCGGTACTGCTCTCTGGTCTCCTTGGCTCGGAACAGCGACTGGATCTTGACCACCTTTTTCAGATTCGCACGGTAGTAGTCAATCTTGGCCCGGTACGCCTGGCGCTGCATCGTGCCCCGGAACATGGCCTGCAGCAGCGTCGCAATTGGATGACTTCGGCGGACATGGTCTCTCCACGCCCAGAACTCTCCACGGACCAGCACACCGCGGCAAACAGCCTGCAATGAGCGAACATCCGGCGCGATAAAGTCCAATGTGCGAGTCAACTCGCGATGCCGGTTTCGGGCGATAGAAGCACGAGCTAAAGCCTGCAGCCCGCCCACAGCGACAATCGTATGTGTCTGGGCCAGCGCCTTCGTTACGGCCGGTGCTGCTGCCGCTGGAGATTCGCGCGAGCACGTGCTTGCAATCCAATGACGACCGGCGTGGCTGAGCGCAGACCCCGGATGAGCACCAGCAGTCGTTTGCGAGCCAGATACGTCCGAACGGCAGCCTGGATCCGGACAACGATGTCAGACACATCATCCAGCTTGGCCAACTGATTGCGCAATCGCCGGCGCATGAGCACACCCCGGCAATGAGCCTGCAACGCCACGTAGATGGGCACCATCCGTCCGAGCTGCTGGTACCGCAGCCGGGCCTCCCGTCTGGCCAAAACACCTCTCGCCCGTGCTTGGAGAGAAACGACCGAGCCCTGCACGGGCGACTGCTCGAAAGACTTGTTGATTTGTCGATGAGTGACACGAGCTAGTTTCGCTCTTGCCATAGACTGTAGCTTGGTCGCAGACACACTACTCGTCCGCAGAGCAGCCTTCAATCGGGCGAACCTCCTGCGCTGGAGCACGCCTCGAAGCTGAGCTTGGATCTTCACAATGTAGCGCGACGACCTCTCGAGTTCCTGCCTGAGGGCCAGCCATTTCGCTCGCACAAGCCGACCCCGCGCTGTAGCCTGCAAGGATAAAACCAACGGAACGATGCTGTGTTGTTCCTTGCGTTCAGCAGCCAACTTGCGGCGAACCAGTACACCCCGGCAGTGTCCCTGCAACTTGACAAGGTCTCGTTGGACTAGCTGCAGTCGAGCATGCATCGTTCTCTGTTGTTGCCGAACAATGAATCCGCGAGCTGCAGATTGAAGCGCCTGAATCGAATCTTCGTTCTCAAGCAGCAGGCGGTCCCGGCCTTGATGAAACAAGTCAGAACCTAGCTTGACTGAGAGGACAGCAACTCACGTTCATCCTCGCTTTCAACTTCAACTTCCGGCTCCTCATTGAGGTCGCGAGCCAGCTCTTTCCCGACACTTCCAAAGTTGGGCATCGTCACACCAGCATCGTTCAGACCCTTCTGCGCCTGTCGGAGCTGATCGTCAGAGAACTTGAGAGCACCCAATAGGTTGCCGATCCTTTCTGCCATCCCACGACGAGCAAGAAGATGACTGGGAAGCTTTGAGCATAAGTTTTGAGCATCCGAAACGGCATTACCTCAATGCGTGAATGCAGTAAATGACCTTCGGGATATTCTTCTTATCATACAGATCCGTCAATTCGAAAATGAAGCTCTACGAACAAGTCATGCGTATGCCCAATTTGACAGACAAACTTCGACGCACCTCCGGAAGCCCGATATCTCGGACAAAGTTGAAGAAATAATTGATGTTGTCTGAGTGCCGGAAAACCAGTTTCGCCGCCTCATAGATCTTCTTCGCCATTTCGGGTCGGAACACCCGCACAAGTTTAGCGAGAACAACGCCATTCCGGAGCTCCTCCTCCATGTCGACGACACCAAATCCGAGCTCTTCATCGAGACATCCCTCAATCCACTGCTGTGCCTCCCCGACGTGGCAAAGGTACTCGTAGACCTGCATGTGATGACGCTGAACATCCGCCCACAGCCCTCGGGTCAAGCGAGCGGAAGGTGATGGTGACGGCGTACTAGGCACCCCGCTTCTTGATAGTCGAAGACGACCGGGGACCCCCGTTACATCATCTGCACCAGGGGCAATCTCGGAAGGAAGAGGCAAATCCGTGTCCGGCATCCGTTCACGCAGTCGGGCAGCGCGTTTTGACTCGCGTGTCTCCGTGGGCGCCGGCGCTTGTGATCGCTGCTCCTCTTCTCTGTGCTGCTGTGCCACAACACGATCACGCTCCTCCTCCCCATCACCGCTGGCGATCCGCGGAAGATGCCGTCCCAGCTTGCGTCCAATGCCAAGATGGTCGCCGTAGCTCGATCCCTTGCTGCGGTTCGCCATGTAGGAGCTTCGATACTGGGGAGGGGCCATCACAGAAGACGCTGCATTCGCCGACAAGGGCGGAGGCTCGACGATGGTTGGCTTCGAAAACGAATCATCAACCGGCGTTCTCACACTGGAGCCGTACATGGATGTTGGGCGTCTCTGCGGTGATGGGAACGATGAAATGGGACGGGGAAATGGCTCCCGGGCAGGCGAGGTGGCCGGCGCCGACTCCTTCGTCAAGGCCGCATCGAGTGTGTGCGATCGATAGCGCATTGGGGGCGGACTTGTTGGAACAGGCGCACCCACGTCGCTACGGGAATGACCGTAACCGTTGGTCTGTGACGATTGGAAAGCAAGCGGCAAACGGATGCGGTTGGGCGCCGGAGACGTCGCGGTGGGCGAGTCTGCCTCGACAGATATTCCCGTCGTATTGGGAGACAAGGGAGTGGCGATGATGGGCGCAGGCATGGTATGTCGCTTCATGTATGTCGGAGTGCGATGAAAGTCGGGGTGTTCGTTATTCGATGAAGGGGAGGATGGGCGACGATCGGGGCGGTACATCGAGCCCGTCGGGGAGGAAAGACCTGACGCCGAGGACGATGTCGACGAGCCCGTCAACTGAACGGGAGAGCCGACTCGAATGGGTGAAGATGAACGCAAATCCTGATTGGCCTCTCGAGCACGATCTTCCCACTTTCCCCGAATTGTATCGAGACTGTTCGTAACCCGATGTGCGGGTGCCCATCGACGGGGGTGAGCGGGTGCAGCCGAGCCGCTGGGTTGCGAAAGCAGGCTCATATTGCTGGACTGAGAGTTGCTGCGAAGCAACCCTGCACCACCTCCGCTCCGCGATGTAGTCCGCTCAAGAAGCCGAGTCTGGTACCCGAAGGCGGCAGGCTCATTCGTTGGTTTGGAAGGTGGCCGACCCTCCATCATCGAGACCGGGAGAAACGAAAGTGGAAATGAGAGGAATTGGAGGTGTCACAGCAACGTGATCTTGTGACACAAACTATGACGCCATGGCCATTCAACCTCTTTCTTCTACGAGTAATTCAATATTGTAAGACACGCATATCGGCTACATGCACGTCTTCAAAGCTTAGAAACTGTTTTCCCTCCCCTCTTCTGCCATTCTTGTGCCGCCGCCTCTCGGATTATCTTCTTGAGAGGTTTACCCGCCTGATTGTGAGGCAGCTCGTCTTGGACTAGAACCATTACTGGCACTGCAAAACTGGGCAAGCTATCGCGTCTTTTTCAGCCCTGTCCTGCATGTTTGCAGCATATCACCCACCGACTGCGAGCCAATTCGATCAGCACGCTTTCGGTGATCCTATGTCTCTCGCTGGCTTTGACGCTGACGACAGCGGCAACCAACTCGCCGAGCCTGTTATCTGGGATTCCGACAGCGACGGCTTCGAGCACCCCATCTGTGAACAATGCGTTTTCGACAGTTATCGAGTTGATGTTTTCCCCGCCACGGATGATGATGTCCTTGACTATTGCGGGGTCAGCGATGATTCAGCGCAGCCCTTGACAGTGGTACTTGCTCCTGTCACGGAGATACAGGAATCCCTCTTCGTCCATGTAACCGCTGTCCCCCGACATCAGCCAACCGTCCTTGGTGACAACCTTGTCCGTTGCTTCTTTGAAAGACGTTCATTTCGCTGTTCGACCTCGCAACAGATTTGTTTACCTGGATCTAGCCAGTAACCTTGCATCACATTCGGACCGCGAATCCAGATTTCGCCGACCTGGCCTGAGGCAAGCACTTTCCCGTCCTCCACGATGCGTATCTCGGTCACCGGGAGTCCAAGGCCGCTTCATGGAAAGCTCAATACGATTTTACGCAAGAGCAGGGTGAGGGCGAACCAGCTTGTTGGGTGTGCTGGACAATCTTCCCCGGCTACAACGGGCGAGCGCACCGATGAGCATCGAGCATCCTGTATAGCTCGAGGGCGTACCTATGGACGCTGCGAGGCTGTTTGACTCGGTCATACCGTATCTGATTGTCCTCCATCACTCTACCCGCAGAATCAGCCGAGAGTGCGTACCCGTGGATCCTGAGCCGGTCGTCAGAGTCCTGGTCACTCTGAATAAAAACACGCACAAGTTGACATTGGCAAAGACGGAACGTGCTCTTGCGGGGAAAAGGTGGGGAGTGGGAGCACCACCGAATGAAATGGCTTCGAGAGGATAACCAACAAGGTCGCTCTCGACGAGTTCAACTGCCATGGTTGGCACACTACTCTGTATGAAACGCTTTTCTACGAAACAGAGATAGAAAAGCTGACACACCCTCCTGCGGCAGTCAACCGTTCTTGTCTGATGATCTTGACGGCGTCTTTCACATCCCATTTGTGCATCAGCGCAAGCTTGCCCCCACCGAGAGTTACGGTCATCTAGATGAAACATGTCATGACCGAACACGGTACGAATGACCCAACTGACCGTGAGCGATGTCAGCTGCAGACTCCGGAGTCAGTGGGTCATTGCGTATTGCACATGCGGATACTTACACCCTGTTTATTGCAAGTTCAATGAATATCATAATCACGATTGGACTGCAGAACTGAGTCACGTACTCTGACATGGAAGAACGGGATGGATAGCAACATGCTTGACTGTGGACTGCGAGCGTCCACCACCGGGATCTTTTCACCTCGTCGGAGGTACGCTCTGTGTCGCGGAACCATCACCTTCAATATAGCATGCAGTAGTTGTAGATCAATGATGTCAACACTTACATTCAACACGTTGGTTAGGAATTGACGTTGAGTGCTGAGGACACCCTCTGAAACAAAATTGAGTTGATCAAAGGACTCACACGCTACGCACTAGGTGGGCCAGTAGTCTGCACATAACGGAATCGGTGAGTAGGACATCCATAGTACGAATGCGATTTACTCACTCCCTATAGCACAGGTAAGCTGTTGAGAAGAACATCAGGGGCAAGAACGCACTGAAGTAAAGAAGATTGAAGCATTGTCCTCCGGCCCAATTTGCGGATCAGTTCGCAGAAACCGCTCGACGTCGTCTCGGCGTTCGTCATTCACCATGATCCACGGACGCATCCCCTTCCAATGGGACTTGGTCGGGTGTCCCGGAAAGACAAGAACGCCGGTCGCCCCAGACTTCTTCACCAAAATTTTGACACTTTCTTCCAGACGATCTGCTCGTTCGAAGTCCAATATGACCAGCTTGCACTGCGTATTCGCCAGACAGTGCACCATCTGATCCGTGGGAAGCCACCTGCAGAATCCATTCAGGTTCCATTCCGGGAACACAGAAGACATGTGGAAACACGCACGCATTGACGAGAACCGTGACTGCCCCAAGCAGATCTGCCAAAGGTGTGACGACGGCAGTCGGAGCAAGAACGCGGGTGATCCTCACGGCAAGCCCAGAAGGCCATCAGGTACTCAGGTATGTTGCGAGAGCATATTCCGACTCGATCGCCTCGAATATATGTCAGCAATAGCGTCGAGAAGACACATTGAACCAACCTTTCTTAACGCCATACACCTTGGCAAAGTGATAGGCTGCTTTGCCAGAGCGATCTGCCATCTCTGAATATGTATATTTCTGTTTCCCCAAGACCACATATGTTCTGTCCTACGCGCCGCTTTCAGAGCCGAGAAGGATGGGCCATCGAGTCCGCATACCTTGTATAAGTCAAAGGCTGCCAGCCAGAAAGCTCGAAGGGAGGGCCAGAGGTTCTTGTACACCCGCTGGAGGCGCCCGTCGATCAACAAAGTGTCGAGTTCGTACAGAGTGCCTGCAACGCTTCAGCACACAGGAGACGGTAGACGAAAGATGCGCGCTACCTGGGGCACAGATAATCTTGTCCGCTGCAAAGATGAGTGCGCCACTGGAAGCAGGCCGGGTAGGCCCAGCTTACCTTCTGCTATCGTGCAGCGAGGCTCCCATTTCACAGTAGACGAAGACATGCCTGATCGTGCGCAATTGGCGGTTGAGGATTGACTGGGTGAGGATGAGGGCAGGATGCGGCGGGGGCATGTAGTTCACCGACCCGGACCTGCTGGACCCGAGGTAACGTATTTCCCATCTGATCACGTCACAAGACGTCTGGGTCACGTTATCGTGTTAGGCCAGATAATAATATACACCCGTGAATTGGCAGTAGGTGCATTGACGGTGAAGTTGCTGCAATGCCTGCAGGCAAAAAAGACGTAGATCAAGACGTCACTACCCACATTAATCTCAGAAGATCCACATTTCACAATCTTTCACTCATCCTCACACTTACATAAATCAGAGAAGCCAGTGCATAGGCCCAAAATAAAGATGAGCCAAGCGAGGCTTCGTCGATCTTCAGCTCGAATGCCCAATTTCATTCCATTCGAAAAACTGCACGACTTGGGGAGAACCAGGGGCCTGAATTGGTGGCTCCATCTGAGCTTGGTCGCCGCAGGAAACCCGAAAGAGACGCTCGTGTGACTGGACCCGATCTGCGTCCGAAGTCTGATTGGATCAAGGAGATCGCCGTCCGCTCAGCTCGCCATTTGAGGATTTCTTCGTTTCATTCCACCACCGTCCTCCACCCTACACTTTCCTCATCACTCGTTCGCCATCCCGATTCATGTCTAGATCACGACTATCTAAGATTTTCCACTCCCCTGAAAAATCGAATCACTCGGCTATGACGCGCTCCTCGTCCCCTGCTTCGAGCTCACATTCGCTCTCCGATATGTCGTCGCCATCTTCCAACAAATTCTACTCGGAGCCGAATGAGGGTTATGGGGCCAAGTACTCCGGAGACCCGATGATACTTGGTGTTTGTGCCATGGACGTCAAGGCGCGTTCAAAGGCCATGAGGGAGATATTAACTCGCCTCGTGGAGAGGGCCAACGGTGGAGTCGAGGTCAAGGTATTCGGTGACAAGGTAATCCTAGACGAAGGTCCGTCATCCTCTTTGATGCACCCTCGTCCTTCACACATGCATTCACAGATGTAGAGAATTGGCCGCGCTGCGACGTCCTCATCTCTTTCTTTTCCACCGACTTCCCTCTAGACAAAGCGACCCAGTACGTCAAACTGAGAAACCCACTCTGCATCAACGACTTGCCCCTCCAAGCCCTCTTGTGGGACCGCCGTCTCGTAGGGGCTGTCCTCGATCACCTCCAAGTGCCCACCCCCAAACGCATAGAAGTCTCGCGCGACGGCGGCCCCCAAGTCGACCCGGAGCTACGGGCGCTGGTCAAGTCCAAAATAGGGCTTGAGATCGGAGAACTTAGATCGACCCCTGAAGTCAGTCTGCGGGAGGACGGGGACGCGATCATCATCGACGGCAAGGTGCTTGAGAAACCGTTCGTCGAGAAACCCGTCAGCGGGGAAGACCACAACGTCTACATCTACTACCGTGGCGGTGGGGGTCGTCGGCTTTTTAGAAAGGTCTGTCTTGATTTTCACGACTACGAATTAGTCGCGGCTCGATTGCTGATTACAAGACGAACAGGTGGGCAACAAGTCGAGCGAGCTAGATCCGAACCTCAAGCACCCCCGCACGGACGGTTCATACATATATGAACAATTCATCGACGTCGACAATTCGGAAGACATCAAAGTCTACACCGTCGGCCAAGAATACACGCATGCCGAGACGCGCAAATCACCTGTCGTTGATGGGGTAGTGCGTAGGAACACAGACGGAAAGGAAATCAGGTATTCATCCACCGATTGTCCACTGTGAGCTGGAATACTAACGCGATCAGGTTCATCACCCGGCTGACGGAAGAAGAAAGATCCTGGGCTAAAAAGATCTGCATGGGTTTCGGGCAACGTGTATGCGGCTACGATATGCTGCGCTGTGACAATGGGCAAAGGAGCCAAGTCATTGATGTGAATGGCTGGAGTTTCGTCAAGGGAAACGAATCTTATTATGGTGCGTCTGTTGTCTATTTGGCACAAGCATGTTTGAGGCTGATGTCGTGCAGACAAGGCTGCTGAAATCCTCGCTTCGCTGTGTCTGAGGCTTTCTACATCTCCTGATCGTCCGATCCCCCATGCTGGAACCCCCACCTCCGAGTCTCCGACATGGCTGCTGAAAGCAAATGTGACTGTGTTTCGTCATGCCGATCGCACACCGAAGCAGAAACTCAAATTGTATGCCTTCATCATGCCATTTTTCTATCGCTTATTCCCGATGTCTAGTAATTTCCCCATCGGAGAATCGTGGACACAACCCTTCGTGACTCTGCTCAACGGGGAAAAAGAAGAAATCATTTTGCGCGAAAAGAAGCAACTCAATCTTGTCGTCTCTGCGATCGAGCAATCCAAGAGTCTGGGTGCCACCGGAGAGGACTTGATGAAACTTACTCAACTGAGCAACGCTCTGTTCAGCAAGATCGATCTTCCTGGAACGAAAGCGCAGCTCAAGCCCGTGTATTCCAAGCGTCAGGCGGGCCAAGTCCGTCGACTAACCAAACTAACGCTAGTATTCAAATGGCGAGTTCCATTTTTCTTCATCACGTGTTACTTATGATGATACCACTTGCAGGGGTGGCGAATTTACCCACGCCGCACGCTATCAGTCGAGAGATCTCGGTGAAAATATGAAGAAGGATCTGACCATCATGAGTTCGTTGATTTTCTCCTCCTCATGACTGTCAGGCTCAAGGTTATCAGACAAGGATGCTTTGAACAACGTCAAGGTCATGACAGCTGTTTAACATCAGCCTCTCTGCTATATCACTCACAGACTCATAGATCTTCACCTCGTCGGAACGCCGAGTCATCGCATCCGCAGAGATATTCGCGGCAGCTTTAGTCGACTCACAAAACTCGGCATATTCAGCTCCGTCGTCTACCACGAGCTCAGTTTCATCCCGATCGTTGACAGACATCACGCAACTGAGCAAGATGACGCCGAACCCAGCGCCGCCACTGAACCTGATCGTCCGCAAAGATCTCCTCGACGATTCCAACGCCGCCAAAGATCTGATGGATGACGTGAAGAAACGATTGAAGATCTTACTCCGACCGGGAGAGCCTGAGAAACGGCCGGAGCTGACATGGCCGAAGAGCATGAACAAGGAGCCGGTCGAAGTAGTCAAGGTGAGACGCTCGCGTGTGGATCTTAATCTTCGTGCTCACTCCTGTTCCAGGAGGTCATCGAACTCCTCAGTTCGTTCAGAACAATTATGAGGAAGAACTTTGAGACACTCGAAGTCGAGAAAATCCAAGAGCGGTGGTGTTGTGGTGACGAGCCGTGGCTGTTCAGGGAACGATGGGAGAAGCTGTTCGAGGACTTTTGCGATGTTGAGCAGAAGAAATTCGATCCGTCACGGGCGAGTGTTCTTCCCTGATGTGCCGTTTGACCTACTCTGACCAGGCTTTCGCAGGTGTCAGAATTGTACGACACGATCAAATACTGCGCGCTGCACCATAGGACGTTTCTTTTCGCGATCTTTGACGAGAACGGGCGCTTCGACCCATTACAGCCCCCAAGAGATCGCAGACTGCACGAATTGTACGGGCGAGCCAAGGGACGTCCCGCATTTGGTTGATTACCTCCTTCTCATACCCTCAACAGGCACTTTTCGATCTTGTCGCTCCCCAAGAGTATGGTATCGAGCCCGAAGAAAAGTATGTGTCTCCCCTGAAGTTCATACCCTGACGGCTCACGGTTGTTTACAGGGAGGAAATCGGTGTTCTGACCTCCCTACCGTTGCTTAAAAAGGTGGTGGAGGACTTGGAGGCGGCGCGGAACAACGGCGGAGCTCTCTAACGTTATACTTCACAAAGGAGAGTCATATTCACACCCTCGTCAACCTCGTCCTGCAGTCGGGTCTGCCGATTGCGAACAGACGCATACCTGAGCTGGACTATTGTGTGAGCATCTTTGTTGTCTTACCATCATGAGCAGGGTTCTGATTCTGTTCCAGTCTCACATCACATTTGAGTTGTACGAACGAAACCACGGACGCGGGAAGTCTGATAAGGAGTACTCGATCAAGCTCTCGTTGAGCGAGGGTGCCCATTCTTCGAACGTCCTAGATTCGACTCTAGATGCTAGACACTCTCTCAACGTGCAGCCGCGAAGGTCAGCAGAAGCGCCATCGTCTTGGAGCCGATCTTGACACTATGCAGGAAACTCACCCAACACTTGCCATACTCGCTGGTCATCGAGAAGCTTTCCAAACACTTTCACCGGATAAATGACGTGCGTTATTCACATGCGTACCCTCCCACACGTGCTAAATTGACATGCAGGACGATGACACGGGACCGGATACACCTTACGAGACCATCCGACCTGATTCCTCACTGACCGCTGGGATCACCGGCGACAGCAGCAGCGATGACCCGTGAATGCGGACGAAAAATCACAAGATCCTACAGCCATATAATCCCTGATATCGTACAAGTAATCTACTGTATACACAACCATCGGACGGAATAGAACCAAAACTACGACTTGATCTCTAGCCATTCAGAGAGACCCAGTTTGCTTCGATGTTCCTGGAGAATCTGGTTGGGCAGCTCCACAAATGGCATCGCGTCGCGGGGCTGCCCTTTCAACGATTGATGGTCGCGGTCAAAGAGGGCTGGGGCGGACTGGGAGAGCGACGAGGATTGAGCCGCTAATCCAGCAAAGGATGATGTGGATTCGTGATATCTGCGAATCAGTATTGAAGTGATGCAAGTGGACGAAAAAGGATGCTGCTCACAATCTGTCCACGAGTAAGACCATGATTTTGGTGAGCACGACATCATTTCACTCACCGATAGGCCTCTTTGTTCAGACAATCCGCCTCTTTGATCTCGTCCAACGCGTGTTTCTTGAACGCCGCCTTGATCCAGTGCAGCACGTCGAAGATATGATGCTCTTTCGGTCTGTGCAGCACGTCGATACAGTTTAGCTCGATCCAGTCCAGATACCACACGTAAGTCACACTCACCGCCACGGCCGGAAGCGCGGCGCCAGATTGAAGATCCCCGACTTCTGCGAGATGAGCGGGTGGAACACGACGTCCGTCACGAACTGCACCACAGGCGGGCTGTCGGGGTAGTTCGCCGGGAACGTGAGTCGGAACTTGAAGATCCCGTCCGAGTAGTAGCCTAACGAACGACGGATGAGTCAGGCATGCCTGGGCCACCCACCGCGGGTGAGGCTCGCTGCGCGCACCTTGGTGCACGAAGAAGACTGCGTCCCAGATTAACAGCGAGTCCGGAGAGGGAACGACGTACATGCCTGGCGGCATCGGGTGAGTACAGATCGGGCGCAGACCGACGGGGTTCACTTGCCCAGCGGGCAGTGGTCTCTGTGTTGCAGGGAGCATATTCGAGTGATATAGTTGTCCTTGTCACCGCGTTGACCGAATCCAATACTGGAGCAGTCTGTTTCTTGGGCTCTGCCTTTGGCTTGATCCGCAGACCCGTGGAGAAGTCCACGGAGGGAAAATTGGTCAACATATCGACGGAAGGGAAGTTGGCGAGCATCTTAGCAGTGCTGCAGACTTGTCAACTTGCTAGTCAATGACAGCCCAGACCGTCGCAGACAGCTGTTTGAAGGCTTAGTCATCCATCGTTCCTCTCACCTCGGACGCGATGAGTCGCAAGGTTCTGAAGAGCGTCGCATTTATATCGCCCCAGAACCATCCCATACTCATCCGAACTTTCGAGAAGCAGGACGAAAACGCGCTCAAATACCATTATATTGCCCACACCAGCCTGGATGTCATAGAAGAGCGAGGTCATTACTTGTGAGGCTGATTTCACGCATCCCTGACTCGCCTCAGTGGCCGCGGGCGGCAAGTCAACGGAGTGTTATCTGGGCCTCCTCTATGCCATGGAAGATGTCGCTGTCTATGGGTACATTACACCTCTGAAAGTCAAGATCGTTGTGTCGCTGGCGCTGTCAGATTCGGTGGTCAGAGACTTGGAGATGACAATGGTGCGTTTTCCCCTCTGGACGTGTAGCGTAGCTTCGTTGCTGACATACAAATCACAAGATATTCAAAGCCCTGCACATGGCATACTACTCCGCGATCTCAAGCCCGTTTCTCAAGTTGGATGCGTCGGCTGATGCCAACGACTATTCTCCGTATGCACTCGTCGGACGCGCGAAAATGAAGAACTTCCGAAATCGGATAGACGAGATCGGTCGAGTGGTCAGCAATCCCTCGAGTCCATGAGTTGAGAATGAGGCCTGGTTTCCGCACTTGCTCCCCGTCTGACTTTGCGTGACGATGTGGGTGGGTCGTGTCCCTCGAACGGATTGAAACCTAGATTGTTGACGACGCATTCCTATTGACTCAGTGGACAAGAGCTCTCCGCCTCTGAGACAGATACGATGCGCACATAGTTCCTGTCTTGTACATATTATATTCCCTGAATAGCATCCTCCAATGCGGCCAGCGCCTCGAGAGCCTCTCTCGCCATGACCCGCACAATATTGTCCACGTCGGTGCTAGTAATGTAGCCTAACGTTGCTCTCATGCGTCGAAGCAATGCACCCGGAAATTCAGGATGTGTAGAATCATATAACAGCCGAGTGGTCTCACGAATCAGGAGAGCTAGAAAGTGTAAAGCTGCCCTGCGAAAGGCGGGAAGCTTTGTGTTGGTAGACGTTGGGTTCTGGTCTTCCGTTTCCTGAACAGCGGCAGCTGTGCTCTCCACTTGGAGCAGATCCACCATCGCCTCGGACAGATCAGTCACATATTGGCTAGGGCCAACGGGCTGGTGCTTTCGCAATCGCCCAATAGGGCCAAGGCAGAGGTTCGGAGCGGAACGGGAACTTGAGGAGATCTAACCAATTGGAACAACGGTGGGACAAGGATGTCCGCTGAGAGGTTATTCAGTCGCATGCTTCGCGCGCTTTCGGAGATGGCTCACCATACGATGGCAAGGCGGAACCACATCTCTTGATGACAGACCCAAGTGCTTCCCCAATACGGGTGCGTATATCGACATCACGTGTTGTGAGGGCGCTGGCACCGAGAGCGTCGGTTCCTTTGACGTATTCTTTGACCAGGCCCCTGAGCACATCCTTGCCATGCACGTCGACCATAGCAGCGAGCCCTTGCACCCCGTTCAAGAACATGTACGAGTCGTCGTCCTGCACGGATTGTAAGAAGATCGACAGAATGGCAGGCACAAGGGCTGGATCGCCCTCGCCTTGTTTGGCAGAGACCAGTTCCCGTAGCATGAGAAGGCCATGGGCTCTGACAGGCATGATCGGGTCCTGCAGCAATTTCAAAGCCTTTTGATAGACAGCTTGAACATCGCCATCCCGGCCGCGGCTGGGTTTTGACGAAGTGCCAGCCGCCAGTCGAGCAGTGAGAACCATCCTGGCTTCTCTGGCCAATGCCAAGATAGAAGTAGGCCCGCGCAGCGAAAGAGGTTCGAGCAGCGAGAATATCGCCTCCAAATCAGCGTTGTTTCTTGCAGAGAGTTCGCTATTGGCTACTCCAGTCAAATCTAGGCACGGCAGATTCGCAAATGATGTACCTTCCAAAACCGCCAGTAGTAAATTGACGGCAGTCTCTGTCATCTCATCGTCGGGTCCGATGATCTCAGCGTTGGGAGTGTCATCATCACTGTCGCTGTCCTCGTCCTTCGCATCTTCTGGCTTGGTCTCTAGAACATGTCTGACGAAGGATAGAATGTGGCTGGGGTTGCCAAGGATAGTGGAAGGTCCATCTGCAAGCTGAGTTTGCATTTGAACAACGAGTTGCAGATATAATAAGGTTCTGTCCGGAGTTATGCACAGTCGAAGCGAGTGAATCAGAGAGAAACGAACCGCATAGGATCACCATTCTCACTTTTCGATCTTCGGTAATTCTCCAGCAGACGCACAAACAGTTCGGACGATATCTCCATTCGCTGGATAAACTTCAGAAAGCCTGCAAAGTGAGCAGGATCCGGGTAGAGTTCGAGGATATTAGTATCGACATCGAACTCCTCGTCGTTTGGGGTGATAAAGTCCAACTTTGCTGGCTTATCTGACCTGAGGATGGCTCAGAACAGCGCCCGACGGGAATGGCTTTCATATACTCTTCCAGACGCGTTATTTCTCCCTCTGCGTCTACCTTCCAGACGCCTCCTTGCCCGTCTACTACTGACCAGAGCACAGCAACAACTTCGGTCGTTTCAGTCAGTCTAGCCCATGTCGCGAGATGCCCTTGTAATGTTTCCTTTAGGGAGGGATCGGAAGTCTTCAGTTGGTCCACGTGATAGAGCAGTGAATACAAGGCTGACGCAATGGGGAACAGAAGAGAAGAGACCAGCGAAGGCGACGGATCGGTGTTGGTAAGTAGCGACGTTATTGTCGATAGCATTATTCGAGGACTGACGCTGGGGTGGAAGGAGAGAAACGAAGGGTGGATGGATGCCAAAACGACCGAGGCAGCAGACATCGAAAGCATGCGCGAAATAGAGAATGCCGCCGCACGTCTGAAAGCTACAGGGACTCGGTCTGACAACAAGTCTAATAATCGAGGTGTCGTCGCAGAAAAGTAGTCCTACGACTGGTCAGAGATCGTTCGCGCCAAGTGAGGGACACACAAACTTCGAGAGCAGTCCCAGACGGCGCGGTCGTCAGCACCCGAGCTACATGTTCAATCTTCTCCAAGGGTGCGTCTTCGACATTTTCCCCGAAGACGGAAGCACATAATCCACGGATACCGTCTGGCCGCGCGAGTTGCTTGCTCAACAGCACAGAGCAGGTCTTTCTCACGTGGGTGGGACATGGTTGCATCGAGAGCACTGATCCCAGCGCTGCGATGGTTTGAGACGAAGGCATGCTGTCGCAATGAATCGTGAAGTCGTGTCTGCCTCATCAGGGTGAGACACACCTCTGCAAAAGGCGCCCGACTTCGGCTCGTAGCAAAGGCGGCGTCACCTCTGGAGGACATAGCGAGCGAGGAATCCAACCGATGGATATGCAAGCACGCAAGAGTTGGTCCAGATGCCGATTCAATACCGTCATCGACACAAATGTCGGGGGATCCGACAGCACCATTCTTAACAGACGCATAACGATATCGCACAGAGAGTTGAAATCCTCGGGCGCGTTCGTCAAATCGATGATTTGAGGTTGCAGCTTCGGAGTTTCATGTGGCCAGGCCAGCATCACACTGGAGAGTAAGGCGTCGAGTCCCCACTTGAACGTAATCGCAACAAGCGCGCGCAGCTCTGAAAGATCTCGGGTACCGACAGGAACGTCCTCTTTCTCCAAGATCGCGTGTATATTCTCCAACACGAATAACGCCTGCCTTGCCGTCTGTTGTTCCAAGGCAGGAAGATCCCCAGCGCTCAAGTCCACCGGGGTCATTTCCATCGTGTCGTAGTAATGCAATAAACGTCGGCGAAGCACATCCTTGAGATCCTGGGCAGCGGTGGCATTCTTTTCAGACTCGGTAAGACAGAGCCCGGCTGTGAGCAAAGCGCGAAGATCAAGCATTGAACGTCGGAGTCCGAAATTTTCCTGTTCCATACCCTTGCATGGAGGTCATTGATCTCACTCACATCGACTCGCCGGGCCCGCGCGAAGGCAAGGTATCGGAGGGTAACCGTCGGCAGAGAAGGGACGCGCAGAAACGACGCTCGGAAGAGAACGAGGGCGAGAGCCGGGATCGGAAGCGCAAACGCGACTCGTCGCACGAACGGCGGAAAAGCCGGCGAGAAGAAGAGGGACGCGACTCGCATAGATCCAAGGGCGACAGGGACCGCAGTAGACGGCGGGACTCGACTCACGGTAAAAGCCGGCGTGATTCTCGCGAACGCGACCGGGAACACAAACGTGTTCACGGAGAATCCTCCGGTTCTCGCGACAAGGACCTGTTCGTCGTCGATAGACTTCCGAGCGACGTCGACCCCTCGGCGTCTTTCATCCCTATATCTACGCCCGCTATCGACCTTGACGAAGATTCCGCTCTTCTTCTTCCTGCACATGTTTCGTTATTTGGAAACGCGCCGGTAATCAGTCTCCCTCTGGAAGGCCCTCAGTCCGACGAGGACGACGACTACATCGAATATCTAGACTTCGACAACCGCAAGGTCAGCTTGGCTGTCTACTCTCCGGTCACTGTTGTCTCAGCCGGATCAGGATTTCGTGCGCTATTATGAAGAACCGGACGAAAAGAAGACGAAAATGATCTGCAAACGCTGTGGAGACGAGGGCCACAAGATGAGAGAGTGTAACAGGTTAATCGTGAGTCGAACCAAGCTGAACAGGAGAGCTTAATCCAACATCGCATTGACAGTGCTCAACATGCGGCGCCCGAGACGATCATCCAACCAGACTTTGCAATATCAGCAAAACGTGCTTCTCGTGTGGAATGAAGGGCCACATCAACGCCGTCCGTAGATTCAAGTACTGTTCTATCTTGTTCACTCATGTTCTGCAGGACTGTCCCAACCGAAACTCAGGGAGGTTCTTGGACGATGGGTGCGACCGATGTCGATCTTCTCAGCACCGATCCAATGTATGTAGTCGCCCGCTCAGACAGTGCTTTGCCGCTCATCAGGCGGCTGTAGGAATGTCCGCTGTTGTGGCGGTCGTATGTCTATGTCGACACGAACGAACATGAGAACATTCTGCAAATGCGGAATGACAAGAAGAATCTCAAGTTGGGCGAAGGTGGAGAGGGTTATATTGCTGATGACGCGTGGTGCTACAACTGCGGCGACTCTGGGCACTGGGGCGATGTAAGTACTACTGAGATCATAACGAGACCAAGGCCTGACCTTGTAAAGGACTGTCGGAAAAGCCACCATGCGCAACCTTTGCTCGAATACACTGCGTTCAGCCGGCATTTCTTGTCTCAAAGCCCTTTCGACATTCCTGAATACGATTCAAGCACCCGATCGCGCGCACTTGACCAAGGTCTGGCCCGGCTCTTCCGGGCGGTGTAGAGAATGTTGGACGTCAGGCCAAGAAGAAGGAGATGCAGAGGCTGGCTGCACGACAGGCCGAGAAGGATGCAGCAGAAGATGAGGAAGACTGGTTCGAAAGCACGCTGAACATTCGCGGGGCTTCTGGTCGAGAAAGGAAGGGAGGACCTACGAAGAACCAGCATAGCTCTGGGAAACCCGCAGGAACCTCAAAAAACTCGCTCATGGACCGAATGGGCCCACCGAAACACGACGCATCAAGACACGACTCTCGGACCGCTCTTCAAGACATCACCGCCACCGCGACGACCGAGACCGAGGACCCAGGTATAAAGGCGGATATTCGCGATGAAATTTGACTTGCTGTTAACATGTTGCGGTCCTCTGTACATCCTACGCAGTTATGTAGCTTTGACATCCCTACTTTTCACCAGTTCAGCGCAGTGGTTTGCAAGTCAACGTAGGCAGAGGCAGACCCGGAACAACGTTTCGGATTAGTCCAGCCCTGATGCCAATCCTTCCGGCCCCGGGGATAAGTTTTTTTGCTGGAGACTGACAGACGTGTCTTCTGCGCTTCAGTCTGGGGTGCAGCGTGGTTCAAAAAGAAGCGAAAATACCTGCAAAGTACCTTCGAGAGCAGGAAAGACACAATAAATAGAAAGACGTGAAAACAGGGAAGTTGCTGTTCGGAATGTCATCGAAAAATTAGCAGCCATTGTAAGATGGACAAAAGATTCGACTGAGCGAATATCCCCACTGCCCGGATCGAACGGGCGACACCCAGATGCCTTGGTATCCATTACAGTCTGATGCTCTTCCAACTGAGCTAAGTGGGGATGAGAGCAATTCCGCTATAAGCATCATAAATTGCTATCGTGTAAGAACCCTCGATGGAGATGATAGTGTTGATTTCGTGTCTTGAGTGTTCGACATGGCCCCAATTGTTTAAAGATGGTTGGTGTAGATCAGTATCTCAGACCCAAAGCTCCAGGATCTGGTTCAACTTCAACCCAGGACTACTGTTCCAGTGATACACCAGATCATTGCCCAGGCGTTTACTTCACGGAATCTCATGGCAGATCTCATGAGAACAGGAAGCTTCAGTAGTATTGTCGACTATCCAAAATTAGAGGTACATATTCAAGACGAGATCGCCTGCATGTGCAAAAGTCAGTGCTCTCCCGAACTCGCACACAAAACCCACACCTTCTTGGTAATTTCGTAGATTCGGCGCTGCATGGCGAAGAGGATGGCTGCAGTCAGTACGCTCTGCGTTAGCTTGCTCGCGATTCCCTTGTACAGGCCCTCGACGCCTTCTTCTTTCAGTATGGTAAGCAGGCCATCGAGCGACGACTTGTATCGCAGTGCGCGCTGATGGCCAGCATGCAGCCTGCTCTTGACGACACTGCGCGCTGGGTGTTAGAGAGCGGTGGCAGTGGCACAACGGAGAGGCATCTCACATGTACGGATATGTTGACGACGTCGCGACTATGAGGACCCGTTGAACAAACGACCATCGAACGACCGAGATTCGGAGGACCTAGCTTGGCAAAAGCTCCGAGAAAGAAAAAGTCCCAGTCGGACAGAGCGGCGATTCCAGCAGCAATGCCGGCGCCCTCATCTTCGCTGTGCGAGTAGCGACGAGGCGGTTCTTCAGCTGCTCGAACACGGTGTACTGGATGACCGGATTCATGACGAGCACCAGCGCGGGTCCGATTCCGCGCCAGAATGCGCTGAGTGATATCAGGTGCGACGCCCTGTCTGGGTCACGAAGAGTGCACGTACCCGACCCCATCCTTGGCTAGGATGATCTTGATTGTGTCGAGGATCGACAGTCGTTTGGCGATTTTCGGTGGTTCGAGGATGTTTCGACGTCTTGCTTCATTGTCTGAACGGCCTGCGACGTTTGCTGGAAGACCAGTTGAGTACGATGTATGCAAGATACAGATGCAGACATTACCACGACCCATATGGGATTGCTGATGATCGTGGTAGCCGATCCTGTAGCAAAAGCACATCAGACTCGTTCAGCCTTTTGGAAGCAACACGACGCACCGGCAATGACACCAATCAACATGGACTCGGCAGTTGTCAGTGCTTTGCCCTGCACAACATCCTTCAGACTTTGCGCGAGAGAAACCGAAGCTTCCGAAACTCACCCTCTGCACGAGCCCACGCGACCGCTCATAGAAATAGTAATACACGCTACAAGCAGATTGGTGGCAACTCCGGCGCAGACCGAAACATGCGACATACGTGTTGGTCACAGCGACACCCCAGAGACTAGACGGCAACCCGCTGTAAAGGCCGGCCAGGCCTTCGCGTTTGATGGTGTCTAGCACGGCTTCGTATGTCGACTGGAGGATGGTCAGCCCGACGGCGGGTCATCGTCAGCCAGAGAGGACCCTCCTTGTTTTCATTCTTCGTTTCCACCGCAGCTCGCGTTGACAGGAAGATGAGGGGACTTGGCCGAGCATTCAGAAGTGTGGGGTAAAGGGGCGTGTTAGCAGTTCACGCACTAGGTGCACGTCATGGCCAGGACGCCGGCGGCGCCGCCCGAGAGCGCATGTATGACAGAGTCACTCATCCTGGCAGCAGTGAGGTATGGGATCGAGAGGAAGAGGTTAGGTAGAAGGAAGCTCAAATTGAGGGAGAACCAGACATGTCCGATTATCACATGCATGATGGTTACATTGGATCATTATTTCGACTTTTCGGCCTCCAAAACTCTCAGCATCCGCTTGAGCTCAGTCACATCCGCTCCCAGCCCATTAGAGCTCTGAGAAGCTCCCTCATTCCGTACTCCAAATTCTCCCTGAGTTGACTTTCCGTCATCTTTCCCAAGCCATTCATCCAACTGTTTGCATATTGACTGTGCCTTCAGCCGGAAATGCGTTCTTATGATGTCTCGAAATGGTTCTGGCGGGTTCTGAAGATTACCAAGCATCTGAAAAGCAGCGTCAGATGAGCATCTCACAAACAACGCTCCAAATACCGCTGTTTTGACCACCATTCGCCGGACGTTCGCAGAATAGGATCGCGACTGGGGAGTGTCGGCATCATTAGCCCAGCCTGGCTCGTTCAGATACGGTTCGTCGCAGAGGATCATAGACTGAATCGATATCAAGACTTGAAGCAGAGTCGATTTGCCAGCAACCCATCCAGGTCCAGACCATGTTCCAAGCAACGACAGGCACACCTTCCCATCTGCATACAGGTTCGGGTTGAATCGGAACTTGCCCCCGTTTGTTGTCATGTACTTGACACTAGGAGGCGCTTGGTTGTAACTTGGCCCGAGGAAGATATCGAACAGATAACTGGGTCTGTTCAGCCAGGTATGAGATAAATGAGACTCGACAGTACGCACCACCCATTGTAGTAAGGAGTGCCTTCAGGGCCTGTTATCAGTGCTTTGATTACATCGACCCGGGTTTCGTCGATTCGCAAAAAGATGGAAGAGTTCCAGGCTGTCGGCAGGTTGTTTGTAAGAATTGACAACTGCGACTTGTCAGACCAAGAGCAGCACGCCCGAAAGAAAAGATATCACCTCTTTCGCGATGGCCAACGACCGCTTAGGTATATCTGACATGGCAAGCATGCGGATCTCGTTGTTATAATAAGATTTGTAGTGGGGAAGTTGTTGATCAGACACCGGTTCTGTGGTGGGGACAGTGAGATCGCAGTATTCGAACCGGACACGAGTAGCCCAGTCTAGGTAGGCCTCAATGGCACTCTCTTCGGTTGTTCCAGGATCCACCCAGGCAGACTGGCCGCTGGACGACGTGATCACTTTCGGCAACGACGCCTTCAAACGAGTCAAGAAAGCCTGTCCCTTAGTGTCGAGCAGGGATCGGTCAATAGCGTCTGCTGTGGAGATGATGCGTTGACAAAAGTTGTAAAGCTTCTGTGTTTCGTCCGTGAAGGCTGTTTCGGCTTGCTTTGACTTTCCCTTGACATCCACAGTCATTCGCTTCTGCTCTTCTGTGAGCTCTTCCTCGACTGGGGGAGGCTTCGATACTTCAAGCGCTTTCAGTGCCGCGGTCGCTTGGATCACCATGGCCTCAAGAAGCTCTCGGGGACTGGCGCTGCCCTCGTAGACAACTGTACGCTCACGAATGGTGGCATTATTGGGCGATTTCCGTGTTGTGACCGATTTCACGGACGAGACGGTCATAATCGGCATGGCCATCATGCTAGCCAGAGCTTCATGGCTAGAAATTGTCTTGAGGACGATCAGCGTCAACGATAGCCTTCACAAGACGTGAGAGGTGCTGTACCTCCAACCAATCCAGAAGCTTGAAGTAGAGAACAGATCGATCAGACATGTCTGCTAGCGAATCGTTCTTCAAGAGGGCGCTACAGACAAAATTGAATCGCCGCCTGAGGTGGGCAAGCGCGGTGGGATGTGGAAGGAAGTCACTGGGATGATGGCCGTCTCGATTGAGTGACGGAAGGTAAACGCCGATATCAGTCAACAGCTTCCCGATCCTTTCGTCGTTTGCTGCCTGTAGAGCTTGCGCTTCGACTTGACCTGAATCCTGCAGAAATCAGAGCTCGAAATGCCTTGGACGAGAGCTCACGTACATCCTCCTTCAGATCGCCGGCATATCCAGTCCCGCCTTTAGCACCGCTCTTTCTCGATCCTTGCCCTTTGCTCATGTACGAGGCTGGGCTGTCATCTTCATCGTCGTCTGTGCTTTTGGCGGTGGTTTTGCCACTGATCTTTCGCCGCTTAGTACTGCGAGTGTGGGTGTCCGGGGGGTTGTTCACCTCTTTCACTTGCTCAGAGAATATTTGCTCCAGCATGGAAAGACCGACACCCAAGATAACACCCTGTATATCTGCACAATGGAAACGGGATCGGCGGTGGCAGCCGCGCCTGGGCGCTGGACCTTCTCGGTGATCGGTTCGCCGCATGCGAAACAAAAGTCAGTCTTGCATTCAGGGCACGTCTTCTGTATCGTCTGCTTCAAATGCGATATATAAGAAAGGAAATCTGGCTGAGGCGATTTAGCCGGGAATCATACTTCGGTGGTGACACCGCTCACGAAGATCACAAAGAAGTCGCCTTTAGTGCGAGGGATAGAGGTGCCACACTCATTCGGGCACCTGCAACGATCGTTACTGAGCTGCGAGAATTGCGAGAATAGGAATCCCTGTGAGAGGTTGAGAGATATGCGAGTATAATTAGAACAAATCGACCTGCTCGCCACCTGATGGCGGTGGGCATCCGCGCATCCACTCTCCTTGCGTCAAGAGCCTGACAGGTTCATCCACGCCGGGAAGAGCCACGTATTCGGCGTCCTCATCTACTTCGATGATTTCCTCCTGATGGTCTTTGGAGAAGAAGACGTCTGCAACGAGTTGAGCTGAACCGACCCGGACAGGGTTCGCACACTCGACGTACTCGCATACGGGTCTGCAGCTTTCGTTTGCACGGTATCCATCGCTCCGCCATCATCCGAATCATAGTCGATGAAATCGTCTCCTGATTATAAGCCATGAGTAGAGCCAACGGGATTGTGGGGGTCAAAGCTCGCCATCGTCGTCCTCGTCGCCCTCGGCTTCTTCATCGTCATCGTCCATACCCTCATCCTCATCTGGTGTCTTCAGACAAAGTTAGCGAGAGGCTCGGACACGATGCTGCGACGAATCGAGAGAAAGAGAGTTCCGCTCTCACCATCATGCGTATTGGCACTTTGGCAGACGGGGACGAAGCGGAAGGAGTGTTCATCTCGACATCTTCACCTGCATCGACATCCTTGACGTGGTCGAAAGCGCCGTCAAAGAACCGTTCGGCGGCATGTTCCACGTCCTTGCATTGTGCGAGAGCTGCTTTGGCCTGCGCGACCGAGGCGCCCTAAGAAGGCGCATTGGATACGCGTAAATGAATAGATTCGGCCGATGCGAGAGCCCTGCGCGTACCATATCCACTAATTGACGGATTTGGGCAGCTGACATTGTGGATGTACAAGGACAAGGACTGTTGAGTAAATGCTTTATGGTTATTTACATACACTGAGAACCCCGAACATGCATTCAAAATTCAGAAGCACTGTACAGGTCGAGGGTATAATAAATACGCGCAATCGTCCCTGCGTACCTAAAACACATTGCTGTCAGGACTCGCAAGCAAGCAAGGAAAACTAAGGGGGAATAAGTAGAAAGATAATGAAGGTAACAATACATCGCTCAGAGCCACAGACTGAGAGTAGATGAGAGAGAAGGCCGTGAGGGTTATATCTTATTGTCGCGCTGTGGATGAGGCACTGACACACTCTCGCGGTCGAAACCAAGAGGGAACGAAGAAAGATCACTGGTCAGCGCAAGCGTATCTAGACTTGCCCGCTGCCGCCCACTGAACGAAGTGGGCGGGTGCGATTCAATCCCGTTGCCCGAATCAATTTGGAAGGGGAAAGATCCCAGTCCAGAAGATGCAGTCGAGAATTGAGATGCAGTGGACAGTCCCAAAGTTCGCCTGCTTGGCGGAGGAGGGAGTTCAGCATCGGAACTGTTCTGCTGCGCTTTTGAGAAATCGGTCCGTTTTAACGGAGACTCGGATGAGGCTGCAGCAAATGACTGCTGGGCAAGAGGAGAGGCAGGCGGCGAACGCAACGGCCTGTCGGAGATTGGAGAGGGAGGAACGAAGGGGAATGATTCAAGAATAGAATCGGCCCGAGTCGATGCTGCTGAGAGCACCGACGAGTTCGAGATCCTCCGCACCGGCTGCGGCTGCGAACGGGATCCTAAAGCTTGCTGCTGCTGTTCCTCGAAGGCTCCATGGTGTGGAGAAACCAGTTTTCCCATTGTAGTCCGATACGGCGACCGGGGGAAACCGGCGGTCGACGGAGTGGCAAGTCCCACGTTGACACGGGTAGCGCTCGCAATGTCGATGACCGATCCAGCTTGTGTGCTTAGACTGGATGGTCGAGCTTCATTGGAGCGTGCCCATGGCAAATGCGGAGTGTCTAGTGTCCAATTCGTGCTGCCTGGAGCAGGGGAGTGGGCGCCGTGACCGAATGTGGTGACTGATGCCGAGGGCGATGAACCACCATCTCGGAAGGGGTCTCGTGGCTCGTCTTCTTCCGTGACAACGTCTGAGGGACCAAACGATGTGGAGGCGAGCGGTGAAGGAGCAGGGCGACGACCGGGGAAAGAACCTTCGGCAGAAGCTGGGGATAACGAACCCGCGTTGATCACCTCTGCCTTAACGAGCCTGACATTACCTTTGACTGGCGTAATGATGACGGGCGCCTCATTAAGCAAGTCGCTTGCAAAGCTGGCTCCAGACATGTAGGAGTTTCTTTGAGTGAGGCCCGATGCGCCAGAGCGCTGCGAGGCAGCATAGGGTCTGCTCGCAGGGTGTAATGAATCGCGTGAAACGTTAACATGCTCCAGGTTGAGGTCTGGGGAGCGTGGAGGTCGTGTGGGTCCCGTGGAAGCACTGTCCGCAGTGGACATATGTTCGGGGGACACGAGAGCAATAGGAATGACATTAGTGCTCTCGGTGCCTGCGGTTTGGATTGAATGATTGTCGGAAAACGGATTGGACTGGGTGGAGGAGTGCCGCGATGGGCTATGCAATGGCGAATTGGTAGACTGGGGGTCAAGATCGATAGTCGTGTTGGGGAGGCGTAGATGCGGACAATATGGGGCTCAGCTTCAACCTGGGGAGTGGGCGTCGCTGGCTTCTCCGTGGGATCGGGCCGGTTGAGGACATCCGCAGCAGCAGCAGGAACATCCGGTTTGACATCATATTGGAATCCCGCTTTGGCCCGGAGCCTGCGCCGATACCACAGGAAGGCAGTGACCGCGATAGCAAGGAAAATAAGCGAGCCCAGAACCGCACCCGCCAATGCACCTTTACTGACACCGCCTTTGCCCCCTCCGCCTGATGACCCGGACGACACACACTTGATAGTAGCACAGGTATTGCAGCCCCTGGTGTTCAAAGTTAGCAGTGCATCTAGCATCAAGATACGGCTCCTTGCCTGCTGATGATGAAGCATTGTTGACCGGCTGCGCAGTTACAAGCAGGAGTCGAGGGACACTGAATGCAATTGTCGCTTTGACGCGGGAGGAGTGCTTCCAGCCTCATTGGAGGAGTAAAAGAGCGTGAAGTGCTGCGAACGACAACGAGAAAAGAGACAAACAAGAACAAGGAGATTGAGCTCGTCGCCGTCGCAGTGCCAGTCACAAGTAACAGCTTGAAGATATCATCACGTCACGCGTTTCAGGCATTTGGTCCGCCAAGCAATGACAAGCATGCATAACGGCAGTCAAATGTTATATGTATTATGTATGTAACGTGCCGCCGGTCATTGACTCATTCGGGTCCTGTGCAGTGAAAGTTCTCTGTCATGACGATCTCAGCAGCAAACCTCACCTTCTTTCATGGTCCGCTCTCAGACAGTCCCGCACTGTCGGACATCTCGCTCGATCTTCCTCGCGGGTCTCGTACTGTGATTGTGGGCCCAAATGGTGCTGGAAAATCCACCCTGCTCCAGATATTGGCTGGAAAACGTCTCATCAAGGATGCGAACGTCCGAATTAACGACGCCGACGTCTTCCGTAGCACCCAGGACGGGGTGACCTTCTTAGGAACCGAATGGGCTATGAACCCTGTCGTGCGTGGGGACATCAAGGTTTCCCACTTTCTGGATTCTGTCGGTGGATACCGGTACAAGGAACGGCGCGACGTCTTGCTGGATATTTTGGACGTCGATTTAGACTGGTGAGTGTCCGCCATCGCCGGCGTCAACTATATTAACAGCGGTCAGGCATATGCATCAAATCTCCGATGGTGAAAGACGGCGCGTTCAATTAGTTTTCGGTCTGATGCAGGCTTATCACGTGTTACTGCTTGACGAGGCAGGCAGCTGTAACCAGTTGTACACTGTCTCATGCTAAATGTTGGGATAGGTGACAGTTGACTTGGATGTGCTGGTTCGTGATGACCTGCTCCGATTTCTCAAAAGCGACAGTGAATTGAGGGGCGCAACAATCATCTGTAATGCGTCTTCTCGCCTTCCCATTGTTTGACTCATAGATCGCAGACGCTACCCACATATTTGATGGATTGAATGCCTTCCCCACCCACGTTCTCCACATGTCCCTGGGGCGGATTGTGACCCCGGTTGTTTCTTGGCCCTTCGAATCTGGCAAGACTCTGTACCAAATTGCGCTGCAGTGGTTTGTGGTCCTTTATTGTGCTCCAGAAAGGTTCTCACAGCACGCAGGCTCAAAGAAGACCGCGAGGTGCGCCGTGAGCTGGAACGAAATGGGAGAAAGCAGCGAGGTGCTCCTAAAGATCAGGCAGTCCCGTCGGATTCCGAAACATTCTATCGCAAGTAAGCCTTCCGTCTGTCCAGTAGGCCTTCAAAGGGGCTTACTCGTCTGCCAGATACGACTATTCTCACTAATCGCGCATCCACTCAACTTGTATCGCTATAGCACAATTCATCTTGTAGCATTATGTATACACATGGCCTGTACAGCTTCTCAACGAAGCTACGGATTTCTCTACAAAGTTCTGGTTACAGACAGATCGTTGGATTCCTGCATGCTTTCGTTTACGCATTGACAGACATGTTGGCGATGCCCTCGGCAGTTTCTTCGGCGATGTTCTCGACTAATTTGGTGATCTTGGTGTCCGTTAGTGGTAGTGGACATACACAGGGCATAAATCAGACCTTTCCGATGGCAATGGTGCGACCTTCGTCTCGTAAAGTGAACCTGCCCAGCTGAGGGTAGTCTTTGAATCGCTCGACACAAACAGGCAGGGCACTCTCAATCAGAGCAACGATCTTCTGACCCTTCTTCGCAAACTGGGGAGGCTTCCGCGATTTTCGGCCGGTCGCTTTATCGAAGTAGTGCAACAGAGCCTGAGAGCCTGTTGGTAACAGCTGCAAAGACACGAAAAATCAACACACCGTAAGAGTGACCTCTTCAGAGAGAGTGTGAATGTGCATCACCGCCGAATAGCCCGCACAGATGATGTTTTTGTGCTCGAGAATGGCCAGCTCAGCGTGGAATTGCCGCACAGCGTGGATGGGCTGCTGGGGGCTGGTCAACATGAAGCCGGGGCTGATGTCCTCGTCGTCGACCCCGCGCAGACGGATGCGGACGTTATCTCCGCAGAGACCCACGTTCACTTCCTCCTCCATCTCGTTGAAGATGGCCGTCACCTCCACGTGGTTCTTGTTGGGCATCAGAATGAACGACTCGCCCTTCCGGAGGTGACCCGACTCAATCTTGCCGACGACAATCGTTCCCATGTCCTTGTACTTTTCGGCGATGGGCATCATCAGCGGTGCGTTGTTCTTGCGATCGACCATGGGCATGTGATCAACATGCTCGAGGAAAGAAGTCCCACTGTAGGATGGTGGTCGTCAATAGCTCGAAAGAAGGGGCAGGCTGTGAGTACTCACTCCCACCAGGGGCAAACATTCTTGGGGACGCGCTCCTTCAGATTGTACCCAGTGAAGGCAGAAACAGGAATAAACGTGACATCCGTCTTCGGATTGAATCCAGATGCACGAATGAATGGGACCAGCTTCTCCCTGATTTCATCGTACCGTGATTTTTCCCAGTTGACAGTTGGTTCGTCCATTTTGTTGATCGCAACGATGAGCTTGGAGACGCCGGCGGTCTTGACCAGCATGATATGCTCTCGGGTCTGTCCACCCTTCTCGAAGCCGGTTTCGAATTCGCCTTTGCGAGCGGAAATCACAAGAATCGCAATGTCAGCCTGGGCAGCTCCGGAGATCATGGAGGGAACGAAGGTCTTGTGCCCGGGTGCATCCAGAATGGTGTAACGTCGGAAAGGTGTCTCGAAATAAGCACGGCCGACTTCCACGGTTTTCCCTTTGGCACGCTCCTGAGGTGTGGAGTCCAAAGCCCAACTTAGGTACCAGGATTCACGACCAGCCTCCTTGGCTTCCCGCTCATATTTTTCCATGGTTCGCTTATCGACCATGCCCGTCAGAAAGAGCAGATTGCCGCCAAAAGTACTTTTGCCAGCATCGACATGACCGATGAACACGATGTTGAGATGCTCCTTAGCTATGCAGCCCTCTCAGACAACAAGGCGAGATGGAGACCAAGTGAATGAACGCACCATCGCCGAAAAGATCTTCCAATACAGCGTCGTCAGCTACCGTCCGTACTTCGTGGGCAACAGCATTTGTATCGGTCTTAGCCCTCTCCGTGGAAAACGTCTTAGATGGAGCAGATGAAGCAGGCGCAGCACTGGGGGTGCTTTTGACAACTGGTTTCGGGGCCGGGACGGCAGCGGCTGGTGCTGGCGCTTGAGCGGCAGGGGCAGCAGGTTTAGCTGGGGTTGGCGCGGCTGCAGGTGTCGGCTTGGATCCGCCAATGTTGAGAGAGATCGTGGGAGGGGGCTTCGGGGCTTCTGACTGTTCTGGGCGCTCAATCGGGGCAGGTGGTGGTGCCGCTGGTTGAGAGGGAATGCTGAATCCCCGGCCAGGGACGAATTCAAAAGCGGAGGCGTTCAGTTTGCTCATTATGTTCGTAAGTACGGTCGGAAGGGATGACGAGGGAACAACCACCCGATGTGAGGTGGGCGTATGGGATAGAGAGGGATCACGGGTGTGGTAAATTTTTGCAACGACCATGATAGCCCCGTTTCGGTCCCTCCCAGCGATTTCTAACTCTGAGACATTCTCTGATTTACATGAGAATGACTGCGCCTCTGACTGTGACGGCGCCGGAAAGCACGGTCTCCCGGACTGAGGCGATGGTCAACGGCGGCTCCGAGATGCATGCGATCAACTCTCGATAAAGCGCGTTATGTCCCGCTCTAGAGACATCCAGACACAGGATATACCATGAAGCGTAAGATATAGAATCGAACTGGAAAAGAGGAAGTTTTGACACAGACAGACAGACATTCGTTCAGGTTGGGACTATTGTTCACTCCACACTATCTAATCTATTATCTACGGCCGATCTCAGACTGATTGCGACGCTTGTGACCTCATGTGACACCCACCAATTGACGAAGTCGCACTGAGTTGAACATCCAAAGTACTGCGCGATCTTATAAATCCTTTTTCTATTTTGAATGCCGGCAGATACAAGGAGTTCTGGATAATTTCTGCCGCTGTGGCCTAACACATACTAACCCGTTTGGACGCGTTGCTCAACAACAATTTCTCTCGACTGAAATCAGTTTAGTCGAAGACCGATCGCTCTGGGGCTCACGCGAAATGACATGGCGCACTTCCAGGCATGGGGAAATCCGACTGAGAGTCCAGCAGTGTTCTCAACAACAGACATCGCAGATGAGAAACAAGAAAAGCATGCTTGAGCAACATCCACCCACGCGCGTGGTGGAGTCAAGTGAGTTGGACTTTGAAAGTTCAAGAAAAAGAGCCGCGACACAGAAGCTTTTTCGAGTGTCGCAGAATAGAATGGGCCAGAAAGTCAGTACAGGGCTTGACAGTGGAGACTGCCGATGACGAGTCCATATTCATTAGAAGCAGCAGGACTCGATGGATCTACGCAGAAAGCCATCTATTGGCTTTCATGTCACTGTCCTTTAGGACTGTCGACAACAGCCTTGAGCGTGGCGAGTTGTCGCCAGTGGCGGAAAGAGAACTCGAGTACCATGGCGGCGCACAGCATCCGTCAAAGACAATGGTTCCAGTGACGGCCTGCGAGACCAGTTCAGGTGATGAGTCACTTTTAGACACAGCTCGAACCTTGAATCACAGAAACCGAGGAGACGGATGAGCTGTGGTTTGATGAGGACGATTGTAGACAAGATTGAAGAAACTTCCCAGTCGAAGATTAGATGTCGATCAGGATCAGACTCACGTGGTTGCATTCGGCTCTCGCCGGGGTGTTCTGAAATCCATTACGCTATCACCGCTCCTCCAACGCCTCGCCTTGCTCATTCTTGTGGATTTGGATGACGGAACACCATTATCTTGCCGTCCTCAAGGCATCCTACGATTATGAGCCAGATGCAGGGGCAGAGGATGAGATAGCTATCAAGGAGAACCAGATACTACTCCTTGTCGCAAGGGTAGACGCAGAGTAACATTTCGCCTATCCGTCTTTACCTTTATTGATTCCTCTTCAGCTGGTGGAAGGTTAAGATTAAGGGTGAGTCGCAGGAGGAGGAGAGCCCGGTCGGGCTCGTTCCCGCCGCATACGTCGAACCTGTACGTCTCCAGTGACACCGCCCCTCCCCTCACTCCGCGCACTAAGCATTGCTCCCTCCACAGGCCGATCACACGTCCACTGTCAAAGCCCTCTATGACTATGAAGCCAATGCTCCCGGAGAACTGACGATGAAGGAAGACCAAACCTTGCACGTCTTCGACAGGGAAGAGGAATGGCTCTTAGTCCAGACCGAGGAGGACGGTGGCAAGGCCGGATTTGTCCCCGCCAATTATGTTGAGGAGAGCACTGGGGGGGAGGCACAGCAAGAGGCTGCGGGCTCACAGATTGTCATCCCGGACTCGGTACGTAGAAGAATCGTGCGCAGTTCTAATCATCTCACTGCGATATCAGCCTCCCAAGCCGGCATATGTGGATCCGGCAGACCGAGTTGCATCAAGCAAGATAACTGCCGATGACATCCAGACGTGGGCTGTTACGGAAGTGGATAAGAAGGGCAAGAAGAAGAAGGGAACGTTGGGAGTCGGGAACGGAGCTGTGTTTTTCGCCAGCGAGTCGGACAAGGTGAGCCCTATCTCACTTGATTATGGTGGCCGATCTCATTCCGTCCTAAAGACTCCCGTGCAAAAATGGCAAACTGTCCATGTGGAGAACATCACCGTCGACAAGGGCAAACACATTCACATCGACATCGGAGGTCCCACTCCCATCAACCTGCATTTCAGCATCAGCTCGAAAGATCAGGCCGACGCGATTGTGGCGAAATTAAACTCGTCCAAGGAACTGTCGTCGGCCGCAGCTGGAGCGTCATCGTCTTCCTCTGCTGCTGCTGCTGCTACTCCGAAGAAGAACACAGTACATTTTGCCCCTGATTCACCCACGGTCATCCCCGTCTCTGATGACGAGGAAGCTGAAGAGGAGGAACAAGAGGAAGAGGCAGAGGAAGCTACCCCAGCGGAAGAACACGCCGCCAATGGAGATGGGAACCTGGCGACCGCTTTGTACGATTTTGCTGCCGATGGCGAGGATGAATTATCAGTGACGGAAGGCGAAGAATTGACGATTTTGGAGAGGGATGGAGATGAGTGGTGGAAATGCCGCAACTCCCGTGGTGAGGAAGGGGTTGTACCCGCTTCTTACCTCGAGGTGAGTGAGACGGCGTTCTTTCCTTGTATATCCTTGCCAATGCGGTCTACAGGCAGGACCGGGTACCGCCGCCGCTGCCGATGAGGATGAGCAAGACGATACTTCTGCCCGTGAAGCTGAAGAACGCGCTGAGAAGGAACGTCGCGACAAAGAACGTCGTGAGAAAGAGCGTCGTGACAGAGAGCGCCGTGAAGCTGAAGAGGCTGATCGTGCTGAAAAGGCGGTCAAGGACAAGGAGCGAGCTGAGAAGGAACGCAAGAAACAAGAAGCACAGCAAAAGGCCAAAGCTGCTGCCGCTGCTGCTGAGGCTGAGCGAGAGAAGCGCAAAAAGGCTGCTGCCGCTGCTAACGCTCGTGCAGAGGCGGCATCTCCTGCTCCGTAGGTCTTGGCCCGTCGAGCGCATGTCTGATCTCTCATCCTTTTCAGGACATCTCCAGAGCCCAAGAAATCATCACGTTCGTCGATGGATCCAGCTGCGCGACCACCAGCTGATCGGGTCCGGGAATGGCGTGACCGGACTGGGCAGTTCCGAGTTGACGCAGCTTTCCTCGGGTTCAACAATGGCAAGCTTCGCCTACATAAAACAAACGGAGTGATTGTCGAAGTTCCTGCCGAGAAGATGTCGATCGACGACATGAAGTACGTTGAGAAAGTGATGTCCAAGCAGCGACACAAGAGTTCAGCCCCGTCAACGTCCTCTGGGACATCGCGCAAGGTCTCTGAAGACGATGTTCCCCTAGCAGAGGCCAAACGACAGTCGATGCTGTCTGCAAAGCAACCGAAGAAGTCGACGATCGACTGGTTCGATTTCTTCTTGAATGCTGGATGTGATCTGGACGATTGCACTCGCTATGCCGACTCGTTTGAAAAGGACAAGATCGACGAAACTCTACTGTTGGATATCACTGATTCTACTATGCGCTCTCTGGGCCTTCGCGAGGGGGATATCATACGCGTGACAAAAGCAATCGAGAAACGGCGGCCTGAGAAGAAAACAGAAGACGCCGTGGATGCTGATGGCAGTCCACTCAAGAGCCCGCCGAATCTATTCACGACGGCTGGCGGTGCTCTGAAGCAGCCCGCCCGCAGGGGACGACCACAGCCGAGCAAGACGCTCCCAGCCTCGGTCGACTTGCAAGCCATTTCGACTGTCTCCGACCAGATTCAGAGGACGAGTTCGCCGCAGGCTATCACTCCTACCGCGGTGCAGCCTCCTCCGCGGACTAGTTCGGCCCCTGCTGTTGCTGCACCCCCCGTTAGTGGATTCGACGACGATGCCTGGACCAACCGCCCGAGCTCGGCACAGCCACCTGCCATAGCGGCAGCGGCTGCAGCTCCGCCTGCGAGAGCACCATCCGCACCACCAGCCCCGGTTGCACCAACCCCACCCCCTGTTGTGGCTGCCACTGCCCCAACTCCAGCTGCGGCCCCGCCTGTGCAAGCTCGCCCAGTTTGGCCAACACAACCGAATCGGATGTGTTTAATCAGCTCGCTCGGCTCGCTGCGCTCCGGACGCAAACGCCACAGCAAAGCGCGCCGACGCCGCCTCCAGTGATCAGTAGTCCGCCCCTCGTCACTAATGTGACCCCGCCGATCGGATATGTTTCTGGCATGGGCATGGGATCTTCCCCTTGTCGATGGGCCAGCACCTCACGGCCCAGCGCACCGGGATGGTCCCTTCGCCGTCGCCCCAGCTCGGTCCGCGCGGCCCCTTCGCCCCTGTTCCCAGTAACCAGTCTTTGCTCCAGCCACTCATTCCGACGCAAACAGGGTTCAACAGCTTCATCCCTACTCGTGCAAGCACGAATCCCGTCTCCCATTCGCCAATCCGGTGGCTCAGCCGTCGTTCCTGTCTGCACAGCCCACAGGATTCATGGGCGCTCAGCAGATGCAGCCCCAAGCCACCGGTTTCCCGGGTATGCAGCCTCAGGCGCCTGCGTTCTCGGGTCTGCAGCCTCAAGCTACTGGGTTCCCAGGTCTGCAGCCGCAGCCAACTGGATTCCCCATGCAACAGCAACTGCCGCAACCGACCGGCTCTCCGTTCGGTGGGTCCAATGGATTCGTTGCCAGCAGTGAGTTCTCCGTCTCTCATGCTCTCCGTGTGAGCTGACTGGAACTTTCAGATCCAACCGGATTTGGCATGGCGCAGAATGGAATGCAAATGAATGGCATGCAGATGAATGGATTTGGCAATGTTCCTCCCGTCCCTCCTCTTCCAGTTTCTGCCAACAGCGGCAATGCTACCAACGCGGCGAACGTCTTTGCGCAGATGAAATCCGGAACGTTTGGAGCGGAAGACAACGCTCCGCAACCATCAGACAGATATGATGCACTGAGGCCTAACCGTGAGTCTCCGCCCATATAGCACCCTGTCCTTCTCTCGACTGATCCGTGTCTTCTGCAGCGATGGTCCCGCAGGCCACCGGATGGGGATACCAGAATGGCAATGGATTTGGAGGGTACCGCTGATTTATATTCAACTCACTCATGTACTACGGATAATATCATCTACTATACCAACAATCGTGTCAGGACATCTCCGAGGTCATTGTTCGCGCAGGGCTGCTCGGAGAACCATCTGTGCTGCAGTGCCTCGGCTGCTGACATTCGTTGCGCCGGAGAATACACCAAGAACATGTCCAGCAGATGCAGCAGTTGGTCAGCATTCGCAGGTCGATTTGACAGCATTGTTTTCAGATCGACAGCAGGAACGACTTTGAAATCGACGCTCGATGAACCCAGGAGTTGGGTGAATCCCTGGAGTGCAATGGGATCATGATGATCAGGGCGAATGGGTCGAGCTCACAGGCCATGTCTCATCCGTCGGAGTTCCCCTCATTTTGAAGATACTCCATATCAGCGCAAGCTCTCCTCGGTATCCGTTGAATAGAGGATCTCGAGCCCAGGCAGTCTCTGGCTGACCGACTCGAACAGATCCTGGAACGACGAAGGGCTGATCGTCCGGCTGGGCGCTGGGCACTGCTTCCCCGTTGTCGTATGAATATGATTCCGAATCCAGCCGTAATGTGGTGAACATCTCTGCCAGGATGGTCCCGAAGCTCCAGAGGTCAACACATGCGGGCTCGTAAGATCGCACACCGAACAAAAGTTCTGGCGCGCGGTAGGGACTGGACGATTCACGTCAATGAACGGGACAGCGAAGCCGTGCTCTACATACCCAGTACACACCTCGAAATAAAGGCCATCGGGTGCTTCTGGCCACATGTCGTCGGAGCAATCTCCCACCGCATCCCGCGCGACGCCAAAGTCAATCAGCACTACGTGTGCCTCGTGTGTGAGGAGGATATTGGCCGGCTTCAGGTCACGGTGCGAGATCCCGAGAGCGTGCAGGTATTTCAGTGCTTGTAAAGTCTGAGCTGCGACTGATTTGGCCAGAACGAGCATCTCAGACTCTTGCGCGGGGTTCAAGACTGCGGGAAGTCCAGCGCGAGGGAGAGAGTACGGCGAAAAGGATGGGGAAGAAAGCAGCTTCTCCAGTGAGTGGGGTATGTACGGAAGGTATATGGTCAGGATACGGGCCGTCGCATCGCTGAAGCTAGACAAGACTGGTACGATCTTCAGGCAATCGAGACGCAGCGAACGCTCGCGCAAGTGCTACTCACGTTCTCGTGGTTCAGACTGGAGAGAACTCTGAGCTCTTTCACTATGTCGTGCGGCTCCTTCGCAAGAGATTTCCGATTCGTCGCAGACTTGGCGACGATCCACTGGGGCGTGTCGCGCTGCCCTTCGAGTGTGGTCCAAATGCGCGAGACAGACGAGTACGGCCCATCCTCGATCAGATGGTATTGCCCATCTTTCTGGATCGATTCAAGAGGAGAAGCAGTCAACTCTCATTGTACCTACCAATGACTCCTCGTCGCGTTCCATCGTTGAGAGAAGAGTTGTTCAGCGTGATCGCGATATCGAGTAAATCAGCTGACGTCATCTGATCTAAAAGATGTCAGACCCTGACCACGATGAGCTGCTCAAAATTCTAAATGCCCACGGGCAGCAGTTTCTCGGTTCATTCTCTCTACCCGTCGCGTCTGGATCAAAGCGGAGGAATCTGAGGACTCTCCGCGGCCTGCAAAAATCTCTAAGAAGATACTAGTGCAAGCTTCTGAGGATGAGGATGAAGAGGAGGAGTGGGGTGGCATAGGTCAGGTCTCGGAGGATGAGAACGACGATGAAGACGAGGGATCTCTACCAAGCGGTATGCGGCCTTCCCTTACATCTCTCACCCGATTCACGTGCAAAGATTTCGAGCAGGAAGACGATGAATTCACATCCGCTGACCCGATACCTCCAAGACCGTAGTTTTCTCCGACATCGCGAAGCCGACACAATCTTCGCTTCCTTCACTAGCCCAAAAGAAAGCGTTCATGGTACCGTCAAACTCCACTTGCGTCCGAGTCGAGCTCACCAAAGGAAACAGTCATCCAAAGTCACTAAACTCAGAGACGATCATGTTTCGGCCTCGGCAGCAAGCACTTCCAGAGCCGAAGATGAGGAGGAGAAGTAATGCCAGTTGCACCTTGGATTACACAGCACTAATCCAACGCACCAGATCTAACATCCAGAACGACGCTTTGTTGCATCGTCTCGTCCACACTAAACTTCTATCCGGGTCCTTGAACCCAGAGTTGAATCTCACATCCGCGGAACGCAAAAAGGCGCTGTCGGGTCGCGTGCTCGAGCTCAGCGGGCAAGCCAAGCTTGGCAAGGGCGAGAAATCGGTGCGGCAGGGTGAGCGGAACAAAGCCTCGAAACGAGTGCGCGAGGGTCTGCTTTCGAAACAAAAGGAGAGACAGGCACAGAAGTTGGAAGAGGTTCGTGATCATTGTCTGGCCTGTCGTCTGCGCTACTGATTCGTGGACATTCCAGGCTAAGAACCTCGGCAACTACCACCCGACTCTGAAGAAACTGTTCGAGCCCGATTCTGAGAACAAGCCGAAGAAGCATCGGGAACGAGGCATGAGAATGGGCGTGGGCACTTTCGGTGGCGGTGTGCTCAAACTCAGCAGGGAAGATGTCCATCGAGCCCAAGGTGGAGCGCGGGGTCCTGGTGGACCAAAGAAAAAAGGTCGTCGATGAAATACATACATGGAGACTCGGCTACTGCATTCGAACGACCTTCACAACGGTGTGCTAATTTGCCTCAGAACTCGAGGCGAAGTCCGGAAACGGCCTAGGTACTCACACTGGAATATGTCGCCCGCTTTTATCTATGAAGACAATCGCAGGAGGCTCATCTATGTGTCTGCGGCTTGTTTCTGTGCGCGAATGACCGATGTTGCTCTCCGAACTTACATTGTGGACCGGCCGCACTTCGAACAACCGCTATGCAAACCTAGTCTAGATCCATCCATTGGCATGAATGACGGGCGTACCGGTCTGCTCTTTTGCCAGAACCTGTGTTGAAATCTCCGACCCTGTATGGATTTATCACTGAGTCATATCGAGCCGGGCTTGCAGATCCAGAGCTTGAACCTTGTGATCTCGTTTCCGTTCATGTCTTGAAAGACCGCCTTGACTCCTGCAGGCACAATGTAATAGTAGCCTTCCGTGTTTGGCTGTACGGACTAGGTTGGGTGAGCAAATGACTAGGAGACCCAGTCTGACTGCCCACCTCGAAGCTGCGAATGGAAGGATACCGACTTTTGGCTGGCAGATGGTGTTCTGGCTCAGTCCGCCGTGAAGGGGTCACGGACACCACTCGGCTCCTAGGGTCGTGCATGTCGTGATATCCAGAGTGCAGCCGTTCGACGGGGCCATCTTCGCGCAAACTCCGAGTCACTGGCGGAATGGATTCTGGCGGAGTATTCAGTTCGACCATCGTAGCATCCCTGCTGCGTGCAACAGAAGGCGGCGAAGGCAGCGGCCGGGATCTGATCGGCTGATGTTGCGGCTGCCAGTCGGGCGCCAACTGCAGAAAGTTGTTAGGTTAACGAAAGCAGTCCGAGCAGTCCGAGCAGTCCGACCTCTGACAATGGACTGGGCTCTGATCCGGTTGCATGGAGACTGTCCACGCTGCTTTTCGCGGACGGTTCGAAAGATTCCGCACGGGCCGTCTCCCCTTCATCTGATCTCCAAGACCGGGGTTTGATATGATAAGATCCAACTTCTGCCTCATGTCCGAAGCCAGGGCTTTCGAATGCGGGGCCGTAAAAAGTAGATACCGGCACGAGAGGATAGCTTGTCCCGTCATGTTCCGCATGCTACAAGTGTTCAGACTATCTCTCGTCCGCCAAGACCGGATGAGAACGAACAAATGGTGGTTCCGTCATTTGTGCCACCCGCTGTCGTTTTAATCGCCTGGTCATCGTCGGGTGGTCACTCAAAGGAAACGGGACGTCAATTCCATGTTCGTTTGGCCCGCGGTTAGTGCGCTGGTGCGATGAGGTTGGACCTCGTTTCTTGAGGAAGCTGAAGAGAGGCATTGGATCCGTGAGGGCTTTCCGCGGTATTTAGACGTCAGACCACGTTCCGGACACGACTTGTGGGGCCGGTCTGATACGACCTCTTCTTGATACACTCGCGACACATCGACAAAGGTTGTAACATTACAAAGCCTCGTGGGCTTGCCTCTCAGCCCACTGCAGCTGTCTCACTTGCGATATCGCTTGAACAACCTTCGTGATTGCATCTGCCACCGAACCAACGGATGCTGGATCCGAGTATCCAGCACTAAGCGACCCCAGTCTGCCCGAAAGTGATCGCAGTGTGGCTTCCAGACCTTGGGCCGAGTCATCGAGGGCCAGTGACAGCGACGTGGGATTCGACTGCGATGATCCCCTTAGCCCACAGAACGATGAGCGGCGAAATTTCCCACCGTGGTGACTGTGCTCTGCGTCTGCAAAGGTACAGGAAGTCGTTGAGTAGCGGTGCTTCCGCTGGATGCAGCTACAGGGACCGGGGGCTTCGCAGGTGATACCTCTGCAAGCGGTGCTTCGGGAACGAGCTGTTCCCGACCATGCCTATCGACTTCTGTGACATAGACGATCCCGCAGATAACACACTCCTGCGGCAGACAATGTAAGAGCGAGAACCTCACTATGTTGGCGGGATCGCGGAAAGACCTTTCTGGGATCCTTTTCTCCACCTGGGCGAGGCGGTCGAACCAACGGCACACCGAAGCAGTTCGAGTTGGGGCATTCTACGGCAAGCATCGCCCAGCCCTAGTTAAGGTGAACTACTGATGCAGAAACTTTCATTTCGAGCACGCACCTTCAGCAGTCTTTGTCCAATGGCAGCCGATGCGGCATCAGATTGCTCTCTCCTTCTCCGACTTTCCTCGGTTTCAGGCGGCGGTGCGAAGACTGGAGAGCTGAGGGTACTCGATACTTCAGTCGGCGGGGTAGACGAGCGCGAAAAAGTTGAATCGCTCGAGGAACGACTGGTCGCGATCTGTGCTGTAGGAACAGGCGCTTTCGCACCTAAGACCCAGAATGGAACTCAGATTTGATATAGAGGACATTGAGCGCACCGTCAGGCCCTCCGTCGCATTTCGCGCAAAAGTGGGTGACTGGCGTTCTGCCCGTAGGCGATCGCATCAGTGGCACATTGCATTCAGAAGACGGGCATGAGCGATCGGTAAGCACCCATCCTTTTAGCATGTATTCGCCTAGGATCCCTGAAACATCTTGCGACATGGCTATATTATGTAGTGCTTTTCTTTTCGTCGGATCGTGTATGTAGTCGAGAACTGGTTCCTCGACTGACAGTGGGAGGAAGGAGTGCGCAGTGGCTGTGTGAGGTACGGCTTGTCCTAAACCACGACCACTTCACGATTGACAATCTACAAGTTCATCCCCGCGCCTTCACAACCTATCCGCCCAGGAGGGAAAATCAAACAGCTGCACAATGACTTTACTAGAACTTCCCGCCGACACTAAGCAAGCTCAGACACACGTCGTCAATCTCCCTGTCTCGGGTCTCAAAGGGCTTAGCGGCTGGGCATACCTCGCCCTTGGCTTCGTGATCATCTCTATCATCGCACTTCTCTACTACTTCGCCCACCATGTGTACCGCGCTCTGACACTCGGGCAAGACGGGCTTCCTCAATATGTAAAACCACTCAAGAAGAAGACGTGGTTCTCTGGCAAACAACAGTCCGGGCAACGCGAGCTGCTTCTTCAAGCTTCAGTGGACACCGATTCCACCCAGCGGCTTACTATGAACAACCCCTTTGACATCGAGAAGCAACCCCTCGCGCTCCCACCCGTCGTCGCTCATGCTGTTCCGACCGAGTTCACTCGTCCAGCCCGCTCTTCTCGACCACTGCAACAGACGGATGCCAATCTCGCTGCAGCCCCGCCACCCGCTATCATGTCGATCTACGCTGATGTCAATACCAAACTCTCGCCCGTCTCGGCAGCTCCTGTGGCTCTGTCTCGTGCTGAGACGAAGGACTCCGGGGCATATCTTGTTTCTGATCCACCGCCTTCGAAGAAGAACCTCAAGAAGTGCAAATCCGAATCGTCGTTGATGACCAAGCTGTTCCGTGTCAAGCGTAAGAACAAAATGAGTGGGTCGACGAAGGAGAATTTCCAGTTACTCGACGGGTCTAACGTTTAGCGAAGTCTCCTTTCGGAGTACAAGTGTTCAAGGTATGATTCCGTGCATATGGCAGAACTGTTGCGAGATCGAAAATGGGATTACAGTACAACTATCACACATACCCTCCGTGTTGAACAAGGCCGTACATATAATAATCGCGTTATATCACACCACGTGCACTGTGACTACCACTCTCGCCTTGATGTAGAAAATCCCAACAAGCTTTGCCCGGCTCCACACCCAAAATCTCCTGAACCTTTCCCAAATCCATGTCGCACAGCTCCCTGACGTTTTTGATCTTGGACATAACGTAGTTGATGTTTTTGCCCGTCACACCAGGCAGGGCACGCAGCAAGTCCTCGGCTGCAGCATTCACACCGGCTCCCGCATCAGGATCGTCGTCGGCTCCGATGGAAACAGCCGTGCGCAGATCTGGTTGTCGGGATTTGGCTTTGAGGTCCGCAAAGATTTCGGCCGTAGCGTACGGCGACGACGACCAGATTATTCGGACACGCGGGAACGAAAGGAGGAGGAGAACGAGTTTCGATTGGAGTAATGGGGGTGCTGCTTTGGGAGCCTGGTCGCCTTTGGACGGATATTTTCCTGTAGGTTTGACATAGGATTTGATCTCTGAGACCGTCTGACCGCTGTCAATCGCACAACATCAGTATCGGGGACGACGAACGAACCTCGAGCGAGAATGCCTTGTCCTCTCGAACTCAATCAAGAGCACTGGATGCTTATAGTGGACAGACATGAGCTCGCACTGCGTATATCTGTCCTGCACTTTAGGAGCAGCATCAAGGCGAAAATGACGACTTACAATCGCCCGCTATTAAAACTGGAGATCAGATCCGGCAGACTTTTTCTCTCGACACAAATGTCTGGAGTCAACACATAATCGCCCACAGTCAAAGTTGCAGGGACTATTAGTATCTTTGAGGCATGCAGAAGTGACGGCAGCGAGGACCGGAACTCTCGCACGTCCACAATGATTTGTTGCGTTGTTTCCTGTGCCTCGCGCCGGCCGCCTGCGATTCGAGTGCTGATCGTTTTGATCAGAGCCTCGCTTTTGGCGTCCAGTCGTTCGTCGTGGATCGGTATGATCATTGTGGCTTTCTCTTTGATCAGTCGTTGGAACGCATTCTTCTCTTTGCGAATTCCTGCGAGATATTTGTGCTCTTCACAAGAGTTGGCATACACCATGTGATAGACTCGCACACTGAGACCCGGATTCGAGCTCCGGTACACCTTGTAATAAATGAAAACTGAGGCAGGGTTCAAGTCACCGGGACACACACACACCTCAACCCGGCGAATGAAATCCATATTCGGCTCGTACATGACAATGAAACGCGGTTGGAATTCAGCCAGCATCCGGTCATCGGAATCATCGGAATACGGTCGCACGATCACTGTCTGCTGAGGAGCAAGTAGACCATAATGGGCGTCAAACTCGTTGACCAGATCCGCCGAGTCGAAGTTGATCAGTGCTGGGTCTTCGAGGTCGAGGGCCATCGCAGCCGCAACATCTTCCGTGCTCTGAGCTGCCCAGCTGCACACTGATCAAAACCAAGCAACCTTGGGAAACAGCTACTGACAAAGCGGCAATGTCATTCGCTTCGGACTGAATGGTCCCCAGCACTGACACAGGCTGCTGCTGCTTGGGACGGGATGACTCAGCAACAGGAGGGCCCCCGCCTCGCACCCTCCTTCGCTTGGCCTGTCGCTCCAGCCTTTCCTTGTCTTTCCGTTCTAGGGCTGCGCTGACGCCTTCACCAGTCCCGTACATCCGCTCGTAGCCTTGGTTCGGTCCGCTGCGTCCAAAGGTGTCCGGCATGGCGAAGGCTGCCCGCCCGTCTTGCTTTCGTTCAGCCAATTTCCGTTTCCACCAGAGATACAGCCGCAACTTGCGCATCAGCATCACTCGGGCATGCTGACCACGGGGCGCATCGTCGTCTTTGGACGAGAGGAACTCGGACAGAACATTGCAGGTTCGAGTTGAGGATGCCATCACAAGCACCACATTGGTTCCTGGTGCAGCTGTCCTCCGGTGCTCAGCTAGGTCAATGGGAGAGAGACTTGGCCACGTACCAGGTGGGCGGCGTGGCCCTTCCATCTTCATAATCTCCCCTTCGGTTTCCAATAGTATCTCTGAAAGCAAGCTCCACTTTGGCAGCTCTTCCAACACAGGCTCGATACCCTCAGGCAGCCACTTCGGTTTCTTGTCACCCTGCTGACCGGTCACATCATCCAGCACGTCCCAATCTTCGTCGTCGTTATCCTGAGCGACTGGGGGCAATCCACCGACCAGCTTGGCTGTCGAGGTGATCAGATAACAGCGTCGTTTAGCCACTTCGAATATGACATGCGCCTCCTCGCTGATCATCCAGGCCGATTTGTTGTGTTTGACTCCGAGTTCGGTGAATGTGTTCGTGGCGAGCAGAGTTTCCAGGTACGCGTGAAACTGGAAAACATCATATGAGAGTAGATATCTGGAGGTGTCTAAGAATGGAGCCGTGTGCACAATGATGAACCATACCCCAATAATCTTCGAAGAATCCCAAGGTCCGAGACCAGCTGCTTTGTCTTCGGCCCCACTTTATGCCACATTGGATCAAGCTGTCGTCGCGCAATTAGGTCAAACGAGCGAAAGTAGGCGTTCTCAACAGTCAAGTCGTCCAGATCGAGCTGAAAGATTCGTTAAGAATGCAAAAGTGCCTCATTCTGCAGTTATGTACCGTCGAGTGCGAACGTTTCAACTCTGCCAATGTCGCAGTCATACATTGGATCAGTGCATGGTGAATGTCGCCCATCGACTCGGAAAGATCTTGCGAAAGTTCCACGACATCTGCTCTCCGACGCTCAAGTGATTCTTTGACGGATTCGTGGAATCTGAAAACCTGAGTGCACGCACACTGAACAAAGAGCCAAAGCAAGTTTACCTCGGATACAGGTGCACCGTACGCAGCTGTAGCTCCTTCATGATGTTCTTCAGCGGTTGTAATCCAACCGTGATATGCTCCGGCTCGTCAGAGAACGCCTTGAGAAACCCAGTTGTGTTCTTTTCGCGATACAGTCGCACAACGAAGGCTTCAAGAGCAGTTGGGGTCACCCTGAGAAGGATGGGTGTCTAGAAGAGTACGCAGAGCCTACATACCGTTCCGCATGCAGAACCAACATCCCCGTGACGCTTGCGGTAGGCAAGTCGTCTTGGAGCATGTCGACGGTGAGAATGCGCGAGGTAATGGAGAACAGGCCCCCGGCCAGATACAGAGCCTTTCTACCAGAGTCAGATGTTAGAAGCGAGTCAGCAGGATGAGATCGACCGCACCGATCCCTGTGTGGAGTTTCGTGATCAATGACTCTCAATCCTGGGTTGCGGCATCCCATGATCCCCAGCTCCTCTCCGATCTCAGCCTCCTCCTCCGGCGAGGCATTCACCAGGAGAATCAGAGTCCCAGGACTGTTGTATATCTTCATCAGGGTGCACAGGATCCGGCGGAGTCCGAGTCCGCGGGCCATGATAGTCAAGTCATTCGTCGTCGGGTCATGAATGTCGGAAAGAATAGTTTTGTGGAATTGAAGGAGGGCAGACATGATCCGAAGTTCAAGTAAGCCGAAAGTAGATTAAATGCACATCGGTAGATATTCAGCTATGGTGGGCGACGAGTAAGGTTGTCAGACAGAAAGGACGATGTCACTCGGAGCGCGTCGAGTGGCGGTGCTCGACGCGTTGCAAAGACACCACAACAGAAACACGATCGGCGTGCACTGATTACGTGCCACGTATTCCAAATCGGACGTGACCTCCGCTTAACGCCTGACTGCTCATGAGGTGGAGACAGTATTGGCCGGAATCCGTTCTGCTAGCTTTCCTTCTATCGTTCCAAGCTTCGAAATGGATTCGCAATGCGACCGTGGCTGCTACACCAATCACGCCGGGCTGGACCGCTGAGAGGAAACTTGCTGTTCGGTATGAACGTCGGACCGTAATGGGCAACTTATGTGAATACTGGGCAGAGAGACGACGCGCGAGTTATGGTATCATGGATACAAGAACTACATGGACTTTGGTGCGTATGGCCGACTGGTCTGTCCGTCTAGCGGTAACTTACGCACGCAACTATTCAGCTTTCCCACTGGACGAAGTTGAGGGTTGTCGAATTCGGATAACACTTCGCTCATGCTACTCAAGTTGACACCGCTATCATGTTCAGGTCAAGGCCCTAATTGGGAGCATCCGTGAGTGATTTGCTCCGAGCAGCCTTGTGCCAATGCATGATTTACGGCCCAGTGAAGACATCGCCGTCAATGACGTGGCGGGCAATTTCTCACTCACTCTTATCGACGTTCTTGATACGCTAGTGGTTCTCGACGATCGACCAGGGTTTGAGCAGGCTGTGAAGAATGTGATTGAATGGGTTTCATTCGATGTGGGTTGGCGTTCCCATGGCACTTCCTTCTCTGCTGTAACGATCCCAGGTGAATACGCGACCGCAAGTCTTCGAGACTAACATTCGGGTCCTCGGAGGATTGCTTTCGGGCCATATATTCGCGAGTCGGGAAGGTCATCCCTTCCATCTGCAATGGTACAAGGGTGAACTACTTGACATGGCGCTCGATCTCGCGGAGCGATTGCTTCCGTCCTTCTCCACACCCACAGGGATGCCGTATGCGCGTGTAAATCTCCGGCATGGTGTTCTGAAGGGCGAAGGCATCGACTCGTGTGAGTTCCTCGTCGCAGCTCTGATTTCCAAACTAGAACGTTTCCAGGCACGGCAGGCGCTGGGTCTCTTATGCTGGAATTTGCCACACTGAGCAGACTAACGGGTGACGATCGATTCGAGAAAGTCGCGACCAAGGCTTTCTTTGCGCTGTGGAATCGGCGATCCGATTAGGACTGGTTGGAACACAGTCAACATCCGCACAGGCGTGGGTCGTGGTCAGATAATGTTTCCCGGAGATCTTATGTGTCATAGGCTTGGACGGCACCTGAAGTCAGTGGCATTGGCGCTGGAATCGATTCATTCCACGAGTATGCCCTGAAATGGTACATCATGAGGTTCGGGTGTTTTTCTCGGCGTTGACCGGTGGCTCATTGCGAGACAGCGGTAAATGTTCTTCTTCAAGTATCAACTCGATTCCTTGACCATCCATCCACTCAGGTGATGTCGAGTTCTTGGATGTCTGGGACGACTCGTATGCTGCAATCATGAGATGGTCTCGGTCTGCTGATGGATTCTGGGTGCGTCCTTGGCCTCAATCTTCCCTCCATGGCTTACCCCCTATTCCAGTATCGACCAGTCAACATCTACAGCGGCGAATTATCGTATTACACCATTGATTCGCTGGCTGCCTTTTGGCCTGGCCTGCAAGGTATAGATCAAGATCGTGAACGAAATCAGTCCTGACTTGCCCAAGTTCTGGCCGGAGATATACAAAACGCGATCAGACTTCACCTCATCTGTTGGTGAATATCACCATTATCAACCCACTCTTACAAATCTCTAGATTACAATCTGTGGCGGCAGTTCTCTGGCCTGCCGAAGTATACGACTCCCACTTTAAACAAGCGACCTCCTTCCAGTACCCGCTGAGACCAGGTTCGTGTTGTCGTTTCGCTGAGCAACTCTCTGAAATGGTTGGTAGAATTCATCGAGTCAACCTGGTACCTCTACAGGGTGAGTTTGACGTCGTCGTGTGAGCGCGCTACTCACTCGTCGTCCAGGCTACGGGCGATTCTTTCTATCTCGATGTCGGAGAACGAGTTCTGAATGACATTGTGGCGCGCAGCAAGGTGCCCTGTGGTCTCACAGGTATCAAGGACCTGCGTGACAATACCCGAGACGATAGAATGGAGTCTTTCGCTCTGTCTGAAACGCTCAAGGTATGATCGCATCCTTCGAGCCATTCGGAGACTAATTGGATCCAGTATCTCTTCCTCCTCTTTGATGAAGATAACCCACTCCATCACGACGACTCTCCCTGGGTCTTCACGACTGAAGGTCATATTCTGATGCTAGACAAAGCACACGAAAAGCCCATTTCGCCAAGCCGTCGCAAGATGCGCAACATTGAAAACCATCAGTGCCCAGCTTATAAACCACCGAAGAGGGCCGGTTTGACGATGGGCATCCTGTCGCGCGGCGACGTCGATTACGCTCGCGAATTGCTCGGGCAATCAGACACAGACGACGTTCGCAAACACTGGTCACTGTATGGCTGGTGCGAACGACCCAACGTCAATCTGTTTGTAGGCCGCTTCATGACAGATCACGCCGCTTGCTCACCTCTCTGCTAGGCATATGACTACGTTCTCTCGCCTCATGGAAAAGTTATTGCAGAAGATCTATCACCCTCCCGCCTGAAGCTCGACATCCGAGATGACGGCTTTATCCTGCATAATGTCACAGGCGTTCGCATTCACATTGTGCAGAGACTGGACGGCAGAGGCTATGATGTTCGAAAATGTAAGGGCCTCGTTGGATCTTCGACATGGATATCCACTTAACTGTTTTCCAGTGGGCCATTACGATGTCAGAGCCGGACACCTGGTCTATATCAACGACACTACTATATTTGGTCACCCAGATGGTACCAAGGACTCGGATCATGTTCGCCCCCTCGATATGCCCATGCGATTCCACATCGAATCTGCTAGCGAGCTTGGTACCGACATCTATACCGGGCATCCTGATCTGCTCGACACGGCGGATGTGTTTGTCTCGGGTTATACTGCCCTATTCGGTGCTGTGCTGGCGTCTGGTGCGAGCTCTAAAGGCTTGCCGCTTCGAATGGACTCGGAGGCCGGATTGGCGGTGGCTCGGGACCCCAGTAACCACTATGGCTGTGAGATGTACGATCAAGCCATGCCCGATGTCGTGGTTCTGGTGCAGAGAGGTGAATGCACCTTCCTCGAAAAGTTGTTGATGGCGAAAGCTGCTGGGGCCGCTGGAGTACTTGTCGTTAGCACCGAGCAGGTCGCTCTCAACCCGACCGCTGACCGGCTCGAACTAGAGAAGGCAGGCGATTTGAGCGATGTGGGTCTGCTCGTTCTACCCCCAGATGTGGGCCTGCTGGTCTACAACATGCTGGATCGGACGGAGGAACGAGGAGGACAGGTTGTGCTCCAGCTCGACCCCGAACAACTCCCGCTGCTGCCGGAGCCAGCTGAGGCTCAGACTGCCGAGGCGGCATCCCCGAAAATTATGTACCTCAACGGGCTGCCACTGTTGAACACTCGACTTTTAATATAGCGGCCCACACAACTAATTTAATCATCAGACTGTACAATGGAATACACAGGAGCATCGAGCTTGGCACCGCCTTTGAGGAACATAAGCTCGATGATGAACAAGTATTCGACCGTCTTGCCCCCTTGCTTCGCGACGAGCTCGCCGGCAGCCTTGGCCGAGCCACCTGTTGGTGTACGTTAGACTTGGACGTGAGATAGCGCAAGGGGCCCGCTCACCAGTAGCGATCAAGTCATCCACCACAACGACTGTCTGGCCAGGCTTTATCGCATCAGTCTGCATCTCAAAGGAATCCTGACGTTCGCGAGTCCGCGGTTAGCCGCACAGCTCATAGATGTGAGCAGTTGTGATGGACTTACAACACCGTACTCCTTCTCGTAAGACGCAGTGACACACTCCCCCGGCAGTTTGCCCTTTTTCCGGACGGGCACAAACGCCGCACCGAGGCGAAGCGCGATCAGAGGACCAAGCAGAAATCCACGCGCGTCGAGGCCAACGATAACATCGATCTTCTTGGAAGGGATAGCCGCGATCGTCTTCGATGTGAGGTGGTGCACGAGGTGGGTAATCAGGGTCTCGAAGGCCAGCGGATTGCGCAGGATCGGAAAGATGTCGAGGAAGACGATTCCCTGTGCGTAGATCGGTCAGTGAGAGATCGGGACCGGCTGGCGAGTCTGGGCACCTTCTTGGGGAAGTCCGGGTGCGCGGTGAGGTGGCTCTTGATGTAGTCGACGTCCGCCATGGATGTGGAAGTAGAAAGGCGTCGAAGTTTTATCTTTTGATTACAACTTTCAACTTGGACAGTTGAGTCATAAAGTAGATCATTCAGGTAGCATAGAGCGCATGTAGTAATGAGAGAGTATACATATGCTACGAGAATTAGACAGACTCCAGGACCTCCGGCTCCTTGAAGTCCTTGGCCACCCGTGTGCCAGTCTCCTGTATAAATGATTAATTTTGAGAACAAGCGACAGGCGCAAACACTTACGTCCGTTGTCTCGCCGTGGAGTTCCATGAGTTTCGAAACGTCGAATTTGGGGGCCTTGAGGATCTTGGCCTTGCGCACGTAGACGTTCTGCAGCGGGTAGATGCTTCGGGCAGCCTTCTCGATCTCACGGCCGATGGCTTCTGGCACGAACTTTTGTACAAGCTCCTTCAAATCGCACGAGGTCGCCTCCCGGGTCATGATCTCGAACATCTTCTTCCGGATCTCCCGAACCTGGGCAGACTGAGCGTATGTGGTCTTGCGGACCTGCGATTGGCGTCGCTTCGTGAAGCCGATGGCAAAAAGACGGATGAGGTAGCCGTCGGTGGTTTTGACATCAACGTGTGCCTCGATGAGGGTCTGCCACTTCCGGACAAGCGAGCGCAGCTTGTCGGAAGTAAAGTCCATGCCGTGGAAGTTCGTCAAGCAGTTCTTTCCCTGAACCTCATCGACTCGTAGCTTGATCTTGCGGAAAGATTGCTCCTCATCCTTGTTGAGGTCACCCAGCGAAATCTCAACAATACGACCCTTCAAGGAGTCGTTGGCATTTTCTGTCAGAGAATCAACATCCATAGCGGGGAAGATACATGGCACGGGTGACGTACTCAGGCCCTGAGACCGGTTAACGAGGGTCTTGCCGACATTCCTGACCTCGAAAATGGATGGCGCTTTGATGTCATACCAGTCTGACGATACGAATGAGATGAAGATCCCATTCACACCTGAGGCCACTCACCCTTGCGCGAGAAAGGGTCCACGGCCTTTTTCTTGATACCCTTCTTACCCTTGGAAAGACGCTTGTTCTGTTGGGAACGGTCAGCCAACATCCCTCTGAGGTAAGGAGTGTACACACTTTGCCGACCGCCATCTTGGAAGAAATGAAACGTCAGCACACAGACCAACGTTAACTTGAGCATGGACGCACGATGGACTGTGATCGTGTTAGTCTCAAGCAGATAAGGATATACAGGAAGACGCACAAAAAGCTAGAGTCGGAAGAGAGGGAGAGAGAGCGTCAGCACATTGACAGAGCCTGATAACAACGAAAAGATGAGTGCAGCAGGTCCCAAGCAGACTCGTGCAGATCATTGCAACCCGATCCACCATCTTGCGGCCCAGAGCCCAATCGAGTTCACGCACGTAAACGGACACACGTCCGGGAATGCAGCAGAAGACGAAGATACTGAAACAGGAGAAAGGACGTACGCGAAGAGCTGCAGAACAAATTAGTTCAGCATAGTAGTGAATTCAAGATTTCACTCACAGCTATTGGAGAACGAAAGGGAGGAAGGGGACCAGTCAGTCAGAGCAGCAAGAAGTGAGGTTGAAACACGCACGAGAGCTAGATGAAGTGTCAGTGGAGAACGGAACGCAAAGCGGACGCTACTCACGAAAACGCCGATGGGCAAACTTGAGGAATGACACTCACAAGCGTGACCAGCGTAACATCTTCCTAGTTTTGCACGTGAGTGTTTCGCACGCAACCCAGCCGTGGGAAGATCGCATATTGGGACATTGCGGTCACATGCTGCGATCCGAATTCCGTCTTGCCGTTAACGCGTTCATTAGCGAGCACCCCGAGGATGGTTGGTCATGGGAGGAACATCCGGTAGGTGCAATATAACTACCACTCGGCTATTCTAATAGCCTAGATGTACTCTAATCTTGGATTCATGACACGAGAGGTATACCACACTCGCAGATTACCAACGATCGGGGTGGATGAAGAGGAAATGGCGGAGGACGATGCAGCTGTTCCGGTGATGAATATCACGGAAACACTCACATGCATTCAATCTGTCGTGTATTCGGACACATTCCAAGTCCCCGCATTCTACTTCACCCTCCACGATGCAGGTGTGTTTGTTACCTCACATAACAGCTCGCAGAACCTTCGAGAATACTCAATGGTCTGCAGGCGGAAGTCCTCTTCCCATCGAAGATCTGATACGCACCACACTATTTCGTCGTTTCGCATTCGAAGGGGCCGAGCATACATCTTTTGGTGTAAATCTGCCAGGATCTGCTTTTCCGTTACTTTCCCAAGGAGATCATCCCACTTTGGGAACACCTTCCTGGTATTTCCACCCGTGCGAGTCGGCTGCATCTGTGAACGAGATTTTGGTCGAGCTGGGTGGTGCGATGGACGGACAGGGACAGCCGCTTCTTTGGCTGGAGAAGTGGATGATGGTTGTCCGAACAGTTGTGCACATGTGATTATGACGTTGGGATACCGAGCTCACCGGCACCGTATTCCCCACGATTCCTACTTTGAACCTCAATTCTTACCTCCGTGCGCGCCCAACCAGAGTTGGGATACTTGTCCCGCTCGATAGCTGTCTGGGTTTAATAATCTCTATCATCGTACGACATATAGGCATCGAATCACATCCGATAACAAATGTACCGTTACGGCCGCAATTTTCTACTTAAGACCACACCTTCGCTGGTTCCTTCTCATTCCACTCTTGCCCCTCGGTTCTCTCGCACCATGGTTAGTCCATGCACTCCCTGTCCACATGCCTTGTCTGAACTCGCTCCAGGTCCACGAAGCCGTCATCGTCGCTGCCTCGCGCACACCCACTGGCTCTCTGAACGGCACCCTCAAGTCGTTCAAGGCACCTGAACTAGGCACAGCCGCTTTGAAACACGCTCTCGCATCGAAGAACATCGACCCTGCCGTCGTCGAAGAGCTCTACTTCGGCAACGTCGTCCAGGCTGGCGTCGGCCAATCCCCTGCCCGCCAGGTCGCTCTGAGCGCAGGCCTGAGCAGCGCCTCCGATGCGACCACCATCAACAAGGTCTGCGCCAGCGGCATGAAGGCTGTCATGCTCGCTGCGCAGGCCATCCAAACCGGTGACAAGAACGTCGTTGCTGCGGGCGGTATGGAGAGCATGAGCAATGCACCGTGAGTCGCCCCTGCCTGCAGATCTGTAACGCATAATACTCATCTCGCACTCATCTTATCCCACTCATACGGTCCAGATTCCTACTGCCCCGTCAGAATCCGCTCTTCGGCAAGTTCACTACCATCGACTCGTTGGAAACCGATGGGCTCTGGGACGTGTATAACAATCAGGCGATGGGCTGCTGTGGTGAATCCGCCGCTGTGAAGATCGGCATCACTCGTGAGGCCCAAGACGCACATGCGATTGAATCGTACAAGCGCTCTGAGCGTGCATGGGCTTCAGGGGCATTCGATGCCGAGATCTGCCCCATCACCGTCAAGGGCAAGAAGGGCGACACCATTATCCGGGAAGACGAGGAATACAAGCGGGTGATCTACGACAAGGTGCCCAGCTTGCGGTCTGCTTTTAAGCAGGGTGGAAGCATCACTGCGGCCAACTCTTCTCCTTTGAGCGATGGCGCTTCGGCCCTCGTTCTGATGTCGGCTGAAAAAGCCCAGGAGCTGGGGCTTACTCCTCTCGCCAAGGTTATTTGTGAGTCCCCATCTCTTGTATCTATCATCAAGATAAGATTGTGATGATGATACCCCGTCTTAGCCTTCGCTGATGCCGGTGTCGAGCCTGTTGACTTCCCCATCGCCCCTACGGTGGCTCTCCCCAAGGCACTCGAGCGGGCGAACCTGAAGGTGGAGGACATCTCGCTGTTCGAGATCAACGAGGCGTTCTCAGTCGTCGTCCGGATCGCCGAGAAGGTGCTGACGATTGACCCGGCCAAGATCAACGTCAATGGGTGCGTGGATCGATGCTTCTGTCCTTCTATCTGTATATCTCATGCCGCGGGAAACAGTGGTGCTGTTGCCCTCGGCCACGCCATCGGCAGCTCTGGTGCCAGGATCATCGTCTCGCTGGTGCATGCGCTCAAATCGGGCCAGTATGGTGCCGCCGGTGTTTGCAACGGTGTAAGTGGCCATCTCCCGCTCCAAGTGTGAACTTTTGCTGACGATCGGACAGGGAGGAGCAGCTTCGGCCATCATCATCCAAAAGCTATGACGCCAGAAGTTGTGATGGAGGTATTTCGGAAAAGTGTACAACACGGTTTATCTTGTACGTGAGAAGCAGATCCCAATTGAGCATCGGTTCCCCACGGTTATCATGATAAGCTACCGGTTATAACCCGTGCAGGACAGAGACTGTAGAGATGGCTACTTCTTGTGTCGTACCATGTCTGAACCGGAGAAAGCCTCGCTCGCCGATGCTGTAGCCGATAACCAGCACGCCTCCTTCGACGCGAACGACGGCGATGAAGCCCTCCGCCTGGTCGGCGCTGTCCGGACAACCCAATTTAGCGAAGAGTATAATCTCAAGCTCAGACGGAAGTTGGATCTCTTAATCCCCCCGCTGTGCGCGGCAGTCTACTTCACCCAATTTCTGTATGGGCTTGCGACGATCGACACGGTCGGCAATGTTGATTTTGCTGCAGGGACAAGACCTCGCTGAACTACGCGAGCATCATGGGACTGCCGATTAAGGGACAGGTACGGTGCGTAGCGCACGTGCTGGCGGTGGCTCACCGTCTTTGATATCCAGCAATACAATCTCGTCTCGGCTGCGTTTTATTTCGGTATGTGCCGGTCGCCCCTGCGCTGATGGGGACAAATTCTGATGCGACAGCAGGGTTCCTCTTCTTTGAGTTCCCGACGGTGTACATTGCGCAGAAGCTGCGTCTCGCGAAGTACTTGGGTACGACAGATAGTGAACTGGGAATGCGTCTGAAGCTGGTGCAGGCGCGAATATTGTGATATGGGGCATCGTTCTCATGCTGCACTCGGTCGGCACTCCTTCGGTGCCTTCTTTGCTCTGCGATTCCTTCTTGGTGGGAGGCAAGTACTGGCCCGAGATACCATCTGACCTCTCATGTCAGGCATGTGCGAGTGCTGTGTGGCCCCGATCCTCATTCTGATCATCTCCATGTTCTACAAAAAGAACGAGCAGGCTTCCCGTATAGCCTGGTTCTACGTCATGGTAAACGCGTCATCTCTATATCCTGGTACACAGACTCACGGATGGCAGAACGGACTGACGCAGATCTTCGGCGGGTTTGTGGCTTACGTGAGTCCAGTGATTCTCGAGGGCCCCGGCGTTGACCGTGGCAAACGACGCAGGGCATCTCTTTCGATCCGGGTCGCCGCTTGGCTCCCTACAAGATCATCTACATCCTGCTGGGCGGTCTGGCCATTCTCGTCGGCATCGCCGTCCTAATCTGGATGCCTGATTCGCCGGTGCACGCCCATTTCTTGACAACAGAGGAGCGAATCGCGGCGCTGGAGCGCGTTCGAGACGATCAAGGCGGCACCGAGAACAAGAGGATCAAACGCGAACAGGTCCGCGAGGCCGTGCTGGACGTCCGGACCTGGTTGATTGTGTTGACCACTCTCGTCAGTGAGTTGGCCCAGTCCCTTCAGTGCACCTGTGTGGTTTCTTGACCGATGGATGGCACTCAGCGAGTATCCCCAATGGCGCATTGAGCAACTGTAAGCTAGCATCCTGTCCTCGAGGGACCTGAACACTGAGCGCTTTCTGGTTTCTAGTCAGCAATATCATCATCAAGAGTTTCGGCTACAGCTCGCGGCAGACTCTCATTTTGTCCACGCCGGGAGGAGTCGTATCTGCAGTGACCACCCTGCTCTGTGGATGGTACTCGGACAGAAAGGCAGGCAAGATCACACATCACCCCGTTGTGGAGTCTGACTAGATTCGACACAGGGAGAGCGGATGCTGCCCATTATCTTCGCCTTGGTCCCAACTATCGTGGGCAGCGGAATGCTAATTGGCCTCAGTCACGCCAATAACAAGGGGGCTGAGCTTTTCGGTACGTGCAAGCACGGATGGGCAATGCAGACGAATGCGCTCACACACGTCTTTGCAGCGGTTTATCTCGTCAACACATTCGGCAGCGCACTGGCGCAAATCTACGCCTATAATGCAAGCAACACAAGCGGCCACACGGTATGACGCTCCGAACACACCTGACTGACAATGCCCATGGCTGACCCACACATGAAGAAAAAGAACACGGTCAACGCGATGACACTCGTCTCTTTCGCCGTCGGCAACATCATCGGCACACAGATCTTCGCGCCGGGCGACGCGCCGGCATACATCCCCGGCAAGACCGCGATCATGGTGCTGCTGACGGTGCAGCTCTTCATCTCGCTGCTCCTCCGCTGGGTCAATCTGCGCCTGAACGCCAAGAAGCGCGCGCAACTCGCGGAGCTCACGGAGAAGAACGGTTGGACGGACGACTTTATCACGAAGGAACGCCAACGGAACGCGTTTGCGGACATGACCGACAAGCAGAACGTCTTCTTCGTTTACACCGGATGAACGTCGAAGTTGGGCGTGCATAATGTACATCTGTAGTCTCCGAGAATGAAGGCGATTGAATACAAAAGAACACTGGCTTTGGAAAGCATTCCAGATAGGCGGCAGACCAGATCCGCAGAGCACCCATTCCAGCGATTAGCTGGCTGTCTTGATAACCGCGTCATTGAAAGGGTCTCCGATCTCTGCAAGTCAGCAATACAACCTCTCATTAGTCCGAAAACCCACATCGAGCACACATATACACTCACCCTTACGAAGCATCTCAACAACATGGCCATCAACCATCTCCTCCTTCTCCCGCTTGCTGCCGCCACCACCGCCTGCAGCGGCGCCGATCTCCTTCCCCTCCCAGTTCCCGCCACGCCGCGGCTCCTCCCGGCGGCGCGATTTGGCGTCGCGGCTGGATGAGCCCGCGCTGAACGAGGGGCCGCCGGGCAAGCGGCGCTTGGATGGGCTCGAGGAGAATGTGGACGTGAGCTGGGCAGCGAAGGTATTGAGGAGCGACGAGGATCCGGCGACACTACTGCCTCCGTACGTCTCTAGAGGAGGTGTGTTCGAGCGCGACGAGGAGGAGGATTCTGGGTCTGGTGAATGCATGAGGCAAGCGAAATCTGAGCACGTGAGTAAGGCTGAGCATCCTATCCCCGACTTATCTTAAAACAGTCCAAATCACATAGATTCTATTAGATGAACACACGGCCCTCGAGATAGTGGTAAGTAGTAGATACATGCGTGTGGAATACAGGAACGAATAAATAAATCATAGGTCATTCGTCATTCATGCTCTCGCTGTTTTCTAGTCAGCGACTTGAGCCCCTTCCGGATCGACATTCGTCCCTTGGTTTTCTCCTTATTCAACGGCAGATGCATGTTGCTCATCCGCTTCTCCGACAGATTGGTCTGCATCCGCTGGATCATCGGCCCTCGCTCCTCCGTCGCGAAGTCGAAACCCCGGTCGACGGAGACTAAGCCTGTCGACATGTCCGTGCGACTGGCCGAGCGCATGTCGACAGACATCCGCGGACGCTCAATAGTGGTGATGCTGCCCGTCCTGGATGTCCGTCGCGAGGCCATGGACGCTGGTCTCGGCTTCAAAGCGGAGGGGCGAATGGTCAGTTCGGACAGATCGCGTTCCGGATCCTGGATATGCATCCAGCGAAGCATGTCGATGTCGTTCGGGTTATAGCCAAAGTTCCAGGCTTTGATCAGGAATCGAGGGGTAAACGCAAGGAAGAAGGTAAGCGGGATAGACAACCAGAACGCGGCCGAAGTGAAGAGGAAGTGGTAGTTGCCGTACAAAGCTGTGACAGCATACCCCGGACGAACCAACGAGTAGATAGCCTGTAGGACAGTCAGCCGGATGAACATGAAACCACACGTTACAAAAGTACCGTAAATCCCCACGAGACACACAGGCCAAAGGCCAGAGCAAAGAAGATCCAGAATGTCCAGGCGGTGGCCGTTAGACCTGTGTAGAAATTGGCGACGAGAATGGCGGACAGAGCCATCGTTGTGGACATCTCATTGATGTACGGAGAGTATCCATCCGAGCGCGCGGTCGTTGTGATATACGTGTTCATGATGAAGAAGAACAAGATGACGGACTGCGGCAGGTCAAGACAAGGCATCGAAAAACGTTCTGTAAACGCACTTGATAGAGCCCATCGAGCATGTAGACAGCAAAGGATTTGAGATTGAACCAATGTCTTTCGCGACCGAAATGATATAATTCAGGAACAGCCATAAGGATGTCAGAGTCTGTGTTGATGTGAGCCAGGGAGAGAAGAGTGCAGGCAATGAAGACTGACCTGCAAAGCGGTCGAAGACTCCAATCGCAATCACAGGGAGAACCGTGAACAGCGAGTTCCAGAACAGAATGTAGACATAAGCAAAGACGAAAGTCGCAGACCAGAAGTCATAGATCTGGAACCAGAACAAGACGCCGGTGGGTACTGGCCGTTGAATGAGCACATACCGCGGGGAGATATATTTGGAAGGACACACCGATGTTCTTGTAAAAGAAGTTGAGAATCATAGTGCCTAGGATGCACGATGAGTGTTTTCAACTAGGAAAAACAGGCGAACGAACCGTTGCGAGAGTAAGACCAATGGCCATGGACAAGCAGTAGCTTTTTCAGGAATCGGAACTGAGCAATCGCATAGTCCGACGAGTTGGCAGCCTGCAAGCCCTCTTCTCCAGAGATACCCACGCCGACATCGGCGGCTTGGATCATGCTGACATCGTTAGCACCGTCGCCAATGGCCAGTGTCATCGCATGAAGACCGTCCTTGACCAGTCGAACGATGAGAGCCTTCTGCAATGGAGAAACACGACAGCAGATGACACCCTCGCACAGTGTCCCCAATTTGAGCAGCGTCGCCTTGTTCTCCTCGCCGTCCAGAGCCTGCCAAAGGTCAGACACCTGTGATAGCGACAAAAAGTGGGTGAACCCACATGAAGCAGGGCTCCGCCATCGATGACGAGCACGAATCCACCAGGTCGTTCCCCGTTATGATCACCAACGATAGATCGAACACCCGTATCAATGCGTTGCAGCGGATACGTCCCAGAAGTGGTCCGTTCCAGTTCTGTTCCGCCGTCCGGGAAGTACGTGTCCAACGCCAGTTGCATTTGCTCTTCGATTGTCCGCCCTCCACTCCCGCTGCGAACAATGATGATGTTCGAATCCGGGGTGATCAAGTTGGTGCTCTTGCCGATGGCTGTTTGGGTTAGATCAGATATTCGGCACTGCCACGACGCGCTCACCGATGGCAGTCTCCAGCTTGTCACCAGTTGCGACCCAGATTTTGATACCGGCCCGCTTCAAGTCAGCAATAGTCTCGGGAACCCCGTCTTGCAGTTTGTCTTCGATAGCGGTAGCACCGAGCAGACGAAGGTCCTTCTCCAGCTCCTCCGAAACGGCCTCGATCTTCTCTTCACGATCATCCAATGCGATTGAGGCCTCGTGATAACGTTCGCTCCAAGCGGTATATTCGTCCTCTGGATCCGATGAGCATCTAGGGTGGTATGCAGACGGTGGAACCTTACCCGGCACAATCTTGTAAGCCAATGTCAAAGTCCGCAGCCCATTATTGGCAAAGTTGCTCAAATGGGTCTCGGTGAGGTCTTTGAGTTGATCATTCCCGGGCCGGAGACGCTCGAAGACAACGCTGTCAGCTCCTTTCGTGAGCAGGAACAGGCGGTTATCCGGGCCATCGACATGTCGCACGACCACACTCATGCGCTTCCGGGCACTGGTGAACTCGAGAATGTTCAACAACTGATAGCGTTCAGGTTCTGGCGAAAATGGAGTGCGCAAAGAGAGCATGTCCCGGTCTCGTCCCAAGAACACGAATCCAACGTCAGCAGCGGCCTGAACAAGAGCAGCTTCATCGGGTGATTGTGACTTATACTCCAGCGCGCCGGTGCTATCTTGACCCGTGAGAACGGTGTGGCAGAGCCCCAGAACTTTGAAGAATCCGTTTAGAGATCGTGCCAGTTCGGCATCACCCGAATCTGCGTTAGCTGACACAGCTGCCTCCAGATCGGCTGTCAAATCGACATCCTTGAAATGAGGTAGGCCGCCTGCCGATCCATTGAGGGACGTCGAAGACGAGAACCGATGTTTCAAATTCTCTCCGCTTTCTTCTTCGCCCAAGTTGCCGGTGTACTCTTTCCCTCCAACCGAACACTCTCGGAAAACCATCAAATTCTTGGAAATGTCAGGTAAAATGGGTGAGCGACCAGAAGAGCGGCGCACCTGAGTGAGTGTGCCCGTTTTGTCCGAGAAGATATACTCGATTTGACCAAGATCATCCGCCAAGTTCCAACTCTTCGCGATGGTGGCCTGACCCGTTTTGTCGTAGCAGATCTCCTTGTCGAAAAAAATGAATGCAGCCTGGAAGGAGCGAACGACTTCCATCGAGATGTACAGGGAGATGGGCACGATGGTTTGAAACCTCGAAAACTATCAGACAACTGCTCCTGGTCGAGACAACGGTGACATACGTGAGGAAAGCAAAGATGAAGGTAATCAATCCATTGATGCTAGGATTGTCTCCGGGAATATTGTCGCCATACAGCCATGGCGCGTTTCTGCTTGCGTAGTGATGTTCCAAGACGGAGTTGCCAATAGCACAGGCGACGGCCAGTGCACACATGATGGAAAGGTTGATCAGACTGCAACCCGTCATTAGTCATCGGATTTGGATTGTTTGAATGACTCACACTTGGGGATCCATCTGCCTTTCCACTCGGCCTCGTTTACTGGGTGCACCGCCTGAATTGAGCATGATCTTTGTGTCCTGTCCGGTGAATACAACCACTCCGATCGCCCATTCTGTATTCCGCAGTACCGTCCCGCGCAAAAGGGTCATAGAGAGGTCGATGGGGTAACTCTCGTCGCCTTTGGTCACAGTCGCGTTGAGCCGATACATGTTGTTGTCTGGTCGGTCCACTTGGACGGAAAACGCGTTCTCGGGTTTGGCGCACTCGACAGCAGAACCAAGATGCGAGAGGCCTTGCACAGCGTGTCGCGATTTGAGATTTGTCTCTCCATCCAGGTTCTTCGTTTCGACGAATGCCACATTGTCGTCTTCAGATGTAGCCAAGATGATCATGTCGGCAGGAATAGCTTCATGATCTCGCACTTTGACAAAGTCGCCAACGCGGATGTCTTCCCAAGAAGTGGCTTCCCAATCCGCACTATCCACCACCAACCCCTCGTTCACGAGCACCGGTCGGCTCTTCTTGGGGCGGGCAACCCCAGGGACGAAAGTCTTACTTTTGCCGCCCATTTTATTCGGGTTGATCCAGCCATCTGCGCTTAACGCGAGAGTTTGACTATGATTCATGCGTTTGTCAGACAAATGCCGCAGAACGTCCTCCCATCCATCTTTGATGGCAGAGAACGCGAGAACGATGAGTAGGGGTAGAATGGCCACGGCAACCGAGACTGTCGCGAAGGTGGGGAAGAATTGGATGATTGCGAGGGCCAAGAAGAAACTGCTCGATATGAAGTCCGACGAGGAAGTAGCAGTGCCGGCACTTACAGGTTGGCGACACGCCGAAATTGTTCCAACAAATTTCGCGGCAGGAAGGTAATGATCGTGTACTTGGAGGTAATGACTTGGTTGGTGGTATAGACATGGTCTGATTTGACCCTTCCCTTGTGGTCGAGAAGATCGGCGGGAAGGTTCTGGTTGACATAAACCGTACGAGGCGGACCCGGCTCCCGTTTGGAGGTGAATAAACCCTCTATACTGAAAGCCAAGACCCGTTTGTACCACGGGCGCGGCGCATCAGGGGCCATGACGAGGGGAGGGGGGAAGTCGTGAACGGAGGGAGCAAAGAGCGCGGGCGGTCAAGATTATGAAAACGGTTGGTCTCGGTTTAGTGATCAGTTTTGACAAATCAGCCTTGCCGGAGACATGATCGACATGCGCCCGATCCGTGATTTGTAGTCATTTAGTGTTTGACTGCGGCCCAAGGCCTGGAGGACTGCAGCGCTCAATAAATATCAGGGCCCAAGTCCGTCTCTTGTCGGAATTCGAGTGGTCTGCACACTCTGCAGTCGAATTTTCGGCACAAACTGTTTCCGCATCAAGATCGGACATCACGCGTCACATCCGCGTCAGTCTTGCCGCTTTCGCGTCAAACCTGCGCTGCTGTTTCGTATACGTCCAAATTCGATCTCCATGTGGACCTTTTCATCCATCAATGTCATCGAGACGTGTTCAACGGACGTGGAGCCGTGGACTCGTGGACTGAGCACAGCGGACATCCCAGACTATATCAATCCGCGAAGCAACGTCATCTCTCCTTTTAGAATGATGTGAAACGTCGTTTCATGTCAGCGGGCTCGAACGGTCCGTTGTCCTTGCGGCTCTCGCCTATTCTCACTAAGCATCCACCAATTCCCGGTCATGCTATCCTCAGACGCTCTTCTCGCGCTACCCAAGATTGACAAGGATCAGTACCTCCAAACATTTGTCCGTGTTCAGCGTTATCACGCCAAGTTCTATGCTCGCGAGGGTGGCCTGGCCTCAGACTCTCCCACACGACAAGACCGATCTCATGATCAAGCAGCCCATGATCATCTTACCACCCCAATTCTGGTCTCTCACAAGGCTCGCCGCAGCAACTCAAAGAAGTCTCAACAAGAAATTGAGTCGAAAGGGGACACTGGGGTTCCCATAGACAAACAGCGGGAGAAGCATCGGGAACGGATATCTCAACGAAAACCGACCGAATCCCCCAAAAACAGAAAACGCCCACTAGATCCAGATCCGGATTCCGACCAGGACGAGGCTGAGCGTTCGTCCGTCGCAACGCTCGCTCTGCATGTGTCTCACTGTTCTACCAGGTCTTGCTGCACGGCGCGAACGCAAACGAGCTAAGAAGGCTGCTACGCAGCCTAAAGTGAATAGCCCTATTCGACACAACTCTAAGGCAAATAAAGGCAAGGCCAAGAAACCCAAGGTGCCGTCAGGGTTCGCGTTAATGCACGGGTTTTTGGCCACGAATGTTGGCAAGAATCGTCTCACCGTTCGCCACACATCCATTTTGGTCTCTCTGTCACAACTTACCAGCGATCTGTAGACTAAACCCCTTCCAATCTCGGTGTATTCAAGAAAGGCAAAGCTTCGGCAAAGGCGACCGCCGTCCCCGGCCACAAACCCAAAGGTTCTTCACGTTCTGTCTAGATCTGAGACATCTCATTGACCTTCCCGCCGCAGACCGCACTCGAAAGCATTTCTCCGAAAACAACTTTTTAAACAAGACGAAGCCTGCCGAAGAAACCGCATCTGAAAGCGATGGTGACGATGGAACTCAATCTTCTGCCACCTCGGTATCGCAAACTCAGCTCAAGACGACCGCTCCCAACAAGCATAGCAAGACCTTCCAAGAAGATGGCAGCAAGTCGGAGGAATGCGTATCAACAGTCTGGGATATCGAATCCCATGCATCGGACAAGCGGAGGATGTTGACAGCCAAGGATAAGAAGGAAGAACTGATCCCTGTGGTCGATGAGGCTAGCTGCCTGCCCGGGTCTGTTATCATCAATGCACGTCTTCCAAGCTGGAATCACAAGCTCAACACCAGAAATGAATTCCAGACCTTGAATGATAACTCTGCCGCAAAAACTTTTCCTGCGCTTCCATCAAGTCCATCTTTGCGTCCGTCAGAATCTGCTTCTCAGCTAGGCAATGCCACCCTCAAGATACCCACGGCACCCAACAAAACGTCTTCCCAGTATTTCCCCGAGGTCGCTGTTGCCATAACTCCACCGCTACCGCACACGGCTGTTTCTCCCGAATCTCCCTCGCTGTTCCAACATGCCGCTTTGCCTGCTTTGAATGATATCACTTCGCAAGGCAACTCTCAATCGTCTCTTCCCCGCGAGTCATGCAAGAAGGCTCGCGCTGCCACCGCTGTTCTGCCAGTGCGGCCGAATGACTTCGTGAAGCGCTTCACGTATCACCTATCTCAGAGTCAGAATCACAAACTCTTTGAAGACCCATCAGGAGAATCGCAGCAGCCCCTGCCTCTTTCGGATGACCTCTATTCGTCTGAGATTCTCTATCCCGCACCGCAGGACCATCCTGCTTACAACTATGAACCAGAAGAACTATATCTCCAAGCTGATGCGCACCCAGAATATCTGCATGATGCCGGCGCGGAGATCCAATTCCCTGGAGAAATCTGTATGCAAGAGGACACCGAATTTGATGAAATCCAAGTTTGTGGGGACTACGATACCGACCAGGCTTATCCTGATCAGGCAGCCCCCGATCAACAAGCGTGGATTGACTTCTATCAGAGCGGTGAAACTCAGGACTGGGACGGTCTGCACCCTGAGAACGTCGTCGCTGACATGCAAGTCGATGAGAGTGGCGAGATCGATGAGCTTGAAGACTCGGTAATCGATTGCTCCCCTGTCTTTTCGCAAGGCCGTGCTCTCTTACTCGGATTTTCGGAACAAGATGTCCCTGTCAGCACTCATCAGGCGCCGTCTCTGTCGATCCATCTATCTCACGCGGAAGTTGACGTCGTCAAGGCGTTGCGGAATCACTGGTTTCCTCAGAAATTTTAGGGACACATCCCGTGCCCAGTAATTATTGTATTTCCTCAACGAGTGTATCCTGTCGTAGTGATAATCAGTTTGCCTTCCAGTCTACTTCGGTCTTTGCCGGATATATATTTGCAACCCTTTGTTTGAACGCGTTGTGTCACAGATCTGTCACAGAAAGGCAAATTTGATATAAGCGCGTCGATATATCGGCAATCCCCCCTGCTTTTCTGGCTATCTGACTGGCTTCCTCATCTTTCGCGCGCTCATACGCGTGATGAACCAATCTAAAGAAAACATGGGTAACGCTCCGGTGAGACATTGCATCTCTTTCCTCATGGTAAATTCTGCTGACTTATGTCCTCACGTCCAGTCTTCGAAGCCTATTAAGGTGGAGCCCGCAGAGGCCCGCATTGCTCTCAGTGCGACCAAATCCAATTTCAAAGCGAAGGATGAGCCTTCAGATTCCCACATAGTTCGTTGTTCGTGTCTCAAGCCATCGCGTCCTATTCAACGCGCTATCAGCTCTTGCACAGCGTAAAACGCGAGCCCACGTCTCCCGTAAAGATAAAGACAGATCTGAACCAAGATTCTGAGATGCCAGAAGCTCCTTCTCTGGAGGCAGAAACGCAGCACGACGACGCTACACATCCCAAGCCCGTTATCACTCCCCCCGGCGGATCGCGCTCCGCCCCGATAACCAACACCGACTACACTGTATACAAGACCGGAGAGTTCGAATATGACCCAGAGGTTGTGCTGAAACAGGGTATCAAGATGGTCAACGCGTTAGACGCGAAGTTGGAAGCCATGGAACTGGGCTCTCGTCGTAAGGACGTCTGGAGAAAGAACGTGGAGTCGTGCGTGCTTTTATCCTTTATCCCCTTAGCGGCTGTCTCAGATCTACTCTGCAGCCTACGTAGTCAAGGGGTACCCACGACGCTTATCGCTATATGTGGAGGCAAGGCTACATACACCTTGACTTGATTGCGAAATCTGACGTCTGATCAGGCACGGGAGCTGGAAAATCGTCAATCCTCAACGCCATCCTGGACAATAACATTGTGCCTACCAGTGGCATGAGAGGTGATTCCAAACCTCCTCCCGAATGTTTAGCGCTGATGGTTCTCCCAGCATGCACGGCCGTGGTCACAGAGATCGCATACCACAAGAAGAAGACGATTGATGCCGACGTCTCTTTCCTGGCCGAGTCTGAATGGAAGGTTCGGCCTCAAACCTGTGTCTCTGTAGCCTCTGACCTCCTATGCCCAGGCTGAGCTTAATCTCCTCCTGGACGATTTGGTCGATGAGATGGAACACCGAAAAGAACAACGACCTCGCAAGCGATGCTGGTATTGCATGGTCGAAGGTGCAGGCCTTTCAACCTGTATCGATTCCTGTTTCTCACTGTTGGGGAGGTCCACGCTGTTTATCCCACTTCAACATCGAGCGGCTGATCAAAATGACCCCGGATGAAATCATTGCTAAGGATCCGAAAATTCAACGGGTTCTAGGGGCGACCAAGACTATCTCCGCACCGAACTCAAAGGAGTTTTCTATTGAGATTGCGAAATATGTTGATTCGAAGGATCAGCGGCGGGGCAAAGACAAGGACAAGAAAGACAAGAAGAAAGATCCCAACGCTCCTGCATTTTGGCCGCTGATCAAGCAGGTCAATGTTCGTTGTTCTGCCGCTGCACTGTCCACCGGCGCAGTCCTAGTTGATCTACCGGGTCCGTTCTATCAGTCGTTTGCTGATCCGATTGACACATCTTCACAGGTACTGGGGATGCGAACGCTGCTCGAAGTAGGCCAACCGCTCCCATCACTGGAAAAAAAACTGAGGCATCTACCAGACTCTATTGCGAAAGCCTACATGAAGAAGAGCAACTTCATTTGGATACTCTCTCCCATCCACCGTGCCGTGGACTCGAAGATAGCCAAGGATCTTCTCGGGGATGCATTCCGAACCCAGTTATGAGTGCGTTCGAGCTCTCCATACTTTCCTCGATTCAGACTAACGTATCCTGCCCAGTGGACGGAGGATATGACGATCACACCATCACATTCATTGGTACCTCAATTCTAGATTATGCATCCCGTTCGTTCTGACGGCGTGACAGCAACGAAATGCGATGACATCTCCTGTTCAGAAATCATCAACAACTTACAGTTGGACGGCGATCCAGAGCTTGAGGAGATCGAGGAACGTCTTGAGCGCGCGGCTGGTGGCAGCTCAAAGTGGAAAAAGGCGAAGACTGCTGCAGAGAAGGAGTGCAAGAGTGTGTGTTCTTGCTATTTGAGTTTCTGTCTCTGATGGGTGGAATACAGCTGTCGACAAGGAAGTCAAGCGACTTCGTGCAATCAAGAGTGAATGGCAGGCGCGCTTGGAAGCTTTCAAGGACGGTGTACATTTTGAGCCCAAGCTGACTGCGACCAAGACTCCTGCGACCAAGAAAGAAAACTCCAACAAGCGCAAGAACAGACGCTCTGGCAAGAAAGGATCTCCTAAGCGTCGCAAGGGGAGTGATGACGACGAATCGGATTTTTCCGACGACATCGAATCCGATGACGATTCGAGCCTTGATAGTGACTCAGAGAAGGAAGACTCAGACAAAGATTCAGATGCCGGATCTGGTTCCGATGACGGCTCTGATACTGACTCCGACAAAGATGGATCCGATTCTGACCATGAGGATGAAAACGAGAATGAAATTACCGAAGAGTTCCTTCGAGAGATGATCAAGGAAGCCAACGACACCATCACGAGCACGCGTCAAAAGCTCTCCGAGGCGCGATCCGCCAAGAAGGAGGCGAGTGAGCAATTGGATGCGGCGAAGAAGGTCGCGAAGGATGCTCAGAAGGTTTGTTTTTTCTTGGGATACGGGCGATTATTCGAACGATTGTGCAGGAGAAGAATGCATTCTGTGCTCGGAAGCGCTCAGAGGTAGGTCGAATTGCATATTGGTGCATGATCTGCTGCTAATAAGGGTGCTGCAGTTCTCGTGCGATGTGTTGAAAGAAGACTTCCGGACTGGCTTGAAGGAGCTTGATGGTGCGCATCCATGCCAAACGGCGACGCACTCTAGTCTGAGCGATTTGCAGATGCTGCCGCCGAAGAACGTAACCCAGACACTTTTGACCCGACACAAAATCTCCGAGGTGCGTCCTGTATCTCTGAATGACCACATAAGTTGACCTAGAATTGAAGACTACGGTGCCGTTGATCTGCCCGTGTTTACCTGCTCGAGCCGTGACTACGTGCGTATCACAAGGCAGGTGAAGGGTGATGGCGAGCCGGCCTGCTTCACGAACAAGGAGGACACTGGAATCCCCGCCGTGCAGGCCTGGTGCCACACGCTGACTCGATCGGGTCGTGATCGAGCAGCCAAGTCGTACATCACCCAGCTCTCTCAATTCGCGCGAGACATCCAGCACTATGTCGAGGGCATCACAACTGTGACTGCATCGGATCGCGACTCGCTGCGCGAGCAATGGGAATCGGTCCAGCAACCAGACGACCAGGCCATGTACGACGACGATCCTTTTTCGGCGCTGCTTGGAGGGGGCAGCTTGTACAGGATGCATGCTAGACCCAAGGTAGACCATCATGGCAAGGCCGTGGGCGTTGCCCCGAGGTTGCAAGCAGTACGACGTGCTGCGATGTCACTTTTACTGTCTCGCTGATGATATCTTGCAGGAATTCAGTCAAGTCATCGAAGCGACTGTCACCCAACTTCACGAGCATTTCAAGACTGGTCTCGAGGAGAAGTGCCGTTTGGGTGCCATCAATGTCTGTCGTCCGAGCTGCGTTTACGCCCTGCTGACTGGACTGGTCTCACAGGCTGCTGAGAAAGCAGTGATCACGTCCGACGAGTTTGCTGCGTCGATGCACTGGGCCAGCTACCGAGCGACGCTTCGCCGTCATGGAGAGTACCGACGCGATCTCAATGCCGAGCTCCTCAATCCGTTCACCCGGAATATCGCCCAGACCTGGCAGCAGGTGTTCGAAGCCGACGTATTTGAGACGCTCTTGACGTCCATCAATGCGCGGATCAATGCGCTGGTAAACGAGGTGGAGATATCTGCTGCCGCTGGGCTCAAGGAACGCGCTCGAATCCAGGGCGACAGCTGCATTCAGTCTGCGCGTGTTGCCCTGGATCAGACAGTGGGGACTGTCCGGGACACTCTGACTGCCCAGCAGAAGGACATATCCAGGTGTCTAGCTCCTCATATCCAGGCAGAGCTCAGCGATGGATACGACCTTGCAATGGAGGAACGGGCACTGGCTCTGTGAAACGACAAAAGGTGTGTTTGAATAGTTTGGCATCCTTTCCTCGTCTTATCCTTGTGGCAGGCATCGTTCCACACGTTCGTAGCCGAGAACAAGCACGAAATCTTCGAGGATGGTGCTGACGTCATCATGGACCGGCTAGCGGCAGCCGCTGAGGCCGTCGGAACTGCCCTCCAAGACGCTATGATTAACCTCGCCGAGAAAGTCGAGAACGACTTGGCCGTGTTATGGGAGCACGTCCACGTCGATCCCAAACAGATCACAGCCCGTGCTCAAATCGTCATCGAAATCACAAGTGTTCTCCACCAGCTCTCGTTGTTCAGCGCTGCTGAAGCCGCCCACCACGGCGATTTCTCGAAGGCGTAAATCTAGTCGGCGAAGGTAACGACGATGGCAAACTAAATATTGTCTAACTACCCTATTCCTTTCTATATTCTACTGTACTCCTGTGTCTTGTTCTGTTTGTTATCTGTTTGCTCTACACTTCAATTAGCACTTGCTCCATTCCACAACACTCATGCTTAGACTGCCGCGACTTTGTCGCGCCATTGCAACAGAAGCAACGCAACATAATTCTTCCTCGTCGCTACTCCCCATTGTCATCTCCAAAGAGCCGCGTACTAGCCAGTTTCCTCCACGATCTCAGTCGGCAGGCCCGGAAAGCACTCTTAAATCCAGTCCTCAAGAGCCTCCTCAAGAACTGGTCCGGTCCACACCTCTATCACACGCGTCCGGGTCAGACCCTGCTTCTGCAAGTTCGAACCTCCCTTCGACGCACCTCGACTCCCTCGCGTCATCGTACGGAGGCATCCCGCCCTTCCATACGCACGCGTTCTTCATCGCGCTGGAAAAGACTTTTCCGAGCACAACTGCGCGGAGTCTCATGCGGGCGACAAGGGCCCTGTTGGTCGACCGGACAGGGAGGGTGCGCAGGGAGGGACTGACCGTGAAGGATCTCGACAATGTACGTGTCTTGCGCGTTTTTTTGGGGCAGGTGTACCTCCCTTATTTGACTGCAGCAAGCATATCTATTCCGTGCCGCGCTGTCCGAAATACGCGCGGAAATACAGTCTAGTACGAATAACGACTCTGCGGCGATGCGCACGGCTACCTCCGCGCTGCGCAGGGAGGTGGACCGATTGGATATCAAGATGAAGGAGGATCTGGCCACGTTGAAGCATGAGTGCGCCCGAGTCTTGATCCCTGTCGTCATGAGCTAATAAGCGATGCGTGCAGAATTCAGATGGAACTAGACAGCCGTAAGAATGAAGTAAATGCCGAAAGCAAGGAGCGGGACATTGACATTGAGGTGCGCAGTTCAGCGGTCCAGAGCAGCAGACTAGATGCCAACATTGTGCAGGAACTGCTCAATAAGTCCATCGTAGAAGTCAGCGACATGAGGACGGTGGTCGAAGAAATCAAATGGGATAATATGCGGCGGGCCGTGGGTATGTCGGCATTCAAAGCGCCGTTCTCATGTACTGACATTTCACAAGCCACCTTGTTTGGCTTCCTCGTGGTCATCGTCATCGGTATGGAACTGAGGCCAAAGCCAAAGCCTACGCCCACACCATCATCGGCGTCCAATTCAACCCAACCTCTATCCGCAAGGGACTTGAAACAGCCTCTGCCAGAGGGGCTCGACGAATGGGCAACCTGACCACCGCATACACTAATGGAGAAAGTAATGTATGAAAGACCCTTCCTAGATATCTACACATACTGTATACCAGCAATTTACACCCTGTACATTCAACTCGAAAGAATCCGATCTCAACTAATGTCATCGCCCTACTTGACGTCAAGCTGTGCTAGTTTCGCGGTCAGCGCCTCCTCGGGTGCAGCCGCCCAGTTGGGTCGGTCGGTACTGTGCGCAGAATTCGAAGTCGAGGTGGGTGGTGCAGCTTTCGCTGGTGCAGGTACAGGGGAGGGATCCTCCTCAGCATCATCCTCCCAATCCTCTGCTACGACTTCCTTCTTCTCGTCTCGTTTAGCGTCCCTCCGCTTCGCATTCTTCTTAGCGCTCTTGCTCAGCGGCTTCGCCGTTGCCGTCGTCTGCGCAGCGGTAGGCGGGACCCAGCCGATGATATGACCCTTGGGCAGTGCATTGGCGTCCGCTTGCGCCTGGCGCGTGCCTGCCTCGCGCACATCATCAGCTCCGGGTCCCACGTGCGACAGGTGAGATCGATTATCGCATCACGCACCCCGAAATCGGCGTACGTCTTCCTGCGGAGTAAACCCAGGACGGATTTTGATTTGTTTCCGGACACTGCGGGCGGTTAGACTCGTCAATTAATCAACCTGGGGGACGAGCACGCGGACGCACGTTCCATCGGCGCGTCTCGATTCAGGAATGACGCGGTCAAGCGTTTGCGGGTCGACTGTGATGCCTGCAGCTGTTTTCTGGGGATTCAGTGGTGGCAGGGACATGGTAGCAGAGTGATCAGTGGTATTTAGGATTGTTGTGATCGCGATCCGAGATTTGATCTTTCCCTCTCCCGCCCTCTCTCTTCCTGGGATACTTATCTCAGCTGAGACTCGACTGACCCGACTGAGCAGGATTGTCTTGTCTTGAAACACATCTGCGATGCGGTATGCGGTACTCGTGACTGGCCCTGCGGGTGCTGGGAAAACTACTTTCACGGGCGCCTTCATGAATCACCTATCCGTCTCGCGGCGAACCGCTCATCTCGTGAATCTCGATCCTGCCGCCTCGCCCGGCAGCTTCGAATACGAGCCCGTCATTGATATTAAGGACTTGATCAGTCTGGAGGATGTCATGGGGGAACTGGACTACGGTCCGAACGGCGGGCTCGTCTACTGCTTCGAGTGAGGTGACCGGCACTTCCGCCGTGCGGTGCTCGATTAATGATTCGGTCGCCAGATATCTGCTGCAAAACATGGACTGGCTCGAAGAAGAATTGGGAGGTTTCGAGGATGACTATCTCATCTTTGATTGTCCCGGTTCGTCTGCAGAGCTAGCTTTGCTGTGCGTGAATTGAGAACAGGCGCTAGGTCAAATCGAGTTATACACACACCACCCTTTCCTTCCGACGCTCGTTCAAAATCTGACTCGAATGGGAATACGCACGAGTGCTGTATATCTGATAGAGTCGCAATTTATGGAGGACAAATATAAGTTCTTCAGGTTCGTAATCATTCTACAGCTATATTCTGTTCGAATTGAATGCTGCATAGCGGTGTCTTGTCAGCCATGTCTGCGATGGTCAATCTCGAGATACCCTGGATCAACATCATGTCCAAAATGGATCTGGTCACCTCAAACGCCGAAGATCCTGCTAGCGGAGCTCGAAATGGCCTACGAGGGAGACGAAACATTGCACGGTCAGTCAGCCACGGAGGCGCACCATTGTTTCAGCCTTCTAAATAACCGGATCCGCGCCTCTTTCTGACTCTTTCTGAGTACAGGTACCTGGATCCTGACCCCCTTTTGCTCGTGTCGGCTCGAGGGCAAGAAGGCGACCTGGCGAATCCACGCTTTCATGCGTTAAACCAAGCCATCGTACAGCTTGTGAGTGTGGCGCTATGAGTGCTGTGCGGCCTGCTGATATACAATGTATGTTAGATAGAGGACCACCCCCTTGTGTCATTTTTACCTCTCGATCTGTCGTCTCCAGATTCGCTCGAGACTGTTATTAGCCACATTGATTACACGATGCAATATGGCGAAGACGAAGAACCCAAGGAGGTGTGTATGCTCAAGCTCGTTAGTCAACCCGCCCTCTCAACGCATTCTCAGCCGCACGATCTAGACGACGGAGATTTCCAGGACTTGGAGTAGATACAAAAAAGCATGGAGCCACTGGCTCCAATGTCCGTAATGTCCCTCGCTATCGCACTGCCACACCGAAAGCACAAATGACGCATGTTGATTGATCCTTTGTTCGCATAAAACCTTGGCAGCCTCTGCTTTCTCCACAACCCCCATGTCCTACTATCCCGCCACCCAACCGTCGTACGTACAGCAGCCTGTTATCTATGCCAACAGCGGGCATGGGCACGGGCACGGGCACCACCACCGCAGCCATCACGGTCACGGCCGGGACTACTCCGTCGGGTACCCTGCCACCACTAGTGCGTACGGGGGTCAGAACGTCGTCTATGTCCCTGGGAACGCTGGCACGCACCGCTCGCATCGCACCACTGTGATACCCGCTACGGTGGTTGTATGTCTTCTCATTGCTATCACGCGTTGAGGTCGTGCCTGACCTCACATGCAGACTGCTCCCAGCAGCCATGGGCATGGCCACAGGAGGCACCATCACCACCACGACACTGGAAGACACCACCACCGGCGTCGGCATCACGAAACGTACGAGACGGGCTACAGGCCAACTATCGGCGACCGGATCCGTGCGTTCTTCGGGTTCGGACCCAAACATTATCGGCACAAGTCGAGCAACAGCTCGTGGGGTTTCTTCGGCCGTTCGCCTCGACGCACGTATACCGACGCACGGACGGGGGTGGAGGTCGATCGCAAAGGCCGTCGCATCTATCGCGTTTGAGCGAGAGGACCCACGGTGCGACGGAAACCATCTGGATGGACTCAAACGCGCTGGTCTTGCTGCGACGTCAGTTACGATATTCATGCCTGCTATATTGCTACTTGTTCTCTGTATTGATATCGAATGTTCCTGGGACGTTGCTAATGTACACTAGCTCTGTTACTGCACAATCTCATCCGCGCTCTGATCGCTAGCTTCCACTGATTGTTGGATTCCGTTTGCTCAACGATTTACGCCCTCGGAGGCACATTCCTTCCCGCTTCGACAGTGGGCCGTGCCAAGGTACGCTCCAGCCAGTCCTGCAATCGACTTGAGTGTGCTTCACAAAAGATGCATAGTTGAGCAGATGATACCTTGACCCTGGGGAACTCGTCCAGCTCCTCGATCGCTGCAAACTTGTGGCCCGCAACCCTGGTGAGCATTAGCGTCGATTGGATATGATGTGGAAAGCGATTGTACCAGGGAGCAGCGTTCATGTCAGCGATGGAGTACTGGCCCCGTCCCGGGCCGGCGAGCCAGTCACGGTTCTGGAGACGGATTTCGAGCACACCGTAAAGCCGTTTCGTCTCGTCGGTGTACCGTTTCTTGGCGTATGGGATATCCTCTGGGGCGGCCCGGTGGAAGTGGGCAGCTGCCAGCCGATCAGTCCATCGATTTCTTGTGCGCGGAGCCCGAGATGCGTACCTTGCCCCTGCATAGGACCAATCCCGCCGTGCACAAAGAACATCCATTGTAGCATCTCGCTGTAGTTCTTTGCGTCGCTCTTGGCGTCGAAGGAGAACTTGTGGTCCTTGTCGTAGTGCTCGGCGAGATAGAGGAGGATCGCAGCCGTTTCAAACACAGGGAAGTTGTCTCGAGTACGGTCGACGAGAACCGGAATACGTCCTGCCCGTTTCTGAATTAGGATCATACAATCGTTAAACTTCAGATCACTCGCCGTTGGGGTTGAGTTCGATGAACCAAGGCTCTTTCTGAACGTTCTTCATGATATCGATCTTTACGAAGCTGAGGATAGGTCGGTATTCAGAATGCTTGACAATGTGCAGTGCGCGCACTCATAGTCCAATCCGGGATACGCGACCTTGAGCTCTTCGAGAAAGATTGTCACTTTGTGGCCCTGGAAGTACACATCGTCAACGCCGTAGATCAAGCCGCGAGGGAAACGACTAGTACGTTGGGCGTGCCAGCTGTGTACAAGATGAAGGGCTTGGAAGACATGATGATGATAGTTTGAGATGTCAGCGCTAGTACTTACTCTATTAAAGGTGAGTCTCAGGCGCTTACACGTTCAGGAAATGACGCGTGCTTAATCAGCTCATGACCAAAGTTATTACCAAGCGTGTACCAAGCCCGCTCTTCTTCGGGCGGCGTCGGCAAATTGCTGGAAGGGCTCACAAAGAAAGCTGTTATATTGAGCTCAACTAGTGGGAGTGAAGGATTCGGGGGCCTGGTCTCCTGGCGTGAACTGATACTGCGCTCCCACGTTCCCACGGAATCTGTTTCGCATGTCCATCTAAAAAATAGGTCTCAAAAAGGGGGCTGATGAACCAAAAGGCAGCCTGCGCACCATGCCGCGTTTGCACTCAAACGTCGCTTTTCGAAGCATTTTGCACTCGTCTGGTAGTTCATCTGTGTGGTTGCGAAGGCAATCAGATGGCTTGTTCCCGTCCTTGACCACGCAGTCCGAGCGCATGACACAGTCCCTCATAGCCGCCAAAAGCCCTTTACATGACGACGACATGAAAGTTCGCGGTCAGAGTGTTCGTGCGAATTTGATGGACATGAGATTATCTTATCTGATGTGTCACCCGACACGGCCCGTCCAGTGCTCACAAATCATCGAGCTTGAACGCTCTCCGAGTGGCCCTCGACATGCCTCCTTCCTTACGCCCGCTAATCTCAAAAATACCAACAATTGCACGTGTGCCGAACAGATCCGTGCTCTCTGTTGCCGGCTCTCAAGCCGCGGAATACCTGAACGGGGTCGTGTCAACACTAGTCAAGCCGCCTCCGCTTCCACTCTACTGCGCGTTCCTCCATCCACAAGGACGTATCACACACGATGTCTTCATATACACTCACACCGGTGCGGACGGAAAACAGGGCTACCTCATCGATTTCGACAATCGTGAATCCGAGGCCCCACCTCTGCTGCCGACACTGAGGCGGCATGTCCTGCGCTCGCGGGTCAAACTTAGAGATGTGTCTGAAGAGTATGATGTATGGGGCGCATGGGGCTCTGAGACTGATTCCGTTCACGCCGAGAGGCAGTGGAGGTGGTCTGAGCAAAGCGGAGTGGCTGAACCGCAATGGAGTACTTCGGAGGCGTGGCCCTGGGGCACCAAGGACGGAGAAGTGACAGACGCACGGGCGCCTGGGATGGGAAGGAGGTTATTGGTTAGAAAGGGAGATACCCGTGCGCCTTCTTTGTTATTCTTGCTGGCCTCGCTTGTTAACAGCATATCCAGCCGCGGAACAATCCTCTCATGAGCTCGGATCTTCCGACGCTTATACCTTGCATCGCATTCTACATGGTGTTCCGGAAGGCGTTGACGACATGCCTCCGATGCAGTCGTTTCCCATGGACTCGAACCTGGATTTCATGGGTGGAGGTCTGTACACTCCCTGCATGCGACGACTGGCATTGACATTTGCTTCAGTGGACTTCCGGAAGGGATGCTACGTTGGCCAAGAATTGACCGTCCGAACATACCACAAGGGCGTTATACGAAAGCGCATCATGCCAGTGTCTATTCACCCCGCCAATGACCCGTGTGTATTGCACCCGTCCGATTATCCCATGGTCTAACGCATCCACAGCCCCCACGACCTCGTAGTCCCTAATCCCAGTGCGCCTTCGCTTTCCCCGGGTCTGGAGATACGGGCTGCAGTAACTCAAACCGACGATTCCGAACGCAAACCGCGCGCGCGCGGCCACAGCAGGCTCCTCAGTTCCACACATGGAGTCGGGTTGGCGCTCATGCGGCTGGAGCAGGTCGAGAAGGCAGAAAATGGTGATTTGGGATTCCAGATCGAAACCGAGATTGACGGAAAGAATGAGATCTTGGGAGTGAGTCCCTGGAGGCCCGAGTGGTGGCCGACGCCGCCGTAGTGTTATGGCGTAGAGCATTACTGTGCCCTCTCGACTAGAACCGAAGCAAAAACATACTCTCCGTCGTGGCTGATTGACACGTGGATCCTGCCAACCACAGAGGTATCCTGAGAACCTTCAGGGCGGAAAAGTAGTCGTGGTTTGTGCCCGTTCTTCATACTGGTGTAGGTAAAGTCTTTCCACGAAGCACGAAAGTGGGGATAGAGTGCCTTATATGCAGCTTCCTTCACGGCCCATCTGTGTGCGGTAAGCTAGTTGTTCGAATTGCCAGGCCGGGGCCGTACCGAACGGCAATGAAAGTGGGATCTGCATCTTTGTATTCAGCGAACTCGTCGCGGCTCAGGATACGAGACGGCAGCCGCTTTGGATACGTCTTCAAGAGGGATGTGATCCGAGGAACGTGAAGCACATCTACGCCAATTCCCAATATGCCCATGATCGTGGTTGAGTTTTGGCAACGAGTGGAAGCGCGCAGTCACTGTCAGTCAGACTGACGCGCCGTGTGACAGACGCGACTTTTCCTGGGCCCATGACCATCAAATTCTCAGCCGCTTACATCTCGGCATCGACCAACCGCTTCCCACTCGCGGCCGCGCATCTCCCCAGCAGATCACTCGTTGCTTTCGGATCGGGCGCGCTCGTCGCGCTGTGGGATGTTGCGCAGGATCGGGGTGTCGCGCGCACTCTGGCTGGGCACGAAGGAGCGGTCACCTGTGTCTGCTTTCTCGAAAACGACGAGATCCTCGTTTCTGCCGATGATAAGGGCCGAGTGAGACTATGGAGAGAGGTTGATTCGGAGGCACGCGTCTCGCGCTGCGCTGTTTTGTCTCCCTTGTCTGATGTAGGACTCATCTAGTGGACATCGATCGTGCAAGTGGATGCTCACAAGCACGCAATATCGACGCTCTGTCTTAGAGAGAGAACTCTCGTAACGGGTTCGTCAGATGGAAGTGTGAAGATCTGGGAGTTGAGCGCCGCAGGCATGCAGCTTTGTGCGAGATCAGAGTGACGTGAACTAAAAGCGTGCAGATGAGGTGACGCCAGTCCAGACCGTCGATATGGGCGGAAGATATCCGCTTGCCGTCGCACTGGGCTCTTTGCCGCAATCTCAAGGTGCTGCCATTTATACAAGCCCTCGAACCCTGACCAATTCTAGTCTTGAGCGGAGATCTTGGCGGTAGGTTGCACTGACCGAAACATCCACATCTTTACTAGATCCGGCGACTCGGTGGGCATCTCCGAGAATATTCGTTTTCTTCCAATTTGATCTGATGATCTAGTTCGTGCGATCGACTGTGTTGTCTGGCCACGAGGACTGGGTCAAGAGCTTAGCATTCCGAGAGCGTTCCTCTCCGGATGAGCCCCTCGTACTTGCGTCCGGATCGCAGGATGCTACAATTCGGCTGTGGAACATCGAACACTTGGGAACCCACGCCCTCGTCGAGGCAAAAGCACAAGCACCTGCTATGAGCTCGAACGATCTGCTTCTAGATGCGTTCGAAGCCTCTCTCGGAGATCTCCAAGATGGAGAGGAAGGCGGCCGTCAAATATCGCTGAAGCGACACATTCTCACTGTCCAGGCCGAGCGGTAGGTAAGCCCAGGCCTGTGGAGAGACGTTGCAATGATACCAGGACAAGCTACTCTATCACATTCGACGCATTATTGATCGGACACGAAGCCGGGGTAACGTCCCTGCGATGGCAACCCACATCCAATCCAACGCTCCTCTCGACGTCGACCGACTCCTCTCTCATCATCTGGTCCCCGACCTCGGTTCGATCAGGTCAGGACAGGAGTCGACAGCGATATGGATGACCCAGCAGCGGTTTGGCGATGTCGGGGGCCAGCGCCTGGGTGGGTTCGTTGGCGGACTGTGGGCCGACTCGGGAAACGAGGTCTTGGCCTGGGGCTGGTCTGGCGGATGGAGGCGATGGAAAACGACTGAAAAGGATGTCTGGACGGAGCTTGTGGCGATCACGGGACACGCAGGTCCCGTCAAAAGTGTGGCGTGGAGTCCCGATGGCCGCTATCTTGTGTCTACGGGGTGAGTGCTCGCTCTCATTGGCGTTTTTTACTTATTGTATTTGCAGGTCGGATCAAACGACGAGAATCCACGCCCAGTGTCTGGTACCACGGTCTGGCACGAGTTGGCCCGGCCGCAGGTCCATGGGTATGATATGCTGGGTGCTGTATTCCTCGATCCTTTGAAATTTGCGAGTATCGCCGACGAGAAAGTGGTTCGTGTGTTTGAAGCGCCCAGCGGGTTCGTCCAACTGGCACAAGAACTCGGCGTGGCGAATTTCTCTGAGGAGCAGGTGAGTGGCGTCGCGCCTATCTGTTGTCCTTGGAGCTGAAACGGGCTGCGAAAGAGGAATCGACCGTCAGCGGCCAGTGTGCCACCGCTGGGATTGTCGAACAAAGCCACGAGCGAAGGTACGAGCGATTTCGTACTCCAGCCAGCGTCAGCTTCATTCATGAGTTGAATTACACAGCTGCGTCCTCGGCGCCCATCGCAAACCGAGTGCCCTTTGAAGGTGAACTGGCAGCGACAACACTCTGGCCCGAGATCGAAAAAATCTTCGGCCACGGCTACGAGGTTCGTCGTCCTTCCTATGAGAGCCCAGTTTGCTTTATCTTCCCGCACAGTCGATCTGCCTGGCGGCCTCGACGTCCCGCCAGATCATCGCCACAGCCTGCAAAGCCTCGACAGCAGAGCACGCGGCGATCCGCCTGTACGACACAGCCACCTGGCAGCTCGTCGGGCAGCCACTGAGCGGCCACACGCTGAGTGTGACGCGCGTCGCATTCAGCCCAGACGACAGCCTTGTGGTCAGCGTCTCGCGGGACCGCACCTGGCGCATGTACGAGAAGCAGGCGGACGGAGGCTATGCGCCCGTCGCCGCCGAGAAGCCACACGCCCGGATCATCTGGGACTGCGCCTGGGCTGCCGAGGGCGATGTGTTTGCGACTGCATCGCGAGACAAGACGGTTCGCGCGTTTGCTGGCTTCGACGAGGAGGAACCCCGTGCTGATGGTGCATCCACTTGCAGGTCAAGATCTGGCACCGACATTCGGACAAGTGGTCAGCTGCGCAGGTCATCCAGCTGCCAGACGCAGCCACGGCCGTTGACTTTGCACCGCTGGCTGCGGATGGCAGCCGCGTTCTGGCCATCGGACTCGAATCTGGAGCAGTCATGCTGTGCACCAACGGCAAGCTGGCGTCTGGATGGAGTGTCCGGGATTCATTCCGGTGCGTCGTTTGTTTGCTGCAGATTGCGGCTGGATTGTTCGTCTCATGGAAGCATCAGATGGCACAATGGACCGGTGACACGGCTGAGCTGGCGGCCAGGCAATCGTGAATTGGCAAGCTGCAGTGAAGAAGGTACATTGAGAGTAGTTAGCGTTGAAATGTAGTTAATACAGTGGCGGCGAGTAGTAACGAGACAATTTGGACAGGTGCAGTTATAAAGGGTATCGGACATGAAGGAAGGAAATGCGTCGTAGAGATATATAGTGGGTCAGAGCAGTCGATAGGGATACAAAACAGCGTCGTCAGACAATATCGCGCAGAGACATCGGAACTTCAGGCTGTAACAAAAAAAATCAGCAACTTGTAAAATCGACAAAAGGAAAACCCAGCGCACGCATTTGATTCTGTAGAAACCATCATCAGTGACAGGCCAACACAGAAAAGACGGAAAGCGCACTTGTAAAAACACTCTATGGACCGTAACATTTCGACATCGCCGCCCGTCGCAGTCACAAAGTTGACAATCACCCCAGCACGAGAGTAAGTCGATGCTATCGCCGGGGCGACACGGTGCGCATATTCTTCAACGGCTTTCGGCAGATCTGCGAAACAATCAGCACTCGCGTTCGGTGCGACTCCTCGCCGAACACAACAGACCATAAATGATGAGCGGCACATGGGCCACTTCAGGCGCCTTCACCGGCACGTCATATGCCACCAGAACCTTGGCCGCCGGCTGGCGCATGATCATCGACGTCGAGCTTCGGAATTTGTTCAGCGCAGCCATCTTCGTGCCCGGATTCATGTCTCCGTGCAGCGGGATCGCCTCCAGGCCACGGCTGGCCAGCTTGTACACGACAGCATCGAGCGCAGTCATCCCTCCGACATGCACCACCGCATGGGTCACCTCAACATCGTCAAACAAGTCCGCGAGCGCATCCAACTTCCATTCGCGGGCCTGCACACTCTCCGCGGTCGACGCGGCACCGCGCCCGAGCCGATGATCCCCAGACCACCCGCAGGAGCGGCAGAGAGCGGATCAGCCCGCCCGCCGCCAGCGGTGAAGGCAAGATACAAATAGAACTGCCGCAGACCACGGGAACTCTGCGTGGTATCGGCATGCGTCACATTCCCGTCACGGCGGACCAAGACGCGCACGGGCTCGCGAAGCTGGATCGTCGTCGCGAGATTGAGCACGTCCTGGGGCACTGTGTTCGAGAACAGCGCAGTCTGGCGCTCGATGGGTGCATTGGCGTCAGGCGCAGGCGAGGGCGCTAACGAGAACCGGCGGCCCTGATTCGGCGTGTCGAACGGAGATGTGAATGTCGGTGGAGTAGACCCAACGGGAGTCGCACTCGGGTTGGGCGTCCCGGGGCCCAGAGGACGCGAACGCGGGGGAGGCAACAGTTTCACAATGTTGAACACAAACTCATGCAGATTGCGCGCAATCAGCTGATCAACTTCATCCAGCACCAGGAACCGAACCTCGGACGCAACGAGACCACCGGTGGCAGTGAACAGGGCGTGCAGCTTCTGGGGTGTGCCACAAATAATATGCGGCATGTTCTGTTGCAGAAGACGCAGCTCCTGACTGATATCACTCGTAGTGGAACCCACTCCAAGCGCAGACCGCACCCCAATCGGCCCTCCCAGGTCTCGGATCATTCGTTGAGCTTGCGTCGCCTGGTCCACAGTGGTCGACACCATAATCACGGTCGGCCCCCGGTTCTGGGTTCGGACCGAAAGATGCGTCACTGCAATCTGGATGGCGGGAATCACATATGCAGCAATGCGCTCCTGAGTCGGTGGAGCTTGGGCGATAATGTCCGCACCCCGGAGCAAGAATGGCAGCGCACGCTGCTGAATCTTGTTTGGCGGTCCGACCCTGCCAGAATGAATGGGATGGATGAATACAAACGATCGCACACGCACCCAAACTTGCTCAGCGACCGCAACAACTCAGGTGCGAGGGCGAGCTGCTCCCATTTGGATATCATCGGACTATTGTCGCGCGAGCCACCGTTCCAACTGTCGTTCTGCAAGTCTAGAATCTGTAAAAGGATTAAGTAGTTGATCCATGATGCCCTAGACGTTCAAGCACGTACCCCGGCTGAGTCGCGTCGGGCCAGGCTGGACACCGAGCGACGCTTATCACGCAGCATGTTGTCCTGTCGAGTCGCATCTCCCGGACGCATTGGAAGGTCGAGAGTACCGGCAGACCAGGTCCGCATGGGCGGCGCCGTCGGTGCTCTGGCTGTCGGCCGCAAATCGGGACGGTTCGGAAGACCGTGACCGAGCAGGGCGGGATTAGTCACGCCACTGGGGGGCATGAGCTGGTTCGGCGCCAGATCCCCTTGCTGAGTACTGGAACCGAGCATTCCGTTGTTGGCCAACGGCGAGATCGACGCGTGGATCTGATGCGACGCCGCAGTCAGTTGGCCAACGGATGCAGTGAGCATGTCGAGGCGCTGAGACACTGACACCATATCGTCCCCTGGCGTTGCTTGATTCGGCGCAATATTTCCTATCGAAGGACGATGCCCGTTGAGCGGAGGCGGCGAGAAACTGGCGCCGTTGCCATTTACGGCAAAGGGGTCCTTGAATTCAGGTTTGAACTCGGACTGGGCACCGAGACCAAGGGAACGTTCAACAAGGATAATGACCTTTCGCTGCATCTCCCCAATCTCGTTCTGGAGCTCGCGGGTGGAGGACTCGGTGCGCGACAAGCGATCGAGGATGCCTTGGATCAGCGGCGAAGCCTTCAATTGGGCTTCGAAAGCTTGCTGTGCGGAGTCCATGGGAGGGGGGAAATGACTTCCGGAGTCCAATGAGGAGACCGGGGAGGACGACGTATGTCCGCCAAACGCATTGCGAGAGGCCCCATTGTTCACAGCCACCGGAGGGGTTGGCTCGAAGGGAAAGTACGATGGAGCAAGACTTCCTTCGAAGAGCCCTGGAGTATCTTGGCTGTCGTCATGCTCGGCAAGAGGATCCAATCCGCCCAACATGCTCCCTTCTCTCGTTCGACGAGATTCGAGCTTGTTGCCACCGTCAACGCTGCGCGCTGGAGGTGACCATCGGTGGTTCTCTCCATTGACTTGTCTGACGTGATTGATATCGGGATCCCCACTCAGCTGAGGCGGACTGGGTGAGGATCTCACCGACCGAAACTCTGAGGGCGATATGGACAGGGAGGAGAGGGAGCTGCGATCCTGCTCGTGAAGGGGGCGACGGCTGAGACTGGACATGAGTTCGTCTTCGTGCGAGCGGATACCTCCTGGAAAAAAGGGCGTAGACGCAGGGTTCAGTGCAACGGCGCTCCTTGCCATCATGGCAACTCGAACAACTGAATGACAAAGCCTGGTTCAGCTGCGGCGTGGGTCCTTCGAGAGATGATCAGTCAAGGCGCGCGTGAAGAGGAAACTCGCTGACAGTGGTGGGTTGAAATTAAACAGAGAAAGGCGAGTGTAATTAGCTACGGGCAATGTCCATGCAGCGCTGGCTACAGGTCAAGGCCGGATTGTGGGAGCTTCCGATGTCACACCGTGACAGGCAGCGATGATCAAACGTGATCAGGCGAATGAGTCCGTGCATGCTTTCATCCGCCCACCACCATTACCGCATTGTGCTCCGTGAGCTACGCGCCTCGGTACGCGCTTCTGTCCGCGTCTCGAGCTCTATGGCCAATAATTGTGCAGGCCATCGTCCCCGGAAAACTCAATCCGTCACTCGCCAACAGTTTTCGTTCACTTGTGGAAGCTCACCGCGAATCTGGCAACTATGAATCAATCGTGACTGCAGTTGACTTTATGAAGGCGCAGAGGCTGTACAAGGTGAACTCAGTGCACTTTCTGCGCCATGTACCTGACGCGTCCTGCGAAAGGTCCTTCTCGAAAAGTATAATCCCACTGGGAACTATACCGCCCACGAACGCATTGAGTTAGTTACTTTTTGGAAACATTTGATCGTTTCTCAATGCTTCAACAGGGCTACCACCCGGCGTGTAGGTTTGCAACTGCCGAAGACTTACGACCCATCCCAAGCTTGAACGTATGACGGCTTACGCAGCGAATTTGGACACGGTCACGTTGCCGCGCGCCATTGCACCCGCTGATGCGCCTCCGGACTCGAGAAACGGCTCGAGATACGTCGTAGACACAAGCCATTTTCTTACTTACATAAGCTGAAACGAGGCATGATAAGTATGTGGGCGTCAGTAGGCCACAGTGTGACCCACGGGACAAAGAGCCTTCAAGGGGCCCTTTGAGTTGACAGCTTTCCGAACCAGTGGAGACGCGATGGGACGCCTCAAGGCTGACTCGTGGTGACGGAGAATGCCGAATGCCTCGCGTAACCGTCCCAAAAGGTAACTTGTTTTGTCTCGGTCACATGATCCCTCAAAGTTCCCTTTCATCCTGGTTCCGTTGAACCGATCGTGATCAGACCACGAGTCTTCGCTTGAAAGATTCGACATAATTTGCCCAAACAATTTACCGCTGGGAATGCCATGTACTTAAAGCTCCAAGCAAAGCGCGAGGTTCGTCGTCCGTTCACCTTTTTGTTCTAGTCGCTTTTCTGCACTTTCCTGTATTTGGCACGATCACCATGAGTTCTCACGGTGAGTGCTGCTTTATCTTGCTTTCGCTGTGCTTATTTGCTTTGTAGACATCACCAACGACGACGTCCCTCGCGCTCTGGGCAAGCCTGACCCGGGATTGCATGACACAATACCGCGGCCTCTATACACGTCTCCGACACGCTCTTCCAGCACCCTACCGCGTTTAGCTCGTTCTGTTCGCGGGGCGGAGCGAGAAAGGATTCGGGATAACGACTCTCCCTCGCTCTTTTCCCCATACTATCGGTCCCCGATCTCCGAGTCTTCCAGTCGTCCTGGGTCCCCGATCTCGCCGTCCAAGTCGAAGCGCGTTCCCCGTCCCCCCAACGCCTTCATTCTCTTTCGCTCAGATCTTGTCAGGAATGGAGGGATTCCGGACACGGTGGAGCGCCGGCAGCAGACGCTGAGTCGTGTGGCGGGCGAATGCTGGAATCTGTTAGATCCCATGAAGAAGCGTGAATGGCAGGAGAAGGCCGCCAAATTGGCCTCCGATCACATGCGCGATCATCCCGACTACCACTTCAAGCCGGCTCCTCGGGGCAAGGGCAAGTCGAAGCCCAAGTTGCCGGGCAACAACAGCGCTGACTTTGTGCGCTCGCTCCGGGAGACTTATCTTGATATCCACGGACCTTCGATCTGCTCCTCGCGGCGCAAGGGCAAGGAGGGCGAAGAGATGGGTCAGCCATCGCCGGGTGCCGAGTTGGTGGATCCTTTGCACGTTCCTTTGTCCTCCCACCTTCCGGTCTACGACGTGGCAATGGCCCCCTTCGATGCTCCACAGACTAGCTCGTACAATTGGACCCCTTACTCGGACGGAGGCTCGGTGCCGCCCTCGCTTTGCCCAGCCGAATCTATGTCGAACAACCCGCCATTGCCGCCGTTCTTCCCTCAGCATTCGTTCCCTCATTTCTCTGCTCCCCGCCGCCCGTCCACCTCGATGGGATTTGTCCGGAGTGCTGATCAGAGCAGGGCAGAGGCCGGATTCGACGTAGAGCGGCCAGCGTCGGCAGCGTCTGACACCGACTTGTCAAGCCGGGTTCGGGGACTCGATCTGGTGCGTTCTCTGTCTCCTATCCATGCGCAACGGATCCTCACGCGCTTGTAGTCTACTCCTGCCATCGATGGCATCCCTTCAAGTCATTTCCACTACTCGCCGGAGCACACTTTTGCTGTGCGCTCGCCGTTTCCCTTTTCGCATCTCAACCCCCAGGCCACATCCCACTTCTCCGATGTCATGGACCATGTCAGCCACACCAACTACCCGGAGACATCATTCATGCATGACTATCAATATTCCGCTGAGCTGGCGCCGCCCTTCGCCTTTGACAACTGGACCTTCGACAACGCTGGCCATCCGATGGTAGAATCGAGCCAGTGACGATCTCACGACGAAAGCCTTACGATTTATTCCAATCTTTTTTATCGTACGGCACCTCTGTATAATATAACATTTTTGTATTCCTCTAGAGTTGTACTTGATTGTCTTCACGCGTAGTATCGGCTGGTTTCGAGTATGCGTCTTTCAATAAACGATCGTTTCAGACACTTGTAATGTTCGCCACTAGTTGCTCCAGCTTCTCGTCCAACACCCCAGCGGCAGCTTTGAGTTCCTCAGATGAGTCCAACGCAATCAAGGATGAGGGAAGATGGTACAGGATGTCCGTCCCGTTCCCCTGCTGGAGAACTAGAAGTCGATATGGCACGTTGAGCGCCGCACGCATATCGTGCTTCACCATAGTATGCGCAATTAGCGGATTTCCCAGCACATAGACCACAGCGCGAGGCGACGGTGTATCCGAGAACAGCTGGAGCCAATTCCCATGGTTGAACTCGATGAAATGCCTGTCAAGACATGAGGATCCGAATGGCCTGTGAGATGCACACCCCACATAAAATCACTCGGTCCCTTCGAGGTCTCCACTCGATTTTGGAAATCTTCCAACGAAGTCGCTCCAATCAGGCCGGCAGCCGCACGCTTTTCCCCGAGCGAGGCTTGTAGCGATGCTGTGACCTGCTCAAATGGCAGTTCAGTGCAAACGTGGACGAGTTGGAACGTATGAGTGGTGACGGTTTTCTTCATGGTGACGCGTACGGCTCGAAGATGCTTTGACAGTGTGTCTTTCGAGTTACCGTAGGGGACGGAGTTCCTGGTTGGAGTCCATCACTCATCTGTATAAATATAGTGTAGATGATGATTCCCATGCAGAAATACAGTGATCGGGCTGTTATTGCTTACATCCAGGCTTGGAGCTCGAAGTTTGATTATAGTAGCAGCCGGTGATAGTCAAGGTCAAAGCGGTAAGTGGCCCCGTGTTTGATTTGGATCAATGATCGATCACTGTGAAAATCATCTCACCGCCGACCATTTCAGCTCAATGGGCAAACGAAAGGAGGTCACGGCTGACGACCTGTTGCGCCAACAAGAGGGCTCTCAAAAGCGTTCCAAACATGCTCTCTCCTCGTCTATCCAGAGAATCACTCTCTCGGATGAGGAAAACGCCTCGGAGCAGTCGAACAGTTCGGAGGGAGATGAAGCCGCTATAGTCGAAGAGGAAGAACTTGATTCTGAAGATGAAGGCCAAGAAACTCAAGGAGAAGAAGACACAGATGTCACGCCACTAGATCGTCCACTCTCTTCCTCGAATGCCGCGTCTACTTCACGTCTCGTATTTACACCCCGCCTTGCATCCAGCGTGGAACCATCTCCACGTCCACCTCCTCCTCCTTCATTCTCCTCCCTCGGCATCTCGAAACCTTTGCAATCCGCTCTCTCTTCCATGTCCATTCGTGCTCCGACAGAAGTCCAAGCCGCATGCATACCTCCGCTGCTCGCAGGCCAGTAAATCGGCGCGGTCCTAACCCTGTCAAACCCTGAAGTTTATCACAGGACGCGACTGTGTCGGAAATGCCAGAACGGGCTCAGGAAAAACGATGGCATTCGCACTTCCGATTATGCAGAAGCTTTCTGTCGATCCGTTCGGGATATTTGCGCTCGTCCTTACGCCCACAAGGTTCGCATCTTCCGTTAAAGTTTCCTCTGGCCTTTGAAACGTGACAGGGAGCTGGCTTTTCAGATAGCCGAGCAATTTGCGGTGGTGGGTGGAGTCCTTGGCGTACGGACCGCTGTCGTTGTTGGGGGCATGGATATGATGACGCAGGCGATCGAATTGGGAAACAGACCTCACGTTGTTGTGGGAACTCCCGGACGGCTTGTCGACCATTTGAGGAGCAGTAACGGGGAATGGGATCTCTCAAGAGTCAAGTTCTTGGTAAAATCATCTCTCGATTCCATTGAGGATACAGTACTGAGTGGTGTAGGTGCTCGATGAAGCAGATCGGCTGCTCAGCCCGACGTTTGCTGAAGAGCTGGCATTCATATTCAGCCGCCTTCCACAAGGTCGACAGACTTGTCTTTTCACCGCAACGTTGACACCGGCGATCGAAAATCTGATAAAAGCTCCCCCGCGACCGGGAAAGGAGCCTCCGTTTGTGCATAGGATGTCCCAGCGGCAAGTGTGCTCAGCCGTTTATTGCGCGAGGCTGACGCTCAAAGCAGCATTGAGACTGTGGATACCTTGGAGCAACACTACATTCTTGTGCCGTCCCATGTTCGAGAAATGTACCTCTTCCATCTTCTCTGTAACCCTCCTGAATCAACAGTACACTTACGACGGAACGCACCGGCTCCTGACAATCGCAAGAACAAGAGGAAGAAGCCGACGGAAGAAAATGTAGATCCTGTACAGCCACCTCCGACGATCATATTCTGTGCTCGAGCCAAGAGCGCTGCATACCTGACCCATTTACTTCAAAATCTATCCATCCGGTGTGCCGCACTGCACTCTCGACTGACTCAGCGAGAAAGATTGACGTCTCTGGGCCTCTTCCGGGCCTTCGTTGTTCCCGTTTTGATCTGCACGGATGTTGGGGCCCGAGGACTTGACATCGAGGACGTTGCGATCGTAGTCAACTGGGATCTGCCGAATGAACCGGAAGAATACACTCATCGAGTCGGCAGAACGGCTCGGGCAGGCAAGGGGGGTGTCGCCATCAGCTTCGTGACCGAAAAAGACGAGGAGCGGATCCTGAAGATCGAAGATCGCATCAGTAAGCCTCCGTCCCGGCGCAGTATGTTGATCTCACGTTCGTATAGAAACCCGGCTTCAGGAGATGATCCTTCCGGAAGCCAAGGTCCTCGAGAAAATGAACGCAGTCTCGACCGCTAAACGTCTCTCCAATATGGTCAAGATCTTTCCCAAAACTCTATTCTGTTGCGCTGATTGTTCACATATGTAGGAACTGCATGACTCTAAGTTCGGAGAAAGAGAGGAGATCCATAAGAAGAAGAGAATTTCGGCAATTGTTACTTAGACAGTTGTCAATCTATGATTGCCGACCCGCGGCACGCTTAGCTTATATACCCGTGATTTCTTTGGAGCCAACGCGCCCCGCTGCCACCACCCGTGCCTTACCTCTTTCCTCCGTCAAACGTTCAAGGATGGAGTATGATTGGGAGAATGCCGCCAGTCAATACTCGGACTTTGACTTCTCCAAATTCGACCTCCCAACTCCGCCTGTGTGTGACAAGCAAGCATTCTGCGTATATGCACCCTGCTCACAACATTGACAGCGTTCTCAAGACGGCACTCCGCTTATGGACTCCACGGCGGGTGAAGTTGGCAGCACGCCGCTTGATGATCCCGAATCCCTGTCCATTTCCACTACCTTCTTCCCTGATTCCGACCTTCGACCTCACCGACCAGATGTCATTCTCTTAACGACCGACTCCGTTCATTTCTACTTGCATTCAGATGTCCTGCAAGCGTTCTCCTCCAACCAATTCCGTTCTCTACTTGGAACTCCCACCGATGCCTCCAAGCCACCTGCTGTGGATGTGCCAGAAACTGCGCCTGTCCTGAATGTTATTCTACATGCGATCTACGGTCTGTCGTGTGTCCATTATGCGCCCTCGTTCGATATTCTCGCCGATGCAATGAATAAGATGCCGCTTTATGGACTTGAACCTCGCTCGATGGTGCGTCCTCCGACTCCACCCCTTCCAGGCACGGCTCACGAATATGTGAAGGTTTTGCCTTCTACTTCCCTCTTTTCCCAACTACTGTCTCACGCACCACTCGTTCCACTGGAACTCTACGCTCTTGCCGCTCACTTTGATATCTTCGATCTGGCTGTCCCAACTTCGTCACATCTCCTTGGATATGCACTGTCGCGCCTCACTGACGAAGATGCAGAAAGAATGGGCGCTGTTTACCTGAAGCGCTTGTTTTTTCTCCATTACGGGCGTGTCGAAGCCTTGAAGCGGGTTCTTTCCTCGCCCCCTCATCCCCATGTTCCGACCAGCTCTTGTGACTTCGCGAACCAGAAGAACTTGAACCGAGCCTGGGCACTGGCCACAGCCTATCTCTCTTGGGAGCTGAGGCCTGGTGAGAAATTCCAGTACTCTTCGCATGCTCTCTCTCTCGCTGACAGCCTGTGCAGATCTCTCCACCAGCGCTCTTGAATCCGCCCTGCTTCCCTTGAAAGACCAGCTCCCTTGCGAGCTGTGTAAGACCTCTCTGAACGATCGCATCAAAATCCTCATTGTCCAATGGTCCTTTGTTAAGGTCTTAGTTGATCGGCTTCGCTGCAATTGATGATTGCTGACACACTTTATAGCGAACGATATGAAACGGCCTTGCACCCCTTGTACCACCACTGCACCATACACGCTGCCCGACCTCACGCGGATCCATGTACAAATACAACCATCATTGCGGAGGAGTCAAACACGCTTCCCGCAGTTCCATTCTTGTAGCAAATTTCAGTTGTGTTACGCATACACGAGCGAGACCCAGTGAATATATGCCATGCACTCCGACACATATCACATCAACGGGTCCTGTCCTCACTAAGAATGGCTTCATTCAACTCGTCCAATGGCGCAAGCTCTTTCTTGTCCACAAGATCGAACTGACGAGCGTCAGTGGCGCGGTTAATTGAGTAAAGGTGACCTGTACCTCGTGGATAAATAGAAAGAAGTGCTTGTAACTGGTGTTGAGATGGGCTGAAACCAATTCAGTCTAATAGCGCCTAGCCAGTTGAATGAGGCTTGCCTTCAATTCCTAGTGCACAGATGTGATCGAAGTGGTTGCTGTATATGTGTGCATACACTCGGAACAGACGGCGGACGATCGTGCGTGCCGTGTCTCTGAAGTTCTTGGGAAATGGGACACCTGCAGTGGATTTCATTGACTTGAGATTGTGCAGTATGTCGGAGAACGAAAAACGCACCGATCTTATTCGGGAATACGTTCTCGTCGTCCAACAACCCCTGAGCCCAGTTCATGAGCGCGTCGACATATTCGGGAGCTGCTAGCTTGGTAGGACGCTTGTACTTCACACCGTCCTCCCACAGGTATTCGTATCTGAACCCAATCAGTACAGTGACTCGCAGACCAATCGCGCACGCTGGTACCGGGGGCCTGCAGACATCATCGGGCACTACTCACGATCAGCTACGCCCTCGAACGAAAGGAGTAGAAGCGACCTCGTCTTTGGTGCAAAATTCGGTGATCGTTCCGTACAACATGTTGAGATGGTTGAAGAAATCAACAGCTGGGCCTCGTCAGGGTGGGCGGTTTCGATGCGATGCGACGCACTGTGAACAGCCAGCCATTCATTGAGATCTTCGCCCTCTGGGAGCTGGACGGCGAGCCTGAGGTTTCCAGATCCCTATGTCTCTCAGCTGCATTGCATGCAGGGCCATTCATGTTCTCACAAGAGTTGCTTCGGCATACTTTCTCAGTTGATACTGCTTTGTTCCTTCAGGGACATCTTTGCGAGGCTTGAAGGTGCGCGTCTTCCCCCTGATTAATGCAGTATGAAATAGGTGGGATACACAGAAGGTTTGATGTGGGCTTACAGGCCGAAGAAGGAGGACATCGTGTTGGATGCAAGTTATATAGTAGCTGAGCCCAGCCACCTACCCAATCGGGTGGCAGATCGGAAACTGCTGCGGCTGTGTATTGATTGACAGTCAAATTTGACATGCGTGGAGATTGCCGTCGAGCCACTCAATCGATTACAAGTATGACGTGATGCATGGGCCTCGGTACTTCTACCAGCTTCTTCTCCCTTCATGCTCTTGTCATGAGAGGCAAGAGAATATGAAATGCTGCGTGGCCTTCATGATCCAAAGCGAAAACAGTTTGCATCGACGATCGGCAGAGAAGACCATCGGCCGCCAATCATTCTTCCGAAATGACTGGTTGCTGCCCTTCCAGGTGGTAAGGTCGTGTCCAGGCATGGTTGATGAACCAGTCGGTCTTGGCCGGGCATGAATCGCAGCATGCGGAAGAGCGGGTCAGGAGGCCAGGCCTGAAATGAGGGCAAGCCGATGCAGCTCGACACTGACGCGGCTCGGCCTGGCGCCTCACTGATGATGCGGCTTAGGCAGAATTTGTGAGGCGGCTTTCCAGTCGGAGATAGCCGGCGGTGGAACACGATCACGTGGTCGTACCAAGCTTTATCTGTGTCGATAGAGGCAGAGGAGATAGTGCGAAGAGAGGGGGAACACTTTGTAAGTCGACCTCATCAAGGAGAAAAGCGATCCACACCGATTTAGTCCATATCGTATGCAGTTTCTGGCGTCCGGCGACATACGGTGTCGGTTTCCGGTTTCATGTTTTCCCGATGAACACATTGCTTACAGTTGCTGACGATCACGCAGACTGGATGCAATCATGCAATCGTTTCTCCTCGTCATTTTTTGATAAATCTGTCAAAAGAAGCGGATCAAAGCCAGATATAAAAGCATCTCGCTCTTTTGGGCAGATCCTCACTCACGTCTCCTCATCCCTCCACAACATCGATAACATGCCTGCCGTCCTCCTTGTCTTCACCTCCTGCAGCAAGACCCTCACCGGAAAGCCTACCGTGCGTGTTGCGGAGCCGTTGTAGATCGCGTCCACTCACAATCATCCTAGGGCTGGTACCTGCCTGAGGTACCCTTGCGTCGCTGCTGTGCTACGCGTAGACTCTGACGCGTGTTTCAGGCTGCTCACCCTTACTACATCCTGTCCCCCCATGCCACGATCGATTTTGCCAGCCCAGCTGGCCCCAACCCTCCTATTGACGAGTACAGCGTGAAGGTTCGTGCAGATCGCGGCCTCGTGAAATCTGTTGACCACAACGACCCAGATGTTCACCGACGACGAGAGCGTCAACTTCCTCAAGGACCCTGCCGTCCAGGCCAAGTTCGCCTCCGCCAAGAAGCTCTCAGATGTCAACGTGAAGGACTACGATGCCATCTTGTACATTGGTGGACACGGGCCCTGCATCGACCTCTCCGTCGATCCTGTGAACGTGAAGCTCGCTTCCGAGGTTCGCATTAGACAATTGACGAAGGATCGCGCGCTGATTGAATTATAGTTCTTCCAAGCTGGCAAAATCACCGCCGCTGTGTGCCACGGTCCCGCGTGAGTGCCGATGTATGCGCGTCGTTCGTCTCCTGACATCTGTCTAGTGCCATTGTCGGCGCAGTTGACGCTGAGGGCAAGTCCATCTTTGCCGGCCGCGCCGCCACTGGTTTCTCCAACGCCGAGGAGAATGCTGTTGATATGGTCCAAGTGCGTCATCGCCGCTCTTCACAAACGATCGCCTCTGATTGTCTTTCGCATAGGAAATCCCCTTCTTGCTCGAGGATCGCATCGTCAGCCTCGGCGGAAAGTACGAGAAGGCCGCCGAAATCTGGGGGGTGCGTTATCATTCTAGGCGCAGTCTCGACTTGGTTCTGACATTCTACAGCCCCACGTTGTCCGCGACGGTGTGCTAATCACCGGACAGAACCCGTCCTCTGCTGGCCCCATTGGCAAGGAGATTCTCAAAGCCCTCACCCAGTAATTGGTCGACGTAGTTAGGGGTTCCGTAGCCATTGCGTGAAATGAAATTGTACTTGATCTCAAAAGGCATCCTAAGATTGAACATGTGAACAACAGTGCACCTAAATATATTGTACCGACATGACCCAATCCTTCTTCAAAGTGAACCCATGCAGACCATCTTTGGCGACTGATGCGAGCTGCGCAGTTTCGAAAAATACTTGAGCCTTCTTGACTGGGGATATCAGGGTCAGTGTCGTGTTCCTTGGTGGTAGAACTGTCCAGAATGATAAGCGCACCATTCGGCACATTTGTAGGCGCGACTTTTGTGGTCTTGAACCCGTGATATCTAGAACGATGTAAGATAGCATACCACGAGTAGACGAGAACACTTCACTGTTGGAAAAGAACAGAAAGTACCCCGTCTGAAACCTCTTGCGGCAGATTGGTACAGAGAAGGCGCGCTGTGGGATATGCTACGGGGGCTTCGGCTTTGGAACATAAGTAAGGTGAGCCCTTTCCTAAGCTTCGGAGTACACAAGCAACATACAATCATCGGCGGGTGGCTGCTCATCGTCATCTTCGATCTCCATCTCCTCGTCGTCATCATCCGTTTTATCGCGTTTAGTTTTGCGGTCGCTCTCCAAATCTTCCTCGCGCTGACGCTTCTCTGCCCGCGTATTCTGCAGAAGGAGCGCGCTAGCATTGGCGGACGTAGGAGGGACAAAGTTGGGGTCTTCCTTCCGAGAAGTCGCGTAGGATTTTGATTTCGCGTACGCGATTCGCTGGACGCCAGGTCAAACGCGTCGCAAGTCACAAGGAGATTCGCTAGACGCACGAGAGGCTTGTCGTAGAATATGAGACCTTCGCATGCCCGCATAGCCGTCGTAGCCGAAGCAAGGTCGGAGAACACCAGGAAAGCCTGCCCCCGCATTCGCTGATTTTTAGTTGCAACCACGTCGATAAGTTTTCCATAAGTCGTGAACAGCGCGTAAAGCTGGATCCTGAGCTCTTGCTTGTTGATCTGGTCGTTAAGGTTGTTGATGTACAGCGTTGTATTGGGCTGGGCTGAGGCCATCTCGGCAGAGGATATGGGAGAAGAGGAGACACCTTTGATGCACGTGCCGTTGGGACAGATTATTGATTTCCGAATCCTTGCATTGACAGCTTTGAACTGCTGGGGTCAGCTTTATTGTGAGCCTCAACGTTGTGTGCAGCTTCATACGCACACCTCCGTTTTACGACTCTGGGCTTTGAACTCGGCCTTCCCTTCTCGGTCGCTCGAATTCAGGGCGGTTCGTCTCACTCCGCTCTCTCCTTTTTCACGAACGTGGCGCCATCAGCTCTCCTCTTGCACTCATGTCGTCCGGCCTCGTCGACCGGCTACCCTCCTACCTGGCCCCCTTCCTCACCCTGTCCTATCGGGTGGATACCCCAGAAAATGTAGACTCGTTTCCTGATGCCACATATTACCACAGTGGGCAACTGGACATCTGCTTTATCATATCCTGCATAGCGGTCATGGCCGTCTTACGCGATGCGTTACGTCTCGGTGTTTTTGAGCCATTTGCTAGATGGAAACTCACCCGAGACTTGGACCTAAAACGCGCTGCATCCAAAAGAAAAGCAAACGGTTCGGGGAACGGACACGTCAACGGCACGCATTCGAAAAAGGAGCTTCAGCACCTGCATCGCAGTGTCCTTCGGTTCGGAGAGCAGGGGTGGTCAGTGGCATACTATCCCGTCGTTTGGGGTTATGGTCTTGTGAGTGTCTCTTTTATTCACCCTAACCATGCGATTGTAACGTTAGTAGTACGTCAACTACATGCTGCCAACACAGCTGACCGATTATCGAGCCCTGTGGACGGGCTACCCTCACATTCCTATGCCCGGACCCGTCAAGGCGTACTACTTGTTAGAGACTGCCTTCTATATCCACCAAGTGCTCGTCTTAAATGCCGAAGCGCCTCGAAAAGACCACTACCAGATGATGGCGCACCATTTTGTCACCGTTTTCTTAATGGGTGCCAGTTATTATCACCATTTCACGCGTGTTGGCTGCCTGATCATGGCTCTCATGGACTGCTGTGACATCTTTCTCCCTGTGAGTCTGTTTTTTTTATCCTGATTGCCTCATGTGACAAGTCGTGCAGCTTGCCAAGATGTCCCGCTACATCGAAACTCCCAAATGGGTATCTGACATGCTGTTCGCACTGTTTCTTGTTTCCTGGTTTGTGACCAGACATGTATTGTTCTCCGGAGTTATCTGGTCTGTCTACATGAACGTGGGCGCGCTAGTCAACTTGCCATCGTACTACGCCTTGGTCGGATGCCTGGTCTCGCTGCAGGCTTGTCTATTCTCCTTATGTTGGTCCCGCTTCTAATTCGCACGGGCAGGTCATCCAGTTGGGATGGTTTGCAATGATTTGTCGTGTAGCGTGGAGGGTGGTTTCGACTGGAGAGGTTGCTGACGACAGCCGAAGCGATGAGGAAGGGTACGCTCGATTCTATCCTCGACGCCAAAGCAATAACATTCTGCAGAGAGCTTGATGACGACAAGAAAGACCAATGAAGCCTTGACCTGCTATAATCTAGACTTCTTCTCATTTTGGATCGTGCCGCTGCTGGATAGAGTGCGCGATGTTATCCATGTTCTACTGAAAGTAATAAGTAGTTTAGTAGTCGTACTAAGGGGCAAGTCCACGCGGTGGCAGTGTAATTTGCACATGACTGGACTTATCGGGATCATCGTGCTCTCCCGGGCCCGCAGTGGATCATCAACTGCTCTTGTTATTAACCTCTTCGTTCACACTCCCAACTTTCATGATGGCCAGCATAATGAGCTATTTCGGGCGCCGCGACACAAAGCAGTCGACACGGGCAGCTATCGTCGGGCTCAGAGAGCAGCTTCAGATGATAGAGAAGAAGGAGGAGCATCTACAGAAGAAGATTGACCAGGAGCTGAAGATTGCCAAACTGAATGCTGTATCGAACAAAGCACGTATGTCAAATTTCTCTACTTTCCATGCCTCCTGCGCTCACTAGGTGTGTGTGATATAGTGGCAACTGCCGCTTTGAAGAGGAAGCGTGTAAACGAGACGCAGCTAGATCAGCTCCGGGGCCAACAGCTCCAACTCGAGATGCAAGTGAACACGCTGGAGTCTGCCAACCTCAACGTAGAGACGATGGCTGCCATGAAGAAAGCTGCCGATGTCTTACAGCAGATACACTCTGGCATGTGCGTGGGCGATTCTCCGCAGGTTGCCGCAGGCACAGATATTGACGTCGCTGTACAGGTCCGTGAACAAGGTCGATGAAATCATGGCCCAGATTGCAGAGCAGAACGAGATAGCTAGAGATGTTACGGAGGTAATTTCGAATCCCACGCACTTGGATCAAATGCCCGAGGTGAGCCGTTTGGAGTGCCATGGCTCACATATCTGACAACCCTATCCCAGGACGAACTTGAGGCAGAGCTATCCGCATTGGAGGACCAGGTGCTGACGGAGCGGCTGGCGGGTGCTGAGCACGTACCATTGCATACGCCTGAGGGGGCAAACAGAGTCCGTAGTAAGTCACGCCATACCACTGTGCCCATAAACTGTCCGATCCCAACTGTTTTCAGGCCCACCCGTTGCGGCCGAAGACGACGAGGAGGAGGCACTTCGACAACTGCAAGCGGAGATGGCTATGTAACGACTTTCAATGTTCTATCTATATCGCCTGGGATTCTCTACACATCTCTGCCACTGTTCTAATATTCGTTGTACAATCACTCTGTGGTCCACGGTCAGAGCAAGATCATATGTTTTACATCATTAAGTCGGTCGGCACTTGCTATACTGATGGATTAAGAGCATGAAACCCCGCAATTAAGATATCCCTCCTGCTGTACGAAGCCCGAGCACCCTACGGACATCGGACGTAAAACGCAAAGAGTCTAGGACCGGAAGCAAATCTAACAGCGCCTCGTCTGACGGATCATGAGTCCAGCCCTCTATTGGAATCCCATTCGCTACCAAACGCGTGATCAGAGTAATGGCCCCGCGTCGTCAGGTTCTACGCACCTTCATTCACTCTGTAACTTATCGGAGAGTTGTCGACAATGCAGACCCTCGAAAGATCCGAGTCGACCACGGATAGGTCTTTCGTAAACGAGCCGTTAGGCAACTGCGTGCAGGACTAGAACGCCCTGTGAGAGACTGGACTTTCTCTGATTTGAATCCCAAACACGCACATCCCGGTAGAATCTGTGGACCAGTATCCCCCGGCCTGCATCTAGCCAGTCAATGACTGGATTGGCGTACTCTTGCACAGACGCCGTAAATATAACGAGAGTGTACCATCCAGAAACCTAGAAAATCATCAACCAGGACCGTCGATGCACGCGCCTGACTAACCGTCCGGAGAAAGAAATCGACAAACGGTCGCTTGTGGACGTGATATACCGTGCTGTGGTCCCCCAAAACGACTTCGACCATGATCGCGGAGGAGTTGCTCCGCCCGAGACTGAGAAAGCCGGAGCTGCCGGACTGCATCGGTCGCGATGTGGAGTGGATGAGCGTTTCATCGAGATCGAGAACCAGAGTCTTTGGCAAGAGGAACGGGGTGCGGCGGGCGGTATGCATGGAAGGAGTGGACACGGCTGGTGATGTATCGTCAGCCGCGGCAGTCGGGTTTGATGGACGTGGTAGTGGTGGTGGTGCGACAGAGGGCACGCGGGCTGGCGGCTCCTCGTCGCCGCTGTCGTTCTCCAGCACACGCAGTTCGCTCTCCAAAACAGCCACACGTCTCCTCCGGAGGAAGCCTGCATGCCCGGTCACCGACGCCAGAGCTGCGCGTAACGCGTTCCATGTGAGCACGAGCACTCGTACAATGAAGGTTCGACGTAGCACGGCCTCGAGGTAGATTACAGTGGGCGCGGTGTCGTGGGATGTGGTCGATACAGCCGCTGAAGCCGATGAGGGCTGCGGCCGTTCGGAGGCAAGGGCTATGACGTCTGCGGGAGACGATGCGGAACGTTTGAGACGGGATTTGGAGGAACGAGAATCTTTGGGAGGGAGGAAAAAGGACTTGGTAGACCAGCTTTTCGCGCTCGGAAGTGAGGACGATTCGGATCGAGGACGCGATTCATCCAGGTAGTGGCCACGTTCATTTTCGGCGGCCGGCGTAGGTGGCGGAGTCTTTGCGGAAGCTAACGCGTCGAATTGACGAGAGAGATAGCTGAGAGAGTTCATGAGACGGACACGTCCAGCGTCGTACGAGCGCTATTAGCGCTGAATCTTTGAAGCCGAATCGGGACGAGTGTGAGAGCCAAGCGAATGCACGTTTCTTTCACAAGGTGATAGGTCAGGTGATGTCGAGGCATCTTATAGACTTGGGTCATTGGTGCATGTTTTGCAGCATGTTGTTGTGCAGGGCATTAGACAGAAGTATCATTATGTATTCATAGAATGTAGCGGTAGCCCTTGGGCTTGCCCTGCTCCTCTTCGGCCCGCTCCAATTTTCTGTTCTCGGCCTCCAACACCTTCCGGAATGCCAAACACATGGCAATGCACAACGCGGAGCAGGCGATGCAAATGGCGTACGAGTTGCGGTAAGTAGGACCCCATGCACTGTCAGTTATGTCAGACACAGAAAGTCTCAGAATCCAAAGCGACGCACGTGGGCCAGACATAGCTGGAGGAGGGGAAAACCAAAGTCAGTCAAATCTATCTCCAGGTGATGATGCGATAACTTACGATCCTGTCAGACAATTAGGGCGTTGCATGAGGGAGAAAAGATATAGGCGCGTACCAGATATGTTTCCTAGCTGACTGAAAGAATTGATGAGCGCAAGAGCAACTGCTCGCTTTGATGGCGGACGGGGGAACGAATTGGAGCACCACGCAAGGAGCGCTGAAGGGCAAGATCAGCATGCAGAAACCACGAGGGTGATTATCGACTCACAAACGAAGCCGGCATATGACTGAGCCATGAGGAATCTTCACCAAGGATGAGCGTCGATCGTGTCAGCTGAACTAACATGCTTACAGAGAGACGTATCGAGCAGCAGTGTTCATGGACGACATGGCGATGATATAGCCGACGATTCCGAGGGCGAAGGAAGTGCACATGTGGTAGGACCGTTCCCCGACTTTATCAGAATGACTGGGACCAATATAAATACGAGGCCTCGGCTGCAGGTCAGACTGAGCCCACTCACCGAGCGACGATAAAAGTCACGATCGCAGCAAAGGCAAAGGGAGGAGCACACTGCCAGATCTTGAGATACCAGCGAAAATATGGAAAAACATCTCATACCAGGAGCAAGGTGACGGTCGGGCTATAGCCCAGCGTGGCAGTAAGAGTGGGGAAGAATGCATTGAAGGACAAAGAGATAGTTTGCGCCGTCAACGCAAAAGTGAGCCCTGGAGAGATTTAGTCGACCGCAAGAAACGTCATACGCAACACTCACACCAGACCCGCCAGTCAGAAAAGGCGAGCGACAGCCCCTGCATAGCACCATGCTCGGTCTGACCCTCGTCACCGACACCAGCATCCTCAGACATGCGATGGATAGCCAAGGCACGCTCCTCCTCGGAGAGCCATTTCGACGTGGCCGGAAAGTCAGGGAGAACGAAGATCGTGATCACGGCGACGAAGACGGTCAGTGCGCCCTCTGCATCCAACCAGTCAGTGAATGAAATCACTAAAATGGACATCCCATCTGACCGATGTAAAAGAGCCATCTGGAGGGAAAAGATCATTCAGTCTTCGCTTCGGACGTGACAAATTAACAAACCTCCATGCCGCATGTCCTAGCTTCCCCTCCATCCCCGACAGGATACCGGAAGCAATGAGCGATCCAAAGGCATTGCTGGAAAGCTGTCAATTGGGGGAAGGCGCTGGCCATAAGCGAATGATTTACCTGATGATGCTACCCGTGTACAAGATAGCCGTGCGCAAGCCAATTTCGTCACGCTTGTACCACTACGCAATTGAATTAGTGATAGAATGCAAGCTGCAAGCAACTGTCTTACCTTGGAGATGAGGAACAACGCTCCCCTGCAACATCTGTTTGAGAACCAAGTGGAAAGATGCATCCTTATTGCTCACGGGAAAAAGGCCGCCTCGACGAAGCCGAGGAAGAACCGAGTGACCAGAGCCCCATGGAAACTATAGCGCGTCAGCCTGAATAAAAGAGTGAGCCTCCAACGACTGACTTGGTGGTTGCTCCTGCGAAGATATGAGTATCAAGGGGCAGTTATGATAGAAAGCGTACTGACCAGTGAGCATCGAGATCGTACCCCAGATGATCATGGCGCCAGGCAAGTAAAGTGACGGCCGACCGATGTAGTTGAGGAAGAGGTTACTCGGGATTTGCATGAGAATGTACCCGACATAGAGGATCGAGAGCAGAGTGGGGTATTGCTGCCCCGTCAGATGCAGGTCTTTGACTAATCCTCGACTGCGAGCAGCACTGTATGGACCACATCGTGAGCCACAATTCAAGGCGGACCGCGAATGAGACTGACGACGCATTGTTCCTGTCGATCTGGAGGAACATTCAGTGCGACAGTCCAACCGGGCATGAGACGGAACTCACATAATTCAAGATGTAAATGACAACGAGAATGCTCATCCTGGCGCCAAATCAGATGCGAACATCGAGGACAGCGAACGGACGCACCGCAGGTCAATCTTGCGCACCAACTTCCTTTCGAGCGCAGCGCGCTCAGGGCCAGAGAAGTCATAAGCCAAGGGCTCTGTCGTGTGCTCTGTCGTTTGGGCGTGCTCAACTGCGCCTTTCTCATGAGAGACTTGGCCTTTCTCGAGGGACGATTCCATGGTCATGTTGGGATGGAACGAAGGAGAAGGGGAATCTGGGGCCCCCACTTCCCCGCACGGTTACATAAATACGAATCACGAAGAGTCTGGATGAGAGTTGTTGCGCTCCAATCAAGGAGTGAGGTCAAACTTGTGAGTGTGCGCACGGACCGATCATCCGGTGCTTCCCCGCGGCACATCAATCTTTCCTCCGGATCTTCAAGTTACCGGTCCGAACTACAACTGGAGAAACCCTCCTGGAAAAGATATTGTTCGAATATTGACGCACCGAGCTGCGGTTGGACTCGTCAACTAGTGAGTTCCGGTGCATATTCTTCACAGCTGGACTAAGCGCACAGTTTACCTATGAGGAACACGGAGCCATGTCGGCATCTCCCGGCTTTCTTCATCGGATAGGGTCGGCTTTCGGCTGATAATCAACGCGGGTTGTAATTCCTTTGATGTGTGATCCCTCAGGAGATTCTCCGGGAACCACCGCTATAGCTTGAATACTCACCCTGCGTACACCTCAGGACGCAGCCAGACTTTGCCTAGATACTCGTCTATGCGCATGCTTGTGCCATGGGTCAGTCACCTGCCTAAAACGGGACAACTTCAAGCCTGCTCGGCTTCCTGAAAATGCTGTGAGAGTGTGTGCGGTATCACCGGGTGCTGTGGGTAGCAGCTTGTCTGTTCCTGCTTGGCTCATGCGGCAAATTTCACTTCTAGTCATTCATCTGCAGTAAGCTGGTCTTTGAGTCATCCACGCTATGCGTTCATTTCTTGGTCCAGTCACCAATGCTTACACTTCTGCGATCCGGTCAGTTTCAATAGAATAGTTTGTTCACCGACCTTTACCGACCTGCTCTTGATTCCATTGGTCACGTAAGAGCCAGAAGGAGCCAGAACGGCTTGAGATCCGGTCGGGTGGTATCAAGGGTGGCCTATCTCAAGAGCATCTCAATTTTCAATGTTGATGGTTGTGATCGGCACATCAATGGGGTGCTTGGTTGTGTGTACGCGTCGCGTTATTGTCGTTTGTTGATCCTCCTCTCGATTCAACAAACTCTCGACGGTACTAATGGAACTCGACGATGTTCCCGTGCAGGAGCGTATCGCAGCGTTCTGTGACAGTCTACCACACCTCACACAGGAAGACGTCGAAGCATCCTCAAATGACTCCTGTCCCATCTGCCTGAGCTCCTTCTCCTCGTTCTTCTCTGCGGAACCTCAGGACTGCCTCGGAGTAACCCAGCTGAAGTGCGGTCATATATTTTGCAGAACTGAGTGAGTCGTTTATCTCCGGGGCTAGCACTACGCTCCGATCTGACGACCCATAGCCTCCTGGAATGGATTCGCAACCTGGTATGCGTTTGTTTGATCTCGACTCTCCCCTCCTTGAACTCCCATTCTTTCGCAGCACGGAAGCTGCCCGACCTGCCGCTTTGCCTTCCTGGCTATCAAGCCTCCGGGATCTGACGACGAGTCCTCGGACGGTGGAGAGTACATCCCGGACGAGGACGATGAATTCGACGACGCATTCAACACATCGGACGGCTTCACAGACATGGAATACGACACGGAGGACATGGACATGGACGAGGATGAAGAATTATGGAGCAGCGACGGGTTGATGCCTGGGGTCGAGGCTCAAGCCTCGTCTGACGGGGACAACGACTACGACATCGAAGACGGTACGTCCGATGTGTCGCCCTCTCCTCCTCCAATCTTTCGTGCTCACACTATCTCAGTTGCGGTAGAACTCAGCGTCTCTGTGGATGCAGTGGACAGTCAGGACTCGTCCAATGATGAGTCCGACAGCAGCAGCTCCCCTGAACCCAAATAACAGTCCCAGATCATAGCATTTATTACTATTCCGACGCATCTGTACTGTTATGCAAGACCATTTCTACTTATTTATCTACATAGTCACTGTTGTGCTGCTGAGAATCTCCTCGATTATCTGGTCCCCCTTGGCTGACTTCCAGACGCCCGTGTGCTTGCCCGTCCACCGGGGTCCTTTTCCGCCGCCTTTGACTCCCATTTTGCTCTTGAGCGCATCTCCGACGACCTTGGTGAGTTTGTCGTCTGAGCTCAACACAGCGATGACATTCACATTCGTGGTTGCCGGTCCACTGGGAGAAGAGGACAAAACCAGGACGTAGGAGGGCGCAGCGCTTGATTGAGAAGCCGCGTCGCTGAAAGATGCGCAGATCGCCGTCAAGAATGCCAGAGCAGACACCGAATCGTCGGTGCGATGTATGTGTTTGACGAACAGCTGGCCCTCGGCACTCTTCATTTCATTGACTGCACCGGCCGCGATGTACTTGGCCAGCTCTGACTCGATATCGTCCACCCGCCGAGTGACTGCTTTCCGTTCATCGATAACTTGCGACACTCTCTCGGGCGCTTGGGGAGGGCCGCAAGAAAGCAGCGTGGAAATCGAAGATATGTAGTTGTTCGTCGCGCTCAGATGAACCAACAGCCGAGGTCCAGCCAAGAAGTAAAGGCGAGCCACGGTCGTTGACGATCGCGAGAGCGCTTCTGTGTGTGGGAAAATAAACATCTGGAGGTTGTTGAGAGAGGGAAGATGGGTTCCGCAGCAACTGTGATAGGTCACTTTAGTACAATCGCCATTCGAGGCATAACTAAGACCACATACGGATTTCGGTCCAGGTCCTCGATGACCACAACTCTGTGAACGCCTCCCTGGAGTCATTGGCACGCAAGTACGGATGCAGACAGTGCAGCCTACCGTGTAGTCATCAGGCAGGCCTCGGCCGACGGATCGCCCGCTTTCGAGCTTTTCTGCTGGTTTCTTTGACTTGGCATCTAATTCATCCACTTCAACATGGAGTTTTCGGCCCTCTACCACAAGGCGGTTGGCCTCCTGCGCAGGATATCAGTCTCGTCATTGAGCGATTATCCCTAGTGTCACCTTCTGTATCATAGTGATTTCCTCCACTGAGATGCCCCTCGGAATCTCGACATAGCATGGAGCAGGATAGTTCGTCAGAGACCACGATAGCGTAGGCAATTGGAGGTGCATCTCGAGCAGGGCAGAGAGTAGATGTTGAGACGTGTGGAGCGACATCTGGAAGTAAGTTAGAGTGGAAAGTCTGTCTCCGGTGGTGTGAATGAGATCCGCACATGGTCGTATCGTCTATCGAAGTCCATATCATCCAGCTCCACCCGAACCTTGGCCCCTGCACAGAACGTCCGTAAGGCGTCCTCTGTGTTCCCGTTGGGCACGTGAACATAGTGGATGGCCTGGCCACCGTGTCTCTTGGCTTGCAGCACCGACCATTTGACACCTGAGCAGATACAGATACAGAATCTGATGGCCCATGCTTCAAATGAGACTGACCATCCGATGTCGTAAGTTTGCCTGTGTCCGTGGGCTGGCCACCTCCTTCAGGAAAGATCACTGTATCATTCAGGCAGACTTCGAGGCAGATAGCATCGGGCCCGATTGTGGGCGATACGACGGCTTTCTTGGTCTGCTTTCCCTTGGCCGGTGGGGGTGGGCTAGAAATGGAGCTGAAGACGACGGTCGCATCCAGTTGGCGGAGCAGAGGATCGCGCTGACAGGCCAGCAGTCCCACAGGCGTCGAGTGTTCATGAGAGGATTCTGGATAAATCCACTCCTTGAGCAGAGGCGAGACCACGCGGTGGTAGGGCGATTCCGCAGCTGCCATCGACGATGATAAGAGCTGCCACTAGTTCTGACCCAGGATTACGAGCCTTCGAGGCTCGTTATGTGCGCTGGGGATGAACTGGGACGACTCCCCGGATCACGTCATGATCATGTCAGGATAAAGTGGATCAGTACCGGTGGCACTGTTCCTTGAACACTCTTTGCCATGGACCGCGACGACGACCGACCCGACCAGCCACTCCTTGATAGAACGGCTTTCTTTCTAGAGACTCATATAGAAGACACAGCAGGAACGACAGAACTAGAGAGCCAACTCCTGCTCAAACTCGACAAACGAATGTCCATCTTGGTCCTGATCTATGTGCTAAACTGGAGGTCTTCTCATACGCGTGTACGGACTACGGTGGAATGAAAATCCCTGAACAGATATTGACCGAAATAATGCGAGTGCTGCGAGGTTGCATGGGTTCGAACAAGATCTCCATCTTACCGGAAATCAATTCGCCAGCATTCTCTCGATACTCTATGTCGGATATCTCGGTGAGTTTGCACCGCTCGTCTAGAATCTGTGGTCACACGCTTCATAAGTCATGCAAATACCTTCCAATATCTTTCTGGCATACCTTGGTCGACCTTCCATCTATCTACCCGGATGCATGATGGTCTGGGGGCTACTGTCCGTTTCCACGGGCTTCGCAACGAGGTGATGAACCTTTTCAAATGCAGATTATTTGACTGGATTGCTTCTACAGCTTCGTGGGGGTATGTATACCCGTTTCTTCATCGGTTGGTTGGCAACGTGCCATCTGTTATCGCTGTTCATCGTGTGTTGCAGGCTTCACTGAAGCCGCATTCTTTCCGTAAGCTTATCTTCGCGCTTCTCATTTTCTCGCTTGAGCTTCTCTCCTAGTGGCGCGCTGGTCAGTGATCTTTCCGTTCACAAATTGAGACCTATTAGCCGAACTGGTGCAGTTCCTGATTTCGAAATGGTACACAAGGAAGGAGCTATCGCAGCGCACAGCGCTCCTGTCGTGTGGAGTGAGCCAAAGAAACCGTGGTTTCGTTGTGCCTGAACTCATATCGGCAGTCCTTGATCAGCAATGCGTTTGGTGTTCGCCTCCCCGCATTGTCTCTTGTCACGCGCAGCTGATCGCCGCTAGTCCTTGATCGCATCGGGTATCTTGGATTCGATGGACGGTCGATTGGGCTATGCAGCATGGCGGTCGGTTCTCCACCATCGTCTCTAGTACACGCAATTCACATGCAAAAGGTGGCTTTTCTTCATTGAGGGTTCTTTGACCGTAGCGGTTGCTGTCGCTGCCATGTTTATCCTACCGGATTTTCCCGAGAACTCGTCGGACTGGTTGTCTCCCGCAGAACAGGCTTTGGCTGAGAAACGAATGACAGAGGATGCGTATGAAGGGGCTTCCATCCTCAAGGGCCCAGTGACCCAAGGGCTCTCCATGGCAGTGCGAGATTGGAAAGTCTGGTGTAAGTCTTGTAGAAGATTCCCATCTGCGTTTATCATCTCCAACCAGGGCTCGCTGGGACCATGGCCAGTATTGTGACCTCCCTCAGCTTCAATGCGTTAGTGGTTCTCCTCGTCCCTCTGTCCCTCGTACTGATCCTCATCTCAGCTATTTTCCGACTCTGGCTGAAACAATGGGATACGGAAATACGGTGACGCTTCTGCTCTGCGCGCCGCCGTGGTTTTTCGCCACTGCGGTCAGCTTTCTGGTCAGCCGGCACTCCGACCAAGCCGGGGAACGTTTCTGGCATGTCGTGGGACCTCTGTTGCTCGGCATATTGGGGTTTCTGCTGGCCATGTCGACGATGAACACTCTCTTGCGTTACATCTCTCTGTATGAACATCCTCGTGTCCGGCTCGTTTTCTGATCTTGACCCAGCTTTTTGATGGCTCAGTCCTATGCGGGGCACATTGTTTTTCTGTCGTGGATCTCAGGCTGCATGCGCCCAGCCTCGAAACGCGCTGTTGCTCTGGCATTGACCAACGTCGTCGCATCCTTTGGAAACATCGGGGGCTCGTGAGTTGGCGGCGTCTCAATTTCCAACTTCTGGCTCACTCGAAAACAAGATATATCTGGCCAGACACGTGGGGGCCAAGTTACAAGAATAGCTACGCGATATGCATTTTTGCCAGTGCCTTTGGAATTCTGCTGTCCTATGGATTCAGACAGCATCTCGCGCTTTTGAACATCGAGGCGGAGCGACGAGAAGCTTTTGAGGAGACTCCGGAGCCTGGATATAGATACTTGCTATGACCGTGTCGATTTAATCTATGCTAGTGTATAATTTCTTTATAATGCGAACAGCACAGTCTACGACTCAAGGAGAAAGCTCGGCAATGATTCGGGTGTAACGTTCGGCCCGGCAGGTCCGGACGCTTCTCCAACAACTTCTTCAATCAAGGCTGGACTAAATTCAAGCAGCCAGGTCTCGTGGATGACGATCTCACTTGCCTCCTTACCATGACCGACAGGGTACTGGAAGATTGGTCTTTTACTCAGATCGGAGGCGGACAGGGCACGAAAGACGGGGAATGGTCGCAGGTCTCGCAGTTCCCCACAACCGTCCATGTCGAGTTGCTGAAACTGGGGAGGATCCCCGATCCCGTGGGTTATCGATTATCTTAGCCCGAGTTCCGGAACGTTGAGTATCTATGCGTAGTTTGTCGCTCTCCATGAGTGGGACGTGCAATGGGTTGGGGAGAGTCGATGGGCTTTCCGATCGAGCTTCACTGTCTCCGACAAAGAGCTCGCCGTTGCTCACACCGATCTCTTGTTCGAGGGACTCGACACATATGCACGCATCCTGTTGGTCAGCTCCCTCCCTCTCACTCCACTTTGGTCTCTGGCAGCAAGTCCTGACAACCCATTTGAATCCAGAATGGGACCGAAATCGGCACGACCAACAACCAGTTTGTGGCCTCTCGGTTTGACGTGCAGTCTCTTTTGAAGACTGGGTCCAACGAGCTGCTGCTCGAGTTCGACAGCGCGTTCACTCGCGGTAAGCAAGCGGAGAAAGAGCACGGGGCGTTGAATCTGTGGAACGGCGATTCTAGTCGCCTCCATGTCCGCAAGGCGCAGTACAAGTGAGCGACATTGTCCTGTTGCACAAGGGCTTTTCTGGTGCTGATGATCATCGCCAGCTATGGATGGGATTGGGGTGCGCCTTTGCTATCTCCTGTGATGGAGTACTCATCATTCTCGATCGCGAAGGCCCCGTCTTGATGGTACGCGTTCCGCGTCACGTAATTCGAGTTTGACTCACTGGCGATAGACTACTGGGCCTTGGAAGCCCATTCGACTCCAAGCATACACCAGTCGAATCTCTGATATCGACATCCGCGCGGACGTGTCCGAAGGTCTCGACGTGACACTCTCAGCCAAATTCTCTTTTGAGAAACTGGATGGGTTCGCGTCTTTCACATTCAAGAATCCTGACGGCAGCATCCAAGTTTCGTCAACGAAGATGCCGACCGCTGAAGGGTCTGCCTCAGTCTCATTCTCATTCAAGCCGGATCAACTGCAGCTTTGGTATCCTGTTGGTTACGGCGAACAGGCGCTCTATTCGGCAGTCGTGGAGATCACCGATTCGCAAGGAAATATTCTCGATACTCAGACCCAGAACGTTGGGATCCGTCGAGTCCGTATCGTCCAGGAGCCATTAGCGGATCAGGAGGGTTTAACCTTCCTCTTCGAGGTCAACAATATCCGCATCTTCTGTGGTGGCTCAAACTGGATACCGGCAGATTCTTTCTTAACGACGTAGGCAACTCTTGCTTGACGTTCACGTTATGAGACTGACTGGAAAATTGGCTTAGCGTTACGGCAGAGCGCTATCGTGCTTGGCTGCAGCTTCTGGTAGACGGCAACCAGAACATGGTCAGGGTTTGGGGCGGAGGCATCTATGAAGCCGATGCATTTTATGAGATCTGCGACGGTCATTCATGAATCGTCTCGCTTTATATTCTCACTACTGAAGCCGTTTTTAGAGCTCGGTATCCTTGTATGGCAAGATTTCATGTTCGGTTGTGGCCAGGTACGATCTCCTCGATCATTATATCTTATCTTATCTATGATCAGTACCCCGCATATCAATCCTTCCTTGACTCCGTGCAAGAAGAAGCGGAGCAGAACGTCAAGAGACTTCGCAAGCATCCATCCATAGTCATTTTCGGTGATTGACGATCACATCTGCCCTTGTTTGGTTCTGACCCCCCATGTGCAGCGGGCAATAACGAGGGTGGGTTCACGAACAATCGCATTCCGCGACACATTAATCAATGCACGGTTCAGATTACCAGATCGCGGAATCACTCAACCTGGAGCTTGACTACGCTGATGAGAAGTCTGATTATTTGAAAACCAACTTTCCAGCTCGGCACATCTATGAGCGATTATTGCCCGACGTCGTCGGCCGCCTGTCGGACGTCTTCTACCACCGAGGGTCTCCGTATAGGTCAGCATAGCTGCTTCCCAACCAAAGTGATGCCGGACTAAAATGTGTCCAGTGGACAAGGCAAGCCCACTACCGACAAGGCGTACGGTGATCTGCACCAGTGGAACGTCTGGCACGGAACTCAAGAACCGTGGCACAAATGGGACACCCTGGCCGGCCGATTCGTGTCTGAATTCGGAATGCATGTCATGATACCCTTACGGTCTGCATCGGACTCAATTTCTCCCACAGGGAAGCATACCCTAATATGCGCACCGTCGACTATTGGCTGGACGGCAAGGTCTCGGAGCGTTACCCGCAGTCCCGGACCAACACCCAGCACAACAAGGCTGATGGCTTTGAGCGCAGACTGGAGGTATACTGGCGCCTGGTTTCTTACGCGACGTTACTCAAATGAAACAGTTGTATCTCGTCGAGAATTTCAAGCACTCATTCGATATGGAAAGGTGCGCATCTCGAACGCTGTCGCGGACTTCTCCAGTAACATGCGTAGCTACTGTTACTACACCCAGGTGATGCAGGCCGAGACGCTTGCTTCTGCCTACCGACTGTGGCGACGCAACTGGGCTGGAAAAGGGCGGCAATATACTGCAGGAGCTCTAGTCTGGCAAGTAAGTTGCATAAATGTCAATCATGTCGATTGGTTACTGATCAGAAATAGATCAACGACTGCTGGCCTGTCACATCATGGGCTATCGTCGACTACTTCCTTCGCCCAAAGCCTTCTTATTTTACCATCGCTCGCGAGCTTCGGCCGTTTACTGTCGGTATCAAGCGTATGGAAGTCAAGAAATCCCTCGATGATCTATCTGCTGCGCAGTTCACGATCCGGAGTCTGATCGAAATCTGGGGAACCAACAGCACTCTCGCCGAGAAGAAGGCTGTCCTGGAAGTTACCTGCTTCGATCTGGACTCGGACGGCTGGCGCGATCAGTGGAAGAAAGAGGTGCTGCTGCAGCCCAACTCGAGCACCGAACTTTTCCAGGGTGATCTGCCCGGCCAGCCTGAGCGCACGAAATACAGCCAGACTCCGAAACCAATCGTCGTCTCTGCGAGACTACTGGACGACCAAGGCGTTGTTCTAGGGAGATACAGCAACTGGTATGTTACACAGATGCGCACGTTTTCTTCTGCCAGAGTAGTTCACCTACTTTTCACAGGCCTGAGCCATTCAAATTCATCAATTTCCCTGCTGACACTTCGATTTCGGTGGCCGCCCACGGAGAGACGATCACGCTTTCGACCAACAGACCGGTCAAGGGTCTTGTGCTGGAAGTCGATGGCCCTGATGTGACATGGAGCGACCAGGCCCTAGATCTGGTTCCAGACGATCCTCAGACGATCCGCGCCGCCGGGTTGGATGGGCGCAAAATCCACTTGAGGTACCTGGGCGATGGCACGGCCTGAATCGTTTATTCTCTGTAGCATACGATGTGCATACGAACGCAAACGGTACAGGACGTCATTATACGACAATTAGGAGCCGCCGGTAGGCAACGGGAGTAATGGGTGAGGTAAAAACGGTAAAAATTTACATGAACGCCTCACGCCTTAGTCTATGTGTGCATATGGTTGGAACGGGTTCCTCGGCGTCTACATGATAAGACACCGATTCACAGGCGGCTCAGCCGAATTCGGAGAACGTTTCTCGATCTCGCTCAAACATAGCTCAAAAACCGCACCTTACAGAAGAGTCAGCACCGGTCCCGATACGAAAATGGATTCACGCTTCCGCACCGATGTTGAGATTGCTCTTCGCACTGGTCTCTACCCAAGCCGCTTCGTTGGCCTTGGCAAGTTTCTGCCCCTCATCGGCATTCACTTGGCGACTGAGCGACGCCCGTGAGCACGGCGAAAAAGAGGGAAAAGCGCACAGTGCACGCACCTGGCGCCCAAATCAACCTTGGAGCCCACAATGACACAAGGGATGTTCGTCACTCCACAAAAGTCGATGATCTTGTCGTATACGATTTGGATCATCTCGAAGGAGGTACGGGAGGTGACCGAGTAGACCTAGAGTTCGACAGCGTGAGCCCCAGGAGATACGCGGAAGATGGTAGGGCCCGCACGAGAACGTAGCCGTGTATGCCGATGGCATGCTTCGAGTTCAGAATAGAGAACTCGTCCTGTGTCGCAGCGTGAGCGACACGATAGAGGGAGTGACATGCATGCGCGCACCTGTCCCGCGGTGTCCAGAATTTCGCAGTCATAGTCAGCACCTTTGAAGTTGACGGTCTTCGCAAAGGTGGATTCAATGGTGGGGTAGTACGACTCGACGAATTCGTTCTGGCAGTATTGGAGGATCATAGATGATTTCCCTGTATACGGGGGGACATTCGGAGTGGGCAGAACATCAGGGTTGGCAGAGGGAGGGAGGTGCGGGGAAATTGATCAGTATCTGTGTGTTGGTTGGAAGCCTGTTCCTACCGACTGAACGGGATCCCAGTACTGCTATTCTCCGTTTGTTGGCTGCCATGGTAGGGTGATTGAGCAAAGAGAGTGTAGTTTACTAGAAGAGAAAGGGAGCTGTGGGTCCGAATGAACAGGCGCGTGGGTGAAGCAGCTCAAGTAGCCCTCATAGGGTCCCGGGTTGACCGATCTTGATGCGGTGCTGATTTGGGGGTCATTTCCGGCGGCGTGAGAAAATTAGGGTAAACAGCGATTGCTTCGCTCTTACACAGAAAGCGCTATGAATAGTACATAATAGAGATAAGGCACATTTGTCAAGCATTCGCATTGAGGCATGAAGGATATCACACAGAGTGGACCAAAAGAACATCCTCTTTGTCGGGCTGGCCTCGCTTGGATATTCCATCGCACACGTAGGGATGGGACTTACCGACACTGTGATAAGCCCATCCTCGGCCAACATGACGGCAGCCGACGGCGGAATGCTGACCGAAAGTAGCGAGAAAGGCCCCGAGGTGACCACGGGCTGGGAAAAAAATCGACATCTCTCGTCCACTCCCGTCTCATGCGTGATCCGTTTCGGGAGGCGCGATTGGGAGGCGAGGTCCAAGATCTGGCACTTGTCCCCGTAAAGTAGGGCGCACCGCTGGCCATATACGAAACAAACCCATGGATCTGGCTGCTGGACGACTTTCACCATTCTCGTCTGCGGTGGGCCCCAATCTTCCCATCTGATCATTTGATCACCGGCCCGAAACGACAGTATGTCAAAAATCACGGATAATCGAATGCAGAGCAGGTAGGCCGGCCCGTATCCGTCTGAGCGGGCCAAGGACAAAACGAAAAGCCTGTCCAGGTGGGATGTCGTAAACGGAGCTTCGAACGTCGTGTCGCTTGGCCATGACGGAGAAGGCTCTGTGTTGATGAGCAAGTCAACGAGGGCCGGATCTTTGAAGCGACGGCTGAGATGAGGCAGGCCCAGTCGCAGGCAGGGCACCATGACTTCGATCGGGCCGTCCAGCTTAACAACCCAAAGCTCGGAATACAGCTGGCAAGTGCCAACCTGCCCAGCGAGAATGCTAACCAGCAGCATAGACTCGTTCAGAAATGCGTAAGAAGTGATATCATCCCGGCAGAGACACTACGAAATTCAGCGAAAGGAGATGTGTGTGAAAGCACAGGTACCTTCATCAGAGCACCGGACTTCCAGTTCCAAACGGACAAGCGATTTGAGGCAGAGCCGAAGAATTCCCACAAGACAGCGACATAGTCGCCGAATATGCGGATTTGATACGAAGGAGCGTCATTGAAGATGATACTGGGAGTCAACCGACTGCTTTGGGCCATCGGATGAGGGAGTCCAGTTTTCATCGAAAGTAAACATGGTCCGACAGGCTCCTTCCTATGATGCATTCGGTAAAGACCATTGCAATATCGCGAATCGCGGCCTACTCTTGGATCACCACCAGCAAGTCTTGCGAAAAGTCCATCGTGAAATCGCCCGGATGATCAATATCAGGGGGCAGGTCGGTTGACCAGTGTAGTTGAGGTATTCCGCGCGATGGCGAGGGGAGTCGCGTGAAGGTGAAGGTCGAATCCTTGCATGTAGCGATCACATTTCCTATCATGTCCCAGAATCTGTCGCCCATCTGGATCTGCATTGTCGTTTGCGAATCACACTGGATGGTGGCCCATGCCGCTTCGCGAGCCTTGAGAAGTTCGAGACGTGCAGCTGATCCAACTGGACTCGGGCAAGGAGAATCATGCATGTCAGACAACTCGAGAAGTATTTGGTACTGCACGGCAGACGAGGACCGTAAGACTTGGAAGCATTTCCTGGAAACCTGTTCGACCGTTCAGTGCGCGTTCCAGACAACAGTGAAACAATTATGTAAGTACCTCTGATAATCTAGTCGCAGAGCGCGCATCCAGTGAGAGGAATACGGTGGTCAGTATTTCAGAAGGTAAAGATAGCAAGGTCATGATTAGGTTAACTCTAGGAAATTCGAAAGTCCGGATACAGCGTTCAACAGGCAAAGCGGGGAGCTCCAATGTCAAAGCGCGAGCTGTCCGAGTAAAAAGTTCAAGTGGGATAGATCGGGATATGCCGCGTGACATCACCTGATTGCGAGACGAGCACGCGCTGAGCACGTGTAATGTTTGACGCGTGGCTGCCAAAAGGGGAACCTCACTCTTCACTCTTGCTCGTACATTCACAACCAAAGGCCATCGACCGCCTGCCACTGTCCCAGACCCTTCGCTTCACATCTCTCTCGCCATGTCTGCTGCCTCTACTCCGAACGACTCTCCCATCTCCGCCCCCATTCGTCCTCTCCACAATCCTGACCTCGCTGCTACCGTGGTCGTTCCCAAAGCGCCGTTGGGCAATGTTGCGAACCAGCCGGCAGGCATGGGGGCAAAAGCTCTCCTTGCAAAGAAGATGGCCAAGACCAAGTGCGCCCAGCTTTACCGTGCATTCTGCTTCTCTCACACGCGCTCTATAAGCAACCCTGCCTTCGTCTCGCCCACAGACAACCTCATGACACCGTGCACTCAGAAGCTCACCGCTGCGAAGAGGAAACACTTCACCAAGTGCGTGTGCCCTATTGCTACAGATCCGCAAGTCTGACCGCGACGGCAGAGGGGGGAAGCCACTGCAGCTCTTCGCTCCGAAGGAAGCACACATCGAAGACAGTGAAGACGAGTCCGACTCGGCACCTGAGAATCACGTTGCCGAAGTCCACCCACAAGTCGCCATGGACGTCGACGAAGAGAACCCCTTCTAGACCATTGCTATCGATCCGCCTCACGCCCACTTACGATATTTCCCGCTGTACTTGTCTGTCTTATGCTGTGGTGGTTTGATATAAGCGCCAATGTACCACCACTTTGATCTACGGTCTGTGACCCTTGACTTACTCCGTGCAAAATGTACACTGTTTTTCTTGCCGGACGGACTACTTACTGTCCGTCCGGGACAACATCCCCTGTCACGTGGGATTTGATGGAATACGCGTCATTTGAGGCTTGCGCGTCGTCGCTGATCCTACAAATCATCGTGCTTGCCTCTCACCTCGATCATGGACGACATTAGGGCACTTTTCGAGAATTCTGGGTCGGATCCTTCCACATTAAGGGATCGAATCAGTCAGATTGTTACGGACATCATGGAGCGAGGCGGGGATTCCGGTGGTGAGCTTAGTGCGAGGTGACCACCGTCCACGAGCCCGGGTATTCGCGTAATCATTGCGACCTTGCAGCCAGATACAGGATCTCACGGCCAAACTGCCTCGACTTACCGAAAGCGACTTGGACAGGCTCAGTCGCGATGGTACGTACACTTCCTTGCAATAGTCCATGATTAGCTCGAATTGGAGGTGATGCACCTGACAGACTCGCTGTGCTCCATATGCTACACTCCGTTCGCCGCACTGCTAGCTGAGGAGGAGACGTCGTTGGCCATGGACTCTCCTGCTTATCCCGCGGACGAGCTGGGCGTGACCAAGTTGGATGCGTCCTGGCAATGCGGGCATCTGTTCTGTCGTAAGGAGTTGCGTGTGTCTCCCTTTATCCCTTCAGAGTCATAATGGCTTGTTTATAGCATTTCGAAATGGATCCGGCATGGGGTGCGTGAGGCTGCGTTGCGTAACAAGTGTCCAATCTAACACTCATTGGGCCGCCCAATCAAGCATGCATCTTGCCCGATGTGTCGGCGTTCCCTGCTGGAGTCGGGGAGCCCTGCAGCTGGGCAGACTACCGGGGCGCGAGATGACGATGCTCAAGCGGAAGACGCAGAAATGCTCAGCCAGATCCGGGGGTTCATGGAGCAAATGCGTGCCGACGGTGGAGTGGCTTACTTTGACCAAGACGGGGATTTCCGAGGGTTCGGAGAGAGGATATATGAGCCGGAAGGAGGCTATGTGGACGACAGGAGTGAATTTTCGGGAATGTATTCATGAGTATTTACTCGCCTCGGCCGATGTCAACTTACACAGGGCGATTGAATGGATATCAATCAAACGGCAATCTTATCCTCTCGGCGAGAATGAACATCGCCGGCACCACGATGTGATTACTTCAGTCCACGGTGTTTCGTCTCACGACACTCTCAACCTGCCCTCTCATGGAGTCTCTTACTCGACCTGGGCTGCAATTCCGGATTTCTGCAGCTGGCGCGACGCCGCTGGTGAACGCGTTGCGAAGTAGACGCCCCGGGATCCCTGCATTGGGTCTTGCCTATCTATGGCCGACGCTCTTCACTGCGCTAGGCGGGTTCCTGTGGGGATTCGACACTGGGAGGTGACTGTCGGTGCTCATTCAGCGAATTGGGACTGAGATCGGGCAGTGTCGGACCCATTACCGTTATGCCTCAATTTGAACACCAATTTGGCCCCATCTCTGCGACGGTCCAGGGATTGTTTGTTTCCTGTGAGGCAGATGCTAGGCTGTGTCCTAAAAGAAGTGTCCTCACACTACTGCAGCGATCATCGCAACCGCTGCGCTTTCCTCGTTGTTCTCAGGCACGCTCTCGGACCGGATCTCGCGTACGTACACGATCTCACTGGGAGCGTTCCTCTTTTCCGTGGGCTGCGCTATCGCATGCTCAGCGACGAGCCTGGCCCAGCTCTTTTGCGGCCGGTGCATCACCGGCTTCGGGCAAGGTGTCTTCATATCTAGCATCACTGTCTATGTGATGGAGATTTCACCGACCTCAAAACGGGGGCGGACGATGACCACTGTTCAATTGTTTAATGTCATCGGGGTTGCATCAGGTCGGAGGCTTCTCTCCGCCCACCTCTCACTGTCCTGATTGACACACAGGCTACTTCACGTGCTTCGGGACGGTCAAGCGCGCAGGCAGTTTCTCTTGGAGGTTCCCCATAGCCCTGCAAGCGGTGGTGGCGATGACTCTCGCCATCGGGACGCCCTTTCTCGCTCATTCGCCGCACTGGCTCCTGCACGTGGGTCGTGCGCTCGAAGCCGAGGCCGCGGCGTCCAAGTTTGGGCTCCAGTTTAGCGAAGTGAGGAGGGACGAGGCTGCAGCTGGCGGCCCAGCTACCGATATCAGCAAGTTGTCTCTGGTGGGCCAGGCCAAACAGCTGTGGGCGCGGGACGTGCGATTCCGCACTCTGTTCGCCCTCTTCTTGATGGGCATGCAACAGGCTTGCGGGATCGACGCTGTGCTCTACGTTCGTTGCAATCTTCTTGAAATAATGACATGACTGACGAGAAAGTTGCTGCATAGTATGCACCGGTGCTCTTCCAGCAAGCTGGCCTCTCGTCGGCGTCTGCATCCTTCCTTGCCTCGGGCGTCTCGGGAGTTCTGATGGTGGTCTTCACCGCTGGGTCGCAGGTCTTCCAAGATAAATGTGAGATGATGTGTTTGTTGTCTGTACCGAGAGCCCCCTTTTTGAACATTATGCAGGGTCGCGGCGGACTCAAATGATTGGAGGAGGGTCGGTTATCGGTGGATGCATGCTGATCATGGGGATCCTGTATGCCACGAACGGAGCCCAGACCACCGCGGGCAAACACACGCTGATGGCTCTCATTTACATCTTCATCGCCGCGTTCATATCCACCTGGGCCGTCGTCATCCGCGTGATCGCGAGCGAGATGCAGCCGAAACGGACACGTGCACCAGCGACGAGTCTCGCGCAGTGCTTTTCGTGGGTCGTGAACTGGATCATCGCGTTCTCTACGCCGCTCTTCCTCAACCGCAGCAGCTCTGGCCCGTATTTCATGTTCGGCTGCTGTGCGCTGCTCACCGTCATCGTGTGCACCATGTTCCAGCCAGAAACGAAGGGGATCAGCTTGGAAGCCCTCGATCAAGGATTCACGGATACCAAAGTGCAGGCTGCGATGAAAAAGTTCTTTCGGTCGAAGCCTGAGCAAGGCCAGTCCACCGCCGTAGAGCTATGAACGTAAAGGTAGCAGCAGGACACAATCAGATTGCAATTGAATCGACATCTTCATCATACGATAAGATCGCATCCTCCATCTAACTCTCTACCGCAGCCGACTCCGCGATAGAGACCTGGAAGTTGGAGCAAGCCGTCGGGAACCCACGGACAAGACTAAATGCGCGCATTTATCCGTGGTTTTATCTGAGCTGTCCGGCCACCTGGTCGATTTAAAAATCCCGGCCCTTTCTCGGTATCCACCTCCTCTAGCTTGCCACCCAACGAAGGAAATCCCATCAACCACGCGCGCGCTATCGAAGCTGGCGGAACCGCAAGCGGCGGTCCGGTTGAGATGGTAACCCTGTGCAGCCTGCCCTGCTGCTCGTCGCAGATGATGCCCCGAAGATAACCACGTGCGATGAAACCCACCCCCAATTCAATCGGCGACCCTGGCGGTCGAACAGTTTATCTCTGTCTCAGAGCTAGAAAGAGACAGAGAAATCAGAGGTTTGGAGATCCGAGTGGGCAGCGGCTAGATGATTCCTTCCTAGGTTTCTCTCTCCGTGTATCTGAGGCACGCATTTGGCTTGCAACGACGTATGACCAGCCAGCCGGGCTTGGCCGATCCTCCATCAATGTTCTCGAGCTCGGCTACGGAGATCGAAGTCAACTTGAAGGAAAGAACCTTTCTGCCTCCGCACGCGCATGGAGGCAAATATATATGTAGGCCACAGGACCGGCGCATACATCCCAAGGAACTCGTCCCCCTAGGCCTGCTCCAGAGATGCGCTTGCTCACGTCCATCCTCGCGTTCCTGAGCGTGTTCTCGCTCGCTAGCTTGGCAAGCTACACCAACCCGATCCGCCGACCCGGCGGGTCCGATCCGTTCATGGTGTACTCGGGCGGGTACTACTACCTGCTCACCACGTCGTGGACGGACGTCGAGATCGCGCGCGCCACGACGGTCACCGGGCTGAAGACCGCGGCGAAGAAGGTGGTGTACTCGACCGGCACGGCGAGTCGCTGCTGCAACGTCTGGAGCCCGGAGGCGCACTACCTCGGCGGCCGCTGGTATATCTACTACACCGCGGGCGACTCGTCCGGCACCGGCAACCAGCGCCTGCACGTTCTGCGCGGTGAGTGATCTCGATGATGGAGATAGTTCACAGTGGCTGATGCTGCCTTGCAGGTGGCGCCTCTGCCTGGGACGCATACACCTACGTCAACCAGCTGACGCAGGAATGGAGTATCGACGCGTCCGTTCTGCGGTTCGCCAACTCGGGCCCGTACCTGATGTTTTCGTGCTTCCACGGCGGCGCGCCGCAGTCGATCTGCATCCAGACACTGGGCAGCGACTTCGTGTCGCTCACAGGCTCCATCTCCGTCATCTCGCAGCCGACCCAGGCGTGGGAAACACATGGGCTGGCCGTCAACGAGGCGCCGACCGCGCTGTACTTCGGCGGCAAGACGATGATCGTGTTCTCCGCGTCGTACTGCTGGACGCAGTACTACTGCCTCGGCACGCTGACTTGGGACGGCCACACCGCGCCGACCTCGCCGTCCGCGTGGACCAAGTCCAACGGCTGCCAGTTCTCCAGCGCCAACGGAAACTACGGCCCCGGGTCCAACTCGTTCTTCACGAGCCCCGACGGGTCGACGATATTCAACGCCTTCCATGCGACCAGCAACAGCGCCGGGGCCTGCGACGATTCCAGATACCTGATGATTCAGGAAGTCGGTACTCACAGCAATGGGGCGCCCGACTTTGGCTCCCCCGCGGCATTTTCGCACGTTTTCAGCGATCCCCAGTAGTTACGATTCGCAGTCGAATTCTGTTAGTATTTCCAAATCAATAATTCAAGTCACGAATGGAAAAAAAATGATTCCACTGTCGTCAGACCACAGACATCCTCGAGTGTACCAGACGATTGATGTGAACGATAATATTGTTTATACAAACATGTAGCACGACAGCAATGGATGGTATTTATCCTCAAATATCTGCTAGAAAACGTTGTCCGAGGTTGTGTGAGCAAGAAAACAATTGAGTAGTAACTAATAGCCGGGCCAAGCCTAACTAATTCCGCCTGCAGCAACGGAAGAGATTGCGCTTGAAGAAGTAAAACAAGCACTGCACAGCCATCAGATTAGCGCAGAGAGAGATGAGAGACGACTACTCACTCCAATGAACCGCACGAGCGACAGGAAGAAAGTCGAGTAGAGGATGATAGAGAAGTAGATGTTCTGCTTCTTCTGCAGAGCCTGCTCGTTCGCCGCTTCACTAGAGCTGGCCAGCCCGTTCAGGTTTTCTACGGCAATCGCGAGCGCCGCATTCGACAACATCCACGCAGCAACAAGACGCGTCCGGAATGTTTCTGTGCAAAGAACAGATCAGGCGCTTCCGAGCACGTGCGAGAGAAGGAGACGCACTATTTTCGTCATCCATGGTAGGTTTTTCAACGGCCTCCACCGTGTCAACCTTGGTAATCGCTCGCGTAACCGTCTCTTTGAAGGCGGCATCGACATCCTCGGGCTTGTGGACCGTGTCCTCCACAATCGCCGTCTCCGAGTCTTGCTTTTTGGAGTTCACAGACGGCAAGACCTCAGCTTTGTCGCTTCCTTTGGTACCCCACGAGACATCGTGCAAGTTACAGAACGCATAGACGTTGAGGACGTTGATGAAACTCGGGGCCAGCACTGGATGTGTCAAATCAGCGCATGTAAAAAACATATCGAAAGACTACGCACAAAGGTACGGAAGGAAGGACGTGAACAGATGCCAAGGATCGCGCTAGCAGGCAGCCAATCAGTTAGATGTGGATCGAAAGGCACCAAGTAGGTTCTTACGTAGAGGAAAGACGCAGCACAATAGATTCCAAACGTGGACACCATCGCAGCAATCAAAGCACCAACGGGCGGCTTGAAGAACGTCGCAATGACCTGAGCAGACGTCTTGTTTTGCAATTCTTTCGGGATGGCCTGGTCAAAAGTGTCAAACCGGAAGGCAACACAAGCCAGGAGACAGCCACGTACCGCAAAGGCCTTGCCAGTCAACCAGAAGGAGCAGATGAGCAAGTACAGCGCAAGGAAGGCATACACCCAGAGGGTGATAGTATATGCTGCCCGTTCACCCTTTGGCCTATTACCCAGCGCGAGCACGAACTGCAACGCAAGGAAGGACAAGTAGAGCCACTTGAAACCGTTATTGACCCAGTGGGTCTGATGAGGAACATCTGAGTCGCCATGCACATAGAAATCACATAAGAGACCACTTACGACACTGGCCGTTCCAAAGATGATGATGCTCTGAGTCGGGAGAAGATCGATAATGATACTGAACGTAAGCCACAGGTTGGCGAGTTGGAACCAAGTGAAGAGGAGGTTGAAAACGTTGTAGAGAGCCTGCAGATGGAGGAAGAACATCCGGATGATCCCATGGCCAGTCCTGTAGAAAGCGAAGAAGTTGACGAGGGAGTACACGGAAGCCGCGAAAGATCCGTTGAGCCAACGACGGCGTTGACCGATCAATTCCACCGCTTGCTCCGGAACATCGGTTTCCGCTTTGCTGGGTTTGACATAGGTGAGAACCCAGCGATCGCCGGCCTTGGCGACGAGCTCAAAGCACAGAATACGATCCTCGGCCAAGAACATGTTCTTCGTGAAGATATTCATTCCATAGATACCTATCCAAAGTGAGTGTGTGGCACGGTTGAAGAAGGCAAAATACCCTTGGGTCCGAGACGATCTGCCAATGAATGATCTCCATGGAAGTATTGCTCAAGCGGTCGTCCAAGAATGGCCCGATAACGATAAGCGGAGAAGGCACCAGGAAGCACGGACACATATCCGAAACTGCTTTCCAGTGGCTTGTCTGGATAATCATGAGCTCTGAGCTAAAACAGGCAAGAACTGACGTACCCAAGATGTTACTCATCTTGTACTCGAAGTTCTGAGCCGCGACTAGAGGGTTCAGGAGCTTCCTTCCACCCTTGATCATGGCATGAATCTCTCCGCAGCAACCGCCAAGGTTAGGGTCGTTATAGAACGCCTCCCAAAGGTAATAGATTGACTTGTGTCCGGGCTTGGTTCCCGCATCGATCAGCACACATGTCTCTGGCTGCGTCCAGTCCGTGAGCCCGCGAGGTAACCTGCAAGATCTGAAGACGCACCACGAGCATCTTTCCGATAGCATTGAATAGCCATCGGTGGGAGTTAATCTTCTTTTGATTCTTCGCCTTCAGAACGAAAATGATCTGGACGGGGACAAGGTTGTTCGCATCCCCAGGTTGCGGCAGAACAAGCTGGGGTGTGGCGTCGATGGAAAGCTGGGTTGTGTACTCGAAGATGTGAGCAACAGTCTGTTTGCCATCGACATCCTTCTTCATGACACCATCCTGGTACACGCCTGAGGCACGTGTCAGATCTCCACAACACTGAATCTGAACGATCCTACTCACCAACGGTAGCGAGGATATCGAGGACGGACTTGTCCATAGGTTCTGCAGACTGTTTGACCACGACGACTATCAAAGAAACGGTTCACTCACCCAAACCGTCAACGATCAGAGCCACGGTGATTTTCTGCCATCCAGGGTTACCCTCCTCGGCTTGCCGACGCCAGAACTTGGACTGTTTCGTTCTGCAAATGTCGCGGATGTTCAACATGACGCCATGCAGGGTGCGAGCGTAAAGAGTCTTGTCTTCATTGTAGGAGGTGACAGCGATCAGAATCTCGGTCTGGCGATTGTACATCTGCGGGAAGGTTGGCATGGGGGTCTAAAAGGGGATACTCCACCCGACTTTGGTGCGCAGCGAGTAGCCATTTGCCTCCGTGAAATCGTCCGGATCGTCGGTCGATGCTGGGTAGAAGATGAGCCACGATGACTGAAGTTTGGCGGTGCTAGCACAGACCAGTGTATCGCATGTGGCTGCGGTGCGTCAATGAGTTGGATGTCACCGTGAACATAAGCTACGTACGAGAACTCCGTCGTGTTCGTCTGACGGTATTGAGGCTCAATGGCGCTGTGCACCGCGGTGGGGACATTGTACTCGGCGATGAACTTGCCGTTCGTCAGTTTGACCTTACGGGTAACACCACGGTCGCGCTTGATGGTTTGCCGACGGCGCCAGCCACTCTCAACCCATTGGTAGAAGTAGAGACAACAGAGGCAGGGCGAGCGTAGGGGTCGCCGTACGCGTTGGGATCAATAGGGCTGAGCAATGAGCGGAAGCGACGAGCGTTCGACGCGACTGACATACCCAGGAGGATACAGGCCACCGACGAAATCTCCGCCAGCGAGAGGTTGCTTCTCCACATATTCGTCGTCATCATCGTACTCGTCGTTGTCAAAGTGCTGAGGAAGAGTGGAGGTGCTGTCGTAAGGTCGCGGGGAACGATATGGGCCCGGCTCAGCGAATTGAGAATGGAGACCTGCCTGTCGTCGTCGGCGAACGGGTCACCGTAAGACGGGTTGGCCGAAGGCAGGGGTGGACGGTCCATTGGAGTGTGAAGGAAGAAAGGAAGAGTAGAATTACCTACTCCACGTTGTCAGACTCTTATTTGGACGCGCCGCGAAGGATCGTTGGGACGGTCACAGCCTCGCTGATGGCACTGCTCTGCAGCGCCATCAATGAAGTGATTCTCACATTGCACATGCATCGGGTGGAGAAGCCGGGGTCCGGAATTCTCTCTCGACCATGTCTGTCATATTATACCGGCAAGTTTTACGAGTTATCGTCTTGGCGAAAGGCCCTAATCTCGGCGGGCAGCTACGATGCTTCGCCATTCAGTGTCAAGGTCAGTGTCGTGGCGATACGCGGCAATCGTCTACATAACCCGTTCAGGTCGACCATATACTACTCCTCAAGGGAATCCATCATGCCACCGTCAACGTACGCCAACCTTTCACATCTCCGGACAGGAGCACTGAGGGCTATGTCCGTGCTGTGTTAGGTGGCCAGTATTCTGCCGCGACCTGAAATCACCGACCTCTTGGGCCTCAACTACCGTCGGATCCCCATCCTTGCTATCGGCAACGACATTTACATTGACACAAGGTCAGTCTCTCCACTCTGAGTACCCGGTGCTGACGATCCCGTAAAGCCTCATCAGCGTTGCTTTGGAACGCCGGTTCCCCGTCGCCCAGGGCTTTGGAACACTCTTTCCAAAGGGTAAACAGGGCCAGCCCCCGCATACAGGCCTCATCAAGGTTGTTTTCCGTCGGAAAAGAGTCACTCAGCGGTCTTGAATACTCACTTCAGGCCTTCGCGAAGCATTGGGCGGACACAGTCTTGTTCTCACTAGCTCCAGCACTTCTGAATTGGTCCAAGTTTCCAGCTGCTTTTGTCAAGGACAGAAGCGCGGTATGAAATATCGCATGCATCAGATCGCAGTGCTCATCATTGGCAGCTTTCTGGCGCACCCATCAATGTGCAAGCCATTACGGCTTCGCGAGAGAAAGCCATCTCTCTTCTATCTACCCAGCTGGTAATTTCTCGTACCGACCATGCTTCTAGCAGCTGATCAAAACACTTTCCAGAGTCTCGTTGAGGAACAAGTGAGTAGAAACCGGACATCTAGAATGCAACTTGATTTGTTACCAGCTATCCGATGGGCGCGAATGGTTATTTGACTCGGAAGGTCCCTCTTTAGCCGACGTTTCTGTCAACTTTGTCTATGCCTGGGTCCAAACGTTCCGCGGGGTTGAATCTCTCTTTGACCCTTCGACCTTCCCCAAGTCGCTAGCAGTATGTATCTCGCCCCAGCCATTATTGCACAACTAAAAATATCTTAGTGGCTTTCGAGAATGGCGGCTTACCTCGGCCATCTCAAGAAGGTCCAGCCGCAGTCCGCAGTCATTTCAGGTGCTGATGCTGCCGCTAAAATCGCTTCCGAGTCCTTTGAAGCCTATTCCGTGGTGGGCTTCGATCAGCGTGAGGCCAAGCGCTTGGGGCTAACGGTCGGGGATCGCGTCTCTGTTGCCCCTGACGATTCAGGGCGAAACTTTCCCACTGAAGGAACACTGGTGGCACTCAATCGTGAAGAGTTGATATTGGAAGTTCAGGGTCAAGTCGGCACTTTCAGATGCCACTTTCCTCGAGTGATGTTTACCGCTAAAGTCGTATCCAAGTCAGAGCACAAGTTGTAAATGATAAAATAGCACGCGTCCATCAGCTGAATATATCACGTGATCGCGAAGGGTCTCTCTTCATCACTTGCTACTCTTCTACGATATGAGCCTTCTCGTTCACGCGTACAAGCTGCGACCGATATCGAAGGAGGCGACTGAACTGGCCATGCGCATTATAACAGCACACCCCAGCGGGTTGAACACAAGAGAGATTTTCAAGCTGGGACTAAAAGCGCACCCTCCCGTGGAACATGCTCCAGAACCGACTCTTCCATTTCGTTCACGTTCGGGCAGAATCGGACTGCCAGTTCCGACAGCTATCGACCACCCGTTCCGCTCAGTACGGTAAGTAGGCGATTCGTGAAATACATTTCTCCCAACGTAATTCCCATGCAGGTATCTCAAATCGAGAATTTTGGATGATCTTGAAAAACAGCAGGCCATCCAAAAGAGGCTTGTTCCGGTGCCCGTTACTGAGCTGGAGGGTGAAGAATTGAAGCGTGTGCTAGGCTCTGGTGCCCAATCCCAAGGAGTCGATGGGATCACTCAGGTTCGAGTCCACCGATGGGTCTTACCATTGCCAGAACGGGCCCCGCCGCCACATCGGGATCTGAGCCACAGCACCTGGCAGAAGGAGACCAAGTAAGCCACATTGCATATGCGAATTACGATGGATTATATAGAGCAATTGTCGCTCCAATCTATTAATGATTTCTGCTATATATGTCGCCACAACGACGTTCGAATGCTTCCACCATAAGCTTTGAGACTTGCCCGAAGAAAGAGGATGATACAGCAGCGTGGATGGGACTTGCAAATTCATACGCGAGATCCAAACGAACCAAGGTTGCGTGCGGCGATTCGCTCGGTGCTGGCGCAAAGCGCCAGGTAGTTTTCAACTCTTTGAATAGTGGGGTTGCGGACGACGCGACTGCCTGCGGAGGAATCGAGCGGAATGAATGGGATCGAGATGATGGAACGCACCTCCACGGACTCGAGCGGCACACAAGTGACCCTGCTCACATAGCTTTCCTTAAGAGCAAGGAACTGCACAGTCAACTCTGCTTCTAACACAAGCGGTGTCCCTTTCGAGCGGTTAAGGATTGTTGACGAGGTGCAGAACGGAATGAAGTGTCGATAGGAAGAAACGTCGGAAACGACGTCATAGAGTTGAGCACGCGTGTAACTTTTGGAAACCTTAGTTTCGAGCGTTGAGTTGACCGAGTGCACAGACGCACGGAAGCACTTTCTGTTCCTGATAGGTTTGTCGACTCGTTCCGCCAGGGAGAATAGTCGAGAGGTCGGGTAAGGAGAAAAGGTGCCTTTTCGGGCTGCGTGTTGCTTCAATCCTTGAGACCGACGCTCGAGCTACCCGCAACATGACGGGGATAGTCGAGCAAGCAGTCGCATCAAACCCCTCGGTGATTCGGACCTACGTTCGATCACTGGGGCAACTGGATGATTTCAAAGCACAGGCAACATAAATCTTTGAGATATCGTTCTCGAAAATAGATACTTGAGTAAATAACAAGAAGTCAAAGGTCAAGCATTACAAGGAGACATGTCAGTAAGTGTAATGTCACCAATGGATACAAATGCACAGGCTTCATGCCGCATACACATTTTCAGGACACTCTCTCGCAATCTGTTCAGCGTTTTCAGTTCGTGAAGCGGATTCGAGATGACAGGACGTACGTGGCCTTCTTGGTGACACTTGTAACAGGTTTTCTTCGGGCCTGGCGCCAGGTCGTTGCTGGCAGGAGCGAGACAGTCTCTACGAGTTGCTCAAAACGAAGGAACGGACACGTGAAATGTGGCTTCCTACTTCGCCATATGGTTAGGGCCTCCGCATCGGTAGCATTTCACAGAACGAAATACGTCTGTGTTTAAAGCCCGGCCGGGGGGAGGAGGGCGGAAAAATCCGGTGGAAGTTCCGCTGCACATCCTGGCTATGTGGCCGAAGCGTCCACAATTCTGAGTTGGGAGATGATCAGCCTTCTCCGCAGTAGACACGCACAACGGGTCTCACGTAGCACTTCTGACCAGACTGAATTCTCAAACTGGGGCATTCGGCTGGAGTGTATGGCGTCCTTGAGTGCCATGAGATAGAGTGTCGATCTACCGACCTTGTATGTGTCCGACTCCGCCGCAAGAGTAGCACTGCTTAGCAGAGACCGAACGAGGTGACGGACAAGCAGAAGATTCGTGACCAGGCTGGCGACAATTATAGCAGAGACGTTGCTCCGAAGAGCAGCTCTCGGCAATATGCCCCACTTGTGAAAAGGGTAGTCTGAGAACAGGACGGAACGCGCAATGATCTGCGGGTTGGACTCACAATTCCCACACTTGAAGCACCCTTTCCTGCTGAACTGGTACGCCATGCTCGAAGCTCTTCTATTTCCTACGAAGAAGAGTGCAAATGTTATCCTTGAGTCACCCAGCACCCCTCCTTCTCTGCCTCCTCGATATATCTAAGCGAGTGACGGCCTTGACGTGAAGGTTCAGTTGAAGATGGTTGGCGTAGCGCGTGATCATGCTGAGGTAAAGCAGCAGGCTATGATGTCATGCCAGGACTTGAAGGTATTTGCGGGTGGGGCAGAAACGTAGATGTTGCATGTTCGAAAATCCGCAGCTGAATTGTGCATGGTAATATACTAGCGTTACACGACATCGGAGAACCAGTCCGCCAGTCGAGTCTGGGTGTCCTTGACCTTGTCCTTCATAGCTGCCAGTGCATTCTGCTTACATTTCTTGTGCATCCATCCCCATTCGCTCAAATCTACGGGAGGGATGGAGCCCTCAATCATTGTTTGAAGGATACTCTCCCCGAGCATCAGCTTTCCTATCAAGTCACAACTCTGCATCCTGGGCAAAACTTGCCCCGATAGCCCCGGTTCGCCTCCGTTGCTCGTCAAAATAAACTTCCACAAGGCAGCAAACGCAGCTTTGCACTGTCCCTTGCCCATGCACTGGAGGTCGTGATTGATTTGTGGCGGTGAATCGGGCAGATCTTCGCTGGCTCTGACAAGATTGTAATGCCCTGAGAGGAGCCGGATCCGCTGTCTGGCTGTTAACTGCGCATCAGCGTCCCAGTAGTCGCGACCCTTGAGCATCATGTAGTAGTAGGCCAGACCCAGCAGCGATCTGAGATCTAGTTGCTCTGCAACGTTGATCGCAGCAGCCAAAGCCTTGCCCCCAATCAGAAGTTTCTTCCACTGGGCCGTAGCAGCATCCAATAGCTCTTTGCTGTCGCACAGTGTCGACAACTCCGTTATCCGCACCAGATTTTCGACAGACACCAGGGAATTCGGAGATGCGGTGGCGTGGAAATGAATTAATGTAGTAAGAGCCCACAACTCCGTGGTACGGAATTGATACTTGTGTGCCATGCGAGTTAGGTTGATGAAATGCGTTTCGTTGGCTGGGATCGACATCGCTATTTTGATTTCGTGCGGTCTACACGTGAACCTTTCAGAAACCTCAATGCAACGCGACAGAAAAAGACGAATTACAATGCATATAACGCCCACAGAAGAGATGCAAACTCCTCCGCCGTATCCCCTTGGACGTGTATTGGACGTTCGTCGCTCTGTCCTTCGACTGGTCCTGGATCTGCGTGGAGCTCCGCCAGTGCGTCCGTGCTTCGCGTGCATGAGCCCAATGAGAACATGGCCTCAAACGCCGACTTGTCTCTCGTCAGCATCGAGCGATGAACCTTCAGGTTCGATCATTGAACAGCGCATTAGGGCTCGAGATATCGCGCCTTGAAAAGTGTGTCCTCAACTCTCAAGATCACGTTTCCGTCATCGATATAATACTGCAGATGTCGAACAGCGGCATTATGCGGTTGCTCGTGAGAGGAGCTTTCCATGAGGATCTACGAGTAGTAGTCGCCACGTTGCGGCAGATGGCGGTCCGGGTTTGATAAGGACAATCAGCCAACAAATCACGATCACGTACTTATCATTCACCATGTTCGCGTGCAAAGTGGCGTCAATTCTCTGAAGGATGACGGAAGCCCTGGACCCTTCTGCGCACAACTTTGACTATGTGGACCAACTTTCGAAAATGGCGCTCCATGGCTTGGCCGAGCGCACGGACTCGGTGTTTCATGCGATATCATGCAGGCGATGGCGGTTATCTCAGGGCTAATTCCGGCGGAGGATGAGTAAGCCTAAACGTGGAAATTGTCAGCAACTGGCCGGGGCGTAGCCAGCGGCACACCGGCTCTCTTCTTGACTCCCTACTCAACACAGAATGAAACCAGAGGCTATCGACCTCTCGCACCACCTCTCCGATGTCGCCAAAGCGCGTCAGCCCTCTCCGTTGAAGGGGTTGATGAAGTATATCACTCGCCCCGACATTATCTCGCTCGCAGGGGGTATGAGTTGCAGTCTCGTGTGCCGTTGAATGCTATCGCTTATTCGAATACAGGTCTTCCCAGCCCAGCCTACTTTCCTTTTGCCGACATCTCCGCGACTGTTTTGGCGCCGGAGTCGTTTCCCCTCGAAGTGACTGAGGAGTCCTCCGCCTTCTCATGGTTGTGGAAGCTCTTTGGGTCCGATAAGGACAAGACCTCGGCGATAACTATTCCCAAGTACCAGTGTCTCCAGGGGATATTAACCTTGCGACTGTGAGTAGTTCCTTGAGCGCGTATAACTCGCTGACATGGATGCTAGGCGCTTCAATACGGTAGGATCAGTCATTATCACAGTCCTTTCATGCCTCTGATAAGTGCAAGGCATGGCTGGTGGACTGCCTCAACTGCAGAACGTGGTCAACGAGTTTCTGCTCGCGTCTACCAGCCGGCGTACTCCAATTACGCGACGCTGATGAACACAGGGAGCACAGATGGCTGGAGCAAAGTCGTTCAAACCTTGTGCAACCCGGGAGAGGGTGTTCTTGTTAGCAAATGGACTTACCCGAGGTGAGCTGGTTCGTGCCCGAACGACTATCGTGCTGACTTCCATGCAGTGCCATGGCGGCAATGCTGCCCTACGGCATCAGCCCAGTCGCCGTCGATATCGACGGAGAAGGAATGCGGGCTGATTCGCTCCGTGATATGTTGGCTGGTTGGGACGAAGCTGCTCAAGGCATGCCCAGGTGCGCTTCTGAATCATCCCTATGTCGTCTCATCTGAGCCACGTTCATAGGCCACGCGTGATTTACGCAGTGCCCATCGGTGAGAACCCAACTGGAATTGTGCACCCGCTCGCTCTAACATGCGAGGCACTTGCTCACACATCCTGCAGACCACTCGTTTGGCCCGCAAGAAGGAGATCTACCAAATCTGCGTTGATTTTGGTAAGAGCTCAAGTGACATGTCTCACATTTACTCATGCTTGTGATTCAGATATGTTCGTGCTGGTCATCATCGGAAACTAACTGACCGCTCATTATATTGTATTCTACAGCGTTCTGGTGCGTATTAAAACCCGGCGATATGATGCGTTGTTCACGAAGTTTCAGGTTGAGGATGATCCCTACTTCGTCCTGCAAGAAGGAGAGTATGTGCCCAAGGCGCAGCGCAAGGCTCCGCCAGTGTACTCGAATGATGATGAGTTCATCGCTCCCTCGAGCCCAGTTATCTGAAGTACGTGACACGCATTTTTGCGCTTTCATGCGACTAATAACATCCAGGCTGGACTACCAGGGCCGAGTCATCCGATTGGACACCTTCTCCAAGGTCAGTCCATGCGTCGCGTCTCGCCCATGTCATCTCATCTCAAGCTTAGACCATCGCGCCTGGCTGCCGGCTGGGCTGGTTCACGGCCCAACCCCTGTTTATTGAACGTCTTGAGCGGGTTTCTGAGACGTCGACCCAAGCGCCTTGCGGCATTGGCCAGGTAAGAACGGGACAGCCGACTTTGGGTCCATAGGTGGCTCATCCATGTGTTAGGCTGTTGTGACCTCGCTTATGATGCAATGGGGATATGATGGCTTCCTTAGGTGGCTGAAAGGTGCGTCTCGGCACACCCTGATGAGAAGGTATTTACCCTCTTGAAAGGGATTCGGATGCAATACACCCTGCGTCGCGACTTTTTCGTAGATTGTCTCGCCGAAGAATTCCTTCTTGCACCGACTTATGCTGCGACCGGTGAAATGGCCGGATCTCGAGTGTTGAATGCCTATGTCAAACCCACCCGGCGCATCACCGACTACTTCAATGAGAAGGCTCCTCTGTCCGATGCACTTTTCTCTTTTGCCCCGCCCACCTCGGGCATGTTTGTTTGGGTAGCATATCTTGCACACGGGGCGAATCCAAGCTGATCTTGTTCTTAGCTCAAGGTTCATTTTGATCAGCACCCTTCCTTCGCCAAATTTGGCGAAGAGACACTGGAGATGCAACTTTGGATAGGTCAGTCCACCTTGAATGTCATGTATGCATCCTTTGCTGATCCGAGATATTTACAGCTTTGGCTGATGCCGGCCTTCTCCTGGGACCGGGAGCCATGTTCTCTCCCAAAGGTGATTGGACCTCGACCCAGTCTGGACATTTCCGCATCAGCTTCAGCTTCAACTCGGTAAGTCATCTCCATTACGTGCCGGCGAGCGACCTGATTGGGGACTTGTCCAGAACGAGGAATTCAAGCGCGCCGTCGCCATCTTCGGGGCTACCATTCGGAAATTTATGGGCCAGTAGATCTACAGTACAACATATTAGAACTTCCATTCATTATCAACGTTCATTTGCTCTGCGTTTCTTTCGCGAATGTCGCCGCGACCAACATCGGAAAGACAAGTGTCGCGTCCGCAAAGACCTGGAAATATTCAGCTACGGCCCTTGGTCAGTGGGCAGCTCCAAACCTTGACAGCTTCGGCTCCAGCTCGTATTTTACCCCACGAAACTGCTTCATCAGGGCGAGCACCTGAATCTGATCCGTCAAATTCTTGGCCAGTATTCTATAACTGATTGTTCAATATACCGATCCCAAGAAACGCGAGAAACTGACGATGAAAACAGAATAGTCCGCTCCATTGCGCTGGGATAGTCAGCAGCGGCTAGTCTGGGTGTAGGTGGACTCACAATGAGCATCGCATTGGCGATCTGGTGTTTGCAGACACCGCCTCCAAGCACAATCATCCCTGCCTTCTTTGATCTCCTCGAATGCTCGTTCAAGTCTCGGATGTCTTGCACGATATCTAGGATCAAGCCAGGGGATCGGAAGGAGTGAAAGTAGATCATGTCTCCGATGGATCCGTCCGTCAAAGCCGGACAATAGACAGGAATGTTATTCTGAGTGAATCATCTCAGGCAAGGACGATGAGATGGGAAATGCATTCTATTCACTTTATAGGCCCAGTAATACACAGACTCCTCGTTGTTTATCTCTTTCCCTAGCCGTCGGATAAATGAACTGGGAGTCCATACTTGCCCCGTTTCTTTCTGTTCCGCCAGCATAGCATCGAGGATCGGAGTCAGCCAGTCTTCAAACTTGCAGTAGTTGTCATTCGGAACGATGAGATTGCCGATGCGATTCATCCCACGTTTGCGCAAGTCGGCGCCGTCAAGATTGAAGTCGGCCAAGTATGTTTTCCCCAGACATTTGATAAAATCTTCCTCGATTCCGCCTGCTGTCGTTACAAGAACCGAGACCTGTTTGTGCTTGACAAGATGGAGAATGACTTCGCGGAGACCAGAGGATATGAGATTGGACGTATATCCCAGGAAAACGTTACAGCGCGTCTGAGCACGGACGGCTGGATCAAGGTATTCGTCGGACTCGTCAGGAGCGACGGGATCGTCAGACAACCTCCAAGCACGCTGAGAACCAATAAAGTAAGGGAGCGCTTCATCGTTACATGGCGTACCATCCGATTCACAATCTCGATCGCCTTCCCCAAGCTTGTGGCCTGGAATCCGATGCGTTCATAGCTTTGAAGAAACGCCTGAAGTGAGAGCGATGATTCAAGGTTGGGGCCAACGACAGATACCGCAGAGTCGGGAACTGGAGCCGACGGCAGCAAAACCGCTGCTGATGCGCCTATCGGCACTGTGGGGGTAGTCATCGGACAGAAAAAACACGGCAAAAACCAAAGTACGCGAGTGCGTGACGGGTAACTGTACCGTGACGCTGTGCGGCACCGTGCGTAAGCGGGAGAAATTGATTTCTAGACTGCCGTGAGCTAGCTGTAAGTGTTCCCATCCAACCATGGAGGACGGGCCCATCGCCACCCCTCCTCTATCCACTTCTCTGCCAGAGGAAGACGCTGCTCCACGATCCGTCGACACATCGCTAGTCGAGGAGGAGACTCCGGTTGTAGAGCTACCTTTGGATAATTCGACACCGCAGTCACAGGAGGAAGCTCTCGAGCAACGCGACCCGTCCCCCCCGCCAGTGACTGCCTCAGAGGAAATATCAGCGCCGGAGGAGCATTCTCAAGACGTGGAAGTTCCGGACGCGTCCCAACCAGAGATACCTCTCGAGACACCCGGCATCCCGCCCACCCCTCCTACGAAGCCTGTCACTCATCCTATCGCCGCGAATGGCTCCGCAGTCGAGCCATCTACTCCTGGCGCTGAATCCCAACGACCGTCTTTGACTATCTCGAGAGCGAACAATGTTTCTGTGGTGTTGATCACCTCCGCGCTGGAAACCATTGCTGCTTCGAAGGAGGCCAAACGATCGGGTCCTCTCCGGGACAGCACCTCCCGGGCGCTTGAGCTTGTTAGGGCGAATCAGGGTGGTGACCATCCGCAGGAGGTGTTCGAGCCTCTCCGTTTGGCTTGCGAAACCAGAAACGAGAAGCTTATGATCGCTAGCTTGGACTGCATTTCAAAGCTCATCTCATATTCCTTCTTCGCAGAGAGTACGCCGCCTGGATCTCATGGACTTCCCTCCCCGCCTCCCTCGCCCAATCCTACTCGACGGACCTCAGTAAACGACTCTACTGAAAACCTGCATCCCCCGTCCCTGGTCGACCTTGTCGCCAGCACAATCGCGTCTTGTCACACGGAAACCACACCAGAAACCGTCTCTCTACAAATAGTCAAGGCTTTGCTCTCGTTGGTCCTATCTCCGACCATCTTGGTGCACCAGTCGTCCTTGCTCAAGGCAGTCCGCACTGTCTACAACGTTTTTCTTCTGAGCTCGGACCCCGTCAACCAAATGGTGGCCCAAGGCGGTCTTACGCAAATGGTGCATCACGTCTTCACGCGCTGTAGCGTGAGCGCGACTGTGCATTCGTCTGATTCGACGCGGTCTACGGCGAGCAGCACCCTCGCCGAAAGCTCCGAGTCTTCCACGCAGCTCAGTGTCCCGGAGGATACCAAGCCCGAGACAAGACCGGACGATGTCGAAGCCGAAATAGATCAGCCGGTGCAGAGCAATAGCAACGGGGCGAATGGTCACCATGATGACCATCCCGAATCGCCCACTGACAGGTATTCTGACGCTATCACCCGACTTCATCTATACTTACATGCGCTTGGTCCAGCCATTCCTTACCTGATTCGGCACGGCACGAGCTGACGATGAATGACCTGTTCATCAAAGACGCCTTCCTTGTTTTCCGGGCATTGTGTAAGCTGACTATGAAGCCTCTGAACCCAGAGAGGTGCGCTTTTTCACGTGACATTGAACTACGAACTCAGTGCTTCCAGTGAACGAGACATCAAGTCTCATGGGATGCGGTCCAAACTCCTTTCTCTCCATCTTGTTCTGACGATCTTGAATTCACATATGCCTCTTTTCGTCGATCCTGCCGCCATCATCCACTCCAACACGTCTCACGAGTCGACAACTCTGGTGCAGGCCATCAACCAGTACCTCTGTCTCAGTCTCAGCAACAACGCCGTCAGTCCTGTACCCCAAGTGTTCGAGATCAGTGTCGAGATCTTCTGGAGAGTCATTTCTGGCATGCGCACCAAGCTCAAGGTATGTTTCGCGTTCATATTTACCCCTCTTTCCAACCGCTGTGCTGTAGAAAGAGATTGAGGTTCTGTTGCACGAGATCTTCATTCCCATCCTGGAAATGAGGACATCCACTCTCAAGCAGAAGGCTGTGATCCTTGGAATGCTATCGCGTCTGTGCCAAGATCCTCAAGCGCTGGTTGAGATATACCTTAACTACGACTGCGATAGTGAAGCCGCGGACAACATATATGAGCAGTACGTGCCCTGATGCTGGATTTGGTGCATGATACCTAATTGACTCCTAGTTTGATGAACATCATCTCCAAAATAGGGAGCATGTCGTCTGTCGCAGTCGCACCCAAGCAGAACGAGCCGGCGAGTCCTGCCCTTAGTCCCACTGTCAACAAGACCCAGCACGGGGGCGTCCCTCCCTCGCTGAGCACGGCATCGTTGGCTGTCTCTGGGTCAATGGACACGTCGACGATGGGTCTCTCAGAAGCACAGCTGAGAAGACAAGGGCTGGAATGTCTCGTGACGGTCCTGCGGTCTCTAGTCGCCTGGGGCACTGCTTCGGGAAAGCTGTCTGCTGATCCTGTGGCGACGCCGTCCAGTCGCTCCCAAATTGGATCTCAGAACAGCGACGAAACGAGGCGGAACTCTACCGCCGGAGATTCTATCGCCGACAGGCTTTCCGCGGGGCCCAGCGTTGAAGCCCTGAGACAACCTACGCCGGATATCGCCGACGATCCCAATCGGTTTGAGAGTGCTAAGCAGAAGAAGACGACCTTGCTGGAGGGAATCAAAAAGTTCAACTTCAAGCCCAAACGGGTCCGTTATGAGACTCAAACCGCGAAGTATCTGAATCTGATATATGTATGAACAGGGCATTCAGTTCTTGATGGAAACGGGCTTCATTGCTAGCAATGCGCCGCAAGACATTGCTCAGTTTTTATTGACCACGGATGGCCTGAACAAAGCGATGATTGGTGAATATCTCGGTGAAGGGTAAGCCTCTACTTTGTAGCCTCATATTTCACTGACGTGCCCAGTGAGGACGAAAATGTGGCGATCATGCATGCCTTTGTGGATCTTCTTGACTTCAAGGAGTCTCCTTTCGTCGATGCCCTGCGACTTTTCTTGCAATCGTTCCGTTTGCCCGGTGAAGCTCAGAAGATCGATCGATTCATGCTCAAGTTCGCCGAGCGCTACATTGACGGTAACTCTTCAACGCCATTTGCAAATGCCGGTGCGTTTGTCAGGTTTAATTGGAGCTTCTGTCATTGATTGCCCTCTAAGATGCCGCTTACGTTCTGGCGTACTCTGTCATCTTGCTGAACACGGATCTTTTCAACCGCAAGTCAAGCGCAGGATGACCAAGACCGACTTCATCAGGAACAATCGTGGGATCAACGACAATGCCGATTTGCCGGAGCAGTTCCTGTCAGAGATTTTCGACGAGATCGCGTCGAATGAGATCAGGATGAAGGATGAGATTGATGCTGCCACTGGAACGACTGCTGGACAGCCTGGACTTGCCAATGCGCTGGCAAATGTTGGCAGAGACTTGCAGAAGGAGGCGTACGTCCTCCAAACCAGTGGAATGGCCAACAAGACTGAGGTGAGAGAGAGCTCTCAATCGCGTTGAATCGTATCTGATTCACACTGACACAGGCCCTATTCCGAACGATGACTCGCTCTCAACGGAAAGGCGGCCACGAGTTCTTCAGCGCTTCGCACTTTGCGCACGTGAAGCCGATGTTCGAAGTCGCGTGGATCCCGTTCTTGGCTGGACTGTCTGGGCCGCTGCAGGACACTGATGACTTGGAGGTGGTCGAACTCTGTCTCGATGGATTCAAGAGCGCAATCCGCATCGTGTGCTTCTTCGATCTGGAGCTTGAACGCAATGCGTTCGTGACAACACTGGCCAAGTTCACGTTCCTCAACAATTTGGGTGAAATGAAGACCAAGAATATGGAGGCTATCAAGACGTTGCTCGATATCGCTGTGACCGAGGGCAACCATTTGAAGAGCTCCTGGCACGATGTGCTCACGTGTGTCAGTCAGCTTGAGCATATGCAGTTGATCGGTGGTGGATCCGAGTCGGATGCTGGGCGTAAGGGGTGAGCGCAATCGATTTGCCTGCTTGTTCCCATTGTCCTCATGCTGTGTCAGCCGGTCAAGGAAGGTTCCAACGGAAGAGTTGGCGAACGAGAGTCGATCCACTCACATCACCGTTGCCACCGACATGGTTTTCTCGCTCAGTCACTACTTGTCGGGCGAAGCCATCGTCGACTTTGTCCAGGCACTCAGTGACGTGTCCTGGGAAGAGATCCAGTCCTCCGGTCTGTCTCAGCACCCGAGACTGTTCAGCTTGCAGAAACTGGTTGAGATCTCCTATTACAACATGAACCGCATCCGTCTCGAGTGGTCCAATCTTTGGGAGATCCTCGGTTCCCACTTCAACAAAGTGAGTCGTTGTTTCCCACTGGGGCCATCGGCCACTGACATCATTCCAGGTTTGTTGTCACAACAATCCTCATGTTTGCTTCTTTGCATTGGATTCCCTGCGTCAGCTCGCGATGCGCTTCCTAGAGAAGGAGGAGCTGCCCCATTTCAAGTTCCAGAAGGATTTCCTGAAGCCGTTTGAGCACACCATGGCTCACAACCCCAATCCAGATATCCGTGACATGGTGCTCCAGTGTCTGCAACAAATGATCCAAGCACGGGTACAGAACATGCGCTCAGGCTGGAGGACCATGTTCTGTGTGTTCCAAGCCGCATCAAAAGTTCTCACAGGCATGTGCTTTTGCGTACTGCAATGTCTGATAAGCTGACTTGGCTGCTCGCTAGAACGCATCGCAACATCGGCCTTTGAGATTGTCACACGACTGAACAAGGACCACTTTGGCGCGATCGTCCGCCACGGAGCCTTCGCTGATCTAACTGTGTGCATCACCGAATTCTGCAAAGTGAGCAAGTATCAGAAGATCAGTCTCCTGGCCATCGGCATGCTTCGGGGTGTCATTCCTGTGATGCTGGAATGTCCCGAATGTTCATGGCCCACTGCAGCGTCTGGTGGCGAGGGCCCGATGGACGATAGCATGATCAGGTACTGGTTCCCTGTCTTGTTCGGCTTCTACGACATCATCATGAACGGAGAAGATCTCGAAGTGCGAAGATTGTGCGTTTAGGTTGACGCCGGTCTGTTTTCTGTGCTGACTTGTCTCAGGGCCCTGGATTCGTTGTTCACAACTCTCAAAACGTATGGCAAATCATACCCCGTCGAATTTTGGGACACTGTCTGCCGGGAGCTGCTGTTCCCGATATTTGCTGTCCTCAAGTCGAGCCAGGATGTGTCCAGATTCAACACTCAGGAAGACATGAGTGTGTGGCTGTCCACGACCATGATACAGGCCCTGCGGGATTTGATCGACCTGTATACCTTCTACTTTGATATCTTGGAACGGCTTTTGGACGGTCTGCTGGACTTGCTGTGTGTCTGCATATGCCAGGGTGCGTGTATCGACCCGTTTTCTCTGGTGGTGATTTTGAGCCAAATTCTGCAGAAAACGACACACTCGCTCGGATCGGTACATCCTGCTTACAACAGCTTCTAGAAAACAATGTGCAAAAGCTCAGTCCGGCACGATGGGAACGAGTGGCCACGACTTTTGTGAGACTCTTCAAGACCACGACGCCCCACCAACTCTTCGACGACAGTCTCCGCATCGAAATCGACAGTGCAAGCCCAGAGCCCTCGGAAGCTGCAGGTTTGGAGCTTACTTATCCATCTGGCCTCGTGTCTCATTGTAATAGAACTGAATGGCCAGACCATCTTGCCTGCGCCGCTGTCCCCGAATGGCGAGCGACCCGAAATGCATCCATCAAGCGCCGACAGGCGCCGTGTTTTCAAGCAAATCATCGTCAAATGTGTGCTGCAGCTGTTGCTCATCGAGACAACGAACGACCTGCTCCGCAACGATCAGGTGTACAGCACGATGCCGCCTGATCAGCTCTTGCGGTTGATGGGTGTGCTGGACCACAGCTATCAGTTTGCCCGCAGTTTCAACGACAACAAGGAGCTCAGGACAGGGCTTTGGAAAGTCGGTATGTCGCGGCATCTAGTGCCATGCCTGGGTCTTGACTTGCGTCGCAGGTTTCATGAAGCATCTGCCGAATCTTCTCAAGCAAGAGTCGAGCAGCGCCTCGACCTTGGTCCATGTTCTCCTCCGGATGTACTATGATGGCCGACCTGGACATCTCGCTGCCCGTCCCCAGATTGCAGATCGGCTAATGCCGTGCGTTCCCGTTGCTGGCCGTCTGAGGCAGACATTGATTTTGGTTCACAGATTGAGTCTGACTGTCCTGCGCGACTACAACAAGCTGCGAGCGGACACGCAGTCGAAGAACATCGTCGCCTGGACACCCGTCGTCGGCGAGATCTTAGATGGCTTCTGCCGGTTCGACGAGAAAACTGTTAGTGGCTTGCACGATCTCTGTTCTAAACAGCTCATGTGTCGTCAGTTCCGCGGATTCCTTTCTGTAACCTACCCACTGGCTACGGAACTTCTTGGCCGCGATCTCAGCCCTGAAATCAGATTGTCTCTCAAGACCTATTTCACTCTGGTGGGCGTCACCAAGGATATCATGGACCGGCATTCCACATAAACCTTCGCATTCTCCTACATCACTTACGCCTGTATAATCCCGGAATATAGTATTTAAATTGCCCATTAAGATACGTCCATGATTTAGTACAAGCAAGCAGGCCTATCTAGTCGTCGTCGGAGCCAGAGCCAGCGGATCCTTCGTCATCATCGTCTAACACAGCGTCAGGCGGAGAGATTGCAGGATGGAACAGAACGCACCATCGGCAACATCGTCTAGCGAGACACTGGCCTGCGCGCGGGCTTTGCGGATGAGCGTCTGGACCTCGGTATCGTCGTCGGGCACGAGATCGGAAGCAGTGTCCCCGTTCTTGTCTTTTATTCTAGGGAACGATCAGCCCAATCAACCGACACTGTACGATCGGTATCGGTATCCCCCCATGTGCACACACCTAGTATCCGCTCCGGCCTCCAACAGACTGTCTACGATGTATTTGCGCAGCTCGGGATCGTCGATCACCACGGCCAGGTGCAGCGGCGTGGCCTTGTCTATGCGGTTGACGGGGTCCACGTCGCACCCGTCGCAGGAGAGGATGTGCTCCAGGACGTCCGTGGAGCCGTTCTTGACACTGGGGATGGGGAGTTCAAGCATCGGCGGGTGCGCGTGCCGGGCGAATGCTTACGCGTTGTGCAGAGCTTTTCGTTCATATGCGGATCAGCGCCGTGTCAGTGGGTGTGGATATGTGACTGCGCACCGGTGTTGCCCAATCTGTGCGAGGGTAGTAGTAGGAACGAACGAGCGCCTGCGGATGCATGCAACAGCGGGGGGACGTACCCGTCTTGAAAGTTGATGTCGAAATTGTCTGAGTTGATGACCTCGAGCAGGAGTTCTTCGTTGTCCGACCGCGCGGCGGCGAGGAGACGCTCATCTGCAAGTCCGCGGCGGACGCGATGTCGGTGATGGGAGACGTGAGGGTTGCCAGGGAGAACACCCACTGTTGCTCGCGCCGTCAGCCATTGCAGTTCGATCTGGGCGGGGGGTGCGTGGCTCGAGTGGAGAGGCGAGGAGCAGATCCGAGAACGATCTCTGTGAGTGGACGGTTCGAGGCAGGCTCAGATTCGTCGCTGCTGATGCGATCATGGGATCGTGATCACCGGCGCGATCACGTTGTCAGCGGGCCCAGAATGTCTCCCTCCTCCAAACCACGAGCCCGCAAGTCCAAGAACCCCGCCGACGAGATTCCGTTGAAACGACCCGAAGAGGCGGGGCTGAATATACCTGAGGACGAGCAGTGGAGACTCATCAACGAGTCCGGTGTGCTCAAGAACGCAGGGAAATACAGGGTGCCGCGTCCCGGCGATGAGAACGCCGAGCCTGATTCGCTAGGAGAAGGTCCGTCAAGAACCTGAACTTGGCGTTCTGGGTGAGGCTGACTTGTGGGCTAGAGATATTCAATGCTTTACTTCTGGTCACGCCATGCTCTTTCCTGCTACTGATGATGCAAATGTCGGTTCGTTTCTCAACGCGCGCGCAGTCCTAGTCACCTGATGCCGGGGCTGGGTCAAACAGACTAATCTACAACCAGTACGGCCAAGACGTGAATTACAAACGGCTCACAGATAAGATGATTTCCGGAGTACCGAGTGAGTGTGAATTCGCTCAACGCTTGTACTGAAGGTTCTGAGTGTTTTACAGTCCTGTCCATATTCATCTTCTACAGTAAGCCAGGCTGCCTTGGTCGACGAGTGGACACATTTGACGCCCGCGCTGTCTAGCGTCGCGCTACAAGCGAGACTATCGACTACAGCGGATTCTGTTTCTGATGGCGACTGCTGTCGGAAGTCGGACAGTGTTCCTCGCCAAGCAAGCCAGTTATTTGAAGAATATCGAACAGGTAGGCTTTTTCTTATGCCAGGCTTCATGTTGGACTGACCGATGACTGGCAGACACCACCGCTGATCACGCTCTGGGTGTATTTGATCGTCCAACTCGACCTGGGTCTGGCTGTCCTCAGTCTGGTGGGCGTCGGGGCATTCGTGTGGTGGAAAGATCTCAATTTGTTCCATTAACGAGGAGAATACAGAAAGCAATAGAACGAAATGTCTGCTCGATGATACGCCTCAGAATTGGGTGTGATCTTGACCCAACCGGGCACCTATTACAAGCAGAAAAAGAGAAACACATGCTCAATATTTGCTTGATGATACGCCGCAGGAACTGGGTGTGATTTCGGACCAGCTGGGCACCTTTTACAAGCAGCAATTCATACACCGTCGCCTTCGTCAAGTTCCCCGGATAACAGTTCAATCTTATTCTGAAGGCATGGAATCAGTCACGCGCAGACGGGTCTGGAGCAGGGCCGTACCCTATATGTTGTGCTATGCCCCTCCAGACCTGCCCTGCCCTTTCCGTCAGATGTTGTTACAATCCAATCTAGAGACCGGAACCGACCTCAGAACTCTGAACTGCCATTTCAATCGTTTCGACAGTTTGGTCTGGAGGGCAGTCTTATGCTCATCCAAGCGTTCAACAAATGCTTTATACACCCGGTCGTCACGCGCAAAGTAATATGTCTGGAAGGATTCAGCATCGTGCGAGTTTCAATGAGTGGGAGCCAAACAGGTATTTGCTCGACTTGGAGACTCTCTGCAGCCATGGACCAGGCTCCCATCAGTCTGTTTGGTGGATTTGAGAGGTCATAACATGTATAGCTGTGCGCGCCGCTCACAGAAGATCTGCGGTAGCATTGGCAATGCTGTACAAAGTCAGTAAAAGGATGCGATATTGGCTCAGTGGCCTCACTAGTCAGCCAGAGTCGCGATCAAGTCAGCCTTGCCAAGCTCTCGACTGACAAACTTGCGCACGGCCGCGTCTGCGGTTTGAACAGGTTTGCCTTCGGTCCCAGCACGCAGAGCAAGTGCGACATTCGCAGCCTGGCCCAGCACCCAGACATCGCCCTGGCTCATGATCAATCTGCATTTACCAGTTCAGTTGGCAAACATTGATGATGTCCAAGTGACTCGCGTTTGCAGAAATGACGCAGTTAGATCGCTGCCTTGAGTCTTGGTCAATCCGTAGTCGATGGCGAGCTTGAGATTGGCACCTTCGTCAACTCGTCATTGCCTCGTCGTCACAGCAGGGAGAGACGCTACGCAGGGCTTTGAGGATCACTTTCGTCCGTGGGTTGTGCATTTCCTCGTCCTCGAGGTGATTGATCCAGCGTGAGAACGCGCTGTAATCTCGAGTTAGTCCAGTCGCCATTGGGACGGGCTCTGATCACGCACCCAAGCAATATGATAGCCACCTCCCGATGTGAAGGACCCAGTCGCATGGCGTGCAATAGCGGTGTGATTCCGCCGCTCATTCGAACCAACAGCTGCATACGATCAACGAGTTGCACAGCGGATACGACAGCATGAACTTGCATGGAATGCACGGTCTCGGACCTCCATCAAGTAGAGGATGTCTTTCTGCTCAACAGCACGAAGTACTGCGCGCGAGTGAGAATATCGTATACGAATGATGCCAAAACATACTCTCGAAAGGCTGTGGAAGTTAGTCATTCGTGCCGACCGCTCATTGCGACAAGCTCACCTGAGGATCCTTCCACGACGTGGGCACCCTCCCATCCTGCTTGCGCATGAAAGAGGAACTCAAACGCCGCAAAGACGATGCAGCGGACGAGACAGAGCCTTGACTCATGGTCCTCTGGTGTCTGGGGCTCGGAGATTCGTCTTCGGGTGTCTCAACTACAGGCGAGGTGGGTGGTGATGGCGAAGGACTGCGTCGCAATTGGCGTAGAATAGCTTTGGGTGCTTCTATCTCTGCTTCTCTTTCCAAGAAACCTGCACTGGATCAACGGTGTGGACAAGCTGAGAGCGCACAACACACACTCGTCGTGGGTAGTCGTTCTGGAAGACAGAGGCTCGAGGGCAGAGACTCCTTCCGCCGCCGCTTTGGAGAGCTCTCTGAGCCAAGGTCATGGACAAGGTAGGAGTGGTTCATGCCGAGTCGTTAGACCGATGCCAATGCATCTGCGTTACTGCGCCGTCGTAACAGCACTACCGATCAATTGATCACGGATCAACAACAACTTTGCCAGCTGCCTGTCACTCACAAAGTTGCAGAATCTTTGCCCTTGCTCTCATGAAAAGACGACGCACAGACCGAGACAGCGACAAATTTGAACAAATCGGTGGATCTGGCAGCAGCTTGCTGTCTGTGGACAAATCTGATCCAGCTCCACCCACACTTCAAAGTCAGCCTACCCACGTCTCTGGCGAGGCAAATCGCGTGGTCTCCCTGCCACCCGTCGACGCGGCCGAATCCGAACCTCCGTCTAAGAAGCGCAGGCTCGAAGATGCCGATATAGGGATGGGGTCTCTCGCTGAGCTTGTGCTCATATATGACTCTGCTGCCGCGAGCGAGGACGCGGAGGAACTGCACCGTCGCGTTGCAGCCATATCACCAGCCTCACGGGTCGTGACCAAGTACCTCAAAAGATCGCGCCGGGTGGCCTCTTGTATTGGACCGTGGCCCGCGGAGCTGGTGTGGCGCCACGCAATTGAGGATGGCAGTCACTTTCTGCGCGCCGCCGAACAGGAAATGGGCTTGGGCGCGCTTAAGGACTTGACGCAACTTATACGAGACTGGGAGTTCCATGAACCCGACTTGGTTCCCAGCTCTCAAGGGTTCAACGTGACGCCCAAGTTTCAGCGACTAGTTGAAATTCTCAAGGCGAGTAGGAGCGAAGCGTTCCGGGGTATCATCATCGGTGCGTTGTGGATGCTTACTTCGTGTATCTTCTCGTGATTGGGCCGTAGTCAAGAGGAAAGCAGTGGCACTTGCAATCGCTGAAGCCATTCCCATGCTCGGTCGGCATTTGAGTTTCGTCCGGCCTTCAACCGTGACTAGACATCATCGGTCTGAGCCTCAGAACCAGGCATGCCCTTTTTGCCTTCATTGAAAATCTGCTCATGACAACTGCAGCTCGAGACACTCGATAAATTTGCGTCGGGAACGTACAATCTCCTGATCTTAACGCCATCTGCGACCGAGCTCGATATACCCAAAGCAACGACAGTGATTCGGTAGGAGTGTGTCGCTCATCCTGATCCATGTCCAAATTTTGAATAGTTTCGATCTCCTCGAAGGGGACCTTGCGTATGGCCTGTCTGTTGATCTCGTAGGAGGATCGGAGAGTCACCTGATCCATATGCTCGAACATGGCAACGACAAACACAGACGCATCCTTCTGGAGAGCTCTACGCGTCTTCGAGAGATGAGTGCTTGGTATCAGACCCTCCACTCAGCCGCTGTCGGGACTGCATCTCCGTTTCCTCTACTGTCAGCGTCCGATGCGGAGCAGTCGGAGAGCGAAGACGACGAAGAGCTTGCTCCATATATCCAGGATCCTGTCACTGGAGGGCGGATCTACCCTTCCGATGCGGTCAGCGTTGTCTATCAGGTGGCGACCGCGGCCGGGATCACCCATCCGACTCCGCTGTTCCAATCCAAACCCGACGCGTCATTGCAATACACCTGTACTGTTGTTCTTCCAGGTATACCGATCCTCAGCTCGAGCCAGTCGCACCCTTCGATGGCCCATGCCCGACGCGAGGCCTGTTATCAATTCTGCGTCAAAATGTTCGAGGCTGCTGTGCTCGATTCCGAGTTCTTTCTCGCTCATCCGATCCCGCGGGAGGCCCATCCAGCAGAGCGCTCCGATGATCGAACGGGCTTATATCCCATCAAGGCCCCGGACTTCTGGGCAGCGCCTGCCTCGCTTTCGCTGTGGTATCCAACGGCAATTGTGCCCGTCGAGCTTCCGCGCCACGCACCCATCCTGCTCATAACGCGACATCCCCTGCCAAAATTGCCTCGCTTCAGACTGTTCATTTCGGGTCCTCCAGCGGCGGTTGAGACGGTGAAATGCGCACCGCTTGGGCTGGATGCGGAAAAGATCAATGAGCTGTACTTGTACACTTTGCGTGTGCTCCGGGCGCTCATGAACAAAGGCCTTGCCTGCGCCTTGGAGGACATGCCCTACTTGCTTGCTCCTCTCCACAACCCCCCAATTGCTGATCATAAGCGATGGCAGCCTCCGGACATTTCAGGATCGATTCCTTGGGAGCTGGTGTCCCTGGCTGCTGCTGCTTGGTCTGTACCTCTGAAATATGGCAATGCTGAGGTCGTCGGGAATGATGTTGCTGATGCCATCATCCAAGACAGATCTACGGAACTGACTCGACGGTACGAGATTCGTCAGGTCCGGGGTGATCTTTCGCCGCACAGCTCCCCAGAGGACGGACCAGTAAGTCAAGTCATCTGTGGCGGAGAGCCTGTCATGCCTTACACGGGTACAGAAAGCAACTCTGCTGGAGTTTTGCAAGTCTTCGCGCAAAGAATTCGCAGGTCTGAAGGACGAAAACCAAGCGATCATTGAAGTGGATTCGGTCGTCAGCGGAATGTCCTACCTGAGTCCGGTGCCTGCTGCGGTGCCGGCTGACAACTATCCTCACTGTGCCTATTCTCTCTTCTTGACGATTGCTTGCCGACATTTGAGACTTGAACAGACCTTATCCCCGAACTGTGCCATAAGTTCACTGTGCCTGCTAGGTCAGTATCTCCGGCCTCTTGTTTGATCTGCACTGTTGTTGAGATTTGGTAAAGCACATTCCGCACGATGCTTCTCTTTCCATCCATCTCCAAGCTTATTGATGGATTCTTGCTCACGAAAGAGCTCAACTCTCGCTTTTTCCGCTGCAAGCTCTCCGACAGCTTGCTTCATACGGCGGTCACTGCACCGTCTGTGAGATTGGAATATGATTATGACAGACTGGAGTTTCTTGGTCCGATCTCTGTCTGAACTCTCGGACTGTCTCCGATTGACATTTCCACAGGCGACAGCTTCCTCAAACTCCTGGCTTCGGTCCACGCTTACGTATTCGCCAATTCTGCCAAGGAGGGAGGGCTGCATCTCACGCGCCAGAGCCTGGTCAGCAACCACGCGCTCAATGAGCATTTCGCGAGTGCGGGGCTTGTGCCGTACATCCAGTCGCTCCCCTTCGCGTTCAAGGCGTGGCTGCCGCCCCATTTTCATATTTCCGGCCAGACGCCGAAGAAAGTGACTGGGCGGCGACTGGGGGACAAGGTGCGATGAGATCTAATCGTGTGTCCTGATCTGGTCATCTAATCTAATCGGATGGCATCAGGTCATTGCGGATGTGAGCGAGGCGATTCTAGGCGCAGCGTTTCTTTCTGGTGGGAACGACGCCGGGATAATGGCAGCGCAGGCGATGAACATCCTCCCCCTCGACGTCGCGCAGTGGTCTGACTTTGGCCGGAAAGTGCTGGTCCCTCCCTCGACGATCTCAGCAAAGATCTCTCGCGATACGATACAGGCGATTGAGGGGATTGTGAACCACAAATTCAGATATCCATATCTTCTCGCTCAAGCTTTGGTAAGCTGCGGCTCTTTGCTGGTGTGTGCTCGATCTGGACTGACTTGAAGTCTACAGACGCATGGTTCCATCTCTGGACCTGGCCGAGTGTCAAGCGAACGGCTCGAGTTTCTGGGCGACGCTGTGCTCGACTTTTGTATGTGCCTCTTCTTCCTCGTTCTTAGAGAGACCAATCCGACTCAAATCCGGTAGTGGTGACACGTCTGCTCTTCGATCGCCATCCAACGCTCGGGCCTGGTAGCCTGACCGTGTTGAAGGTGTGTGTACTCCGTCATGGGGTCTTTGCACATCGTGTTGATGAAACCCAGGCTGCGATGGTGTCAAACTCGACGCTAGCAGCAATCGCGGTCACGTGTGGCTTGTCGAACCATCTGCTTCTGGCAGACCCACTCGCCGACAGCACGACCAGATACATTAACCAGCTGAAACAGAAAGAGGCCGAGGAATACGAACTGGCGGCACAAGAAAAGCGGCAGCCGGGGCAGTATTGGGTGGGGGCCACTATACCGAAGGTTGACTGACCTCACCCTTGTCATATACCTGCGCTGATATCCACCCCCAGGCGTTCTCTGATGTGATTGAATCCATCCTCGGGGCTGTGTACATTTCCGACGACTTTTCGAGCGAAGGCGTCGAGGCGTTCTTCGCTGCCGTCTTGAAGCCGTTCTATGACAAGCATATCACGCTCAACACGCTGCCTAAGCATCCCATGGAGACCCTCGCGGATATCGTCCGCGCGCAAAAGTGCCTTGATCTCGAGATGCGAGTCCCGGCGGAGGGACAGTGCGAAAGTGCGCTCTGGAGTTCTCAGGCTGGCTAACTGCTAATACGAGCCCCAAGTCATGATCCACAGCGTCGTACTGGGCAGGTATGCTGCATTTCCTCGGACGTAGAGGTGTGCTCGAGGGCTGACGGCGCTTTCTTTTTGCAGTGGAAGCGCAGGCCGCACGTCTGTGGCGACGCGGAATGCGTGCTGTGAGGCGATCAGTGCGCTGGAGAAGGACCCGGATTACATCCGCCGCGTGTGCAATTGCCTGCGGCAAGCCGACACCAAGGAAGCGCGGAGGAAGTTGGACGAGCTGCTGGCCACGGTGGTGAGGGGGAAGCAGTCGTAGATGGTGAGCGGGCGTCCTGAATTAGAGCTACTCTAGACGCAGCAGTGTACATAGAATGCAAGATAGTCTAAGTCTCTAGATCCAGTTCCTGATTCTAAATCATCCGTCTATGATGAGAGGTGGTGTCGGTGGTGTTCAAGCCTTCTTGGCACTAGCATTCGATGAGGATGGGGCGACTCGTGGAGAGATAGGGGAAGACGCACTGCGTAATTTCCACGGCGATAAACGGGATGGCGAACCCGAGGCTGAGGAAGGCGACCATCTTGGCGCCTGGGGAAAAAGCGTCAGCCGAGACGAACTGACAGCAGGGCTGAGATTCCAGACGAACCGAACGGCAGCTTAGCGGCGCCTTGGTAGGGCGCGACGAAGGGGAGGTGCTGTTGACAGGTTGGCATCTTGGGAGCAGGAAGCGGGTCGTGTGACTGGACGCACGTTATAGTCTCCGTGTCCAGAGCGGAGACGGGCGGTGGTGTGAATCTGGCGCAGAGCGGGGGTGCGAGCGAGGCGGGCCACGAACATTATGATGGTCTGGGGCGGGCGAGAGTGGGGGAAGGAAAAGACGTGGTTAGGGTTCAAATACAGATCCTCCCGGATACACCCGAGTGACTTGTCCAATTTTCCGAGCGGCGCCCCTGGACGCGGCGGGAAACGGGCATGGAAAAATTCTTCACGTGTTTCGGAGTTCGCGCACATGTGATTCTGGCCGTGCGTGGGCTTTGGGCGAGTCTCTGAGCCTCGCCGTGCATCCAATCAAGTACTGTGCCACTTGCTTAGGGACCGAAAAGTACACATGTATATTAAGACCAGGTGACACTGAAGGGCGATGGAAGAGCCCCCATTTGAGTCTCCTTGGACACAAGGCCAGAGGTTTGCAAGAAATCTAGTTTGTATCCGGAACGCATCACTCTCCTATGAGAACTCGGTCCAGGACTACAAAATGGAAGGATACACGATGTCTGGGGACATGGATGAAGCATGAGAAACACCACTTGGCGGAGACGGATGAAGATGAAGAAGTCCAATCCCAGAACTTCATGATCAAACCCAGATACAACTAACCAGCCGGGAACCGCTGATGCACTATCATCTGGGGTCTGCTTGTATGTCGTTCTGTCTTGGACAAGAACAGGAAGCGGTTGGCCGAGGGAGGCAGGACAAGGGAGGAAGAGAAACCGCGAACAGCCGAGCGTCCGACCGGAGCGGTCTCCAGATGAGCGGATCAGCACGTGACTCCAGATTTAGAAGGTCTGCCGATCCCTGCGGCCGCGTCCAGGCGCGGCGACGGGGAGTTCAGGATCCCCGACGCTTCATTTCTCTCCCCCACCAGAGCTGCGCATCCTCGCCGGACGATGCTCAGGGACTCCGGTGTCCATTGGACTACTTACGACACGGGTACCTAAGACGAAAGGGATCCGAGGGGAGATAGAAAGAATGAGATTCCAAGCTATGTGCATCGCTTCGCTCCTCCGTGTCCGTCGCGGTTCCATAGAGAACTGGAGGCGAGGCGCATGGGCGCGGTAGAAATTCTGGTGGCTCCTTAGATGCAGGACAGTTTCCGAGGCGATGTAAAGCTATGTATGCCATCGGAACTTGGAAGGTGTAAGTATCATGTGCGAGAGAGTTGGCGGCGGGCGACAAGATGTCCGCGATGGCTACATCAGCAAACGCCACACTTTCGGCACCTTTCTGAAGCAGCCGATGGCACGCACTAGTCTTATCTTATCTAAGCGATGACACATCATCCATCATCTTCTGCTCTGAAGCGAACACCGCGAGGACCCCCGGCATACTTAGACCAATAGTTTTATACGAAAATGTTCTGTTCTCCAATGGCTTAGAGGGCAGATAAGCAGAAATTAGCGATTTTATAAATTATATTCAACTTGAAGGTAGAAAAATCTCGCACAAGACTTCTGCTCCAACCAGACCTTGCTTCACTGAGGGTATCAGTCACAAATGTCACGTGATGTCGTTGGGCTTGATGCAATTATTTTGGCGTGGATTCTCAGCTTAAAGCGGGGGTAAACAGGCCAATCCGATCCTAATACGGGCACTTAAGAGCTAAAAGCTCATGCCCAGATTTGGCAAAAGCGCATCGTACTTCTGGCCTATCTGCCGGGGTCCTGCACTACTCGCTCGATATGTGTGTGACCCTATAAGTACATGGGAGCACTTCGAAACTTGGCTCGTACCATGGCTCAAATCGCAACTGTACGCGTAGGCTCCAAAGAAATCAAGGTCCCCACCGGCCTCTTCATCAACAATGAGTTTGTGCCGTCCGTGGACTCGAATGAGCGGATCGAGTGCGTTCCACGTAACCCGATCGTGATAGCTGGGCAGTGACCGTTCTCCAGGAGCGTCAATCCATTCACTGAGGAAGTGCTGTGTTCTGTCGTCGCCGGTAAGACCTGCCTCTGCCGCACGCATCGGATCTCTGTCCTAACTACCACTTACCACGCAGCCTCGCCCAAGGAGTATGTGTGTGACCACCGCAGCCTGTGATGAATCTGAATCGCTTCGGCTCCTCAGCATCGACATCGCGGTAGCTGCGGCCCGAAAAGCATTCAACACGACGTGGGGCAAGAACGTCACTGGCTTTGAGCGCTCGCGCCTCATCAACAAGCTTGCCGATCTGATCGAGCAGAATGCACAGGTGGGCTCCTCAGTCAGCACGCGGGCTCTCGTCGGGCTGATCCCGACTGCGCAGGAACTTGCGGAGCTCGAGGCCTTGGATAACGGCAAGCCTATCAGGATCGCTCGGGACTACGACATCGGGGATTCGGTCCAGGTACGGTCATGGCTCATGTGGATCCTGTGGGATATTCACGGATTCTCAGTGCCTCCGGTACTACGCTGGTCAGAAATAACCGGTTTCGTTTTTCATCATTTCGATGCCTTTTTGTTTAGGCTGGGCCGACAAGATCATGGGTCAAGTACAGGCGGCCCTTTCATTGTCTTGACAATCGTTGACACGTTTCGCAGTCCCTTGAAGTTGATAACAGGTCCCACCCATTTTTCGTACAGATCGTCGCGTGTTTTCTCACGCTGCACGCAGAACCAAATTTGCATTCACCAGACATGAACCTATCGGAGTCTGCGGACAGATCGTCAGTCTTCGCTCTTGAACACGATGTCACGTCTCTGATCTGTATCGCAGATCCCATGGAACTATCCCATCAACATGTGGTCGTGGAAAGTCGCGCCGGCGCTCGCGACGGGGTGCACCATCGTCATGAAGCCCTCGGAGCTTACTCCACTGACTGCGCTGGTGCGCAGCGCCGCTCTGCAGGCTCCGTGTCTATTCTGATCCTGATTAGAAACTATCTGAATTGGTGAAGGAAGCGGGGTGGGTCTTATCTCATCATTTTCTGAGTCAGCACCGAGAAAGCACAGTTTCCCGCCGGGCGTTCTGAACACCGTCCCCTCGCTGGGAACCGTAGGTGGCGCGGCGCTCTCCGCGCACATGGATGTCGATAAGGTGGCCTTCACGGGCTCGACCATCACGGGACGCAAGATCATGGAGTCTGCAGCCAAGAGCAATCTCAAGAAGGCTGGTGATCGAGTGGATTCTATTCTGGTCAAACAAGCTTAGCAGATCGCAGGTCTCGCTGGAGCTCGGTGGAAAGAGCCCGCACATCGTGTTTGAGTCATGCGACCTCGAGCAGGCCGCGCGATGGGCCGCCCTGGGAATCTGCTACAACTCCGGCCAGGATTGCACCGCTGGCTCCCGCGTCTATGTCCAAGACAGGTGAGACGCGCTCCAGCGATTTGGCTGGTCCCATCTCTGATGTCTCGCAGTATCCATGACAAATTTGTGGCCCAGCTAGTTTCTACTGTCAAGGAGCTCAATTTTGGCGATGGAACCCAAGATGGAAGCACAGCGGGTCCAGTGGTAGGCGTCGATGCCATCCAAATAGGCTGCTGATTCTATCATTTGCTGGAGGTTTCCAAAGGACAGTTCGATCGGATCTGGAACTACATTGAATCGGGGAAGCAGGAAGGCGCCAAAGTCGCCTTGGGCGGCACGAAGCGTGGGCCGTTGACATGATCGACCGTCTCGCAGGCTGACTTCTCTTTCTCGCGTCCAGGAACGGGCAAAGGCTTCTTCGTTGATCCTACGAGTAATCAAGTCCGGCTGACTTTCGCGTTTGAAGCTGACTCACGGCCTGCAGTTTTCACCGACGTCCAGCCGAACATGAAGATTGTGAAGGAGGAAATCTTCGGCCCGGTTCTCTCTATCGGTCGGTTCGAGACGGAGGAGGAGGCCATCAAACTTGCCAACGACACTTCCTATGGCCTGGGGGCTGGTTTGCACTCCAGTCAGTTTTTTTTTGACGGGGAAGCCCATGACTTGACGCTCTTCAGACGATGCCAATCAGTGCATGCGCGTTGCGTCTGCCCTCGAGGCCGGAACGGTGAGAAAAACATCATGCGTGCTTCTTTGATGGCTAGACTCACGTTTTCCGACAGGTTTGGGTACGTGAGGAAGGCTCGATACGGGCTGTGATCTGAGTGTCTGCAGGTCAACCAATACAATCTTCTGAGCAACAACGTACCTTTCGTGAGTGGATCGGTTTTTTTCGGCTGTTCCGAGCTGACAGATCTGCAGGGCGGCAAGAAGCAATCGGTGAGTCAATTCTTCAATCTCGTATTGCCTATCTGACGATCTGCCAGGGCATTGGTATGTCGCGCGTCGCACGATCACATCCTGCTGATCTTTCCAGGCCGCGAGTTGGGAAGCTATGCACTCGAAGAGTGTAAGAAATCTCGGCCTGGGCGCGGGTGTAAACATTGACGTTATCACGCAGATACCTCTGTCAAGGCGGTGCACTGGAATTTCGGAGAGAAGTTGGACTGGCCTTTCTAAGCAAAGCTGTTGTAAATACATGCTGTTGGATACAATCAGATATTTTCTTGAAACATGACCGTCGGCGCACAACTTGTGCGATATCTCCGTGTTCTGAATTGTCGATCTTCATTTTATATCTGATATAAATACAGACAAGAGTGACACGGAAAAATAAACAAAAAGCACGACATTAGATACAGCAAAAGCAGGGGCATTAGCAACGAATAGTAGCAATACATAAGAATAACAAGAATAGGTCACTGCTGTTGGTGGTAACAAGGATGCGGGCAGCCACAGCTGAGAGCGCGTCAGAAATCCCGTTCGGACCAGGAGACAGCCAGAGACTCACCGCCGAGGCTGTTGTTGCTGCACCCATTGGCTCGGTGGGTAGTATCCCGCCTGTGGGAGGCTGAAGGCCGCGGGCGGCAGCCCGCCGCTCGGGTTCTGGTACTGGGCTTGTGGCTGCGACTGCCATGTCGCGTCGGGGTATGTCGTAAACTCGGCGTACTGGCCGGCGTACTGGTGCTGGTGGGTCGCAGCGTAATGTGGCATCCTTGCATTGGAGTGCAGCCCGTGACCGGGGGGTAGCGGCGCAGTCAGAGTCTCAGGCGTCGTGGTCGAGGAGTCACTGCCGCCTTCCGAGACCGCGTGAAACTCGCAGACGAGGCCCTTGGAAAGGCAACGGTCGCACGAGACGCGCGACAAATTTTCTCCTCCTCCGGCTTTGCACTGCACAGATGAGATGAGATGACTATGCCAGAGGGGGGCTCCAACGGCCAGGACTCGGAGCGCACCTTGACTTTGCGTTGGCGGCAGTTTGTGCAGGCAAGAGGAGTGCGGCGTCTGCGGTCGTTGAGTTGGGCAGAGGTGAAGGAGTCCATGACAAGTGCTGACTGGAGTAGAGTAAAGTAAACTGGGGAGTGCGGAGTGATGACTGTTTTTATATGGCGACTGCTGTGCCCACGCTTTTGAGCACTCGGGTGCCTCATCTGGAACAGCTTTCCCTCCGTGCGGAATTCGGAACACGCGTCAAAAGATTCCCAAGAGGGAGCAGTGATCAAGATGAGCTGCACACAAGTGGGTCGAATAGAAAGGGCGGATCGAACGAAATGCATTGCATTGATTGCACGCTACAGCTCTTGACCGCCAGTCTCGTCCATGATCGTGGTGTTTCAGGACCAGTTTGGCTTCGGTCAGATTCGCCAGAACGAGACAATTGAAGTGGCACGGCGTGTCGAAATCGGAGATGTTACCACTTTCTTCTTCCCCGTCATTCTGATGCCGGCCTGACAGTGAATTTAGATGAGGCGTCACAGCTCTACTGTCACGAGGCGAGCTTGAAACGTAGATCTGTGCAATGTAGTGACACGACGTTGGGGACAACGTGGGCTTGTGGTACCCGCGGACAAAGATTTGATGTTCTTCCGACACAGCCATTCTAGTCAGAAGCGTCGATTTTCTCGATGGAGGAACGGGCGCTGGTCCGCCTGCCAGAACTATCAAAGCTGTGCGTTCCATGTAGCTTAGAAGGATCAGAGCACAAAGAGAGATAAGAACATCGGACTGTCGAGCACAGCCTGAGCGTACAGATAGCAAACAGGAAATTGCGTCATCTACAATGCCAAATAGTCCCGTACTTCCTCTTCCGTCAATTTACGGAACGTAGGCTTTGGTCGCCCCGTCTCGATCCCAACCTGCGAGGCTTCCTGCTCAGCCAACGTAGGGACGGTAACAACGCCAATCTCTATCGTCTTCTCCGTCATCTGCCCCTCAAACCCTTCCTTCAGTGTCAATAGAGCGGTGTGGATCGCGTCCTCCAAACTGATATCCTCGTTATACCTACCATTCGCCTGCGTCAGCGACAGTATTGAGGAAGCGATAGCACACACCGTTTCTCCAAGAAAGTCTTCGCGTTCACCATGTTCTTCCCAATCGCACTGGCTTTCCACGCCCAGAAAGACCCCGAGGGATCGACCTGGTATAACGTTGGTCCCCGAGTCGAATCCCAGCCAGCAACGAGCAGCGAGACACCATACGGCCGCACACCACTGTAGTAGGCCATTCAGTTACGATATCGCGTGCAGCGACAACGGTGAAGACAGACCCGGACTGTGTGGCCTGTTGCATGACAGTCGCAATCTCCTGCGTCAACACTCGTGTTGGCGGATATTCGCCGTACATCTTCCAGTACGCCTGAGCGCTCTTGCGCGCCTTTGCGATGAGAACACGGAAATCAGGGCCCATTCCCGAGTAGACGATGCCGATGTTGGGGCAGATCACTGCGACTTTGTCGATCATCGAGTCGTCAATGAGGATTGAGGAGGACTTTTTCTCCGTGGCGATCACGATGCCGTTCGACGCTTCAGGGAGATGTTAGTGGCATGTACAGATAACGTCTTGGAGAGCTACCCTTGATCCCAAGACTGGTTGTTCCCGCAGAAACTGCTGCGAGCGCATGCTCGATCTGCACGAGCTTGCCGCTCGGGGAGAAGACTGTGAGAGAATAGCTGTAGGAACTGAGTGCATGCACAGAAATGTTCAAAGAACCGGGTAGACCTGTATGCACCTCCGTCGGCACTGGCCATGGTATGTGAATATGAGGAAGACGCGTCGGACCGCGTAAGCGTCACGTGGAAGTATCAATGTGACAGCGCAATCAGTCTGTCGCGTTTGTTAATTCTCCAACATGAGATCAGATAAAAGAGCTACACAAGGAATACACGGTGGTAATACAATACATACAAAGAAGACTAGTAATATGCAACGACATGTAAGATATTGTGGGGATGTGTCTCTTGGTGTTTTTCCAAGATGGTATCCATCTCCTGGTCAATGTCTTGAGCCTGCTCGATCTACTCCGGTGTCAACTACCCATTCCTGATCACGAAGAAAATAAAACGAACTGCAGTTGCGAGCGCGAGGATGGCTTGTCCACCAATGGAAGCCTCTTCGTGGTTATCCTTGATCTCTACATTGATGACGTGGACAGGACGGTTGAGTTCACCACCACGGGCCATAAGATCTGTAACGACGGGAGAACTCAATGCATGAAGGCCGTGTGCAATGGAAGACTCACCGTCACACACAGCGTCAAAACATCGCTCCTCGCACGTAATGACTATGTCAGCTACCGCCCGCATCTCATGCCACTTCTCGGGGGCCAGCTTGAGGTGACGATTTCGGTCGATCATCTGTAGCACACCATTTGCAGTATACAGCCTGGCGTCCTGGGCACTGAGTTCCTCATACATGGTATTGTATGGCGTGCCAAAGCTGTAGATGTTGGGTTTGTCGATTGCTGTGCCCGGAAGCCGTACGGCAGAACCAGTGCCCGACGAGACGACTCGAAAACCTGCTTTGCTTCATATAGATGAGCGAAAGTACGGCAACAAGCAGATAGGTTCACGCACGACAGCACCAAGTGACCCTCCATCGACCGATTCTACAGTCAGGTGTGAGCTTAGAGCATGAGGGTGACGGTTGAATCGTACTTGATTACTGGCGCAAACGACACAGAATAGTGGTCGTTGTTTGTAGATAGGCACCGGAAGGACAGGAACAGGATTTACGGCCACGGGAGGCGGTTGCTGATATGACTGTGAAGCGTGGCCATTCTCATAGTTGGGGTACGGGGGTGTAGGTGTTGGAGTAGGTCTTTGGAAGCGTGGGTCAGCACGAGCTAAACGTGGATCGCGAGCACGCCGGGGATCCATCTCTAATTTGGCGGTCTAAAGGAAACACGTAGACGTCTCTGCAAAGCGTGTTAGTATGTGTGGTGGACTTGCAGCACAAGGAAAAGAAAAGGGAAGGGAAGCTCAGCAGTATCTAGAACATTTCTTGGTCTTCAACCTCGCCCAGAACGTCGCGGGTAGCGCGCGGGCGAGTGCGGTTACCACTCTGAATCATCGTGGCGGTCGAGAAGCGCGCAGGGGACTTCTTACCTTGTAAAGATGGTGGTTTGTGGCAAGGCGCGTTTGGCTCAGGTTGGAAGTATGTTGATGAAAAACGTTAGGAAGGGAAATGACCCAAAGATGTTCTTCCTCAGGTTTTTCACCATCGAGAGTACTCACAATCGGGAGCAAAGTGCAGCACAAATTGTTAAGGTAGATTGCTATGTAGAGAGAACGCTAGATGTACATGGTTCTGAACAACGAAATGTGGATCTCTTTTTATGGCAAGCAGCGGTATTCAAAGACGCCAGTCGCCTCAAACAAGGATCTGATGCGTCTATCCCTCATCTACGGACGGCATTTGTTACTGAAATAACGAAGGCCAATGTGGAAGAAGTCAGAAGGAAGATACGAATTTGATCGAAGACTGATGCGAACTTTCAAAGGACCTCACGTGCTCCTCCAGCTTTCACGGCCCTTGCGCTAAGCCAGCTAACCGCAGTCTCTATCTTTGCCATGCCGTGTTCAGACCGCACTGCAGACTTCAGACAGGTTGCAAGAGATAAGGAAAATCAACTACCTCAGACGAAACGACGGAAAACTACACGTCCGGGGGCTGAACACGACACGGAGGTCATCTCTGGGAAGGAATACGTCGCTGAGGCGTATGTCGTCGTGCGTTTGTTGTCCCATCTCTTTCATGGTCCTCAAAAGCCTACTAGCTCGACCACATCACGACTCTAACGCGGATGCTTGCCAGTATACGTCGGCCATATCTCAATGTCGACTCGCGACCTGCAACCCACCAAACACCGAAGACACTGGACCTGGAGTCGGGGGAATCATCATGGGCATCTATACGATCACTTTCAAACCAAGAACGAGACCAAATTGACCTCCAAACGCGTGTCATCCTGACACGTTGCGCTGACCGGGTGAAGGAGATGGAAGCGTTAGAGAAACGTACGCGCCAACCACCTCCGATCGCGGTGGATGATGAAGAACGATTTCCCCCATTCTAGGTCGCGTCGAACTTGTTGCGAGTAAAACTAATCCACTGGCACGACTACTACCTTTGCGTTTGCGGCAAGACTCTACTAATGTTGCGTCTGACTTCGTCGCCGCGCACCACGCCAGCATCACGTGGTTCCTTAATCGTCGCCTGGCCGAGGCGAGCCAGAGCCAGAAAGAGATGCAAGAGGAGCGTGTTAAAAGACAGTTGGAGCGGTCGAGGACATTGGGATCGAGTGCTGCCCGGGAGATGCGATCTCTGGGCTCCGAGCCTCTTTCGCCGCCGGAACCGCCAGGAGCCGCGCCTTCAAGCTCATGGCTTGGTGGGGCATCGTCCAGTTTTCTTTCTGCCACGATGGGCAGTCCTTCTCCCCAGCGCGCTTCCGTCCCCGTGCCCGAATTGGCGATACCCTCAGATGACGACGACGACGAAGACATCGAACTCTCTCAATCTCAGATATTGCAATTTGAGACGGAGAACGCCAATATTCTTCGAAACGTTCAAGATACGCTTGAATCAGTGCAACAAGCGGAGGCTCGCCTCATGGACATCAGCGCTCTTCAGATGGAGCTCGTCACGCATCTCACCAAACAGACACAATTGACGGATCAGCTTTTCGAGGACGCGATTGCGACTACGTCCACTGTAGAGAAGGGAAATGTCCAGTTACAGGAAGCCAGAAGACGAGGGAAGGACAGTCGGTTGTTCATCTTGGTTTTTCTAGTTGGTGCTAGCATGGCCCTGCTTTTCCTGCATTACTATTGAATGATTATTCGGCATGGTTTACACGAAATTATAGCACTGATATAAGTAGACAATCTAAACTGAGTCGGCTCCTAGCAGAGGAGCAGTTTCGCTCCCCTCGATAGCCTCTGCAGCCTGTTCGTCTACTTCTGGTGGGACTCCCGGCAGTGTTCTGATATGATTGGTGACGAGGCGATATACCAGCCAACTAGCAGAGATAGCGATGAATATTCCACCTCCGATAAGGGCACCGTTGAGCATCTTGGTGTCTAAAAACACGTCATCGAAGCAGAGTACATGATTTTCAATATGTACGCACGTGGGTCCATCTTGTCCCGCTGCTCTCCATCGGACAGTGCAGCAATGCGAGAGCCGATAAAGACTTGCAGAAAGATCTTAGGGAACACAAAACATGTAGCCACGACGAATTGCCACAGAGCAACAGAGGAGATCGACTGCATAGATCAGACCACTGCATCCACACAGAGCTCAAGGACTCACTGAAAACATCACATTGGAGTATACATAGCTAACAGCAGGTAAGATGCGGCGAAGACGCGACGAGATTGGGTAACGCACGGCGGAAGAGGGGACATCCGAATCAGGATGATCAGAGGTAGACCTTTGGCGGCCTGGAATCCGTGTTTAACACGTCTATCAGCACAAGGCAGGGACTCACAATGACAGCTTCCAGCGCCGACCACTTCTCATTCGATTTGGAAAACGAACGCAGCCTCTCTTTGAAGCTTGCACGGAGAGTCACAAACACGAGAGTGCTGCCGATGAGGCTAGCTGGTGCAGCAATATAGAACCCCTTCAATCCCCAGGCGAACCCGCATAATGTCGTCACCGTTGCTAAGATAGTTCAAACGTTATGTCCAATGGTAGTTGGAAGAACGCACTGTGACCATGAAAAGGAGGGAATGAAGTGAGCACGACGACAGTCGCTACTATTAGCCACCCAAAGCGAAGTCGGGCAAGCTTCTCTGCGTTGTCGTACAAACTGAGAGACTTCAGTCATGACACGCGCAATCAGGAAGGAGAGACACACAATTGTCCAACACGCTTAGGAGTAATGATGATCAGTGCAATGACTGAGTTGTATCGAGTCAGGCTAAACATGAAGTCGAGCGCAGCGCGTTACACACCGAGGAGGATTTCGAACAGAATCCATAGCCAGACAATCGCTTTGCCGTACAAAGGAAGACGGCGGTATCTATTGATAACCCTTCTCGGTAGAGACTTGACAAGATCGAGAATAGTGGTGTTGGAGGACATGGCCGAGCTGAGAGGAGCCGCGCAACATCTCGCCAAGATATAGCCGACTGCGTCATCACTTACACGCGGAAGGATGGAAGCGGTCGTGACGTAAGCACCAGTACGCGGTCAGCTGCCCACCAGCGCGCAGGCAATCGAGACCTGTTTGTGAGTAGGCCAACATTTACACTGTGATGATACCGACTCCTCGACTGCAAAGCTACTAAACAACAAAATCTTGGGGCACTTTCTCCGATGGAAAAATATAGCGGGTTTCGGGACGCTGGTACTGGCGTTCAGGTGAACATGGAAAAATATCTTGATACCCAGTCTCACGAGCTTCAGCCGTTTTTACCACTGGTCCCCCCAGCTTCGAATATCCTCACCAAAATTCTCACCCCGATTGGATACTGCGTCGGGGCTGTCCGTCTCGTCTTGCTGCTGGCAATCCTGTTGGTGCGCCTCGCAGGGAGCGTTATTCTCATCATCTTTGTGAGAGTTCCGAAGAGATTTCTATGTGAGAGCTTATTGGTCATTCCAGTCTGCTATTCCTCCACTCCACCGAATCCTCAATCACACCTTGACTGCGTTCACTGCCCGGCTGGCGTTGTTCATTCTCGGCCTCTTCTGGATCACAGTCGACAACGTCACTCGCAAACGCGGGTACGCTGTGCATCGCAATCCTGTTTGCTTCTTAAGCCAACGTTCAGCAGCCGTTCCGCAAAAGATGTCGAGAGCTGGAGCCCACGTGGAGGAGATCTTATTGTATCAAACTGGGTTTCCTGGGTCGAAGTCCTATGGCTTGCCTTCCGGTAAGTCGGGTTCCGGTCCGGGGCACACAATTCTGACATGGAAAGGTTCGATCCCATATTTGTCTTGCCGGTCTCGCAGACGGACCCATTATCCACTGGGACTGTACGGGGCTCAGATCCCGTAACCCACACGCCTGGCCGTCGGACAGGCACTGGCTCAGCCAACATATCAGCGCCACAGCGTGCTGCCACTCAACGCATTTCTATCCTGGGCTTCCGCCAAGTCTCATTGCTGTCGATGATTTCCGCGACCGGTCACGCTCCATCTTCGACCGGACCGTACGAGAGTCTAGATGAGATTCGGGGTCGATCTGCCCGCCCTGTCGTTGTGTTCCCCGAATGCACCACTAGCAACGGCCGTGGTCTCCTCCGATTCGCACAGGTTTTTCGGAAAGAGATCCCGGTGAAAGGGTACAGCGTTTTCGTCATGTGTGTCAGGTGCTTCTTCTACCGCTTTTTCTCCCTTGTCTCAAGCTGAAGGGCTCATCAGATACGATCCTCCCACCCAGCACGCGGCGACACTCGCTCACACCATTCCCGGTGCCGGCAATCCACTTGGACACCTCTTTTCTACCGCAGCTTCTCTCGCACCGCAAAGCGTTTCTGTTCGACTCCTCGCTCCATCAGAATCTCCTGGCTCGCAGCTGTTCCTTGCCAGCGAAGTTCTGGGCAACTACAGCGAGGGAGATCAGCTCTCCGAAGCATGTGCCGTCCTCATCGCCCAGATGGGCAAGATGAAACGAACGGGCCTGGGCTGGGAGGACAAGGTTCGATTCCTCGACCTGTTCCGCGCGAAAGAGAGGAGGCAGTGATGTTCATTGTATGTCGTCTGTGATTATCTGCGATGTGTAACTAACTATAACTAAGCAGCGAAGGTATGCATGAGTTTCCAGAGTGATATGCAGTGATTGAGCAATTTATCGATAAGCGAATGTCAGTATGAATTCGAGGAATGACACCCCGGCTGCTGCAGGTTTCGGTCGTAAAATTCACGGATGTATGCTTTGTAATTGGGTTGCAGGACCTGATCGTGACTGCCCGTCCCATTTTCCCCGCCCTGGTGATGTCCCCGAGGCGTGTGGGAATACAATGCGTCCCCGAGACTCTTCAGTGGTGTGTATGGGGTCTCCGCGCGCTCGAAGAGACCCTGATCCGAGACATGAGAGTGTCCCCCGACGAGTGAGTACCGGGATGCGGAAGTAGGGAATCCACGCGTCCGACCTTCTCCGGGAGACCGCAAGAAAAGAGTCGAAGGGGGGTGGGCATGTGCGTGTGCGCGCCAGCGTGGAGGAGACCGCGAGCGCGAGCGCCGCGAATGTTCACTGCTCATAATTTGAGTATGTTGCGTGGCGCCATTAGACTGCGACAAGGGCGCGCATACGACCACCGGGGACCCTCCAAGGTCTCGCCCATTCAGAGTGCGGATCGCTTCCTCGGCATCCTCCCGCAGCAAGTATTCAATAAAGCCCCGTCTGTTGCCTCCTGGACGCGTATTGGATTCCGTGAGCTGGATGAGATCGCAAAATGCTACGATGCCGCCCGCACTTCGCCCAAAGTCTTTCAGTTCCTGCGCATGTATCCTGGTCTGCCAGTGATCACGGTGATTGATTAGTCTCACGCACCTGCCAGTGGATATGGCGTGGAATGTTCTCCACTACGACAGGGAATCTGCTTGGTCCTCTGCTTGGATACGGCTTGGACCGGCTCGTGTGTGGCATCAACCCATGTGTCAACCTGTCTGGCGCGTCGCGAAGCCTCGCTTCACTCATAGCCGCGTCGCGATCCTTCCGCATCGGCCTTGCGATCTCAATGACGGTACCTATCGCGAGCCATGAGCTAATTAGAAGATTACAGTGAGAAAGAGACGCGCGATGGCCCAAGAACAGTCTTCCGCGAAAAGTCTCCAGAACGTAGTTGGCATCCTCATCTGATGCGAACTGCGCGAACCCGTAATCGGACGACGTGCCCGTGTGGATCCTCAACTCGGTCAATCTCCCGAATCGTTCAAGATAATGAAAGACGTCGTCTTGATTGGTGTGCAAGGGGAGGTCTGGCCCTGAGGTCAAGCACAGGACGCTGGTAGAACTTCTGGGAACGTACTCTTGAGATAAAGACGCATAGGAAGTAGAGGATTGGAGAGTGGGGAGAGGGAATGATTCAATGTGGACCTGATTAAAGGACAGACGGTGCTCTCAGTCTCATTAAATAAGAGCGCCATCAACCGTTTCAGACTCAGTTCTTGAGTCCGCTCGCTCTTTTGGGAAATAAGATTTCCTAATGGGACTATTTCGACCAATTATGGTACTTTGTGATCTCCACTACAACTTGGCCTGAACTTTGCCTTTGTTCTGCGAGGGAAAATCAGAAAACACGACGTAAAAGACGTGCTACACACTGACCTGTACCAGTTTGATCAAGGCCTGCCGGATGTCGGCTTTCAGGTCCTCGAGGTCTTCGACACCGATGCTCAGTCTCACGGCCCGCGGATTGGAGCTGGGGTCCCATGACGCTCTGTATTCCGCGAGGGATTCGACACCACCGAGACTCGTGGCAGGCTAAGGTTCTCCGTGAGCATAATCATGAAGGAAAGCGAGCTCGACGAACTGTGAAGAACTCCAGTGAATGAGGGAACCAAGCGGCATATTCCGGCTCAGAAAGCTAAATTCGAAGTCAACTCCGCGTCGAATCCTGAGTGCATATGCGACGTCGCTCACCTCGATAGAGAACGTAGCGTTCCAGCCACCGGTCATCTGAGTCTTTGGATCGAAGCCGCTCGCGTCTTTACCTTGCAGAGAAGAGTGCCAGATACCAGTCAGTACACCACCCGGAACTCCATCGAACGTTTTCCCCGCCGGAGTCTGTGCCAGTTGGTGCAGCCACTGCACCAAGCCTGTCGCAGTCTCCGATTGTCTTGGAACGCGGAGATGGAAAGTTCGCAGAGAGCGCAAAAGGAGCCAGCTTTCCAAAGATCCTGGACTCGAGTTAACTCACCAAGCACGATGGAAAGCATGTCAACTTGCCCATGGAACTTCCTGCGGAAAGGGCCCGGTTGGTGATAGTCAATGGACCACACTGAGACCGACTGCGCACCTAGATACGTTCGATCGTGCTGGAGTTGATCCCATTCCTCCTTGTTCTTCACGACTAGGATCCCACCAAGCAAGTCAGAATGGCCCCCAAAATACTTTGTTCCCGAGTGCAAAATACTACAGGCGTGTTAGCCCTGTCACGTACGGTCATGAATGCATGACGGTCATACCAGTCTGTGCCGAACTTGAAGGGATCTTGGAGAGGAGGAGGGCCAAACGTCGAGTCGACCAAGAGCTTTCCTCCAGCCTTGTGAACCTGACACCGACCTCTCATTCAGCCTCGCGCGCCACTCACACAGTGAATGAGGGACCTGACCTTATCAGCGTAAAACTGGATGTTGCGAGACTCTCCCGTCGGGTTGAGCGGCGTCTCGAGCCAGCAGAGATCTCCGGCTTCGAAATCATCGTCGATCTTGATGACTTTGACACCCGGAGCGGCGCGAAGGTAGATCTGATGTGGAAGGATCAGGCGGGCCGACACACACACACATGCACTACCACCGCCCCACCTCGATGAGTGCATGGCACCCGTGGTACCCGTCCGTAATGGCGATTCTCTTAGGTTTGAAGTGGACGATAGCCTAGCCGTTCGTTTGTGAGATGGATGCTACATACATCACAACGACGATGAAGGTTAACTGACGGCATAGCTTGCAGCCAGCCCCGAGGCGTAGGTTAGGGCGAACCCATTCTGCCGGACTAGTGAGCAGGACGGTCCAGGCTGCGCAATCACCGAGCTGGGACGCATTTACCGTGATTTCGCTGATGATGTGCTCTGTGCGGGTGGAGCTCTGGGCCGTATATCGGGAGTAGACATGGCGTGATGGGTTCTAGGATGCGCATTGAACTCTGGAGCGGACTGCATGATGTAGAATTTCGAGGTACCCTGTAGTCAGTCCCAACAGGCCGACTATCATCCGGTCGTGGGGAGAGGAAGGCTGCAACAGATGTTTGGCACGTTTCACGATGTGCAGGGGGGTGCGTACTGGTTGTGACGGCGATGGAAGGTGCGACATTGTCGTCTAGACGGAACTTGTCGTCCGTATGCAGAAGTTTCGTTCCACTGCCTTGGGGCTTGAGGGTCATCACGGTGAACAGTCAAATTTGAGAATCGAGTCACTACCTCAGTATCGTGTACTATGTCGCCATCAGCCCATCGCTTACAACACATCGGTCCGAGCCTCGAGGCCATGATTACAGTAAATTCTTCAATTATATATCCTGTACAGTATGTAGAGCTGAATGTCAATAGACAGGTGTTATGTTGTTATTATCCTCTTCCAACAACCCAGAAAAAGACTTTTTCATGAACGACTTCCACTGTTCGTCAATGCCGGCGTCCCCAGACATGAAGAAGCCCATGTCGGATAGATCTCTCGGATCCGGTACAGGTTGCACATCGTACTGCATGCGATCTGGAAGAGTCCCAGTCATGATATCAGTGTAACCCTGTCCGTAATCGGGATATGAGAAGCCAGGGGTGGCTTCCTGTGGAAATAGTTGCATCTCATGATCCACTATCGACGCGCTGTTGATCCCCATCGGATACTCAGGGGTTTGCGGAGTGGGCGCGAAGAGCGACAGATAGTCCACGAGAGAAGGATGCACATCGGGCATGGCATCGGACGCAGGACTGGATAGGCTCGAGCTGGGTGTTGGGGTCATCTGCATCCCGGAGTGGCTGGATGGTGACACGGCCTCCCTTGAAGTGTTTTCTTGCTTCTTCCTAGAAATCAATTTGCTGACCAGGATCCTGGTCTGACCTCCGAACAGAGCCAGTTCATCCTCTCCGTAGTCCTGAGTTCCCACACCGAAGCCAGTCGTCGGAAGGGGGGCAGGATTGCCACCGCGGAATTGAGAGTAGACCTGGTAAGCTTTTTCTCGAAGTTTGCACAGAATGGCCTGGAGGATGGATAGTAGGGACAGAACATTTGACATGCACGTGAAACTTACGAGGCCGCTTCTCGCTCGGCGCGATTTTTTAGCGCCCTTGTCGAATAAGTCGCATACCAAGCCCAGTTCGATGAAGGCAGTGGCAGCCATGCTGGCAGAAGGTGATCGGGTGACGATGCTACCCACAATTATCTGTCCATGAATCAGTGCCTATGTTTGCCCATATGCTAGGCACCGTACTGCAGCCGAAAACACTGCGAATGGTGACGGTCAGCAGAAACTGAAGAACTAGGAAGCGTGCTTACCGTGAGTCCATATCGTTGACCAGCGGCAGCAAAGTTCAGGAAATCTGCCAGAACATTCAGTCGAGCCGTGTCCAATCATGTCGTCGATATACCTTTCGAAATGATTGAGAGTGCCTTTGATCATTCCAGACGCACAACGATATGCGGCGAGAAAGGATGGTGCATAGGGACTGCGTAGTGGATTTGCAGGATGGTCCAACATCGCTTGTGCGAAGAATGTCCGATGGATGTAGAGCAATGCTGACCAATTTAGTGACGTGACCGCGCTTGGGAGATGAACCACTCACCCACAGCTCGAAATTGACCCAGAAGGCAGCTGGGTCGTCTTCAGAAGAGGATTCCGAGCGGGGTCAGAAGCTCACGATCTCATGTACGTCGATGGGGTGCAGTTCTCGTCCTCAGGAGCGAGGAAAGTGTTGAGATGTTGCGGCAGTGTCTTCGCGCGCACCAACTTGTCCAATTCTAGGATCGTCTCGTAACTGGGGACTCTGCGGTGAGAGTTCGTTCCGTGATCAGCGAGAACACATCGCGAGTGAATGTATATCGCCATTCATAGTCTGTCAACCGAGTCAGCGACGAGGAACGAAGCTGCCGGATTCCATACAAGACATGCGCGGATCGCCGTTCTCATCCAGTCCTAGATCTTCGAACGCAGGGAACTCGCAGTCGACGTAAGACAACCGTATGGATGGCGGCCTGCCTAGTGCCACACTCTGCAACACTAATGAGAACAATACGACAATGAGGTGAAAACGCACTTGGAACAATTCTAGACTGAACATTTCCCAAAAGAGTGCTTTCGCTACATGTTGGCAAGACTGTGCGAATGGAAGATGCCACTCACAGCGCCGTCTATTGACAGTCTTCGGATCCATGTTCCATCGGGCACTATCTCTGTCTGCCAGATATTAGCCAAAATTTGACACATATGCAACGGAGCACTAACGTAGGCCGAGCTATGGTTGTGCTCAAGTAAAAACAAAGTAGCAGCACAGGTAGCAGTACGTACGCTTTGCCCGAGCTGGACACTGTTAAGAAAGCCGCGTGCGAGCATGGACAATCTGACAGACCTTAGAGCCTAAACAAATCAGAGTCCACTGTACCAAGATCTAAATTCAAAGTGGACGAGTGCAGCATGCTGAAGGATCTTACTGAACTGTCAGCGGTGTAGTTTTTGCCCCCGATGTTGTGATAAGAGGCAAGCAGAACGACTGCTTGTACGGTTGCGAGCTCTGGTGAATCAAACACGGATCTCAAAGCGAGAGCGGCTCGGCTTGCGTGATAGTAATGGTCGGACTCAACACTATCTGTGGAAGATAAAAAAAATAATATTCAGCGATCGACAAGAGCGCACCAGGCTCGAGAGTCAGATCGACTAGAGCTCCAAGGGCGAATAGCATGAGTAACACTGCAAGTCTATGCGGGGAGATCGTGTGAGGAAAGTCGCTCGCGTCCGTCCAGCTCTGCCTTTCTCGGAGGGACTTGTATATCGGGGTCAGAAAATCGTCAATGATCTCTTCCCGATTGAGTGGGCGGAAGCTCCAAGAACATTGTTCGAGATATGTTTCACATAGTGTCCACGCTCGTGGTTGGTCCGGAAGATACTCGAACAAGAGGTCGAGGGTCCGGCCAGGCGGCCCTCCAGCACTGAAGGGGAAGGAATTCGATAATTGAGCGATTTCTGGGTTGAGCGGCGTCGTGTCTTCCTGGGTCGGCGACGACGCTATATCCAACTCGGCTCCCGCCTGTTTGGATGTCCCTCTTCTGAAGCAACGAGAGAAGCACCGTTACTTACCAGCAGCAAAGTCTACGCGACTGGTCAGTCTCCAAAGATCGTTGATGGATGATTGGGACGAACCTCAGAACCCGCAGATCTACCAAAATACTTTCCTTCTCCGTCATCGCCAATCGTCAACGTACCTAGCGCGTCAATCGAATCCATCGAAGCCTCTCTTGATTTCGGTTTTCTGTCGCCGGATACTCCCTTCTCAGGTCCAAATTTGATAGATAATAACTCGTCGCGAAGGAGCGGATGTGTGCTGCACACGACTTGAATCGGAGTGGTGAGAAAGATGAGAAGAAGCGCAACTCGTGGGAGCCTGTGGAAGACTGGAAGATGGCTAGAGCATCCTCGAGTTGCCGGATTCGCTGTCCCATCTCTCCGATCTTGCCATACAAGTGTTCCGTCGATGCGAGGACGAATCGCGTACCCTGAACCGGGATGATCAGTGTTCGGGTTCGAGACCACGCCGTCATAAGTCGAACAGACGATCCAGCCTTCGTTTACCTGACTGGAGAGGCTACCATTGGGACAGATGGAAGGACATCCTCGCCGAACTGACGGTGTGAGATCCACTGGACTAGGAATAATACTAGGACGTACTACACGAGCTGCACGGCAGTTTTTTATCGCATTTCAACTTCAACCTCCGGCACTCCGCGCAAGAGAGCTAAGGTGAGTCAGTTTTCTCTCCGGACCCGGATGAGTCCAGTCGGCAGATACCTCTCCCCGTGCGCGCCTGATATCCGTGTCGTCCTCTGCAGTCGACTTTCGTATTGAGCGACGAGGGGGATCGACGGGCATGACGGTAACTGCAGCTCCCTGAAGCCTACGGTAGTGAGAGCAGAGAGGGTTATTTAAGTGTACAGCGGGGGTGTGACATCATCAAGTATATAGCCGGTCAGCTTCCGAGACATTGAATATTAGTAAGGTTTAGGAGTGTCAGCACTGGCAGAGACTGGCAGGCGGTGGCAGTCCACTCGTGGACCGTTTGGCCGCCGGATGTGCAGCCGGTGAATGTGATTCTCTGTTGCCTTGCTTGTCAAGGCTTCTCCACCCTCATAATTCGTTTGATCCGGTTGCACGCGGTTTGATCCGATGTTCCGTATCATTCCGCATGTATTTGTGCAGTCTCTCGTTTGACCCTCATTCCATCGTTTATGCTTTGTTCCTTCACGTGTATGTATCGTCACGAAGGCTATACGTGCTGCGGTGGCAGAGGGGTTAGAGTCTGACGCCGAGACAGGTTATGACTTTGGATTGTGGCCAACGAAACACGAAGCGGCGTGAGCCGCCCTCGAGGAGATCGAGACCACCGGGAAATTGGTCATCAATAGACTGCCTGCGTACACGTTTGATGGGCAATTGATGGAGCCAGAAGAGTACATGAGCCTGTTGCCGGGTGCCACCGTTGCGCTGACGTTTGAATTGACGCACTGGGCGTTCAAAGAACACAAGCGCGACCACTTCACAGCGAACATCGTCAAAATATGTGTCATTGAAGAACGACGCCAGCTCGCTGTGTCTCCGAAAAAGCGCCGCTGGGCTGTGAAAGTCGACTTGGGTTCCAGCCCTGCCAAGAAGACCCGCTCAAAATGAGGGGTGCATACAAATCATTGTAATTGTATCGTTTCTATTGTAACTTGTGACTGCTATTGAGTTGGTGCTTGTAAGAAAAAAATGCAAGAGCAAGCAAGGCTTCTGCCGGCGGAGGCGGCGCTCTAGTTTGTACGCGTTTCTTAATCCCCTCGACATTCAAGGTTGCTCTGGTTCGCGAATTTCCCTGCACACTCCGGCCATCGCAACACGTCAATTATGCACATCAGAAATCTCGCCTGGCTCGCTCCGTCTTTCGCGACGATCTTCCCTGGTCTGTTTGTCGACGCAGCAAGCGTGAGCTCTACTGGTCTGCAATCTTCCTTTGCACGCGCCGCCGTCGGAAGCAAGTATACGAAAGCGCACGTGCTGGGCGACTCGTACAATTCGTCGATGTTGCGAGACTCTCCCGTCGGATTGAGCGGCGTCTCGAGCCAGCAGAGATCTCCGGCTTCGAAATCATCATCGATCTTGATGACTTGGACATCCGGAGCGGCGCGAAGGTAGATCTGATGTGGAAGGATCAGGCGGGCCGACACACACACACATGCACTACCACCGCCCCACCTCGATGAGTGCATGGCACCCGTGGTACCCGTCCGTAATGGCGATTCTCTTAGGTTTGAAGTGGACGATAGCCTAGCCGTTCGTTTGTGAGATGGATGCTACATACATCACAACGACGATGAAGGTTAACTGACGGCATAGCTCGCAGCCAGCCCCGAGGCGCAGGTCAGGGCGAACCCATGCTGCCGGACTGATAAGCAGGAACACATTGGTCCAAACTCTGGACAGTGATGGCCTCAAGGCCATGATAAGTGTGCTCTTGAATCTTTTATCGATATACCGGACGTGAAAATCAATGTCATTAGACAGGTGTGATGTTGTTATGGTCCTCTTCCAACAACCCAGAGAAAGACTTTTTCATAAACGACTTCCACTGCTCATCGATGCCAGCGTCCCCGAACATAAGGAAGTCGATATCAGATATATCTCTGGGCTCCGCAACAGGTTGCACATCATACTGGATGGGATCTAGAAGAGTCGCAGTCATGATATTGGTGTAGTCTTGTCCGTAACTGGCGTAGGAGTAGGCAGGAGTGGCTTCACGTGGGAGTGGCTGCATCTCAAGGCCAACTGTCGAAGAGCTGGTGTTGTCCATCAGATACTCAGGTGTGTGCGGAGCAGGCACAAAGAGTGACAGATAATCCACAAGAGAGGGATGCACATCGGGCATCGCATCCAAAGTAGGATTGGTTAGACTCGAGCCATGTGTTTGAGTCGTTCGTATCCCTGAGTGGTTGGGTGTTGACACGACTCCTCTCGAAGCCGATTCTTGCTTCTTCCTGGAGATCAGCTTGCTGACCAGAATCCTGGTCTGGCCTCCGAACAAGGCCAATTCGTCTTCTCCGTAGTCTTGGGTTCCTACACCAAAGCTAGTCATTGGAGGTAGTGCAGGATTACCACCGCAAAATTGGGAGTAGACCTGGTAAGCTTTGTCCCGGAGTTTGCATAGTATGGCCTAGATGATGTATAGCGTGGACTGGATGCTATAACAGATATGTGAGACGTACGAGCCCACTTCTTGCTCGGCGTGACTGTTTAGCACCCTTGTCGAATGAGTCGCATACTAAATCCAGTTCAATGAAGGCAGCGGCAGCCATGCTGGCAGACGGCGATCGGGTGACGATACTACCCACAATCATCTGCCCGTGAGTCAGTGTCTCGGTCCTGCCATCCGTTATTTATCCTACTGCAGCAGAGAACACTGCCGAAGATGGGGATCAGCAGAAACTAGAGAACTGATCAGCGCACTGACTATGCGTCCAGATCATCGACCAACGACAAGTAAGTTCGGGAAACCTACCAGGTCAATCAGTCGAACTAAATCCAGTCACGTCACGACGTCACTGTACCTCTCGAAAAGATTGAGGTAGCCTTTGATCATTCTAGACGCACAACGATATGCTGCACAAAAGGATGGTGCATAGGGACTACGGAGTGGATTTTCAGGGTGGTCCAACATCGCTTGTGCGAAGAAAGTCCGATGGATGTAGAGTAATGCTGACCAAAGTAGTGACGTGACCGTGCTGGTGAGATGAACCACTCACCCACAGCTCGAAATTGACCCAGAAGGCAGCTGGGTCGTCTTCAGAAGAGGATTCCGAGCGGGGTCAGAAGCTCACGATCTCATGTACGTCGATGGGGTGCAGTTCTCGTCCTCAGGAGCGAGGAAAGTGTTGAGATGTTGCGGCAGTGTCTTCGCGCGCACCAACTTGTCCAATTCTAGGATCGTCTCGTAGCTTGGGGACTCTGCGGTGAGAGTCCGCTCCGTGATCAGCGAGAGCACATCGCGAGTGAATGTATATCGCCATTCATAGTCTGTCAACCGAGTCAGCGACGAGGAACGAAGCTGCCGGATTCCATACAAGACATGCGCGGATCGCCGTTCTCATCCAGTCCTAGATCTTCGAACGCAGGGAACTCGCAGTCGACATAAGACAACCGTATCGATGGTGGCCTGCCTAGTGCCACACTCTGCAACACTAATGAGAACAGCTTGAAGCAATCCTATACCCAAGCACCTGAAATAATTCCGCACTGAACATTTCCCAAAAGAGTGCTACAGCTGCATGTTGGAAAGCACGCGCGAATAGAAGATGTCACTCACAACGCCGTCTATTGACAGTTTTTGGATCCATGTTCCATCGTGTACTATCTCTATCTGTCGTAAATTGAGAAAAAAGTTGACGCATGCAACAGAGGACTGACGTAGGCCCAGCTATGATTATGCCGGAGTGACAAAAGAGAAGCAACGCAGGTAACAGCACGCACGCTTTGACCGAGCTACCTGCGGTCATGAAACCCGCGTGCGAACATGAATGGTCTGACAGACCTTAGAGCCTAAAGAAATCAGAGTCCACTGTGCCAAGGTCGGACTTCAGAGTCGACAAGTGCAGGATGTTCAAGGATCTTACTGAGCTATCAGAGGTGTAGTTTTTCCCGCAGATAGTGTGATAAGAGGCAAACAGAAGAACTGCTTGTACGGTCGCAAGCTCCGGCGAATCAAATACGGATCTTAAAGCGAGAGCAGCTCGGCTTGCGTGATAGTAATGTTCGGATTCAGCACTGTCTGCGGAAGATAAACAGAAGATAACTCGAAGCTCGACGACAACGCACCAGGCTCAAGAGTCAGATCGACTAGAGCTCCAAGAGCAAATACCATGAACAATACTGCCAGTCTATGCGGCGAGATCGCGTGGGGAAAGTCGCTCGCTTCTGTCCAAATCCGCCTTTCTCGGGACGATTTGTATATCGGGGTCAGAAAGTCTTCGATTATCTCTTCCCGGTCGAGTGGGCGGAAGCTCCAAGAACATTGTTCGAGATATGTTTCACACAGTGTCCACGCTCGTGGTTGGTCCGGAAGATACTCGAACAAGAGGTCGAGGGTCCGGCCAGGCGGCCCTCCCGCACTGAAGGGGAAGGAATTCGATAGTTGAGCGATTTCTGGGTTGAGCGGCGTCGTGTCTTCCTGGGTCGGCGACGATGCTATATCGAATTCGGCTCCCGCCTGTTTGGATGTCCCCCTTGTGAAGCAACGAGAGCACCGGTACTTACCAGCAACAATGTCTACGCAGCCTCTCAGTCTCCAAAGATCTTCGATAGATGGATGAGACGGACCTCAGAACCCGCAGATCTACCAAAATACTTTCCTTCTCCGTCGTCGCCGATCGTCAACGTGCCTAATGCGTCGATCGAATCTATCGAAACCTTTGCTGATTTTGGATTTCTGTCATCCGGTACTCCCCTCTCAGGTCCAAACTTGATCGATAACAACTCGTCGCGTAGAAGCGGGTGTGTGCTGCACAAGACTTAGACCAGCAACAATAACCAAGATGAAAAGCGCAACTCATGGGAGCCTGTGGAAGACTGAAATATAGCCAGGGCATCTTCGAGCTGCCGAATTCGCTGTCCCATCTCTCTGATCTTGTCATGTAGGTATTCCGTCGATGCAAGGACGAATCGCGTGCCCTAACGAGTTGATCAGTGTTCGAGTTTGGGACCGTGCCATTCGAGTTTGATGGACGGACGGACGAATTCTTGATTTAATAGTACCTGACTCGACAGACTACCGTTCGGGCATATAGAAGGACATCCTCGACGAACTTACGGCGTGAGTTCTACTGAACTAACAGTGAAACCAGGACATACTGCACGAGCCGCATGGCAATTTTTTATCGCATTTCAACTTCAACCTCCAGCATTCCGCGCAAGAGAGCTAAGGTGGCTTAGTTTTCTCTTCGGACCCGGATGAGTCTGGTCGGATAGATACCTCTCCCCGTGCGCGCCTGATTTCCGTGTCGTCCTCCGCGATTGACTTCCGTATTGAGCGATGGGAGGGATCGATGGGCATGGTGGTGACTAAGACTCATACAGTAGTGAGAGCCGAGAGGGTTATTTACGTGCAGAGGGTGTGACATCATCACCCCCAGTAATGCATATAGCCGGTCAGCTTTCGAGAGTAGCGACATTGAATATTAGTAAGGTTGGGGGGTGTCAGCCCTTGCAGGCGGGTGGCGGTCCATTCATGGGCCTTTTGCCCGCCGGCTATCCGGTCGATGAATGTGGTTCTCTGTTTGTACACGTGGTTCTTGATCCCGCCCTCGACATTCAAGGTTGCTCTGGTTAGCGAATTTCCCTGCACACTCCGGCCATCGCAACACGTCAATCATGCAAATCAGAACCCTCGCCCCGCTCGCCCTGTCTCTCGCGACGATCTTCCCTGGTCTATTTGTCAATGCAGCAAGCGTGAGCCATACTGGTCTGCAATCTTCCTCCGCACGCGCCGCCGCCGGAAGCAAGTATACGAAAGCGCACTCACTGGGCGACTCTTACAAGTTCGACCCACGCGACGGATGGCGAACGCTCAACGCCAGTGATGCCCAGTACAAGTACCGACGCGACAAGGCTCCCGCTCTCAAGGCGAACGACAAGTCGAAGGCAGTGGGCCCTCTCAAGACAATCTCGGATGGGGTGCAAGTGCTGAGTGGTATATGGAAGGGTCTCAAGGGCATCGGTTCTCCTTCCTCAGTGACGATCACTTGGTATGTGACGTCTCAAGCTTCCTCCCCAATTGCTCAATGCCGAAGGTACACGGGTCACGATCTTCTCAATCCGAGTTGTTGGGCGAAGACCGACTGGGCTCCTACGGTATGCGCCAGGATCATACAACTTGACAGAACTCATCGTGACCCTGACAGGACCAGTCTTTCGTTTGTGCTGTGACGATGGAGGGCTGGACGGACAAACCTCAGTGTTTCAAGTTCATCGAAAGTATGTCAATTCGACAGGAAAGCAGTGCTCATTCATCATGCGTTCAGTATGCAATAAACCACAAAAATGCATCTTTGTTCGCGTCGTCGATACTTGCGCAGGCTGTCGCACGGGTTCTCAACATCTTGACCTTACGCGAAGGGGATTTGCAGAACTTGCCGATCTTGACACAGGTATTCTTACTGTCTCTTGGCGGGAAGCCTCTGGCCCAGATGATTGGTGGGTTTCTTTGAAGGATCTGCACGCATTTCTCACCATCATCACTGGCAGGAGCGAAGATCTCTGGGGACCCAAAAGCTGAGCGACACACTCCATCAACAACCTAGATTCGTCTGCACATACTACTGTACTTCTATCTCACACTGTAGCATTCATTGTAACTATCCATTTCAACCCTATGCCTGCAAAGTGACGCGCTTACGCTTCTTCCCTTCGGCAATCTTAGCCTTGACCTTTTCCTCGTCCATGCCCTCTTCCTCGTAGAACTGTGCGACTCGCTGAGAGTCATTGCGCCGGCGGATGTACTGTAGAGCTGCAAGGTTATATCCGATGAGATCCTTCTGTCTCTGCAGAGCACTGCGCAGATTCTTCCGCAAGGGCATCAGTGCAGTCCTCATGATACGATTGGCGACGATCTGATGGTGATGTGTTTTCAGCAAGAAGAAGAGAACGCGAGAGACGAGTGTGATATTCCAGTCCTTAGGCCTGGGGTCAGCGACGGTCACACTGAGCAGAAAGGACCTCACTCGTTGAGCCCAGATGTTCAAGTAGTTCATTAGCGAAACAACCTTGCCAAAAGGTAAAACGAGCAGAGCGTCTAATAACGCTGTGCTCTGGATTCTTTCAACGACACGAAGAACCCAGGCTTCGGGCTCCAGGTCGTACGCGGCCAGTACAGCATTCCGGGGCGGCGGCGCAAGCTGAAGAGATTCGTTCTGTCCCCGAGAAACGGCCTCCTCGTATTCTCGGAAAATGGCTCGCTCCCCGTCGGCGAGATCCAACGCTTCAATGATGCGCTCTCCGGCCATGAGGGTTTCGGTCGTCTGCTTGGAAACAGTAGTGGCCTCTGTCGCCGGTCTCTCTGAATCCTGGTTGAGTCCTAGCGGTCCGCCCGATTCCTTGTTCAGTGTGTCCGCGATCCCAGTTTCATAGATCTTCTCGAGTTCTTTTTCCCTCTCCTCTTCGAGGAACAACTGAAAGTAGTGTTGGCAAACCTCCGCATGCAGGGGAAGGATGGCCTACAGGCTCGTCTAGCTTCTCCCAGACACGGATCGATTTGTCATGCGACCCAGTGACTACGAAGTCACCACGGTTGCTCAGCGTCAAAGCCCAAACTTCGCTATGATGGCCGTCTAGTTTTTGGATGTTTTCGAACTGAAAACGTTTGAGTCTGCAATGGACGAGAAGGGAGAGGATTGCTACCTTATCTCCGTCCCAGTATTTGAGCAGCTTGTCTTTCCCTACCGTCCAGAAGTAGTGGGATTCGTGCTCAAATGCCACCTGCATCACACTCTCGTCATGGGCGAATATGGATTTGTGGCAATCTCCGAAATCAAGACCCCAGATCTTCACATTTTTGTCGGCTGAGCAGGTCACGATCAGCTTAGAGTCATATGAAATGTCCATGGACAGAACAGGCAGCTACGTTGCATGGGTAAGCAAGGGTAATAATTGGATGAGCACCAAGTACCTTGTGACCGTAGAGAGACAGGAAGAACTTGAGCGTGTCTTGATAGAACACTTTCACAGTCGAGTCCAGGAGCGCCACAGCTAGCAACTTCCCGTTGGGGCTGTATCGCACAGAAAGCACATCGTCAGTCATTTTCAACGTCCTGATGTGGGCTAGAGACGACTGGGATCCATTCAGCACCGTTATGCGGCGGCGACATCAACTGAAATGACCCACAATGTTGCCAGTGTTTCCCTGCTGCTCAAACTCCCAGAATTTGACATCTTTGTCTGCACTGCCACTAACCATGGCCTTCTCATCTGGCCTGACCTGCAGCGACCAGACAGTTCCAGTATGAGCTTGAACCGTTTCAACCAGTGACGAGGAGGCCAAATCAAAGATCATGATCTCCCCTGCCTTTGTTCCGACAGCGATCTGCGGTAGCTGAGGATCCCGCAATTCGGTGTTAGATGGGTAGACACATACCTGGCGGTCTCCAGGTAAAAACGTACTGCAGATCGCATATCCACATTGCATGGTCCGAATGCACGATGTCGTTTTCATATTCCAGATCTTCAACGAACCTAGTCACAAGATAGGTGCTGGGCGTAGTTGAAATTGAGAACCGTACGAACCATTTGAAGCTGAGGCCAGGAGCCGATCATCTGAGCTGAGGCAGAGCGATCGGACATCGGTACGATGGCCGGGGAGATCTACAGAAAATTGTCTAGTCGCCTGTGGCGGTTCTTCCTTCGACTTGACCGGGGGAGGGACGTTATACACTTCCAACGCGTTGGAGCTCAATGCGACAAAGAGCTAAGACACGATATGAATGAGATCAGGCCCACGTCTAGAACGGAGATACAGACCTGGAAGCTCGACTTGGAACCCGCCTCCACTGGACCGAATGCAAAAGAGCGGATTTTCCCCGTTGCTCGGACAACAACATGGGGAGTGAAGAGATCCACCAATTGAACCTCTCTCTCAGGTTTCTCATCGGGAGTGTCTTTGCCCTTTTCCTTCGCGCGCTTACGACGACGAGCTTGCTTCGCTCGCACTTCCTCCTCGGTTCGAATGCGAAATATTTCAACGGAACGGTCGTGAGACTGAACGGCAAGGTATGGTTGTGTAGGGTGGAATGAGACCTGCGAGACACGGTGCTGGGAAGAGAGGGGCAGATTCGATACGCTATGAATCATCTTGGCGATCTGTCGGCCGGTTGAGCGTGGGTCAAGGAAGAAGTGTGAGAGAAGACGCACCTCGCCTGTCTCCATTTCTTTCAGGCCGTCGGCGAAGGCCGCATGATCTAATCTCCATGCTTTCAACTCGCCATCGCCACTGCCTGTGAAGACGAGGTTTTGCTGAGGATCGACGCTCATCGTCCATATCTCTCCTCGGTGGGCCACGATCGTCTGAACACAATGCTGAGTGGAAAGATCCCACAACTTGAGGAATGTATCTTTTGACGCAGTGAGAAGAAGACCCGAGGAGGGTGCAGTCGAAGTTGACGGCGTATTGTCAAGCATAGTGATGAAATGGAGCGCAGTAATTTGGTCTCTGTGACCACGAAGACTATAGAATGCGCTCAGCGCGAAAAAGCAGTCGTAGTCAAAGATATCGCACCGATACAGGCCCGACTCCGCCACTACATCCCAAACTATGATGTCCGTGTCCTGAGATCCCGAAGCTAAACGTGTGCCGCGATCGTCAAAAGCCAGAGCTGTGACGGATTTTTTGTGCCCGTTGAAGGTTGTAATGACCGAGCCCGTCCCGGCACTCCAGAGTCGAATTGAGCCATCAGCGTATCCTACCGCGAAGGTGTCTCGTTGGGGGGACCGCAGCACGACAGTGACTTCTGCACGGTGGCCGGTTTCATGCCACATTGCAACCATTTGGCCTTTTTTGACGTCCCACACGAGGATATCCTCAAGAGCAGGAACATATGCATATTTTCCATCGTAGTCCGAGTTCGACGATGCACTGCAAACGATGCCGAAAGCCTAAAACAGACAAATTAGCGGAGGAGATCATCGTTAATGACGGTGTTACCTGCGTGGGCCCGTGGCGAAGATAGGACGCGACCATAGCGACGTTCGCGTCGAAACTTGGTGCAGGAAAAGTTCAAATTTCCCGAACAGAAAACATTCCCGAGCTGCTTCGGAGATTGCCGAGTACACTTGGTCGTGCGACTTCGAACGCACAATCCGCGCCATGCACATCATGCCTTCCGCTGCCATTCCAGGACCCGAGGCCGCGCTACGTCTGCTGCAGTTTGTCAACGCCTCTCCGACGCCGTTCCATGCGGTACACAACGCTGCTGCGCGGTTGGAGAAAGCCGGTTTCCAGAAGATCTTGGAGAAGGATGCCTGGGAGAAGAGCATTACGGTGAGCTAGGTAACATGGCACCCCGTTCCTCAAGTCTAATCCGAATGTGTGTATGAATTCAGCCCGGCGGAAAGTACTACTTCACACGAAACCAAGCTACCCTCGTCGCATTCACCCTGCCCGCCAATTATAAACCCGAGGAAGGGACCGGCGTAAGCATTGTTGCGACACATGTCGACTCGCCGAATCTCAAGGTTCTTCTTGTTCTCCCCTCCGATGTTCTTAAATCTGATTAATTCACAGGTCCGACCAGTTTCCAAGCGCACCAAGGAAGGCTACTTGCAGGTTGGCGTTGAAACGTACGGAGGGGGTCTATGGCACACATGGCGCGTGCGATTTGCCTAACTACGCTATTATCGGTTGTTGATTAGTATCCAGGTTCGATCGGGACCTCTCTCTCGCTGGGCGTGTCGTCACTGGAAACGCGGGTAATTTCAAGTCCAAGCTGCTCAAGATCGATCGTCCGATCCTGCGAATCCCTAATCTGGCCATTCACTGTTAGTTTGTACTGATCTGAAGAGCCTTATCTGGGGCTTATCTGTCCAGTGGACCGGGACGTAAACCAGGGTTTCAAATTCAACAAGGAAACCGAATTTGTGCCTATTCTAGGCCAGATTGCTGCTCAGTTCAACGAAGCACCCGCTCAGGCTGCAGACGACAAGGGGACAAACAGCATCAGGAACAACCACCATTCGGCTCTTTTGGATCTGCTTGCGACAGAGCTGAGCATTGCCCCAGAGGAAATCTACGACTTTGAGCTGTGAGCTGTCTTGTTCGACTCGGGTATAAGCTCAACGTTGCAGGTCTCTTTACGACACTCAACCCTCCGTACTGGGAGGCTTGAATCATGAATTTATCTTCAGTCCTCGGATGGACAACCAGTTCTCTTCGTGCGGTGTCCTCTTGATGCTAACAACCTACCGCCTACTGACCAATTTCTCACTCAGATTCTGTGCGGTCGAGGCTTTGGCCCAGTACGCCACCAGCCCTGAATTCGAGGGCTACGAGGGCAATGTGAACTGCATCTCTCTCTTCAACCATGAAGAGATCGGCAGTGTCTCCACAACTGGGGCAGAATCTTCTGTTCTCCCGTCTTTCATTAACCGACTAGCGCCATCTCCGGGAGCAAATGCTCGGAGCATCGCGCAATCGTTCCTTCTTTCGTGCGACATGGGCCATGCTGTTCATCCCAACTACGCCTCGAAACACGAAGACAACCACAAACCCGTCATGAACGGTGGTGTGGTGATCAAGACGAATGCGGGGCAGCGCTACGCTTCAGATGCCGTGACTACTTTCGTAGTACGCCAATTGGCTGAGCGGAAAGGCGGCAGAACGCAAGAGTTCGAAGTCCGTAACGACATGTGAGAATCTGAGCAGGTGGAGGCCCATGACTAACCTTCTGCGCTACTCACTACTCAGGTCATGCGGGTCGACCGTTGGGCCTGGGCTGTCGGCATTAGGCCTCAAGACCTGCGATGTCGGATTTGGGCAGCTTTCGATGCACTCCATTCGTGAGACAGCTGGATCTCACGATGCCCAACATGCCATCGACCTGTTCCGTTCTCTGTTTGAGAACTACGCTCAGATCCAGTCAACCCTGACGGTAGATTGATAGTGGTACATGTCATGCAATGCAAGGGCTCTCATCCTTTCGTTCTAATTCGCTTGCTACTATTTGTGCTCTCGGTCGCGGCCGAGTAAGGTCCAGCAGGGGAAGATAGCACAGTACGCTTCTTTGATGTCCGGGCATAGTGTGCCAAAACCCATTCTCGCTCTGCCTCATTCTGTTCAAATGTACCTTGTCGAATTTCATACGCTGGATCACAACAATCAGCCTCGATGCAGTACATGGGAAATGGACCAACGTTTCATGTCGAATCTGGGCCCAACCTCTGCAAGTTGGACTTGCCTCGAAACTTTTACAAAAACATGATGCCTGCAATTCATATAAATATGCAAGCCGGTCATGCGCAATCAAGCACTTGACCTGAAGGAAATGAAGTCGTTCTCATTCGAGAAGGTCATCACACGCTTGCTGTCTTCTTTTGGCACTGGGAAGAGAAATTTCAAGACGTCGCGTATTCGTTCGCCCAGTCTTGAGCTGAAGTTCTCGAATATGAGATGCGGGTACTGTTCAGACACGGTGGAAGACTTGTACGATCCGATATCGTGCCTCAGGGTGACGTTGTTGAGGGTGAAGTAGACTGTCGGACCATGGGGGAAATGAGAAACAATCATGGCGTCTGAATAGGGACATCTTTCAGCGCAAGCCCTAGAGTATCTGGATGTGACGCACCTGGCACACCACGATGCTCATGTAGTACTATGAGATCTGTCACTTCGTTTGCCCTGCATGCGTCAGCCAACTCCTTCACGACGTAGTTTCCTCGGTTGATGCGGTGTGAATTAGGAAACACTAGGCGCATTTCCTGAGTAGTAAGATGAGTATCATCAGTGAAACTGAACCGATTGCCCACCTTGGCAAACTGAAGTAGTTTCGAGCTGGGATCTCGTGAAGTGGTGATGACAATTTTAGGGTCTTGTACCCCGGCTCTCGAATACTCATTGTCGATATGGCTGGTGGGATCTGTTCTGGTCAGAGTTTGAAGATTTGAGTAAATGAGACCTCCCACTGACCAGCTTGCGCCTCGTCCAGGGCTAGATCCTTCCCTAGCGCCTTTGCGTCTTTCTTGAGTTCGGTGGGCAGTGCTTTGCCGGTCGCAAGAGCATCTTTGAGCTGTTGCTTCCGCTCATAGGTTTGCCTCTCCTGGCTCTCGAGAGACTTGGCGTATACATATTCTCGACGCTCTCTGGCCTGTCGTCGCAGCATCTTGAGATTCAAGAGCAGAAAAATACGCGGTCACGTGAATGATGAAGATCACATCCATCAAAGCGTACTACAATTAATGCCAGCGAGTCTGGAAACGCATTGTGGGTCTGACAATTGAATCGCTTCTCAACCATCCTTATTTTACTCCGTTATCCTCCGGAACAAGTATTTAGACTATTTTCGCGCCTTCAAATGCAATTTGAGGTCATTGCTGAATAGAAACCTACAGTAAACAGAAAGGTATGCTCAGCCATCAAATTTCATCTCAAAGTCAAAGATGACCTTGAAAGAAGCAAATAAATGCCACTGCTGTAGTGACATTTTTTTGCTTCATATCCGCACGAAGATCGTGAGATGAGGCTTTGGGGCACACTGAGCATGTTCCTGCGTGCCACATTTCTTACGGGTTGACAAGACACAAGCGATTGACCAGCGACGGAGAATGCAGGTTTTCGGTAGAGTCGTCTATTGCGGTCCGTCGATTATGGTCCGTCGAGGGAGGCGGGGAGGAAAATCCATGAGATGCAGACGGCGTGATCTCTGGGAGGAAGGAATATGACATGCATAGTATCACAGCTATTGTTACATGAAAGCTCCCGCGTGCTTTTGTTTCTGCCGCATTCTCTCTGTCTGATGGCGGCCCCCAGTGCCTTGTATATATCGGCGACGGCTCGACTGCCTTCGGCTCCGGTGCACGACTTTCCTGCGTCTTTCTCAGGCTGTATCAGATCCCGGGCTAAATGTCTGGGCGAGGATCGAGATCGAATGTTACGTCGCGTAATCACGTCGAACCTCTTCACCTCACGGTTGTCAGCTTTTTTTCGATACGATGGCCCACATTTCCGAGAGGCAGGAAGACAATGAGATCACGTGCAAACGCGTCAGTAAAGGTACACAATGCCCAACACGACCATTTGATGTGATTCACAAAAGTTTGTTGAAGACGCGGACCAAACATTGACAAGCTGCACGGTAGTTGTTTAAAAAGCTCACGCTTTCCCGCTTATATTTCACCGGACTCCTCCTCTTCCATCCAACACTACCCCACTCTCATACATTCAATGGCCTCTGTCCCTTCTGTCGCCCGCGCTCCCTCTCCCGACGTCTTTGCTACGCCGAGCAAGCAGGCGAGTACTCTTCAACTCCCACGCGTCGCGGGTATTGACATGACCCAGATTGCTTCGAAGGTTGCAGCCTTCTCCCTCGAGTCCCCTGTGAAGAAGATTGCTCCGCTCCAGCTCGTCGACGACGCACGTCGTTCTACATCGCCAGAGTCGGAGGCCGACGAGGAGGCCCGTCTCACCGAGTTGAGGAAGAAGTTCGTTGGCGATATTGATTTACCCGAAAGTGTGTATCTCTACACGCGTTGACGCGTCGTTGTCTGACGTGCCACCCTAGGCGAGGAGCCTCTGTTAAAAGAGACGCGTCGTCGCTTCGTTCTGTTCCCTATTCAGTACAACGAGGTGCGTGACGGCGTTGGGTTCCTCTATCTCATACTGACTGGCTTCGCGTCAGATCTGGCAAATGTACAAGAAGGCCGAGGCGTCTTTCTGGACAGCTGAGGAGATGGACCTGTCGAAGGACCTGCACGACTGGAACAACAAACTGAACAACGACGAACGTCACTTCCTTTCTCACGTGCTTGCCTTTTTCGCCGCGTCTGATGGCATCGTCAATGAGAACCTGCTCGAGCGCTTCTCGAATGAAGTACAGATTGCCGAAGCGCGGTGTTTCTACGGGTTCCAAATCATGATGGAGAATATTCACTCTGAGACTTACTCACTCCTCATCGACACCTACATCAAGGACCCTGCTCAGCGCGACTACCTCTTCGATGCTATCGAAACAATTCCCTGCATTAAGCGCAAGGCTGAGTGGGCCTTGAAGTGGATCACCGATGAACAGTCTACCTTCGGCGAACGACTGGTCGCCTTCGCTGCCGTCGAGGGCATCTTCTTCTCGGGGTCGTTTGCGTCTATCTTCTGGATGAAGAAACGCGGGCTCATGCCTGGTTTGACCTTCTCCAACGAGCTCATCAGTCGTGACGAGGGCATGCACACGGATTTCGCCTGCTTGCTGTTCACCCACCTCAAGCGTCGTCCTCACCCGGATACCCTGAATCGCATCATTACGGAGGCTGTTGCCATTGAGCAGGAGTTCTTAACCGGTGCGTTGCATCCTCACCCTTGATGGCCGTCTCACTGAGTTGTCCGTAGTCGCACTGCCTGTCAGTCTCATCGGCATGAACGCCAAGCTCATGTGCCAGTATATTGAGTTTGTCGCCGACCGCTTGCTAGTCGCTCTCGGAAACCCGAAGCATTACAACTCGACAAACCCTTTCGATTTCATGGAGATGATCTCGCTCCAGGGCAAGACCAACTTCTTCGAGAAGCGTGTGTCAGATTACTCCAAGGCCAACATCTCGAACACTGGCACCAATGCTGCTCAGACGTCAGCCAAGTCATTGTGAGTAATTTCTTCACCGTCTCCGATGCTTGCTTACTCACTTCGTTCGCAGTGTTTTGGACGAGGACTTCTAGTTAATTTTAATGACTGCATGCAACTTGTATCCATCGCTATTTAGTATTTACATCCCATGTCTCCGTCTCGCATATGTACTCTTCTTTAGACTTTGTACCATAGAACTCGATATAAATCAAAGACGCTGTTCACAAATGGTCAGAAATCCGGTGTCAGACATTGGCAGCTCGGTTCGGTCCGGAGCGTCATCGTTCTGGACTATGCCGTTCGCTTTCTTCATGCCATGTTATACAAACAACGCATGCTCCAGTAAGCAGGCTCCGAGCGTTCTCCACGGTGATGCCAGACACGGTAGCCACCGGGTATGCAGGACTGCCAAGTTTAGCTGGCAATCAAGCCCTTCAGGAACGAAAAGACAGCTGCACGACATATCTCAATCCCTGATCTTTTGTTTGCCGCGGAACGGTCGCGGTTTTCTTGTGACGACGACGCAGGCCTTGTACTGTCTTTTACTGCTCGCTCTGCGTCCCTTTCGGTCGTGCAAGGCTTCAGGGGAAGGCGATCGCTTGGTCACATATCTGCTCCTGGGAGTCTCAGGGGGTAACAATAACAGCCTCTCTTTTCATCTGTCGTAATCTCTCCCAGGTACTGATTCCCATCTTCCCAGTAGGCCTTCGATGGGCTCGGAAGGGTCACAAGTAGAGTGAAAGTCCATCTATAAGATCGGGAAGCTCCAAGCTTCTTAGGCGTTCTCCCATCACCTCCATCTCCGTCTCTTTCTGCCAATGTTCCGCAGCTGGAGGAAGAAAGACCGTCCCCAGACCCCCCGGTCTGTCTCGGAGGCTCATGTCTCGAAATACAAGGCACCCGACGCTCTCTCGAGCCCGCCCACAGTCGTTCCGTCCTACCACCAGAACTCTATTTCTGGAGTTGCCCCGGGCCACAGTCATGTGGACGACATGGACGATCCCTTTGCTTTAATCCCTCCGCCGGCAGTGCGGTCTCCTCGACAATCGGCCGCGCGGCGACCTCCCAACCGTCAGCCTCTAGAGCAGCCTCGACGGCCCGCCCGTCCACCGTCGCTTGATCTAGACTGGAATGATGCGGATATAAGGCATCAGAACGGGTCTATTGCCATGCCCAGTTCCAGTTCCAGCTCCAGTTCAATGAGGAGTCCGGTGAGGGCAATCCACCGCGTGCCCCAGCTTGATCATGTGTGGGAAGGCTTCATTCGAGATGCAGCAGAGGAAGAAACCAGGGAAGATCCGTTCCCATCTCAGCGACGTCTGGCGGCTGCATCGCACGCTGGCGGCCGTCCCAGCCTGCATTACACCAAATCGACGCCCTACCTAGCCTCGGGGCCCGCGCTCGATCTGGACTCCGACTCCGAGGCCTCGACAGACGAATCAGGGCAGAGCGAACGGCGCACATTAGCCCTATTTCCGTCGCCTCCGCCTCTCCGGGTCCGGCGGCGAGGAACACCGAAACCGCTTGTGCTGCACCCGACACCGAGCATAGCACCGCTTCCCCCTTCCCCGCTGTTAAGTTCTGGGGATTCCACGCCTGTAGCGACACCGACGACACCTCGGTCTTTCATTGACGCAGCTTCATATCCCGCTCGGCAATCCTACTCTCCTTCACGTCTTTCACCCTTGCCCAGAGATCCCAGCACGCCACCAACTACATCGCTTCGCCTTCGAACGGCACAGTCCGTGCCCCATTTGGCCCCGTTGAACGCCATCACGCATCGTAATGCGTCGAGCGACATCGCAGCCACTCAAAAGACACCAGCCGTCTTGCGTCCAGCCGGTCGCCCGGTATGTCTGGCATCCATTGAGTCCATATGTCATGTCTGACGTGTTTCTGCAGCAACCGCAACTCTCGCCGGCACCTCCGTCCCAGCCTTCTGTCAATGTTCATTGGGGATATGCCGTATAATCATGAACAGTCCTATTTATGCCAGTCGACAACGCGGTGTTAACTGGCCTGTGGCCGCAATCAAACGGATGTATTGGTATCATATGAACACACAAACCTAGATACTTTTTTCGGGTAATAGAGCACCGACCTGTAATCCCTTCCTTATTTGTCCTTCTTTGATTCCGGGACGGGCGTGCGCGACTGTTGGTCCTCGAGAACGGACATGATGATGTATGCGACGAGAACGACGTTGGCTCCAACGACCGCCGTCAGAGCGGCGTATGTTGCGTTGCCTGCGCATGGCGGTTAGGTCTTTTTTTAGCCCGCAACGCACGATGTACCATTCCACAGGTATTTCTGAGAAGCAAAGTAGGAGCCTAATGGGATTATTCCGAGAGAAAGCGTGAATGCGAGAAGCTTGGTTAATTGGGCGCTGCTGCTTTGAGAACGGTCGCCACGGGTCACAAGATACACGTTACCTTGCTACTGCATCCGCAGTCAACTTCCCCGCTGCGATCTGTTCGCTCATCTTGTGCTACTTGTGAGGGGGAAAGTAATGTAAGACTCAGGAGCATCACGTGTCGCAGTGGGTCGAATGATGGGAGATCTCTCATCTTATCAGCACCGCTATGATCCTCACATGGCATCTTCAGACCCAGGTACACACATGCTACTTGATACTACAACACATATTATGACTTGACTGAGCCTGCTTTCACAGGTGGCAGCTCCCAGCCCTCGCTGCCAAATCGTGGCGTGACAACGAGATCTCCTTTGCCGTTTTTTGTGGGCTTGGAGAAGGTGCACAGGGACGAATTGGCCAGAGACGAGATCCAGACCGGGTTGATGGCGGTCACACCCTTGATCCACAAGCGACTGGTCCGCACCACCTCACTGAAGACGACGTATTCGGGGGGTGACACGTTGAAGAGGACAGACGAAGGGTGGATGAAGACATCCTCGTTGATCCCCATGGCTCGGTATGCCACCCCTTTGGCTGTCGTGTATTGGGCTCCGGAGCCGCCGCTGCCGCTCTTGTCGAGTCGGTCCTTGCGCACGGCTACTTGGTCGATAAATCCTGCAGTGAGCAGCTGCCGAAGAACTTTCAGCTGCAGTTCGCTTGGAGGCTTCAGCTTCGGATCGAATCCAGCGTCGACACTCGAGAAGTTGGCCTGAACGATGTTGCTGATTTGGGCACGCAATTTATGAATCTCTTCCATCGCCTACGGGTCTGTCAGTCTCCCATTTGAAAGTGTTCGAGTGCTATGGCTAACCTTGGGCCGCACGAAATGCTGCTGGCAAAACTGCATTCCCCCGCCGGCAAACTCATATGCGCCGACGACAGACAAGATGCGGAAGACGTCGCTCGTGAAGTTGCCCAACGACGAATGTTGCTGGGTCCGATAAGATAAGATCGAAAGCAATGCCATGATAACCATCCACTCACATGCTGAGTCTTGTAGAAGTCCTTGCGGTCATCTTTGTCATTTTCGCCCAGGTGCTCGTTATGGAGGAACGGGTCGCCGACAGACAGTGCCGAGACAATGGATATGATGTACGGCAAGCACCCGTGCTGCTGTCCGCTGACCAACATCCTCGAAAAGCGCGGAGAGAGCGGAAACAAAGCCATCATACGCCCCAGGTCGGTGATTTGCCCATCGTTCTTGGCGTTTCCTTCTGCAAGGGCTCCAAGGTGGGTCAGTATGTTCTCGGCCTTGGCGAGTGTGGTCCGGTCCGGGGACGTGGGGAAAGGAAAGTTGACGACAGAATCAATGTGCATGCTTTTCATCTGGAGAACGACGCCTTCGATGGGCATCCGCGCGATTTCCGGCTGAGCGAACTGGTCGAAGTGATGCTCGAAGAGCGCGGACGAGAACAGCCGATAGCAGTGGCCAGGGCCCGTTCGGCCTGCTCGGCCCGCTCGCTGGGCAGCAGATGCCTTGGAGATCCAGCCCACCTGGAAGGCCTGAATGCCATTGGCGACATCGTACCTCCGCTGATTTGGCCGTCAGTTGATTGCGCTGTACGCTTGGCAGTCTGCATTACCTCTTTCGCTCGCCCGCAGTCCACGACATAGCGAATCCCCGGAATGGTGAGCGATGTCTCGGCTACGTTGGTCGAGACCACTACAAGCCGACTGCCCTCTGGAGGAGGCTGGAAGACCTGCATCTGTTTCTCGCTCGGCAGAAGCGAGTACAGAGGCACGACGTGCATCGGCACATCGCAGCCGTTTGAGTCGAGCCCAAGCTCTTTGTCCAACTGGTGTTCTTCGCTTTCTTCCTCGTCGGTATCCAGTGCTTCAGGATCATCCTCGCCCATTCCGTCATCCACGTCGAGGGCCAGTTCACCAGATCCAAGTTCAACATCTTCGGCCTCGACGTCGGCTGCATCCTGGTAAGCGATGAGAGCGATGAGATCCAAGGAGAGACTTGCCGTGCGCAGGCTGAAAGACGTCGACAGTGCTTTCGTCCTGTTCTCTCACCCGCCGCTTCCTCTCCAGAGCCTTGGCACCGAACTTGGCCTCCAGCTGTCGGCAAACTCCAGTGATCTCATTTTGTCCGGTCAGAAAGACCAAAATGCCGCCAGGCGGCAGACGCGTGTGGATTTTGGTCGCTTTCTTGACAGCCTCCGTGACGTAGTCACCGACGGTCCGCCGGCTGAAATGAACCGTTACTGGGTGCTGACGGGCCTCGACGACGATGAGAGGTGGAGGGGCTGGGAAGAGCGTCTTGTTCTGTACAAAGTCGTTCGTTCGTAACGTCGCTGACATGATGACTAGCCGCAGAGGCTGATTCCTTCTAAATGAACGACTTCAAAGACGAAAGGAAGCGTGTGCTCACCTTGAAGTCAGCTTTGTTAGCCAGCCACATTTCCTCGCGAAGTCTCAAGACACGACTGAGCACTCCAATCAGGATATCTGTGTTCATGCTCCTTTCGTGTGCTTCATCGATGATGATGACCGAGTACTTGGTCAGGAGAAAATCGGTCGCAAGTTCGCGCAGCAACACTCCGTCAGTCATGAATTTGATAGCCGTCGTTGGAGAGACCGTGGCGTCGTAGCGGATTTGGTAGGAAACACGCGATGTGGGCAATGCCATCTCGTGCGCAACTCGCGCTGCCATGGACATGGCGGCCACCCGTCGGGGCTGCGTAACACCGATCATGCCGGGGTTGTCTGTAGTTGATTGTCAGCTCAGATGCGTGGAGGACCAACGAAAACACTCGCCGCTTCCAGGCGAGCCAAATCCGTGCTCGTAGAGAAACTGTGGCACCTGGGTGGTCTTCCCGCTTCCCGTCTCACCAGAAATGACAACGACTGGATTCAAGAGAATGCTCTCCATGATCCGATTCTCCTCCCTCACTATCGGAAGTTCGCTACGAGCATCGTCCACATCCGGTGGGCGAGAGATGGTCACGTATTTCAGTGACGACGTCGAAGAGGACTCAAGCACGTGCTGGGCAAATGCGCCATTGGGGAGCTCGAGCGTTACTCCCAGGGGCCCATGTTTTGTTCCGGGAGGCTTCGGATCTGACAGTCTTCGCTTTTTCCTGGGAGGCTGTGTGGGCTCGTCTGCTTGGGGAGGTGTAATTGTAGGGGATGGAATTGTTGGGTCTGCTATGTAGCCTTTGGAAAGACTGAGCTGCTTTTGCGCCCAATCTTTGAACTTGACTTTCAGAGAGACTGCCGTTTCTACCGGTTCTGCCGGGTCATCTTCGGATAAGGGGGATTCATCCTCTTCTCGTTCAGAGGAAACATCATTCTCCGCTTCAGGCTCAGCTTCGTCGCCCGAACTGTCGTTACCAGAGTCAGAACTGTCAAATGATGAATCGGACTCTTCCTCCACGACAGGTGCCGGTCTATGCTTGCTCCAGCTTTTGAACGAGAGCTGATAGGTGACATCAGGATGGCTGGTCCGAAGTGAGTGCGGTACGCACCTTCTTATCTCGTTTTCTGGGAACAAACTTTGGCGCAACCACCGATCCATCCGCGTTGCGCTTCAAAGCGCTACCGACGGCGGTTGCGGAATTCACAGTGGGCGCTAGTTGAGGTACTGCACTGTCTTCCACCAAGTCAGATCTCTCGTCAGCGTCGTCCTCGTCGTCTTCGTCCGCTTCGATCACAGTGTAGGAGTCTGGCTGTCGGCGCCGTTTGGACGTCTGTCCGTCGAGAGCTCTTCGGACTTCCTTGTCTTCGGCTTTCGCCAGGTAGTCGCTATGCGATGTAGTCTTGCCTGTCCCGAGAGTCGAAGAAGATTGGAGATGGAACGAATTCGGCAATGTAGCCTGCGTTTGACTGTCTATACCGTCAACAGAGACAAAACGAGAATGGCTTCGACGCACGCCAGTTTTTCCAAGATCTGGACCCGTTCTTCCTTCTTGAGTTTCTTCTCCTATTCGACGTGTCGGAGGAGTTGGTCGATACGTTTAGTTGAACTCACGATATACTTGTCCAATCTCTTGCGCTTCTTGCTACTCCATTTGGATTCGGACTGAGCAGCAAGCTGCATCGATCCAATTAGTAGAAGATCCACGCAGCGGGCGATTCGGCGCACCTCTGCCCTTAATCTCTCCTTCCGACCCAACTCCACCTCCTCCTTCGACTTCGGGATGAATATAGGTGCATTCGCGTCGAAACCGTCATCTCGGATAGGATTCTGCTTCCTCTTGCCCTTCTTTTTCGAGCCTCCGGCGGTCGACTGTCGCGCGCGAGCGTTGTACTGCACGCGAGGCGGAGGATGGCTCATGCCAAAATTTTGAGAGCGATTTGATGGCGGGGCGGCCTGATGATCGACAGGCATCACAGCCACTTGATCAAAACCCCGTGTAATACCCTTCGTGTCTCTGAAACGTGTCTACCGCTCGAAGGGCTTGCGAACGCGTTCTATGGAGTCAACACATACGAGAGACGCGTCCGAGCCGCCCAAGTCTCCGACGAAAGCCTCGGCGTCGGCGCACTCGTCGTGGTTTACATGGAACCTGGACAGCACGGAATATGATCTGTTGCTCCTCTCGACTTGCGTAAAGTTACTTCTGTTCCCGGCCTAGTAAGTCCCCGCACCTGCAATTTAGCATGTTATTAATGTCGCTATAGTCGGTCTACAGACTTCGAAGTCCATCGCAATTGGCTTGCGATCACACACTCCCTTCCCATATCCAAGTGGTATTACGACGTGTGTCACATTCCCTTTCTGTTAACCAGTGAGCTGAACATGAAATAGACAACATCAGAGTGGAGTGAGGGTCTCGTCATTTGCATAGAATGCTTGTTGATCTCCTGGAAGCGCTTGACTACCCTCCCTTCTTCGCATACTTCGAAAAGCTACTTTCGATTCCCGCTTCCTTCATCGACCCTGCTATCGTCGACCTTAACAATCTCAACTACGACTCTTGGAGCGTGATTGCGTACCAAAGAAGCACGGTCATTGTATCTGAATTGGTTCTGGGCGCCGTTCTCCTCCGGTTGGTCGAATTATACGTGTCCACTTGGCCACTGACGCGCAATATGTAGATTCATCCGTGGTTCCGTCGATCCACCAACACAACGCATCATATCAGCTTCTCTCTTCCTCCATCCGGGTTTCTTGATCGTGGACCACATACATTTCCAGTACAATGGATTCATGTTCGGTATCTTGCTGTGGTCAATCCTCATGGCTCGCAACGTGGGTTTCCGACATCGTGTGGTCTTCGTGTGGAACTCACCCGAATAGGGCAATAAACTAGCAAGTGGTATCCTTTTTGCGGTGCTGCTCAATTTCAAGCACATCTACATGTACCTGGCGGTCGGTCATTTCCGCTCCACATCCAAGTTAAGGTCGGCTTACCTCTGTCATTCAGCCCGCATACTTTGTGTATCTCCTGCGCTCCTTCTGCATGTCGCCCAGCGGACAGATCGAGATCAAGAACTTTCTTGCGCTTGCCAACGCCGTGATCGCGATTTTCATCGTGTCTTTCGGGCCTTTCATCGTGATGGGCCAGATCCCACAAGTGCTGTCTCGCCTGTTCCCGTTCACCCGGGGCCTGAATCACGCATACTGGGCCCCGAATGCATGGGCGCTGGTTACCGCTGCTGACAGGGTTCTCCTGCGATGTGAGTAAGGTACCTAGTGACCAAATTTGATGTTTACTCTGCTCCAGTTGCGTCTCGGCTAGGTGTCGATGCATCCATTAATGCCTCCGGTGTTGCTTCGACGTCTCGTGGACTAGTTGGCGATACAGTTTTCGCAGTGCTCCCGAATATCAAGCCCATCCACACCTTCATCATAACGGTTGCCTTCCAATCGGTTGCACTGGTCAAACTGTGGTTCACTCCGACATACAAGTCTTTCCTGACGGCTCTGACCCTTTGCGGTTACGCGTCCTTTTTGTTCGGCTGGCATGTCCATGAGAAAGCTATCTTGCTCGTCCTCGTTCCGCTCAGGTACATCAGATCTTCTGCAGAAATCTCCTCGTCGTTGTCTGACTCGGTTGCAGCTTGTTGGCCGCCGAAAGGCATGCGTATTTCCGGACATTTGTTATAGCCAGTGTCGCTGGCGTCTTTTCGCTCTTCCCTCTGATCTTCACCCCAGGAGGTGAATATTCAACGGCGAAAACATGACAATCCTCTAATGCGCTGCTCAGAATCGATAGTCAAAGTGATATACTCTGCTGTTTGGGTCATATTCGTCTATGTTCCGCTGACGCGCAGAGTCTATGAGTATGTGTCCCTTGCTGTCTACGCAATCTACTCTAACCACGACTAGATTCCCTAAATCCTTGTCCTTTGTGATCATCGACCGATTAGAGCGGGTCTACCTGGGTGGCTTCGTGGTCCTCCAGGTGGTTCTTATGATTCTCAACGCGCGATCCAGCACCACATGCACGCCATCGGAGGATGCCGCGTGCTCAGAGTCTACAATGCAGTTCTTGCCGCTGATGATGACGAGCGTGTATTGTGCTGTTGGACTGGTGTGGTGTTTCTGCAGGCTGATGTTCGTTTATCTCCACGAGACAACATACCAAGGACAGCTGAATCGTATCTGAAGACTGTTGTACACAAAATGTCATCTACTTCTTCGAGATATGCACCACTGGCAAAGATTCAGAAACACATTCGGCTTTTGACGATATATCACGCACCATCCTCATCTTGAAGTATGTGATCTAGTCCGACTTTCTGCCCCCGTGCATGCTTGGCACTTGCACCCCAGACAATAGCGCTAGATGCTAGCATTAGCGACGCCAACCGGGGGGTTCAAAGTAAAGGACAGACTATTTCATCTGTTTCGCAATCTCCTTGTGGATGGCGTTACAGAAATCTTCGATGCTACATTTTCCCTGCCTCAGAACAACCGGTTGGGTGTAATCTGAGCAGGTGTTACAGGCAAACACCAATGGAGAAAAGAAGCCGCCTACCTGGTGCCAATCCCCGTGGTTTGGTGTATACTCTTACAAGATCGAGTGTCTTCCACATTACATCAATCTGACTCACGTCAACCACTAGATCTGAGGCAACAGGGAGACGACTGACCAGTTCATCGATGTTCATCCATTCCTTGGAGGAGACGGGCACAGACATCGGAATCTTGTATAGCAGATCCAGTTCTTCGATGGAGATGGCGTCAATCTGAAAAAGATCATGGGTTCAGAAAAGCAAAGGTGCAAGGTATATGTCAAGTTCACCTTGTTCAAGACCTATTCATGCCGTTCAGCGTGACTCGACAAATAATTGGCCAAGACGACATACATAGATTGCTGGAATGTACACTCTACAGCAGATAAGCAGCGGTGTTCAAACCAAAGAAAAGGGACAGCGTACCTGTTCCCCTCAATCACGTCGACAAGATCATCGGCAGTAGCATTAGGCTCGCGGATGGCAACATCACAGTTGCTCAGTTTGAATTCGCTGAGGATACCCTTGATGTCGTCGTGGTCGATGTTGGTTAACGGAACGGTATTTGTGATCGCGATTCCACCCTTCTCTTTCTTGCGGACGGTGATGGCTGGTGGTTTCTTGTTCAGTCGAATGCCGAACCCTTCCAGCTCGTCTTCGATGATCTTTTTATCGCCCAGCGGTTTTAACACATCAAGAACGATGAAGATAAGATTGCAGGTCCGCGCTACGGCGATGACTTGTCGACCACGGCCTCGACCGTCGGCAGCACCTTCAATGATACCGGGTAGATCAAGGATCTGAATTGGTGCACCGTGCACTTTGACCTGCACACGCTCAGCGTCCTGACACGAAGAATGCGATCGATGCGCACAGTTCCAGGTACGGTCGTGAGTGTTGTGAAATCAATGGCAGATACTTCTGAGTGTGTGCCGGTTAATTTGCTCATAAGTGTTGACTTCACATAGTTTAGTATACGTATCGAGGGAGGAGGATCCACCACCCACCTTTCCAACTGAAGGGAATCCCACGAAGCCTACGGATGCTACACCAGTTCTACGGATGGTCAGACGACCATACGTTCAAGACTGGCATTCGCTTCCAGACCTGGCGACATCAAAACCCACACCACCACCTCCGCCTCCACTGCCGGTAGATGGCGCAATAAGCTCACGCCTTAGTTTTGCGAGTTTGGCCTTGAGCTGTCCAAGATGGTAGCTCGTGGCCTTATTCTTCTGCGCTTGAGAGATGTTTGCATTCGATGTTTGGCGTCGGCAAGATCATTTGACGCACTTTTCGCCATCTCATCTTCGATTTCCTTTCGGTACACCGATCAGGACGCTTGTTCAATGAAAAGGACGCGTAGACAATGCACCTTGATTTTTTGGACGGTCGTCATTGTGGTCGAAGTCAATGATGCCGATAATTGTTTGGACACCGCTGATGTACCTAAAGGTCGTGACAAAACGGCAGCGTGACAGCTGTGGTTACCGCTTCACTTCATCTCGCCGCTCTTTCAACGTCCATCGCTCGCTGCCTCTGACACTGCCGGCGACTGGATCGCTCTGGTGTCGTACAGAATAACCTAACACCCTCGACTCTCTTTCTACAATGTGTGCCTGTGGTGGCCCCAAATGGAAGCGCGAGGTCGTTCAAGACCATAAGGTGCACAGTTTGCAACATATGTGTCGTGTCTTTTCCAACACGAGTCGTTCAGTTCGACTTCATCTCCGTCGCCGACTTCCGGGATAACGGCTTCAAAATGCGCATGAAATACTTCTTCCTGTTCATGATCTTCTTCAAGTCTTTCGCCGTATACATGTCGGACATCTTTACCGCCGTGACCATGTTGACGACAACGGGCTGGTCGAATCAGATCTTCAACGCATGCACGGCCCAGTCCTCCGGCTGTGTGTTCATTCCTTTCAATACTGGCAAGTGGTTGTTTGTGGGCTGCATTATCTTCTCGTTCCTGTTGGTACGTTGGCCGCTGACAGGCGCCTCTGCATCCATCTGAATGATTGTCATAGCTGGGATACGAGTCTCGCAAGGCCAAGCTTATTGTTGCGAGTCATGACATCTCATATGCGTTTACCAACGTGCTGGCCAACAACTACTATTCTCTCCGTCAGTCCATCAACGGAACTTGTTACCTGGTTCCTGACACCTTGCGTTCAGGGTCATACGATCATTTTTGTTTCTTTGACCATATCAGCAACTCCACTAAGACGAGCGACGACTTTGCTTTCTTTGTGTTCTTCGTTTTCAAGAGTGCGTCCGCTTAGGCTCACTTCAGCCGAAGCTAATCTATTCGCGTATACAGGTTGGAAGCGGGTGTTGTTGGCTGACGGCCCTCGTCAGACGATCAATGCTCTCACTCTTTACGCTGTGTGGGAAACTAAGCACGCCAAAGCCGGATGGGATATCAGTGCCTATTTCGCAGGGAACACTCCCTCGACATCCATCCTGCTTGTGACTACTCTGTTCACTGTGATCGTTTTCTCCGGTTCTCTGCTGCTCTTGGTTGCTGCCTGCTTCTGTTATGTTCCTTTGCTCTGCTACATCCGTGGTAACTTGAAGGTGGAGTTTCCCGATCCCAGTCCCAGAGGTGTTTGCTTAAACACCATCAGGAATATTGCTGCCACAAAGTCGACAAGGTCTACATTCTCCGCAGGGTCATCGATTCTTCACTGACCTGTGTTTCAGCGTATCGAGCATGTGATCAAGAAGCGTCAAAAGCAGAGACTGGACGAGAATCAGAAACAGGCGTTGCGCGAAGCCCGTGGCGACTTCTCTCATCTCAAGAACAAGAAAGGTGTCTTTACTTCGAAGCCTCTTCCGCAGCCTACCCTGCCAAACCTCTCCGTGGACGACGACTTGGACGACAAGGCCTCAATCTACACCCGCGGTCCTGCTCCAAGCACGTACACCCAGGACTCGTATTACTACAGCGATCACAAGTCGAATCCTCCTGCGATGCCCGCATATAACCCCTATTCCAATTATCAAGCTCCAGACGCTTATGCGAAATACAACCCATCGCAGGCCACGCTTGCTCAGGACGAGTATCAAACTCAGTATGGCGACGAAAGCACGACACAGCTTACTTCTGGCGCTGCACCATTTGCTCATGGACAACACAACATCGTCCGTCCGGGATCAGCTGCCCCTCCTAACCCGTACTACGCCGAACCCATTGACCGAGCCGGATCCGTCGCACCATACTACGCCGAACCCATCGATCGTGCTGGCTCTGTTGCACCTTACTATGCGGAACCGGTGAATCGAACTGGCTCTGTTGCGCCGCCCGAATCATACTACGGGGAAGCTCCCCAGTACTCCCACTCCCAATATCCCACGGATCGCACAGGAACCCCCAGTCAGAACTTCGACCCGTCGGATGTATACCAGGGCCGGGCAGTGCCCAGTCCCCGTCCCCAACAGCGAGCCGCACCGGGCGCGTTTACATCTCCGCCCAGTGGCCTAGCCTATGAAGATTCGGATGCCTACGGAGGACACCCTCAGCATTCTCAGCAGCAATCATGGCGTTCCGGTCCCGACCCCGAACAAGGCCGTTATTAGGCTCGCTTTCTATGGACGTACTCATACCGTGTACTTGTACAATGCATTAATCCAGGCCGGAGCGAAAACGGAAGATACATAAGAATATAGATTAAGCAATGAGCTTCTCATAGAGAATGATGCCGATAAGCAGAACAAGTACAAGAATGATCGCCCCAGTCACAACCCGCTGCTGGTACATCCTAGAATATCCTGTTTGAGCTATTCGTGAATGACATTCATCAGCGTAGAGCCGCACCTTCTGATCATTCCCTTGAGTGTTCCGGACGCGCGGTCGATGTGGGTGTTGGCGGCTTCCAACTACGACCGTTGAGGGCGAGTAAGAAAGGGAAGGGGAGAACGCACGGTATCACGAGAGTGAACGATTTGTTCTCTCTGTTGACGCAGGTTCATCAGGATGTCCGCGCCTTGGCTTTCAGTTTCAAGGGCGATACGATGCGAGTCCTGGAGCCGTTTGGTGCCATCCTCGAGAACAGCAGTTCCTGCCAGAAGTCGGGTGCGATCGGTGGCCGGACCGTAAGGCTCATCCGAAGTGAAGGCTCCAGAATGCTTCGACGAGGCTAACAGAGCGCTACGAGCGAGCTGAGCATGCACCTCCTTATACTGCTTCTTGTATCGTGCGAGCTCGAGCTTGGCGTTCTTCAAGCGGGTTTGATACTGCGGTCGTATTGACTGAGGAATGCCCTGGATTTCAATCTCCATTTGCGAGACCTAGATTACGTCGGCAAATGGCAGGACATGGTCGGAGAAGCATCCCGTACCATCTCGTCTGCCTCGTCGAGCTCCATTTCGGCTCTCCTTAGAGAAGCCTTGCGTTGTTCTGTGGGTGGCTGAGTTGCTGCGGGCGGAGGGGCGCAAGGTCTATACCGCCGCTGTCATCTTTGCCTTCACCGTCCAGCTTCTGGCGAATGGTCTCTATGAATTGTTGGAAGTCCTGCTCATAAGAATCGAAAAGGGTGGTGGGTGAATTGTTCATCGTCGTGAAGGGAGGGAATAAGGTGCACTTGCACGTGTCCGACCCGATTCGGCTTTCGAGAGTGACTGTCATATTCGTCCACTTCCGCGACCATGTCCAGCTCAGCGTATGCCCTCAGCATCTCCCTGGTACATTCCGCTCATACAAATGCATAGGGTATCTCTATACCTGGACCCGCAAATCCGGGACTGGGTTCTTTTCCCCATCACTTTGGTTATGGTTCGTGCTTACCGCGAAGGCGGTCACTTCCTTTTCCAACTGCGTTTAGATCCTTGTGGGGATCCTGAGGCACTATGTCGTTGTCCTTCTCCAAGCCTCTCCTCAAAAGCTCTCGCGCGAAGCTCTTCGTGAACAGTACGCCCTGCCTAGCATTATGTTCTGAACTGATCGTCGGCCAGGCGTGCTTTGGCGCGTTCTCAAATCTTGCGAGCTACCTCTGCCAACTCACCCATACCTCCGACGTACTATCGCTCTATTTCGCGACATCTCTCGGAGGCGTTCGAGGCTGGCACGTATCTGAAAGACGGGCCTCCTCGTGAGGGTGACGCACCGAAAGGACCTCCCAACCCCATGAGCGACCCGGCAGCTATGGAGGGGATGATGGGTGGACTGAAAACTCAAATGGGTCTGTGCTTCTCGGTAGCCTGCATCTCGGATTCACCAGGGATTGACACACTTTCGCAGTTATGATGGTCCCTCAAATGGTCATCATGGGATGGATCAATTTCTTCTTCCAGGGCTTTGTTCTGAGTGTGTTGCACAGTTCGACTCTAGGGTCCCGCTGACCGTATCTCTTCCAGTCAAGCTTCCCTTCCCGTTGACTCTGGGATTCAAGTCCATGCTGCAACGAGGCATCGAGACTCCAGACATGGACGTCCGCTGGGTTTCGTCTCTGTCCTGGTACTTCCTCAACTTCTTTGGTCTCAATGGTCTATATCGTCTTATTCTGGGTGGTGACAATTGTGTGTTGTCTTCATTGAACAAACCTCGAAAACCGCTTATCAACTGTGACAGCCGCGGATTCCTCCCAGAGCATGACCTCTTTCAATACGGCACCGGCTGCTGGTCCACAGGATTACTCGAAATTGTTCAAGGCGGAGAAAGATCACTTGCAGTTCTCTGACGGTCAATATAAATGGATCGGGGAGGAAGTAGAAGATCGCATTTTGCGTCGTTACGGTAAATTATAATCACGTTTCTCTCAGGCTCGGATTCGTTGGTCCTGCTCGTTGTTGTATCCACTCCAGTCCACAACAAGTGTTGAACAATACTAATTACGTCATGTGATCGCATATCGCCGTCGGCACACCCCATAACACCACGAACACGACAACGTGTCACTGGGTACACCATTGAACACTTACTCACAATCCTCCATGACGGCTCTGGTTGAAATTCGTGTAGAGTTACCTGCATACTCTCACACAATTACAATCAGTGTCCCGGAGGAGAGTACCGTCCTTGACGTCAAGGAGGAGATATTCCGGGCATGCGCCGGTGGGCCTCGCGTGCAGGGTCAGAGAATCATCTGGAGGGGACGTTCCCTTCTAGATACAGAGAAAGTTCAGGAACTCTGGCAGGTGTGCATATCTTATTCTTGGATACAGATGTTCGGCTTCTAAACGTCTCGTGTCTCTCCAGTCTCCTAACGACCCCCGGATCGTCCATCTTGCTGTGCACCCATCGGCCTGGACGACTTCTCCACCGGACATTTCGCGACCTTCCTTGCCTGAAACTTCCTCTCCCGCACCCGCAACGCCTTCTGCAGCGCCTCTCCCCACGTCCTTTCCGGCGGTTCTGTCCTCCCGATTACAATCGGTCTATGCCCAACCCGGTATTAGCGCACCAGGTCCACTCACATATGTGGTGGCCAGACATCAGCAAGCCCTGAATACGATGGAGAACATCAAGGTCTCGCCGCTAGATGCTAGCACGCTTGCTTTCAAGATTCTTGCTGTCCAGATCGTGGAGCGTCACGGGTGGTCGTGGCCCCCCGTCTTGGACGAAGAGTTCCCGTTGGTGGAGGACGGTGTTGGGGTGAAGTATGAGCGTGCTATTGTTGAGTAAGCATGACTGTCAATTACTCTGAAATCGGGTCTTAACTTTCGCAAGTGGGCAGAGCTACCTGCGACTTGTCAATCCAGATAGCCAACCGACTGCTGTGCAGATGCACGCATTGAATGTACTCTCTCATACCTTCCCCATACTGGCATTACCACCCATCATCTCACAATCCCGGGTCATTCCATCTCAAACTCCGGCCCCAAATGTGCAAGCTCTATTGCAGCAGCTGGGTCTCCCGGCTGTTCGCCATGGCGGCAACGGCAACCTCGCTCCGAATGCGGCACCTCAGATGCAAGCCATCGACATCCCCCTTCGGCCATTGCTGATTCCGCTGTTCTTCATGACATTGCGCGTGGCGATTCTGCTGTACTTCTTTGCCCCTGCCCGCAAGCCTTTGTTCGGTGCAATAATTGTCATGTGGATGCTGTATGAAGTGATCAGAGGAGGACTTATCCGTGGATTGAATCGGGCTCCTGAGGCTGATCAACGGGCGGCGGCAGCTGGCGGGGGCCGCCCGGCTCAGCCTCACGCTGCAGGAAATGTTGGTGGTGGTGGTGGTGGTGCCGCTGCGCATCCCAATGCTGCTGCCAATGCCGCGCCGGCCCCCGCGGTACCAGGCGCTGCTCCAGTTGGCCCGAGGGCAGCTGGTGCCAATGACTTTGACAGCCACATTGCCGCTGTCTTTGACGTGTTGGGCAGTTACAACTTGGATAACGAACAGGAGATACTCCGCGTCAATGCCGCGGAGCCTACCTTCACTAGCAGGGCCATGGCGTTCGTGACGCTGTTTGTGGCTACGATGCATCCCGCAGTATGGAACCGGCGGCGCAACTTGCTTCGACGTCGGGAGACACAAATCAGGATCGACGCCAGTGCGCGTGCTGCCGACCTGGACCGGGAAAATCAGGAACCAGAACAGCAGGAGAGGATCCGTCGCCAAGAGCGCCTGGTTGCAGAGCATCAGCAACGACCCCGATGGATCCGGGAGTACACGGAAAGGGTTGTGCACGAGACGTGGGTTGACGAGGCTGATTGATGGGCTGCAGCGGCATACTAGGTCTCGGATACATGCATTTACTTTATATCGTTTTGAATGTCGAATGTATACATTGCTTCCATGAAATTGGCGAGGACGGAACGTGAATATGCCGGCAAGTATCGCTGGTACGGGCCGACATCTCTGGATCTTATCTAATCAGAAGCTTTCCTATTGAGGCCGTCTCGAGTCGAGGCGATTCCTTCTCTGTTACGGAATCAATTATCAATTATCCTGACTATCATGGAGGCTGTTGAGGCGCTTACAAGTTGTCAGGAGTGGATCTGGAGCTCTCTTGTCCGCTCGAATGCAGCGCGCCACTTGTCTGTGCCATGTGTGGCAATGTGACCCAGCACGATCGTGATGGCAACCGCGTTATATCCACTTGGATCAACTGAATTTGCTTGTTCGCCTCGACCCTTTCTTCCTCTTCCTCCCCCACTTGACCAACGACTCTGGCCCGTTCAAATTTCAAATTGGATCTGGCTCAGGACCATTCCAACACGACTTTCTTTTGACCTAATTCTCCCTTTATCCTGCGGTGTTCATGGGTCTCCCAGGCTGTGAGTTGTCGATCACGCCGTGGTCCGCAGAATGGATGATCTGATCGTCGTGCAATATCTAGTCTTTTCGACGCTCTTGTGAGTGCCCTCCCTCACACTCGAATCACTCTAATGTGGTGTCGCTAGCGGCTTGAACCCGACTCCCACGACTAGTCTTCCCGTACAGACACCGCCAGTGACAACACCAGCGACGCAGCCCGTGACGTCGCCGGTGGTACCGCCTGTAAAGACCACACCCGTCTTGACATCGGTGCAGACGCCCCCTAGTGTTCCAACGACCACTGTCACTCTTCCAGGCTTGGGACAGACCACTGCCCCAGTGTGCGTTACTCTCTTATCTGCCGCTAACCATGTTGTGAACCTTTTCGCAGAGTAACAAGCACACCTGTCGTTACTACGCCCTCTGTTCCCCCGGTCGTGTCCACCGTGTATGTTTTGACGCGCTTTTCACCATTGGAACAATGCCTGATCGTATTTAGGCCTGTGACAACCTCTGTGCCACCTGCTCTCCCAACGAGTGCCACTGCGGTGACGACACCTGTATCCGTCAACACGAGCCCTCCTGCTACGACCACAACTGCCGATGTTCCGCCTGCAGTGACCACTTCCCCGGCTGCAGTCCACACTGTGTCGAACACCGTGACGGTGGCGCCCGTTTCCTCGAGTTCTGCAAACTCAAGCACCAGTAACCTGAACACCAGTGACAACCACCCAACGAGCTTCCTGCAGAACAAGGCACTGTCTGGTGTCGTGTTCGCGCTGGTCGCCATTGTCGGCGTTGTTCTCATCTTCATGGTGGTCACGTTCTTCTTGCGGCGACAGAGGAAGCGGCGGTTGCTCAACGATGCTATTTCGTTCGATCCCAACTTGTTATCGACGAATGAGCAGCGGTATGAGGCGTCGGAGAAGGGGCTGGCGCACTCCACGAACCCTAGCCTTGGGAATGTTGGAGCGGCGCAGTCGAACGGAGCACCTGGATACAGCACCTACGCTGATCTGCCTCAGCCGTATGGACCGAACTATGGCCAGCGGCAGCAGCAGCAGCAGCAGCCCGAGTACTACGGCGGTCAACAAGATTACTATGGTGGAATGCAAACCTATGCTGCACCCCATCAACAGGCACCACCCCCATCGAACGAGTACTATGGCCAAGGGCAGAACAACTTCGGACCCTCTGGACAGCCGTACTACTCGAACTATGTCTCCCCCATGGCTGATGCCCCAGCGCCGGCTCTCGCTGGGACTGCCACGATACCCCCCAACACGCGCAATATACCTCGTGTTCCGGTGCCATCTCAACACCTGCCCGACTCATTTGGCGAGACGGAGCAAGATCGGCGCAAAAGTGTTGAAGAGGCCGAGTTCTGGGCGCGGACCCTGAAGGTACTAGTCTAGTCCAGGCTCATCTATGTCTCCGGGGTGTTCTGACGGATCTCCAGGTCGCCAATGAGTAGGCGCTAGTCGCACGGCCGCTCTGCGAGTGGTTCTGTAGACGCGAGAATCGAATGAATGCATAGCTATCTTGTACTGACCATCGCTTATCTTTGTGTACTTGCTTTTTTCGTTCCCGTCCGAATCGTCCTTGTAATTCAGAACCTTGTTCCGATCGATGTGGCTGACATGATGTTGCTTACTTTCTCCGTGCCGAGGTACCTCCATCGCTCGGACTTTTCTCTTTGTCTTACTTACGCGGTGCTCGGTAAATTTTCGAGAAGCACCCGCTCTAGCCCGGGCCCAGTCCAGCAGGGCTCTAGCGCAAGGAGACGATGACGTCGGCGAGCAACATACGATCGCGTGGTCAATCCGACTTCCGCGTCGGGATTCGAATTTCGCGGTGACTTGATTTGACTTGATGAGTCATGACAAACCGAAAATGACCGGATGATGTCATTTTGTTTGATATTCCGACGGACACGCACAGTGGACGCAATCGTTGGGGGCAGACATCTTCTGCACCTTGCGCTGCTAGTAATACTTCGCAGCTGCGGACCCCGCAGCAACTCGGAAGAGTCTGCGCACACAATGACGACATGCACCGAGGAGTTTGAAACGCCGAAGCGAGGCCGAACGTCTTGATGGCCCGAAAAGGAATTTCCTGTCAAGACCGGACTTGGCCGTTTACTTTCGTGTTTTCGGCAGCGAACACCAGAGGGACGCGACAAAATGGAACGGGCTTTTTGGATGAGGGTGTTTCGCGCGTCCTCGCCGTGTTGGGGAGGCGAAAGATATGCCGATCATGCGTGAATGTGAAATCAACGCTTACTGAGCAGACCATTACGCAACCCATTCAGACCCGTGCTGGCCCGCCATCATTGCTAAGAAGCCGACAAGAGGACACCAGTCCCGGCCTTCTTCAAAGATGATCCTGGGCCGGTATTTAAAATGCGGGACCGAGACTTATTTCTATCTCTGCTTGCTCCTCCTCCTCCCTCCGTCGCGATGAGACCGCTCTCCCTGGCCCTCGTTCTGACTCTTGTCGGCGCATCCCTCGCGCAGGAGCTGCTGATCCGCGATGGCCATGGCCACGGCCACGGCCACCACGCACAACCGCTGCTCGAGCTGAACGAGACGGAGATCACGCTGTACCACGATCCGACTCCTCCGTCGTACTACACCATCGATTGGGATGTGCTGGATCCGAAGCGACATCCAGGACTGATCATCACGCACGCGCTCCTCATGTTCTTCGCGTTTTTCGTGTGCCTGCCAATGGGTGAGTTGATACGGAACACACATCGCCGCTCACTAATATGCGCTGACAGGCCTCGCCCTGCGATCGGCCAAGCACCCTCTGCGCGGGGTCGCCGTCGGCGCCTTCTATGGCACGTTTCTGCTCGCGTGTTCGGCCAGCTCGCTGTACAGGAAGACGACGCCGGACATGTGAGTCGCGCGAGACAGTCGCCGGGTTGGTTGCTTACGTCAGCAGGTATCCGCACCAACGCCACTCGCGGCATGGCTATCTGCTCCTGTTTGCGTCCTTGGCGCTCACCGCGATCGACACATTTGCTGCTTCCGTGCGCATATTCCAGTACGTCCGCGCGGGCCGGCCGTATTCGTTCCGCGGGTTATGGTCGTCGGCGGTGGGCCGGGAAATGGAGGACGAGGCGGCGAATGCAGAGTACGCCGGCTTGATCAGCGAGGAACCCGAGTCGATGGAGGAGGCGGGGCACGAAATGAAGCGCGGACGGACCTCGTACGACCACGGCACGACCGCGCAGTGGGCCAACCACGTGCGCCACCACTCGACGCATTCCGACGGCACGCTCTTCATGCCGTCGTCGCCGCATTCCGAGGCGACGCTGCACGACGCCCACCTTCCGTTTGTCCCTCGCGTGTCGCTCGTCCGGCGGATCGGGCGAGCCCTTTTCGCGATCACCGAACGGCTCATCATCGTCACGGCGTTCGGCATTTCCTTATCGGGCATCGTGGTCTATACGGGTGCGTCTGCTTCCGGGCCGTGCGCCCACGTTGTTGATCTCTCTCTTCCCCCGCAGGAGGATGCAGACAGAACTACATCAACGGGTGCCTGGCCCATCTCATCAAAGGCGGCATCTTCTGGTGCTATGGAATCGCGTCCTTTGCCCGCTATCTCGGCTGGGGGGCTGGCATCGGGTGGGCCTGGAACCTCCCTCCCCAGTCGGGCAAGCCCACCGCCGAGTTCGTCGAGTCCGCGGTCATCTTCATCTACGGAATCACCAACGTATGGATGGAGAGATTCGGCGCACAAGCGGGCGATCCCTTCACGACTAAGCAGCTTCAGCACATCGGAATCGCGGTCAGTACGCGCTGCTCGTGGCCGACAGGAGTACTGATTCGGGCCGACAGATCATGTTCTGGGGCGCCGGTCTCGTGGGGATGGCCGTCGAGAGCAAGGTCGTGCGCCGCTGGCTCGCGGGGCTCGCTGTCAATTCCTCGGAGACGGTCTCCGAGCCAAAAACATACACGGCCAGCTTCAACCCCTTCCCCGCTCTCGTCATCGGAGTCACCGGATCGGTGATGGCTGCGCACTTCCAGACATATCTGTTCCAGGTGCAGATCCACAGTCTCTGGGGCAACCTTCTCCTCGCGTTTGCCGTCATGCGTTGCATCACGTACTTCTTTGTTTGGGTTTCGCCACCCAAGTCCACCCTGCCCTCGAGACCGCCGACTGAAGCGCTGGCGAGCTTTTTCTTGACTGCCGGAGGCATCAGCTTCATGTTCTCCACCGAGGAGCTCACCATCGCTGCGATGCGCCGGGGCCGGGATGGTATGTCGAACCCATTCCACGCTAAAACGCAACTGATCAGAGCCTCCAGATATCATGCTGTTCGTTGTCGCTGCTGTTGCATTCACTTGCATTGCTTTCTGCTGGACAATAGGTGTGGTGGGATTCCATGCCTGGGTGAAGCAGCGGTCAAAACCGGCTGTTTCCTATCGCGACACTGCTTGATCTTGCGTGTGTGCTGTATCTTTATTTCACGACCTTTCACGCCTGCTGCAAACTGTATCTTACGTCTTTGTTGTTGTTGTTTTTCCACGTTGAATAATTACCAAAGCATTATCCAAGCATAGTCCGCCAGTGCACCCATCCAGATCCAGAAGCCGCTCCAGCCGCTGTCGACAAATCCTTTCCAGCAGCTCTCCCGTTGGTCGTAGTCTGTGCGATAGATGATCCGTGCGAGCTGGGCAGCGGCAAGAGAGACTCCCAGATAAAAGGGGGCTCCGTGGGCATTCATGTAACCCGCGAAACCGATCAGGGACATGGAGGTGGCTGTCAGAGCGCTTAAAATGGGCCGGGTTCTTTCCCCGAAAAGGAGCGCAGTTGATCTGATCCCGGCGCCGACATCGTCTTTCTTGTCCTGTGGATAGATTGAGATCAAGCCGGATGTTGTTTTTCGAGAAACGGATCCACTTGGTGAGCATATATGCTGTCGTAGACCAGGGTCCAACAGATTCCGCCAGCGTAGAGCGGCAGGCAAACTTTCCAATCCACGGTGCCTCCGACCGCGGACCATCCGAGCATTGCTCCCCAATTGAACGCAATGCCTGGAACCCTGCGTCATTCATGGAAAGAGGAAAGATCAATGTCAATTACCGAGAACGGCTTGGGGCCAGTATGTGATCCGCTTCATGAGTGGGTACAGCACCACGACGGACAGGGAAGTCGCGCCCAGAAGTATGCTGTGTCATGGCGTTCAGCCATATAAAGAACAGGAACCAAGATACACAGCTACCTATACCAATTGAGCTGTAGCAGCACAGCAAGGCCGGCAGTGAGCTGCGCCCCCAGGAAAACAGTAGCCTGGCTATACGTCACGTCTCCTCGGGCAAGCGGCCGGTTCTTCGTTCGCGCTATGCGGGCGTCACACAAATGGCGTCGGGTGATAACCCAGGGTGCAACTGACCGACGGCCTTGTCCAGATTTTTATCCCACATGTCGTTGATCGTGCACCCGGCCCCACGCATGACGAGCGCCCCGATACCGAAGAGACTGATGTAGGTCAGGGGTGTTGTAAAGGGCGTCTGCAGTGCGTAGGACGCCATGGTGATGGACCAGGCTAGAGGAGGAGGGAGGGGGTTCAGGACGCGCGTCGAGAGAGGAACAAGTTTTGATTACCGCATGGGTAGAAGAGTAGTATGCTCCCTATCGGTTTGTCGACGCGAGACAGATATATGTAGGGCTGGACTTTGGCGGGGACTCGATCCACCCATGTTTTCGGGGTTAGCGGGGGTGGTAATTCGGTGCTAGTACCTGCCCAGCGGCGCACGACGCGTTGGAATGGTAAGGAGCGGAGGGGTTGGGGTCGGAATGAAGGCCGCAGGGAGCCACCTGCGATTTGTCGCGGCGCGCATCGAAGCAGTGAGAGTCTGAGCATCACGACTCCCACGTGACCTCGCGTCCGATCACGCGCCCAACTTTTCTCTTTCCTGCCCGCCTTCGACGGGTATTCCGGACTCGACAGCAACGATGGACGATCTGTTTTCTTTCCTGGAAGAAGGTGCCGGGCAGGATGACCCTATGCCGATGGATCAGCCAGTAGCTGCGGCACCGCTGAAACGCAAAGCGGACTCGCCGAAACCCACGAACGGGAAGCAGGTTGTGGTTGAAGAAGAGAACAATGAAGCTGGACCCTCCTCTCCCAAGCGAGCGCGCGTTGAAGTAACAACCACTGTCGTGTTGGATGATTTTGAGACGGAAGCAAAACGAGAAGTCGCTGCAAGTGCCGGACTGACTGGATCTGCTGTGGAGGGGACGCGCTTAGAGTTGAGGCATCAGGTGCGCATTTCTGACCACATCCTCATTCATCTCTGATACACTGATGCACACATCCTTGAACAGGTCCGGCATCAAGTTTCTGTGCCTGCAGGCTACAACTATATTCCCATTTCTCAACATGTTCCTCCTGCCAAACCCGCTCGAGAGTACAAATTCGAGCTGGATCCCTTCCAGCGTGTCTCTGTCTACGCCATCCAGCGCAATGAAAGCGTTCTCGTCTCCGCACACACTAGTGCCGGGAAGACCGTGGTTGCAGAGTACGCCATAGCGCAGTGTCTAAATAACAAGCAACGTGTGATATATACGAGTCCTATCAAGGTAGATTCTTGTTGGAATATAAATCAGTTCGAGGTTGATGGAATTTCCGTAGGCTCTGAGTAACCAGAAGTACCGGGATATGCTGGCCGAGTTTGGCGACGTTGGGCTTATGACTGGGGATGTCACTATAAACCCGTCGGCCTCATGTCTGGTTATGACCACAGAAGTGAGGGCCGCCTTCCCGCTGTTTTCGCGATATTGAGGTTGTGTAGATTCTGCGTTCGATGCTCTACCGTGGTTCGGAAGTCATGCGCGAGGTCGCCTGGGTCATCTTCGACGAGATCCACTACATGCGCGACAAAGAGCGTGGAGTCGTGTGGGAGGAAACTATCATTCTGCTTCCGCACACCGTCCGCTACGTCTTTCTCTCTGCCACGATCCCCAACGCGATGCAGTTCGCGGAGTGGATATCCAAGTCTCACGAGCAGCCGTGCCATGTGGTCTACACCAATTACCGACCAACGCCGTTGCAAAACTACATGTTCCCATGTGGGGGAGAGGGGATTTATCTCGTGGTCAATGAAAACGGTGAATTTCGGGAGGATAACTTCAGTAAAGCGATGGCCAAGCTGCAAGAGGGGAAAGGCGAAGACCCCGCCGACGCCAATGGGGGCAAAGGTAGGAAGGGAAAGACAAGGAAGGGCGGCAATAAAGGTCTGCTTGTGCGAGGTCCTTGATCCTTCCAAAACGCTGAACTGTTACAGGACCCTCGGACATCTCGCGGTTGATCAAAATGATCATGCTCAAAAACTACAACCCTGTGATCGTGTTCGCATTCGCCAAACGAGAATGTGAAGCTCTGGCTCTCACGCTGTCCAAATTTGAGTTCAATTCGACGGACGAACAAGATCTGGTCACCAACATCTTCAACAATGCGGTGGAGAATCTGACCCCAGCTGACCGGGATCTCCCGCAGATAGCGAACCTCCTCCCGCTATTACGCCGCGGCATCGGCATCCACCATGGCGGACTACTGCCCATCTTGAAAGAGGTGATCGAGATTCTGTTCCAGGAGGGCCTGATCAAGGTCCTGTTCGCCACGGAGACTTTCTCGATCGGCCTGAACATGCCCGCGAAGACGGTCGTTTTTACGACGACGCGCAAGTTCGACGGGCGGGAGTTCCGGGATCTGACGTCGGGCGAGTACATCCAGATGTCTGGGCGCGCAGGTCGGCGTGGGCTGGACGAGCGGGGTGTGGTCATCATGATGTGTGACGAGAAGCTGGAGCCCAGCGCGGCCATCAATATGGTCAAGGGCGAGGCGGATCGACTCGACTCGGCTTTCCATCTGGGATACAACATGGTGCTCAATCTGATGAAAGTCGAGGGGATCAGCCCGGAGTACATGCTCGAAAAGTGCTTCTTCCAGTTCCAGAGTAATGCGGGTGTCCCTCAGCTGGAGGAGGGTGCGAGCATATTTCTGATCGCATAAGTTGTCTGCTGATCCCGTCGTCCAGAGCTCAAAAAGGAGGAAGCAAACAAGTCCAGCGTTGTCATTCCAGACGAACAGCTCGTTTCCGACTACTACCAATATCGACACCAACTGCAGCAGATGAACGCCGACTTCCGCGAAGTCATCACACATCCTACCTACTCACTTCCTTTCTTACAACCCGGTCGTCTAGTGAAGGTCAAGCACGAGAAGCTTGACTTTGGCTGGGGTGTGATCATCAGCTTTTCGAAGCGCCTGCCACCTAAAGTGAGCGGTCGGTCGCTGCGCGTATTGTGTTCGCTGCTAATCCAGTATCCAGAACCGCCCCATGTTCAAGCCCGAAGAGCTGTCACCGCACGAGCAATACGTCGTCGATGTGCTGCTGAATTGTGCACCGGGCGGCGCACTGCCCAAGGACCGCCAAGTCGTCACTGCCACCCCCAGCACGATCCTGCCTGCGCCAAAAGGCAAGAAGGGGGTCCCACTCGTCGTTCCTGTGCTGCTGTCGACGATCGAAGCCATCAGCCACCTGCGCATCTTCTTGCCCAAGGATCTGAGACCGGATCCTGCGCGGGAGACCGTTTGGAAGAGCATTATCGAGATCGAGCGTCGTTTCCCGGAGGGCATCGCCTTGCTAGATCCGATCGAGAACTTGGGCATCAAGGATGAAAAGTTCACTGCGTTGATCCAGGTGCGCGTGTTCGTGTTTACTCGCTATGCAGGCATAACTGATTGGCTCGCAGAAAATCCGCGTGATGGAACAAAAGATGGCCTCGAGTCCGATGCATACAGACCCACGCCTGCCGGAGCTGTTTGAGAAATATGCCAAGCGCGAGGCCACCAAAGAGCGCATCCGGGCGCTCAAGCGGCGGATCCAGGCAACGCGGGACATCCTGCAGATGGAAGAGCTCAAGTCGAGGAAGCGCGTTCTCCGGCGGTTAGGCTTCACCGATTCGTCGGACATCGTCGACATGAAAGGGCGGGTGGCGTGTGAGATCAGCTCCGGGGACGAGCTCCTGCTGACGGAGCTCATCTTCAACGGCGCCTTCAACACACTTTCTCCCGAGCAATGCGCTGCGCTGCTCAGCTGCTTCGTTTTTACCGAGAAGGTTCGTGGCTGCGCGTGGCACATGCTTGGCGTCTGATATGTCACCACCCAGAGCGAACAAACGACGAAACTGAAGGAAGAGCTGGCCGCCCCGTTGCGATCGATGCAAGAGTTTGCCAAGCGAATCGCCAAAGTGTCGAAAGAGTCCAAAATTGAGATCGACGAAACGGAGTATGTCCAGTCGTTCAAGGTCGAGCTCATGGATGCGGTGGTGCAGTGGTGTCGCGGAGCGTCGTTCTCTGACATCTGCCAGGTCTGTCTCTTCTTCTTTGCACTTCACCTTCGCACTGACAGTTTCTCTGACATTCACAGCTGACGGACCAGTTCGAAGGCAGCATCATCCGCGTCTTCCGACGACTGGGCGAGCTGCTGCGGCAGATGGCACAGGCAGCCACAGTCATCGGAAACAATGAGCTGAAGGAAAAGTTTGAAAAGGCGTCCGAGATGTTGGAGCGTCCTAATTCAGTCATCTTCTGCTCTTCCCTCTATCTGTAGATTTAGGATTCTGTGCAGTAGGACCCATGTTTGTGTATGAATCGCCAGCTGATGGAAAAGCAGACCTGATACTCTGGGACGGATCCTTGCAAACAATGGGTGAGGGTTCTCTCTCCTGCTCCAACCGCGTCGTTTTCAGAAATCGTGAGATGTACATTTCATGTCATGGGTCAAACAATATGGGTAGATCATAGATAGGTATCGTGAAAAAGTCCTCGAGCTACAATATTACGTACAATAACGCTCAGTTCTTCCTGCCCCATGCGCCTGGAATGGGCTCCGATGCTCCGGGCTCGTAGCCCGGTGGGCTGTCTTCGTCCACTACATTCATCACCTGCAAGGAGGACTGCCGATGGGACCGCGGGCCCTTCGGTGATGTCGGAGCAGCGGAGTGCGAGCCACTGGCGAAATAGCCGGCTTGAGTGTCTAACGGCGGGACGACGTTCGCTCCGTAGCCATCGACGGTTGGGGGTGTGGTGACATGGGGGGTATATGGTTGGGAGGACGACGGTGGATATTGTGAAGCGACGTACGCATCCGGCGTGCGATAATTGGCCTGCCCGGACTGTTCGTACGGATCGTACTGCGAGTATTCGTTCTGATGCGACACGGCAGAGTGGTACGACGTCCCACGCGAAGCATGGCCTGCAACGCCAAGATACGGGTTCGTTTGCCCCGCGTAGGGATCTAGGTAAGGGTTGGACTGCGGCATCGGAGGCTGTACAGGTGGAGTGCCGTTTCCATAGGCTGCGTACTGCTGCGCAGGATACGTCTGTGGAGCGCTGTGGCTGTATGTAGACGCGGCATACGTCGACGGCTGCCGATGCTGAGAGGGCGGGTACCGATTGTTCTCGTCGGTGTTGGTGTTAGCGTTGGTGTACGCTCCAGCTACAGCAGCAGAGGGGCCAGCACCGAGATTGTTGTGGTTCTGATACGCCCCGACACCAGCATTGTCGTAGTATCCATCGACAGCACGCTCCCCTGGATTTCCAGGTACATATCCACCCGGAGTGTGAGGCTTGTCGGAGTACACCGCATTTCCGTCGTCGTAGGCCGTGGAAGTAAGGGGTTGGCTCTCGTAGAAGGCCGGCAGTCCACCCTCCGTCATCTTCTGTCGAGCCTTGCGGTCAGCCTCAGCTTTGACTGCATCCAGCCGCATTTGCTCGTGGTCAGCTCCAGCGCCAGGAGGGGGAGGATCCTGCTTATTGTTCCAATCACTGCGTTTGCGGTTGGACACACAGCATCGCCCAATCGTGTAGAAGCATCCGCTGAAGAACAAGAGAACCCACGCAGCGAGCGTGAGCCACACCGCGCTCCCGATAGAGGCGGAGCCGATAGCGTTGATGCGCGCCTTGGCGACGAAAAACAGCGCCAGGTCGAAGATAAAGGCAACCAAGGCGACTGTCGCAGCAAGCCCGGAGAGAAAAGTGCTGCAGCAGGTCATTGACATCTCTCGAACGTGAGCAAGCAGCCCAAACAGGGCCGCGGCAACCGCGAGAATGAGAGCGGCGACGTGGAGTATAAGCACGTCGGTGAGCCATTTCACTACAACCTTAGGTATGGACACGGGGAGGTTGTTGCCAACGAGGCTATTGATGTCTGACGACGCATCTTGAGGAAGAGCGCATCAAGAATATCCGCAGTACGCACCTAGTTCGTAGCCCACAGCCGGTTTCGAGCACGTCGTGACCCCATTGAGATCCAAGCAGTAGCCCAGTGTCCCGAACGTAATCGCTCCAGTAATTCCACCCTGATTAATCGTCGCCTTCATGAAGTAGACGCTCTTGAGGTATGGTACGCAAAAGGATACGACCGCGAGACAGCCCGCTGCGGCAGCTGTGAGGAGGAAGCCTGGCGTGGCGGGTCTTATAAAGCCCATCCCTGAAGATCGAAAGTCGAGAAAGGGACAACGCTGTCCTTGAGTATGAAAGCAAGCGAAGAATGAAGTTTGAAGAGAAAGAAAGGGCCGATTCCCCGCTCCAAATTGGCCAAGAAAGTAAGTGAGGCTGTGCGCCGATCGGCCAAATACCCGCAATCACCTCATCTGATCGGTGATCGCATCGGTACAGCCTTATGGAGACAACTTATGGAGACATAACCTTCGGCTTCATCGTTCTCTTCCCGTTGAACTCACCAGCTTTCTTGAATTCTTCTTGAGCTCTCGAAGAATTTATGTGAAGTTTTTGCACCGACATTATACATTGGCTGAACCGAGGGGTGCCCAAGCATGACGCCACTGGGACAAGCTCAAGTCAATCCCTCTCGCAGAGTCTGTGCTGGCCATATCTGACCGATACGCACAACAAAAGCGAAGGCTTTGTGCCGTATTTGGAGTCGGAATACCGGCTGTGACGATGTATAGAAATAGAATCCTCCGACGGGAGAAGTGCTGAATTTCCATGGCGAACGGTTCAAGCAAGCATGCCACTACTTCCTGTGGGTGACTACCCATGATTCGGATTCGAACGGTGCAATTTCACTGAAGACTACTGTGCCATACTACTGCTCTTGCTTCGATGATATTCTCCAAGATAATGAGGGCCAGAAACTTGTGCTGATTCAGTGAAGTTTACTTACCTCGAGTCGAGCTTTTAAATAGATATATACGATATGCATCGAAAGTAGAAGGAGCGTCCACACAGACGCGTCGTGGGCGTAGCAGCCGGCTCAGGTGACCGCGCGACTGGTTCGGCTAACTTGAACTCAACAAGGACAAATACGTTTCGACGCGTTCCCCGACGATGAGCTTTTTCAACCTCCAACCGGCGGGCACGGGCACCCCAGCTGCAGGCTCAAGCAACCCCGCGCCAGCTACGAATGCATTCGGGGGTGGTTCTGCCTTCTCAGGTATTTCGTGTCCCTTCTCGCATGCCTTCTTCAATCCTGATCTTGATCAACACTCCAGGCGGCCTCAAACCAAGTGTCTTCGGAAACGCGACTACAAACGCGTCCCCTTTCGGTGGAGCACCAGCCGCAGGCACAAACCCGGCCGCTGCAACAAAACCCACGACAAGCCTCTTCGGCACTCCTGCGGGAGGTGCCACTTCGACCACGACACCGGCTGCAGCTGCGGGACCAGCCACAGGCGCGGGTGGGAGTTTATTCGGTGGATTTGGTGGTGCCCCTTCTGCACCTGCGCCTACGCCTGCTGCGGCACCGGCGCCAGCACCCACCACAGGGTTCGGCTCATTCTCGTTGGGCGGCGCTGCTTCGACCACACCGGCGGCCCCGGCTGGAAGTCTTTTTGGGGCACCACTGAAAACGACTCCAGCGGCTGCGCCTTCGACGACACCTGCACCATCCCTGTTCGGAGGCAGTAGTGCATTCTCTGGGCTTAACAAGCCGGCAGAACCAGCAGCAGGGGCGGCGAAACCAGCGGGAACGGGATGTGAGTGGATCTCGTTATTTTATTCCAGACCTCTTACAGAATTATCGTAGTCTTCAGCCTTGGAAGTATGTGAATACTGCAGCGCGTAATCCTGATAACTGATATGGTCTACTAGCTCCTACGCCAGCTGCCGGTGCCAAACCCGCAGACGGAACAACACCAGCTGCACCTACAAACAGTTTTCTGAGCGGCTTGGGCAGTTTGAACAAACCTGCAGCGCCCGCAACGACGACAACGGCAGCACCTTCGTTGTTTCCTTCCTTGAGTGCGAATAAAGATGCTCCGACCGCTGCTCCTGCAGGTCCGGCCTTCTCTTTGCCATCCTTTTGTCTTCCAAGAATCTGAATGCCTCTCCCTAGGGACATCGCCGGCTGGTGGTCTATTCGGAGCAAAGCCTGCAACACCGGGGCCAACAGCATTGGGAGGCGCGTCGACAGCCGCCGCTCCCGCGAGCGCATCCGCTCCTTCGTTGTTCCCCTCTCTGGGAGCCAAGCCGGATGCCGCGACTACGACACCAGGTCAGTGCGAATTCTCAGACCGGGATGGGCATTTTCTTATGCCCGCTATCCAGGATTATTTTCGTCGTTGGCCAAGCCCGCTGGTGAGAACTGATCTCGAAATTTTGCGAAGTAGCCCCAACGCTCTTCTAGGTTCCGCGCCGGCGACAACTCCTCCGCTAGGCTCGAGTACGACCCCCGCACTGGGCACTTCCGCGCTAGGGACTACCCCCGCGCCAGGTGCGTCAACTGCGTTGGTAGCGGTCGCACCTCCCTCTATGTTGCGCGGCAAGACGATCGAAGAGATCGTGAACAAATGGTCGAGCGAACTGGAGACTCATGTACGAGAGTTCAACAAATTCGCCGGAGAGGTGGCTGTCTGGGACAGAGCGTTGATTGAAAACGGGAACAACGTGCGTCGGTTTGTTCTCTCCAGGCTCAAGAAATCTTACGATATTGTGTTGCAGGTGGCGGCACTTTACAGTCATATATTGGCCGCGGAACGCGAGCAAAACGAAATCGACCAATCGTTGGATCATATCGAGCAGCAGCAGAAGGACCTGAATTCAACACTGGAAGCCTACGAAAAGGCAACCCAGGAGATCTTCGGTGGGTCGAATATGAGGGCCTTGGACGCAGGGCCTGCTGACACGGAGCGTGATAAAAAGTACGTGTCCTCTTACACGGGCGTGGAATAACAACTAACATATCCCACAGTTACATGCTCGCAACGGAGCTGCACACGCAATTAGACGACCTTTCGGGCTCGCTGACGCAGATGATCGATGCTGTGAACGGTCTCTCTCTGCCATCAAGCACGGACACATCCGCCGACGATCCGATGTCTCAAATCGCAGAAATTCTGAGCAGCCACCTCGAAAGCCTACAGTGGATCGACGGTGCAGTGAAGGAGGTGGACAGCAAAGTGAGCGAGGTCGAGAAGAAAGTGAAAGAGACGGGTTACAGCAGTAGTATGAGGAAGAGTTACGGTCTGTAAGTATGTGTGTGCTACGGAGACTCAGATCACACTGTATCTGCCTGTTGGAGCACTGGGATTCCGCATCTCGGCTTGGAGAGCCGCGGCCGACGCTTCGACCAGCAGACGTTTGATTTCGCGCACAGCTTGCTCGACCTGGCGGAATTGAGCATGAAGAATCGCGAAACAAAGGAAAACAAGACCGACCCGGTATTCTTCGTTCGACTCAACGAGCAAATGCAATTTCGGGGGCGCGTCCATTCCTGGTTCCTTGCCCGGCTCGTAATAGATACCCTTGTTAGTCACCGAGGCACCAGTCATATCAATAAGCTGGGCAACAACTTGAGACGGGCTGGGAACGAACGAAAACAAACACGCGCACCTGGACCATCGTCTCTTTGTTAGTAACACGCCAGCGGGCCTTCTGGGGATAGTCGTTGATGGGGATGATGGCATGGAAGTCGGTCGCATCCGTGCCGCCCTTCCGACCGCTGATATCTTCGGACTGCAGCGCACTTTGCAAGCTCAGCTTCGACGCGCGCATCTGCGCATTGAGCTTGGCGACGACACTCAACGCCTGCTTGTGCGCCGGCGTGTCCTTGCCCGCCCTGGCCGCGGCTTCCTCCGCAACTTTGACCTGGGCCTGGATCCGCTCCTCCTCTTTTTGCTGCACCAACCGACGCGCAGCTGCGATCGCACTCGATACGCCTTGCAGATTCTTGCTCGAGTCGGGCGCTGGCCCACGTTTGATCTCGACCTTGAAGTTACCGAATGTCATGTCGTCTGTGCTCGAGGCTGTCGCCTTGACCGTCGTCTCCTCGGCAGCAGTCACCTTCTCTTCCGGACCTGCCTCCTCGCCATAAGCCTTGCGCTCGGCACGTGCTTTGAGGTCCCGTTCCAGGTCCAATCGATCCAGACCCTTGCCTCCGAATCCGGAGCCCGAGGCATGCGCCTTGCCGACTTGAGCTTCTCCAGGAATGCTGCAGATTGTCAGAGACGAGCAAGACACTGTCGATTCTGTACGCACCATTCGCCATCTCCTCCAGCTCGGGAGACACCTTCGCATTGCTGGCCTTCAAAGCGCGGTATAAATCGACGGCGTATCGGTCCTGCTCGCTGGTCAGGAAAGTCACACATGTGCCTTTGTTGCCAGCTCTGCCAGTGCGACCTGCGCGGTGGACGTAATCCTCCATATGATTCGGCGCATCGTAGTTGATCACAAGCTTGAGCTGCTTAACGTCCAGACCACGCGCCGCAACGGAGGTGGCAATGACGATCGGGACGACGCCAGCTTTGAAGTCGGCGATGGTGGAATCCCGATCCACCTGATCCTTCCCACCGTGCAGAGACATGCACAGATAGCCCTTGCGCATGAGCTCGCGGAGGAGATTATCCGCAGCCTCCTGGCGATCGACAAAGACCAGTGTCCGACACTCTGGATCCTCGTTGTACATCTGGCCCAGAATCTCGAGCAGCCGGTTGAACTTGGTATCCTCGGCGCGAATTTCAACGATTTGCTCAATTTCCGCAGCGACGACCGAACGGCCACCGACCGTGATCTCCAACGGTTTCTGCAGAATTTTACGGGCCAGCGCGTCCATCTGCTTCGGGAATGTGGCCGAAAACAAGACAGTCTGGCGATCTGGCCGGATGTTGTTGATGATCTTCATCACCTGAGGCTCGAAACCCATGTCAAACATCCGGTCCGCTTCATCCAAAACCACGTATGTCACTCGCTTCAAATTTGTGACCCTCCCAGAGTTGGCAGTCAACAGATCAATCATCCGTCCTGGAGTGCACACGATGATTTCTGCCCCCTTCTTCAACTCTGCGATCTGGTCTTTGATGGGTGATCCGCCGTAAGCACACACGGCCTATAGCGCCGATAAGTTATAGTGTCTGGGAAGCCAGGAATAAACACACCCGCAAGTTCATCGCCTTCAAGAAAGGTTTGCAATCTTTGTGAATTTGAACAGCCAACTCTCGCGTTGGAGTCATGACCATCGCCATGGGTCCCTCCATCTGTTCCAGAGGACGCTGGTCCTTGATATGCCGGAATAGGGGTAACAAGAACGCAACCGTCTTGCCTGAACCGGTTTTAGCGACACCGATAATGTCTCGGCCAGACATGATGGCAGGAATGGCTTGTGCTTGGATGGAAGTGGGAGCGGTATAGTTCAGGCGCTTGATTACGTCAAGACTGACCTTGGTCATTGGCAGTACAAATCCGTAGTCGACACACGTACCAGTTAGCAGCCAACCCAAAATGGCTCCATTTCGTGACAGGACGAGGACAATCAACCCCGCGAATTTTGATGCCGTCGAGCTCCAATCTCAGATTGTCGGCCTCTTCGTCCGTCATCGCTGCGATATCAGGTGGGGGAATGTAGAACTCGCGACGGAATGGCTGGTACTTGACGCGAGAATGGTCGACAGTTGCGATTTCCTTCTTTCTCGCCTTCTTCGCGGCCAACGCCAAAATATCCTCGGGGTTCAACTCGGTCGCGTCCAATTCATCAATAGCATTCTCATCTCCATCGCCGCCCTCTTCGTCGGCCATTCGCTCATCGAGCCGGATACGAGACCGGTGAGTCGCGCCTGACACCTTCTGTCTGTCCTCCAAGTCGACTTTGGTCACTTCCTGCTTGACATCACTCATGAAAGCGTCGAGAGGGTCCACTTCGTCGTCATCAACGTCCATAGCAGTCCGGCCTCCTTAGCCTTGAGCTTGGACGCCAAGTCCACTTGGTTCGCCTCCTCATCGTCATCGTCGTCGTTTTCCAGATCACCGACTTTTGCTTCACCGTCGGCCATAGTCATGTCGATGTCGGGCATGTCTCCCAATGTCTCCAATTTACGCGTGCTCTCGACAGAGTCGTCCATTACACCCACTTTGACTTTGGATTTGACGAGTTCGGATTTCAGAGGGAGTCCTTTGAGTCCCAGCCCACCGAGGGCGGCGCGGTTGAGTTGACCAGCGACAGGAGGAGCTACACAGAGGATCAAGTGGTGTGAAATCATGGATGCAGTGCGGACACACCGGAAAGCTCACCTGAGGGTTTGCCTGCAGCTTTGCCTGCAGACTTTCCGGCAAGAGCCATGGCTTTGGCTTTGGCCTCATCCAACGCCTTCTTGGCCTCGCGTTCCTTCTTCCAGGCCTCGAGTTTCTCCTTCCGGGCACGTATCTTTTCATCCTCCGGCGCTAGGGGAGTGGTTGCGGATGGCGCAGCAGCTGGCCGTGCAGGGGACGCCGCGCGTCGATCCCGATCCTTCGAGCGTGACCTGCGGTCCCGCGAACGAGAGCGCCTACGATCCCTCTCTCGGTCCCGGTCATCTCTCCTATCATCCCTGTGAGAGTCTCTCCTCCGGTCGTCACGGTGCCTATCCTCGCGGTAGCGATCCCGGTCGCGTCTGTCGTCGTCGTAGCGGGAAGACCTATTTTGGGTTGACTGTGCGGAGGGCCGTTGTGTGCTGCGCCTTGTCGGCGAGGGGGACCGGGAACGATGGGAAGACTGTCTTACCCTCTTGTTGGAGGCATCAGGTGAAGCGGAGCGGTCGCGGCGGGGCATCCTGGCAGTGCGATGAGAAGTATGGCTTCTATTTGCCCATGTTGTCGTCCGCCCTCGCGATCACGATTCGGTGGCGTGGGGACCTGCACTTCTCTAACGCCGCTATGGTGTGGGATAAGTGCATGAGATGTGGAATCGTTACACTCATCTCGAGATAATTTATGAAATTTTGCAATAGGACTTCCATATTACAAAATGAACTCCTTGAATTCATCATCAACACACTACTATCGCAGGTCAAGCTTTTGTCCCACATTGTCTGCGAACAAATACTTCTAATGACCCATGGATCGAGAGAAGGCAGAAAGGCAGGACGGATGAATGGATAGATTAGCTGCGTAGGTCTCGGTGCGTAACCGCGAGGCTCTGGCCCTGCTGTATGTTGCAGACAAACGTCGAAAGCCTGTAGTGCAATCGAAATGCGAGCATCGACAACAGATCATCCACAAGCAGTTGGTGGTTCAGAACTACAGGTGCCCGATAGACGCAGGTGTGCAAGATCGATTGTCCAGCCGCATAGTAAACAAGATTCGGGAACTGGTGATGCGCCTGCACTGTAGAACGTCCGATTGCCAGGCCCCCGCGTCCCAGAAACGGGATGGTAATTCTGATGAGCCCTTGAGTCTTGACCACGACCAAACTAGGCATACCAAGTGCAGAGAACGAGCTGCAGTATGATCTTCGGGCACTCTGTCAACGTGGACAAGGAGCAACATCCATTGGAAACGTGCGCGTCCTCAAGTATATCAAGTATATCTGACTCCGCTACGGAAGCCAACCCCTCGATACACGCCAGCTCCCAAAGATATGCCTTCCACCCATGCAGATCTATTTTGCTTGAACGTGGAGGCAACAGGCTGCTCGTTATCGCCTTGCGACGCGACGATGCGTTTGATTGTAGCATGAGAATATTCAGAATCGCAGGAGACCTGAGCAGAACAATATCGCCTCTGCGCAGAGATCCACTCAGAGTCATGAATATCCGTTCAACGAGCCCGGCTCCTCCCTAGAGATGGAACGCATCCGGGCTAGCCGTTTGCTGGTATTCACTAGAGTATAGATGAATCACTCCGATATGCGCACCAACTCCTACGGCAGGAATCGTCTGCCGTATGTCCAGACTAGCGAGACTAAGCATTCAACATTGTGGAAAAGAAAAAGAGGCGGATTCAAGTCCGAGACGGCCGGGAACGCGGTCACATGATGACTTGATCGTGTTCTCCCCGATCCTTACTTCCCCTAGTCCCATGCCATAGGCGAGAGAGACCAATTGTTTGAAGCAGCATGGAACCGGGCGCCAAGCAGACTCTGCAAATGCAAGAATAAGTTCCAGAAGGCTGCGCTCATAATCACCAAGTGTTTCAATACAAGCGACTAGCCCCTCAATGAATCACAAAGCATAAGGCTTTGGAGCATCTTGAGGTTCTTTCCCAAAATATATGCCATCATAGGACTCGCAGCTTCGACGCGCCAAAAAATCGGCGCAGAACACCTGCCACTGGTCCCACTATTTTCAAGAATAACTTTGACACGACTTCTATGCAGGTCGCGCAGAAAACAGGGCTCTGAAAGTTCCAACAAAAGTCTATATTTGCAATTCTGTATGTATCCAAGCTGCGGTTGAATTCGAACCGAGGCCCAGATCGAGATTTGCGCAGTATCACGCAGTAAGCATGTCACGTGCTGCCATTGATAATCAGCGTTTACAGCTTTCAGGCCGAATCCAGTCAAACCACGACTGGTTACAGATGTACAACTACATTTCGGGGTTGATCATACAGGGCCGTTTCATAGATAGCAAGAGGAAAACGAACAGTAGAAACCACTTCCTCAATTCGGGAGCAGTTGGGCCGGAGAAGTAACGCATTAGACCAGTCCGTCGTAGAGGGATAATGCCTGCATGCGCGTGAGCCAGCAGAGGAAAGACGTGGGACAAACGGCTTGCCTTCACAATGGTCGGATCCAGCTTGCTTCCTTCTACGAATTCTTCATATGTGAGCTTGGCGTCCTTGTCTCGGTCCATGTTCCGGAAGATCTTATCCACACGCTGAGATGACAGATTAGCACAGATGGTCTCCACGAAGCTCATCAAGTGGCCACACCTTTTCAGGCGTGTCCTCGTCAGAAGGCAGCTTGACCATCTCCCCCGTCATCTTGTATATGGATTGAACGATTTGGAGCATTTCATCATAGGTTATAGTCCCGTCCTTGTCGATGTCATACAGTTGGAATGCCCCTGCCAATAGGCGCAAATTGAGCACACACAAACCGAGTAGAATCGGACGCGACGCACATTTCAGTTTCTCATCCAAGTGCCCGCGACTGGTGACGCTCAGCGCACAGATGAACTCCTTGAAGTCGATCGTCCCGTTCTTGTTCGCGTCGAACACGTTGAAGACGTAGTCCGCGAATTCACCAGGGTCACCGAAGGGAAAGAACTGCTTGTATATCCGGCTGAACTCCGTCTTGTCCAGCTGCCCCGACGGGCAATCCTTGCGGAAGCCCTTGTACCACTGCTGTAGCTCCTTCTTGTCGACTGGAGGAATTGAGAGGATATACGAGGATCGTTTTGGAGTGCGCACAGTACGTATTCTTCTGCAGATCGGCAAGCTGTTCGGGCGAGAGCTTGGATTGGGATTTGCCCATAGTGAACGTGAGTGATGGTGAGAGGAAGAGATAGCTTCAAGTCCACAAGCGGTAACGGTAATTCGCGGCCGGATTTGATGGGTGCCGTGAGTAGGTAACTGGCTTGCATCGTGGCCGGCAGCCTCATCAGGCCTCATGGTGACCTTGGCTTTCGCTAATACTATATCTACCAAGATGTACAATATGTCGACACTGTCGCGGCCAACGCATCCAACGATTCCAGCTATTCCCAAGTCAACATCGATATCATCACAACTCTAATATAATGCACATGTCCGAGCCTTTCCTTCTCTTCCTCCTACACCCACGATGTGTTACGCTCAAGGCTCCATCGACCTCGTCGTCAGTGTTTGCCCTATGTGCAAGGTCTTCCCTCACCAGCGGTCCGTCCCCCTACCCCCTTCCGAGCATTGACCGACGCGACAAGCAGCTGTCCCCACACCCGGGATGTCTGTCGCAACCGAAGCGCCCATCCTCGGTTCGACGTCTCCTTCTTGAAGAACGCTGAAGGTCGGTCCTCACACGTCTCATCCTGACTGTGTTTCTCAGCCCACGCAGTGGAGACGTTCAATGGATGTGGGTATTGCAAGGTCAGTGCAGCAAGCCGTCCGCTATCGACCATTTCGCTGATCTCTGTTCGGAACAGTGGGCTGCCAAGAATCCGCCGCCCAAAGCTGCTGGAAACTTCAACATGGGCTGGCCTGGATGCTGTCGTGCGCCCACAGGTGCCAGCGAGTATGCCTTGATCCCCGCTGCGGACTGGCGATCAGTCAACAAAGGTGCGTGTATCGCTGCCGACATACATGCACCTCTCCAATAACCTCGCGCATCTCGATCGCAGTCCACAACATTCCCATCCCGGCTGATGTGAAAGCGACGATAGAGAGCGTCTCTCCGCGCAGCAGCCCAGGGAGTCCGGCTTCTTCGGCACGGTCATCGACCAAGTCTTCTTCGATCGCGTCTGGTGACCGGAGAAACAGCTCATCGGGGAGATCCGGGGTGCCGCCGGGAGTCGCTAGCAAAGGACGCTCGAGCAACTCCAGCAGCCCGAAACTCATTGCTTCGTCGATCGCGAGCAACAGCTCGCGCGGCAACGCTGGAGAGCTGCCGGAGCACGGATTGAAGCGGCGGGAGGATCCCGACAAGACGCGCGGGGGCTCCCCAATTCGCCGACACACAACCGACGTGGAGCCATCATCGGGGACCCCTCGCCGCAACTCATCGGCGCGAGCGTCTTCGTCTGCCGCCGAAGTGGATGCGCGGCGGAATGGATCGCAAAGCACTTCTAGCAAGGTTTCGGGCTCAAACATCCGGCCTGCTGGCAGCGATCTGCCGCGCAAGAAGCTGGACCCCGAGACGTCTTCTAGCAGCAGTGGCAGTGATAGCTTGGGATCGTACTCGTCGGAAAGCACCATCACTTCCGATGGTGGATTTACGGATTACTTGTCCGACGAGTCGGAGGCAGAGCTGCAACGGCAGGCAGAGGCCAAGGCTGCCCTTCTGGCTCAGAACGAGGCGGAGGAGCTTGAGTTCCGCGCAGCTCGGCAGGCACTGGCCAATGTCACTCTGCGACCGCCTCGAGCGTGGAATGCAGCGGAGAATGCACGGATGGTTCCGTCGACTCGCGGCTGAAACGTGTTATTTACAAGCCATAGTGTATATATGCAATCATCTACTTATCTTTGGGTTACTGGACGCGTGCGCCCAACGTGTGGCTAGTTGGGGGGCAACGCGTACAGCGCTTGGACGCGTGTGTCACAACGTTACACCCAGCTGCCCAAAACAGGCAGCATCGCGGGTTAAACTGAACTCTCTCGCCGACACCCAGAGGCGGACCTCGCACGATGAACTTGGGGAGGACCACTGTATCGTCCTCGACGGCTGTCAACGTCTTTGATGCTCGTTTCGATCCCGACTGCAAGATATTCACGGCAACTACGCCCGCCGGATTCGCAGTCTATCGCACATGTCCCTTGACGCTACTTCGTAAACGTGGTAATGCTCGGATCGCTTGTCCCAAATCCCAAATGCTAACTCGGCCCCAAAGAGCTTTCCGGTGGCACACTCGCGGCGGCCGTGCCGCTCCACACATCCTCAATCCTCTTCCTGCTCGGTGGCGGCCGCAGTCCTCTCTATCCTCCAAACAAGGTCGTGTTCTGGGACGATGTCCTGGGGACCGAGGTCGCGGAGCTCGAGTTCCGCGAACGCGTCCGGGGACTGGCCTGTCGGCGCGGCTGGCTCGCAGTCGCGCTCCGGCGGCGGGTCGTGCTATTCGAGCTCGGGGAGCAGGTCACACGATACGGCGAATGGGATACGTGGGATAATCCAAGAGGTGCACTGCAGTGTTCCATCGCTCGCCCCCGTCGCTGAAGTAGCAGGTCCAAGGTCTGCTCGCGCTCGCTTCCGGCACTTACGCCACGCTGCTTGCGATCCCGGGACGTAAGCTGGGGCATGTGCAGCTGATACACCTTCCACCCTGCATAGCCCCCACGCCTCTGGGACCCCCCTCATCAGCACCCCCGCGGAAACCGCCGCCGCCGCCGAGCAAACACCCGATCTCCATCATCGCGGCACACGAGTCCGCGCTGACAACGCTATCTGTCCCTCCGTCCGGCCGCCTGCTCGCAACGACCTCATCGCGGGGCACGCTCGTCCGGGTGTGGGATGCAGTCACGGGCAAGCCTGTGCGCGAGTTCCGGCGCGGGGCCGATAAAGCAGACATCTTCGGTGTCGCCTTTCGGCCGGACGAGCGCGAGCTGTGCGTTTGGAGCGACAAGGGCACCGTGCATGTGTTTAATCTCGTCGTCTCGGGTGCCGCGTGAGTTTCTGGCTCATCTATCCGTGCGCCGATGTGTTGATGTGAGATACCCAAAGCAACCGCCAGTCGACACTTTCGCCACTGAAGCCATTTATCCCGCTCCCCAAATACTTTGAGTCCGAATGGTCCTATGCGCAATACAGCATACCCGTGCAGTCCTCACATATCTCGCTGTCCCAGACGTCAATAAGAACGCCGGTGGCAGAGGTGGACGAGGAACGATGTGTCGTGGGATGGATCGAGCAGCCCAGGACACCAGATGACGGGGCTGTCGAACACCAGCTGGTGGCGCTGACATACGCGGGCGGGTGGTACCGGCTGTCGCTGCCCAAGGCTGTGTCCCAAGCACGGAACAGCCCGCCCCGCAAGGAGAAGGAAGGCGAGAAGCAGAGCAGGAAATGCGTGCTGGAAGAGTACCGGCGGTTCGGACGGTGGGATGGTTGGGGCTAGACAAGGGAGGTCGTGCACCTGATTATGCATGTATTCTGGTATCTAGCTAAATAAGATTACATCATTGTCCGAGTAAACGAGGGGTAGAGAAAGCGAGAGTGGGGTGAACGACTAGTACGGTGGCTGTGGCCGGTAGGGCGGCTGCTGTCCATAGCCCGGGTGCTGACCAAAGCTCTGGTCGCTCTGGTTGCTCTGGCTGTAGTAATGTGTCGGCGGATGCGCAGACACGGGTTCCATGTCGGCGTCATCCCGGTAGGCAGGGAAGTTCGCATTGCTCTGGTTCCAAACCTGGCTCTGGCTCGGGTTTTGACTCCAGGAATGCTCCGAACGGTGATCCGTCAGGAACTGCTGCGATTCCGTCGTCGAGACCCGCTGGCCCGCGGCATAAGGTCCGTTCGAGGACATCCTGTCGCCTGCAAGACCCGCCTGCGCTGCCTTCGATGCCGCAATCGATGCCCTGATACGGCTCTGGCGACGACGGCGCAGACAAAGCGAGACAAGCAGAATGAACAAAGCGACGCCAACCACACCCCCAGCGATACCGGCGATCATGCCAATGTGCTGCGAGACGAACGACTTGTCGCTGGGATTCGCGGTACTGTTCGCGTTGCTGCTTCCGCTGCCGGTGCCGGTGTTGCTGCTGCTGGCGCTGCCGGAAGCAGCCGAAGAGAGGACGCTAGCGGGCAGTGCGGCAACGGCGGCAACAGGTTGGGTTTCGATGTTTCCGGACCCAACGATGACGTAGGTGCCGTTGCTGGGAACGCCATTGACCAAGACATAGGCGAACGCAGGACCAGGCTGGAAAATCGTAGGGAACGGTGGCATCTGGCTCACATGCAACACGATCGTTCCATCAGACTGGACAGTGTACGTGTTATTCAGCTGCAGGTAACGTTGCCCCATGTTCATTCCGTGCGCTTCGTGATGTTCAGAATCATGTGCGCGGATCCATCGAGAAAACACTCACTTGTCCAACCTGGGCGGACAACCGAAACATAGGCGCTGGCAGCCGCGGCATTCGAAGCTCCGGAATATGAGCTGGCAGGGATCGTCACATCGAATGAGGCTCCGCCGTAGCTGAGCGTCTTGGGGACACCGGAAGGAGACGGCCGGATGCTGGCAGAGAAGTAATCCGGATAGAACCTCTCGGCGATATAGGTTGTGGGGAACGGCGCAGTGAGGTTCACATCCAGATTCGGGTTCGAGCCAGCGATGAGAACGGACGCGTCAGGAAGCAAGAGAGCAGACGAGTGGTACAGTCGGGCCACGTTCGAAGTCTGATAGTTGCTGCGCGACCATCGCTTCCCTGCAGGCGCCGTCGGATCATACAGCGCTGGCGTTCCTACGGGTCCGCTCGCGAAACTCTCTGCAAACGGCATCTGATCAGTAGGCGTAAGTGACGTGTTCACGCCGTATCCAGCAGTGCCATTCAGACCACCGTTGACAACCAGGAGCTTGCCGTTGGGAAGGATGATGAATTGCCCCATGGTCCGGGTCTCCAGCATGTCGTCGTCCTGCGTGTAGACGGGTGCAGATCCATCAGCAGGTTCCGGGGTGATCTGAATACGGATGAGCTGGTCGAGCCTTCGACAGTTTGAGTGAAAACATACGCGCTGGCAATCGGCCGACGCAGGGATATCCCAAGGATTGGCAAAAGGGAAAGCGAAGTTTCCCCACTGCTGATCCGACATGGAGCCCTGCCCACCGCAGAAGATGATCGTCTGTTGGTAGTTGTTCGCTGGAGTCATCGGAAGCATGGCCGTTGCCCCGCTCGCAGGGTAGACGCGAACGACATTGTTTGGCATATCGGGCAGATCAGTTTCCGTATTTGCGTTGTAGTCCCAGAGCACTAGCGGACGTCAATATGGGCAAATGGGCCAGCACTGATTTCGATCACGCACTCGTCGACAGGTTGGCTTGCATGAACATGAGTCCCGACCTATGATGCGAGTCAGCGCCCATGTCGCCACACGCCAGTTGAATCATACTTCATCAAAAAAGTGTCTGCGATGAGGAATTGAGTCATCGACAAGAGATGGGTACTAGATATGATCACTCACGGGGATAGGCGTTCAGACCACTGGTTTTGTGCAAGAACGGGAGATCTGTGGGTGGTCGCCCGTTGGAGGGGAAGAACTCGTAAGAGAGAGTACAGCCAGCTGTGGGGTCGGTGTTCGGGTAGTTGCGGCACACATAGCCTGTAACCCGCTTGTTCATGAATCCTTTCATCCACCAGTTCTGCTGTCTTACCTCCTCCAGAAAAGCCTCCGACGATCGCTACAGTCCCATTGGCAAGGGCTTCCGCAGCACTGTACCATCGCTGGGCCTGCATGCTTAACAGAGCGGGGTCATCAAACCTGGATCCGGTGAGCTGGATCCTCCGATGCATTCAAGCTTCCACTCACCATTGGCATTTGGTGTCCGTCATGCTGTCAGCTGCGGTGCAGGGGTCAAGCACTCGAATGGACTTGGTCCCATCGAAATCGTTGTAAGTCGCGTCCCATTGGCCGTCTAAAAACCATAAGCGTCTGCTGCAAAAAAGTGGCGACATGCCGTACTCTGCGACCCGGCAGAAGCTCCAGGTCCGACTGCAGAGTTGCCACCAAACGTCGCGTACGAGCTGTATGCATTCAGTATCGCACAGGCTGGAGGCACAAAGGGCGACAGACCCATTGGGTAGATGAGCCCCTACAAAATTTGAGTTTTAAGCTAGCATGGCCAAAAGCGTCACGAACCAGAACTACAGAAGGTGTTGGTCATGACGGGCATGGTGGTAGTTTGGAAGGTGTGCAGGTCCCTGAAACTCGTTCAATGCTGTCGTCATCGTCGTGAGAGGTCCCTCGCGTACATTACGGATCCCCACGCAGGATGGCCTGCGGCCTGGTCCACTCAATCAGCATCGAGCAGCAAGTCAGGCACGCTGTGGGGGGGACGCACTTGGGCTGCATTCCCCTCTGCCTTGTCTAGAATATACAGTTTGTCTTCGTTGCCCACGAACATCTGCGCAAGTGAGACGGGCACAGTTGCCCGGAGGAGGCAAACGCACCATCATAGCACTAATGAGCGTGTCTCCAACCTGCGAAATCGATCCGGCAGTGGCGGCGGCGGTCGCGCCCAACGCCGAGGGCGCGAACATGAGTGGGAGGAATGTTCTCATCGACCAGAACAAAAGATGGGAGGGAGAGAAAGGAAAGGGAATGTTGGTCGTGTGTCAAATGATCAAATTGATTTCGGTCCTGTCACGGTTCAGATCGTTACCCTAGCTGCAGCGGTCTGGGTTGGCCTTGCCTGGATGTTGGGGGCGTGTGATAGAAAAGGAGAGGCGCTGCTTGTGACTGCTCACGTCTGTTCACGTCGCCACACACGTTGAGGCGTCGGGCTGTGTCGAGCGAGAAAAAGACGGGAATTGTCCCCCTTGCAACTAGGGGTGCTATAAATGGATGTAAGAAGGCAGTGTCTTGGGGAAGAGCAACGCCCGGATCACAACTGGCGACCGGCTCCCGCCTCAGCTGTGATCCGAGTTTCCAGTAGCCTCCCCGGTTGCACCCACTGCGGGGATGCAAGTTAATCCAGCGAGCAGCGGAAAGCTCAAGCTCGGCACCAGCACTCGCAGATTTGTTGTGTCGGGCGTTGTCGCTCAGTTCGATCGATCACCAAGACAGAACTGCTGACAGGTCTCGACTTTACTCGAGTAGGCTGGACACGGCCGGCCAGAATATCCATGTTCGCTGCTCCATTTCAATTGAAAACACGAGGGATTGACCCATTCAAGCCTTCATGCCCAAGTATTCACCGGCGACTTGAATCTAAGTACAGGGACACAGCACACAGCATGCTCGGATCAGTGGCCTCGGATCTGTCTCCGCGGCGCGGGTTGACCCGGGCCGGTAGAAGCATCCCCCTCCGATCTCTTTCTCCATGTCAGTCTCCATCGGAGCTCCATCAGGTCGGAGCGCGTCGACGGTACATAGAAACGACGCGTCGGGCGATCTATATTTATCTGTCTCGCCAGTGTGGATACTGCTCACCCAATGGGGAACGCTCAGCAACTCGATCCAGTCGGAACTCAGCTGGCCTAGTAGCCTACAGGCTGTCCTGTGATGTGCGAGCTCGCGGTGCATCGCGCGTGACTGCGCTCTAATCGCGAATCAGGTTTACCAGAAAATGATCGATCGCGGCTGGCGACGCTCAGGAACATACTGCTACAAACCAGATCTGAAAGCCTCTTGCTGTCCAGCATATACCATCAAGTACTGGTCTTTTATTCTCCGCGATAGCCTGGTTTGAACGAGCCATCTAGACTGGAGGCCGAGCATTTGGTGGTCTCGAAAAGCAAGAAGAAAATTCTCAATCGGTCCTATCAAGTTCCCGTCTGCTCTACTCCAGCTGACTTTCAGCTGCACAGTTGGAACCGCTATATCGTCCATGGCAAAGGCAGTGATAAGGATCAACCCGCTGCCAAGAAATCCAAATCAACGGAGCCCTTCTCCCTGAGTAGGGCAATCCATGCCTCGGAGAACTTGGATCCATCTGAAAGCACACATCGCTTCGAAGTGAGTGCTTGGTCGCATGGACCGTCGATTTCTTTGCTTAGGACGTCCAGGTCTCCTTGGAAGCCGCCTCATATAGCAGCGAAAAGTTTGATCTGTACTGCAAGTATCAGAGGGTGATCCACAAGGACCTACACAATCCGTCGCAGGGATTCAAGCGATTTCTTGTACAGTCTCCCCTGACAGTGGGTTTTCCGTCCACGAGCTCGATCGAGTTACTCAGAATGACTGAAGATGACTCCCATCGGATATTCGAGCCCGTCACCTCCGTCTCACCTGCCATCGCACTATGGGTCGGCGGCGTCCGCTGCTTGTTACCCGTGACTTACTTCTTGTCCAATTATAGCTCCCACCACCAAATGTACCGATGCGATGGCAAACTGATCGCCATTGGGGTGCTCGACATATTGCCGAATTGTGTGTCCAGCGTGTACTTTATGTATGATCCTGTGCGTTCTGCGTCTTGCCCGCAGACCAATACCCAACCAAATTTCTGCAGGAATGGGAGGAGTTCTCGCTGGGAAAGGCAAGCACGGCAGCAGACGGCTGAGAAACAGTTGATCCGATCATAGCACCCAGCTCAGCGCGCTTCGAGAGGCATCGCTTGCAGTAGAGATGAAGCATGCCGGCGTCACGGACATGCGCTACCTCTACATGGGTAACCTTCGCTTATGGCCCGACGAAAAATGTGAACCCACCCGCAGGCTTCTATATCCACTCGTGCCCGAAAATGCGATATAAAGGCGACTATTCACCGTCGTTTCTCGCCGATCCAGAAACATACGCATGGTTCACCCTCGAAGCATGCATCCCTGCGCTCGAAAAACATCGTTACGTATCATTCGCCAATCCCGAGAACTCTGTCAGCCAAATTGTGGAGCCCAGTCAGTGCCATCCTTGCCGTCACCCTCGCAATGAAACATTTCTAGGCGATGCTGAGCTCCATCTGGAAGAGGAGATCCTAAAGAAGGTAAAAATAATCAGGAGCATCCGAAACGGGACAATCTCTGTGATTCCGTTGAACGTAAGTATGCTCGGCTACACGCAGCTACCCGCCGACTTACTTTGAATGCCCCAATTCACAGGAATCTCCGCACTGGACCGATGAAGACTTCCGCGCGGACTGCGCGGACTGTATAACAGGTTTAGGCCCTGAACTGTCAAGAGAGATTGTATTCTTGCACGAAAACTTCTTGTAACAACCCAATGTTCCGAAAACCCATCGAGGACTGAAACTCACGTGACCGCGTTCCCGGACCGATCCGGACACCGCGTCTTTACTCTTCCCCACAATGTTTCGTCGAGCGCTCGGGCCAGTCTGGACATATGGCAGATGGTTACCTCTAGTCTTGATGTTCGGGGACATGTACCAGCTCAAAATCATAGACGGCCGAAGCATGCAGGTTTGGTCCCGCCGTAGGCGTTGGTGCGCATGCCGCAGCGTCCGACTCATACTCAAGTGAATACTAGCAAACACTCAACCCGGACTCCTCCCTCCTCTGGCGGGACGTTGGGCTCTTTGACCGACTATCAGTTCTTCTGAGCGGAAATCTGCGCAGAGGCGATATCGTTCTGTTCAAGTCTCCAGCCGATCCAGAATATGTGATGATCAAACGCATTGTCGCGTTGGAAGGCGACATCGTCCGCCCGTTACCGCCCTATCCGGACGAGAAGATCCGTGTGCCACAGGGGCATGCGTGGGTGGAAGGCGAGTGTAGCGTCTTGCGCCGCACCGGAGTAGGCAGTTGACATCGCGCAGGAGATGGTTTCCATAGTAGAGACAGCAATACTTGGGGACCGGTGCGTTTCCAGCTGATATCCCTCGTCCTCATTAACATCCGGTCTGAAGATCCCTCTCGGGCTCGTTCATTCGCGCTTGGTATGCCTCGTTTGGCCGTGGTGGAGACTTGGAACGCCATTAGAAACGCCACCGAATCCCCGCGTCGGAGGAAGCCCCAACATCGCTAGCGCTATGTAGCTGTATTTACAAGCCCTCATTACTTGCTATTATGGTGTTTGACGCGAATGGACGCGCTCGAGAAGTCTCAGTAGCCGGATGACTTGTTAGATCACGGGCGACACCCCGGGTCCGACGACCCTGAGTCCTCTCTCCCTCCCTCTCTTTCCCAAATTATCGCAAGATGTCCGCCTCGTTGTCCTCTCACTTTGACTTCCTCCTCGGAACACGAGCCCAAGAAGCCTCTGGTCGCGACGCCCGGGGTGTGGTCGAAGAATGGGGCAGGTACTGGCTTGCATCCGTCGCATCTGTGATCGTCCACTGAACTCTACCACGTTCCAAGTTTCGGCAAGACCGCGCAAGGTCTGCTCCTTCATCCGGGTGCGATCTCTCCGCACTGACTTCGGCATCGGTAGAAACGGACGTCGGTCCAGCAGATGGGGAGGCGGAGGATGGTCAGTGGGACTCGGTCGTCGACACCTTCCGCGCGTCGTCTTCTTCCAGCGTCCCTCCATCCGGCGTCCTCGCGAAGCTTCTTCAGTACGTCTCAGATTTTCGTGCAATCAGATCCACGGATCCCCGACATGGCACCCTTAGAAAACCGGCCGTCGAACCCATCCTGCAATCCCTGCACGCACTGCTATCGCGGCCACAGAGTGACGATATCTCCGGAGATGTTGTTGAAATCGTGGGTTATGAAGACATGGAGCTCGTCATGGAGATATTGCAGGAGGATCGGAGCGCGCTCGCGAAGCAGGTGAGAGCGGTCATCTTCCTGCATAGATCTTTCCCTCCAGACTATGATCTAACTTGGGAGCCAGATCGAACATTTCCAACACTCGTCATCTGTGGCCTCCTCCTCGTCGACACCTGCTCCATGTTTGTCCATGCGCCACCTCGTGTTATCCAGGGATTGAACGGCCGCGACAGTGACCGGGCTCTCCTCCCATGAATCTCAACTGCGGATACGCGAAACACTGCGGCAGAACGCCGCTAGGCCGTTATTTACTGGGACAGCAGTACGTGGACGACGTCGTCGTGTGTCCGCGGACCGAATCGAACATTCATCCATGTCCGCAGGAAGCAGCGCCGGAAGTGCTGCCCCACATCTACAGCTCGAGCACTATGGCACAGGGGAACGTCCTCTCGCATCTGGGGAGCAAGTTTATGCTGCCTCTCGGGACCGTCCGCACCGAATACGAAGACCACGAGGAGGTCGTCATTCCGCCGGCCAGAGCCATCCCGCCACGAAGCACCGAGCGTCTTGTGCCTGTTGCCGAGTTGGATCCCCTCGCACGCGACTGTTTCCCTGTGAGCTGTTCCGCTCCCACTGAGAAGGGCTGTTTACTGAAGTGGACCAGGGCTACAAAACACTGAATCGAATACAGTCGATCGTATGCTAGGGCGCGCGCGTGTGCTGCATCTCGTCTCACGTTTTTCAGGTGTTTCCTACTGCCTACGGCACCAACGAAAATATGCTCATCTGTGGTCAGTGGTACCATAGGTCACTCTGTTCAATGTTAACGTCCTCATTTAGCACCCACCGGAGCTGTCAGTCTGCTATGTCTTCCGGTCCGACATACTGACGCGAGGAAAGGGTAAAACCGACGTGGCCATGCTGACTATCCTGCGCGTTCTTGACCAGCATCGGAGTCTGGATATGGGGAACGTGCCTTTGGCGTCGACGATAAACAAGTCGACGTTCAAAATCATCTACGTGTACGGCCGGCCATTCTCGTGCATGGCTTCATTGGGCTGATCTGTCCTGATTCTAGGGCGCCCATGAAAGCCCTCGCGTCGGAAATCGTGCGCAAGTTCAGCAAACGGCTGGCCTGGCTGAACATTGAAGTCCGTGAACTTACTGGTGAGACTCCTCGTTAGCGCTCTTCCCGACCAGGACTGAGAGATCCGGTGCGCAGGCGATATGCAACTGACCAAGGCGGAAATCGCGCAGACACAGGTGATTGTGACGACTCCCGAGAAGTGGGATGTCGTGACAAGGAAACCGACCGGGGAAGGAGAACTCGCATCGGTCTGTTTCGCTGCAATGTAGCTGTCGGCTGAAAAACTCAAGAATTCAGAGTCTCAAACTGCTCATCATCGATGAGGTGCATCTGCTGAACGAAGAGCGAGGAGCGGTCATCGAGACGATCGTTGCACGGACGTTGCGCCAGGTCGAGTCGAGCCAGTCGGTCATCCGGATCGTAGGCCTCAGTGCGACGCTTCCTAATTATATCGATGTGTCCGACTTTCTTTGGTGCGCATTCTACCCGAGTGTTGCGCGACGACTCCATCTCACATGACTCGCAGTGTCTCTCGACAACGGGGCCTGTTTTACTTCGACTCGTCATTCCGGCCGGTGCCGCTCGAACAGCACTTTCTGGGGATCAAAGGCAAAGCAGGCAGCGCCCTGTCGAAAAAGAACCTGGACAAGGTCACGTTCCAAAAGGTGTCCGAGCTCGTCGAGCAGGGCCACCAGGTGATGGTGTTCGTCCACGCGCGCAAGGAAACCGTCAAATCCGCGCTCGCATTGAAAGAGGCGACCGTGCTCGAGGGCAACGCGGACGACTTTAGCTGCCAAGACCACCCGCAGTGGAGCTTCTTCCGGAGGAGCGTCGGCGAGTCCAGGAACAAGGAGATGAAGCAGTTGTTCGATGCTGGGTTTGGGATCCACCATGCGGGCATGCTGCGCTCAGACAGGAACATGATGGAACGGATGTTTGAGGCTCGGGCGATCAAGGTTTGTACATCTTCAGTGAGCCTTTTCGTTTTCCAAGACCCCGACAGGTCCTCTGCTGCACAGCGACGCTCGCTTGGGGTGTCAATTTGCCAGCGCATGCCGGTTAGTCCGATGCGTCGATCTATCGCCCTCTCACCCATCTCAGTCCAGTCGTCATCAAGGGCACGCAAGTGTACGACAGCGCTCGCGGTGCCTTTGTCGATCTGTCCGTTCTCGATGTTCTGCAGGTGTTCGGTCGTGCGGGGCGACCTGGGCTAGAGACTAGCGGAGAAGGATACATCTGCACAACACATGACAAGCTCGACCACTACCTTCAGGCCATCTTGTCTCAGGTCGGTGATCTAATCTCTTGATCGCGCTCGTACTCACCTGGTACCAGAATCCAATAGAGTCTCAGTGCGGATTATGTTCGACAAGGGTTTAGTATCGCTGACGCAACTTTAGATTCCAGGCGGGTATGGTTGACGCGCTCAACGCGGAGATTTCGCTAGGAACGGTCGCCAATGTGCGAGACGGGGTGCGCTGGCTGGGATACACCTACCTGTTCGTTCGCATGCGCAAGAATCCATTCATCTATGGCAAGCTTTTCGACTTGTAGTCTGAATTGCATTGAACTCTCCCCAGGTATCGCACGCGATTCGGCCGGAGACGATCCCAACCTCGGACACAAACGACACGAGCTGATCACGTTCGCCGCCAAGAAGCTGGCCGAGGTGAATATGGTCAATTTCGACGCCACCACGGGCGACCTTACTGTCACCGACGTGGGCAGGATCGCTGCGCGCTATTACATCCGGCACACATCGATAGAGGTGTTCAAGAAAGAGTTCCGGCCGAAGATGTCCGAAGCGGATGTGCTCGCCATGCTCAGTATGAGCACCGAGGTCTGTGGCTATATCTTCGCGAAATTGATATCCTCGTCATTCTGATGATGGCTCCAGTTCTCCCAAATCCAAGTGCGCGAGTCTGAGCTGAAAGAGCTGGAGTCAATCAAGGAAATCATTCCTTGCGACGTCAAGGTATCCATTCTTGTATCGCGCCTGCACGGTATCTGACAGTGTTTTCCAGGGCGGAGTCGAGAACTCGTACGGCAAAGTGAATATCCTGCTCCAAGGCTTCATCTCCCGACTCCCTGTGGACGACTTTGCGCTGGTGTCCGACACCGCTTACGCAGCCCAGAACGGCGGCCGTATCGTGCGCGCGCTGCTCGAGATCGCCATCAGCCGCAAGTGGGCGAACGTGTCTGCGGTGCTGATGGGCCTGAGCAAAGCTATTGAGAAGCGGCTGTGGCCGTTCGATCAGCCGCTGAAGCAGTTTGAACTGAAAGGGGATGTGTTCTATGGGCTGGAGAGATGGGCGGATGAGTGGTCCCCCGCTGAGCTGGCTGCGCAGAGTGCGGAGGAGCTGGGCCGCCTGATCCACTCGAACGAGCACCACGGACAAGCGTTGCTGAACGCGGCGAAGCAGTTTCCCACCGTGCAGATAACATACAGTCTGCGTCCTCTCGGGTTCGATGTGCTGAAGATCGCGGCTCAGGTGAAGCCCAAGTTCACGTGGAACAACAGGATACACGGCTCGAGCGAGCCGTTCTGGCTGTGGGTCGAGGATCACGATGGGATACACATCCTGCAGCTCGCAAACCTTCTGCTCCGGCCGACGACAGATCTCGTCGACGTGGACTTTGTCATCTCGATCCCTGACGGCCAGCCTCCGCCCTCCGTGACGATCCGGTTTGTGTCGGACCGGTGGATGGGAGCCGAGGACGAGGTGTTGATCCCGCTGGACTCGCTGGTCATGCCCCAGGCGTCCCACAGCCACAGCCCGCGACTCGACTTGCCGTTCCTCAGTCCCTCGATCCTGCGCAATTCGGCTGTGGAGAAGCTGTTTGCCGGCCACGTGCACAACTTCAACTCGATACAGACGCAGTCGCTCTGGACGGTGCTGAATACCAAGTGGCACACGCTGCTCAGCGCGCCGGGAGGCAGCGGGAAGAGCATCTTGATCCAGGTTTTGATCTGGATGACGGTATCGCGCGCGGCTGACTCGTGGGTGCTTGTCGTTGCTCCGAGGAGGAGCGTCGCTTGGGAGCTGCTGTCGGACATGCGGCCGGGGACCAGGGCGTTGGGCGTTTCACTGGAACTACACACTGGCCAGGACACGCTTACCCGGCCCAAGGGTCGGGCCATCCGCATTGTCACTGCAGACCATTTGCTCCAGGTCGTTTCTGCCCGGAACGGTAAGCCGGTGCGGGGCCTGGATCTCGTCGTATGCGAGAATCTGGAGCATCTGGAGCCCGCGTACGAGCTCGGGGTCTCTCTGCTACAGCATGCGGTGCAGACCAGCCCGACCCGCTTCGTGGGCGTGACGAGCTCTCTGCGGGATCCGACGGACGTGGCGACCTGGCTGCGGGTGGATCCCGCCGCGCTGCTGAGTTTCCGGCCCGGCGATCGCGACCAGGCGCTGGCGACCACCGTGCAGACGTTCAGCATCCCGCACTCCGCGTCCCTCTTCAAAGCCATGGCGAAGCCGACGCACGCTGCGATCCAAAGCTGTCCGCCGGGCGAGTCCGCGATCGTGTTCGTCCCATCGAGAGGCCAGTGCCGCCCCATCGCCTACGATCTGATCACGCAATGTGCGCTCGAGCAGGAGACCGACGCAGGCTACCTCCCGGAAGGCATGTCGCACGAACGGCTCGAAGACGCGCTCGCCCGACTCCGCGACGCGTCCCTCGTCGACATCGTGTCACGTGGCATCGGGTTCTTCCACGAGGGCATCCCCAAGCCAGACCGGAATCTGATGCTCGAGCTGTACGCGGAGGGCGTCATCCGCGTGCTGCTCGTCCCGCACGACTCGTGCTGGACGCTCCCGATCCGCGCGGCGGTCGTCGTCGTCATGGGCGCCCAGTCCACGCTCCACGGCGGCTCCCACGACCGCCAGCCGCGCGACTACACCCTCGTCGAGATGGTGCGCATGCAGAGCCGCGCCGTCAGGCACGGGGCCGCGGGCCACTTCTTCCTCTTCTGTCAGGCCGAGGGGAAGGACACGTTCGTCCGGTTCCTCAACGACGGGCTGCCGCTGGAATCGGGGCTGCTTCGCTCACCAGAATTGCGCGCTTGGTACCAGAACCAGGGGCACAGGGAGCTCAGCAACCAGCAGCTGGTGGATGCCCTGTCGTTCACGTTCCTCTCTCGCCGCCTCGCCTCCAATCCGACATACTACGACTGCCTCCAGAGCTCGCGCGACGAGAACCTATCCCGTACCGTTGATGATCTAGTTTACGCCGCAGCATGACATCCGACCGGTTCTATTGCACGATATACACATCCTTTTAAGATGACACATTGTAAGGGATGGTTCTAGTGGATCCACTTTTTGAGAGCCTGCAGTCGTCCAGCCGCTTTCCGCAGCGTCTCCTCGTCTTTGCAGAACGCAAATCGAGCATACACCTCACCGATGTTGGCGTGCTCCTCGCAGTAGAACTGTATCGCTGGTCAGGGACCTGAACACGATTTAGGCACCAGAAAACATACCTCGCTGACAGGGATGGAAGACACGCCAATCTCCAAGGCGATGAACCAGCATGCTTGGAAATCGCGTCCTCGACCAAGCACGCTCTGCGGGAACGGATAGTCCTCGGGAAACTTCACGCGGGAGATATCCTAGCCATGATCTTAGTCCAAAATAAGCACTAGAATACCTGCTCCACTGACCAGAAGGATGAAATAGCTCCCATCCGGAAGCGTGTACGGAAGTCCGAGCTCATCGAACGCGCGTGCGAGGATATCACGGCGGTCCTGGTATTCTTTGATCTGCTGCGCGAAGAACCCGCGCTCGTCAGCTTGCTCGAGGCCACACGCGGCGGCCTCTTGCAGCGGGGAGTTGGTGCAGAACACGATCCGCGTCGTCGCAGCGAGCGTGGGCTTGATGATCGATGAAGGGCCAATCAGCCAACCAACGCGCCAGCCGGTGGCAGCGAACGCCTCTGCGCGTAGGCCATCAGCGCACCCAGGTAGAAGTTTGATCGTAGAGACGTACTGCCGGCCGAGCCTACGGTCACGGTGCGATCCCACATTCCGGGAAGTGTCGCAATCCGAACGTGCTCCTTATCAAAGGTGAGGCAATCGTACTAGATTAAGCACCATCAGGCCCCGGCGCACGGAAAAAAAGATCAAAATAGGACATACCACCTCGTCTGACATGACGAGCAAATTGAATTCATTTGCCAACGCGGCGATACCCTCCAGCTCTTGCCGGGTGAACACCTTCCCGACCGGGTTGTGCGGGGTGTTCACGATGATCATCTTCGTCCGGGGTGTGACAGCAGCCCTGAGCGGCGAACAATCAGATACGCGTCGATAGGCAGTCTGCAGTGGGTGTGCGCACGAACCGGAGTTCCTCCATATCGATCGTCCATTCGCCGCTCGAAAACTTCGCGTCGGCTGCCTTGGGCGGGTGGAGGGGCACATAGATCGGTTTGCCGCCGTTGAACGTGATCGAAGGCAGGTACTGGTCGAAGAACGGCTCGAACATGATCACCTCGTCGCCCTGCTCCAAAAACGCGACGAAAACAGAGTACTGGCCTGCAAAAGAAGAACAAGATGAGCCAGCGCACTGAAGCGCCACGCGCGCGCAACGCACCCTCGTTCGCGCCGCTGGTGACGAGGATGTCGCTCTCGACGTCGAGGCTGCGCCCGAAAAGCGGGTCGTACTTCTTCTTGATGGCGTTTCGAAGCCGGATGCGTCCCTTGGGGTGCGAGTAGTGGTTCTCGGTCACACCCTTGAGCGCCTCGTTCGCGGCGCTCGTGACCCACTGCGGCGGGGGGAAGTTCATGTAGCCCTGCCCGAGGTTGATGCAGTCGGCGGGCAGGTTCGCGGCGCTGTGCGGCAGGAGATCGTGAGTGTGGGCGCGCGCGCGCGATTGCGGGGTATGAGTCAGGGCTGGTTGGGTACACTTACTTGTAGATCGACCACACGTCTTGTGCCAGCGCGCGCCCATCCCTGAGCCGCGAGGAGAAGGGGATGAGGCCGGCGGCTTCGTTGCCTTCGGGGGCTGCCATGAGTCTACGGGTGGATGAGTGTAGGAGGCGAGTTAGTGGGCGCTTCGGGGTGAGAAGCCAGGGGTAAAAAGCTCTTGCCAACATATGATCTGAAACTACGCAATCGCATCACCGAACTCTTCGGCCGATAGTGTGTATGGTCCCATCGCCCTCGGACGGAGGATCGTACTCCCGCGCGCGACATGGGCGCCAGAGAGCTCAAAAGCTTAATTACGGTCGACCGTAATGGCAAGCCGGCATGCAAGCACACTATCATATGCATCCTCATCTAATCATCGCAGTGGCGGTGGACAGCGATACGCGCTCATCATGTGATCCATCAGATCAAAGAAAAGTCGTTGTTCCGGAACGTGCTGGACAGTGCTCGTACTGCAGCAACTTATGTTGGGCACCATTGACGAGTAAGTGCAGCAGACGATGCGCTAGGCTGGCTTGTGACGACACGACCAGGTCTGCTCTTTCGGACGCATATCCATCCACCGCCGCCTCACCGAACACTTCGCCTCCACCCGAAGAAGCACCCGAGGATGACGAGGACGAGGAGGACGAGGAATTCGTGTATCCCGCGAGCGACCCTCCTGAGGTAGAGGTCGCTGACGAACCCCCCGCGCCCTCTCCACCCCAGCCGCATGCAACTCCGGCGCAGCTGGAGGCGCTCTATGCCGCTGCCTCATCAGGCGACTTGCCACTCCTCAAGCGACTGTTCCGCAGTGCCCTGGACACATCGAACGTCGAGCCTTTCTCCCTCTCTAACGATGCGTCGACGCGCACTGGCTTCACCGCTCTCCATGCCGCAGCCAGCCGCGGATATCTGCAGATTGTCCGGTGGTGTACGTGGTCCTTGTCCTTGTTCTGTTGGTGGGTAATCGCTGATGTCTCATTCCATCCAGTGGTGGAGGATTGCGGAGCGATGGCGGACCTTGAAGATAAGGAAGGAGAAGTGCGTGCTTTCAGCTGCCCATTACGTGTGTGGCACATAGCTTATGGACCCACAGACCGCTCTGCACAAAGCCGCTCTCCACGGTCACCTTCATGTTCTGAAGTATCTACTCCCCGACCATGCGGACGTGAACGCTCGCGATGCTGACGGCTGGACGCCCCTACACAACGCTTGTTCCAAGGTTCGTCCCATGTTAGCTACACTTATCCAGCTGATGCTAATGGCTTCTCTCGGCAGGGATACTTAGACATCGTGCGATGGCTTTGTGAGCACGGTGGCGCTGCTGCAGAAGACGCGGACGGTGTTAAAGGTGTGGATGTGCGGAATAATGGCGGTTGGACTCCACTGAGTCAGTCTTGCGCATTTATGAGCTAATGTTTCGGAGACTGATCATCCGATACACAGTGAATGCTGCTTCCAAGGGACATCTCCCAGTCGTCCTGTATCTTCTGTCCAAGCAGGCGGCGAATCCGCTCGTGAGGAACAATTGGGGAGAGACGGCTTACGATGCTGCAGCGGCTGTGTTCGAGGTTTGGATCTGCGAGGTCGGCCAAGTTTTGTTCCATTTCCTGACTTCCTCTCAAATTTCCGCCAGGTCCTGCAGAGAGTGGAGGCAGAGCGGTGGCGCGACACCCCCGTGACTTACAATCCTCTGGCGGTCCATACCACTATTCCATTGGTGCTCTACGAAAATCAGCGGTTGGACAGCCGGCTGAAGACACTCGCTGTATCTGGCGGTCGCCCCAAATTCTCAGCCTCAGGATTGGGCCGCCAAGGCCGGCGAGCTCCATTCCAGCTCAAACTTCCGATCGCTGACGAGGAGACTGGTATCCGGGAGATCGCTGCATGGAGAAGTGACGTGCAACTGCCGTTGTTGAGCGATCCCTGGCATCTTCCAAAGCCGGGGCCTGCCGACCGTCATGCAGCAGAGACGACGGAACGGAGTCATTTCTGGTTGTCTGATTGGACGCTGGACGTGACTCCCCCTGGAGTGGACGCCGAAGATGGATGGCAGTACGCTCGCCAATTTACGGACTCGGATGAACAATGGACTGCGGAGAAGCCACCACAACTGGAGCGTGTGCTGGCTGGTCACGGCGTGACTGGTTTAGGTGGATCCAGCTCTCGAGCATCAAGCTCCTCTGGGAATCCAGTCCGGTCACCGCTTACTTGGGTGCGCCGCCGAAGATGGGTGCGCGTGCTTCGACGCCGTTTGGACATCCCACCGCTGGCGTTCCTAGAACCGGATGGGGAGATGTACCATTTGGACGCAGATGGCTCATTGATCCCCGCTGTGGAGGACAACAACGACGAAGATGGGCAGGAATTGGGTGCCATGCGGACAACGACAGCGCGCGACTATGTTGCGCGTGCGCGATACCTCGTCGGTGCGCAAACCGATGACGAATCTCCCGTCGAGGCTCGTCGGGCCATCGCCAAACTGGAACGGGCAACGATGGAGCTGCGCGAAGGTCTGCTCGGTGATGAGGACGCTGAACGAAAGACGCAGGCAGAGGTTCTGCTGAATGCCTATAGCCGTGATCTTGAACGACGGAGAGCCGCTGCTGATGCCCGAGGATTGTTGCTGTCGGGTGCAGAAGATCCGGTTGACGATGACGACGACGACAGCTCGGACGACGAATTCCATTATCCTGGCGCGTCACCGGTGGATACCATCCGTCCGGGTTCCAGGGCATCGGCGTCGACCGACTACTTCAGCCGGCACACAACTTCACGTGGGCCTACTGATCTCACGCCCCAGCTTTCTCAAGCCCCGGACTTCCGTGTGCCCACGAACGAAGCCCCGCAGAAGGTGTTGTCCCCGGGCTGGAATCCCACGCCACATCAGATGCATGCACAGTGGGAGCGAGATGACCTTGTCCACAACTGCCACGATTGCCAGCGACGCTTTACTTTTCTGCTTCGTCGGGTGAGTTGCCAGCATATCTGTCAACTAGCAAGCCACTAACTACTTGCAGCATGTATGTTGTTGCTATTCCCAATCCATCCAGCAACCGGCACTGATTGATATTCACAGCATTGTAGACGCTGCGGACGGATATTCTGCGACCGCTGTTCCGTCTACCGCGCTCTGCTTGACCCGGCAGACATCGTGCAGGACCCCGCGATTCCAGAAGCAACCGCGCACGCCAGCTCCAGCTCACAGCGAGTCTGCCAGAACTGCTACGATCAAGTCAACGCCAGCGTTCCGAGCCGACTGTATGGATTGCGTGCTACTTCCATGGAACGTATCGAAGTTGACCAGCAGCGGCTCTCCATTCCCGGCCGCCACTTGTCACGCCGCCAGTCCAGCTCCCAGCTCAGTGACCTAGCCGAATGCCCTGTGTGCAACCGCGACCTTGCTGACGTCGGCGATGCCGCTGCGCAAGAAGTCCATGTCCGAACGTGTCTCGAAGGTGGCTCTGGCCCAACCTCCCAGGCACCGAAGTACCTCGTCTACCGCCTTCCCGCGGAGAGTACGCTGATCGGCGTCGAATGTATGCATTGTCCTTCTGTGGTCTGGATTCTACCTATCATTCATGTGACTTCCAGGTGTGATCTGTCTGGAAGAGTTCGTGCAAGGTCAGCCAATTTGTAGGAAACGTTGGGAACACGGCGCTGACACACCAGCTCCAGGGTCTATGGTAGCGAGGTTGAGCTGCTTCTGCAGCTTTCACAGCGGTACGTTATCGCCTTGCCTTGTTGTCTCGCTCTGCGCCTCTCTGATCCTCGTTTTCCACAGCATGCCTGACTTCCTGGCTTCAGCGCGGGAAGAGCTGCCCAATCCATGCCCGGTGAAAAGCGCAGACCCAGAGAACTCGTTGCACCATCTTATTATACATTTCGGATTCCGTTTACACTTGTTCAATCAATCATGAGGCTCGTAGAAAGGGTTGTAGTGGTTGATCTTGGTCGAGTCCACGCGAATCACGTCGGTGTAGTCTTCTTCGTCGGGTTCCACGATCAACTGGCCCTTGCGGCCGTCTTCCTCCTCGTCGTCGAACCATGACGCTGGATCGTCATCATACTCCTCCTCGCTGTTGTCTTCGAGGTCCGAGTCTGTTGGCTTGTGGCTCCTGTAAGTGGCTTGAGATCAGTTATATCCTAACATAAGATGGGCGGTGACGCACATGAACGCCCACATCCGAGCTTCCATCTGCTTGCGTGTTAGATCCTCTCCCGGCACATGCATCCCCTGCTTTCTCCGCTTCTCAAGGAGGCGCTCCTGACGCTCTTTATCTGCTCTGGGCCAAGGGTCAGCACCCATTACGGCAAGCCAAGACAGTATAACACACCTGTGTGCACGTTGTTCGAGCTCTATGGCTTCTTGCATGCCGAGGGATCCAATAGCGGTCCCATTATGTGCAGGTGCCTGTGGATCGGGCTGAGGGATTGGCCACATAGCAAGGAGGCAGAACACTCACGAACTGAGATAACGCCTTGCGCTTCGCTTCTAACATGGGATTAGTATACGGTTCAGCATCGGGCTCGACGTCCATGTCGTCGTCGCCTTTGAGCTTGGTGCGCTTGAGAGACACGTTGATCGACTCCATCCCGACGAGCTCGACTAACCGTTCTTCTATCGCGGCTTGCTCAGCGGTCACCCGAGCCATCCACGACTGGCCGTCTGCGGAAGTCGACTGTCGGCTGGCGCGGCGGTGGGGTGAGTACGGGCTGTACCGCGCGCGGGGAGGCACGAGGACATACGGCTTGGCCAGGAGGCGGAGGTTGGCCTGGTGCAGATCCTCGAGCTCGCGTACGCTCATCTGGGCGATGGGTGTGCGCTTGCGGGGTGAGGGGCGGAATCCCGATGGGATTGCCGTCTTGTGAGTCTGCCGCATATTTGTCGGGGACGAGGGTTCTGATGATGTTGGCGAATACATGTTGCTTCGTGGGGTGCTGGTGGCTCTCAAGCGCTGCGAAAGCGGCCTTCTTATATACTCCGGCCATATCCATTTTAGGAAATGCCTTCTCACGATCCATATCGGATATGACACCCACTAGATCTTCTGACTCTGGTGGCTCTGTGGGAGAGGCACGCTTTCCTTATTTAGATTACAAGCAGTGTGTGCTAAGTGATAGCACAGCACGAGAACATCGGTTTATTACATATACATATCGTCCTGGAACAGGGATTCAGTCTCTGAGGCAAAGGAATATGAATGCGACCGACATTGTTACCGGGTGGCAGAAATTCGTCATTGTCCGGATCCTGGAAGCCTCTGCGCGGGAGACCTCGGCCCCCTCCATTGGACCAGAATGATGGGCCTACAGGATCGAACCGCGCCCCGGGAGGAGCACCCATCGGAGGCAAGAAGCCGTCACCGCCCCAGGGACCTGTCATCCCACCTCGGGGACCCCGCTGACCACCGCCAAATATGGGGTGTCCAGGGCCGACAAACATCCCGTCGCCGCTTCCGGGGAACAAGGGAGGTGGCGAAAATGGGTTTGTCGGAAGACCCGGAAACGGATCCAGGTCGCGTCGCCCGATCTCCAGCGGATTACGGGGGCTGTGTGATCCGGAAAAATGGGAGGAGGTTGGAAACGCGGCTCCTGCTGCTGGGGGCGTTGAGGCTCTTGTTGTTGAGTGCGATTCGTTGAGGAACCTTCGTTTGAGGACGATATCTCCTCGACCTCCGAGTACCCATCTTTCCGCAGCCCTGGAACTAGTTTTTGTATAATTTTCAGCTTGAACTGGGAGATCAGGTCTGAAACACGGTGCGAGGAGATGAATCCGTGGATCAGCGGTGTGGCACCGGAGGTATTTAGATTATAAGGATAGAATGAAGGTGACACAAAATCATTGGTCGCGATATCCAAGGACGAGGCTTTGTCGCTCTTGGGAAAGACATTCGTTACATGTAGTGTATCAGTCATGACTACGTCATACATACCTCGAGAGCGATAGCATTGATCATCGTGCGCCCCCCAAGCTTGGAGATCTTCACCAGGAACTCGAGGCTACTCTGATCATGCTTGTACCGGAACGTGTAGTTCCCTGGTCCCTGCTTGTTCCAATCTTCAGGAAGACGATCGAGAGTCGTATTGGAAACAGATGATTCATCAATTGCGACAAGACGGAAGGCCAGCGCCGTCATAGCAGTGTGGATGAGGGCGGCGATTCCATCCTGCGAAGAAGAGAGAGTCTGCTTAGACGCAGGGAGGAGCGTAGGCAGCAATGAGATGAGGGCAGCGGGATCGAGTACGTTAGCCATGGCAGTCGAGTCTGAGAGACGCGTACGCGGCTGATTGATGATGTCATGATTGACTTGTCCTCGAGCGGATCCCGAGCCGCCGTTCATTTCCGCTCGCCTACATACATTGAAGAATTTTGCCGTCCGATCAAATGTCCGACCAATTGAAGAGAATGAGAGAGAGAGAGAGACCGATTTCACAGTCGTTGAGTTCCGTCTTGATTTTAGTAATCATTTCAAGTTGTACATAATGGATCCATTACTCTTCTACTTGGGCACCACGACCGTGACCCCTTCCTTGGAGCTCTTCTTGGCCAGCTCGACCATCTCAATGACGGACGCAGACTCCTCCCATTTGACTGCTTGCTCGGCGCCCTCTCTGATCACAGCAGCGAGGTTTCTGAACAGATCCGCGTAACATCCTGGCTCGGAAGGCCACCTGTGAAACATCCGCGTCAATCCAAACTCACGAAGGTGAGGCGTGGACAGTCTCACGTGGTCTTGGTCATAGTCACATCGTCTGCCGCGACATTCTCGAGCGTGCCCCAGATGCGCTCATCTTCGACGCCGTACTCTTTCGCGTGGATGTCCTTGGGCGAGGCGATGACCTTGAGCTGGTCCTCCTGCGGGTCGACGCCGAACTTGATGTACGATCCCTTGGTCCCGAGGATCGAGTACCGGGGCTGCGCCGAGCGTACAGACAGCAGCTGAGCACGCGCAATCGCAGTCACCGGCCGGGGCAGAGTCGCAGACGCCGCGTAGTGGAGGAAGATGGTGAACTGGGGCGAGCGTCAACCCATAATGCGAGTGGGATAGAGCTGATTTACGCACGCTGTCATCTACATCCGGGTGTCCTACTCCCCGGCTGTTCTGGATGAACGCGGTGATCTTGTCGGGTCGGCCGAAGAGCGAGAGGACCTGATCCATGAGATGCGTGCCCAGATCAAAGGTGTGGCCTGAACCTGGCGCAGGCTCGTCCTTCCATGTATTCTTGATCCCCCGGCGGAAACGATCAAAGCTGGGGGGATGGTCGGTTTCTATCTTGCAAATAACTATCGCCGGACACTCACTGCGTCTCGAACTCAACAACATCGCCGATCGACTGGGGCGATGAAGGGGGCAGGGACAGCAGTTTCTTGAGAGACAAAAGTCCGAGTCGAATCGGCGGTTCTGGAACGGATAGAGGACTAATCCTTTCTCTTTCGCGAGCAATCCGAGTTCCCTCGCCTCAGCAGAAGTACCGGAGACAGGCTTGTCGACGAGCACTAGTAGACACGTAATTGATCATTCTCGATCTCGAAATCAAATTGCAAACTGAGCCAGTGCTTACCGTGCTTGCCAGCTTCCAGCGCAGCCTTGGCATACGGATAATGGGTTGCGTTGGGAGTTCCTGGGCTCCATGAACCCTCTGTTCTCGAGTAGCCACGGGCAAGTTCGTACCAATTACAACGAGCTCAATCTCGGGGTCCGCAAGAACTTGCTCGAGAGTATTGTGGATTTTCTTGGTGATCCCAAACCGCTCCTTCAATTTGCCCCCGTCAGAAGCAGGGTTCCGCTCCAGCACTGCAACGAGGTCAAAATGCTCCGGCAGTGCAAGGATGAAAGGCGCATGGAACGTCAGTCCCGCGAGTCCGACTCCGAGCACACAGGTCTTGATGGGGGCTGGCATGGTGGTATTTGCAAGATAACAAATGAGCGGGACTACACTCTCCCGGCGGATACTTACCCCAACACACATGTTATCTAATCTGATCTGATGGAAGCCAATCAATGACATCAGCGCCGTCCGCCCCGTTTTCGCCCCGCACAAAAGAAGCCGTGATCTCCTCGCTTGCGCTCAATCCAGTTTTCTCCACCTACGAACACGACCTACTACTCACGTTTACGACTCTCTCGCGTTACCTTCTCTCATGCGAATAATCGCACCCGCTTCGGTTTTTTTCGCAGCCCTTGCCGTCCCCGCCTCCTGTCAGGGCATCCCCTTCCCAAACCCGCCGTACTTCCCACCCAACGCGTCGTCCGGCGCCCAGCCCTCCGCATCCTCCTCCAGCCTGCCAAATCCACAATGGGGCAACCTCTTAGGAAATCTCCTGTACTTTTATGAAGCCCAGCGGAGCGGGAACCTCACGGGCACGAACACCCGCGTGCCGTGGCGCAACTCGAGCTGCGTGAACGACGGCCACGATGTTGGCCTGGACCTCAGCGGTGGGTACTATGATGCGGGAGACTACATAAAAGCCACGTTCCCTCTGGTGAGTGCGCGCAGAGTAGAAAGAGGGGAGGTGAGCGCTGACGGAGGGGATAGTCTTTCACGTTGATGTCCATTTGTTGGGGCGGGCTGGACTACGGCAAAGGTTTGCAGCCCTTCTGTGTGGGTGCTCCTGGGTCTGATGCTTCCTCCAAGGATACGACTCGACGAATCAAACCGCCTACCTGGACGCCATGGTGCGGTATGGCCTAGACTACCTGATCAAAGCCCACTCCGCTCCCAGTAACCTTTACGTTCTCGTCGGAAGCAGTACGTTTTCTCGCGTCTTTCACTCTAGGTGATTTGACCCCCCTTTCTACAGCCAACCTCGACGATGCTTACTGGGGCGGGGATCTGAATATTCCGACTGACCGACCTTCATACGCTGTCAACGATACACATCCCGGGACGGACGTCGCAGCTGGCACTGCGGCGGCATTCGCGGCCTGCTCCGCATTATACGCTGGCCAGGGGTTCGGTGGAAGCTACTCGGCTCCAGCTTCGCTGAAGGACACAACGTATGCGGCGACACTCCTGCAGCATGCACAGCAGCTGCACAGCTTCGCGGTCAACGCGACTGGTGGGCAGCGCACGTATCAAACGTCCGTGCCCGCAGTGGCCCAGAGCTATGGCTCGTCGACATTCGGGGACGAGCTGACGATCAGTGCACTGTTCCTTGCCTGGGCGAATCAGTCTACGGCCTACTTCCAGGAAGCGCTTGGATATTACAAGCAATACCAGCTTGCTGGGCAGAACAGTGTCTTCAACTGGGACAGCAAGACGCCCGGTGTGTTCGTGCTGTTCTCGCAGATCGCCCAATCGTCGTTGAGCAGCCTTGCTGGGAATCTCGGCCCTTGGCAGACTGAATGCGAGCGATACTTTGACTATATCCTTAACAATCAGGGCTCCACCCGAGGTAAACTGCCTCACTGCTGTCATCGGCACGAGCTGAACGCCGAGTTTCAGGTGGCCTGCTGTATTACGATGGGGATTCGAACGACGCCTCGTTAAACCCGGCGCTCAATGCGGCTATGTTGCTGGAAAGATACTCCTCGATGGCGTCGAGCTCTGGCAAGATGTCGTCCTACCGCGTGGGTCTGGCTTACTGGCAGATTGCGGATCCTGATGCTTACTACGTGTTGTCAGAGCTTCGCCCAAGCCCAGCTCGATTACGTGCTGGGGAACAATCCCATGTCAGGCAAGTCGTTCTCCTCGCGAGCAGTGCCATGCCAGTCTTTCTGATGTCCGCAGTGCCCTACGTCGTGGGATCCAACCCGAATTCCCCGTCGAATCCGCATTCGGCCATGGCTAGCGGGGGGAACGACATCGGCAACATCGACACCTCGCCGGCGGAGGAGGCGTATGTCCTGTACGGCGCTGTCATCGGCGGTCCAGATCAGCACGACAGGTTCTTTGATATCCGCAGCGACTGGCCGGAGACAGAGGTCGCGCTCGACTACAACGCGCCGATGCTCACGCTCGCGGCGATGCATGCCGCGAACGACACGGCGGACCCGTACTTCACCCGACTGCAGGCCGGGGCGTACGTGAAGCCAGGTGGCTCGCCGTGCGATTCCGCGATCTCGGGTGGGTGTGGGGGACCGCATCTGTCCAAGGGCGCGATCATTGCAATGGCCGTCGTGCTCAGTGTGGTCGGCGTTGTCATTCTGGGATTGCTGATCTGGTATATTCGCTCGCTGCGGTCCAGAGGCAAATAGGTCAATAGACAAGTAGGTGGTATGTCGGTACATGTTTTGGATTGGATGAATGGACCATGTCGTGTAATCAATCTAGTACACTTCTAGCACGTATCGCTCCTCCTCCTTGAGACTCTCGATGTACTCGCCGGCAGCCTCTGCCGTCTGGCCCTTGTACGTGACGAGCGCGTCGACCAGCGCCTCGTACACATCCGGCACCGGCCATGTCGGCCCGCACAAGTAGAACACGCCCTGCTGGTCGAGCATCATGTCCGCGAGCGCCTTGGAGTCCTCGAGCATCTTGTGCTGGATGTACACTTTGTTCGGCCCGTCCCGAGAGAAGGCAAGGCCGGCACGCGTGATGACGTTGTCGAGCACGAACGCCTCGATCTCCTCGCCGTAGAGGTACTCCTGGGACTGATAGCGCGAGCCGAAGTAGTAGTACACCGGGCCGACCGCTTCGCCCTGCTTCTGCAGCATCGCCCGGTGCTGCAGGAACGCCCGGAACGGCGCCGCGCCCGTGCCGAGTCCGGCCATGATCAGCGGCTGGAGGTTGCTGGGAGGAAGCTGCATCGCAGGGTAAGCTCAACCGCTCATGCCAAGTGCAAAGACAAACACGCACCTTCATCACACTGGGCTTGATCGACACCGTGACCTTCTGTCCGAGCTTGAGCCCGGCAAGATACCGAGTGCACTGTCCGTATCGCGGAGAACCTGCAAAAAAGACATGTCCATCAGCACACAATAGCACAGCACACAAGACAGAGGCGCGCGCACCACTTGGGTTCGCCCACTCGACGGTGACGACCAGCAGATCGACGCGGTCTCCGACGACGCTCTGCGCGCTGGCAATGCTGTAGTGCCGGGGCTTGATGTCCCCAACAAGCTCGCACAGCCGCTCGATGCCCGGCCGCGCGCTGGGATACATCCCCAGCACGTCCGCAAACGTCACCGTGTCCGTCTCAGACAGCTTTTTGAACGTCGCCGCACCCTCCGGCGCCCCGATGAACAGCAGCGCATGCCGGTCGACCGAGTTCGTCGCATACGCAGCCAGGTCCGTGAAGAACGACTTGGGAGGCCGGCCGAAGAGGTCGATCTGCTGCTGCAGCGCCTGGAACACCGTCCGCGTGTGCATCTCGTCCTCACGCCCGAGCACGGGGATGGTCACAAGACGCCCCGGATCAACGCCGTACGAAGCACAGAAGGCCAGCACCTCGCTCTCGTCGTTCCAGCCATGCACACCCAGCGCTTCTCCGATCGCGTACTTGAGCCCGGTACCGCTCGTGTCGAATTCGAGATGGAACACATTCCTGTCGTATTCCTTCGCCGTCAGGCGCCGGTTCACCGTGCAAGTCACCAAGAAAGTGCGCTCGGGCAGCTCGGGCCGCAGTGCCGGGTTCTGCTCGAACGAATCGGTCGCCGACGCAAGCTGGAAGGCGGCAGGGAAGAGCAGGTGCTTGGCTGCGTCGTGCCACGAGCTGAGCTTGGCTCCGTTGACGACGTCGCCCGTCTCGGTCTGTACTGCGATGGCGTTGATCTCGACCTCTTTGAGCGTGCTGCTGCTGCTGCTACTCGCCACTGCATCTGCCTGCAACCCAACTTCGAAGAGCGCAGCCCAAGCTCGAGCGTTGACGTCCGAAAGCGAGATCCCACGCACTTCGGGGTCGAATCGCCACTTGGCAATCGCAAGGATCTTGCTCTCAGTGGCAGACTGGCCGAAATAGAGACGGAGAAATGCAAGATGGGCGACGAGGTTCTCGATGGCATCGCCGACCTCCCCGGTGACATCGAGATTCGCCACGATGGATTTCGGATCGATCACAAAGAGACGGATGCTTCGTGAGATGAGGACAGCCACCGCATCAGAAGGAAGATTAGCGATGACCTCATCCTGACCCCAGCTGGAGACGAGCAGGACCGCCGATCCCGCTTTGGCATACTTGACCAGAGAATGCGAAGTGAGCAAGGATTGATCGAGAATAGACAGGAAATCAGCCTCGCCGGTGCTTTCTACGTCGAGCGGGAGCGTAAGGGCGACGGGTGTCTGGCCCTCGGAATCAGCGGGAGCCAGCGAGAGACGACTGACGGTGATACCGCCCTTGCGAGAAAACACATCGTGGTCGACGAGGAACCGCGTGGAGATGGCCGCGTTTGCCAGGAACGTCTCGGCGAAGAAATGCGGAGCCGCGGCCAGGGTGGATTGTGGCGTGCTGAAAACGAGCAGCTTTTTCGCTTTAGAAGCTTCGACAGAAATAGCGGTGGGAGCCAACGACGCCAGGAACTTGGTCAAAGCGTCCTGTTGGGACACGAACTCTTGCGTCCGCGACGGCACGATCCGCTGCGGGTGCACCGCGATCTTGCCGCTGCCCGACAAAGTCCCGAGCACATCATCGAACAGGCAGCCCCGGGTTGCAGCGTTCGGCACATCGTCCAAGACATGCACGTGGCGGACCGTGGCGGGTAGCGCACCCAACAGTGCTTTTTCGTCCCAGGGCCGCAGGACCTTCACGGCGAGCACACCGAAACCCGGCACCCGACGCGCAAGCGTCTGCGCAGCAAGAGCAAGTGGGCCGTTGATGGCAACAACAACAGTGGTGGCCTCCTTGTCACCAACATATGTGAAGAACTCGTGCCCAAACTCTCCCAGAGCGTCACTGACGGAGGAAAAGTCACGAGTGGCTGCCGGGGCAGAGATCGCGGCCCCGATCTCGCGCGTCGCGCTGAAGTGGTCGAAGATGTGGACGACATGGGCGGCGGGGAGGTGATACGAGATCGCAGCAAAGTCGACGGCCTCCTGTGCCGAGCCAGACGCGAGGACGACCACACTGGAAGGCAGTCCCGGGATTGCAGATGCCAGCGACGCGAGAGAGGGCGAGAGCGTAAAATTATCTCCAGTGGCGGTGACAGCTGGAACCTGCACCACAAGCCGGCTTTGTGCGGATGCAGGGGGGAGGTACGCCATCGCCGGTGCCATCAGCGCTAGGCCAGAAGGGGTGGTGTAGGCCGTGACGACGGCACCTGAGCCAACCGAGTCCCGACTGGAGCCTTCTGAAAGTCGGCCGACAAGTCCCAGACCAGCACCGGCCCGAGTCTGCAAGTCGATGATAGGCGCGGTGGTCTGATGCGCCGACGCATTGGCCCATTCCTTGGTCAGAGTGCCGAACCCGACCTGTTCGGCCACATCATACACATACACTGAAGAGCTGGTCTCCGGCCGAGAGGCGAGATACTCGATGGCAGTCGATGCAGAAATGCGATTATGACCGAATGCCTCATTCAGGGGCAGCGTCGGCTTAAGAAGCGGCGACGAAATTACGGTCGACGACGTCGAGAGGGGAGTCGATGTCCCGGACATGATAGTAGAGGAAGATGTGTTGGTAACTCATTTTTCAGCTTATACGAAAGATTTCGAGACGATGGCGGAGGGATGGCGAAATATTGTGCGATCACGTGAGTGATTAATTCCGGACTAGTCCAAACTTGGCAACGCCATCCAAGAATAGCCTGTACCCGTTGCCTTCATCAACTCGCTACCGGCTTCTCATCCTGCCGTTTGAACACGCAAGAGTATCCGGAGAGTCTACTACGACAAAAATGGTGGGTGGCACGTGAATATTGGAAAGGTCCCTCTCTCAGTCGGTAAAAGTGTACAAGCGCGAATCAGTTCCAAGTATACGTTGGGAGGCTCCCACACTCAATTACATAGCATGTATGATAGCGCCACCTTAAGGACGGAGGGTGTTGAACAATCGATCTCCCTAATGCCGATTCAGCCAACTCCACAAGGGCACAAAGAAGAGGTGCTGACAGCGTCGCCGAGGCCAGGGCTTATCAATCCTTGACTAGTCAAGGTCTGATCCACACCTGCCACCCAAATCTGGCCAGATGCAGTTCGCCTGCAGACAAAGGGAAAAAGACGCGCACCTCGAGCTCGGGGTATTCAGCCTGGACATGTGCAGACCTTCCTGTGAGGCCAAAACACACAGCAGCTTCACCTTCGTGATAGGCATCCCCCAATCTGTGATCATATTCAACGCCGCGCATACAGTCCCTCCGGTAGCGATGAGCGGATCGAGAAGCTGAGATGATTGATTCGCGATTAGCACAACAAAGGCGGTCATAGGGTCGTTCATACGTAGACTGTATCAATCGGCGGAGAGGACGGCAACTTGGAATAGTCTGTATTTCGGGCGATATCGCCGATAATTGAGCGGCGATTCAGTCCAGAATCGGGATTGCGCACATTCGACCGGCTGCAGTGACACTTTCTCTCGGAACAGGCCCAGGTGATACACAGGTGCGTCGCTGGAGAAGTAAGAATGACTTCGGTCAGAACTCGGGGATGGGTCGGCAACGTACGGGAAGAGAGTGAGCTAGATTGGAATCAGGCTGCCGTATAGCGGTCGAATTCGAGGTATGATGATGGCGTACCAGAGCATCCGTCATTCCTAGCCCCGCTCGCAGAATGGGAGTCAGACCGATCCGAGGTTTGATGGACGATCCAGTGAAGACGCGATAGGCGAATCCTGCAAGTCGATATGAGGAGGACATGGATTCCTGTGAGACTGGATTCACGTCGGTAAACGTTTCCTCTACTGCCTGGTAAGCACAGTATCAAGCATCGGCCGACGGAACATCACCTTCGAGCCCGCGGCTGGCTTCCAATCCCAGGATTAGGCTGATCTTGTGAACACCTTCTCGGAAATCTTTCGGGGTCGCTGTCCTCTTGCGGAGCTTGGATAGCTCAGCATTGGCCTGTTGCGTGTGAGGATGAACTGGGTGGATGGAAAAGCGGGCCGCACAATCGGATGAGAAAGGACGTTAACTTGAGGCATGGCGCGAGTTGTGGACAGACGACAAGAGGCGTGCTGATGTCATCATTAAAATTATCTAATCTAATCTATCTCCTTTTGTACTCGCATGGTTTCAAAGCGTTACCCCTGGCCATGAGGCTGGTCCACTCCTTGTCCTTCTTAACCGTGCGAGAAACTTTGACGAATTCAAACAAAGTGAAGTGAGAGTTTGAGTCGTTCTGCACGGAGAATCAGCTCGCATCGCAACTGATGTAGCAGGTCTATTGCACCTTAGATTTCAGTTTGAAGCCCACGAAAGTGACGACATTGATGAATTCATCGACATCCGTGAATCTACTCGCGACTTCGGCAATCTTCAGTTCTCCTCTACGATAGCGATGTGTCAAGACAAAAGCAGATTTAAGGAAAAGATGACGAACCCAGGCTTGAGAATCCTCCACGCCTCACGAATGCAGTTCGGCCAGTTCGTCCCCATTAAACTGAGCGCACATATTGCAACATCAACCACTTGTCCCTTTCCTTCAGATTTCCCGCCTTCCGTCGGTTCCGATCCAGGCATTGGAATCCGCTCGCAGATGTCGGCTTCGACGACATACGTCCCGTCAGAAACAAGATCGAAGGATAGTACATTCAACCCTTTAGGCCCAAGTTCCTGGGCCATAGCTGCATCCCCACAACCGAGATCAGCGATGACTGTTCTCGAGGGATATCTGGACAGCAAGGATATGTAGTGCTGGACTGGATTCGTGGGCCACGACTGGACTTGATGTCGGAATCCACTGTGATACTATTGGAGATAGGTCAGCACCAGTTTTGAGCCAAACGCAGGTACCTACATCCTCAAACATGGATGGCTCTTGTCGCATCATGTCGTGCGCACGCTTACTGTCCGTTTTGTACAGCGTCTCGTTAATCATCCTGAATCGAGCCCCTTCTAAACTCTTCTTCATTGTTGCTTGCATAGCAGTCAGGCGTGATTCTGACTTGGTTGGTGGGGCCGGCGGCTTCTCGTCCTCCATTTCAATTTCTGCCACACTGTCCTCCTCGATGACAGACAATTGCATGGCTTCAGATTCGGATGGATGAACGAATTCGGGGGCAGATGAGACAGATGATGATGGAGAGGGTGGTGCGGGTTGGCGTTTGCGTGCTCCCGAAGGTTGCAGCGCTTTAGGTAGAGATATCGTCTTCTTCTTGGCTTCCAACGCCTCCGCCTTTTTCCGACGCTTGCGGTCAACAGAGCCTTTCACCAGCGACTTGACACGGCTTGCGCCACGCGAGAGAGTTGAGGAAGCGTCCGCATCTCCATCCACGCGCCGATGTTTTTTCACCAGACTTTGCAGGTCAAGGTCGAGCGAATTTCGCTCATCAGAGGGCCTTTTACGCTTCCGGGATCCTCCTGGCGTTGTAGGAGTAGATAGAGGCGCACTCGTCACCGTCCATCCAGGTACTTCGAAAAGTGGCATGGCTGATGTGCGGAAAGAGCAAGGCACATACTGATTTGTTATGTCAACATTTGCCACCTGCTTTCGCCCAATCATTACTCCGATCCACCTGTTGCCTCTCATCGACTTCTGAGCTCTGTACATTGCGACCTTCATGCAATTCCATCCAGGAAGAATATAATTTCTTTGTGCATTTCTCTCGTGAACATCAATACACCAACCACGCTTCGACCTCCGCTTTGGTCAATACTGCATCCCAGCCACCTTCTGACGGCCATGTCACGACGCTCTCGAGGTCTGAAGAGCGCAAGGAACGGCCGTAGATATGTGGGAACACGTTCTCACCCCCCACCTCCCCTGGAGCTGTGCGTATATGTGAGACCAGGTGCATCGCATGTAGTATCCCAACATCCGTACCTCTCCCTTTAGGATCCTCCCATTTGACCTCATGCTCGACTTTCGAATAGTCGATTCGAATGATCGTCACGCTCGGGTCGTTTGTGAAGTACCTCATGAGTGTGCGAGGAACTTGACGCGCCGTCGAAAAGTGCATGAATCCGTCCTGGGCATCCAGTTCGCTCAACGGCAGTTCGTCAGGAACGGGGTCGGGGATCGGCGAAGTATATGCGACGATCTTGTAGATGTACGTCGGCTTGCCGGGAACTGCCATGGCGGTACCGGGTAGACTGAGTATACGAAGTGTAATTAGTTGTGATGATGGCAATCAGAACAGCTCGTTCTCCAAACGTCTCGATCACCAACACCTAAGCAACTCGGTGCTTTCGGTGTCATTTACTCTGTATCAATCTCCTTCTCCATTCGCGTCAGACGAAGCCTTGCTCGGTGTCAATTTCCGGCTCGAACAGAGCACATAACGAACCTGCATTGAGGGACACACAAGTCGATTCGGCCGCGGATCGAAAACGCCCATTCGAGATAATGTGAAATGGCGAGAATGAGCCCAGGCCCTCTCCACTTGAGACCGGATTCGGAGACTGTCCAGCAAAGCTTATTGAGAACATTTACATCCCCATTTGGAAAGACGCGTTAATTAAGGCGCGCCGTGGAACTAACTACTCATCAAATGCACCCAAGTTGTATCCGTGCTACATTCGCCACCAACTAACCCAGCAATTCTCGAAGGAGACGAGGAGACAGGAGATGGGGGATTACCATTCTTTACCGATCTTGAAGCTCCATTCCCAGTCTGATACGACGAAGATGAGAAGATGAGTATCAAAGTGATTTCGGGAAGGACCGACCGGCATAGACTTCACCGTCGTCGTCAATAACGCGGCTCTTCACATTGTACGTCCCAGTGCGCGCGATCATGCCTGTGTCCGTGAGCCCAGCGCGTGGACAGTCGGTGATAACTCACCGCCCGGCGAGTGGTCGGTGTCGAAGTTCTTCACGTAAGCCTCACCCTTCGGGTGCGGTCCGTACGACCCCAGCATCTGTTCGAGCTTGTCCACTGCACCAAAAAGATGATCAATCTTCTATTCCGACAGCTCTCGCATCCAATCTGACCTTTGAGTCCGGAGCGCTTGACAACCTGGATGTATCGCACGCCGGATATTATGGAGTGGTTCACTTTGAAAGTAATGCGGACGCTGAAAGCATTGAGACGAGTCCAGTCTCGATGAGATCACAGCCTACTTATACTCGGAATCCTCCTTGATGGTAATGGGGTTCTTCTTGGTGTCGGCAAGCCTCTCGGTATCTTTGAGGTCAAAGGAGATCTTCTTGCCTGCGGGAAGAGACGGGGCATCGAGCTGCATAGCAGTCAATGCCACTCAATAGTGAATCGAAGTTGAGAGTGCTGTACCTCCAGAGTGAGGATGGTGACCTGATCACGGTTAGATGAGATGCGTATCGACGAGGGGGTGTCCAGGCCTACCTTGGGACCAGATGCGTTGCCACCAGTAGCACCAGGGACGATACCTAGTGCCGAAGTCAGCGAAGTCGAGTCAGGTCGAAGTAGGGATTAGACGCACCGAGAGACGCCTTCCAACGCGCAAGACTCTCATCTTCGGCATCGAGATTGGCATATTCGTCGGCGGATTTGGCAGCACCAGGCTTGTATCCGGGGGTAGTCGACGGGGCAAAGTCTTCGTGATCGTTATCCATAGTAGAGAGCGGCGAGTGTCGTGAAAGTTTGGGACAAGTTATACGGCAACGTTTATGATACTTTATCGTCTTGATCACAGCTAGTGATCACGTGCAATCGTTTGTGTCGATTAAATTTAAATTTCAAGTAAACCGGCCGCAATATTGCAGAAGATATTGTACATATGTATGATAGTAGCTAGATATAACCTATGTGCATGAAGTCTCCATCGTTAAGTGTTAAATGTGTCGGTTTCCCAAGAAAGCAAGCATTGATTTCTTCAACTCAAGCCAACGGCAACACGGGCGACGAAGGATGCATCGAGTCTATGCCACGCACAATCAGAATAGATTGATAGACGATTCTGGGACGCACCGCCTTTAAACCAACATTTGCCCTTGCTCAGATGATACTGCACCGTGAGAAAAAGCTGAGCAGATTCTAGGAAGCGTCCAGCGAAAGTACGCACACATTTTGAGCCGTTTGGACAAGCGTGGCCCCAGCAACACTGGTCGCCCCAGGGGCACTTCATCCCTGATGAACCGTCAGATAGGGCGCGACGGCCGATGATGATGTTCGCCCACCATTCTTGAGCCAATTGCATGGAGCCTTTTTGGCATTGTGCGCAAGAGATGCCAGCTGCTCGGGACTCAACGTATAATCGTGCGAATATTTGCAAACATTGGGCTGGATCGTAGCGGTAAGTCGATGGAGATATGCGACGGAAAAAACTTGCCGCTTTCGAGCATTTCATAAGATAGTGCTCATTGCATGGTGGAGGATCCTCTGTGAACACGAATAAGCGCGTTGACAACGTAAGAAAGTAGGAGCCGACGTTTGTGTAGTGGCTGAGGAAGCATCAGTGAATAGGCCAACAGGCACACACGGCTGAGTAACATACCAGGGTGGGATCGATGCGCCGGGGCACCGACCCAGCGACTGAAAGTGGAGACTGGGGACTGAGTAGCCCACTCTTGTTATTCCGAGAATGGGATCCATCAAAAGACGTGAAGAGGCCATGGACAGGATAGCTCGGGGCGCCGGAATAGCTGTGCTCGTTGGTCGTCCCGAGCGTCACAAGCTTGCCTACTACATTCTCCCTTTTCCACAAATGAGGGTACCGGAGAGCCTGTCCACCAGCGAGAAACACACGCCGAGTTTGGGGCAAGCGACAGCAAGCACTGATATGTTCTGATAGACTACTAAGCAGGAACTTGAAGTGTAGAAGGAGAGAGCGCACCGGTGATTTTAAACGCGGTGCCCTCAGCGTAGCCAGTATCGATCATTAAAAAGTTGGGAGAGCGCTTCGAAAAGCCCTGTACACAACAGTCACAATACTGTTGTCGAAAAGAGGCACGTCAGACTTGCCGCAATGAAAGCATCGAACTGCTGAGGCGAGCAAATGCCATGAGCGACAAGCCGGGCAAGAAGTTCACCTCGGTTGTAGTACACCGCAATCCAGAACGAGAGACCCTCAAGTCCCTTGACGTCATTATCGAGGAGAAAGTCGCAGACAGCCTTTGTGAGATGTTCGGCGGCCTGGTTGCCACCCTCGTGGCCAAGAGCGAAGCCTTGGAAAATCTGCTCGTCACCGTCAACGACGCAGTAGATCAGAGGGCCCTGATTCTGGGTGACGTCAGCAGCAGCAGCGACGGAGAATCCACCGTCGTAACGCACTTTGAACGGTTCCCTTTGCGTTACCTGCAAGGAGAGATTGTCCATGTCTCGCTGGTGCGCGAGGTTGCCGCGTTCCGTGCTGTCAAGAGAGATGAGAAAGTCGCGTCAAACGTGCGAGCAATACGAACGCGTCCACCGCAACTGAATGCGCAGTCTGCCACATGGCAATCTCGGCGCTCAGCTCAGCAACCTGTTGCTCCAGTAGGAGCGAGCGACGTTCGAGCAAAGCGTTGCGCTGCAACACAGCGTGGCTGAGCTCTGAGCCGTCGTCATTATCAATGCGGGACCGCTGGAAGCAGCCGAAAAGTCGCGCACGATTGATCCTACCCAACGCCTCCGACCTGCAAACGATTAGCGCTTCATGCCGGAGAACGTAGGACAGCGCACCAATCTTGAGTCGACGCGTTCACAAAGTCCCCCACCGATTGAGTTGCCATGGGGGAGAGTTTAGAGAGAAAAGAGGGGGCTGAAGTCGTTAGTCAATGGAATCATCTATAAAGCCAGAGGAAAATGAGCCAATTTGATTGGCTTCCTCGGCTTCTTTTGCTCGGATGGAAACGCTCTGTGGAAACACGCGGGGATAATCATGTCTTGATTTTGTCTTTCAAGGCCATACGTACAGCTGAGACGCGGCGACGTTGCTGTCTGACTGTAAAAGATCGCATGTGAGAACAGATGGAAGTGTGGCTCTCAAACAGATCCAACGGCCCAATATAGAACAAGTTATGTCCGAGGCACGAATCAGGAAGTGGACGCGACTTGTTCAGCATCTGTGGGAACGTTTTCTGGCAGATATCAATTGCGAATCTCTGTCATCAAGGGGATCAGTTCGAGAGACCTAGTTTGGTCCATGTCGCGCAGCGCCGAAGAAGAAAATCGGCCAGGGTCGCGTTTCGATCCCACGTCCAGAAGGTCTCCCGCAATGCTCCAACAGATTTCTCGGAACCAAATGAGTGGAAATGTCAACCGTGAAACTTTCTCTGACGGAATGGAATCACAACGAGAACGCAACTGCTTGATGGCCTCGAGGCCCAATCGGCTTGATCGACGCAGTCAAAGCAATTCAGTGCAGGGTGTATGCGTAAGCGATAGCGAACGCTTAGTGCGCGCCTTCATTTCGATAAGGCGCGAGGTTGGAGAACGTGGACGATGGAGCCATTATCCTGGGCCACGAGGAAACAGCACACAGGCGCGCAGCAGCGAGAAAGAGCGGCGAACGGACTGGGGTGGTGATGTGGCGGCGGCGTCAGGGTTATATCGCCCGCAAAGACGTAAAAAGTGGGTCGGTCTGGGGCGAGAACCTTGTCCGCCACTGGTGACGACATGACGCGGAATTTCACGGCTGGCATGATCCGTTGAGACTGTGACATGAGATCACATGGCGTGACGTTCGTGTCTCACGTTACATCCCTCACCTCTCCTTTGCGACACCATCACCCTCATCTACGACGCGTTCCTACCTCTTAATTTCCGCCCATGTCCGATCTTTACACGAGTCTTGATGTGTCTCCAAGAAAGAAGCGCGCCCCTCCCGAGTTTGACGATGGAGAGACGTTGAGCCCTAAGAGACTTCGAACCACGTATGTCTATCTACACTTGCGCGAGGGATCCCATATAACATCATCAACAGCGCTCCGAGTCACAGGATATTCTCCTCACGAAAAGAACTAATGAATAATGATGTCACTTTCGTCAACGAACTGCCATCCCATCTATCACGTCTTGCCGCCATCCATACCGCGCTCCAACACGCACTCTCGCATGCCCTGGCAACCTGTGCCGTGTCTCCCACCTCGGACACCGGCGTCGTACGGAATGTTCTCAACCATATCTCTCTTTCTACGTACACTGGATTCCCCACACAATTTGACACCGATGATCTTCGGCGCTTATGTTGGATCTGGGAGTGGGACGGACAGACACTGCCTGGTTTAACACCTTCTGAAGATGATAACCCATTTCTCGAAGATAAACCCGTTCCCAAGGACTGGACGCGGGGCGCCATGGGTGTTGTACTCAGTCCTGCCACCCACCACTCGCGGGCCGACGGAAAGCGTGTGCCGGCCTATGGAGTGGGCATCGAGGTCGAGATGGACATAGACAAGGACATGACTGCGGGTATGGCTGCTGTCGCTCGTTGGACTGGTGCAGCTGGCGCTCGACGAGAGGCCTTTCAGAAGAAGTTGGAAGCCTGGGCCCAGCTTCACGCTGACCTGGACAAAGTCCCATCTATTCCTATCGCCGACTTGCCTCGTCTCGCAGCTGCGAAAACAACATCTCTCACTCGCACCCTTGTCGCCCTCTCACCTAAGTCACCTACGTCGATGAGCTCCCCGTTCAAGGTCCCGGCTCTTCCGACATCGCCTTCCCGGTCCCCTGTCAAATCCAAGCCAGCCAACCCTATTCCTTTCCCCCTTGCTCAGAAGTCGCCTTCCAAGAGTTCTGTCCTTTTTCCTCAGACCCCGCGAACGAACCGATCGTTGCTTGTTTCTACCCCCGGCACACCGACAACTCCGGCCACAGAAGTGCAGTCGAACCCTGCGACTCCAGTGCATCAACGTGGACCGACTGCAAGTACTGCACCTCAAACTGGATCGTCCTCAAGGCGTGATGCATTGTATGAGCGGTTACGGCAACGATCACTCACAAGTTCGCCGACCAAGGCACCAAGCAGCGACATCAAGGGCGGAAAACTGAGTCGGGATCAAATGCTCAAGCTGGGGCAAGACGAGTTGAGACGGAGATGTTTATTGGGCCGTCTGGATAAGATTGCAGAGGGAGTCTGGATGTTGTTCACGACACCTGCAACTGGGTCTGGCACGTCTCCGATGGCACGAAAACGACGAGCGTTGCCCATGGCGGAGGTCATCGCTGCCACCATCAAGTCTTCGCCTGTCCCCTTGTCTTCCGCCGAAGCCTTCGACTCCCTTACCATGCTGGTGAGGCTGTGCCCATTCTTCCTGAAACGATTTTCTGTGGGAGCGGAACAATGGCTTGAAATGCCACCCCCTTCTGTGGCACCAACCGAACCCAACACCCCGTCGTCTAGGAACAAGGAAAGCCCCTCGCGGAAGCCTGTGCCTAGCGACGAAGAAGTTCTGTTGACCCGAAGTCCGATGCGTGTCCAAAGGGAGTCGGGAGGATTGCGGCAAGTGAGAGAAATCATCCGGCGCGAGCTGGAACTGCAAGATTAACTGCTTCATCTCCTATTGCTTCATATCACTACGATGCTTCATATATAGATATCATGTACATGTCCCTGCTTTTCTGAATACATCATGCTTGCTCGTTGCGACTTTTCTCGCGGACTTGACGTTCGAATTCTGCACAATCGATGACACGACCTTCCCGTCGGCTTGTTTCGGCAGCAAACACGGTCATGTGACTCTTGACTACCTCAGCTAGATTTGTTCCCAGCGCGTTCTGTTGACCCGTTCTGACAGCACGAACAAACGCGCGGATGAGTCCGAGATCACCGCCCCCATGTCCTCCGCCTTCATCACGTGGAGTCCGCGTGACTCGTGTTCCTGTGCGGAAGTCGTGGACGGTGAAAGTCCTCATGTCGCCAACGATCTCGCCATTCGTGAAGTGAAGACGGACTTGTCGGTCGCAGATCAGCGACGTATAGGCGACCATAGTGAATGAGACGGTGCTGCCGTCGGAGAACTCCATGTTGACCACTTGGTGGTCGCAGACGTCGTTGGCCGATTCATACACACATTTCCCGTAAGGGCCAGTCTGCAATGCCTCGGTCACATTTTCGATATCGGGAACACCGTCAACCAGCGGAGAAACAGGCCATCCTGTCCTTCCGCGAGACACAGCATCCAGGTATACTGCAATCGTGTCAGTCACTCGTCCGTAGTGCGAGATAAGATGGCTTGCTCTTCTTAGCGCTGTAGGCACAATCTCTTTCCATGGGACAGTCGAGACATCGGGTCGCGGAGCCAGCTTCTGAGGGCTTGGAAGATTTGCGGAAATGCGTTAGCGAGCCGAAGGACGAGATCCGGGTCGGAGTTTGGGGGGACATCCAGAACGATAACAGGTCAATATCACTGCGAATGTGTCGACATTCAGATGGGAATAATAGATAGGAGAACGCACTGGCAGCATTTAGTCATCAGAGAGAAAGAACTCGTCTTTTCCGTGGCCCAGTTACCACGCACATACGAATGCGCAAAATGATAGTACCCGACAGGTTCAACTTGAACAATGTTAACAAGCTTTCCCAACGTGCCAGAGCGGATGTATTCCGTTATTTCGTTACTGTACGGTGAGTAACGCATCACTTGCAGTGCATTGGGTCAACGGACGTGGGGCGGCCAGCAATGACTGCGCACCATGACCCATGCCAAATATCTTCCCGGATTTCGTGACAGCCTGCTCCATTTCCAGAATGTCTTGCAGAGACGTCGCCATCGGCTTTTCACACAGGATATGATAACCTTGAGCAGCGAATGCGACAACAACCTCCTTGTGCATCTGATCCTGAACAGCAATGACGACGGCATCTGCAAGGCGCTTGCCGATCGCGTTGATAGTTTCTTCAGACGCCGCATGAAGATCTCGCCACGTCTTGAAGACAAGAGTTCCATCGACGTGGTGTGCCTGAGCGAAGTTCCTTTGAGTCTTCGGACGGGGCTCGGCTATCGCCACGACTTTGCAGTGTTCAGGAGCACGGAGAGCGTATTCCGCGTACGCTTTGCCTCGTTGACCGCAACCGATAACGGCGATGGTCACCGGATTGGGTGGGGCTGGCATAGTAGATCTGCTGAGCTTTCGTTGGAGGATGTTCTTTGTAGTTGAGAGAAGATGCGACATGACTGGTCAAGCGGCATAAGTAGTATGTACGTGATAGGCATCCAATAGAGCAGAGTCGTGTTCTCGACGTGTTTTTCATTTAGTCACCGACGACACGATCACGAGCTCTGCGATCAGCCTGAGAATGCCTCGTCTCTTACCACGACTGATAAATCTTCAACTGTCGGAATACTACCCTGGGTCAAAACAACAGGCTCGGAAACTCCACCTGTGCCGAAGAGACCGTCTCAACTCATCGAAGATTATCCTCAATCCGTTCTTCTTTCACCCCAAAACGCCATCACCAACGCACACGAACATGTCCGCCACAAACCCGCTCCTCCCGTCCTTCGAGCGCGTAAAAGACTCTCTGGTCATGATAGGTCTCAGCAACGAGAGATGTCGCCCCAAGAACGAAACTGGTGGTCGAGCCCGTACCGTAATTACCTCCGTCCTTCTTGTACACTGATTTTCTAATGCAGTCTCAGTGCGAATGCTTTCGACACCTATTCGACAGTGTTACTTGACCAAATGCTATCTTCCTTCCGGTAGACCTTCAACATCTCGTCTCTCACGGATCTGACTCGACACAGACCTGCTCATACGCCTTGTACCCATGCGCCTTCCCCCCACTTTCCGGCTGGCGCAAAAGGACCTTACTCACGCCATAGTGCCGGATGGTCTCCTCAACTCAAAATATCAGGCTCGCAAACCTGGCCGAGCATTCTATGTGGTGTGCAGAAAAGACGCGTTTGGTGCGCTACGCCATCCTAGTGCGTGCAGACCAGCTCGTCGTATCCAGGATACTCACAAGCCGGTGCAGAGATGTATCGGCGCTTGAATGCTGCTCCCTCTGGACGACTCGCGGACCACATCTCACATCTGCTGCGTGTTCGTGTGCTTCAAGAGCTCGAGATCCTGGCTCGAGGTGCGAAACGTGCGTTGACGGATAAGAGGAGGCCACAAGACCCAGATCTATTACGACGTCTAACGAGAACGGAGTGGGAAGATGTGAAGACAACCAACGTCCTACGATACCCGGGGGCTCTTGCTGTCCTGATCATCCCCCCGGTAAATCGCGATCCTACGACCAAGTCCCGCCCGGAGACGGCCGATGCATTATCGACCAAACCGTCTCCGACACCAACCAGAGCGTTCAAACCACCGCCTCCGTTGAGTGTGCTCCATCCCAGTGCAGACCCTGTCCAGAATCGGATACCCACCCATGAAATCGTGACCCACGAGTCGTCGACAGACACGTACTGGGAACAAGAGCGGGAACGCCGAGCTGGGATTGAAGCCCGCGCAAAAAGAGCGGCCTTACCAGCTATTGATTCGCTCATTGAAACGATGGAATCGATCAAGCCTGCACCTCCGAGTTCTCTTCAAATCGAAGAACAAGGCGAGATCGATGTGCAGCCACACGCTGAAGAGCAGATCCCATTATACAATGGAATCGCGCTCTTCCCTGACCGGGCCCAGCGCGCATACGCGCACAAATTGCTGACTCGGATTCTCACGCTGGAGAGCACTCGCAGGGGCCTTCAGCCTGATCTCAGGCCCAAAAAGAAAAGCCGTCGGGAAATCAAGAGCAGTCACGCGTTTCTTTTGTGTGCTGATCCGCCCGTCGACGCTGCAGCACTTGGAGTTGCGCTTTGGCGGCTGCGCATGTGGGAATCCGGAGGCGACAAGATTGGAGACCACCTGGAGCGTTGGCCGTGGACTAAGGACTTGTCTTTGTAGAAGCATTCGTTTGATCGTTTACTCTACATGCATCGGAACAACTTGCGGCTCTATCGAACCCAGTTTCTTTGAGTTGGGCACTCCCAAGACTTCCGTGCCCTGCCAGAACTTGGGCAGTTCATTTCCAGGCACGAATAGACGCTCGACGCCGTCTTCCGTAATCACACACATCCGGATGACACCTCCGGAGGATCCGTCTCGAGACATCGCAAGGGAAAGTGCTGTCCGGGCGATTGAGTATGTATACATCGGGAATGATGTCGATGCACGCACTGTTCTTCACGAAGTTGACCGTCTCATCCCGTCCCCAGCCCTCCTGGTAGGTCGCGTCGCAGTATCCGTACACATATGTCGATCCGGAACCTATTCGCATATGAGCTGGGGTGTCGCTCGAAAATAATTGATGGGAGGAGACATACCACCGATGGCCCATGGTTGCCGGAACAGTCCTCCTCCAAGAGGGATATTGTACACACTTGGTCCGATCTCCTTGTCCCAACCTGCAACGATGATGCCCGCAGACAGTCCGTCTTTATTGTCGTAGCATATTTTCTGGAACATGGATGCGGCGGTCAAAACAGAAGGGGGTTCGCCGGCCATCTGGCTACAATATCGTTACATTGCGTTTCGAGTGAGAGAGATAGGGACGGGACGGACGTGTAGAGCTGGAGGTTGTAGTGCACTGCATCCGCTACGGCCTGTGTGTCTGCTGCAGAGCCCGAGCGGCAGCAGTACACGCGGTCGTGAACATGTGTAAGCTTGTCGGTGACCCTGTTGGCGATGTAGCTCCCTGTGGTCGTGCGACTGTCTGCGCCGATGACCACTCCGTTGGAGAATTGGACCGCCATGATCGAAGTCTAGATATGCCTTCAATAGCTCGTTCTTGGGGATAGAGCTAGATACCGACCCCGAGGTTGACCTCACCATGCTTAAGCTGCTGGTAATCGATTCGGTCCATGTTGAACAACGAGAGGATGGAAGGCAAGATGATCTGGAGGAACGCGTAAGCGTGGCTGAATGTTTGACGCGTGACGCGTCGCTGTTTGGGTTTACTTGCCACTATGGCTTGATACAATCTAATCGCTCTAGTCGCAGCAAGATTTGAAGCTTAGAATTACCTATTTTCACCATCGTTAGGCAACAAAGAACGACTCATAGGAAAAAGATATGTATATTGCTTATTCGAATCCTGACGTGAGGGCGTCCTTGGCTTTCGTTTCCGCCTCATCGAACAGATCTTTCGGTACAGCAAGATGTAACCCATTGGTCTCCGGTCCCACCCACGTCATCTCGAGCTCAAACTCTTTCTCCTTCGCGTCCTCGTGAACCAGGTAGATGCTGCAACAGACGTGAGTCACAGCGCAACAAGTAAGTGACGGTGATAGCCTACATTCGAGCTGCCTCGATGACTGCTTCGCGGGCAGTGAGCTCAGCCAGCTTCAATTTCTCCAGTTCGCTCTTGGCAAGCTGGCGACCCTTTCCCACTGCAGCACCGTGATATCCCTATTGTGGATTAAGGGCGGTGCATCGAATCGACAAGTGTGCATACGCACGTAAAATACACCACTCGGCTCGATGCAGTAGAGCGCGGGTCCGTCCTTGTCAACTCCACCAAGAAGGGCGCTCACACCGAATGGTCGAACAGACGAGTATAGTGTGTACATTTGCACGAATTGGCCCATCCGATCAGCAAGACTCTGATTGCGCAATTCAAATAGTTGATTCGTCACAAGTTGAGGAGGTTGAGCGAGCGACAGTACCTTGACGGTAGGAGGCGAACGGTAGTTTTCCCGAAGGTTGGATGATTCGTCTCGTGCCCTGTTAGCAATAGATCTGCCATCTGCGGGAAGACCGGCAGTCGCCTGCATTGGGATTCGATTAATGAGCAAGGATGGAAGAATATGCCCTAGGCTCATCCACGCACCATGCCAAGATGTCGGTCGATAGTTTGGATGCGACGATTGGAGCCAGGAACAAGGAGTTTCGAATGAACGAGCTTCTCGACAGCCAGGACGATACCGTCTTTGACCTTCATGCCGATCGCAGTGCTAAAGCGAGGTAGGCAAGGGAGGACTGAGGCACAAGGAAAGGATATGTACCCGGAATTTTCGACCGCTTTGTTAGCATATTCGACCTGGAATATGCGACCGTCGGGAGAGTACGTGCTCGCAGAGAGATCGTAGCCAGTTCCTATGGAGGTCATGATGGAATTGAGGAGATGGGAGAGGGAGGACGAGTAGGACGCGATTACGCGTCAATGGCACGTGCTTCGCAAGGACGCGGTTCCGGATTGATGAATTGATCTTGAGGCTCAGTCCACATCGCGCGCCCATGTCTGCAGACGACTGGAGCACGCTTCTCACGTCGCATCCTATCTTTTCGCCATCCTCGACGCAATCTCCAAATGAAATATCAGCTATGAGCATGAGCAGCATTGGGCGGCGTCAAGTCATGATTCTGAAGGACGGGGACTTGGTTGTGGCCGTTGGTTCCGAGATTCGTCTGGCTTCTCTCGGTGCTACGAAGCCTGCGGGATCAAAAGGATATAAGGTATGATATCCAAGCGAATTCTGCCTTACCTACAAATCGATAGACATTACACACCCCCAACTTGCAATTCGAGATTAACAAATTACTCTCAATCCCAGTGGAAAGTTACTCGCAGTTGCGGGAAAGCACCAAGTTGGTGTGATAGTTCTACCTCGCTCGGCTACTCTCGTCTGGTACCCGACACCATCGACTCCAAGTATGTGATTGACCTGACCTCCGACAAATCACGCCGACTAACACTGGCCAAGGTCTCTCCAAGTCGGACAGTTCTATCACGCAGCCAAAAACTCCGCCCAGATAGCCAAAATTCAATGGCACCCATGGGGGGACTCTGGCTCTACGCTTATGGTCATGACAGAGGATGGGAAACTGAGGTGCGTGGCGAAGGCTCGAATGTGATGAATCGGCGCTCAATGATGCAGAGAATACGATATCTCAGTAGACGCCGAAGAACCGCAACAAGTTCTGTCTTTCGTGCCCGAGCGCCGTGCTGGCTCGTACCTCGCGGAGGACGCCTCGGAACGCGAAGTGGCTTCGTTTTGTTTGGGCCAAGGACGCGCCGATTGGGGGCCTCTCACTGTGTACGCGGTCATGAAATCCGGAGATGTGTACTCGATATGTCCTTATATGCCCAAAAACGCGTGCGTGCACCCTCTGGGATATCGTCCCTACCCCGGCTCATGTCGCATAGGTCGATTCCCTCTTCCTACGTGCACTCGCTGGAATGTTTCATCTCTGCGAAGCAAGAGTTCTTGTCCCAATCAAGCAGCACCTCGACCACTCATAACCTTTCGACGCTGTACGACTATCAGCACAAGTACGTGACAGCGCTACTCAAGCAACTGCCCCCAGGCACTGTTTTCCCTTCAACATCGCGCTCGGTATCCGTGCATCCGCCGACGACAATCAAAGCACGGCCGGCACGCCAAGGGCCTTTCCTTCTCCAGCCATCCCCACGGACTATTGCCGGCAGCGAAGGCGGGGACGCGACCGATATGGCCTATCTGGCATTTGGCTCAGACGACGCAGAGGATGAGACTGAGGGCGGAGAAACGGAGCATCTCGGTGTTGTCCTGATCGGCTTCCAGGACGGCAAGGTGGACCTTTGTTTGGATGTGGAGAAAGTGGAAGCCCGATGGGATGCAGGGGGGTCCAAACGAGATCAAGGTCTTCCCATACTGGCTGTCTACGAGACGATCGATCTTGGGACCGTGGAGCTTCTCCAAGGCCAGTTGGACTTGATCTCAGCCAATCACCTTGTGTTCTTCCCTGACCCAATCATGACGATACCGTCTATGTGTACCATGGGTTCGGGGTCCACACGCTCAACCTGGGACCTCTGCTGCAGAGTCTGGCTGTTGCTCTGAGAGCCGGGGATGACGATAGCGGAGCTGCATTGACTGCGGCACTAAACAAAGCAGCTGGGACTTTGGTCACGCCGATCTTGACGACGTTTTCTGTGGAACGCAAGTGAGTCCTAACGAGACGATGGCGCGCAAAATCACTGACTGAGCCTCGATTGCAGGTGTTCGAATCCGGTCATAGCAGTGGTGGTCCCGAACGATGTGTATCTGACGTACAGCATCCTCATCTTGACCTCCGCCATGCGCATCACCACCTTCCCTCTCAATTTGCGCTCCGAGACACAGCCGCTGGCCTCGGGCTCCAAAACGCTTCCCGACCCGTACCCAAAGAGGAACCGTCCAGCAGCAAGTGGCTAATACCTCGCGATGGCCCAAAGTCATACGTGTCGTTGCTGGGCGATGAGCCCTATTCCCCCGGACTGTCTGTCGCGCGCGGGGTCCGGGCTGCCCGTGAGTGCCCGACTCTCGCTGCCTCCGAAAAGCGGCGGGCCGGATTTCATGCTGACCCCCGACGTGCTGCGTTTCCTGGGCACGACCGTCGCGGCGCTGAGCTCGCAGATGCAGACTGTGCAGCTGGCGCACCGGGCGGCGGAGCAGCGCGCGGCGCTGCAAGTGGCAGAGCAGACGCGGCTGGTGCAGAAGTGCGCGGAGATGGAGAAGACGGTGTCTGCGCTGCGAGAGACCCGCAGAGTCCAACGGACGAACGGTTCGCTCGCATCAGGGAGGAGCAGCAGCAACTGCACACGCGGCTTGAACGCATGCTCCGCGGGCTGATGAGCCAGGCATCCCCCGACCTGAGCGAGCACGAGACAAAGTGGTTCGCTGAGCTCAAGCGGATGAAAAGCGAAGTTGAGGGCGCAGGCAAGTACGATGAAAGATCGCTCGTGTCCCGATCCAGAATGGTGCGTTTGTTCAATCTATCGCTAGGCAGCGAGCTGACTGCCTACTGGCCAGCTTGAACGAGAATACGAACGACTGATGCCAAATCTCAAAGCACTCATTGAGAAGGAAAAGGCGCGCAACCGATCCGCGCCGCAGCTGGGTGTCTCACAAGCATTCGAGTTTGGAGCTCGTTCAAACATCGAGTGCGTCCTGCCCATCCCTTCAACTAATCTCTCGGCTGATGTTTCTGTTGCAGGCGAGCCCGAATATCCAAGGTGGAAGACGAGCTCGTCAAACTTGCTGCGAAGCTGGATATTTCATGAATTCACCGCCGTCCGCCACGGCTGCCTAGTACGTAGTTGCTGGCATTGTATTTGTCTTACACAATCGAGATGGCCCATCCTCAATACACGTATCGGACTGTGAGAGAGATAAATCAATGTGACTCGAGCTTGGGCTGTGGCGAGGCTGGCACGTACAGTCCTGATTCTCGTGATCCGTCAAGTCGTCGAATCTGCGGGAGAATGAGCACCGCAGGAACGGGTTGAAAGCTAAAAACGGACGCTTGTCTGTGCGCGATGCGTTCTGTCTCGAGCTCGCCATTGGCCACGGTCGGCTCGACCGCCTGGGCCCTGCGCTTGAGCACGTTCAGCCGCATCAGGCGCAGGCGCAGGACGAGGATGGCCGCGATCTGCAAGCCGTACATCGCGAGATGCACTGAGTTCTGAGTGAGCGGGAGCCGTCGTCGTCGGGCCACATCGGGGACTGACCGATGAAAGCGCGGATATATCGCGGGCTGTCGTTGGCACGGAAGACCTGTGGGCCGCTATACGACGTAGATGAGAACTGGTCTGTGACACCCACGAGAGCTAACTTGCATTGCGTTTCCTAGTGCCCATGCGATGAAGACGAGACTGGATGCGACGACTTGCTTGGTCCGCTGTGATGAGGGATCAGACCTAGTCGCCCGGTGGGAAGGAATCCTTGCTTACACCGGCGATCTGTGGAAAGACTGGTAAGCCGATGTCCGTTGGAAGTAAAAATACCGACGAACATTGTTTGACATGACCGCCAGATTCAGCACGGCCACGGCACCGAATCCTTGCATGCAACTGAAAAGGTTAGATCTCAAGTTCTGTGCGCGATCCAGAGCACATACTAGAAAGCGATCAACAGCCCGACCTTGGTGTGGCTGTCCGTCTTGACGCAAATGAAGACGATCGTGCCCGCTATGTTGGGGAGCGTGTAGATCAGCGCCAGAAGCAGTTTCTGGTTGTACACTTTCGCCAAATACGCGGAGCTGAACAAGAAGAGCATGATGATCGAGCCCTGCGCGATGGCCAACAAATACGTCTGCAAGGTCGTAAACCCGAACGCCACCAGAATCAGATTCGAGAACGCCCCCAGACCGCCTGTGGGCAGCGCGTTTGTGAACGAGATGAGGGTGACCAGCCACACAGTCGGGTCTCCCAGTCCTTCCCCTGCAGGTGCCCGATTTAACCATCAGATTTCCCCCTGAGAGGATTCCTCACAGGCTTGGTAGAGCTTGAACTCGCGGTTCTGGATGCCCGTCTCGTTTTTGCGGACGCGCTCAGCAATCAGCAACCGATCCTCGGCTGCGGAACCCACTTTTGAGCCGATGCAGGAGAGAGAGAACGAGTCAAGAACGCACGCGACCAGCAATGTGCGCGCATGGGACTGTCGGGAAGCCACCACAGCACGAACAGACCCCACGCAAAGGTGAGGCACCCCAGAAGCTGGAACGTCCATCAGTCTCACGCTTTAGGAGTGTGTTTTCCTGAACCAACCGTGAATAAAATCTGCCAGTTCTTGAGGGCCTGGTTGTGGATCTGAGAAATGCCGTAGCCAATCAACCCGCCTACAAGACGATGGTCACCCGCGCAGTCGACGGCGGCGTACTTCAGGAAACGCACCGACGCACTGCTGGAATCCGTTCATCGAGTAGAACGAGCCGATGACGAGTGCTTGCTCATCGCGGGTGTAGTACATGGTCGAAAGGCTGCCAATGGTATTCAGGTCGGGCTACAAAAGCAGACCAACCCGGAGGACTGACTAGACGAAAGCGGGCTGACAGACGCATTCGAGCACTCCGAGCAGCGTGCGCACAATTACAAGGCCCGTGAAGTTGTGGCACACGGCGGTCAGTGCGAGCACTAAGCCCCATGCCGAAATGCTCGCTCCGAGGTACTTTCCAATCGGCAGACGCTGAATCAATCTGGGATCTGGTTTCCAGCGGTGCAAAGGAGGCGCAGCGCGACGGACCTGTTCGTGGGGAATTCCCACAAGAGGCTAAATTAGGAGGTGAGTCGGCAGCTCGCGTGCATTGGAGAAAAGAAGCGGGTTACATTGCAATGTAGACTGCGAGGGCAAGCGATCCATCATCAGAGCGATGCCGCCGGCGGGAGCAATTAGGGACGAATCTCACCGCAAGTAGTCAGCCACGCGTATTGCTGTCCGCGGAGATGCGTGTCCTTGATGATACCCATGATGCTCGCAAAGTTCAGAGTTCTATGCCGCCCGTCAGTCAGCCAAGCGAGCTGGCCCACGCAATAAACCACACCCTTTGTCCAGCGTTTGCGCGACTCGACGGCTATCAGCGCGACGGATCGGGCCTGTGAAGAAAGTACACACAGTATGTGACCACCATCACTGTCTAGTGAGCACCAGTGAGTCTATAGGCGTAACAGATTCGGGAAGGAAACAGACCAATACGCGTTTGTGCACCATCCATCTCAGCCGCCGGTCCGTCGCCTCGTCGATAACCACCGGCTCGCGCGGTTGCGCCGCAAAAAACTGCGCCACCTCGGCGTCAATTCCAGCGGGCGCTTCTGCGCGCATATAGATAACCCAGTCAATCCCCGGGAGCAGAGCGCGAGACGACGCAAATAACTCAACCATTTGCCCGCTCTCGCTGCGGCTCGCGATGGAGTACACATCCTTGACGTCCTCGATGCGCCGGTCCGCGATGGGCACTCCTTTCGGGACTGACATGGCGGTGTAGGGAGTGCACGACATCCCGCCAGGCCTGCTTTTGAATGGATCACCTACGCGAACGAGCGATGCCAAGCAGTGGGGTTCCCGATGCAGCACGTCTGCTGACCTCCTTCTGCACCCACGCCCTGCCATGGCCGAGGCTGTCCGGGTGATATTCCGTCGTGAAATACCGCTTATAGCGCTCTTTGGGGACCAAGGCAGCCATTGAGTCGACCCCACACCCCTGTTACCCCGCATTTTGGCCGGACCGGCCGGCTCGGCTGATCAATCATATCACGGCCTTTCACGTTATCTGGCACAATGCGCTTTATATCTCGCGTTGATTTATTTCCTCGAGCGCCACGCCACCCCGGTACCGGCATCCGCCATGCAAGCTGAGAAAGCATCGGTTTTAAAGCACATCAGAACTTGATCAACTGTCTGGTCAATATCAAGGACGAAACTGGCGAATTCCTCCTCACACTTGAGACGGACGGGTGATCGATACCAAAGGCTGGAATGACTGGGAGGTGCGTCGCCTGGAAATTCCAGGGCAGGTCTTGTTTCTCGCGGCTCATGAAGCTTAGTGGACACACGGTGTCGGTGCGAGGTTCAGTTATCCTATCGACTCGGAGGGGATGCCGAAGTTGCTGGTGACACAGGGCTCTACGGATTGCTCAGGCTGCATGAAATCACGGGCGACGAAGACGCGCTGCGAATCGCACTGAGCTGGTTCAGGGACCGATTCGCAGTCGGCACGACCAAGGCGAGCCACGTCCTCGCCTCGTGTGCGCGGACGGACACCCACCCCCTGGTGCGGCTGGCTGACTGACTGGCATTCGCACCCGCAGAACATCAACACGATGTCGCCCTTATTAACGGCGGCCTACTTGCACGAAGCGAAAAAGGCCAACTACCTGGTCCATCTCGACTCGTGGGCAGAGTGGGTGATGTACGATTTGCCTAGAACAGACGAGGGTGGCTTCCAGGTAGGCGCGGGCAGCTTCGATCGGCACCGCAGCTGCCATCGCTGATTCTGCGCACCGTTTTAGCACATCACGTACAGCATGGACAACTACCAGCAGCTGTGGGATGACAGGTCAATGATCTGCACGAAGCCGATGTAGGCTCCACTTACTCACGATACCAGCCTCATGATGTGCGTTCTCCCTCTGGCGAAAATCGGGCTCGTTTTGGATCGCCCGCACTATGTCGAGGAGGCCAAGCGGCAGTTCATGCTCCAGTGCGTCTGGACCCAGGCACCGAGTGGAGCCCAACCTGAATGCACCTGTGACAGCGTCAAGTATCTGCAAGACCTCAAGACGGGACTGTGGTTCCACGGCAAGTCTGCGTCGATTTCATATACCGTGCACACATCCCCTTATGATGTCTGCAGGGTGGACGTTTGACGGGCACCATCATTTCGCCAACGCGCTCTGGGGGCGTGGCAACTGCTGGGCGACTGCTGCGATCCCCGATTTCATGGAGATGCTGCGCCTCGCCCCGGGGGACGGCCTGAGGATGTTCCTGACCTCGAGTCTGGTGCGCCAGATAGACGGGCTCGTGGGATGCCAGGACGAGGAAACCGGGCTGTGGCACACCCTCCTCGACGATCCGACGTCCTACCTCGAGGCCTCGGCGACAGCTGGATTCGCGTATGGGATCATGAAATCTCTGCGGCTGCGCTTTATTCCCAGAGAAGATCGATATGTCCGCGCAGCCCAGAAGGCGATTCAGGGTGTGCTCAAGCACATCACAGCCGAGGGAGAGCTCCAGAACGTCTCGTTCGGGACTCCGGTATTCAGCAACATCGAGGATTACAAGAGAATCAAGCTGACGAGCATGCCCTATGGCCAGAGCCTTGCCTTGCTGGCGCTCACAGAATATCTGCGGACCTTTGTATAGATTAGATTGTGTGTGTGTCTGTGTGTGTATTCTATTGTCCAGAAGAGTTGGGTAGTGAACCGTGCTGCCATAGGGCAGGAACGCTGTGTCGGAAGGTTCGGCCGTTACTGCCCGTCTGTCGGCCGACGGTGGCTGAACGCGGCTCTCCGAACTGGCTGAGCGCTCGGCGCCTAGTTGCACCGGGAGTTCCCAGCAACTGGTGCTCCGGATCCCATCGTTCTGGGATCTCCCGCGGAGGAGTGTGGACCAGAAGCAGCGGCTGCAAAGGCTGTCAGTTACGGACTGGGGAGGGGAGGGGATCCACTGACGCGGGCAGGAGATAGCGTAAGCATGCTGACAGAGGACGGCTTGTGGTTCAGGGGATGTTCCACTCTGAACCCATTCGGCACGACAAGGGTCGGTCTTCGTCGGGACAGAGACCGTTCTCTCTCCTCTTCAGAGTCTTCCGGATCGGAAGCTGACCCATCCGCTTCCGCTTCTGTGTTGCTCTGGTGATCCCAAGCGATGATAAACACGCCAGCGAAGGTCGCAGCACACCCATATAAGAAAGTGACTAGCTGGTGGAAGCTCGCCTTCTTGAAGTCACCGTATAGAACAGCCGAGCCGACGATGGCTGATATCGTGAAGAAGACAAACTGGATCGGAATGACGACTTTGCCGTCAAAGCGCATGAGTGCCCTATTGAGATATCGTATTTGGCCGACACCAGTGAGCGCTAGGACCTGGTAGATGGTGAACACAGTGACCGAGAGGGAAATAATTAAACATACTGCGATTGTGGGGTATGTAATCCATCGAGTAAACATTTCGAGCCATTGCATCGTCAGCAGTGTAGACACAGCCTTGTGGAAAGCACAGTGAATCCTCCTGCGGAAGGAAGATAAGAGCGTCGGAAAGACAAGAAAAACATATTTAGCGTACCGAAGAGTGCGCACAGACCAACGTCGATAAAAACATATTTCTTACCCGCTGGCCTCTCGGAAAGAATGGCAAGAACAATGGCACCAACAATGTACGTGCCAGAAAAGACGATGAAGGGTATCTGAGAGATGGCTTTCAACAGAGCGTCGGGGTCCATCCTGGTGTCAGAGGCATTGGAGGCAAGAACGACGGTGACTGCGCCAATGACCGCGATAAAGATGCCTAAGATATCCCGTTTGCGGAATCGTTCTCCAAGCATCAGTGGCGCAAAAACACAGTTCGCCATCAGTGCGAACTGGAAAATTTGAGGAAGAGTATCATAACCGATTGAAAAGACGCACAGTTCCCAGCGGTGCGACCACCGACGCAGGCGCCCACGCGTATGATATAAAGTTGCCCATTTCTCCAACGTTCATGAGCGTAAATCCAGCCCACCAAAGCTTGGTTTTGAGGTAATCACTCTCGCTCCCATCTTCAAACGCAGGCGCATCGTCGATTCCAACCTGGGAGGAGGAGGAAGACTGCCGTGAGTGGTTGATATCTTCCTCCCTGATCACGTCCACTGTCATGAGCGCAGTGCGTTCGTGTGCGCCGTTGCGTGCACGGTTCGGTCGAAGGATACGAGAAAACAAATTCTTCTTGGGAGTGGTCATTTCCGTGTCTTCTCCCGTGGAGTTGATGGCCCCATAGTCCGAGCTGAGCAGCACGGCAGCCTCGCCTAGGGGTCTGCTCTGCGCATGTGCATCCTCGTTGGGGGGTGAAGACGCATTCGACGACCGAGCCGACTCCCTCCTTTCGTTCTTCTCCTTCTCTAGTCGTTTATGTGCCAGTTTCTGGAGATTGAGTGCGAGAGAGATGAGTATATTGCCCAAGATTGCGATAGATATCCCAATCTATCCCCCGTCGCTTAGCGAACGCAGTCGAACTCCAATGACAGTGAAACCTACAACGGTTCCGCTGTTCAGCTCCGGAAGTTTGCTGCTGAGGTCGTAAACACCGAACCGCGAGGATGACGACACCACGAGAGGGTGTGCTCCGGCGTAGGACGCAGCCGGAAACGCAGTCGGGGCGTAGGTGGAGGAGCGCATCGGGATACACCTGAGAGTCGAGACGGAAAGTAGGGTCTCGACACAGGTTTTCCTACCGTGTGCCTCCACACACAACGACGAGTGTCCGCAGTCACAGCTGTCCTGAACGAAATTGATTGCTGGGAGGCGAGATTCAAAAAGGCAAACCGATCAAACGTGCCTCTTTACCTGCTTCGGCCCCATGCGCGCTCAACATACCCCTCATTTTCTAACCACTTTCCCTGTATATGCCTCGTCGTTCGTGTCGGAGAACCAATTGGTTCTCGGCGGTGGTGGCGGCGCGTCAAAAACCGGAATAAAGAACAAGATTGTGAACAACCTCGACTTTGCTATGAGATCATTCGCTGACTGGGGAAAAGCGCGTCTACGAGGTCGGAAACGATCGTTCTATAGACTTGGTGGACGAACTGGAGCTTGAGAGCGGCGCCGACGCTCCAATGAGCATGGCCACGAACGTAGAGGTGAGTACGTGTCATACAGCGGCGCGTCAAATGACGTGTGTCGAAGGCTCGAACTTTCGTATGCGGGATCAACAGTCCTGAAGACAAGCTTGTTAAAGGCGAGAACGAAAACTGTCGCGTCTACGCGCTGAAAGAGGGCAAGTAAGTCGCTGGGCAACGTCATTCCATGCAGATATCTCAAGTCCGGCAGGCTTGGCCAGGTACAGACACGCGGCACGCTCGTCGCGGGAAACGTAGAAGATTATCAGGCAAGCCTGTCGCGGTGACTCTACAGGATTCATGCTGATGTGGGGACAGAAAGTATCCGTGATATCTTCTGACGGCAAACTCGTTGCTGTGGCGGGTACTCAAACGGTGTGTACTTTCATTTGGAATGCCATATTTTGGCCTAAAAGTCACTCAGCTGGACGTACTGTCTTACCCGTCTCTTGAACGGGTGGCGGTGACCATCATAACTGAGAAAGAGATATACGATGCGACATTCTCAAATGGCAACGTTAGTCTTTCATACCTCTATGCCTAGCCTTTTCACTCATCCAATACCAGCTGGTGATCGCAACCACTGAAGAGCTACTTGTCTATGCCCTGCCAGAACCCGTGTCTGAGAAGCAAGAGGCGCCGTCCAACATTAAGAATAAAGGAAAGCAGAAGGCAGATATCGTCGAACTGGAACTCGTACAAAAGGTCTTGCCTCCCGCGTTCCCAGGTTCTACCGGAAGTACTTTCCGTGCAGCAAGGTACGACTCTACCATCGCATCTGGGATGCATTGCCAACATGTACAACAGGTTTCACCCGGAAAACAACGGAATCTTGTACACAATGAGCAATACCATTCCAGGACGTACTAAGGGAAGGAAAGCTGCCCCGCGGCTCGGATATGTCTGCAAGTGGAATGCTACGACTTGGAAATCTGAAAAGGTCAAGAAAGTCAGCGACAAGGGACTGACCTGTTTTGCTGTCAGGTCCGTAACTTGTGTTCGAGTCATGTTGTGTATCTAATTTTTAGCAGTCTGGATGGCACCATGATTGCCTTTGGCTCCTCCGACTGCAGCATCGGTCTTTTGGACGCAACTACATTGAATGTAAGTTTTCAGAGTGGTGTGATTCGGACATACCTGATCCATTTGCTGGCAGCCTCTCATGACCATCTTGAAAGCGCACGAATTCCCCCCGACCACTCTCACATTCAACCCGACATCCAAGCTCCTCGTTTCCGGCAGTGCAGACAATACAATCCGGGTCATCGGTATTCCAGAGGATTCGTCCAAGTACTGTAAGTCCTCCAGTCACATTGTGATTATCTCAGTCTTGTAATCATTTATCGCAGCTTGGACCACGATAATTTTGATTCTGATCACTCTACTGATTGCCCTCGTGGCGCTTTTGGCCCAACAAACATGAGAATGGTTGGTATATTTAATTACAGAGATGGAAGAACTACCGTGTATATTGTACAGCTCAATCATAATCGTCGTCCTCTTCCAGTTTTCGTTTTGTTCCGTTTGTCTGGCTGAGACTGGTTTGGATTTCCTCCATAGCGTCGCCCTCCTCTTCCTCCTCCTCTTCTCCACCAGAGAACAATCCATCCTCGCCGTCCCCAGCTTCACTCCCTTCGCCAGCAGCAGGCTGAGACCCAATCCTCAAATCCACTGATGTGTCAATGGCGGATATGGGGAAAGGCGTGTCGTCGTATTCCTGGGCCGGCTCGGTATACTGTGTGCTGGGAGCTGGTCGAGCTGGAGTAAATGCCGGTGGTGGAATTGGAGGGCTTTGCTCCATCTCGACATCTGAGGGCTCATCATACTCGTCCTCCTCCTCGATCTCCTCCACCTCCTCGTCATAGAGTTTGACGTCTGGCGGTGGCTTGTTTGGAATCAAGTCGAAGTCGATTGAGGTCAAGCATTCGGAGGCAGGAGGCATGCGAACTCCAAAGACTTCCGGTACAGCGGGGAGGGGCACAGCATTCACGTCCGCCGCGAGGGAGAGGATGTACTGTGGTTCTCAGGTCAGGGAATAAGATTGAACATGGAGCGAAGCTAGATACCTCTTTGGGAACTCTGCCGCCGAATTCCCAACCCACACGGGCTTGTACTGCCAATACGACGTCGTCCATTTCGATCTTATTCGCACGACCAGCGTATTCGGCATAGACATTTGCATCAGTCAGAACATTCGCAGTATATCGGTGCGCGAAGTCCAAAAGCTGGTGGATAACAGCAGGCTGGACATCTTGTATAGATGGGGTCGAGGAAAGAAGTAACGCGATCGCGCGTGCGCTCGGCGGTAGATTGTCAGGACGAGACATGCAGCAGACGCGTCAGTCACAACCCATAACCGCACGTGAGAGGTGCATCAGGGACCGATCGACGCACGCGTACGTCAGTCTGCACGTGCCGGCAAGGTCAGGCCGGCGGCATTGATGACGAAGCTGGTGGCAACTGCTTTCCATACTCCCACTACCATGTTCCGTACTATCGCGAAGACTGCTCTCTCTGCCTCTCGTCCTTCCGCCCCGCGCATGCTCCAGCGGCCTGTGCTTGCCCGCGGGTATCATGAGAAGGTGATCTCGCATTATGAACAGCCTAGAAATGTATGGACCCTTTTTTGCGGTCTGGACTCCCCAAGTTTTTATCTGATATGATGCCCTGTATAATTAGGTGGGCTCCCTCCCTAAGAACGACGTCGACGTCGGCACCGGTCTCGTCGGCGCTCCTGCTTGCGGGGACGTCATGAAGCTGCAAATTCGTGTCGACGAGAACGGCATCATTTCCGACGTCAAGTTCAAGACCTTCGGATGCGGCAGTGCTATCGCCTCGAGCTCTTACCTCACGGAGCGCGTCCTGGGTCTCTCTTTGGAAGAAGCTGGCGCCATCAAAAACACCGAGATCGCAAAAGAACTCTGTCTTCCCCCCGTCAAACTTCACTGCTCGAGTAAGCGCGCCCTTGGTTTGGAATCGGACAGTGGCTGACGTCCCCCTGTAGTGCTGGCTGAAGATGCCATCCGCTCTGCCATTCGTGACTACCGCTCTAAACGCAATGGTCTGCCGGCCGCGTCACCCAAGGCTTCCTTCGTGCCAGCTGGTTCAGCCGATGCGACAGCGAACGCCCCAGCCCCCGCTGTGTGAAGTTTCTTGCCATGCCGCTCCCAGCTACTTCCATCAAACCGACATCTGCTTAGTAGTTTACCCGTGTATTATTAGGATTTGTAGAACATTCACAGAGCTACAGCACCAATCTGGACTAATTTGGCACAAAAGAAAATGTGCCTGCCGAAAACCATCGTTCGTTGGCCTCCTTGACTCGTTGAGCGGCAGCGGCCCTGTTCGTGAGCTCGAAACCTGGGCTCACATGAGTCAAAGCAATAAAGGGTGAGAAACACGCAGCTGACCTTGTGCTGGTGTGACACTGAGCGATGTTGCAGTTCCTGATGACATGGACGACGAGGAGCTGGGCTGAGTACCATCCAATAGTGCAGACCGATTGAGAGCGGCTGTCCGCAGTTTGTTTGCTTTCGACATCTTGGCTCGGCTCTTTGATTCGCCCATCCCAGCACGAATGGAGCCTGAGGCGGAACCTATCATGCCAAGACCTTTCGTCTCATCGAAAGCACCAACTTCCTCTTCAGCTTCACCGAATGCCATCCGATTCTGCAGCTTGCGCAGTTCGGTCTGAGCATAGGCTTCTTTCGCTTTCCGTGCCCTGCGACGTTAGTCAGTCTCTACAGGACAACATGGACCGGAGATAGATGACCGTTTTCCTCCACGTCTTTTCTTCGGCCCGTCACCGGGAATAGGCAGGGCTTTGACAACTTTGGATGGTGGTGGAGCAGCCAGCCTATCGATGTGCTTCTCCAGCTTATCGCGTAAACTTTCGCCGTAAGAACCTGAGTGGTTGAGTCAGCATGCCCAGATTGAGAGCGGCCATGCGACTGACCATCTCTCCGTGATCGTTCTAAATCCATACGAGCCGCAAGCACGGATTTAGCACCGATCGTGCGTTGCAGCTTGAGCTGATATTCCGGCGGTGTCTGTGTGACAAGTTCACTCTGGAAGATGAAGCCAGTGTGACGTCGCTGAGTTGCAGTAGAGAAACCAGCAGTGATCTTGCGTTGAGCACCGAGCAACTAGAAGAAGATCAGGCATTGATTGATGTAGGATAACGAGACCAACATGGACGTTGCAGGCCGGCATCTTGGCCAAGGCACTGAGACCGCCAGCCACACCGAGCAGTTTCGCAGCTGTGGTCGTGCCGACGATAGCTGATAGATTGGGAGCGAGCACATTCATTCTTGAGCTGACGTACATGAAGATCTGCCAGATGCTGAGATAGATATGAGGAAGGAATCTTGATAGTCGCACCTTTTTCCGAGCTTCTTCCAGTCGATCAGCCAGCTCACAAGCACGCTCAATAGCCTTCCACTCGGCATCAGACAGAGGTTTCCCAGGGGTTGTCGTTGCTGTGACCACGACACTCATAATGATTGCAGGTGGAAGTACGCCTGATAAATCGACTTTGGTCGGATCCTGAACGAATTAGGCGGTAATGCGAGATCTGCAATAGAGGAACGCACCTCCTCATTGGCCAGTGTCCGAACGGCACGGATAAACATGGCCGGATCGACAACCAGCTGCTCCAATTCTGGAAATTTGGACGCATAATGGTCCCGAATGAACTGGTGGGGTGTGAGTGATGTCAGAATAAAGAGTGAATGCACGCGTCACCTTATGAACG